CTACGACGCCCGTAGACGGAAGTGGCAGTAGATTTCGTTATAGACCTACTATCGAGTATTTAGAACAAATTAACGTATATCAATATAATAGTGGTAACTAATTGGCTTACTAAATAGCGTTATTATATACCTTATATTAAAATAGATTCGTTAAGTATAGTAAAGCTCTTTATATTAAACGTTTTTAGCCGTCACGGGTTACCCGACTTTATTACCTCTAATTAAGGTACTTAGTTTATATTAAAACTATAGAAAAGACTCTATAATCGCCTTTAGATTTCCCGACGAATATCGAGTGCCTTTTATCCTAAGACCGACGGATAATTAGAGAATTTAAACTAATTTATAAAATAATATTTACGCGCCTATTATAATTACCTTTAGGATAATTAGGTTAACTAGCTTCTACTTACCGAATTTACCGCTAATACGTATATTTTCGATACTACTTAAGTATCGCCCTTTTTCGCTAACTATAGCCTATACTCTAGGTTTAGTATCGAACTACCCTCGCTAATTAAACCGATACTATTAATAGGTATTAAGAATATATAATAGGTAGATATCTTTATAGATAAAATACGATATATCTATAACGAGACTAAAGTATAAATATCTCTAGTATAGGCTCGATACGAAGAATAAGATAAGCGACCTTCTATACCGATCTATAAAGTAGGAGACTTCGTATAGTTAAATACGAAGAATATTAAAACCGAAAGACCTAGTAAGAAGTTAGACTTTAAGAATAAAGGACTATTCGAAGTAATTTAAGTTATAAATTCAAAAGTCTACCGGTTACGGCTACCTAAAGACGCTCGAATCTATAACGTCTTTTACACTTTACTATTACGACCTATAATATCCGACCTATTACTAGAATAAATATAGACGCCGCCTATATCGGAACTAGTACTACGAGAGAATAGTAAGTATTAAGAATATAAAGTAGAGGCTATATAGGACTTAAAATTAAAAAGAGATAAGCTCGTATACTTAGTTAAATAGAAAGGATCGACGTAAGATTAGAGACTATAAAAGAATATCCTTTCTAGTTACGAAGAACTTATAATAGACTTTTATCGATAATATCTAGAAAAGCCTAGTCTACTAGTAGAATATAACTTTAATAAAGGACTAGAGAAGCGATATTAATCGGTAGACGATAAATAATAAACTCGACGTCTATAACGAATAAGGAAATTGACTAGAAAGTTATTAAAGAACTAGAGAGACTAATTAATATCGCTCTATCGACTAGTTAGAATATACTTTATTTTATAAACCGGCCTTCTAGGAACCTATACTAACTAAGACTTAAAAGTTACTCTATAGACCTAGGTTAATAGCTACCTTATAATAGTAGATACTATAAACCTTAGCGATAATTAATAGGATTACTCTTTAGATCGATAACGATATAGATAATACTCTAAAGATAGAAACCTAGGTAAAATCTACGCGAGCCCGCTATAATAACTAAAGTATTAATATATTATTATTAATACTTCGACCTCTAATAAGGCCACGTATTAGGCCTATATACGCGCTACGCGAGACCTTACGCCCGTTTTGGGGGGGGAGATATTACGGTTCTGGGTTTAAGGACGATTATACGTGACACGAAGCGTAGCCTTTCCACGTAACTAGGCTACTAACTTATCCGAAGGCTTGGCATAAGAGGCCTTAGCGCGCCTCGGTGCACATCTACCTCGCGCACCCGCGCAACTCTCCTTTATAGTCTTCGTACTGTAATTCTATCAATTATACACCTATTGCTTCTAGGTTCGTGATAAGTATACGCTTAGTATAGAAGAGACGATAGTATATCGAGATATAGCTACGTCGGCCTATACGATTTAAGGATTAGTAGCGAACGTAGTTCGTAGACGGGCGATCGGTCTTCGTTATAAAGAAGTAAGAGAGATCTATACGAGAATCCTACGCTAAAGTACGCAGATAATATTAGTAGGATATACCGTAAAAACGAGTATAACCCTTAGGAAGGGTAGTAGAAGCTATAGGTACTAAATATACGAGTTAGCGTAGAATCGTATACGTTAAAGCTTTACTTACGGCCCGAACCGCCTAGAGGCGGAGAAGACGGTAGAGAAGCTACTACTATACTTATCTTCGTTCTATAGATATATTAGACGTATATAAGCTATAGACGAAGCTAGATATACTTACTAAAGTATAACTAGTTAAACGTAGTATCGAGATATAAGCTAAGTAGGAACGACTATACGAATTAAGTACGACCCTCTAGGGATCGAAATAAAGAGTATATTAGGAAGAAAATAAATAAGAGAAGAATAGAAGAGACGAGACTAGAAGTACTCGTATAGTACTCGTAGATATCTCGATCGGGAAGTCTATCTAGAATATTATTAGCCGCCTACGAGGAGCGCTAAGATAGCTCTAGATAATCGTAGTAGTATACGATTATAGTACGATACGTACTACTATAACTAAGTACGTATCTTACGAGGACGTAAGACTAAAAGGGGGGGGTAATTATTACGAATAGTAAGGTAGTTAAGTACTAAAGGGAGTATATATACTAAGGCTACTAAGATATATACGTATATAGAGTATATAGTATACGTATACCCCTCGTATACTAGGTTAAACTCCTTAACTCTTTAAGTCTTATATAATATACCTATATTAGACACCACTATTGATACTTATTGCCTAGCTTAGCCTATTCTCACGAGCTGTCCATAACAACTTAAGATATTCGTAATTAAGAAATTATATTAAGAGGGTATTCGGTATACTCAAGTGTAAATTTCACCTTCTATAATAGCCTAAGGCGCTAGAGTTTACTCTCTAATATTAAGTAAATCTTATCCTAGCGTTAACGGCAGTATATAATATTAATATCGATCTAAGCGATACTACGCGGGATAACGATTTTACTAGTCTTACCTCTATTAACGTATTAATCGAGCCCTCGTCTATAAATCTAATCTTAATATACTCTAAAGACGGTAAAGAGATAAATACGAGATAAGATAAGATAGCGTAGGTAATATAGAACGACTACTTAATAGTTAAAAGAGCTAGAGAATAGATTACTATAGGGTTCTTACTATAAAAAGCTAGATCTATCTACTATAATACGATATCCTTACCTAATAGGCTCGATAACTTATACTATAACTATTCCTTACGAGTAGTAGGCTATTTATTAAGTCTAGACTAGATCTCGACGTTAGCGTTAACTATTAGTACTCGGATAGCGATAATATAAGTTTCGCCTTTAAGATAGTACTCCTCTAGTATTTATCTTAAACCTATAACTCTAGCGGAATCTTTTACTATATTTATAGCGGGTTTTAGCCGCTATACGCATTTAAGAATAGTCGCTACGCGATCTAGGATATCTAGTTACGTATAATTAAACGCCCTTCCGCCTCTTAATTCAGCTTACGTTAAAACGCTTATTACCGAGCGTTTATGGAGATTCGCGAGTATTATAGGATTAGCGTCTATAATAGGAGCTACGGGAGCCTAAAGATCTTAGTATAAGTATATATTCACGCTTTAACGGCTATTAGTAGGTTATATCTTACTATAGACTCGTTATTATCGTCCTCGTTACCTACGTCTTCCTCTTCTATATCTTACGGTATAGCCTAAGATACGTCTCTTACTAAATTTTGGCTAGGACTCGTATCCTTATCCTCTTCCTACGTTACGCCGTCGTTAGCGCCCTATAAGTATACGCCTCTGGCGTAAGTTCCTATAAAGATCTCTACTAATAGGTTACGAAAAGGCAGTAGGTTATACTATTAACGTGCGTTTTTAGGGTCGGTAGCGATAATATTACGCTATTTGTCACGAATGCCGATGCCAACTGCCGACAACTTGCATCCCTCGGCTATTCGGACAGAGCTGAGAGATATAAACTACATACGCCCGCATGAGAGAGCTTTCCTTCTCTTATGCTTCGAGTTGTGTACAACCATAGGGTTAAGGAGCACTTAATACCAATTGAAGACTTTATCGCTATACTCTGCCTATTCCCATTAGGCGTTCCTAACACTATTTCTCCTCGCTCGCTTGTATTCGATCGTACGCGTTAACGATAACGCCGGATTACTCTTAGATTTAAGTTTAGGATCGAAAATCGTTACGTAACTACGCTTACTCGAATCGATTAGTAAACGGCGTATAAAGATATCTAAAAAAAGAGCTGTTTTTATATACTAATTCCCGCTTACTCTTTATCTAAGAATTAGTTAGTATTAGAAGCTTATTCTTCTTAAACTTAGTCGTAATATCCTAATAAACGCGCTTCTTAAAGTTACCGTTAGCCGTCTAGTTAGTACCTTTATATACTATATTAACGTATCTAACTAAGAGCGTCTCGATAGCCGTATCTATCTAAGGATAACGCGGCGTCTTTATCGGTTTTAGAGACTATCTATTATCTTCGAGAGTATCCTATTAGGAAGTTATATCTATATATCTTAAAAACGTAGTTTAGAATGAAATTATAGAAATTTCGTTAAAAATAGGTATAAATCGAGGGGTATGAGTATCGAGTAGTTTAGATAACTACGTCTTAACTACGTCTCGAATACGTAGTTTTATCCTATCGGTTTCTACTGGCGGTTCGATATTAAAATCGTACTAAAAAGCCGTGGCGTACGCCGATAAACTTGGCGGTATCTACTCCTGAAAACGCGGTTGAGAAGTTGGCGATTTTACGCGTTTTCTTGCTAGTTGGCGGTTTGAAATGCTGACGGGGAACAGGCCCTAAATATACCTCGGACGTTGCCAACCATCGTCAGGGGCCTCAATCTGCAGCCTCACAGGAGTACGCTACAAGATGTCAAACGGCGATGTCAGATGGCCTGCTCGCTTGTGCCTCCAAGCCTTTCAGTAGCAGGATCTTGGGCTACTTGAGTTGTCAGCTTGACTTTCGAGATAACCTCAGCCTTGCCTGGCACTTCTCCTGCAAAAGATCGTATGGTCTGGTCTCTTCGTCAGATCCTTGTCTCCATGGAGTCTGAAGGAAAAGACTCTTTAGTCCTTCGATGTTTATGTGGCACCGGACTGGCTATCCAGTAGCATTTCACCACTTGCGGACTTCTGGCCCAAGAAAACCTGGGGGAGATCTCCAAGCGGCCTGCCCCTAGTCTATGGTTGGGGTCCGTGTAGACAGGTGCTGTCAGGCATCTACCTGGTTTTTCTTGACAATCGGCAGAGCGCGAGGCCACCGAAGCGGGCGAAGAGATATTGGCATTTTGCTTTGGGTACGTCCTCTCGACGCCACATGCCTGCCAGACTGGCAGATGCCAACGATTGGTCTTCATTGCGATGCGGGAATGCAAGTGAACATTCTCATTGACCACGCATATACGCGCTGCAAGGCTCTGATTATCAGAGTACCTCCAATAGCTGTTCATATCTTGTTGCAATCAACTAGAATATGTCAGTAGAAAGCGAACCATTCTCAGACGACTGCTGCGCCCTCTCCGGATGGTGTGCCGATACGGGTTGCCGATACAACATCAACCCAATATAGCCTGCCGGTCGAGGACTTTTTCTCACGGCTGATAAACATGCCGACCATACATCCCCTGGGATAGCTTACCCTGGCTTGGCAACACGGACAGAGTGTGTGTACGTTAGAAGGACGAGATTGTGTGCTTCAGGGGGGTTCGCTTACTCTCAACTCATGTCGATTTTCCGATTTCACTTTCATGTGCAAGAGTACACGGGTACGTGCGGAAGGACACAAATCGAGCCGAGGAGCTGAGGTTGCTGCCCTGCTACGAGTCACTTTCAGAACACGGCCCGAACGGATGAGTTCATGCATCTCGAATGCCATCGATGGGCTGCATCATTGAAACAATTGACCACTGTTCTCTGATTCGACACTCTGCGCCTGACTGTCGGCAACTGTTTCGGCCTTTTAGAGCAATCGATTGCAGACGTGTGGCAGTTACTCAGCAGCTTTTCCCTTCTCGCGTTTGTCCAGTAGTGCGATGTGCCTCATTGCTGTCCCAACAGGAAGTCGAGAGCATGACTTCGTGGGTCCTACACGAGATGCTGTGACGGAAAACCCGCACTTGGCCAATGGGGTAGTCACCAAGGTAGGTACTGGAGGCACTGCAGTGCTAAGGTAAGTGTCAGCGGAAATGTAATCGGTAGCTCAGCAGTGATCCTCGTGCTTCGCTGATGAGCCCCGTGGAGGCGATTGACGACTGAATCAGAGATCAACAGGGCCAGCACTAATCCGATAGCTACCTTTAGAACATCAGGTGGGTAAATGGCGGAGGCAGCCGGTCTGCCAGATACCAGCTGTCACTGTACATTGTAGATCCTTTGGGGCCGACGTGTACCTAGGTTGAAGCTGCTCATCCGCTAGCTTGTTGTGGTTGCTAGCGAGGTGAGCAAAAACATCTAAAAATGCTCCTACAGCAAAGGCAGAAGACCGCCAGATCCTTTGGTGGCAGTAAACAGATGAGGTTGGATCTTCTACCTCAAGTGCAACCCATGTGCTGTTTCGACATGAGCCGATCCTTGCAACTAGGTTGAGACCGTTGGGGAATCCATTCCGGGCGAGTGGGCTCCGTGGGTTCGGACCAGGATTTGCTGGTCTGGGCGACGTCCGGGGAGTGGTTCACCCATTTCGTGGTTCCTTGGCCCGTGCTGTCAACCATAAAAGAATAGCTGGTCGAGAAGCTTGATGTTGTATCATCCACTGCTAGTGCATCCCTTCACTGCACTGCATCCTTTATCTTGAGGTCGAGAGGATGCCTCGTTGGGGGGGTCAAAGAGATTGAACCAGCCGGTTGCCGGAGGCCCCGAGCGTGGTATGTGACCCTGTCAAGATATGCTGCGGACGAGGTCCTCAATGGAGTTTAAGTACCCATGGTAGTAGAAAGCACCGTCGAAGGGTGGCAGCTCGCTCCGTCGCATGGTCGATACGTACCTTGTATGTACCAAGGCCTAACCATTCATAATCGGTACCACAACTCGTAACCAACCTCTCCCCTGCCTGGCCACTTCGCTAGGCGCCATTAGCCCTGGACTGTCCCAATCTTAGGGAGCGGATATGCCGCTCGGGGGCCCATTTGGCGGCGCAGGCGTGATGGTAGGGGGTGGATGGAGGAGTCCTAAGTGGTGGTGGTGGTGATAGTGCGCAGGCACAAGCACTGGAAAGTATCCTCCCACATTTTCTGGGCATTTGCTGTGCGAGAAGTGGTTCTCGGGATGGATAGTATTGAAGGGAAGAACCCTGTGCGGGTTCGTGGAGGGAGCCCACATTGGCAGGCAGTCCAGAAGGACAGAACCTCTTTCTCCTTTGTTGTCCCTCGCCGTCCTTCCAGAACTACAACATACACTGGCACAATACAATCACCTGCTGCGTCGTATGCAGCGTGACCAAAACCGCTTAATTGTCTCTTGAACACAGTGTGTGGCCCCGAGAAAGCATCCGCAGCCTTCAAGAACGCTCCTCCACACTCAAGACCCGCCCCAGAAGTCAAAGCCTCGAACGATCGCTGGTCGAATCAAAAGAACTTCGATCTTCCTCTGCAACGCTTTCTTCTCCGCTGTCGTCGTCCATACTCTCCCTCTGAAGCAAGACTTGCAAGAGACATCTGCGGAGGAACCGGTGTCAAACTCACACCCGGATTCAAGAGCTCGAATTCGTAGACCTTGATTTGTGCGTTTGCCCCTCGCCGTCTCGAAGACTAGTTCCGAGGCGCAGGCAGGTCAGCGAAACCCGTGCAGTAGTAGCAGGGAATTCCTATCCACCAGACGAACAGAATCTCTTTGCAACATCTTCTCGCTCCTCACCGACCGTTCTCTCCCTCACCTCCAGAGCCTTTATCCCCTGCTCAACTCGGAGCTTTTCCGCCCGCATTTCTCCTCCCGCGAGACGATACCCCGAAGACCTCGTTGCCGATCCCAGAATCAGGCCTCGCAGCCAATCCGCTGCTATACACTCCCCCTCCAACCAACATCACGTTGCCAATACCCCAGAGCAAATAGTCCCTGCGCTGCTTGCGCGCTCCTCAGAGTCAACTGCCGCCAAAAGAGGCAAAAATAGAGAAGAGTCACAGAGTCACTTGTTGACTACACTGTGAAACCCTCCAACACCGCCACCGGATCACTGGTTCTTTCGAGTTCTAGGGCCTGGTCGCCTGCTCTAACCCACAAGACTTCGGTGGGTGAGTGTCGACCTCGCCTGCATCTACCCGTGAGGTTGAACGCATTGGGGTTTTTGCATATGTTAGGACGTTGTTTGTGATACTCCTGGAGGAACACAAAAGTTTCAGATCTTACAAGCATCCGACGTCTGACATCGAGGACTGGCACGCATCATGGCGGGGAAAATGACCCTATACAAACTAGTGGTGCTGGGAGATGGCGGTGTTGGCAAAACAGCCCTTACTATTCAGGTATGTCTTCGGAAGAGGCTTCGGATTCTGTTCGTGCTGACTTTGACCCAGTTATGTCTCAACCACTTTGTTGAGAGCTACGATCCTACCATCGAGGACTCTTATCGAAAACAAGTCATGATCGATGGACAGGCGTGCATGCTGGAGGTTCTGGACACCGCTGGGCAGGAAGAATACACAGCCCTTCGCGACCAGTGGATCCGGGATGGCGAAGGTTTCATCCTCGTTTACAGCATCACTTCCAGAAACTCCTTCACCAGAATCCAAAAGTTTCATGCGCAAGTACAACGTGTGAAAGAATCGGGACTTCCTAATTCACCCACTGGTGCGAATTACCTCCCCTCGCAAATGAACGGGGCACCCGTGTATACTGGCCCGGTACCAATCATGCTGGTCGGCAATAAAAGTGATAAGCATCATGAACGGGAGGTATCCTCCCAGGAGGGTCAGGCACTGGCACGAGACCTGGGTTGTGAATTTGTCGAAGCGTCTGCCAAAAACTGCATCAATGTGGAGAAGGCTTTCTATGATGTTGTTCGGCAGCTCAGGAGACAACGACAATCGCCGGTGAAACAGATCGACCGCAAAGGAAGCAACTACACTACATCTCCCACCTTGCGTACCAACTACGACTCAGATCATCAACGTGGTTATCGCGAGCACGGTAAAAAGCGAAGCAGCAAATGCGTGATCTTATGATTCTGAATCGCACAATGTTGCGCTCTGTCGGGGCGGTTATCGACCATGAGCTACGGAAGATTCGACCTGAAGTTCCCTCAAGATGCCATCTTTTCTTGACAGGGGGGATCGTCGCGTTGTTCGATATACGGTCTTTACCAGCCCGACACGTTGCCTCGATAATCAGCCAAGGCATCACGATTCCACGAGTTGACACGAGAACGCGACGAGGATGAAGATCCTAGTGATGAAAAACACTCAAAATGTTTGAGGCGATAGCAGCGACTCTCGCCGTTTCTGTCATTGAGATTCATGCCGATAGATACCCGACCTTGACTATGATCGGCGAAATTCCATCCGTTTGGACCTTCTGGACGTATGCGAGCGCGTCTACGATGGGTGTGAGTTGCATGGTTACCAGCACATGCTGTCACTCGAAACAAGCTTCGCAGCAATACTTTGAACCCCAGACTTGGACTTTGGACGAATACCACCCGAGGTAGAGGAGTAATCACATTCTCAGAATTGACCTGCCTGAACAGGAGCTTGGATTGAGTGCAGACAGGTGGCCACTGCCCGCTAGCTATCGGCTGATATGCGGGATATCAGGCATCCTGTCGCAGCATTCTGCTCATTCATCGGTCCTCTTGGAATGGACGTGACCCCAGTTAAATCACATGCGCTCGGCATTCGATGGCGGCAAGCGATGGTCTCGGCCTCTGCGAGACTAGCACACGTCAACTGGACGATGTGACGAAGGAAGAAATAATCAGTCGAAGCCAATACCGGACATCAGAGAAGATGGCAAGCATTTTCTGCTACTCTAGGCGATGACGAGACCCTACTGTAGTAGCCTTGGCCCCAAACGGCGTCCAGGGAGAGAAGAGAGGAGGAGAATGGAAAATAGTCAGCTGCAACGAAGACGCAAGACTACCTAGGTATCAATGACCCAGCCGATGAAGAGCCGCTGCTTCAAGCTCGGCAGCAAACATACATTACACTAGAGGTTCGCCATTGCTCTGGTTTGCCGAGGGTTTTGTACCTAGCCACCAAGGTACATATTATAGTATTTATTTGACTACTACCACTGCATACCCTAGTACTCTATCAATGATACCCTACGTTGAGAAGAACTAGGGGGAAGGTACTGGCATGAACTTAGCTACTTCCGATCGCGGTAAAGTTTGCTCCATTCGCGCCCTTAAGGAAAATGGCTGGCCTCACCTATCGACGGCGACAAACCTGCGCCTGATGTCGGAGGACTTCTGCTACTTTGTAGCTCCTTGCAACCTATCTTGGACCCAGTCAATGGCCAAAGGGTAATTTGTAGGTACCTCGACGCCTCGACCTCTACCTCGCTAAGCAGAGGCACTGTACCTATCTACCTAAACCGTCCCTGTATCAGAATTAGGACAACCTGCGGGAAGTGGTAGTACCTCGTCAGTACCTAGGCACCTAAGGTAAGTTAAAGGTAAGGTAGCGCATCTAAGACAACACACCTCCGGAGCTCCTCCACTACCTTAGGTACCTAAGTAGGCAGTGGACCGTGTTCAAACAACCGTATGCTACAGAGGCCGATGAGCTTTCGTGGCAGCACTTCAATTCAACCTATAGGTACCTAAAGAAACCTCATGTATGCCAGTGCCAGTGTATCTACAGAGGTAATGGATCCTACCACATCTAACTAGGAAGGTGCCTTGAATACATAAAGGTCTACTGTAGCTACCTCTACATAGGTACCGCTGACAAAACGCGATTTCTTCGGTATCACAACGTCCAGCTGACCTTGTGCATGAACTCGGACTTTTCTAATTGAAGCAAGGCAAATTACAGTGATGGGTTGAAGTAGTTCAGGGACCTCCCTCCACTGTTTAGCATGCTGCATGCCCTGTTAGTAGACATTACCTACTACAGTAGGTAGGTAGATAGTACTGCACATGACAAAGAAAGCAAAAGCATTGGCGGTAATTGTTCCGAGAAAGCCATCGCTTGATGGTTCATTCTGCTTCAGCCTTAGGGGCTCTCTGACGTGGAATGGTATGGTTTCCCAAGCTTGCTCAGATGCTTTCATCCACCAGATGAGGACATCGACGTTAAATCCAGGCTCGACGGTGAAGACAAAGGTATACGATGCATGCCTGCATGCCAGCATATACTGAATCTGAACCATTCTCTCCTTGCAAGATTATCGTAGTGAAAACCAAACGATGCGCTGGTGAGTTCGCCGGACGGCAGGGAGATCCACTACGATACTTATGAGGGAGGGTTCACTGTGGTTGCTCAGATTTGACATAAGTCTCTGGCTTGATTCTGGGGTTGTTGTTATTCGGAAGGTGATAGATAAACAAGGTTCACGATCCCGATCGAGCTGTGCCTCTGCCTCTTCCCTTCCTTGGCGAAGTCGCCATGTCTTGTTTCAAGTGAGCAATGACTCTTCTATTTGTTTCTTTCTCGGCCTCAAGAAGAGAGATGCGGGCCTGCAGTTCGGCAATCTTTTGTTCTTTGGCTTGAACCGCGAGGCGGGAAATATCGCGACCTTTGATGATACCCTGAGTTCATAGGTCATACCTATTGAGATGTTCGACCAGCTTTCTCTCAACATCGGGGCTGATGTGCGAATCCGCCAGCAAAGCAAGCACATCATTCGCGAGAGAAGACGGTTCTATCTCGGGTGGATTGGCGGTCTGTGAACGCCCTTGGGCAGGAGTATTTGTGGGTGAGAGCAGGCCAGTTGTGCCTGACCTATGCGTTGTGGATGGAGTGGCAAAGACGTCGTCGCTCAGCGGCCATCCAATGGTCTCGGATGCTTCTGCATTAGCGCCAGATACTTGATCAAACGCTCGTTTGCCCGGCGAAGTTTGGGACTCTGTTCGAGGTGCTTTTTTGGGAGTTTCGAATAGGGGCTGGCGTGGCTGGCGCGCCAGCACTTCTTGCTCGGCTTTGAGCAGCTCCTCGTCGTTGCTGGAGGACCAGTCGAAGCTTTCATCCGTTTTCAGATTCGGCGCACTGGTATCTTCAGGCGGAAGAGCCGCGTCATTCTTCTTCGGCCTGGACTCCGGTGTCGGGGGTATGGCATTGGAAGTTGCCTTTCGCGGAGTTTGAGGCTGAGCAATAGCAGGTGGTTCTGAGCGCGAATTGCTCAAGAGAGCGGCTTCTTCGCGGATTTTGGCATCGTCGCTCCATAGGAAGAAGTTGCAGCGTTTGTGCTGCGGCTTCTGACATGTGTAAACTGTACATAGTAGTGAGTTACTGGAAGACGGTCGATCGCGTCATGACGACCATTTAGGGTATGTTGACCTACACCATCTTCCGTGGTTTCTCCCTCCGTTCTTGACCTGGAATTTCTCGGCAGGTAGACGTGGTTCACAGTCGCAATGCCACACTCCGTCTATAAATGCACCTCTTTTGCTTGTGCGCCCATTTCGAGTATGATAGGTGGCGGCCATGCTATATCACAGAACGTTGTCGCATTGTAACGACTGTGGGTGTTACACCTGTAAGGAGGCACGCATTTGTGGTGAAATCGAGTTCGTCGACTTTCAGCTGGAAAGGTTGCAGGGTTATGGCGATCGCAACGGCTGCCTTGATGTCGGCCACACGGTCGCTGAAGCGTTGAGGCTGTTCAAGGCCTGTCAGTTTCGGTACAGCACTCAAGTAACTTTTGATCAAGGTTTGTTGACGTGATGACGCAGGCGGAGGACTGCGGAGTTGACCCAGAGACTGACTGACAGCATAATTATTGGGGCACTACCACTGGTTTTGTGCTCACAACACGCGACAGTGCACTCGTGGGCCAGGGTCAAGTGACGGTGCAGCCTGCAGCCTGGTCGCCGTGACAATGTCATTTGAACATCCATTTTAGCAATCCGAATCGGCATAATTTCCTAGTAGTACAATGTTTCTCTCGCGCCCAACACATTCAAGTTAACGGCGAACTGCGTGATCTTCAGGAACCTCCCGTGACAGGACCCTCTTCGCCCTGATATTACATGCCTTCAATACTCACGACTCATGCTGTCCTTGTGATTACATCGAATTACAAAATTGCCCGTGTCAACAACTTCACTACGGTTGCGCCTAGTCCCTCCGCATCCTCCGAGCCTTTGGACAATTCGTCCCCTATTCGGACCATTCCGATGATGGTGTCCGGTACATATTCTGTTGTCCTTGTATAACAACACCACGATTATGGCGCCGACAGGCGGTGCCGCGCTGAATGGCGGCGGTGGAGGAGGGAATATCAAAGTTGTTGTCCGAGTGCGACCTTTCAACAATCGTGAAATCGAACGCAATGCAAAATGCATTGTCCATATGCAAGGGGATCAAACCATTCTCCATCACCCGGGTGAAGGCGACGATCGCTCACGAAAAGGGGGCAAAGGGAGTGCGGAGCATCAAAGGACATTCAAGTTTGACAAGTCATATTGGTCTTTCAACAAAGCAGACCCAAACTATGCTGGGCAAGAGAACGTCTTCCATGATCTGGGGGTCCCGCTGCTGGATAATGCATTCCAAGGTTATAACAATTGCATTTTCGCATATGGCCAAACCGGCTCAGGAAAGTCGTATAGTATGATGGGTTATGGTGAAGAGGCGGGTGTGATTCCGAGGATATGTCGAGAAATGTTCGAGAGAATCAATGGCTTGCAGGCCGATCCGAATCTCACTTGCACTGTCGAGGTCTCCTACCTCGAAATCTACAATGAGCGCGTCCGCGATCTGTTGAATCCGGCCACCAAGGGGAATCTCCGAGTTCGAGAACATCCATCCACCGGCCCCTATGTGGAGGATTTGGCCAAGCTAGCCGTCCGTTCGTTCCAAGAGATTGAGAACCTGATGGACGAAGGAAACAAAGCGCGAACAGTTGCAGCAACAAACATGAACGAAACGTCCAGCCGCTCACATGCAGTCTTCACGTTGACACTGACTCAGAAACGACATGATGTGGAAACCTCCATGGATACTGAGAAAGTGGCGAAGATCAGTCTGGTCGACCTGGCAGGTTCCGAGCGTGCAACTTCAACAGGAGCCACAGGCGCTCGCCTTAAGGAGGGCGCCGAGATCAATCGATCACTTTCAACTCTCGGCCGTGTCATAGCGGCGTTGGCTGACCTGTCTTCCGGCAAGAAAGGGTTGAAAGTACCTTACCGAGACTCAGTACTTACCTGGTTGCTCAAAGATTCACTCGGTGGTAACAGCATGACAGCCATGATTGCCGCGATATCGCCAGCAGACATCAACTTCGAAGAGACGTTAAGCACTCTGCGGTACGCGGATTCGGCGAAGAGGATCAAGAACCACGCAGTGATCAACGAAGACCCGAACGCAAGAATGATTCGAGAGCTGAAAGAAGAGCTTGCGAAATTGAGAAGTCAGCTGGGAGGAGCTGCTTCTGCTGGTGGTGCAGAAGAAACGATTTATCCTCCAGACACTCCCCTCGATAAGCAGATGGTTTCCATTGTGCAAACTGACGGATCGGTCAAACGGGTCAGCAAAGCTGAAATCATGGAACAACTGAGTCAGAGCGAGAAACTTTACCAAGATCTCAACCAGACCTGGGAGGAGAAGTTGCAAAAGACAGAACAGATTCACAAGGAAAGGGAGGCCGCACTCGAAGAGCTGGGAATCAGCATCGAGAAAGGCAACGTGGGAATGAGCACTCCGAAGAAGATGCCGCATCTGGTCAACCTTAGCGACGACCCACTGCTTGCGGAATGTCTGGTATATAACCTCAAGCCAGGCATTACCACTGTCGGCAATGTCGACTCCCAGGAAGCCTCCGAAATCAGGCTTAATGGTTCGAAGATTTTGGATCATCACTGCAAACTGGAAAACGTCGACAATGTGGTTACCATCATTCCCAATGAGGGGGCCGCCGTCATGGTCAACGGCGTGCGTGTTGACAAACCCAGACGGCTGAAGAGTGGAAATCGTATCATCCTTGGAGATTTTCACATCTTCCGGTTCAACAACCCCTTAGAGGCCAAAGCTGAACGCGCCGAAAGGAGCCTACTCAGGCATTCCGTAACAGCAAGTCAACTGAGCCCTCCCTCGCCTCTCCGCCCGAGCCATGAAAGATCCTGGAGCGCTGCAGGATCCGAATTCGATGATTCTAGCAGAGCCCAATCTCCAGGACTGAGTAGTAACAGAGATTCCGACTGGTTTTTCGCTCGGCGAGAAGCCGCCGGGGCCCTGCTTGGGTCCGACCCGAAGATCATGCAGTTAACGGATGAGGAGCTGGACAGTCTCTTTGAGAACATACAACGAGCGCGCGATGAGCGCCGCGGACGTCCGGAGCATAAACTCTATGAGCACGATGACGACTCGGACGATTTGAGTTCCTTCCTGGTAAGGGACAAATATATGTCCAACGGCACAGTAGGCAACTTTTCACTCGACACTGCGCTCACATTGCCAGAGACTCCCTCCACGGCCGATGGTTCACAGGACGACGGGGATCCCACCTTGACTCCTGGGCAGTTTGATCAAGCCGGCCTGACGCAAGATTCGTCCAAGTCTGGGCCATCTGGCGCTGGTGTGCTTCCGTCTAAGCAGGTTGAACAAGAAGACCACGCCATCCAGATACAGCAGGAGTTGGAACGGACTAAACAGGAATTCCAGGAACAACTCCAGAAACAAAAGGAGGCTTACGAAGCCCAAATCAAGAAAATGGATATGGAGGCTAGAACGCGCCAAACAGCCCAGCCTCGAGAAGGACTCCCACCCCTCGATGCGTCCGAGGTTGCTGTGGCACGAAATGTCATGGAAAAGTGGCAGCAGAAGAACTATATCTTGCTTGCGGAACATGTTCTCCAAAACGCCGGTCTCCTCAAGGAAGCACAAGTCATGAGCAGGCTTCTGGACCAGAACATCAATTTTCAGTTCGTGATTTTAGATGTCGGACAGGAACGCGCCTCTTCCTACGATCTCATCCTTTCTGATATCTCAAGTGATGATGACGACGCCCTGGCTAACGCGCGGAGGCCGTGCCTCGCGGCCAGAATCATTGATCACCAGCATAGCTGCGTCCACTACTGGTCCCTGGAGAAGCTGCGAACTCGAGTGGCCAAAATGCGGCAAATGCACCAGTACAAGGATCAGCCAGAGTACCTCCAACACTTTCGCATAGACAATCCCTTCCGCGATTCTGATCAGCCATTGTTTTCCTTGGTCGGGGATGGAAATATTCCTCTCACAGCGGTCTTCGAAACTCGGGTGCAAGATTTTGTCGTGGATATCAGTTCGCCATCGACTCGGCAGATTGTGGGAAGGGTCAGGATGTCTTTGGAACCTTCACTGGCGGAGTCGCCCCCATCCACGATCAAGTTTAATATCATCATGAGGGATCTCGTCGGGTTTCCGGAGCACGAAGGCACTCAAGTGCACGCACAAATGATGGTTTTGGGGACCTCCGATGAGAGTACGGCGACTACACAACCCGTTCAAGGTTTCGGCGATGGACCGGTCCGGTTTGAAAGCATCCACAACCTGAGTGTGCCTCAATCTGGGGAGAGATCAGCAACGTTGAGGATCGCCATCTTTGCTCAAGTCAGTTCAACGCATCTGGATAAACTGATAAGTTGGGATGAGCTGCGGGAGATGAATGAGCAGTCTTCCGTACAGGAAGAAGGACATCGCTTGCCCGAGTCCGAATACAACGTGGAAGAGCATCACGATGTTTTTGCAAAAGTTCAAATCCTCGAGCTGGCGGAAAACGGGCAATATCTGCCAGTGGAAGTGGTGCAAACCAGTGCCAACGACTCGGGGGCATTCCAGTTGCACCAGGGCCTGCAGCGGCGGATTCAGGTTACGATGACTCACAGTCTAACAGAGGGCCTTCCATGGGATGACATCAAAGGCTTTCGTGTAGGAGAAGTCCATCTGATAGATTCTTCCGGGAGAATTGCTGATGTCGGATCTATCACGCCTGATATTCCCCTGAAACAGATCCAGGAGCCCATGATCAAAGACAATGCGGACGGCACATCAAATATAACCATCATCGGACAATGGGACAGCTCGCTTCACAAGTCTTTGTTGCTGGATCGGACCACCCACGAGCAATGCCGGGTGCAGATTGCGCTTCGATGGGATGTGGTTTCCAGCCGCCTCGAACAGCCCATGACATTCTCAATCGACCAGCAGCTGCAGATCCTGCCCAGATCCTACTCGCGTCCACAGCCAATGTTCAAGTCGCTCTGGCATCACACTAGGACTACGCATTCCACTGATGGCCTCTTTGCGATCGTGGTGCGACCAGTCAGCGCCAGAAGAGCGGCGGATCTCTGGCGGCTTGACACTTCGAAGAACTATATCAACGGCGAGGAGCTATTAGGCAATTGGAAGCCTCGTGGCATCTCGCTGGTAAAAGACTACTTGGTTGCGCGTCGAAAGGCGCGACAGCTCCAAGACATCGAAGCGGCAAAGGCGTCGCTCGGACTGCGGAGAATGAGCGTGGGAAAGAGCCGTTCTCGAACCACATCGCCTTCGACTATTGGCCCGAGAGAAGAACAGCTCCTGCAAAAGTTCCTGGCTATCTGGAGGAAACCGAGCGTGGACCTTTCCAGCAGTATTTTCGAAGACAGCCCACGCGGCAATGAGGCCAACGTAGGGCTCTCAGAGCGCGCCATATCACCTGGAGCCGCCGCGGCAGACGCGGCGCCCGCTCGCAAGACTCGATACGTGGCGACCGTTGCCTACAGGGAGAAGAACCCAGTGTCGGCGAAGTCCGGGTATCTGCTCATGCCGTCCGAGACCCACGATGCGGCGCATAGCCATACGATGCAATGGAAACGGCGGTTCGTGGATCTCCGGCCTCCCTACCTGTACATCCATTCAGTGCCTGACGGGGAGAGTATCAACGCGATTAACCTGACTCGCGCCCGCATCGACCATGATCCGGACTTCAAACGCCTGCTCGGGAGCGGAAGCTCGATTTCCAGTGGAGATCACGAGAGTGCTGGACGTGGCCATAGGAGGACCGGCAGTGCGGAGCTGCATGGACTCATGCATGTTTTCGCGGTGTACGGGGAACAAAACACGTTTCTGTTTGCGGCGAGGAGTGAAAGCCAGAAAGACGAGTGGATCCTGAAAATCGACCAGAGTTACGTTGACACGGAGGCTGCGGACGAGGCTCAGGAGTGAAGTTATGGTACGGTAGGGTGCACATGGCAGAAGCGATACAGGAAGCGATACGGATACATATTTGTTTCGGAGGGGGTTGATTTAGCCCTCGGATTTCATCATGGTCAGCGTTGATTTTAAGATACCCCGAAGTGCTTTGCTGATATTACGAGTTCATGAGATGGTTCGTTGCGTGCAAGATTGCAGTCATATTGGCTGATGCTACAGGGGAAGGTGCATATACGTTGTAGACGGAGGTCACGCTGCTGCAGTACATAATGGTATATGTGCATAGAAGAGCAGTGATAAGATAGACCTCATTACGAGGTGGTGCAGTCGTTTGGTTTTCCTCACGCGAATCTGTGCGTCTCGTTTCCACCGACCTGAAGTCCTGTGCATTGAGGTGCAAAGCTACTACTACCGCATGAATATTGTACAATTGTCGACAACTTGAAGTCTGGATCTGGCCATGGCGCGTTTTCGGTCTGTTTCTAGCTCACGGAAAAGGAAGTTGCGAGCCTGAGGTGTCGCGCCTTCCAAGAAAGCAATGGGGTCATGGCATTGGCAGCGGCCCGCTCGGATTATGTCATACCACAGCGTTCAGGTTGGTGTCAGCAATTGGGCGGCTGTGAGAGGCCGGATGCCATCTCCGGACCCAGGCACAAACACGACGACGACATCATCCAGCAGATCCAGGATCGTCGAGTCCACTCACTTCCAAGATTACCACTGGCAAGGGGAAACCCCGTATATTGTACTGCTGATACCATTACAGGTATGGCACTGGATGCCGGTAGCAGCATTTGGCAGTATGGTACGGTACGCACCCGCACCCACAGTGGTGTCACAGTCACATGTTGTCATGCTTTTCGTATCCCTTCAACAAGTGGCTTCTTCCCGCGTCTCGCGCTCTCTGCCATCACCGCACAGCATCTCGCCCACTTTTGGCTGTTGCTCTTCCGTCTCCTGGGCCCTTGATCCCTGGTTGTCCAGTTGGCAGACTTTGAGTTGCTGCTGCCAAGTGCCAACAGCCAGATGCAAGGGAGCGGCCGGGCAGCTGTGCGTGGTGCGCTGGAATCTTGCACCGCCATTTGTGCCAGAGCTCGCCTCAAAGTGCCCGTTGGATCGGATGGGCAAAGCATGAAATTCACTATTGAGCAAATCGACATTCCGTGACAGCGTGACGGACCACCAGGACCCATCAGGCTGAGGGTCATGGCCCCGAACGAACGATTCGTTCATGATGGTTATCATCAACCACGGACCCCGTGTTCCCATCACTGCCTTGACATCACTGTCCGCTCTCCTGGGGAACCAACTTCGTTCTCGTGGCTTGTGCCACCTTCTACATAGTATACAAAAAGGTTTGCGGTCATTTATTGTAATCCCTCCCGTTCCCTCATCATTTCATCGACACCCGTCACACATACAACTGCATCAGCCCTTGATCCTCAACCCTCATCCCGACTCCTCGATCGTCTTCTGACACCTCCCTTCCACATCTCGAGACACCTTTGCCCGTCGAAAACAAAATGCGTAACTCAGAATCTACCCTTCGTGACCGCATTCGGAGTCGCCCCTTTGCCGGTGAAGAAGCAGACCGTGAGCGCAATTCCAAATGGCGTACCGCCCGTCAACATGGGGTTGCCATGTGCGGCGAGTTTGTCGGCACCACGATGTTTCTGTGGTTCTCTTTTGCCGGTGCTCAGACAGCCGCGGCGACAGGCGGCGTCGCTGACACCTCGAGTCAAGTCATGCTCACCTCGTTGAGTTTCGGGTTTGCTCTCCTGGTCACCGTATGGGCGTTTTACAGAATCTCGGGTGGCCTGTTCAATCCAGCGGTAGGTGACCGATGGAATTCCTCGGATGGAGGTGAAACACGGAATACTAACTACTATTCCTTGCTCAACAGGTTACCCTCGCCATGGTGATTACCGGCAACCTTCCGTGGCTGCGTGGTCTGCTGCTCCTCCCGGCCCAACTACTCGGTGGCATTGTCGCCGCCGCGTTGGTGCAATGCATGTTCCCTGGCCCTCTGGTCATTGGCACAAAACTGAGTGGAGGCACAACACCTGCGCAGGGCGTCTTCATCGAGATGTTTTTGACCGCCCTGCTGGTGTTTACCATCCTCATGCTTGCGGCCGAGAAGCATTACGCCACGTTCATGGCCCCTGTGGGAATCGGTTTGGCCCTGTTCGTTGCCATGTTAGCAGGTGAGTGACACCACAGTAAAACAAAACCCTCCCCAGAATCTAGCCGCTAATTGCTCACTAGGTGTTCGATGGACCGGTGCATCCCTCAACCCAGCACGCAGTTTCGGCCCTGCTGTCGCGACACCCTATTTCCCCGGACACCACTACATTTACTGGTTCGGTCCTATCATGGGAGCCCTGGTTGCCGCCGGCTACTACAAGTTTGTCAAATATTTCAACTACGAGGAAGCCAACCCGGGCCAGGACGCAACCGACCCGCATGAAGAAAAACAGCAACAGCAGGTGGCTCAGGCTCAGTAGGGGTTTCCCGCTTCCAACAATGTTGTCCAGTAATGATATTTTCACCCTTGCTCATCTTACACACTTCGCGACCTGTGGTGTCTTTTTCATGAAGCAGCGATTAGCCTCTGCCTAATTCATTGCGAGAGAAGGTACATTACGACCTACTGTACCAGTTCACATGAGAATGGTCACACGGTCCACTGCCAGAGGTCCACTCTCGAAAACAGGTTTATCGGACCAGTCTCAGAATGGCCCTTACTTCTCCTTGGGAACACGTGTAATCTGTGCCTTTGCCTATGGGGACGATGGATTTCTTTGCATTTGGAGCATACAGTATCGTACTGCGAGATGGGGCGTTGGGCAGCATGGTATGGCGTGAGGTAGAATGGCTTGCTTGAATAGGGACAGGAATAGAACAAAAAAGACGATCCCAACAGTCCTGAGCAATTCAATGCGCAATGCAGCAATGTACAGTATATGACAGACATCCATTGGTGACCCAAGGCAGTCGGCCGGACGGCCAGCCATCAGGCCAAAGGAGGAGAAAGGTCAGCAGCTGCCAGTGTAATAAATATCCGTCCGCTGCAATGTTGCCAGTGCTGACCACCTAGGTTGTACTCACAATCTAAATAACGGCGACGGCGACTTGATCTGATCCGATTTGACTTGATCTATCTAGCATAACCAAAAGCCAATCTGCCCTGTCCAGCGTCGGACCATATATTATATATAGGCTTATGGTGGAACAAGTGCTTGTATAATAAACTGCATGCATGCTGAACCACTGCATCATCAGACGGTCATGTGGAAAATATATTTAATTCAACACGTCGCTGCAGGACTTCCTTGACGTAAGTACTATATATACTACTCATTACTCACCTACTACGCTATTCACCAACATCTACACTTGCAGTTACATTATTGACATTTACATTTACATTTACAGGTACCAGGTATCTTTCTCTTTCATATTTTACGTTTCTTTATACTACAGTACCGTGCAGTAGTATACCCAGATCCGGAACCGCAGTTTCATCCGCAGTTTCATTCTCATGCGCGCTCAAAATCGTCATGCAATTTTGGTCTCGGTGCTCTGGTACCGATTGTTTGCACACAGTGTCTTTTGCAAGTTACCTTAACTTAACCACTCACTGCTTTGGGCCAAAAGTCCATTTCTTTCCATGGTCATGATCATACAATGCTAATACAGTATGCAGCACCCACTGTTTGATTCAAGCTGTGCTATCACGCTAATGAGTGAGTGACTTCTCCGCTGGCCTATTCTGGCCGATGCTCCTTGTCTGCTTAGTGTGCTATGCCATGCAATACTTGCTTCTCCTTCCAATGAAGATCAATGTCATGCCCAAAAGCCCCTGGCATATCCATCGCAGCCCTTCCTTTCTCTTTGGCCTCGGGGCCGCCTCTGGTCAATCATCTCGATCATGTTGAACAAAAAGAGCGTCGCAGTTGCGGGTCGACATGATAACTGATGTTGGTGTTGGCGACAAAAAACTAATTGCTCAAATGCTCAAACAAACCATGCCCAGAACGCGAACGTTTGACTACCTTTTTCTTTTCCGCCATAGCACACTCCCACACGGTAAACCATGCCCCGGTGCATCAATACTTGCAGGCCGTTCCCGTCGTAATAGTTCGCAGATTTCAAAAGGACAAACCAAGTGCTCGTTCGACCCGCTTGATGCACTTCCCGCACCAGTATGGGGATATCCAAGACCTCTTTCTTTCAAGTCTTCCTATCCAGGCGTCAAAACCACAATGCCTAGATGGTTCACACATCAATCATTTCGGCGTCTTCGGCCAGAATTTCGTCTGCAGGTCCCCAATTGCCCTCAAACACTGTGGCACCGGCCCGCCGTCTTGCCTCCGCCCACCGGACCCCTTCTGTGTTGAGCAAATCGCTTGCCACTGGACGATCATTGGGATCTGGAGATATCATCCACCGCACTATCCGGTCCAATGCCGATTCGTGCGATGGGTCCACCATGAACTGTGGTGGACTGATCAACTCCCCGCTTCGGGGATGGTCCAGAGTTTTGCCATCATGCTGAGTGGCAGTATCGTCGGTCTGCTCGCTCTCAATGACCTCAACATCCTGAGGATAGGACACCTGGTCTTTGGCGTCCAGAGAAGCGTTTGGAGATATCGGGTTTCCCGAGGAGTCTCGGAGGATGCCACTGGTCCCGGAACTCCATGTCAAGCTCGGAACATCGCTCATGTCGCCGTTCCGTAACTTCTGCCATGACACACCGTTGTCAGGGAGCTCGACATTGCCGGCTGTTTCCAGCATGATGAGCCCGAGAGCAAAGATATCCGCTGGCTTGTCGTATCGACCCATCAATACTTCTGGTCCAATGTATTCACGGTCGCCTTCTCCCTCGATTCCTGCGCTTGCCGGCCATCGAGTCGCCATTCCAAAATCCGCAATCTTGAGGACACCCTCGAATGTGATGAGTACATTTGCCGGTTTAAGGTCGAGGTGGATATATCCGCAGTCATGGATATGCTTCAAGCCCTAAAGACAAGTTAGCGATTGTATTTAGTTAAATTGGGAGGGCACATACCATTGAGAGCTCGAGCAGGATTTTCCAGATGCGGAAATCGTCCAGTCGTGCCTTCAGGCCCACCTGAGCGAGGAACACGTCCAAAGTACCTTCTTCGCAGAACTCGGTCTGGATGTACAGATGACCCTGCTCTTCCCAACTGTCCACGAATGTCACAACGTGGTCCGAGTGACCCAAGGCTTTGAGGACATCCACCTCGTGTATCTTCCTCTGACGATCCCTCGCTCCAGTGTAGGGATACCGCGACCTTTTGACTGCCCAGACCTTTTCGGGTACCGACCCTCTGGACGAGGGACGGCTTGTCGACATCGAGTAGATTTTGTGGTAAGGCGACACTTCGGGTGGTTGTGATACTCGGTACACCTGCGAAAATTCTCCAGAGCCAATAAGATCGACCTTCTCAAACCTGGATGTCAGGCTGTTATCAACATTCGACGCCTCAGCTGAAGCCAGATTCAAGCTAGGCCTGTTGGAGAAATTGGTAAAGTATTCCCTCGGGCCTGTTGGCGTGGCGGGCACAATTGATGCCGCCGCTTCATGTCCATGTCGAGTCACCGGCCGCTCAACACGTCCGGAAATAGACAAGCCACTTGGATCCGGTGGGAAGAAGTTTTCGAGGGGTGTATGGGGAGACGCTCGGTCGAACCTGTCTAATCTTGGGCTAACTGGAGAGGCAGACGACATCTTAGCACGTTCCAAAGCGGGTGAATGTAAAGTCTGAATAGAGAGCGACTTCCTCGATAGTGGCGGAGGAAACCCGAGGTCCTTAGAAAGACGGCCCTGAGTGAACGAGGAACCTGGCTTGGGGATAGCCTTCCGCGTCGACTTTGATCTCAAACTGGCGGATGGAGAATCTTCCATCACGCTGTCACTGTCGCCATCGACGCATCCTGGAGATGCTGAAATAGGAGATAACTTACTGCTTCCTTTTCCAGTGCCGTACGCTGAACGCGCAGCCACTGGGTTGATGGATAGTCCGGAGTTGTGTGGCGATGGCGAAACAGAGCCACGGCCTGCCGGCTCCGTGGTATGCTTGGTTGGTGTAGGGGGGTAATCGGTGGACTCGGTCGATTGACTATTGGCGCGGCTCAAGGGAGAGCGCGAGACGGTCTTCTCGTCGCCTCCGATGGATGCGAAGCTTCCTTCCCTAAGCAAGTTGTGTTTGCTTGAACGAGCGCCGAATATCCCCACACTTTTTGCAAATGGGAAGGCCGAGATCTTCGAAAACCCATGAGGCGCATCCATTGGAGTGTTGGATGCTCCAAACGATTGTCGAGGCGCACGATCGGCTACAGCATTGGGCGCGGCGAACTTTTCGTTCGGCTGGAAGATCACCGGTTGCTTCTTGCAAGGAGTATCGGGCATATGAGCTTTCGGCAGGCCGGCATTAGGATCGTCGACATTACGGTTTTTCTTTGAGATTAAACCTGTGGACATGAAAGCAGCAGGCAGAGGCTTCGCCGCTTTGTAGTTTCCTGGAGTCGCAAACGAGCCCTGAGAGGAGAATTCATTCTGCTCAGAAAAAGATTCCGGTCTTGATGCGCCAATAGGCAAAGATTTGGAGAAGTCGTGGGAAAGGGGACGATTGTGTCGATGTATGGGTTCATGGGTGGGCGAGTCATCTTGCTCGCTCGGCTGTGATGATGACTGAGTCAAGGTGCGCGACAACGGATGTCGAGGCGGCTGCTGTGAGATGCTGTTTTGGCTCGAAGTAATTGGATGGATCGAGGCATTGAGCAGGCTACCCTGGCTCGAGAAAGGGCTGTCTCGTGGCAGTGGCTGGAGATGGTTGTCAAGCGAGAGACGCAACCCCTTCTTGGAATTTGTGGTCGGTGTTGCTTCCGGCCACGACTTGTCCCAGTCCATGATGCTGTTGAGTTTCATGTTGCTGGGACGATCCAGCTGTCGCTGCTGCAGCGTAGATTTACGCAAAGATGATGATCGTTTGGGGATCGTAGAAAAACGCGATGAGGGCAAAGGTGTGACGTTACCAAACCAATCATTGTCGTCTTGCGAGCGTTTGTCGTTGAACATTCCGCCATCCGGGCCATCGGATTCGAATATGCTAAAGTCGAGACCGGCACCGTGAACACTCCGCCTCTTTGCTGAAGGACTCTCGAGCCCCGGAGTATCGTCCATTCGAGGACCATCAGATCGTTTCATCGGACTGAGAGGAGCAACATCTGCGATCAACGCTCCACCACTGCGTCTCTTCTCCTGACGAGTTTGGGTGACCTTTCTGGTGAGCGTATCATTTTGAGACCAATCATTTTCCTTGGCCTCTCCGCTCGTCAAGGCATTAAGGGCCGCCTCGCGCTCACCTTCTCCCGAGCTCCTCTTCCGCAGCGGCATGGGTGATGCGTTCCCACTATCGCTCGAGTCAGCGAGGACTCGCTTTGAGGGGCTTTTTGGCGAGGTTCGGATGCGGGTGATCCCGTTGGGTTGGGCAGTGCGTCGTAGAATGGGCCGTTGGAATCGAGTTCCCTGAGATGCCCGGTTTGAATGCGGCGACACCATATTGGCGATTTGAAGGAGGTTTTCAGAGGTTGACTTTCGTGATGGAGAGAGCGGCGAAGGGGAGAAAGGAAGAGTACCGGAGCCTGGTGATCGGAACGGGTATTGGCGAAGTTCTGAGCCCTTCGAAGGCGAGCGTGATAATGAGCGCCGTATTTCACGGATGGCGGAGTGAGGATCGAAATGTGAAATGCTCTTGGGTGAGTGTAGATGGGCAGCTTCTCGCTCCTCATGGTGAGGAGAGTATGTTGCCATCATGGCTGGGGTCTGCGACCAGTTTGGTTCAAATCAACACCCTACTCAGCCCTTCCCCCGGCAATCGGCCATGTATTTGGTTCCCAGTGAGACACGGTCTCCTTCTAGAAAATGTGCGAAACCACCAAGTTCGCTGAGTAGATCAATTCCCAGTACGGTACCAATATGTTCACCAAGCACGTTGCAACATATACGCGCGACTCGAGGGCAAGAGCGACGGGGAGGAGAGCTGCTGCGGAAGGTAGCGGAAGCTGAATATCGTTTGCGGTGGTCAGTGGGATAAAAGGTCCAGCAATGTCGCTCTCTGATGAGGGGGTCTCAGATGCCGTTGTGTTCGCAATCCTCTGTGATAGTGGTGGTCCAAGATGGTAAGACCGGCTGGTGGGAATTGAAAGAGGCGCCGTGCGGCTTGCTGTCAGGGCAATATGAAGCGGAGGTCTGCTGTCAGTTCGTTGAAGGATGGTGGTGAGAGGAAACAGACGGAGGGTGTGCTGGGTGTATGTGTATGTGAGTCTTCGTGTTGTTGAGGCCGCGCAGCGATCGACAGGTTAGGTAGCAGGTCGTCAGTCGGGTGAGTGTATCGCGTGCCGTGTGGCGGGAGGATGACGGAGTTCGATGTGTTGGTCGGGCGACAGTGGCAAGGTAGAGAGTAGCGAGGGTGATGAGGCTGCGTTGCGATGCACAGAGATGGTCGGCAGATAGGGAGGCAGCAAAGCAAACGAATAGAATGAAAGGATGCAACCAAAGGTCTGCCTGTCTGGATCGCGAGTCTCGAGAGTACGTGCAAGGCGACAGATGGAGAGGCCACGACACGCTGTCCGAGTCGAGGATATTCGCATGCAGTGCACGAGTCGCTGCTGCCGGCCAGTGAAGTTGTGGTGTCCACAACTTGGACGCGTCGTGAGGTCCCTGGAAGCGTGACGCCAAGATGAAGATGTAAACAAGTAACGCCCTAACAGCGTCCTAGCAACAGACTACAAAACACTAACCGCGCTCCAGGACCCTTTAGAGAGCCACTAACGCTCTACCGTCCACTAGCGTCTTTTCGCGGTGGGATTTCTGCCTGCCCAGCTGAGGTGCACTGCGACTGTGACTGGCAGTTGGTCCGCGAAATGCGATGACGCCGGGCTCCGAGCTACTCGGGCCACATCAGGAGCCGCTTGGAAAGTCCCGTTTCCCCGCTGCAAATCACCAGAAATTCGACCCTTGAGCGCGCATTTTTGCAGTTCGCAGTTCCGGCCAACAATGATTGTACAACGTTGTACTACTATCAGGCCCCTCTCAGTGCTCATCGTAGCAGGGTATAATTCCGGAAAAGGGGGCAAAATGGATCCAATCAATTCTACTGTAACAGTTGATGATTGCTGAATCCCGAAATACGGTAACTCGGCTCCTTCTGGCCTGTATCAATATGTCCCTTGCATATTATGTTAATTAAGCGGTGGCCTTAGCCGAGATTGTCGCCAACTACTAGCCAATTTCTCGGCTCCAGCGTGACAAAGATGCGCTTGTTCCAGCGAACTACTGACCAGCTGTGCACGGGAACGCCTCTAATGATCATATAATAGCCGTTCCTGCGTCCTCGGCGTCCTTATTGTGCAGGACACTGGCAGACAATGCTCGACGTACTAGAAGGCGTCAGGAGGCGCCACTGCATGCCATATCAGCAGCAACCTCCGTACCCGCAGCTGGACCAGCCTTGCATTGAGCACCCAAATACCATGTTACCCTGCCAGTGACGGTCTCAGCTGCTTGGGAAGCCAAGTACCACACTGGGGGAGTCAATGCGACAACCCAGGAAGGCTTGCATAGCCGAGAGGCGGAACTCCTGCCACTCCGGACACGAGCAGCACATCATTGCCGCGTGGCGGAATGTGGCTGTAGCACCGTCCTGCCGGGACGGACATTTGACAGTAGCATGTTTCCGGACCAAACTACTCGCTCGCCGATGTCGTTCTCCGTAGATAGGCGTCCCATCCTGCCTTCTGATATTCTTTGACTGCGGACACTGGGTCTGCTGCAGCATAGATACCTCGCCCTGCGATCAGAAAATCAGAGCCACCCGCCATTGCTGTTGTAGGAGTTTGGTATTGTTGACCAAGAGCATCGCCTTTGCTCGACAGATTAACTCCAGTTGTGAAGACCACAAAATCTTCATTGGGAGCAGCATCAGGCGAATGGCTGGATAGTTCCTTGGTTGCGACGAAACCTAGGACACTCCGAGGATACTTTCTTGCAATCTCAACCGACGCCCGGGTATACTCTCCTACCGCTAGGGATCCTTTTGAGGTCATTTCCGCCAGGATCAGAATACCCCGTTCTGGCTCATCACCTTCATGGATCGTCTGGTCCAGAGCTTGAATGATTCCCTCGCCAGCCAGAATGCTGGCGTTAATAATATGAGCCCACTCGTAGATCCGCAATGCCCCCCCTCTGTATTGCTTCTGGACGGTGTTGCCGATATCAATGAATTTGCGATCTTCAAAGAGAAGGAAGTTGTGACGATGGGCAAGTTGAGTTAACCCCTCAATGGTCGCCGGCCCAAAATCCGAGATGATATCGATATGCGTCTTTAGGACAGCAATATACGGTCCAAGGCCTAGGGTGAAGGCCAGAGAAGTCAGATTCGTGCCATATAGCTATCAGTGGTGACCGACCCTTCGCAACGGTCTATCTGCTACGTGCGCGGAAAAGGATAAGACTGGCATAATCCACTTACGGTCAGCGATCTCGAGCAACTCTTTCGTGGTCGTCAAGTCTGCAGATAGAACGACGTTGGTCTTTTTGGTTTCGGCGATGCCAAACAGCTTCTTCATCAATGGGCTGGAATGTTCTTCCGCTCTCTGGGAGTATGATTGTCTGCTTTTAGAAGCCATTATGAACGCGTAACTTCTTGTGCACTACAATCTCTTTCTCTTTTGATTTGCCTTTGCTCGTTTTGGCTCGCCTAGAGGTCGTTATGATGAAAAAGACTCGGCCTTGGAGAAATTATCTTGCACCCGTGCACTATTGTGAAATCTGAGCCAGGACGAGGCTTACGAGGCGCGGAGTCAGCATCCGTGACTGGCCAGTAATAGTGGACTTTTTGGCCGGTGGCTTGACAGAAGCCAGTGAGACTTGTGGTTGGACTGCTGGATGCCGGAAGGAATCAGAATGCCGATGATGGTGGTGGAGGTGCGGCACAGGCAGTCAGGATGCAATGGGAATGGCCAGCAGATTGATGCCACGTTGGCCGTCGAAAGGGGGGGAGTGGCTAGTTAATGCGTTAGGCACTAAATAGTACGGAGTGCAGGGGCTCTCCAGGCCTGATTGGGGACTGAGAGGCATTCCAAAGGCGGTCACTACCAAGCGGCAAGGGGTTGAGTGCGCCGGAGCGCGATACCTAAACTCGCTCGGATACAGTAGCAAGGGAGCAAGCCACATACTATAATGTGCCTAGCACGGTACGGTATAGAGGCGAAAACAGCCCAGATGACGCTCTGCAGGGCCGTTTCCCCGTAAAATGGCCATTTTGCCCTTTGTCCATAGCATCAGGCAACTACTAGTAGTAGCCGGTCTGTCAGGGGTTTCCCAAGCCCTCCATCGTTTCTCCTGCGCCAATCCGTTCCTCAACCATCATCATCAACTTGAACCACAACCAACGCCACAACCTCCACGACTTCCATATTCTACCCATTGTTCACAATATCACCGCCGCTTATTTCCCTTATAGACCTGGTTTACTCGGCCTGTATCCTCCATTGTCTTGCATACTACCTTGTTTCGAACCCAAGACTGATGTCCCACTCGATCTCCACCTTCCATGGCTCGCCCCCGATCCCCATGTTCCGATCTGTATAGCAAGCAACCAGTTCACCCGTCTCTCCACGCCCTTAACACTATACGCCACAACGACCTCACTGCTCGATCAGATATCCTCGCCGTACGCCTCTCCCCGCGGAAATACCTCTGACCCTCTCGTTATCTGCCCTCTCGCTTTTTCGCGATGATCCTTGCAAGTGAATTGGTCGATTAGCGTCATTCGGACCACTCGGCTTGGAGGAGTTCAAGAAGACTACAGCGCATTCTGAAGACATGTCGGAACAACTACCAAATAATAATATTTCCGGGGGAGGAGCAAACAGTTCCAATACTTCATCTGCGTCTCACAAAGCCTCTCCCACCCGCAATTCTCGCAGCGTCTCCGCCATTCCCCAACTCGCCTGGTCCCGCAAGAACAGTCAGGAATTCAGCCCGACTCGGAATACCAGTGCTGCTGGATTGCAAAGCACTGTTCCCTCAGCCGCCGCAGTTCAAAGGGCCCTATCGGCACAGAGAAGCGTATTACAACCGACCAGCGTCGATTGCATGCCCGAAAGCGCTCGGTCCTCCGACAATAGACAGCTCCGATCCGGCCAGAACTCGCCTTCCTGGCCTACCTCACCCCGATTGAAATCCCCTCCACCCGCAAAACCGGGAGCAAGGCAACAAGGTGCGAAAAGAAATGACCTTGAGCATAAGCAGTCAAATACATCAATGAAAAGGCTGGCCGCCGTCTCCGGCCCCGAGCAGACCGCCGCCATGCACGTCGCCGACGGTCAAGATTTGACACCCTCACAGTCTACGGTACGAGCATCTGGCCGCGGACCCAGTGCAAGTGGAGGCGCCCTGGAGACTGTTGCTGAGAGCAGTGTTCCGTCCACTCCCTCGATTGGGCCGGTGGCCACATCCGCGTCCGACCGCAATATCGAAGTGCAGAAACTCGATCAACCAGCCGATGGACGGCCTGGGACTCACCCCAACAAGGATGGCGAAACTAGTGGTGGCGATGGCAGCTCTAGGGTGGGAGCAAGTAAAGTGGAAAGTGGACGCAGATCAAGAGCTCCAAGTGGCTCCCGTCCTCCCTCTGAACTGGCAAAGCGATCTTTCACCAGCCTCTCCAGTGCCAAAAACAAACCCACCACCGAACCCCCTAGGACTATGACCGTTGAAACCGAGACCGTCGCGTCGATCCCTCAGTTGTTGAATCCGGACCGGGGTACCTCTGGCAGGGACGGGAACGGCAGTGTCAGGACCAAACCCAGCAATGAGACAATCAGGCCGAAAAAGGACAAGAAAAAGTCAGCTCGGAAGGCACCATCGCTGCATGCAGGCACTGTCACCTCCAAAGCCGATTTGTTCGAGGCCAAGGTTGCTAGTGCCGTCGATGAAGCTGACTCTTCCGATTCCGACGAGACTTTTGTGTATGAGTCTAATCCACCAGATAACCGGCCCAGCCGACATCATTCTCGAACTCCAAGTGCCACTTCGTTGGCAAGTCAAGATCAATTGGGGATTCGCAACAAGCATGGCGTTCGAAGTGGCAGCCATGCTATAGCGGGCAAAAAGAGCATGAAGTTTTCCAATAGCGCTTACAACAATCATCTAGATGGTGAGTCTGGCGCGGATGGTAGAGCAAATCAACGGACCGCGAGTTCAACGCCTCGTCATCACCATATCAGCAGGCATGGCCGGCCCCACCATGCTTCCATTTTCGACGCCGACTCACCTTTTACACAAGGTAGTAAGGCCAACTCTCCGCGAGCTTCGACCAACAACCTTTCCCGATTCTCAAGGCCCAATAGCCCTCGGATATCCAATGGCCGACTGCCAGGCGCTCCCCGGAAGGGCGAACCATTCGACGCATACGATGATGCTGCCGACGATGAACGTGCTCCTCTAGTGGGATCGGTGCGCATCAATCGTGCCAGGCACAGTCGCCGGCCGTACAGTACAGCACTCCGGCGGATTGACTTGAGTGACGACTATGACCGGGGCTGTTGTGGGCGATATGGGAGTTGTATTTTTCTGGGGTTTATTGTTGTGCTCGTCTGTGTCGGCATTGCAGCGTTTGTGATGGCACTCAACCGACCGCTGGCGGATGTATATGTCAAACACATTCAAAATGTTCTTGCCTCGGAACAAGAACTAATGTTAGACTTGCACGTAGAGGCAATCAACATGAACCTCTTCGCCATCACCGTCAATGAGCTGGATGTGAACTTGTTTGCGGAAAGTCCTTATGTCGGCATAGGGCCAGACAAGAAAAACGACAGAGCAGTCCTCCGATGGGCCAACCGGCTCGATGACGGGGTCTCTTCTGTCTCCTGGCCCCCCTGGCGTACGCATGACGGGGTGGACAAGGGCACCGATCCTATCGATGATCCCGAATCTGGCACGCAGAAAATGCTGTTGGGGAGGATCTTGGAATTTGACTCCCCATTGGTATTCGAGGCGTCCCCTCTTCGACGGACTTTCACCTCCTCTGTGGGTGAAATTCGGCTGGCCAAGCCAGGCAATAAGACTGAGGAAGGAGGGTCAGCTCGGTGGGAGAGAGTTCTACAGCATGATTTTGATCTCATCGTTCGAGGGGTGATAAAATATCAGCTCCCTCTGAGTTCCAGGACAAGGTCTGCGAAGATAGGAAGTCGTGTGCATGTCTTGCCGAACGGCGATGAAGTCGGCGAGAAAATGTAAGATGGAAGGAGACCGAACCAAGATGCAAATTACGACGTGGACGAATTTTGTTTGTGAAATCAGCAGAGCCTACCTACCACGGAGGCATAACGACTTAGATACCTCAAGACCGTGGAAAGAAAAAGGCGTTGGGATCGTGAGTATACTTGGCTACATTTGCGGGCGAGATTGGCAAGACGATGAGAAGCAGCAGGAGTCGGAAAAGGGCTCGCGAGTTTGCGAGAGGTCATTCAGCGCGCCTGTCCCGTGCGACAATCAGTTACATACTTTTCCTTTCACAGTCAGTGTCTTCATAGAGCGAGGCCGAACAGCAGCTTGTGAGATAACTGCTTCCGACGGTGCCACGGGTGCTCAGGCATGCCGGAGAATCTGCTTCATATCAAGTTGCTGCATTGCTTGTACATTGTATACCAAGTAGGTATCTAGAAGTTCTTGGTGACCGGATGCTGGCCTCTGCATATCTGGCTTCTCTGCGGGGAGCTGTGCCTGTAGAAGGGAATATACCTAGTTAGGACCAGCAAGGCAGACAGAACCTCACTTGCTGGTGGCCTGATTGGATTTTCGAGGCGGCCTCCAGTTGGTGCCTATAGTCGTAGCACTGTCCCGTTCAACTTGGGTAGAAGGTTTCTGCAAGAACTCCTTGAGCTGCTGCGGTATTCTTGAACCATGGCACAGTAGATAAGGGACAATACTACAACATTGTAGTAGTATCCGTGTGTCGTAGTAGAGGCAAACTCGGAAGTGGTGCAGGGAGCAGTACGGCGTCATTTCAAAGCAGCATCGCATGAGTGAATTTCTGCTTCTACCATGAAATCGGGTCCGCCCAAGCAATTACATCGCCTTCGTTGGATTCATCGAATTTGCTGTCCATACCTTGGATACCTCGTCTTTGATGCATGCATGTGAGTAGAGGGCGGTTGTGGGAGCAGTTCCAAGTTCTGCCACGACTCGCCCCGTTCCTTGCCTGCCCGCCGTGATCCCGGCACCCACTACTGACAGCCTCACTAAACTTGCTGACGGCCACTGGCTGTAGTCGTACCGCCGCAGTAGCCGCAAGCTGCCACTTCAGCAGCAGTTCACGCTGCCCTCAGCCCCCAAACCGGGTCACCTGCTGCAGCCGCCAGCTCAACATCCTGCCACCGTCATTTCCATCGCTCTCGTTCCTCTTCTCTTCCTGATACCTTATCGTCGCTTACCCTCCCTCGAAGAAGGTTCATCATCACTACAACTGCATCACATTGTGTTCGAACTTGACGTTTGCAGAGTTGGATAATCCGCCCTGCCTACTAGTATCCCGTCAGCCTAAACTGCGCTATCTCGCGATCCGAACCTCCTCCTTCCGCCGCCGCTTAGGCCAACATCTGCCCGCAGCACCGCTCTGGCCCACAACTTCCGGCCAGGATGGGCTCTGTCTATGGCGGGCGTTATGACGACTCCCGAACCTCATTATCGTCCCGCAGAGACGGCGGCTATACAACAGTGAAGCGATACGTCGTCAAAGAAGAAGATGCCCGCTCGACCAGTGGTCGGGACCGCCGGTTTGTCCCAGATCGTGCAGGAGAGCGTGTGGAAGAAACCCGGATAGTCCGACGCGAGCGCGAAGTGGATGAGCCTCCCCGTCGAGAAGATCCTCGTTACTCTGAGCGTGAACTGGTCATCCGACGTGAGCGGGATGAAGAGCCGCGCAGAGACTACGCCTACGATAGCTGGCGTGAGGAGCCAGTCGCTGAAAGAGAGCTGGTAATCAGGAGGACCACCGAACGCGACGAACCGCCGCCGCAAAGATATGATGACCGAACTCGCGATGTGCGCATTTCCGAAACACGCTACCGTGACGACTATGAAGTCGTGGCTCCCCCTCGTCCGTATGAGGACCGTGATCTCCAGAGGTACACCAGAACCGCCGAGTACTTCGTCCCTCCTCCACCACCGCCGGCGACGATCATCATCCGACAGGAGCCTATCATCATCCGTGAGAAAGTCCGTGATGACGACTACCAAATAGTTCGCAAGTCCGACATCGATGAAGAACGGAGCGTTGTCCGCAGAGGGCCGCCAACCCCTCGCGGCGAAGAAGACTTCTTCTACGAGAAGAAGGTTAGGGAACGCATTGATGAACGTCGTGACGACGACGATGATTACTATGAACGGCGAAGCAGACGACGCTCTGTCAGTCCTCATGATTCGGTGAGCCAAAGAGGCCGTGATTACAGTAGCGACGATAGCATTGTCTACGTCCGCAAAGAGACTCGTGAAGACGCAAGCCCCAGCCCTGATCGCCGCAAAAGCCTTGCAGCCGGAGTTGTCGCTGGTGTGGGTGCCGCCGAGCTCCTTCGAAACCACAAGAAGAAGGAAGGCCGCGAGACCTCTCACGGAATCGGTAGAGTTGGCCGTGACATTGGTGCGGGAGCACTGGGGGCTCTTGCGGCAGAAGGCATCCACCGTGCTAGATCACTCCATCGAAGCAAGAGCAGGCACCGTTCACGCGATCGCTCGCGAGACCGTTATTCTTCACGTTCCCGATCACGGTCCCGCAGGCGCAGCAGGTCTCGATCAGAATCTCCGTCAAAGTTGAAGACTCTCGGCGCTGTTGGTCTTGGAGCTGCTGCACTTGCCGCAGCGGCAACGATTGCTTCCAAGCGGCTGAATAAAGGCGCTGAAGAGCCTCGGCGCAGTCGCTCTCGTCATCGTAGGGAATCCATTTCGAGCCTTGAGGATGATCCCTCCGCTCCGTCGGACGATGCTCGCAACCCCAAGCATCGCAACAAGCGAATTGCTGAAGCCGGTGCTGCGGGTGCTGTTGTTGCTGGCCTGATAGAGAGAGCTAGAAGCAAATCGAGGGCGAGGGATGGCAAGGAACGTTCTCGCAGCCGTGTCAGACAGGCACTTCCAGTGGTTGCTGCAGGTCTAGGCAGTGCTGCCCTTGCGGGCTTATACGAGAAAAACAAGGCGAGAAAAGAGGCCAAACAGATTGCGGAGGAACAACGCCGTGCCCGTTCCAGGTCAAGGAGCAGAGCTAGATCTGACGGATACTACGACGGCCCAAGAGACGCTGCACTTAGCGATCCTGGTCTGATCGAGTACGGAAATGGTCCGATGTATGGCAACAACTTTGGTCCGGATTATTACGGCCGACCTCCGCCAGCAGAAGGCTACTATGGTGCCTCCAATGCCGTGGTTCCAGCGGCCGCGGGTGCCGCCGCGGGATATGGCGCTCAACGCGCAGCAAGAAGTCGTAGCCGGAGCCGAAGTTTGAGCCGTGACCGTGGTGGCAGAAGGTCCTCACGCAGTTCCAGCTCTTCTCCAGACCGAAGCAAACATAGCAGTCGCAGACGTTCATCACGAGACGCGGCGAACATGGCGGCAGCCGCCGGAGCTGGAGCAATTGCTGCATCAGAGTATGAGAGACGCAAACAAGAGAAGCGAGAGCGAAAAGCAAGAAGACGTAAGTAGCCGCGAATAAGTCCTGTGTTTGCGCATATCCAAGCTAACAATGTCTAGGTCGTGAAGAAGAGGGATATGGCCGTGATCCTTACGAGGACAATTACAATCCGGCCCAACCGTATCCTCCGACGCCACCACCTCCGGCCAGCGATCCTTATGCTTCTCAACAGGGCTTCTATCCTCAAACAAGCCAGTTCCCTCCGCCTCCCGGTTCCGTCCCACAGCAATATCCTCCGCAACAATCGACACCGTCAGCTGGACCTCCACCAGCAGCTTCTTACCCTGCACAGTCTTACCCTCCCCCTCCACCACCGGGTGGACCCCCAACCACCACCCCCTACGACGCATATGGTTCTGGTGCCAATCCATACGCACCACGTGGGCCTGAAAATGTGAGTGCTGAGCCACTTCCTCCGCATGGCGATTCTTCTGTACCTGCCACTACCAATGACCTGAACCATGTCGATGGTACGTCATAGTTATGTACCTCTTGGTCTTGTTTGGTTCCGAAAGGGGTCTTTGAGGGATCCTGTTGACACATTATATAGGTCTAGGTGCTGCCGGTGTTGACCCGTCTGCCCCATCCGCCAAGGCTCATTCCCCTTCGACTTTGAACACAGCAGCAAATCCGCCTCTCAAGTCACACGATCCTGTCCGAGACGAACATGTATCTTCTTCGACCAGAGGGTTGTCCCCGCAACGTTCCCAATCTCAACCAGCCCCGTCGTCTCGTCGCAAGAGCGTGCAATTCGCCGACAAACCTGAAATATCAATCACAAACGACAGCGCACCTGAGGATTCCGAGGCATCGATCCCCGAACGCCACCGTCATAGACATCGGCACGATGACTTTCGGGGGTACGAGTCTGAAGACGACACCGACACTACGCCTGTAGAAGACAGGCGAGGAGATCGAAGGCGCTCCTCTGAGCCAGAAGCGAAGAGAAGGGATCATCGGCGACGGCAGTCCCACGAACCTGCATCTTCTCGCAGAGCGCCACCGCTCGAACGTGTTACTAGCCCTTCGGACTCTGATGCCACGGTGGAGCTACCTCCAAGGTTTGACGAACACGGACGCAGGAAACCCGATCCAAGTGACGACCCTCTTGCGGACCGCCTGGACGAGATTCTCGCCGGTAGAGGGGTTGCCGGGAAAATGTTTGGTAACTTCCTGGATGGCTTGTTGGGGCCTGATGGGCGAAAGAAGAAAAGCAGCAGATGAAACCTGAGGGTTGCATTGGTGGCCGGGGTCAAGACGGAAAGTAAACGCAAATACAGGACACGAGAACAGTCCATGAGACGAATTTCCTTTTACATGATTGACGACATTGGTGGAATATCGATTGGGCTTTCAGTATCAGCTTCAACTCTGGATGTTGATGATGATTTTCTCTCGGGTCAGGTTGAAAACCTAAGGAACGTGCTCATGATCATGATCAAGACGGGAACGAACAATTGGCATAGTGCCATGGCCAGATGGGTGCACATTTGACGAATTAACGAAACCATTGAATGATGACAAACAGATTATTCCCGGTCTTTCACTCGTCAATCATAGAATTTCTTTTCTTTGAGAGCAATGATATCAATGCAATGCCATTTGGTGTCGCTGTTTTTAGTAGTAATCGTAGAGGGTAGATAGATCTAGTCCGTGTCAACCGGATCCCAATCAGTCACCAGATACTCATCCAGACCATCCAAGACATCCATATCCTCGTGGCTGATTTCAAAATGGCCAATGTCGGAATTGGACTTGATTCTGTCTCTGTTAACACTCTTAGGCAAAGCAATATACCCATGCTGAAGACTCCATCTGACCATCAGCTGGGCCCATGTACAATTATACTTTTTGGCCAGCGCGACGATAGTAGGATGATTCTTGCGCAAGGCCCTTGCGAGCGGCGCAAAGGCTTCAACCAGGATACCATATTTGCGACACGCTTCGACGATATTCGTGCGCGTGTTGAACGGGTGCACTTCGATCTGATTGATAGCGGGCTTAACACGCGGTTGCGACGCCATCAGCTCGTCCAAATGCTTGACGCCGAAATTGCTCACGCCGCCGATTTTCACCTCGCCGTCCTGGATGGCGTCTTCAACGGCTTTCCAGGAAGCAAGGCGGGCCTTTTTTCCCCCATAGGGGCTGTGCAGGAGGAACAAATCTATGTATCCGAGTCCACAGGTCTGGACGGATTGCTTGATTGATCGACGGGCTACTTCGTAGCTGGTGGAGTTGGATGCGAGCTTGGAAGTGAAGAAGATGTCTTCGCGTTTGATGGAAGGGTTGTTGGACAAAAAGGATTGGATTGCTTGTCCGCATTCGCGCTCGTTGCGGTACATTTGGGCGCTGTCGATGCCTCTGTAGCCGGCTTCGAGGGCATATTGGACGGCGGATTTGGCTTCGCGTCCGCTCATTAGGTAGACGCCGAGTTGGATCTGGGGGATTGATAGCCCGTTGGGGAGGGGGAGGCGAGTTGATACGGAGAAAGAATTTGGTGCCATTGTCGGATTGGACTGTACTGGTAGCAGGGGGCCGGCTCTGGTGAGGACTTCGAATACAATGTTGTAGGTGGTGTTGGTCGCGATGGACAATTAGGGTCAGCTCCCTGTTACCTTATGCAATGTGTCGAAACGGGCCAGCGTTGTCAGTAATACCTCTGTTCAGGTGGTGTGATGCCACTGTACAGTCGGTAAAGTACCAGGTATTTCTTATAATTGATGGTGAACTGGAGATATGATGCGAGCTGACGTCCAAGTTGAGGACTCAGACTCCGGTCCGTGCCAACCTGAACCGGCGGATATTGAACGGAATTACTCAAAAGTTACTACATGCATTTGCCAACCTTTGAGCTGAACTTCGTCTACCAGCCTCATTGATTTTTTCCCACCGCTTGAACATAATTTCATCTATATAAGCGAACTGTCAGCCCGGTCATCTATCAGTTCTCTTATCTGGGGAGGCATTGACACGTCCTTTTCGCCAGCTTTCGACGGTGCATCAGAATTCTCGACAGTACTTGCAGAAACCTTTTCATCAATCCGCCGGCCTTACCACCTACACCCTCAACTTCACTATTGTTGTACTGAACGTGATATCGCGACGAGCAAGGATCGTTTGTTATCCTTGCTTTGCTTTCCACTGGAATACAAAGCCAGACGTCCAGCGCCGCAAGACGAAAAGCTAGGCAATACATTGCGATCCATCACCTCGCACAGGCTTGTGCTCCCGAACGCATCTTTTTCTTCACCGCTTCACTGCAAGCAGCATTGCACACCTCGTCTGGACACTAAATTATCGAGCAAGAAAGATAGAGAGGACCAAGAAATGAGCAATTTCGTTTGAGCCAAGCGTGAACGAACTCTGCTTGATTTCTTGACACCGCCATCCAGCAGCCGATGCTGTGCTCCAAGTCCTCTTCATGTTGTCCCCATGAGAAATCGAGAGCCTAGACAGCCCTCATGTGTGAGCCTCGTCTGTCATCACTGCAGTTGGCGACCGGTCACTCTACGTCAAACGACCTCTTAACACAAAGGGAAACTTTGTGGCTGGCATACGAGTAGTGGCAGCCTGCTGCTGCCCGGCCAGACTCGAGCACATGGCATCATCCTCGTCGTCCGAGGACAATTTCGGCCTCCGGTCCCTGCGCGACGCGCACTTCACGGGCATCAACAGCCCGTCCGAGTCATCATCCAGCGGTAGGGGCAAAGCCCCGGAAGGGCCGCAGTTCGACATCATCGAGTGGTTCCCCAAATACAAGAGCTGCCAAAAGTACTTTATCGACTATGCTCAGCACGAACCGTTAGTCCAGGCCTTTGCATCGTTTATTAATATCTTGTTGCCGTTTCAAAGACAACCTAGTCCGGTTTTTTACACAACAGGTTCGTCAAGTGGGAAGTCGAGACTCGACAAAAAAGACGTCTCCTCGTCGCGCACCGCCACCTCGGAGTCAGCATCAGTGGTCGCTGCGGCAAAGGCAGCAGCGTCCGCCGTCTCCCTGGTTCCATATGTACGGAGGCTCGTGGTCACCGGCATGGATGTGCCGCAAGTATTGCACGGTTTCTTCGGCGATGACTGGAAGGCCGGCGTGGGTCCGCAGCACGAACAGGAGAGGCGGAATTACCTCTTTGCGGCCAAGAGCGGCGGCTGGGCTTCGGTCAAGCGTGACTATGATATGCTACCTCTGGAAACCGTGCCGTTCATGCGTCCACTGTATGCCCCCACCGACGACGAGCTTCAGGCCGCTGAACGCACCTGGAGTGAATGGCTGGCGCTGGAGGACTGGATGGTCGGCCCGCGTGCCCCTCCTGATGAATGAATGATTGTGTCCATGATGTAGGGACCATGCTCTCTTGCCCATCCCGTTTGTGAATGTGCACTGCATGTGCATTATATCTTGATAGCTTCCACCGACCGAGTACTATTTCTACCTGAAAACACGACGGCAGAGGCTTGTTTCTCAGCAGATACTGGACGCTGGGCCAAGCGAGATGGTCACTGCCTGACAAGGGAAATATGGACAGGATAGTCTCGTGTTGTTGTCCTTCCTGTCATGTCGCTGCCACATGGCGCTCATTCGAGAACAGAATCAATAGAATCGAATAGAGTGACTTGCACACTAGTACTTCTCCGGCCGGTCGTTGCGCTTCGACATGTTCAAGAGAACGGGGTTCGATATCTGATGGAGACGTGCAGCGGCTGGTGTTCTGACCTTATAGCGTTGGATGCCCTCCATCCGAGTGGTTGACAGTGAGTGAAGACTTGGCTGGTTGTATGATTCAAGTCAAGTCAAGTATGTCGGGGCCGACCGCTTGAGCCCAGAGACTGGTAAACGGTGAGCTTTGGAAGCCTGCATCGGGATATAGTATGCAGGTTGTGCGGCTTCATCACCACCATGTGCATGGGCTATAAGATAGCTGAGCTGGTATCAGACAATCAGTGTACTTTTGGTAATGGTGGGTACAGTAAAATTGTACAGTAGTCTACCTTGTGCTGACTGCAAGGAGTTATTACTCTTTCACGCATACATGCCCTGGGGGCTAAGGAGGCTCCCTGCAAGTGCTACTGTATGGAACACAGTTGTTTGGCTGTCCAAGTTTGGCCTATACTGCTACAGTGCGATCCTTCCACTGCGGAGTTTGGCCGTCCGCGGCCAGCGCATGTTCCCCTGCATCAACGGATCCGCCTGTCGTCGATCAGCGAACAGAGACACAAAGTACTACTACTAGTTGTAGAGCATACCGCTATCAAAAGTCCATACAGTTCACTACCGTACTAATTTAGTACTTCGTCGGTCCTCCGAGTCAATTCAGGTTGTGTCATCTATAAGGTACGGTAGGCACTGATCTGGTGCTTAGGGCGCGGTGCGCCCGAAGTAACGAACCAACAATTAACCAACTCATCAGAGCGTCCTGGCTCTTTTTAACTTCGTTCCCAGCTCTGATATTCTGATATTTGTCCGGCAAAAAGCAAGAGGGGGTTTGCCGTCTCCCCGAGTTAAGGTATCTTCTCGAGTCTCGATCAATCACGGTCACCCACGTGGGTGCTCACTGCAGTGGGCGCTTGCAGGACTTCAGGCCGGCCAATTGCTAATTCTAGACGGGAAGAGTTGGAACATGCCATCGATGGTCGACTCCCGTCCCTACTACTTCTATACGTCGTACATAACAGCCACTGCAGCGCTGTCGGTGTGAGACCAGACCGGCGGTGGTACGCCCTGGTTGTCTTTCCTTGCACGACACATGTCATACTACCTCATTACCTGATCCTCTCATCATGGACTTCTCATACTTTACATCCGCACCTCAACCGTATCCATTCCTCGGTCTAGCGCAGTCGCAGGACGATCAGCCGGACGAGTTCCAGATCACTGCGCCTGGTACCGTAAGTAGCGTGCAGGTACCTGTTTCATCTTGCTCTTGCCAGGGCTCTGACAGTGATCGCAGAACCAGTACGATGAACCGTTTGCAGCATTCCAGCAGAACTTCCTCTACGATCCCTCTACCTTTCTCGCGCAGTCACACCATGCGCCCGTCCAACCCCAGCCCAACGAGCCGAGGCTCCGGCTCGAGTCGAGCACATCTTTACCCGAGACAGAGATGGAAACCACCCAAGGCGCGGAAATGAACATGGACGACACCCCTATGGGCCGGAGCAGCAGCGACGAGAAAGATGCCGCTATCATGTCCACCCAACAAAGCAGAAGGAAAGCGCAAAACAGAGCAGCGTGAGTCTAGAACGCCCAAGCAAGCAGAAACCCCGGGACAAGCCTTGCTCACTTCTATTTTTGAAATCAAACAGTCAACGGGCGTTTCGAGAACGAAAGGAAAGACATCTCAAAGACGTCGAGGCCAAACTCAGCAGTCTACAGGAACAGACGGCCGCCTTGAACGGCGAGAACGAACGGCTACGGCGCGAACTGGCCAGGATGACGACCGAGAACGAAATCCTTCGCGCGACTTCCGGTTCTGTCTCCGTCTCCAGTGGCTCGGGGTCGACGCCTTTTGGGCCATTACAACCCGATGAAATGGTCGGCCCGTTGAGGTTCGTGCCCACTGATCGTCGTCCTCCCAAGGCTGGATCCTCGGGAGTCACAACCCCGGGCCTCGAAAATGGGCACAAAGTCGCGTTGTCTGACACTTTTCGAACCATCGTCGCCGTTGACGGCGAGACGGGCGAGCGAGTCCTCAGTGCCGGAGCCACTTGGGATTATATCCAGGCCAACGAACTCGTTCGCAACGGCCTGGTCGAGGTCGGTGATGTCTGCGAGCGCTTGAAGAAAAAGGCCCGATGCGATGGTCGCGGTCCCGTCTTCTTGGAAGCCGACGTCCAAAAAGCAATTGTTGAAAGTGCCGCTGCTGGCGGACGCGATGAATTGATATGATCCAGTGTCGACCTTTCCTGTCCATGGACAGAATATAACAACCATCGGCGCTGCGAATTCTGGGCTACTAGTACTTCTACAGGTTGCGAACATTTCTGGGTTATCTCCACCATGTACGAGCGTTTAAACCTACCAACATTCCGGCGTTGACGTTCTCGAAAACCGAGTATCGCTTCCTCCATACATCCTACAAGGAACATCACCGCGTTGAAGCCCGGCTTCGGGGAAATCCACAGAAGGGGTCTTACAGAAGCACCTCCAGCCCGTCATGTCAATCCATTTGCAGTGCGCTAGCAATAATGAGCACAGGCACTTGAAAGTCCAATTGTGTCCAGGACATACTGTACGTTCTAATCCAAGGCATGGGTATGACAGCAACTTGCCCCAATGTTCATGGCAAACCTCCAGTGCACCTCTTCTTCAAGAAAACAGAACTCTCGGGGAAACCTGGATGGCGTCTTGTACTTTGCCTGGCAAGGTTTCAGGAAGACCCATATCCTCGACTATCAAGAAAGTCGAATCCGAGGCCAATCGGCCAGGAGAGGACATGCAGGGGATGACAGGCTTGCTGCAAAGCAGCAAGTCACGGCGAACGAGCCCTCCTCCACCCTTATGGGCCCCCGCGGGTCGTTAGTGCTCGACAAGTAGGTGGTGGTGGTCTCTTGGAGCGGTCTGAAGACCATGCTGAGGGTTTGGATATTATATCTTGGAGACTCGCTTTCTGCACAGAATGCCCAAGTTACCCCTGACCTGACATCTCAGGAGATTCCAGAGTGGTCAGGCGATGCTTGAAGCCAGATTTTGGGGAATCATCACGCAACAGAGCAGCGGCCAGTGCCAGCAAATGGAGTGCATAAGAATACACCAACTCCTTGTATAGCACTGCATGGTCGGTTGGTCTGTTGGGCAATAATACGTCGCCGATCTGCTCGGTGCTGGCCGCTGCTTGCACATGGTTATAGCTCAGATGGTCGCGCACTGCCTCAGCTTGCCATAGCAATAACAGGAACTAACGGGGTCGAGCCGACCTCTCAATCCCAATCATCATCGTCATCGTCATCACCACCGGCAGGATTTTTACTGTTGCTGCCGTAGTTTTCATCGTCACTGTCCTCTCGTCGTTTGAGCCTCATGTCGTTTTCCTTGATGGCGCCCACTTCAACAAGGACATTTTCAATGTCCTTTAGACTAGTTTTTGGTCCGTTCAATTCTCTAAGCGTGACCAATTGCCGCTTGATATCTCCATCCTTGTAGATCAGGATAGTCGGGGTATTTTTCTCCGGATATCCCTCAATGCAGAGATTCGCGCGGATCTCGCAGAACTTGACATCGCCGAATTTGGCAGCCGCCTGTCTCCAGAGTTCGGAAAGAACCCTTGATTCTACATTGGTGCCTAGAGAAGAAGTGAGATTGACCAGCACATAGGCCTTGTTGCTCTCCTCGGTCACGTCTCGGGCATAATCTGGTTTTTGGAGTGGGAAGACCTGGCCATAGACACTCTTCTTCTGAAGACTGGAGAGTTCGGCCAGACGACGTTTCCTGTACTGCTCCAGGAATTCTTCGTCCTCTTCGTCCTCGAGCTCGTGGAGTTCGTCGAGGTCTTTGTCCTCGAGGCGGTTCTCGTGGGCTTTTTGCACGGCTTCCAGAAGGGCCTCTTGGATCATGGGTTCGGGATCCTTGGGCTTTTCTGGGATGATTCCATGTTTGCGTAAGATGTCGTTCCTATAGTAGTATAATATTGGTTAGGGATTGGTGCGGTGTGAAGAAGGGTAAGGGTATTAGTGGGCAAGACAAGGAAGGGTACTGCCTACCATTCTGTGTCGGCGTTGGGGTTGTCCACGGGGACATTGACTGGCATGTCCATGATGAGAATGGTAGATAGAACGGATCAAATAAAATGTAAGAGGACTATCGTGTCTGTGGACAGAGCGTGCTTTATAGATTGAAGAAGTTGGAACAGGCCAGGTGATGTACGTTGTAGAGAGGCTCCAGGCGGAAGATGGGAACCGTCTGTTGCAGCCACAATGTGGCTGTTGATTCTGTGGCTGGTGAGCATTGGCTCCTGAGCTCGAGTTGGACTTGAAGCCCGCAAACGCAGACGCAGCCCACTGCGCGGCACTCAAACTGCCAGTTCAATTGCTACTGGCCAGACAGCGACAATTATTTGGCGAGGACACGTTCTACTGTAACTGAACTCCCACTGCAGTCAACTCCGACCTATTGACGGCCTTTGCCAATTGGTATTCTACTACTTCCAAACAGTGGCTAACGACCTGTACGGACCTTTATTTCCCATCCATGTTCTTCGCGACATGATCCTGCGGTAGTGCAGTGCAAGACACGTCCGAGTTTATCGCGGTGCCAGTGCCCTGGGCCACACTCTTTCACCCTGACCTGACTGCGACAACTTGAACAGGTTGATCCTACTCACAGCACAGTCACAATGAGTTACGCAAAGAAGGACGAGGACGCGGAGCATGCCGGCTTCAAGCTGGACCGCACATCAGTATTTCAAGACGGTATTACTGCACATCCCTGAGCACTCCCGCTCCCCTCACATTTCACTCATTGACCACGCTTCAGCTCGATTGTTCAACTCATCCCCCATATCTCCGCGAAAATGTCGAACCCTCCTTACCAAGATTGCCGTCCTCCTCTTTACGGGGGAGAAGTTCCCAACCAACGAAGCCACGACTCTGTTTTTCGGCATCTCGAAACTGTTCCAGAACAAGGATCCGTCCTTGCGTCAAATGGTCTATCTGATCCTGAAAGAGCTGGCACATACGGCCGAGGATGTCATCATGTCGACGAGCATTATCATGAAGGACATGACCGTGGGGAGTGACATTGTCTACAAGGCGAATGCCATCCGTGCCCTCTGCCGAATCATTGACGCGACCACCGTCCAAGGGATTGAACGATTGATCAAGACCGCGATCGTGGACAAGTCTCCCGCTGTATCTTCGGCGGCCCTGGTATCCTCATATCACCTACTTCCCATTGCCCGAGATGTTGTGCGAAGATGGCAAAGCGAGACGCAAGAAGCGGCATCCTCGTCGAAATCAGGGGGTGGCTTTCTCAGCTTCTCGACCGGGTCCTCTCACTCGCTTGCGGCGGCAAACACGAATTACATGAACCAATACCATGCCATCGGTCTCCTGTATCAGATGCGGTCACACGACAGAATGGCGTTGGTTAAAATGGTCCAGCAGTACGGCGCAGCCGGGGCGGTCAAGAGCCCTGCAGGAGTGATGATGCTGGTGCGTTTGGCCGCCAGACTGGCAGAAGAGGACCCGGGACTCCGGAAACCCATGATGCAGATGCTCGACGGTTGGCTACGCCACAAGAGCGAGATGGTCAACTTCGAGGCCGCAAAGGCCATCTGCAATATGCCCGATGTCACCGACGCCGAGGCTGCTCAGGCAATCCACGTCTTGCAGTCTTTCCTGACTTCTCCAAGGGCCGTCACCAAGTTCGCAGCCATCCGGATTCTCCATGCTTTTGCTTCGTTCAAGCCCCAAGCTGTCCACTCGGCAAACCCTGATATTGAAGCCTTGATTTCCAACAGCAACAGATCGATTGCCACGTTCGCCATCACCACGCTTCTCAAGACCGGAAATGAGGCCAGCGTCGATCGCCTCATGAAACAGATATCCGGTTTCATGGCCGAGATTACAGACGAGTTCAAGATTACAATTGTCGAAGCAATCCGAACACTGTGCATGAAGTTCCCTAGCAAGCAAGCCGGTATGCTCACCTTCTTGAGTGGCATCCTGCGAGATGAGGGTGGCTATGAGTTCAAACGCGCCGTCGTTGAGAGCATGTTTGACCTGATCAAGTTTGTGCCCGGAAGCAAAGAGGAGACATTGTCGCACTTGTGCGAGTTCATCGAAGATTGTGAATTCACAAAACTGGCTGTTCGCATCCTACATCTCATTGGGGTGGAAGGTCCGAAAACTCCCCAGCCGACGAAATACATTCGCTACATCTACAACCGAGTGGTCCTGGAGAATGCGCTGGTTCGAGCGGCAGCAGTCACTGCACTTGCCAAGTTTGGCGTCGGCCAGAAAGATCCCGAGGTCAAGAAGAGTGTTTCAGTCCTTTTGAGAAGATGTCTTGACGACACCGATGACGAGGTGCGGGATAGGGCAGCGCTCAATCTGCGGTTGATGCAAGAGGATGACGAGATTGCGGAGCGGTTTATCAAGAACGACTCGATGTTCTCTCTGTCTACCTTCGAACACAAGCTCGTTCTGTATGTCACGGCCGACGACAAGGCTGTCTTCAGCAAGCCTTTCGACATCACCGAGGTTCCCGTGGTGTCTCAGGAACAGGCGCTTGCCGAAGAACGAACAAAGAAACTCACGACTGCCACACCCACCCTCAAGGCCCCAAGCACAGGACCCACGAAACAGAAGGGGGCCAATGGAGCCGCAGGCGAGGCGCCGGCATCGGCTGCCGCGGCCGCGCAGAAGTACACTCAAATTTTCTCCAGAATACCCGAGCTTGCCGCATATGGCCCAGTGCTCAAATCCAGTCCCGTGGTGGAACTTACCGAGAGTGAGACCGAGTACGTGGTTGGTGCCGTCAAGCACATCTTCAAGGAGAACATCGTCATTCAATATGACATCAAGAACACGCTCGACCAGACCGTGCTGGAGAACGTGACGGTGCTGACCACTCCCTCCGAGGACGACGAGGAGCCCACACTAGAGGAAGAGTTCATCATCCCCGCACCAGCCTTGAAGACCAACGAGCCCGGCGTGGTGTATGTTGCATTTAAAAAGACCGGCGGCGAGAAATCCTTCCCCATCACGACCTTCTCCAACGTTTTGAAGTTTACAAGCAAGGAAATCGACCCGACCACAGGAGAAGCGGAAGAAAGTGGGTATGAAGATGAATACGAAGTCGAAAACCTCGAGTTGACCGGCGCCGATTATGTCTTGCCCGCCTTTGCCGGCAGTTTCGACCATATCTGGGAGGGAACTGGTGCAAATGGCGAGGAAGCAAGTGAAACTTTACAACTGTCGTCCATTAAGAGTCTAGCAGGTAAGTTACCACCACTTTGTCATTCGCAGAACTTGCATTGGGAGGGATGAAACGGCTGACCTTTTTTGTCGCAGACGCTACCGAGCAACTCGCCCAGACTCTGAGTTTGCAACCCCTCGAAGGTACCGATGTTGTTCTTTCCAACACCACCCACGCCCTTAAACTGTACGGCAAATCCGTCACGGGTGGCCGAGTCGCCGCCCTCATCAAAATGGCCTATTCGGCCAAGTCTGGCGTCACTGTCAAGGTTTCAGTTAGGACTGATGAAGCGGGACTGGCTCCTTCGATTCTCTCGGCTTTGTTGTAAAGAACAAGCACGGCCACCGCCGTATCAGTGCTAGTACTGTTAAGGTCACGGAAAAGAAGAGACACAGAAAGGTTGCCGGTGCTGCTTGCCGATGCCGACGCCAATTGCCGCCGCCCATGTCGAAACAAAACAAAAAAGACAGCAACGATGCACTTCCGGCGACTTCATGAGTGACTCTGTTCGACCGGTCTGGCGTAAGGAGAGGATTTTTGTGGGTTGGTGACAACAGGCAAGGGGACGAAAAGCAGAAAATAGGAGAAAACAAGCCGGCCCACCTGAGGCACGGGGGATGCCTTGGTAGTGGAAGAGGTGAGATGTAGGCAACTGCAGTCCGAGGCAAGCTGGGCCGGCATGGCACGGCACGGCACGCCACGACAGGGTAGATACTACTAGTAGTACTGTTGGAGTCACAATGAATAGTAGAGCTGATGATTGATGTGGTGTTCTGTTCTTGCAGGGCCAGTGGTTCACGTTCTAGGTGTCGTTGTGAGTATATATGTACGTTGGTGAGCTAGAAAACTGTCAAAAAGTCACCTTCACTAGGCCGAGTATTCGAGTTCATCTCTCAAACAGATGCAGTGTTCACACTGGGATCCATGCAAAGGTAAGCAGCTACCGTGGGTACTGTAGTTGCGCAAATCAACCTGCCAGACCAGCTCGTTACAATCCTATGGTATCCTAGATGTCCGTCGCAAATCTCCTGGGTATTAGACTTGATACGCTCGCAACTAGATCTTTGAGGCATGGATAACAGGCAATTGGCACCTTCTTCAAATACTGTTGTATCTTCCAGACTTTTTGCCCCGGCTAGAGCAAAGACACCTGCAAGAGGCGACGCAAACCTTAAAACTCAAACGCATCGATTCTTTCTCAACCCCAGTGAACCGCCGAAATCTTCAGTTGTCCAAACATGTCACCCATACATCTTTTATTGTCGTAAATCATGACCCGTAACATGCTCGACACCAATCATGTCGAGCACACTTTTCGACCAAATCTCCAAACAAGAGCTGGTCTTCTATCCCTCGAGGGACCATTTTCCTTGATTCTAATCCTTTTTCTAATTCCACAAGGTTGGTATATTGTTTTTCTCATCCAATCCAACGCTAAATTTTGTGTCATCAACGTCGTAACCAGTCAAACTTCTTCTTTGTATCAACGACAGCTTGTGGCTCAACCTGTACACTTCGATCGTATAATTCGCTGCGCGGGTCCGCAGAGTCCTGCAGTGATAGTCAGCAAAAAGCAAATGGTACACAAGACTCATTTCTCATACCTCGCTTTCTTCGACAATCTTTGTCTCCAAGATCATCTTAATGGTCTCCTCAGTGCGCGAGGTTCGTGGCGGAAAGGTATACGGCTCCTCTAGACACCTCTGGAGTCCGACAATCACCTCACCCATGATCTCAAACTTCTTCCAATTGATGTTGGCGCCAATGAATGTCGGGTTCGCCGAAGCGGCCATGGTAAGATCTTGACGCACCAGCGGTAGGAAAGGGATCCGCTCATGCGCCGAATTCTCCCAAGCCATTCGATACGCAGCGTGCGATTTCGAGAGGCCCATCAGAATCGTCAAACGAAGGAACTGCTTGTGCACTTCAGGCGATATCAGTTCGTGTGTAGCAGCAAGACGAGCGACTTCATGACCGGTGATGCCTGCCACTATTGCACCCAAAGAATTGTAGTTGTTCAGTTGCCGTACTTTCCACGCCAATGCCATGAATTTTTCCAGGGCTCTCGCTCGGTGTTTCGGTTTATCTCGCAGCAATATCATACCAGAAACAAACAATGCAAGATGATTGAAATGTTTCACCATGGCAGTGATATTGTCGGACCCGCGAGACTTCCTCTTATCTTTAGCAGAGAGAGACACATGTCGGACAAAGTCCCGCGGCCTGATGGCAGAAAGCATGGTCCAGTCAATGCGGGTGATTTCGAGGGCGGTCTCTTCGACCGGAGTCTCCATGAATTGGTGCCATTGCAGCTTGCTCAGACGAATATGAGGTATCACCTTGTACTTCTCGGCTTGGATTTTCGCATTCTGCAATTGCATGTAATTGGTATACGATTGGCTCGATGTGTTGCTGGACTTGATCAGGCTCGAGGAAGACGACAGCGCATTTGACTCTGGTGCGGACGAGTCACCATCGTCTCCACTGTCGGTATCGTCTTTATGAGATCTCTGGCTCGCCTGAGCAAGTTTTTCGTTCTTCGTCGACGGTAGAGGTGTCGCGGCCTTTTTACTTTTACCGCTCGGTGTGCTGGTGCTGTCAGAATACGCCCAGTCCGCGTCTTCATCCGGGATCATGGTGTCTAGATTATTGCTGATCTCGCGTGCAGCCGGGGCAAACACTTTGCTCTTTTCGATACTTTGCACAAAGGGAACGGCAATGTCACGAGCTGGGCCTGGGGCAAAGTCACCAGGATAGTTGGCGGTCCACTGACCCAGCACTTGAAGGTACCGAAGCATCTCGGCGACCTTGGTGAAATGGACCATTTTGCTCTGCTCAAGCTTCATGAACTGGTCGATGATGGCAACGAGTAGTTGTTGAGGAGTCGCAAATGCGCGGTACAGACAGAGGAAAGAGGGCACAAATTTCGACTGTGCTTTGTTAGCCGGAAGCATCAGCAGTCTTTCGACAAGCTCCTTGAAGTGTACGCCAGACTCTTGTTTGTTCTCATCAAGCGACAATTTTGCCAATGCATTTCCGAAGGGCTTCGAGTCGTCAACTTCCGTACGTGGGGAGGGGTCGCTCGGATCCTCCTCCATATTAAGGAATGTCTGATAGGCTCGATTATCGGGGGTTTCAGCTGGACGGAGCATAGACTTCACATAGTAAGAGTCTGGGGTTTCGGGGACGACCGAGGTCGAAGGCCCCGTAGGTGATGTGATTTTGTTAGTATAGTCACCGGATGAGACAGGTGTGTGAGGTTCTGTAGGTCGACCTTGGGACCTGGAAGCTGCTGAAGTGTCCAATCGTAGCTTCGTCCTTCTACCATTTGAGCCTACATCTTCCACAGGCGACGCTTCGCTTTCTTCGTCGGCCGACTCAATGACAGCTGGCCGGGTCGAGAGGTTCAGGAGGAACTCTTTCGATTTCGACGTCTGCAAGCGGCTGTTCGACCGGCTGCGACTTCTGCTTTTCTTCGGCGAGTGATCCCGAGAGGCAACTCGTTGGGAAGCCCCAGCTGGGGCAACGGCATGTGCGGCGCTCGATAGAACTGGTGCAGCGACCGTGGTTAGCGAAGCACTGGCACTGCATGCTACTATGAACATTTAAGTGGTGGGAAAGAACGACCGTTGCCATCAACGCAAAGGACGATAAAGGCGCACTGGACTTGCTTGTCCTGGCTGGACGGTTGGCAAGCGAGGCACCCAGTGCAGATAGAGTAACAGATAGAGAAGCAATGAGCCGCAGAGCCTCAACTCGGAAGTTGGTGGAGCCCATCATGGTATCACTCACCTCGGTTAGAAGTCACAACCCGGTCCAGCATGGCCAGCAGGCAGAGTTTCGCACTCTCTGGGGATGTACTAGATATCTCCGCAATCGCAACGTTGGCGAGATTACGGCGGATTTGCTCATGAAACTTCGGGTCGATTTGACGAGAGTCCTGCTTCACGTCGCACTTGGAAGCAAGCAGCATACAAGGCAGTCCACTGTTTGTCATAGATGCTGGTAAGGGAGTGGCATCATCAGTAAGTTGCTGCGTAGAATGAAACGGACTTCGAGGTGTTCGTGGCTGGTCAGCACTTACTCAAAGCTGTAGGGATGTCAGCGACGCTTTCCTTATCGGAAACGTCGTAGAGACAAAATACTCCGTCCACCTGCGGATACGCTGTACCCTTCCAGAAGGAAGGCCATTCTATCCTCCGGCTGCTATTGTAGTCGACATCCTCGAGCGCAAGTTCGATGAATTGTACACGATATGACTGGTTCTTGACAGTTATCAATGTGGAAGACGAAGAACCTTCTTCGGGTACTACACTTCGAATAAAGGAGCTTTTGCCGCAATTATGAGGGCCAATCACCACAAGATTGATTGACGGCTTGAGGTCACTTTTAGGTGGCTGAGATGGAGACATGAATCAATACGGGTCATAATCAAGAGAGCGATGAGAGAAAGGTGAGGGTGGTGTTAGGAGCCACGAGCAAGATTGCGGCATATGGAAAGTACAGAACATACCTTAGTGGCTAGCCTGGACTCAGGTGACAAATCTGAGGAAGACTGTCGACCGGACTGCCTTGCTGTGGGCTTTCGCTCCGGCGATGCTAGTGTGGCTCCGCGAGAACGGGACTTGGAGCCGCGATGACCGGCATCAGAGGGTCTGGAAGTGGCTGATGGGCGGCGGGAATGCTGATCTTTCCGTCGGCTGTCAACGTTGGGCGCTGAGTTATGTCTATCCCGTGTCAGGGAAGATGCCACGGCAGCCTTGGAGTCGAGCGATCGATATCTGGTGGACCGGCTGTCCATGACTATAGGGTCCCAGGTTTAGGTTGATATGATCAGGCACCGCGCCTCATCGCGGGATAATTGACACTGCCTATGTTGATCCTCGAGGTTGGTGAATATTGCGGATAAAGGCGACCGAAAGCTTGGATGCTGGTGGAGAGCAGTCATGGGTGTTTGAAATGCAAGACACCAAGTTAATGGGTCTCTGACGGCGGATAGAAGACGGCTTGTGGGTTCAATGCTACCAGAGCTTGTTCCCAGGGGAAGAAGTCCTCTCTTCGCCGGGACGGCCCCGTGGCCAAGCGCTTGTTGAACTCAGGAATCGAAGTCCTACACCAGATCCGGCAATCCCAGGGAGCGAGAGGAATAGTGTGAAACGGAGAGGGAGTGTCGATCGGAGACGAAGAAGGGGAGATTACCTATTTACCCTGCTGTACGGAGGGAGAGAGGTCGTCAAGTTAGGGTTGGTGTTGGTCTGGTGGAGATGGAGGCCGAGGGGCGCGGATTGCACCGTCCGTGGACGGAATTGTCTCAGTGCACCGCGCCAGTGGTAGAAGGACACTCTACTGGCCGTGATGGAAACGGTATCCAGCTTTTCTAGTCTCTCCGCACAATCTTCGCCTGGAGGGAGACAAGAGCAGAAGAGGGAGGATGGATAACTGACAAGGAAAGTTTTTTTCGTCTGTCCGGGGATGGCATCAGTATCAGTATCTGCATCTGCAGAGTGCCTGTTAGCAATGTGACGGTGAATTTTCAGTGGGCAGACTGCAAACCATACATACCCCATGCAGTGGTCGAGCAGCTCCGGTGCTGGACATGGTTCAAGCTGTGGGTGATGCCAGTGGTGATGCTCGGTTGGCGCCAGGAACCATCCATAGCACACGACGATGGTGAGGACGTGGTGGATGTTCGGCAACGCTGAGCCAGTAAAAGAACGGCGAACCTGGTGCACAGGCGAGCGGACTGTTAGGTTCCGGCAGCAAACACAGGCGCCACAGGCACTTAACAGGCACTTAACAGGCACCAATGCAGCCTGTGTCCCTTGTGATTGGCACCCATTCTAGTCCCTGGCAGTCCAATGTTCTCCCGCCCGCAGCCACCGCAGCCTACTAGTAGGTCATTAGCAGTTGGCTTACAGTAGGGCCGCAGGATACTGTACAGTAGGTACATGTACCTCCCAGGCAGGTAGCAACCGCGCACTGCAGTGGTAGGCATTTCCTAGACCCTGCCGGAGTACAACGTAGTACCTGGTAGTATTCAAGCTGCAAGAGTCCCTGGTCCCAAAGAGCCAACAACACAGCCACTTCAGTGCGGCACTGCATTGCATGTCGAACCCTACAGATGTCTATTTTGTTCCTAAACGGCCGTTGCAGAAATTGGGCAGCCGTCACAATGAATTTGGGGGCCAGAATCCGCCGAAGCGAGGCATGGTGCTGCTCAGTTACCTGGTAGGTACCGTAGGTAGCTAGCATTCTGTATCACTTGAAAGGGCTCTATTGGTACTGTACTACTGCTGGGGTATATGCCGTACTGGTACGGTGGATACTGTTTTGCACACAACTAGCAATATGACTGAGCTCTTCCATTCGAACTCTTGGTGGGCATGATTCTTTTCAGTTCCAACATTCATGAAAAGGGCTCTGCCATATCTGTTACTCGCCTCTCTGACGAGCACTTGTGAAGCGTACTGTGGAAGCTGCTGCCAACCAATGGACCGCATGGCATCCAGGTCGAGCCTGCCAGGACCCTTTCGTTCGCGAAGAGGTTTCACCTATGAGTCTATCTCGCGTGGTGCTCCTGAACTAGGAGGAGATACTAGACTTCGTGGCCTCCTTTCACCATCGGCAAGCGCAACAAGAAATGACTGACCTCGTCAAGAGTCACGCATTGCTGTTGTATGTTGTGCTTTGGAGCTTAGCTCCGCAACCAGCGCGGCAAATGCTGTCATCCCAGAAACATCCGCGGAGTCGGACTTGAGGCTGTAGTCCAGCATTCGCATTGCTTGGGCAAGTCGTTGTTCTGGGGATCGTTGGCTTCTGTGCCCTGCTGGACCTTGTGGTTGGGACAGAGTCTCTTGGTCAGTTGTCACTGCCGTCTCATATATAGTCTTGAGCTTAACCCGCAGGTTCGGAAACTGTTCGAACAGCTTTCCTACTCTGGGATCGTGTATGAGGAGGTCGTCCAAAGGAACACTGTCAGCTTCGACCGAACCGGCCGGTACTTCTTTCAATGAAGGAGCCACAACATTCAGTCCTGAACCGGCGCTGTTACAATCCTGCTTATGGGCTTTGAAACACTGAAGAGAACAACTACCAACCAAGTCAACAACACAACTCCAAGGGAGCAGTTATAGAAAGCCAAACCTTGTCGCCCTACAGGAGGGACAACGGTATTTGAAAGTAGGGTTTCGGCAGACGCTGCAGAGCTGGCTTGACATCGAGGGACGACCGGACAGCCGGTGGGCAGAGGCTCTACCGCAGGGACTGGATGGTCAGTATAGCCAGTCGGTGTAGTTACAGTACCTAGACTCGAAGCGTTTGTTGGCCGTTGGTCTTGGATTTGGTCTTCACGTGCAGTGTGTGTCCCATTCAGAAGCGTGGAATTTTGTCGTTGCGTCGCTGACAAATGGACAGCACGGGTTGGCCGCATGCACGTGACGACCCCAAGCATCTGCTGACTCGCCATCGGACTCGTTGAACTGGAAGTTCTGGAAGAAAACATTTCGAGATTCAAGTTTTGTCCTCTATAATATCAACAGCTTTGACTGTCTCATCCCTACTCTGCGGCTTTCTCGTCGCATTCTATTGTACCATGCGTGGCGTGATACCAGTGCAGACATTGAGGGCTTTGTCCCGACCTAGCGCCAGCGGCAGGCAATCATTGAGCCGTGTTGGTCGGGCTGTGACCACCCGCAATATTAGCCAGGCTGCGAGGATACCCGCCATCACAGCATCGCACGCTCGCCACAGACCTCACTTGCGGCCTGGTCATCAAAGCTCGGCTCTGCCGAAGACGTCAAGTCGGACGATCTATATTCAGACGCAGTCGACTCCGAATCCCGATGCGCTGAAATTCATTCCAAACCATCCTGTCCTGCCTGAGAACTTTCCCTCGACCTTCCTCGAATATTCCTCCCCACGATCCACGATAGGCGGGCCGCATCCGTCTCCGCTGGCGGCGAAGTTGCTGGGCGTGGACGGTGTCAAGTCCGTCTTTTATGGACCAGACTTCATCACCGTCACCAAAGCAGAAGACGTGAACTGGGCACACGTTAAGCCGGAAGTGTTTAGCCTCATTACCGAGGCAATCACTTCTGGCGAGCCAATTGTTAACACCGTCGACAAGGCTACAGCAAGCGAGGGCCAGGAAGGTGGAGGCCCGGACAGTCTAGCGGCCAACGATGACGACGACGAGGTCGTAGCAATGATCAAAGAGCTGTTGGAAACACGAATCCGCCCAGCTATACAAGAGGACGGAGGTGACATTGAGTTTCGGGGATTTCATGACGGGCAGGTGTTGCTCAAACTACGCGGTGCTTGCCGGACGTGTGACTCCAGCACGGTGACGCTGAAAAACGGCATCGAATCGATGTTGATGCATTACATTGAAGAGGTCAAGGGCGTCACTCAAGTCATGGACGAAGAGGAAGAAATTGCACTGAAAGAGTTTGCCAAGTTCGAAGAGAAACTTCGACAACAGAAAGGACCCGATGCGGTGGCGAGTACCGTGGGCAAGGGAAGTCTAGATTATGTTGAGTAAGGCACGGGCAGACTTGCAGGTTGATGTTTTGGTCTCCAACAATGCATCTGCTTTGTTGCACAGACGCAGGCGTTAATATCGGAGTGGGAGATGTCAGCAGCAAGCCGGCGTTATTCAGCCAGAGGTATGCAGGTGCAAGAAGACGAGGCGGCGTACATTAAGCACGCAACCCCAAACCAAACTTGGATTTGGCGACGGCTGCGCGTCGGCACAACAGTGCATTTTGCAGGAATATCATTTCGTCGACGGCCGAGCCCCCACCTCAAAGAAAGCACGAAGCTGAGGAGAGATTCACGATTGACAGATGACAACGCTCTACGTACTCACCAGGTATTTGTTCTCCTCGGAGATGCAGTACAGTGGGTACATAGCCTTTCCTCCGTGGTGTGTGACGTGAGCTGGCACCACAGCTCCTTCAACCAGCGTAGGTTGGCTGAAGACAGCGACCGCGATGCTGGGCTCTTAAATATGACCGTGGAGACAAGATGCTAGGGCCGGAATGGTGAGTACGAGGCTGTACTGGGATGTGATTGTGGGCAGGGTTGTAGCTCGCAGCTACAATAGCCGAACGATTGGAAGATCATAAGGAACTGCGCGGTATATACTCTCGAGGTGGGAATATGACTCCCCGACCACGACTACTGGCTACCTGGGACAGCTACACCTTCAATCACAAATCACAAATATCTAAGGTACCAGGTACATTACTGCAAGGCAAAGGCACCGGGCCAGCGTACTCGCACTACTACTGTAGGAGTAAGTGGGGATTATCAGGCCACTTGCACGTACTACGATTGTCTGCATTGTTGTTCTTAGCCTCGCCGACACTCGATTTGCCCGTAGTCTTAGTATGCCAATGCATCGAGACACACATGGCTACAACTATTACGGCATATTCGCCTCGCCGATCCCCCATTTTTGAACCGCAACAAGGTTGCCATGGCGGGTCAAGTTCTCCTCCGGCGTTTTCCCTCAGGCAAGCCGTACTGCTTCTTTGCTGCAGGTCATATCCTCCGGCCGCATTCCAAGTTCTACGCACGCGGGAATTGGTTCATCTTCGCCTTTCAAGTTCCGTAGACAGCGGGGTACAGGTCAATCCTCTTACTTCACCTCTGGGCACGCCACAGTCATGATACCTTATGCAGCGACTCCTACCTACCTAGGTAGGCTTTATCCATCAGTAAGGTTCTCCACGCCAAGTTCAAGTTGTGCTGCAACAAACTTCGAAGTGGTTGGTGCCCGCAGTCACCATCGCTGGATCCTGTTCAAGTTCTGATCGTGGTCATGGTTGTGGGTGATGCCATGATGAACAGGGATCCGCCGTTGGACGCTCAACTCAGGCTGCATCTCCCCCACAATCAAAATATGATGCCGGCAGTGGTCCCCGGGGGCTCCTTAGGTTTCCTTACCAGAACGCGTCTAGTCCTCATCGTAATAATGATAATAAGCCGTGGCCACTCGTTGCATGCCAACCGCTCAGGCTACTGCTCAGGCTGATGATGCTGCTGCTGGTACTGTGCAACATCCGTATTCTCGCCGTACTAGTAGCCGTCGCCCCCTGTTCCCAGTCCGGCGAAACTGCTTGCAAACCTCATGGTCGCCTGATTCTGTGCCTCGACTTGACCTCCAGTTCCTCAGGCTCCAGGCAGAAGTAAAGCCAAAGAATGATCGCCGGGGATTGCTTGAGCATTCTGATTCCATCTATCATCAAAGAATTCTCTCACCCCTCTTCTTGCAACTCCCCGCGGCGTCTAGACCTGGAGCAATGTCTCCAGAGCGCCTCAGTTGCACCCATTCTACAACATTGTAGTTCCCAGGTACTGTACCTTCAAGCTTGATATGTTCCTGTGATCGATACCACTACTGCCTGTACTATAGTGTCCCTGTCGTTGTCTCTTCTCCTCGGCACACTGACCTCTGCTTGATGCCAGCTGCAGTGTACTGGCAGTGTATTGCCCCCAGTCTCCTATGGCCTGCTGCCAGTGCCAGTGTAGCTTTCCTGCCGTGCCTGGTCCAGTTCCTTTCTGTCTGTCCCGGCGCTCCGAGCACCAGCATCCCTGTCCTGCTTCAGGCCCCTTCTTATTCTTCCCCCATCACATAACTAGCAGTACCATGTACATGTGTCTCTCAACACCACTGTATGATCTCGTCGCTAGATAGGTGTTCTTCACATGGTCGCCTGTCAGCGGAAGCCAAACCACAGATCAGATCGCCATCCGACCAAACACAGTTGGTGCCACCCCGACTGATCCTGACCAGGCGATCCACCGCCACCATCCATGGTTAACAAGCCGCCAACAGCTCGGGCCACTCGCACCGCTGCATTGACAATAATCTCTCCCCTCTCTTGCTTGCTTGCTCAGGGTTAGTTAGCCTTTAAGAACACCCTCGTAACCCCTCGGGGTTGGCGCCAACGCTCATACTGCTAAGCAGTATTGGAGCAATAGGTTTCCAAAGGCCCGCCCACCTCGTCTCACCCGGGGTCGCGTGAGAGGGACTGACCCGGAAAGCAAGAGTAAGGAAAACTCTGTTGACGAGAATCCGGGGAATGGCGGCACACCACTCACCACCTTGCCAGTCACGTAGCTGTGTTCTGATGTAGTTGTTGTAGTTGCTCCTCTTTTTGCTCCTCGCCGACTCATTGCCAGACATTAAATTTGCCCAGAAGCTGGAGCTGGAGCTGGAGAGAGCTGGAGACTCAACGTCCTCAAGCTTGTAACAGATCCCGGGCCGGCAACTCCTCCTCTCGAGTCTCCTCGTCCTCTTCCACCCTGTCGCACTACGGCTGGGACTACTTTACAGTGTCGTCTATTCTACTGCTGTTGCGATTATTCTTGATAAACTTGAACTCCCACTGCAGTGCACTACTACACTACTAGTAGTAGTTCTATTTACTGCCACTACTACGCTCCACCCTTCTCCCACCTCTCGCCCTGGTCATTAAACAGGCACACTGCAACACACAAACACCGTCTTTCGCCGCCATCCTCATCACTCGCAATCTCGAGCGGACTGCGCTGTCGTTCGGCTCTTGGGCGTCAAGTCAAGCGACCGCTTTCCAGATAGAGCGTCCTGCCTTACTTCCTCGTCAGCCCGCGAGCTCTCGTGCCTGAGGTGTTCTTTTCGCCTGACCAACTACTGGCTCAGAAGGCAGCCCCTCGCGGCCACCTCACCTCACCTCGTCCTCGGCTGACAGGACAGCGAGCACTCACCACAACCGCAACCTCTGGCCTTGCCTGTGCCTTGTCCAGCCGCGGGCCGCTCGAAGTGCACGTTGTGTTTGTCTACATCAGTCAATACTACAACTGTCGTTGCCTCACAATATAGTCACTCTGTTGCCTTCTGACGTTGATGCTCGCGTCGTTGATGTATTGGTGCCGCGCCGCTTTCACCTAACGCGAGAAATGTTGCAGTGACCAGCCATTGATTCTTAATTCTGGAGGTAAGTAACATTCAGTTTTACTTTTCTGCTTCAGACCAATGTTCGTTTGTCGGGGTGTCTCCGCGAGTCGCAGCGCGTCTTTCGAGGATCGGCGCGGCTGGGCTTGTGCTTGGTGGCTAAAGAAGCTTCTGTCTGAGCAGTCGAGGCATCTGTCGCATTGACTTCTCTCCAGTTACCCTGCACCCTTCATCATGTACCCATTGTCAGCGGTCATACTGCGTTTGTTGATCGTGCTAATTCGTCGCAGCAGAGATACTTTCAGTTCCTGCTTTTTCATCCGACAATTCAGCCATGAGTAACACTCCAAGCAAGCAGGGTGGGTTGGCCTCTCGGGGCCCCATGCCGGCCTTCGGCACTTTTGGCGCCCACCAAGCTTCGGCTTCCCTCTTGCTCGAAAAGTCCAATCCTGGCTTGCGCAGGTCCACCCCGGATTCCGAGGCGCTGGCCTCCTCTGACGACGAGGTTGAGCACGCAAAGGCTACGGCTGCGAGCAATGTCAAGCCGAACCGGAACGGTCGGAGAAAGTCCTGGCTGAACGATGTCACGTCTGCCAACATCAACCGGAAGCCTTCCGTTAGCGGTCCGTACAGTCCTTCCACCTCGCATCCAGGAACTCCACGATCCGAGCAGTCTCCATGGACCAATATTAACCCTTCCACTGGTGTAGGATGGCCTAGCCAACAAACCTCATATCCCTGGACCATCTGGGGTCAAGACGGTCGAAAAGACCCGCCAGCCAGGCTACAGGAGGTCTTGCCTGCAGCGAACGGGAACGGGGAAGGCGGAATTCCCTTCACCATCCCCTTACAACCAACCCCGAAGACATATCGCTCACAGTCATATTCTGTTGGCCAGCTAGACACCACCTCCGCACCGAGTATACCAAACCCCGTGTCAACATCAGCTGAGGCCACTCGCACTCGGCTTGGTGGCCAATATCCGTCGTTGCAGCGACGCACGTCAAGGACCAGTGGCCTCGGCACCGTCGAAACTGGGGGACTCGGTAGATTGCGTGAGGTGGAGGATGATGAAGAAGAACTCAGAAACAGCCGCATGTCGGAAGCCATCGCTACGGAGCAGGCTCGGATGATTGAACGCTTGGAAAAGGAAAACGCGCAGCTCCGCCAGGCGGCCCAAACGCAGCATGATAGAACCCTTTCTGGCGCATCTACCTCTACGCAACCCCCACCTGGCTTCCGTAACACGCGCCTTCGCGCCGCCGTTCCTGAAGAGGCTGAAGTGGCCGTCGACGACCGGGAGGACCTCCCTCTTTCGGCGGGGTTTGGTGGTAGGGATCACAACACTCGCCGTATGAGTGAGCAGGCGCTTGGATTTCCCGACCGGCCAACCCTCTCCTCCACCGAACACCGCAATTTAGAGAGTGTCAGGAAAGCCCAGTGGCAGACGTCCCTTGGATTCGGCCCCATCCTGGAAGCCCCGCAAAGCCGGCGACATTCGTTTGCTGATGTGCCAACCCGGCATGGCTCTTTCAGCTCCAACGGTAAGGCGACCGACACAATACCCTGGCCGGGCCTTGGAACTGATCTATTAGAACGTGAGGACCAGTTGACGGCGTATGAGAGTGGTTCCCAAACTTTATCCCAAGGAGATGACCGTGAGTTGGCCCTAGCACTGTTACAGCCCGATGAAATCCAGTTGAGAATCCTTTACTTACACAACCGCCGTTTTGCAGCCTCATACTTCAATGCCACAGAATCGACCCGTCGTGCTGCGGACGCTCGTGTCCACCAATCGCATCGTGAAAGTCAGCATTACGGCCCGCTTGGCATCAGTGCTTTCCTCGAACCTGCTAGCCAGCCTCTGTATATTGTCAATTTCAAGTGTTGCCGCTCGGACGTCTTCTACATCCAAGAAGGCACGGGGCTCCACGTCAATGTCGGCGACCTTGTTATTGTCGAGGCCGACCGAGGTACCGACCTAGGAACCGTGCAACATACTAACGTGTCATGGGAAGATGCCCGACGATACAAGGAGTACTATGCCGAAGAACATTATAAATGGCTGATGATGTTCTCGATGCAAAGTCGGAATGGAGGACCCAATGCTGTCAACCCCAATGGAATCCCGGGACGACCTGGGAGTGCTGTCGGTGGTATGGGGCCACAAGGTCATCATGGACCTCACGACGCTCCCCATGCAGACCTGAAACCCAAGATGATCAAGCGACTGGCCCAGAACCACGAGATACAAGCCTTGAAGGATAAGGAAGGAAACGAGGCCAAAGCTAAGCGTGTGTGTCAACAAAAGGTCATCGAGCATCGGTTGAACATGGAGATTCTTGACGCCGAGTTTCAAATGCAAGCAGAAACTACTTACCCGTTTTCTTTGTCCATGGTACTGACTTCTAGCAGGGACAGCAAAAAACTTACCTTCTACTACTTTGCCGACAACTATATCAACTTCAACCATCTTGTTACAGACCTCTTCAAGATCTACAAGACCCGCATCTGGATGTCGGCCATCAACCCTGCCTCTTTCCAGACTCCGACAGCCTCGCTGGGTATCACACCTGTTTACGGTGGTGCGCACGCAGAGGAGCGCCACCGAAGAAGACAACAACCGTCGCAGCAGCAACCGCAACAACCACAACCACATGGGATTGGACCTCAACCTGTTACGACACCATTCGGCGATTCCTTCGATGCCGATCGGACTTTCAATAACCAAGCCCAGGGCATGCGTCCCAACTTTTACAGTCAATTCCAGGATGTTGGGGCAGGCCCTCAACAACTGCAACCGGGTATGGCGTCGTTTTCTCCGACCATGCCCGGACCAATGGACCCTTTCATGTCATTCTACGCCCCGCCATATCAGGGTGCCAGTCCTGGCGGTCCCAACTTTACCGGTGGAAGGCCAGACTTTAGAGGCAGGGGGCCTAATCAACCGGGTGATATGAGCTGGATGGGACGCTTTCAAGGCCTATCGCTCGGCTCTTGAGCGGACTCTGCAACAGTCATGAAAGTTTCAGAGTGAAAGAGGATTTTGTGCTCAGTAACGACTGCATATCGGTGGAAAAGACAAACAAAATGTAGAACTGTGGTCAGCAAGAAGGTACTAGATGGGGCAAGAGACGAAAAGAAAAGACCGAAGATTTCAGTGTCGGAATGGCTGACGATGTGCACGACAAACTGGCGGACATTCGTTTTGCTTTTATCATTAATCAGTACTGTTGATGGGATTGGAAAGATCCGAATCGAATCAGAATGATCATGTGGGAAACTTGAAGACAGGTAATGGTGGTGGATAACTGATTGTTCGACAGCAGGTGGCATGATGGCTGCATGGAAATACTAGTAGGCAAGAGTGTACTCGGAGCTTGACAGTCCCTGTAACATATTGAAATGGAGAATCAAATTCAAGCGTGAGAGCTGATGGATTAACATTCTGTCTGGCCAGTCGGTAGATCTGAAGAATTGTGAGATTAACGTACAGCGAAGTTGGGTTGATCGCGAAAAGTGTTCGTCTGGGCCACAACTTGAAGCTCAGGCACTGCATCCTCATACTACTAGTACCTGGTAGCCTGCAGAGGGAAGCCACTCACCACCTCAGACGCACAACCACTTCATGCAGTATTGCTGGCGGCGAATTGACAGTTCAGTTTCTTTCCCATTTTGTCCTCTGACCCGATCCAATGCTCTCGAGGTCGAAATTATTGACAATGCCTTCCACCAGGACAAAAACAGGTACAGTACTACTAGTACCACACTCTCCCCAGTGCACCGCATTCCACTGCACTGCCAGACACCATTCCAATCCGACCCAGTCTAACAAGCAAGCACCCTGACAGGCGGCTCATCATCCTCCACTCCGGCCCTGCACACAGCCAAATCGACCAAGAAGAGAGTCGAGTCCACTGACAAGACAGCTTCTTTCCCTGAAGAATTGGGTGCAGCGAAACGGAGCAAACTTGCACATGGCGAGGATAACGGGGCCGGGGCAAAACTGGTGTAAGTTTGAAATTGAGCTTGTGGCAATTTAATGGCAGGGTAATGGAAGGCTGACCAAAAACAAAAAAAGTCTCGATCCTGAGCGAATGGGCCAGATCTGCGAGAAACTCCAGGAACCCGATCCATGGCCACGACGGTTTTCCGAATCCATCAAGCATAGACAGGAGAGTATTATGAAGAAGGTGGCTGAAATCAGATTGAAAAGGTAGGAACAGGACAGAACAGAACAGAACAGACACTGCATTTGCTACCTACCTTCCTACCGAGACAACTGATGCCAGCCAATGCACTGAAACATGAACTCGAACTCGTGCTGACGATGGAAATGAAACAAAAAGTGCTTCAGACAGACAAGCGTTCGAAGCTGCATTTGCTCCACTCATCCAAGCAGCATTGGAGGGACTTGGAGGAGACCAAGATGCCAGTGTCTCTGCTGCCAGTGCTGCCACACCGGCAGTGCCCACATCCGCGCCCATCCACGTCCCTTTTCTCGGCGCAGAAGGCCAACCGTTCTGCGACGGGCTGGTCAAGCTCATGCAGCAATCAGATGCCCTGATCTTCGCCTATGACCAGCTCTCGCAACGACAGATGCAACAAAACTCACGCCTGGAGAATATCAAAATGTCTTTTGACAAGGACAAACAGCTCGCGGTGGCCACGTTGGAAGCAGGGCAGGCTGTGGCGACGATGGAGGTGCAAAGATTGTTGGCTGATGGGTTTCATGAAGTTCAGATCGGGGACTCGTATGGGCTCAGCGCAGAAGATGTACAAAGAGGGAGGATGCTGTTGGCTAGGGGTGCGGCTGCAGCTGCGGGTGCTGGCACAAACATGACTGGAGAGATGGCGAACAAGCAGCAGCAGCCTTTAGGATGGGGCAATGTTGCAAGAGATACGGAGAAGGCGATTGAGAGGCTTTGTTATGCTGGTCAATCTCAAGCTCAAGCTCGTGGGCATGGAATTGGGAATGGAAATGGGAGGAATCACTGAGCGATCTATGGTGGTTTGTCTGGCGTTGCAGTTCATGTTGCTCACGGGTGTCAGCTGCCAGTGTACCTAGGTAGAGTATCAGCAGGCCTGCTGGGTTGACAAGTCGAGTTCGAGAGTTCAGTTGTACAACATTGTAGCTAGGTACAACATTGTGGTTGTCTTTGTCTTTGCCTTGAGCCCAGGGCTTATGGAGAGGATCATGATGCCGTCCACCGACCTGGTAATGTGCGATTGGTCAACGGCAGCACCCCATACTTGAAGGACGTGTTAAGACTAGTTCGATGCTAGTGGGTAGATGCCAGCCAACTAATTGCGCGCTAGTGGCAGCACCACGAAACCGACGCCAAGATTCCCTGCCTCGCCAAGCCTGCGCACACTTCGACTGGAAAATTGATCGATGTGCAGTGTGCGGCTTTGGTCTTTGGCTTTTGTTCAATTCGACCGACTTTCACCAACCCGTCTAACGCCAACAACAGTTCTTCGCGAGGCGCAACAGTCAAGGTATTTGATTCAAAGACTGTTGGTATCAACAAAACTAATTCTCTGCAGATGGGTGCCCTCAAATACGTCGAAGAACTTCAGAAGAAGAAGCAATCCGATGTCCTTCGATTCCTTCTCCGAGTCCGCTGCTGGGAGGTGAGCTTCCCCGAAACACAAGACATGAAATGAAGACAGAGAGGCCGCAAGAGAAAAGAAAAGGAGGGGAGCGTGACAGGACATGAAAATGGACATTGTCGCTCTTCTCGGTCTTTGCCAATCTGTGGCACAGTCTGCCTGTGTCTTGCTATACACTCGTTGAACGTTTGCTGAGAGTGCATCAATATAGCTGCGACAATTGAATGTCATCCATCGCGCTTCCCGCCCGTCTCGCCCAGACAAGGCCCGCCGTCTCGGGTACAAGGCCAAGCAAGGCTATGTCATCTACCGTGTCCGAGTTCGACGTGGTGGTCGCAAGCGACCGGTGCCAAAGGGTGCTACTTATGGTGAGTGAGGAGGACACAAATAGCAGGGACATGAAGCTCATACTCGGTTCTACAGGTAAACCCACCAACCAGGGTGTGAACCAACTCAAGTACCAACGATCCCTGCGTGCCACCGCCGAGGAGCGTGTCGGCCGCCGCTGCGCCAACTTGCGTGTCCTCAACTCATACTGGATCAACCAAGACTCGACCTACAAGTACTTTGAGGTCATCCTGGTCGACCCGCAACACAAGGCCATCCGTCGTGATCCCCGCATCAACTGGATCGTAAACCCTGTCCACAAGGTGAGTTGCTACAAATACTTTTGTCGGCTCTGCAAAATGCTAACGTATCGTTTGTTTTCAGCACCGCGAAGCTCGTGGCCTCACCGCTACCGGCAAGAAGTCTCGTGGCTTGGGCAAGGGTCACGGATTCAACAAGACCACCGCTGGACGAAGAAAGACCTGGAAGCGTCACAACACTCTGTCTCTGTGGAGATACCGATAAGCGTATCGCTAGGGAAATGGGAGTTGTCTCTTTTGGTTTGCCTATGGAAAAAGCTCATGGTCAACTTCTGCTCGGTTATGATGTGCAACGGTGCGAGGAGATAGCAACGGCGATCTGTGTCGCTTGGTTTGCGACAAGTTCAAAATCATGGCGAGACAGGCTCGGAGGATGGACGAGCTTCTTCATACGTGGAATGCGTGCAATGCCACTGCCATTGCGATTCCTCTGATGGTCGCGACGGGTTGAGAACACAGATGATACCAAAAATTGAAATGCAAGCATGCGATTGCAATTGTGATTGTGATGGTATCAGTGACTTTCTGCCTTTCCAAGCAGGGGATGTTCTTAAGAATTACTAGTACTGTCCCTGTCGTGCCCAGTCCTTGCAGGTTCTGCCAGTGACACTGCATGCGTAAAATGCGCCTGGATCCGTAGGAATTATGATATTAGCCATGGCATCGCATCGCATGGCGAGGCTTTGCGGAAGATTTCCCATTTCCCCACACTTTTATGCTCCAGCGCAGGACCCGCCCAGAATTTCGGACTGCGGCCAAATAAATTTTGTAACTTCAACACTGCCAGTGACTCAAGAGCATCTGGTATATCGCATCTTCCCCATCCTTTTGGCAAAGTCCATAACCCAAGAACTCGTCAGTCGGTATCTCAGATGACTTCCTAAGCGGTTCCCAACTTGAACTCAAAAAGTTACCGAGGCACCGTCATTCAATACCTTATTGACTGCCTCGTCCGCACTGCCGTACGAACTTGAACATTGCACGATCTCGGCGCCTTTTATACGACACCTTGGTACCTAGTCCTAGGTATACCTACTAGAAGGTAAATCATGCCATCCACGACCATGACTGGTACCGCCGTGACAACGGCAACCACGACAACTACAACCACCCTCAATCTCAAAGGCTCATCATCTTCTTCCACTTCTTCTTCGGCGCCAGCAGCGAAAAGCACAAATGGAAGTGGTTCAGATGATCTCGACATCTACGACGAAATCGAAATCGAAGACATGACCTACGACCCAACCCTCCAAATCTACCATTACCCGTGCCCCTGTGGCGATCGATTCGAGATTGCGATTGCCGATTTGAGACAAGGGGAGGATGTCGCGGTGTGTCCGAGTTGTAGTTTGATGATTCGGGTGATTTTCGAGGTGGAGGATTTGCCTGCTGAAGAGACAAAGGGGTGAAAGGGAAGGGAGGGTGAAAAGCGACAAGAACCATCAAGGGAAAGAACCGTGAGAACCCGTGAAAGAAAATAAGTACGGAGGTGTGATGACGACGACGACGACGACGACGACTGTAATGATCATCATGATATGATGATGAGGATGTTGGTGGCCATTTATTGGAAAAGAGAGAAGGGATGGCTGTGACTACCTATGACTACCATTGAGTACGGGATTGAGGAACCGTACTCGACTAGACTGGACTGGACTGGACAGAAGAGGACAATGATGCCCCAGAAAGGAAGCGGTCGAGTGCAAAGATTGAACCCATCCACAAGCCCGTTTCTGGGGAGCAGGCTTGTGTGGAATGTCATGGATGTTCACATCAGGAGGGGATAACCAGAGTTGGAAGAGTCGAGGCCATAAGGGCAACGGTGACAGCCATGGCAAAGACCACGACCAAGCCGGAATCGCAAACCTCTCTCCCTCCCAATCAGACAGTTCAAGGGGAATCGACGTAACAATGGCCCCTGTCGGACTCTCCAGTCGCTGGGAAGATCTTATTGATATTGGTGGTCTATACACGACGGGCCCCTTATGTCTTTGCAGCTACCACGACGAGCGAAGGAGATTGCTCGCCTGGATTACGGAGACCCAGGAAAACAAAAGTCACACGAACGTCCCCGGTTCATACGCTCCCAGCATACATATTATTTGTTCGTCGAAGCACCGGCAGAAGGCATGGCCCGCAACGGTTCGGCCAGACCGGTCTTCAACCGCAGTGCCATGACATACGCACAGTGCAGAACATATTCGGTACGCTGTTCTGGGACCTCGTCGGATCTGCTGCCGGTGCCCAAAGAATACTCTCTTATCTCGAGTGAGACCAAACACCGTGATCAGGAGTGCACCGCACCGCAGAAACCGTCAGCATCGGACCAACATGAGGTCCGTGAAGCCCTTGTGCCAGAAATTGCTGGCTTCTTGGCTCCCAGAACTTGAATACAGTCAGTCTGTTCGCAGACCGGCATATGGAGTATTGTGGGTGCTCTCTTGAGTCGCGGATCTGAACTGAGTGTTGCCATGAGTAGGATAAGGCAGTTTCTATCATCTAGACGTGAACAACAGTCCAAAGGCAATGCTAGTCCGAGGCTGTTGACATTGATCTGAGGAGCACTGCCCGTTAAGAGTAGCAGGGGACAAACAACAGAGTATTTTAGCCCATTAGCCCTTAACTCAACTTGACTGTCCTACAGAAACCGCTGCCATGCCATGTATGTCATAGGAAGAATAGGACAAGAATGGCCCACTTTCCATCTGATTTTTTTGAGAAAAGATAAACAATAAAAAAGCATTAAAAAAAGCTACGGTACTAGTAGGTATTACAAAAGCCGGAAAAGATATTATTTGTCGAGACGATCGATGAGAACTACTATAAGCAGCTACAGTAGGTCACAGCTGCGTACGGTAAATACTATACTCAACATGAGGACTATAGCCAAAATCCCTTTTCCATTAAAAAGGAGGTGGAGGAGGAATGGCCTCTCCGGAAGCAAAAGATGGAGCAAAGACCATGCAGAACATTCAGAAGTATATGGGAACGATACAAATATACCAAACAGATCAAAAGCAACAAAACTAGGACAATGCAGCAAATCCCCATTTTGAGTTGGGAGAGTAGCGGAACAGAACGTAAACACATACTAGGACCAGTCTGGAGACGGGTGAGAAAAAGAAAAGAAGTAAGAATCTTCAACCCGGCTCAGACACATGGAGGTTAGGTTGGGGAGAAGAGAGACAGATAAACCCGCGGTCGACACGCAGATGGAACGGGATGGGATGGCATGCTATATGCAGATTCGTTGTCTCGAACATTCACTTGAACAGTCTGGTCGCTCGACTGGCCAGAATGGAGCATTGATGTTGATGGTGATGTATATTTCATTCCCGAGAAAACAGAGGCAGAGAGAGTTTGTGTCGGTCTGCACAGGAGGACTCTACCAAGAATAACATCGCATTCCCCCACCGCTGCGTCCCATCTTTCAGCTTTTCAATTTTTTATTTTCTTCATCTTAGCATTCCAGTCAAAATAACCCATTTGAAAGCTGTGCCATGCAGTTGTGGAGAAGGTCCGCGGCGCCTCCGTCTTGCTCGGGGAGGGTGTCCGGGTGACGACATTTTTACACGGTATCGGTCAACATCTTGTTCAAGCGGGCGATCTTGCCAGACACGCTGAGGTCGATGGTGCGCTCGCCAATTTCCACGACCAAACCGCCCAAAATATCCGGGTTCACCTTGCTCGTCACCTTGAGTTTCTTGCCCTGGCTATACTCGGATTTCGAGATGGCGGTTTCAAGGCGTTTGAGGGTTTTGTCGTCGAGTTTCTACAAATTACTCCATGTCAGTGGAATTGAAACATAAGGAGAAGTGTTGGTTTGGCCCCTTGCAAGTAACAGATAGATAGGACCCCGAGGGAAAAGGTTAATTTTCCGGCAGTTTTTTGCCCCCGATTCGACTGAAAGGAGGAAGGGAGGGTAATGTTCTTGGAAATGAAAATGACGGAGGGTGAGTAAGGGATATATATCGCCTTTGCGGTTTGGATCCAGGTGGCTTTTGGCAGAAGCAGCTTGGGAGGAGGTTGTTCTTTTGTTCCATACCTGAGCACTGGTAACAACGACTTCCATCTCACCACGGGCGGCGCTCATCAAGGTGCCAAACTTCTCACAGGCTCCCTCGAGCAGGCTGAGCCGGTTGTGCTCGGCGAGAGCGGACAAAAAGTTCTTGACCGTGCCGCTCTTGTCGGCGCCACCGGTGTGTTTCTCCAGCTCCGCCACAATTTGCGACTTGTCCGTGTCAGACAGGGTTGGGGCCGACAAGATCGTCTGCAGTTTCGGGTCGCTCTTGAGAATCTGGGTCAGGCTGGCGATCGCTTTGGAGGTCGGTTCCAGCACGTTGGTCTTTGCGGCGGCCGTGTACTGTAGAATTCCAACAGGTTAGTCTTTTGCCGCAAAACTCCAAACCATAAATCGTCTTCCGGCTCGTCGTTCGGCGAGCTCCCCAGTGTTCTATTCCCAAGTCGTGACCGAGCAGAAGAAGCTGAATTTCAACACCCGCGATCGGAACGACTTTGCCAACCGTGACGATTTATTTTCCTCCCTCTTCTTTCGTGGGTGTTGGGCTTTCCGCATACCAGAGCATTTGCATAAGTTCCATCAAGTCCGAACAGCGGCACAGGGGGTTTCGGGTCGACGGCCTGTCCCTGAGCTGCTGCTGCGTAGGTTCGGAAAGCAGTCTTGGGAGCTGCTGTGCGGCGCGCGGCGGCGAAGGCGGGCCGCATGAGCCTGGAGGACATCATCTTGAAAGGTGGCTAGGTGAGCACAACGCAGGAAAGATGGACAGAGCGAGTTGGATCGAGTGGGCGAGCTCGAGAGGGGAGATTCAAGATTCGATTTCGACGCACTGCAGGCCGCTTCAGGTTGAGTTCTGAGCTCCAGGGCTCCAAAACCGGTCATTGAAGGTCGGACGCTGCTTGGGCGGGAGCTAGTCCTTATTGGGTTATGCCTCACAATAGAGAGATTTTGTCGACACACTAGTATTACTCTGGCTCTGCACAGGTAGTAAGACAAATATAACCACTTGAACAGTACAGCGTTGTAAATGCATCTCACCGTGGTTTTATAGCAATCTATCTTGAACTGCCACTCTAGATCTGCGCGGTCTATCCACCGTCTATGCCAGGTGGCCGTCCATAAATCTCACCATACCCCTAGTACGCGATGAAAAAGTGCATTTCTCCCGATCGACACCAAACACGGCGTGTACCACTATACTTCATGGCCCATTCCTAAATTCCCGATGACATTCAATGGTAAGGGCCAAAGCTCCAGTCTTCCACATCGTCTTCAATTGTGAGACGGAGACCGTGGACGTCGATCATCTCGTACATTTGAGCAATTGCAGCCCGAGCCTGTTTGTGCCAGGGACCACGACCGCCATTAACGGCATCCTCCTTACTTCGCCAGAGGCCTTGGGGACAATTAGAACAGAACCGCGGACGGAGTTCATATTTCTGACTCACAAGTTGCAAGATTCCTTCTCTCAGAATCGGCCACACCATACCAATACTTCAACAGTCCGCCGCTTGCCGTGGCTTCGGCGTGAGACTCCTTGTCGAGCCTGAATAAGAGGTCAACGTCGATGTCCTGCTTCAGCTTGGATCTAAATTCGACCACGTAGAAGCTTTGGCGTTTCCATCTATATCCTTTGGCCACTGACAGGACTTTCAATTGCGACATGACAGCTTCCCAATTGAAGGCAGCATTGTAATCAACCGTTGCGTAGTCGGGAGTAACCGCTTGAAGGTGAGTCAAGGCCAACGCCAGCAGCTGGTTGGGCGTATTAATGCTTTCAAGATCTAGCTGGTGTTCAGGCTCTAGGTATGGTGAGACCGTGAGCCACCCTTGCCGCTCTCGCTCGGAGGTCTTCTCTGATACTTGTGGTGGGATCTGGGGTATTAATGCTTCTGCCGGGTTATGGTCGAACTCCGACACGTCACGAGCAATGCGCGTATTCCCATAAATGCCTCTTTCTCTTTCCACCTCTAATACCGCTGGGGGTAGGACTGTTGTCATTGAATCAGGGGCAACTTGAGTTGCGCAGAAGGTTGATGAGATGCTGAAGGGATTGAAACAATCTGCCAAAGACAACAGCGTGAGAGCAAACAAACTGGGGAGGAATGGGAGGTCTGGGGTAGCGGTCAATACAGTATAGGAGGTGGTTGACTCAAGGTGTCATTGTGTGAAACCGACATCAGATCACGCAATTGGAGCTTGGAGCATACCAAAGTGCAAACCTTCCAATCTGTAACACGAAATGAGCGTAAAAGAACAAACATATAATCCAGTATGAAAGTAATGCTGGTTTTAGACGTCTGAGAGGCGGTGGACGTTTCTCAATGCCAGCAGGGAAGATGCTGTTGACGTGGACATGTTTCTTCGCGACCAAGCGGGCACTGAAAGCGCCGCGTGTCGGGCGGGCTCCAATGGCCCCGGCGCCATCTGCCACGGTTGATAACGCGCGACCAGTCTCTGCAGAAGTAGAATTGATCAATCGACATTCCGGCCCTGTTTGCATGTGTATTATATAAAAGAGCAACAGCTGAATGGTGTATGCAGAATGGCGGAGCGTTGGGCTGCAATACAAAAGAGAATCAGGCGGCTGAGTGTCTCGCTTTTGTCCAGACTTTACCACATCAGGGCAAAATATCACGCAGCCGTGCAGAGCATCGAGTCCCTGGCGCGACCGAGAGCCGCACAGCTTGTGCCGACTACCATTCAAGACGATTATGGCTGTTACCTCAGTTGAGACCCCAACCTCAATAGCACGTATGATGGCGGATGAAGGTGCAAATGGCTCTGAGGTGTGACCGACACGAGGCTGTTTTATTTATTTGGAGGCAGGCATCGTCTGGGTCTAGGACAGTAACCACCACAACCATTGAACGGCGAGAATAGCTTCAGAAAGGCTCGAGTAGGACACGGTATATTGACTACGTGGGATCCGTCGAGACCCTATCAGAGGATGATATTCGCTCCATCAGTCTTGTCTTCGGCAGATGCTGATCAGGGTCTTCATGCGGTGCGGTGTTGGACCCCGAACAGTCGCGGCGACAACGAGACGTGGCTGGAGCGTCTGTTTGATTGGCGGGTTGGGAGGCTGGACTTCAATGCGGCGACATTTCATTTTTTAGCAGTGAAAAATTCCCGAACGGTTGAAGCCACCTTGACCGTCGCAGCCTCCGTCTCTTCTGTTCTCAATCGCTTCTCAAAACCCTTCCTTGTCCTCATTCCTCCTCAATCCTTATAATCCTCAACCCTCAACCTCTATTCCATCCTCCACCCCCTCCTACCAATAAACTCTATCACAACCGCAATCATGAACGGTGCTCCCGCCCAGAAATTCAAGGTCGCCGACATCTCGTTGGCTGCCTTTGGCCGCCGCGAGATCGAACTCGCCGAGGTCGAAATGCCAGGTTTGATGGCCATTCGAAAGAAGTATGCTGCCGACCAGCCTCTTGCCGGTGCCAGAATTGCCGGCTGCCTGCACATGACCATCCAAACCGCCGTCCTCATTGAGACCCTCAAGGCCTTGGGCGCCGAAGTTACCTGGTCCAGCTGCAACATCTTCTCCACCCAGGACCACGCCGCCGCTGCCATCGCCGCTGGTGGCACTCCGGTCTTCGCCTGGAAGGGCGAGACCGAGGAAGAATACCAATGGTGTTTGGAGCAACAATTGGTATCTTTCCCATCTGGCAAGAGCCTCAACCTCATCCTGGACGATGGTGGTGACCTGACGGCTTTGGTCCACAACAAATACCCCGAGATGCTCAAGGACTGCTACGGTGTGTCCGAGGAAACCACCACTGGTGTTCACCACCTTTACCGCATGCTCAAGGGCAAGCAGCTTCTCATTCCAGCTGTCAATGTCAACGACAGCGTTACAAAGTCAAAGTTCGACAACCTGTACGGCTGCCGAGAATCCTTGGTGGATGGTATCAAGCGTGCTACCGACGTCATGATTGCTGGCAAGATTGCCGTCGTCGCTGGCTACGGTGATGTTGGCAAGGGCTGTGCTCAGGCTCTTCACAGCATGGGTGCTCGTGTGCTGGTCACCGAGATTGACCCAATCAACGCCCTCCAGGCTGCCGTCTCTGGATACGAAGTTGTTACCATGGAGGAGGCTGCGCCTCTCGGTCAGATCTTTGTCACCACCACTGGCTGCCGAGACATCATTGTCGGCCGTCATTTCGAGGTGATGCGCAACGACGCCATCGTCTGCAACATCGGTCATTTCGACATTGAAATCGACGTGGCGTGGCTGAAGAAGAACGCAGCCAGCGTTCAGAACATCAAGCCACAGGTCGACCGCTTCACCATGCCCAGCGGTCGCCACATCATTCTTCTTGCTGAGGGCCGTCTAGTCAACCTAGGCTGTGCCACTGGCCACTCGTCTTTTGTCATGTCCTGCTCTTTCTCCAACCAAGTCCTGGCTCAGATTATGTTGTACAAGGCTGAAGATGAGGCTTTTGGCAAGAAATACATTGAGTTTGGAAAGAGCGGCAAGAAAGAGATTGGCGTTTATGTTCTGCCCAAGATCCTGGATGAACAGGTTGCCCTTCTGCACTTGGACCATGTCAACGGTCACTTGACCAAGTTGACTCCTGTCCAAGCCGAGTATCTTGGATTGGATGTTGAAGGTCCATTCAAGTCCGATATCTACCGCTACTAGACCGTTCGTGCCTCCTGTGGCAATGGTTTAAACTCACTTCTCGACATACATACTCGAACGGCGTCATGGGTTTCCTTTGGATTTGGGGTTCTCTTCTAATGCTCAACGCATAGAATTGGAAGATCAGGTGCTCAACATGCTATGCTTCGGCTGCAAACGAACAGCCGGAACTCAACGACGTGGAATGAAGGAAAATCAATGTGTTTGACGGGGTCAAGACACGAAACGAAAAGTTTGCGGTTCTTTTTCGAGTTTCGTCATGAAGAGATACTGGAAGAGATGAAGATGAATATTACGTCCTTCAACGGACAGATCGTGGAGCTTCATCAGCTTTGCAAAGAGATACCCCAACAGATGATACGTGCTTCTACAAGAGTAGAATTTGAACAGTTTCCTGCCACTTAATGTCTCTCCCCAGTCAGATTAGTTTTAGATGTAAGAGTGTTCACTTTTCACCAGCAGCTAGGTGTCACGCATGAGCTGGCCATCTCAAGGTGGTGGCAGTCTCTGAGCATTATCGACCTGCAACATTGAAGTACCTCGTACTTGTACCTAAGCATCGGCTTAAACTACGCTTATATTTCTTAGATATAGCTTACTTCGTTGTCCACCAGTCAGAATCAAGGGACGAAGCACGAGATAGGACGCTAAGATCTAGTTCCTGCTAAGATGAGTACTAGGACAACTTTGTAGGGTTCCCGGACGCTTCATCCCTCGTAAACTGTTTTCCTTGTTCATCGTCAGGCTCATATGCCCTGCGGCTGATACGGTGTGCGTTGACCATGAGCATCCATCCGCTTGGAGAGATGAGAGTCGGGTAATACATGCGAACCCGCTCTTCCGGTTCGTCCTTCGACCATCAACAAAGGTAGTGTTTCCGTGCAAGCGCCTGGTCAAAATGAGGCATCAACCGCTAGCCAAGAACAATCACCTCTTCGGGGTCGTTGATATGGGAAGGTGCGTGCATCTACGCCTTGATATCCTTCCAAAATCCGACTTCTGGACACCATCTAATGAGGTTTTCGTGCTGAAGTAATGGAATTCGCTTTTCCATATCCGACCTGTCGCCTCCTACGACGCGGGTGCTACCAACATTGTACTTTGACCGAGTAGGTATATCGCTGTATGAGGCCCAGTACGACCCAGAAACAGGAGAAAAAATCCCTGTCCCTTGGCATGTCATTAGAGAAGTGACCGAGGAGTTCCGGCACTTTGTCCATGTCTGTCGAGAGTTTGGCGTCCGGAAACATCGGATCCGGGTCATTGCCACGGAAGCCACGCGGACAATGATAAACTCCAAGGAGTTCAGAGACCATATCAAGGCCAAGACCGGTCTGGTGGTCGAGATGCTATCCAAGGAAGAGGAAGGAAATGTCGGCGCCATGGGCATCGTCAGCAGCCTTTCCCAAGTTCGCGGTCTGGTCATGGATCTAGGCGGCGGCAGTGCTCAAATCACCTGGATCATCTCCACGGACGGAATGGTACGGACCAGTCCTAAGGTGGCAATATCTTTCCCCTACGGGGCGGCTGCCATCACGAAAAGATTGGAAGAATGTGCAAAGGCCAAAGACCCGGACAAGGCAAAGGAGAAATTGCGTAAGGAGATTGTGGACAACTTCCGCCGAGCATTTGACGACTTGGAAATCCCTCAGGAACTCAAGGATGATGCTGAAAGGGACGGTGGCTGGCATCTCTACCTATCGGGCGGAGGCTTCCGGGGATGGGGTTATTTGATGTTGCACGAATCCCAAGAGCAGGGCGCACACTATCCTATCTCCATCATCAACGGGTTCAAAGTATACAAGGACGAGCTTACAAATACGGAAAAGCTCAAGGAGGTCGCCCGCAAAGCTGAGAATATCTTTCGTGTCTCTGACCGCCGGAGGTACCAGGTCCCGGCTGTTGCATTTCTTGTCAATGTCCTTGCCAACACCTTACCCATTGGTATCTCGGTCGCTCGGTTCTGTCAGGGCGGTGTGCGAGAAGGGATTTTGTTTCGTGACCTCCCTCCAACCATTCGAGCACAGGATCCTATTGCCGTCGCCTCGGCACCGTTCGCGCCCGGATCAGCGGGGCACTTCATTACATTGCTGTTGAATGGTTTGCCTCCTCCCTCGGCTTCGCTGGGCAAATCAGTTCCGCCCGCCTTGTCACACCACATCATTGAAGGCTTAGCAAACCTGTCCTTCCACCATGCCTCCCTGAGCAAGGAAACCGCCTCCGTGGCCGCATTGTATACCACGACCACCGGCGTTCTCGCATCCGCCCATGGCCTGTCGCACAAGTCTCGTGCCCTTATTGCCTTGATGCTGGAGAACAGGTACGACGGCGAACTACCACCTCGCGAAGAGCTTTTCAAGTCACGTCTGGCCGATCTTCTCACTCCGGAAGAGGTCTGGTGGTGTAACTACACCGGAGTTCTCATGTGGCTGATTGGCCAGTTTTATCCGACCGGTAGGGTCGTACACCACCCGAAAGTCTGGCTGTCGGCTCGGTTTGCGGGTAATCTAGGTAAGAAGGGAAACAAGGAGGGCGTTGAGCTCACCATATCGGTCCCTCGTCCTCCGGACGTGCAGGACGACGCGGTGGAAAATTCCGCATTGGACTCGTGTTCGGATGAAGAAGGCCCTCTTGTTGGCCGACGACGTATGCACAAGTATGCCAAACATGTGGCCCGCGTCGGAAAGAAGAAGCATTGGGTTGGTGGGAAGGACGGTTGGGGAATGAAGGTCCAAGTCATCGTCGCCGAACATTTGAGCCCTGCCAATTGATCTGTCGGTGATCAGAGAGCGTGGACATATGGCGCGGAATGAAAGGGTATGCCAGCAAAAATGTGTGGGAATCGACGTATTGATTTTTTTTCCTGAGCACGCTTATTCCGGCAGGGTCAAGGACGCAGACAGAAAAGCTACGCTGTTTCCATTCTAGCCCGAGTCCTTCATTCCATAACATTTCGAGATATAAGGACGGTAATCATCCGGAATTCTTTAACGGTTCGGCGTTGACAGTGGCGTATCAGGCTGTCATCTCACACCGTCAATGTCTCTGATAGCAAGAGGATATATCCTAGTTAGCTTTACAGTTAGCATCCCAAGCCGGAGGCATGGTCATTTCCTAGCATGATAAACAGTACAAGGCCCAGTCTTGATTCTACTGATCGGACGTGAGGTGGAAAGAATATAGATTCATGGAGGGTATCATACAGTTGTAGAAATATATTAATTTGGCCCTTTGTAGGTTGGTAAGTTAAAATTAAGCTTTTTCATGGACAGCCGTTGTATAGAATGATGTCAATTCCTCCTATAATATTCGGTCTGCAGCACCAATTCATCATCGTCTCTCCATCGTTGATCCCGAGACCAATTGATACGAATTGCCAGAGCAGATACTGATTCTGGAGGGGTTGCCACCTCCTTCGATACTTTCAAAGGCTTCGATACCACCACCGACAACGCCTCGGACAAGTATGGGTTTCGTATTATCATGATACCAGGCTTCCCGACATCACGACACTCTTCATCAAGAACAACGTGGACTCCTACAGCATTAGACACCTAGGTAGGTGTAGGTGTAGGTGCGCCTAGCCCCAACAACAGTGTTCAATATTGCGAGAATCGAAGTTCAAATTCAACAAATATATGCACCGATTGCTCTGGGCCCGAGTACCAACACTATATCCTGGCCCTAAGCTAGCAGATTACGGACGACACTGGCTGCACGCACCAATCTGCCGCCACATGGCGAGCACCACCACTACCTCTACTGCTGCAACGGCGACGACGCCAAATCCAAAAGTGGACAACAGGAGGATGCCGCCGCGGCCCAACAAACCACCAGCACAGGGCAAGGGTAAGGGTAAACGACCTACCCATTTTTTGTGTCTACCACTAGTCACGGACGAGTCGGTCGCCCAGCTGTCAGAGTCGCTGGAATTTTTCAAATCTGTGACTACTACCACTACTCCTGATACTACGAGATCGTCGGCGACTCTTACGGCCGCCAGCGAAGATGGACCTGAGCCACACCCGAGCCCGACGGTGGCATCCAATACCAACAGTGGAGCCGTACGCGACGAAACTCTCCGTCTCATACCTCCGGCCGCACATCGACCACCAGGGACATTCCACCTGACTCTCGGGGTGATGGATTTGTCACAGGAAGAAGATATGACACTCGCGCTCAAGTTGCTCGAGCAGATTGATTATGTTGATTTACTCCGTGCAGCGGGAGCGGGAGAACTGACGGCAGAACCACCACCACGGGGACCAAAACAACCGCAACACCACGACAGTAGACCGCAAACCAGATCTGAGTCTGAGACTGAGCGTGGCAGCAGAAGAGGCGACAAGGAGGAGGAACGCACAGCGGAAGTTGAAGCACAAAAGCCCGACACGTCGACAGTGACAGTCGTGGCATCGGCAACAACTACAACCACATCTAGTACCAAAGACCAAGACCATGCTCACTCTGGCGCAGAGTCAGACTCTTTGACACCTTCAACTTCGGGTCCAACTTCAGCTTCGCTGCCCACGTCTTTAACGAGAGAAGTCACGCCTCCACCTACATTATCACGAAGCAGCAGAGCTTCCGCTGGCACGGTCAACACCACATCGACATCCTCACTCTCAGTACCGACGACTACACCAACACCAACACCATCAATCTCCTCTAGTTCTATTCCTATTCAAACTCCATCTCCCCTAACAATAACCCTCCACGGCCTCGGTACATTTCCCCGCCCCAGCACCAGCCGCGTCTTCTACGCCAACCCCCTCGACACCACAGGCCGCTTATTACCTTTCGGCAACGCCGTGCGCCGAATCTTCCAGGAAGCAGGACTGATCACTGAAACCCGGCCGTTGGTGTTGCATGCCACCGTGGCGAATTTGATTTATGTTCGAGGAGGATCCAAAAAACCTCGCGGCGGTCGCAACAACAAAAACAATAAATCCGCCAAAAATAAAGATGATGGCACCGTCGACGCCAGGGATATTCTGAGATTTTTTAATGATGGTGCTGCAGCCGACTTGTACTACCAGCAGCAGAAGCAGCAGCAGCAGCAGCAGCAGCGCCAAAGCCAGATCCAAAGCCGTCAAGGACGAGGACAGCTTGAGGTGGATGTCAGTACCACAGAACAGATAATATCTGCATCACCGTCATCATCACTGCCAACCAGTTCACCATCAGCAACGCATGGACTAGGTTCGAAGTTCATCTGGGCCAGAGATGTCAACATCGACCGGATCCGCATATGCAAGATGGGCGCGGAGCCGTCGGACATCCCTGGCTGGGGACTGGAGTATAAGCCGATCGCGGAGAAGGTGTTTCGTTCTTGATGGCACAAGACAAGACGATCCCCCGGACGCAGCTTGGGGTAAATAGAACTAGACGAGCAATCATGCAGCTAGGGGATGGATGGCTTATAGTCTCGTGACGACCCTCGCTCTTAATCCTGAGGACCCCATTGTGTAATGACGGAAGACTCAAATCGTGCGTCTTCTAACATAATATATTCTATCCTACTGCCTTTATTAGTGCTCGATCCTCGGGCACCCCTCTAATGATAATGTAGCCTTTTTCCATCTAGGACATACCCTCCTCCTGTCGATACACCCCGGACCACCTATTAGTGTGCACCATCACTGCGGAGAGGCTAGTCTAGTTGAGCCTCAAACTCGTCCTCATACACCGCCGCACTCTCGTCCGTCTTGATCCGACTGAGCTGTTCACTGATATACTTGTCATAATGACTGTCGGCAATGCTCTTTCTACGTTCCTTTTCGAGAACGTCTTCCTGCCCGAATGCGCTAGACTCGGAAACTGCCGACTGGGTCCGCTCGCGGGAAAAGTATGACCTCTCGCCATTTTCTCCAGCGTCACTATCACCAGCAGCGGACTTGGCGTCGCCGTTGACGCTCGAAACAAAGCTGCTACGGTTGCCAATCGAGCGTGAGGTCGACGAGCGCCGCATGCGTGGAGACCTGTGGCTATCGGGACCGGGAGTACCAACATAGGTGTTCTTCCTCGTCATACCACGACTGAGGATATCGTCGAAATAGTGAGCCGCGGCGGTGGACGGCGTTCGTGGTGTCTGAGGTAGACGACAGTTGATGCCAGTATCATGGATCATCTTGGCCATCAGGCCGGTCCAGCCGCACTGGTGCGACGCACCCAGGCCCCTTCCAGTGTCACCGTCGAAGAACTCAAAGAACCACAAGTAGTCCTTCCAGTGAGGGTCAAAGTCCAAGGTATCATTGCCGGCGTTGATAGCGCGGCGACCATCTTGGTCTCGAGCCATCAAATGCTGCAAGCGATGTTGGATTTCCTCTGCCACATGCCCCAAATGCATGTATTCACCCGATCCAGTAGGACATTCGATCTGGAAGCTGGTGCCATAAAACATATAGAACCGCAGGAGGGACTCGACAAGTAGAAAGTTCACCGCAATCCAGATAGGGCCTCGCCAGTTGGAATTGCCACCGAACAACCCAGAGTCGGAGTCTCCTGGGACGTAGCCGACCTTGAAGTGCTGTCCGTTTACGTCCATGCTATACGGATGGTCTTCATGGTACTTTGACAAACTGCGAATTCCGTGCTCGGACAAGAACTCGGTCTCGTCGAGCATTCTCTTCAGGATCTTCTCCAGTCTCTCCTTGCTGACCAAGGACAAAAGCAGGCGCTCATCCTTCCCACGCTTGCGCATGGAAGCAATGTTGCGTTCTGCAACGTCGTGCCTGTTCTCAATAAACCAATCCATTCTCCGCTTGAAGTTGGGGAATTTGTTGATCAGCTCGGGTTCCAATGTGAGGACCGCGTACAGAGGGATGAGACCAACGAGGGATCGGACGGGCAATTGCTGAGACCATGGGCCACCCCATGAGATGGCGTCGTAGTAGAATCCGTCCTCGTCATTCCACAAACTCTTCTCTTTGCCACCCTCACGGTAGGTCATGGCGTCCGAAATCAAGATAAAGTGTTCGAAGAACTTGGATGCAATGTCCTCGTATATTCTCCGATGCTTGGCCAGTTCGAGAGAAATGTTGAGCATGCAGAGACAATAAAAAGCCATCCACCCAGTGCTGTCTGCCTGCTCGAGGACGCCGCCCGTGGGCAATGGCTCGGATCGGTTGAACAAACCGATATTGTCCAAGCCGAGGAAACCACCCTCGAAAACGTTTTTCCCTTCGTTGTCCTTTCGATTAACCCACCACGTGAAGTTGAGCAGCAGCTTTTGGAAGACTCTTTCGAGGAAGTCCAGATCCTGTCGCCCATACATCTTCCGCTCGATCTTGAACGTTCGAAAAACGGACCATGCATGAACGGGGGGATTGACATCGCCAAAGTTCCATTCGTATGCAGGAAGTTGTCCGTTGGGATGCATGTACCACTCTCGAGTGAACAAATCGAGCTGTTTCTTTGCGAACTCCGGGTCGATCATGGCAAGAGGAATGCAATGGAACGCCGAGTCCCAAGCTGCGAAGAACGGGTACTCCCAAGAGTCCGGCATTGAGAGGATATCGTCCAAGTACATATGTTTCCAGTGGATATTGCGGACATTCTTGCGGTTGGGCGGAGGAGGCGGCATGTTAGGATCGCCGTTAGCCCATTGATCCCAGATGAAGTAGTAATGTTGCTTGCACCACAACATGCCAGCGAAAGCTTGCCTTTGAATGTTCCTCAGATCATCAGCCATGGGAAGAGGGCTGATGCGATAGTAAAACTCGTCGGCTTCCTGCCGCCTCTGCTCGATGATATCGTCCAGCAGCTCCTCGTTGAGATAACCGTCGTATTTGCGGGAGAGACGGAATCGGACCACGGCGCATTCACCCGGAGGCACGCCATCACCCTGACCAAAGTCGTACCAAGCAGCGCATTTGGTTCCTGAGCAGCGAGGATTAATGGCCCCTTTCTCTTCATCCACGATCCATCGATGGAAAGCATCCTTGACGTATGGTTGCTTGTTTTTGGCACCATAAAGCTTTTCCGTGTTGGTATCGTTTTCGGTAAACATGAGTTGAGGGAGCACATCCTCGGCGTCCGGACCGCAACCTGGGGAAGGCGACAGCTGGAAGAAGCGTGTGCCGAGTTTATAGTGTTTCGACTGCGCAGTCATGGGCCCGACCATGCGAATGTTGGGTTTGAGCTTGTCCGGTTGATGACCCCAGGTCCAGGTATTGCGGAACCACATGTGTGGGATGATATGCAGGGGCGCTGGCTCTGGACCCCGGTTGTAGGCAGTCACACGAAACAACAATTCTTCTGGGTCGTCCGCCTCCTTCGCCGTCTCGATAAAGATGTCAAAGTACCGATCGTCCTTAAAGGCGTCGGAGTCAATGATATTGAATTCTCGTTCTTGTTTGCCTCGTTTGGCATTCTCCTCGATCAATTGCTCGTACGGGAAACGTCGTTGGGGAAGCTTGTAGAGATATTTCATGTACGCTGTTCATAGATTAGTACGAAACTCGGAGCGGTGGACTGCAGGCCTACTCACAATGTGTTGGCGTGTTATCGAGGTGAAAGTGCGCCTCCTTGATACTCTCGCCATGATTGCCCTGGGGATTGCTGAGACCAAAGAGTCTTTCCTTCAGGAAGTCATCCTTTTCGTTCCAGAAAGCAAATGCCACGTTCTGCAGGCCGTGGCTGTCGCTCACACCTGCAATCCCGTCTTCGCCCCAACGGTAGGCCCTGGACCTGGCTTGGTCGTGCGAGAAATGGCTCCATGCATCCCCGTTGTCGGAGTAGTCCTCGCGGACGGTTGCCCACTGCCGTTCAGATACATAAGGGCCCCATTTCTTCCAGTATTTTGTGCGTTCGCGGTCTTCTTTCAGCCGCTTCTCTTCCTCACAGAGGTATTCGTGGTGGTCGACTACAACCATCTTGAAGTAGTGATAAGGATACTCCGGGGGGATTCAAGGAGGTTCGTTCCGTTATGACGGGCTAGTACATGTCGTAGGTGTTCGGTAGATGAAGCTTCAGGTGGAAGACTCAAACAAGAGAGGATAGCAACACCGTAATTGTGCCACTGCCCGTAACTTGGAACAAAAAAGCAAGAGCTGCTTGATGGACAGCGTAGCCGAATGGAAAGAGCAATCTACCCGGTCCAGGAAAATAAATTGATTTTCTCCGTCTGTCAAAAGTCAATCGTGCAATTGACTTGACCAGGCACAAACCTAGGAACACTGCAGGGAACCAGGTTGGTTTTGGGGCTCGTTAAACGTTCAGACAACGCCAGTCTGCAGCATAAGCGTCAGTGGCGTTGACAGCGAGCGAGAGCGAGGGGCTCGAGGCGGTCCTCCACCCACAACAGGGAACAAAAGACCAACTACTGCCACTGACTGGGGACAACGGTTGATCTATCCACCAACTAGTGGCGATGAGCAGTAGAACTCAAAGTCGCTACAGTGTCTGGACCATCGAAAATCCCATCTCAGCCTTCCCAACGGAATTGCCTTTTTACTCGCCTCCTTCGCTTTCGCCTGCGCTACTGATCTAGAGACTCATCAGTTGGGAAGTGTTAAGCCATTATGGTATTCGTACAATTGTATCTGGTGGTGCTCTAAGTACTGAATGTCGCAGTGCCTGTGGCAGGACTTTGGCTAGTAGAACCCGCTGAGAACCCCAATCGTATTGATATCTCCTTCACCAGCCAGTAATTTCCAGCTACGAGCACCGAACCCCAAAAACCCAAGGTATTGAAAACATCAAACACATGTCCAGCATGAAGTGTCCGCCCTTCAGCTGGCCACAGTAAAGGATATCAAGAGATACCCGGCAACCTGTGCCTATGGTAGTTGTGTCCGCTCCAGATCCTCACTTGAATAATGCCAAAATCTCCTTCATATGCTGCTCACGCACTTCTTGTTTGCTCAGCTGCTTGTGGTTTTGGTTCATCGAGACATCGGCCAGCTGCTGCTTTCGCTTTTGTAGCTCCACGATTTTCCCTTCGATGCTGTCGCGCATTTGGTACCGCTTGACCAGCACCGGTCGTCTCTGGCCAATGCGGTAGATCCGGTCGACGGCTTGCGCCTCGGCTGCCGGGTTCCACATCGGTTCCATGATGAAAGCGCGCGATGCGGCGGTCAAGTTCAGACCCTGGCCGGCTGCTTTGATCGATGCCAGGAGAATCCTGACGCTGTTGTCAGACTCCAGAGCGTCCATGGCTTGCTTGCGGGCGTTGAGTGACATGGTGCCGTCGATTCGCACAAACGAGTAGCCATTGTCGCTAAGTGCCTTTCCAATAAGATCAAGATGTGAGGTGAACTCGGAGAAGACGACACACTTTAGTGGCGGCTCTCCAGCAGCCTCGAGTGGCTTGCTTTCTTCGGTCATGACGGCTATGTCCTGAAGGAGCGCTCTTGTCTTTGTATGAGGACCAGTGTACACTTCAGGCGAGGCTTCATCCCCCTGCGCAATGTTGTCGTCCGGTGCAACGTACACCTCGCGTGCCGTGGATCCACTAAATCCAACATACTGAGCAGCGATCTGTGTCGAGCAGAACGGGCATTGGATCGGATGGTCGTTTGGTAAGCTGTCGAAAGCCGCTTTCTCGGGCTCGAAGCAATCCGCGCACACCAAATCGAAACAAGGTAGGACGAAGCACCGTATGCGATGCTCTTCGTCTTCCATCTCCTCACTTTGCACAGTGTCGCTGCTGACTCGCTTTTCACACTTTCGGCAATTGTCGAGCTGGGCCTCGGCCATGAGGTTCAATGACTCGTACGCCGCCCGACGCGAAATGGTTGGAAGAGCGTCTTCACTATCCACGTCAATAGCATCCGCAGCACTGATGCCTTTCAGCTTTTCCAGATCCTTCCCCTTGAGTAAGTCGCGTCCATGAGCACATATTAATCTCAGAGTCATGATACCACGGAGCACATGGTGTTGAACTCCACTGTTCTTCTCCTTGGTGCTGGCCAATTCCTTGATTTTGACGTGCGCAATCTCTTTGAAGAAGTCATGCAGTTGGCGCTCCTCTCGCGAAAATTCCAGTCTATCCACGAAGTCTTCTCGCTTAGGTAGGTCAATACGGTCGCGTAATCGACGGAGGGTGAAAGAATCCACAAAAACTCGCAATGCCTTCAAGAACCCGGGATCGCCAGCCTGTGCCGGGCCTCGGATGTACTGATTGAAACGTCCAGCTGTGTCATAAGGATAAAGTCGGAGAAACCTAGTAAGTGATCCGAGGTCATCCAAACGGTTTTGAATGGGCGTTCCAGTCAGACACCACCGACGCTCTGCCGCAAGGCTATAGACCGCTTGGGATTGGAGTGCCTTTTGCTCACGAATCGTGTGTGCCTCGTCCAATATGATTCTGAACCAGTTCAGTTGCCTCAAGGGAATTGCAGAGCTCCTGCCAGAAAATTCGGAAGCCACCACGCCGTAGGTCGCAATAACAATGTCGTACTTGGAAAGAATGAAGGGATTGCGTTCTCGACCAGGCCCATGGTAGACGTAATGGGTCATCGTGCCAGGTTTGATATGTTGGACAATTTGGTCTTCCCAATTCTTGACGGTGCTGGTAGGGCAGATGATCAATGTGGCACAAGTGTTGCTTAGAAGAATGTTGTCACTTTTTTCGCGAACCACCTTCGCTTGCCCAAATGCTTTGGCTTCCCCCGTGGTGCTCGCAACCAGAGAAAGGGCTTGAAGCGTCTTGCCCAAACCCATGACATCTGCGAGGAGTCCGCCCAGAACTTGATCGGGCTCTTCTCTCGTAGATATGCCTGTCACAACCTCGTGATAAGTTATGGCACCGGTCCTTGATTTCTTTCGCCGCCACAGCGAAGAGTTCTCTGATTCTGACGCGCCGAATGTTCTTGGGCGCTCGTGCGTCAGCATGAATGTGAGAGCCTGTTTCTGATGGCTTAAGAGAGGTGTTACGATGGTTGAAGGCGGCTCGGTCTCGGCCAAAGGTGCAGCCGCATTGGCGAAAGAATCAAAGAGTTTTGACACTGCCTCTGTTGCCTCTTCGAGAGTCCGAGTGTCTGGAAGGAGGCGAGGCTGTGGACTGCGGGCAAGGAGAGGTGGCATAGCATGTCGCTGAGCATGAGGATTCAGGGTGGGAATGCCGGGCTCTGGCGCCATCGGTGGACGAAACCAGAAGTTGTGCTGACCAAAATGCTTTCCAACTTTCTCGGCATCTCCTCTCCGGCCGTAGAGATTCACGACCATCTTCAGCTGTTCAGAGCAGGGTTGATGAGCCCACTCATCTGGCTTCTTTCGACGATTGACCAATTTTGCCTGCGTCCGAAACCCTTTCAGACCGTCCATGGCAGGCGCTAGAGCGGCAGCAAAGTCCTGGTTGACTCTTCCGAAAGTGGTGTTCCAAGGGTCAACCACGTGGATGACCGTGTCTTTGGAGGGTGTGCGCACAAGGGTAACTTTCATAACCGGCCATTCGTTCTCGCGATGTAGCAAGGACTCGGATTTAGGCTTGGGAGTGAGGTATGCAGCGGCAATTGTGGAAATGTGGCCGTAGCAAACCTCTTGGTCGTCAATCGTACGAGTAGCGACAATCTCAACATCATCATCCCCATCATCGTCGTTGGTAAGATCCACCAGATTGTTCATGGCGGCTTCAGCGGCCTTCTCCGGGTCAGGTCGCATGTACTCGCCAACGATGCCGTTCGTAGGATGATGCGAGAACGTGCTGCGTTTCTTCGCTTGATCAACATCGGGCTCAGGTTCACTGGTCAGTTTGATCTTCTTGCGGGGGTTGTGGACCCGTGACTCGACGCCATACACACTCTCGAGCATCGATTTGGGACCACTGTTCTCGCGGTTAAGGACCCCAGCCGGCGGCGGGGTGTCCAACTTGTCTCCGGAGTTGGCATCAGACATTGTGGGCCTCGGCTTTGACGCGCTCGATATCTTCTGTGAGGAGCGAGGGTTGAGGAGAGATCGAGCGTCGTAATGTAAAGATGCCCTTACAGGGCTCTGACCAAGAGCCGAGTGACCTGGGCGCAAGCTTGGAGATGATGCTGCATTAGACCCGGGCTCTGAAGAAGCAGAGCTGCGGTTGTGAGGTATGCCTGAGGTAAGATCAAAAGTCAGCCTATGTTCCGGCGCGATACAGGGTCAAGTTAGGGTAACGTTCTGACAAGATCATGATCAACTTACCGTCAGGTTTGGCTCCCTTCTTCAAGGACTTGGGATCAAGAAGTAAACGAGCGTTGCTAGCCATTGCGGTGCGGCAGCATATATAACCAATCTCCTAGCGCGGTGAATAGCCAGACAGTGAATGAAGGAGATTTAGCAGGGAAGCAGTGGCGAGTCATGTCGTGGCATCGTCGCCCAATGCACTGACAGTGAATGCGACTCCAGGGACTTGGCGCGCAATGTTGTGGGAGATCTCTCAACAGTGAAGACGAAGTCGAAATATCATTAATGCCGCTTGTACGTGTATCTTGAGCATTAACGTGGATAGCGATTTCAAGAGTAGTTAATCTCAAGGGAGAAGAGGAAGGTCGCAACTACTACCAATTCAGTCTGCACTGCAAGCCTAATATCTTGCCTGAAGCACTGTGATTTGAGGTCTTATGAAATGCAAAAGTCCACTTGTGAGTATGGAAAGTGAAGATGCATTATTAGGAAGTGGCGAGGCTCCCAGGCCAGAAGTAGTAGCCTCCAAGTCGAGGCACATGTTGCAGACGAGGCTGCGCCAAGCCTTGCTTATTAACCACGAGGCTACGGCGAGGCTCATGCATTGTACTACAACTAATACAACCACCGCCATGTGCACGCTATCTACTCAGGGTGAAAATGGAATGCTAGGGGAGACATGAGGTATAAATCGCATCATTAGACTATGTTTGGCGCCACTGACCATGCTCTCTCATGGGATCTTCTCTAGAAGACCCCGAAGCACGAAATAAATGGAGTCGCAGAGCGTTTCTTCCGAGCCGCTGCTACACAAGGGAAGAAGACCAGCCGCCAGAATGACCAAGGTACAGGAGTGAGACTACCACCGACAGTGGCATGGGACGAAATATGTAACAAGGAAAACCGCCTCTGCTTCCTTTCTGACCACTGCCTCGCCGCAACTTTTCACCAACGTTCCTGTCTTTTGGTATATCCACTTGCAGCATCAGCGAGCCATCTGCCTATCTTACCCGCTGTGCTTTTTCTTCTCTGCTGAAAAGGACCAGCCTGTGTCCCACTCTCGCTGTTAGTGCGCCGAGTTTCTGGCTGTGCATTGTCTGAGCCTGTAAGGCTGTTCGCTTCAGAGTGCGCTCCATCATCATTGCTCAGTGTCTGCGCGATCGCTGCATCATCTTCTATCTGCTGCCTCTGCTGCAGTCGGGCCTTTTCTTCCTCTGCGGACAGAGATAGGGAACCCGTATCACGGGTAGCGGCGGAAGTGGATGGAGAGGGCAGGGTCGGCTGTTCTTGCGTTTGGCTCGTGGCCCCACCACCGACCGCCATATGATATGACGGTAGCGGTTCGGTGTGTGGTTCGCCTTCGACAGGCGGCATCGTTGACTGGGAAATCGCAGAACCAGGACGACTTTCTCCGTCTCGTTCGAGTCCCAGCGTAGTGGCTCCAGCGGTCTCTGCTGCGTAGTTCGGGTTGTCGGGGCTATAAGCCGGCGGACCACTCGTGGCTCGACTTGCGTATTGGTCGTTACTCGATGGGCCATAGGTTGAGCCCATGGGCTGGATGCCTTTACTGCGGAGTTTGGCTTCCTGGATCCGTCGCGCGCGGAGCGCCCTCTCTTCATCGCCGCGCTCTTTCCAGTATTGGTAGAGCGGGCCGCGGGAGTATTCGTTGCTGAAAAGGGACGGGGCCATCGTGTGACTGGATGTAGTCAAGGGTAGTATGAGTGGTTGAACGGTGGGAGTAGAGAAGGCAGCCTAATAGTAGGCAGTATCGTACGGGTTGGGGCGGGCTGTGATGGTTAAACAACAAGTGGCGTGGCAGGCAGTGGAATAACGAAAATGAAGAGATGAGAGGCAGGATAGGATCAAGATATCACAAACGGGACCCTTGAGGTCTACTGGAAATGAGTCGGCTGACCGGGTTTCTAGGTATAAGTACAGTCTGGGTCGCTTGAGGTGACGCTGTGGCCTGTGATGGTGTTGATGCGGGGAAGATGTGAGGAAAGAATCCGGGGCATGCTCTCGTTTTCTCGGCGGCACAATACGAGGAGTCGCAAGCAGTCGCTTCAAAAGCCGATGTGTCATGGGTAAGTCCGAATGGGTTTTAATTTGTTGCAGTTTTGCGTATGATGGTCCTTGGATTTGTTGCGGCCCCGATTCCATCAAGTCCCGAAACCCTTTTAAAATATGGCTCATGTGACACCACAAATGCGCATCGGGGATTGATCGACTGCAGACGTCGTCCGCCACACTCACAGCCCTATTTTTGGACGCAAGCACGGGTCGAAATACACACAACAAAACGAAGCAAAACTGGCGCAGTAGGTGGGCGTAGAAGAAGGTCAACATCAATGCCGAAGGAGTATCATTGGTATCTGGAGCACATCCGTCACCGGATTCCGGTGAGTATCATCATGATAACCGTGTTCCGTTCGCATTTTCTGTCCTTTGTGCATATTGCGTTCGCCATTCCGCGCAAAAACTGCAAGACACCATTTAGAACACAAGAGCAGCACCCTTCGTCTTCTTGTCACCACTAGAATCATAATTAGTCTCCGAGGCCACGGACATGGAGGGAGCAGCGCGGCGTACCCCAACTCGAAATGCTTGCAACGCTTCAGCGACAGTTGTGCCTTCGTCTTGCACACGGTGCACTCCAATCTGAGCACGACCTTCTTGGTTGTCTTGGCTTTCTTGTGGAACACGGGCTTGGTCTGACCACCATAACCGGACTGCTTGCGGTCGTAACGACGCTTTCCTTGAGCGAACAAAGATGCCTTCATCCCAATGTTAGCCGAATTTCCTTCTCGATCGCGCGAATGGTGGGCAGACTGACTTTTCCGGCCTTGTACTGGGTGACCTTGTGCTGGGTGTGCTTTTTGCAGGCCTTGCCCTTGCAGTAGGTGCGGCGGGTCTTCGGAACGTTGACCTGGCGAAAAAGAAATATTAGTATATTGTTGACCGAAACATCTCGCGGTGGAATTAATCGGAAATCTCGTCCTCCTCTTCGCTTTGCTCCTTCACATCTCGCAAGGTTGAACCGCATAGAAATCGTTGAAATCTCCGTCGGAGGAGATGGACGAAGCATCCGGAAGAGCAGAATTCGCCGGTCGCACACAAATGGCCCAAATACGTGTCTCTCAGCTCAAGGTTGTCCGACAAAGATGTACACGAACCGCCCTTGCGCCGCATCCCGAATCCAACTGCAATGAATGCTGAATGGTGTTCAACTCACCATTTTGACTGATTGATGGTAGCGTTCCTTGAGGCGGCGGTGTTGTCGAACTGATGGCGGATGTCCAGATCTGAGGTCGACAATGTCGGTGCAACTTGTGAAGCCCGCAGCCAGATGCCAAGACGCACATTGCGAACAAAAAAGTGCGTGTCAGGACCACCAAGAAAGTTTGCCGAAGGTAATCGGTCATGTGACTCGACTCGAATACGGACACGGATTTACTTTCAACCGTTCCGCTCGGGGAACTTTAAACTTGGAAGTGCCATCAAGGTGGGTCGTGGGAGCTCTACGCAGCCGTACTCCCTAACTCGACATGCCCAAGCCTGCCTTGTTGGTGCTATTGCGTCCCCTGTCGAACATTTTCTTTGTTTGGCGTCAGGGTGTAGGCAGGCTGGGGAAGTCGTGTTCAATTAGAGGGTAAAATGGCAAATATCGCGTTCGAAGACCTCTCTGGAGCCTCCACTCCTGTAACATCCAATCCATATGATGGATTGATCAACGCTTGTCATGGGGATCCTGTCCGTATTGCTATTCTACATTCCATCATCCTTTCTGATCGTTTCTCCAGAAATTAATTCAAGAACGGTACTCGGCTCACCGAGAGGCTAGAAACGCCCAACAACGGGAAAAGATACTCGGCCCGGATTTCACCGGCTGGACCTTGGATGAGTATCTGATTAAGTTGGAAGGTCCGCAGAAGGATGAAACCTTCCAGGATCCGCGGCATTGTCTCGTGTTCTGGGGAAGGCCTCCCGCAAAGGTCAGGAACTTGGTCAAAGTGATCCAGACCAAGCTTCTGGACGCTGCCCCAGGTACGTTTGATTCGTGGGCACCTTAACTGGATATGTCGACTTACAAGCTAGATATTTGGATCATGCCGCCGGACAACCTGCATATGACAGTAATGGAGGTTGCTCATTCCAAAACTGAAGAGGAGATCGCCGGTCTGGTGGATGCTGTAAAGGCCCATTATAAAGATATTGCCGACTACACAATGTCGCACCGTGCAAGACTGGTGAAGCCACTGCTCAGTTATGATACTGCCGCTCTAGCATTGAGCTTTGTCCCGGCGGCGGGCGAGACCACTTCGTATCGTCGCACTGCAAAGGATGATGAGTACACGTACCACCACCTCAGGCGAGACACTCATGCAGCACTTACCGAAGCTGGAATTCAGGTTGGCTCAAGATATGTCGTCCCCTCAGCGCATCTGACGATTGCGAGATTCAATTCTCCAAACGTCTTTGGCGAGGACCCGCTCGAAAAGAGCGTCACCCTCGATATCAAAAAACGGAAACATTGGATCAATGAGCTGGAATTGATCAACAAATGGCTTGAGGTGGAGTACTGGCCCGAAGAAGGGCATCTTATCAAGCCCGGTGGTGAGTGGGTGGTGGGCGAAGAGAAAGGCCTTGACTTCCGAAAGGGCACGTTATGGTACGGCGGTGGTGAGACTGTTTACCTCGGGGAAGGCTTCGTCCACGAGGAAGTCGTTGCAAGTTGATGAGAAAGTGTCCCCGGCAACAGAAGGGCGGTCTTTTAAAAGATTGAATGAACCGGCGAGGCACTTGACAACTCGCCCGCCGTTTTGGAGGAGTTATGCCATATATCATTCTATGACCTATTAACGGCTGTGCAAAGGAGGGGAGGTGGATGGGCGATGTTCCTTGCCGGCCATTTCGACAACGGTAGGAGAGAGTCTTGAGTTATCTGGCCTTGAGCTTTTCTCTCTGTGATGCTTAGAATTGGGATCCTGTCCTCTTATCAGTATACGATAGAATAAGGTATATCCGGTGCTTCTGCCTGGGGCATATTTGGGTTTGAGATTGAGCCGTTGATGGCTACGTGGTTGTGCGGGCAGGCAGTCTGCCAGACAGCCACTCATATCGACTTCGGAATACTATCGAGTACATACTCGCTCGACGTGTCTCCCATGATGAAGAAAGCAACATATCTTTGTACCTAGGTAATGAGAATAACCTTGAACCTGACTAATAAGTAAAGCATAAGCTTCGGGTCGCAATGACGCTGTGATGACGCTCAGGAAGGAACCCGCACAACATGTCGTGATTGTTAAGCAGAATACGCGGAGGGTCATCACCGCCCGTGCGATAAAAGGATAAATAAACATACTGCCCTATCCAGGAACCAGATGGTTCAAGAAGACACCCAGCAAGTCGCTCGAGCAGGCATTATGGCTGGCGTCAAGGTAGTCAACCGGGCCGCATACTTGAACCGCGAAGACCCGGAGATCAGGATCCATTATGTCGAGTCTTACCCGCCATCCAACCAGCAAAAGAAAGGCACGATTCTGCTAATTCATGGCTTCCCGGAAACATCATATCAATTCCGTCATGTAATGAAGCCCCTGGCCGAGGCAGGATACCATGTCATCGCGCCGGACAAGACGGGCCACGGATTCAGCAGCAAACCCATTGGCAACCTGCATCAGCAGGATCCATTCACGAAGAAACAGCTGGCAGCAGATCTGCACTACCTTGTGATGCATCTCATCGGAGTCAAAGACAAGATCCATCTCGTCGGTCATGATATCGGCGGAATGGTCGCGCACGCGTATGTGTGTCAGTTTCCCGAAGACGTAGCCAGCGTCAACTGGGGAGAATGTCCACTGCCAGGGTCGACCATCTACGAGAGCCAAAAGCACACACGAGACCTATGGCACTTTGACTTCCAGAGCCACCACCCAGATTTGGCTGTTGCGTTGGTCCAAGGGAAGGAGAGGATCTACCTCAAACACTTCTACGACCGGCTCACGCAGAACCAGGGCGCCTTCACACCCGACGTGGTCGACTTTTACGTCTTGCAATTCAGTGCCCCCGACGCTTTACGCTGTGCGTTCCTCACTTATCGGGCCTTCGAGACCGACGCGCAGCATAACAGAACGTGGAGGGACGAGACGGGAAAGGTGAAGGTTAGGGCCATGGTGCTTTCGGGTGCGGGTAGCTTGTTTGTCGATGTCGCAGGAGACATGGCACGAGAGTTCTACGACAATGTCACTGTAGGTGTTGTACAGGAGTCGGGTCATTATCTGGCGGAGGAGAACCCCGAGGGCTTCGTTCGGGAGGTATTGAGGTTCATTGAGGCTGAGGCTTGATTCTGGCTAGATACTTATAGTTTAGATCGGTGTACAATACAACTACCCCCGATCTGGCCGTCCACTTCTTGAGCCAGAAGACGGGGAAATCGAAAGCGACCGAAGATGCGAATTGTCAAAGTGTCCAATGAGATGAACTTGAAGTTGGCTGACCTGGGAGAACACCGGAGCGCGGGCCGGGTTGAACAACAGAGAACGATGGAGCGATGTCGTTTCGTTCTTAATTGCTGCTGCTGTATTGGACCTCGGCATCTGCTCGAAACTCCACCGTCGGCTTTCAACTGCGACTCGACTGACCTGCGCAACGGCCAAGTCTACCATCTTATATCTCCTTCAGAGACACTTCTCTCTTCTCGTACTTCTTGTTATACAGTATCTATACAGCGTCCACAAACAGAGCCCTCGCATTCCCGATCGAACACGGAAGTTCACCATCGACTAGACATCCCCACACTTCATCAACACGATCCATTGTTTGCGACCACAGCAGGGACACAACACGATCACAGTCGTTCCCGGTCTCTAATCACTTACAAAAGCCTGCTGCTCGAAGACCATTCAGTCGTCAGCGGACGCCATTTGGAATTCAATACCTCGTTCAACTCTTGCAGTGGTGTACCCCGTTACGAACCCATTTCCCATTGATCTCTCCGACGGCGATCACCCCGAGTTTCCCCAACTAAAGGGTATCCTCAATCGCGACCTCCAAAAGAGCACAAACCACAACCTGGTCGAGACAAGGACGCGCAATCGTCCCGGTCGATCGTCCATCCTCAGCTCTCTCATACACATACGTAAATCCAGAACAAAACCAAAATGTCAAAGACCTTCACCACGGCCGAAGTGGCCAAACACACCGCCAACTCCAATGAGGGCATGTACATCATCATCGACAACGGCGTGTACGACGTGACCAACTTTGTCGACGAGCACCCTGGCGGCGCGAAGATTTTGAAGCGAGTCGCTGGAAAGGACGCCAGCAAGCAGTTCTGGAAGGTATGTTTCTGTGTCTATCTATTTATCTACGCGCATTACATGTGGGAGAATCGATGGCGGCTAACATGATATGATGGCTCAACTCTATAGTATCATAACGACTCGGTTTTGAAAAAGTACTCTCCGAAACTGAAGATTGGCGAGGTCGCTGAGAAGGCGAAATTGTAGACAACTCGCGGATCGGAATCTCGGATCGCCCGTCTCGCAACGGCTGCCCCAGACGCAGTGGTTGATGTGGTATAAAGACGGGCTAGATGCGGAGACTCGGAATGACGACTTTGGTCTGTATATATGTAAAAGGAAGGGGGAGGATGCCTGCATACATTGCTGGTATGGAAAGACGAGGCCAAGGGGAGCCACAGGACGAGCGAATGGTACTTGATTGTGAGGCCAGAGTCCGTCTTCAAGTCAGCGCACCACCATAGATGATAAAGGCAGGCATGCTGCATCAACGAAGAACAAACCTCCGAAAGCGACGAAAGAACCCGACCCAGCATATATCTGCGAATATATACATATATTACTAGCATTTGGAGTTGTTATACCATGCCGATTAGTTCACCGGGGGAGAGTCTGATACAATGTGCACTGCGGGATTAATTGTAGATTCATGCATTGCACGTCCAGTTCAGACAGGTTTATTTGTGTGTCGACGGGCTCGATGGAGATTGGAAGGCGGAAATCAATTCTATAGTGCAATTCGGGTAGATGTATATGCGCTGCGAGTGCTTGCAAGATATGGGTATCAAACTTAGCAATACTCTGCAGAGGTCTCCTAGGACTTCCGCCGCCTTCTCCATGAGAAACCGAGCCGACCAGTTCCTGCATTTTATTCCTCCCCAGCTACACCTGCTCAGAAGCTCTTGAGCAAAGCTGAATTGGATTGGATAGGATAGGATGAGGAAGTGTACTGTACCTTGTAATATTAGGCACCTAGGTGTTAGGGGTCCTCAGCTGCCGATTTTGAACCCGCTAAAAGCGGCCCACCTGTCCAGGCAAGTTGAAGGGTACTGTACTGTACAACCAATAGACCGGAGTCCAGTCTTTGGCGTCTGTCATGGAGAGAAAGACGTTCACGAGTCATCCAGCATACATTGAATCATGCGCTGCAGTGGCATGTTGTGCAGTGGCGAGAAAACTGGACATGTCCGTCTCCAGACACATGTAGTGCCGAGGAGGCTCAGATTGGTCAGGCAGGGATTTTGGACCCAGTTGGATTGGTATTAACATGGTCCAAAAACCCTGATGAAGACGGCAATTTCAACTCTGGTCCCAGACATGGAGTCGGGCGGCTGCCATGACCCTGGGGTACGGGACATACTTGGAATGCCGACTTGAAGTCGATGCTGAATGATCTTGATCTTGCTCTTTCTCATACACTTCCTCACCTGGGTCATGATAGTTCCACCTGCTGTCGTTGCATAAGTGTCCCAGCACCAGCATCGGCGATGTCGGACACAGATTCCCCATGGCACCTGGAAGCAGATGGGAGAGGAATCCAATCTGATCTGTTGCACCGACGGAAGCGGTTATGAAGATGTGCCATTCACGATGGGCTGCGCCTGGGCCTGTGTAGTATTTTCTTCTGCCGGAGTGACTTTGGCATCATTGGACTCGGATTTGTTGTCAGACGTGGATTTGGATTTGTCAAGCTGTGCTTGCTTGTTCTGCACGATGCGGAGCAGGTTGCGCAGGAGCACGACGATGGTGACTTTGCCAATGGCGGGGACATAGATGGAAGCTCTCTCTTTGACCTCGGGGCCGAAGTTCTGCACAAGACCACATCAACGGTTAGCAACACTTTTTCACAGAAAAGTGGAACGAGCTTGTGATCCGGGGAATTTTCAAATAGCAATGCAGTGCAATGCTACAAAAAACATGAAGTGGGTTCAGCTGGGCCTAGTTCTGGAACGGAATCCTGAAGGGTGCAGAGTACAGTACATACCTTCTCACTCGAGAAATTAATACACACTGCCCCATCCTTGAGCAAGTGACACGGGAATTTGTATTTATCCCCCGGGACACCAGTGATAACAACGTCACACAGGGGCGCACAATTCTCAATAGTCCAGCCTTCCTTCTCGACGACTTCATGCTTGCGCTTCCGGATTCCCTCGCCACGCGTGAACTGCTGCACGCCCGTGACATCGACACTATAAACACAAGCGCCATCGTTGGCCAGCAGGGCCGCCAGCGGCCGACCGACCACTTCGGACCGATTAACAACACAAATCGTGCGCCCGAACAACCTGTTTCCGTAGGGCAGGATCGTGTTGTAAATGTGCAGATACTCCAGAATCTTAATCACCGCCAGCGGCGTGCATGGCAGGATGGATTTCATGGCTTGCTCCTCGTCCAGAAACCGGATGTTCTGGTACATGTTGAAAATGTACTGGTGACTGAGTCCCTCGACGTCCTTGGACACGTCCACGATTTGCTGTAAGTATTGGTCTTGTCGGTTGTTGAAGATCGGGTAGTAGACGATGATTCCGTCGACGGAGTCGTCGGTGTTGGCTGCCATGATTGTTTCTTCGACGTCGTCTTTTGCCACGTTTTTTAAGGAGTAGTCGAAGCCACTTTTGACACATAATAGGCATTGGTTAGGACGTCCGCCTTGCATTGATAAACGACCCATGAGAAAGAAACACCAGTCACAACCAACAAACACCGGGTGACCAACAAAACAGCAGATGCCGACTCCATCGCTCTCCACAAGATAAGACGCCAACACAAAACACAGCAAGCAAAAGCAACAAAAAGCCAGACTTACTTGTCTTTGGCCGTCTTCTCCGTCCAGTCCGCATATACCTTGGCCGCCGGGTCGTTATTGGCAAGTATACCGAGCAAATGTGGTTTGCGACCGAGTGTGCTGAGGCCCGCCTGCACTTCGCTGAGGAGGCCTTTGGCGATGTTTCCGGCCAAGATGACCTTGCACGGGTGCGCGTCCTTGGACATGTGGGCGGATGTGACTGTATATATCACCGCGAGGCAGATTTCAGTTGACGAGCGCCCAAAAGTTTGCGAAAATCGTTCTCAGAAAATCTTTCTGATAAGGGTCCCGTTTCGGGAACTGCAGGTGACGTGCATGGCACGTGGCAATGCTTGGCAGGGGTCAGCCTTGCTGAGTCAGATCATTACCAGGAACTTGGGAGACGACAACGGGTCAAAGCAGAAGCTAAGGGAGTGTACAGTCACAGGGTATATTCATGTCACTGGCTTGATAAGTAGCTAAAGTGTTCTGTCCATCATATCTTGCTCTGCGGCTTGCCCTCCCCCTTTGGAACCTTTTTTTCCACACCCAAAGAGTCAAGGTCTTTCTTCTTGTAATAATGAGGGGCCACTTCTATCAGCCACTCCGGTTTCAGCGGCATACAACTCCTCATGTATTCTTTGCTTGTCAGGACCAGTTCGTGATAGATCAGCCACTTCGGCCGGCTCTCGATGAGCACACTTGAAGGATGAATGTAGACGACTTGTCCATTCTTCACGGTCCGATAACTCTGACCATCCCGCTGCATTCTGGCTGAATGAGGAAAGAATCCGGCTGTGATTGCTTTCTGGATGGGTTCGATGTTGGATGATCCTCCACAACTCTTCGAGGCGTCCACCTCGACCCGATCACACAGCCTTGCCAGTTGATCCCGGACATCTCGTGCCCTGGTCAGACTTCTTTGCTGTAGGAAATTTTCCTTGGCCCAAACATAGCTGTAATCCGAGTCCACCCATTCCTGGAAGACATTCAATAGCGTCAAATGGTCCCCACCGTCTTTGTTGGTAAACCTTGCCCTCGCACTGTCGGCATGGATCTTCTTGTCCTTGGGTCGAAAGAATAGCGCCGACGCTTCGCCCAACATTGCAATAATGGAGAGTATCTCGTCCACACAGCCATACTTGTCAGCAGCCAGAATGGAGCGTGCAAGCATAGGATCTGTGGGAAACTCCGCCATTTGACGACCGATCTTGGTCAGCTCGCCAGCATTATTGAATGCACCCAGCGCGTACAACTGTTCAATAGCCCGCACGATCGTATCCGTGGGGGGAGGATCCATGAAATCAAAGTCGAGAAGATCGTTGATTCCCAGGCTTTTGAGCAAAAGGATTACTCCAGTCAGGTTGGTCCGTTGGATCTCTGGTGTCGTATTTTCTTCCAGCTCGTTTTTGTATGCCTGCGCCGTGTAGAGTCGGAAGCATTTGCCGGGACCGACACGACCGGCTCGACCGGCACGTTGGCCAGCAGACGCACGACTGCAAGGCACCACCACCAAAGACTCCATACCCGTGCGCGGGTTGTACTGGTTTTCTTTCACGAAGCCAGGGTCGATCACATATACAATCCCATCAATCGTCAGAGAAGTCTCGGCAATGTTGGTGGCGAGCACCACCTTCCTGGCACCAGGCGGGGTAGGCTCAAAGATTTTGGCTTGCAGGTCCGTCGGCAAGTTGGCATAAATCGGACAGATGATCATCTCTTTGATCTTATTTCCGAGCTTGCGGGCCGTCTCCTGCAGATTCGCTTCCATTGCCTCAATCTCCTCCTGACCGGTAAGGAAGACGAGTATGTCGCCAGGGCCTTGCGTGATGTGGATTTGGAAAACAGTGGTGATGGCGGCAGCAAGATAATTGGCTTCTGGTTGAGCTGTATAATGAATATCCACCGGGTATCTGCGACCAGGGATATTAAAGATTGGTGCGTCATCAAAGTATTTTTGAAACTTGTGAGCATCCATCGTAGCGGAGGAAATCAGAAGTTTCAAGTCAGGCCTCGCTCGGGCGATATCTTTCAGCAACCCACAGGCGATATCTGTACTGACAGTACGTTCATGTGCTTCGTCAATCATAAGGGCTGAGTATTGGGATAATTCCGGATCAGTCAGGAGTTCTCTCAGCAGCATACCGTCGGTCATGTACTTGAGCACCGTCTTATCGCTTGTATTGTCCTCAAAACGGATGGCATACCCGACCTCGTTCCCTAGTCGCTTCCCCATCTCTTCGGCAACTCTAGCAGCGACAGACATAGCCGCCACTCTTCGTGGCTGCGTACAGCCAATCTTCTTTCCGTCCTTGGTGAATCCAGCTTCATGGAGATATTGGGGGATCTGCGTGGTCTTCCCGCTTCCAGTCTCGCCCACGATGATGAGGACTTGATATTTTTTGACGGCCTCAATGATCTGATCTCGGAACTGGTAGACTGGGAGGCTTTTTCTTGTCTCCTCGATGCTCTTGGCTTTAGCCTCTGCGGCACTTAATCTCTGAGCTAGTTCTCGCTGCTCCTTCGTCATCCCCTTGCCTAGATCTCCGCCCACGGTCTCGGCCATGACGAATTTCATCTGCTGGCTCTCATCAAACACGTAGCCATATTCGCCTTCGTCGACAAACTCGGCTCGTTTGATCTGGGCCTCCGCTCTCTTGGTCTGCTCTTTCTCCCATTCCTCGTGTTCGGTGACGTACCGCTCTCGGCCACTTTCATCTCTGTCCACGTAACGCTGATACAGAGCTTGCTCCTTCTTGCGCTTGTCAATCTTCCCTTTCTCCGTGATATAGTCTTCGGGGAGAGCATAGCCATCAAGATGATCGTCGATACTCAATCGCTCCTCAGCGATACGTAGAATCTCCTTGTTGCGTGCAAATTCCTCCTTCTCCCGTTTCGTCAGGTTGGGATTGTCTCTCAGCTCCGCTTGCTCTTCGGCGACCTGCTTCCGCAAAAGAGCGAGTCTCTCCGCTTCTCTCTTCTTCAAGTAATCTTGTCTTGACCGGAGCCGCAAGTCGGGCATGGCTGCCTCCCTGGCCGCGGCGTCTTCTGCCAATGCCCGCCTTTGCGCCGTCGCACTGCCTTTGCTTGTTCTGTCTTCCACTATCTTCTTTGCTCGTTCTTCATCTCTCTTTGCCAGCCGCTTGGCGAACTCATCCCGTTCCCGTGCATCCGCTTCCCTTTCTCGTCGTGCCTTTTCTTCTGCCGATTCTGGGGGCGAGGGACTTTTCACACGGTGCGACGACGAACCGTCGGACAGTTTGACACGTTTGGAGGAGGACTCCTCGAACTCCGGGCCGTTGCCTTGCTCGTCATGGTCAGATATCTCTTCGTCTCCCCATCGGTCCTCGAAGTCTTCATCGTCGCGACGCCGTCTGTGAGCGGTGTTTCTTTTGTGGGATTTTATATGACGTTCGCTGGACTGCTGCTCAGCCATAGTCAAGAAGCGCTGTCAGGCCGATTCCTGAATTCACCTGGGAGGAATGAGGGCGGCGTTATAGCCAGCGGGGTTGTTCCAACCTCAGTGGGACAGCCGTGCGGAAATGAACGTTCGGAAGAGTATCGGGGGAGTAGGGGATGCGAGACAGCCTGAGGGGCGCATGAATAGACCCAGCCTGAGGTCCGCGAGACTATGAGATCGCTTTGTCGCCGCCTAAGTAAAGGCAAAAGCTATACACCACCGGCACTGCTGTACATGGGCTAACTTTCGACTTCGTCTCCCGCCACGGCCTTTGCCAAGATGCGGCTGTGTATTACATAAGCAAGGCTGCCATCTGGTCGCCACGAAACTCCTTCCATCTCCGACATTGTAGAACTTCGGAACCGTTTACGAAACTAATCAAGGGTTGCTTAGATCTAGCCTATCATCGCATACGCTCATAACGAGGTCACGTTGAGTTCATATTGCGAGCAACGTGGTGTATGGACGCCGGCTCATCGAGCACTTCCGGATCTGACCATAACCAACTTCCATCGACCCTACCAGCGACATATCACCAAGAGCACGAATACTACTATGCCCCTGTTTCGTTGTAGAGACATGATATACCAGAGATACCCAGTCTTTTCTGTCGCATTCTTCCATTTTGAAACTCTCTTCAATCCTGTAATCCTGGTCCAAATAATGGCGTTAATTGGCAGTTGTCTCTCTACGACAAATCTAGACAACCAAATCAATTCTATGCATCATCGTCGTCGTTTATGTCGTCAACCTCCCTGAGCCATGCGGCTCGTGCATCGACAGCTTCCTTCCTCACGTCTCGTTTCGGATCGTCCAGTACGCTGGTAAGGCCGTGCAACACCTCTCGCTTCAATCCAAGAAGAGGATTCGCCCTGGAGCCTGTCTTGCCAACATACTTGGGCAACAGCCCAAGACAACGCGCGGCAAGTCTGCGGGTTGTTGGAAGGTTGGCAGTAGGAGCAGTCTTCGCTGCTTTCGAACCTAGAGATGATCTGGACTTAGGCAATGTGGCAACAGCGATCAACCGCTTGACCAAGGCGGGAATATGCCCGCTCTCCTCCAAAGCCGCCGGGTTGTTTGATATCACCACAGCCAAGGTCTCCAGGGTGGCTGTCTTCACCATCTGATCTGTCACGTCCAAGGACTGGAGAAGAAGGGGTAACAAGGTGGGCAATTCTGGCATCACAATGTTGGATGGCACACTTGCCAGGATGCCGCTGAGCGCTATGAGATAGTTTTCTTTCTCGGTCGGGGACTGAGAAGCTCTGAATTTCTCGGATATAAGGGGGGTCAGCATCTGGAACACACGTTGTGGAGCAAGCAGCCTAATCTGCGCGAAGTTCTTCCTAGACAGGACATCGTCTGAGGATAGAATAGTGGCAAAGCCCATGGCTGCCTTCCGACAGACCTCCGCGGGATAATGCCCTTCATCAAGCAGACCAACAAGGCTGGTGAGGTATTGATCTGTCTTAGGACTGAGTCGAAGGATCAGGGCCTTGATTAGTGTAAAGGCAGCTCGAATGTTGAAGTCGCGGGGTGGGGACCCGTCCATTGGCTCATCCTGAAGATTGGACAGCGTGTTTGAGAGGAGATTGTCCACGAAGTCCAAGTCTGCCGTTTCAACGTGCTTGTTAACGTAAAGAGCGATCTGCAGAAGACAGCTTTGAGTAATCCCACGGCTGGTGGATTTAGAGGCGAATAATATCAGTTGGGTGATTGTCTGGGGTATTTGTGTCTTGTTGAGAACGAAGGATTGTGTGTTCCGCGGAATTGCTGCCAGGAGCCAGGTTGACAGAATGGTAACAGTTGGGGGCTCCAACAGGCTCAAAAGGTCGACTGACTGCTTATCCTCAGTGCTGTCCCGGAATAAGAGATATATATTCTCTGCAGCTAGTTGAACCTTATCAGGCGCAGAATGTCGGATGATCAGGTTCATGATGCGGCCTACCAGATCAAGCACGGCTTCGTTGGTGAGTGGGCCGCTTTTGGCTTCCGTTGTTCTGCGAGAGATGCCGATGACTACACGATCGTAATATGCATCGAGGGACGAGTTCGCCGCAGTTGTAGCACGATTCAACACGTAGAAGATCGTGCCCAGCACGGAACAGGTATAGGGGAAGGATGTCCTGTTGTCTGATTTGCAAAGGAGATCAACCTTGTTCAAAAGCCGCCGCATTAGAGTCTCTTGCAAGCCCCTTTCGACACTGATCTCAGCCAGTCCTTCAAGAACCGGATTATAGTCGTCTGGGACGGCTTCGTCTTCTGAATCCGGCAGACGTGCCAGGAATGCTGGAAACGCGATATCAGAGATCAAGGCCGGCTTGAAGTGTGATATCTCTGCCAGCGCAGCCATTGCTTTCTTTTTGAGTTCATCACGGCCGTATGACTCTTCTTTCAGAACAATATCGTTGAAATACTGGACGAAAAGGCCAATTTCATCATCCGAGAGCATTGATCTCATCTTCGAAATCAAAAGCAGACCGTTTGCCGCCGTTAGACGAAATGACACCTCTTCTTTGACCGTGCCCATCAGCGCTTGACTGTAGAGGGCCACAAATTTGTCTTTGAAATCAATCATTATGTTTTCACGACCTTCAGGGTTCCTTTCGCTCAAGCCCGTCCATGACCCATAGACCTCAAGAGAAGCTTCAAACAGCAGGTTGGTAACCTCAAGAACAGCTCTCTGCTGTACCAAGCCCTGTGAAGATTGGTGTATCGTAAACAGTGCCGGGCCAACCGCTTTGATCACAATCTCGAATGCCGGTACCGAGGCTGAAGCAACTGCTTTCAGAATAGTCCCTGATGCCTTCGCTTGGCGTGATGCTGGCTCTTGCAGATGTTCCAGACATTCTTTGGTGATCGGCTTGAGATACTGGAGGAGTGGTGAGTTCGGAGAACTGGGTGCAGTGGTAGAAAGGCACCGGGCGATGTTGCTAAGCACGCGCAGTGCTTCCTCGGCCAATTCCGGTTCCTGTGCCTGTAGAACTTCGAACTTCACAGCATCCCACAGAGTTATGGAGTACTGGCTCATGGTCGCAGGGTCATAATTGCCGGCACATGCCGCAAGAGTCTGCAGAACATCTTTCTTCACTGTATTGGATGTCGAGTCAAGGCGATCCAACATGTTTGGGAAGGTATGGGGGGCGAAGGTAGAGGTGGATGCCAGGCAATCGCGCAGCCTGTCCTTGAGGTCCTGGGCGGTTATGCCATATGGATCGTTCGGGGGTGGCCGAAATGTGATGGGAAAATAGGCGTAAACCGAGTCGAACATCATCTCGACATGCTTCGTGATGTCCCACTCCACCATGAGGACCCGCAACATTGAGAAGATGAGCATAAGATTCCGAGGATCCTTTTCGCCAGAAACGAGTTCTGTGATCCCTATAAGTGATTCCTCGCCCATGTCCCTGATGGCTTTGCGACGGTGTTCAAGAAGTTCATTGACCAGCTGAAGAACCCGGTATCTGCCCGCCTGGTTGCGTGTCTGCAAATCCGAGAAGTGCTCAAATATCGCTCTCAACACCATTTGTGCCATCTCATTTGTAAATCTGTCCAAGCTCTGCAGCTTGGACAGACCATCGATTGCGCCGCCATCCTCGATCCGATCGCACAGGAATTGGCACAAGACCTGGATTTGCTGGCGTGAAAGGTATTTTGGGGGCAGCGCAGAGATCACGGCGACAAGGTAGGAAATAGCCCTGGCTCGAATTTTGTCGTCGCCATCGTTGATGTATTCGCCCAGAGACTGGACGACGTCTATCAGGGTAGTCTGCCGTGTTTCCAATTCTTTTTCGGTCAGTGCCACTCGAGAAACAACTGCGCATGATATGAAGACTTACTCTGGGCGGTCGACTTTGCGATTTCCGCAGCCTCACGTTTGTCGCTCTCAACCGCAAGCACATAGTCCCGCGCGTCGGATAGAGCCATGATACATGGTTAGTGGTCGGTCAAGGACAGCGGCGGGAATATTTATTTGCAGAATGCAAATAATGACATGGGTACAGTTCCTAGCAGCACATTGTTCAGTACCACTGACTGGCCTGCACTGGCCGCCCCGGAGTCCCACCTTTACAAAAAGAACGAGATTCACTGGGCCGCAGGGTGCGATTTGATCGTTCAAGTTCCCGCGAAACTGATACGACAAAAAATTCCATCCGTTCGCCAGAGTTTCCTCACCGGGCTAGAGAGGGCAGCCCTTCCCTACCCCCCATCAGCCTCCCCGTCTTTGGATCCCGCTTCAAGGCAACCCATCCTCATGCAAGATGAGATACGCGACCCCGATCTTAGTTCTTAATACCATGGCGGACTACTAGTATTGCGAACCTTTCAAGAGTGGCCTGATGCTTCCTGCTTATCCTGGTCATCTCGAATTGCTTCCTTCCAGTTATGTCGAAACACTGGCGTCTCAACTCATCATGGACTTCCTAGGTTGGTACCCATCCGCATGTCCATGTCGCATGAATACGTTCCAGGGTTTTGCCTAGGTAAGAAGTTGGTGTTTGCGTACCGCAATGTCACCATCAAATGACGGCCCATGCCCCAGAGTGCTCTTTCCGTGACTGCTGGTTGCCATGCACTATCAGAACCAGCTCCAGAAGGACACGAACAACCTCCAACGAGCTTGAGGGCGTATAGCCGACATTTCCCTTTGAGCCTCCGGCGGACGGGAAAACTGATGATGGCAATGCCCTGGAGATAGGAAAAATACCCTTTGCCTCCGTCAGGTCGGAATCCCAGCTATTGCAAGGGCACATTCTCAGCAGCATTCACATGCCGCATGCATTGCTATCATCTTCACTGGTTTATGCAAGCTTCAACAAGACGCTGTTGGTTTCCATATCTTAGGTTCGCCATGAGTCTTGCATGTCACACCCCAGCCCTTTGTGAAGGGGTAGTACACAAGCACCACTGCAAACGCACGACGTTACTCCGTTTAAGGAACATGGAGACGTTGCAGGTAGGCAGTCATGTGGCAAACGGGCTGCTTGAACGCCATACAAGGTGAGAAACCACAGGAGTATATATTGCCTTTGATTTCAGGTTTCGGGATTAGATTTGCTTCAGGAACAAGCACTCGTCTCTGATGAGGAAAACAACCTGAACAAAGTCTGCAACATCCACACTTCTTGACATACCTATATCATAATGTCAGGTTATTACGGTAGAAGTCCTCGCAGCGAACAATCCAGCTCTCGAAACCCCGATCGAGAACGGGAAGGACAGCGCCGTGACGACCACCGTAAGCGTGAGGAAGAGGAACATGATCGAGACGAGTACGACCATGAAACCAGGTATGATCCCGAACGAGAACAGAGGCTCAACGATGCGTACGACAACTTCAAGACCGAATACGTACGTGAACAGAAATTTAAGTACCTTTGGTCAGAGGAAGGAGCTTCAGCAGATGAACGCACCGGATCGTACGGGGACCGCGCTGGTTGGTCGGACCCGCTGGAACGCACCCTCGAGGACAGAGTGGATCGACTTGCATGCAGCGATGACAATAGACGCACTATGGACGCGAACTCAGAGAATCGCATCATCGCCAGGGACTTTGCTTATGCTGCTGATGATCGTCGGAGCAGAACCTATGAAGACCCACGGCGCTCGTATACCCCTCGCACCTCTCTAGATGACGGGGCATCCCGTGCATCTGGGTCTTCGAAGGACAAAAAAGGGAAAAGACGAGCTTGAAGGTCGAGATCCCATGGCATCATCCCAAAGTGTGTGGGATACGCTAGCTAGACAGTAGATGCCATACCAGATCACGGAGGGCATTCTCTAGGTCTCTTGCTCAAGCGAGTCTTACATATTCTGTCGTAGGGCACGCCGCTCTTAATAAGGCCAGCAGCCCCAGCTCACAGCTTCCTGGCTCTATGAACATAGTAGGCATCATAACATGAATACCATCCATTAATCTCATAAATTCGAAACGTTAAAAAAGCTCCTGTAGACTGCACTAGAGCTTGCTTCCATGGAAACTGTGGCCCATACCTAGGTAATCTAGCTGCGGGGATGTATGTATAAACTATTCTCAAGGAGTGGAACTGCATGGGGTGCAGCTCACGCTGATGGAAACGAGTTTAAAATCGAACAAAGTTAGGCTACAAGCTACCTTCAAGAAATTCGAAGCGGTGTCCTGATGGGTCCAGATAATATGTTACTGTTCTACATTGAAAGGTGGCGGACTAGTACGGCACCTGCGACCTGAGAAAGGTACCTACTAGGTAGAAATGAGCCCTTTTCGGCCAAGCCTTGCACTTCCTCCCTTTTTACCTTAACCCCAGCATCAGCAATACGTACCTAGGTTCGAACACCAAGCAACCTTCAGACGATATTCTCTCGATGCCCATCGCAGAACCCCGAGATGCCTGAAAAACCCATCCAACTTCAAACGCAAGATAAGTTGCCTTCCGCTACGCTTAGAAAGATGCAGTCACACATCATGGCTTCCTGTTTGCTTGTCACCAAGCTCCTGGTTATAAAGTGCAAGACCTCCAAAATACCGCTCATCCACCATGGTTCATTCGTTTTCAAACACATTAGACGCCGTTTACACCACAATCACAATGACGACTGACAGCCAGTTGGTATCCTGACGATATAGCTCACCCTGTCATCTTGGAAATGCCACCGTCTGCTGTGTCACGTCGCAGTGATGCCTCAAAAAATGGATATAAAAAGGTCAGTTTTGAGATGAAAGCTTACCTAGAATGCCATCAGCTTGATCAAATACCTGTATCTGCTTAAAGTCCCCTTCTACGGATCCAGATCACGATTGCAGTATCAAATCTATCAATATTAACACAGGCACAGAAATACCGAGCGATTTTATCACCATGTCCAGCTCCAAATACTCTGATCGGAACGACAAAGGCAAAGGAAAAGAAAAAGCGAAAAAAGAATACGACTCTGAAGACTATGACGACGACTACGACTACGACTACGACCTCCCCGACAAATCGCATCTCTACGAGAAAATGCACGAGGGTTACACTACCAAAGCCATGATGTCAAAGCACATGGGCTCAGATATCTATCCAGCCCGACATGCCTCGTTCAACGACCACGGTAACGCTCAGATCACCCGCTCCAATACCCGTGACGACGGCGACGACAAATGGCATGCTGACCTGCCGCGAAGAAACGAAGTCTCGAGAGAGAACTATAACAATTTCAATAAGGAGCTGCCGAAACACAAGATCCAGCCGAGAGACTTTGCTTATGTCGAGTCCAGTAGCAAACATTGGAAGTCGCCTGAGTTGGGGAGGGATCATTCGGTTACGAGTTCGACGCTGAGGAGAACGATTGATAAGTATCCTAAGGAGGAGCGTCGTCGTTGATGACCTAAGGTCTGCACAGACGACATCTGCACGGGGAGGTGGTTAGATGTGTATAGATGTATTTGATACTGAGATAGATGGCATTGCTGCGAAAGTGGTAGGGCAGTGCAAAGTCCATAATAGTCATTAGCTAGAATCTGGCCGATAGAACTCAAATGCTATGGTTACCTTCGATTCTAGAGCAGTACACCAGCCTTTTCAGAATCATCTGCATACTGCGTGTGGTACAACGTGGGAAATCATCGAGTCATTCGGAATTAGAATCATATGGATGGATCGATTCATCGATTCTGATTCCGGCATCGATTCCCTTGGCAATTCCTCAAGAATCGATTCATGAATCGATTCCCTGGTTCGGGGGTAGACCCACTGGATCAGAATCACCAGAATCAACGGCCGCCAACGCTGGTTTGATAATAGGACAAAAGATACCACAAAAAGTTCCCTTTACGCGTCAGCAACGGTCGGCTCATTGATTCTCAACTCACTGGTACGTCAGTCTCCCAACGTGTAAGCCGTAAGACCAGAGATAAGCCAGTCCGCGATTATCGAGGAGACATCAAAGTGGTGTACTATTCAAACGGAGGTCGATTTGCAGACCGACTCCTCGTCGAGCTGCTGAGCCGCAAACAATCGTCATACAATGTCACCCCCCTCTGCAGCCAACAGACACCAAAGTCATGCTCAAGTGTTGGCAAACAGGTTCCCATATCACCTCTTCAGAACAGTCATCCGAACAAGTATATAAGCTCCTCATGGATCAGCACATCCTTCAGTGTCCACAACTCCCACATTATCAACTTATCAGAAGACCCGGAAAGATAAACCAAAGAGTCAACGAGCCGATATCTCAGCCACATTTGTCGACAGTACATACAAAGCCATCTCAAGCTCCAACATGGGCACTCACGACATCGTGGACCGCGGCCGAAAACCCCGCCGGGAAGAAAGACGTGACCCAGAGGCCGAGGAAGCAACGTGGTCAAATGATAAAGCAGCCAAAGACAGAGACAAGAACAATGTGGCAGGGCGGGATTTCGCTTACGAAAAGACCGATCCTAAACACTGGAATTCGACTTCGAAGAAGAAATAGGGGAAGTGGATGCCAGTAGAGCTGTGAAGATATCAACAAGTACTAGGACAAGTTTCAACAGGATATCATAATAGGCAGCGAGAGCAGACAAGGGGCGCTATCAGGCTAGCGTGATGATACCAATGCCTATAAGGCATAATAATAAAGCATCTGATGAAGCCCTTCCAAGTTCACACTTTTAGTGCAGACGCTCACAGTGATCGTGTTCATTCCAACGACAATAGCCATGTCACTTCGTTCATACATGAGTGGACACTGACAGTGACAATTGTCGCAATACATCCATCTTCGCCGCGGTGAATGAACAAACTCACCTTTGTCCGCACCTCCATAGACCAGAGAGAAACAGTCTGCAGAAGAGCACCTGAGATCGGCACCAAGACAGACCTACCCAGCAGGACAACAGACCGCGCACTTAAGCTAACAACATGTCCGACTATCACCTACTCAACGCTGAAAAAGAGAAGCGGCGCGAAGAGCGCGATGCCCGACGTGAGCGTGATCCAGAATACGAAAACGTCGCATTCGACAACAGCAAGACCGAGAACATACGCCACCGGTTCAGCAAGTACTATCCGCTCCAGGGCGACTCGATCGAGCAACACGAATATCTCGAACGTGAGCGCGCGTCGGCCTCGAAGCCATCCGCTCTGGCTGCGCTGAATGAAATGGACAGGGCGCATGTGACTGCCGAAAACCAACAAGCGTGCATTGACCGGCAAGCCGCAAAAGTCGAGACCAGGGATTTTGCCTATGAGAAGGACCATCCTCTTCACTCGGGATATCAGATTCATACTTACGCCGAGAAGAAAAGAGATGCTCAACGTGTCTTTGAGGACTATTATGAGTCTGTAAAGAGGACTAAGGAGTGAATGGCTCGCAGAAGGATGTGCTCACCGAGGGGCTTATGCTGTTCTACCTTGGCTGCGCATGAGGATCAGGATCACATGGTATTCATTCACTCTTAGAGGTAGTTGGTGTACCACTGCTCCACGACCTCAGAGGTCAGTGAATTCGATGATTGCATGGGCCCTCAGACCGGTAATCCTGGCCAGGGCGTTCAGAGTGTCGTTGGAATAGTGGGGGACGCCCGTTTCAGTGGGAGAGGGAATGGAAATCCGGATCCATAGCCAGTCAGCAGTGCGCAGCCAATGGGTTGCCGATTGAGCGAGGTGCATTTACCACAGACAGTCTGATGCTGGCGCTCATGTACCTTGATGCTTTCATGCAAACCCGCATACGTTTCGGGCGGTGACCCCATGGTCGTCAGATCATGCAGGTTCTTCGTTCATACTTAGTCACTGATCGTAGTGCAGCATGAGATGGAATTTGTCAAATGAGAGAAGGTCGTGCTGACCGCCTCTCAGTGTCATTTGCACGCCGTGTTACCCACCCAGGTCCTGTTGTAAGATACCGTGATCCCACCGTGGTTGCAGATCGGTTGGGGAAGGTTCAGGCTGGGAAAAGGGGCAACCTGATTATGTAAGAGACAAGGCTGAGGGACTAACCTGAAATGTATCTTAGCCAGATCCACCTTGTAGTATTGGACCAGCACTCACCCATCATATCAAGCCCACGGCAAACAACACATATAAGGTCAGCCAGCTTTTCAATCAGTGTTATTACATCGCACAGTTCGTCCATTCATTCATCATTCTCCCCAGGTCTATAACTCATCCTTTATTGGTACAGCTGCGAGTGGCCTTCCACTATCCTTGAGTAGGTCCACGCCCTTTTTCTTACGCCATTTCTCCCAAACATCCCAAAACTCCTTTTCCATGCCACTTTCCATCTGATCGGGAAGGATGACCTTGTATTCGACATACAAGTTGCCGAACTCGCGTCCATCGTGATCGTGTTCATGGACATGTCCCTCGTGCCAGATCGGCATGCCTTCACCATGAATAGTATCCACTTGATTCGGTTGGACGACTTCGCCACGCTTCCGGGACAATTGAACAACATGCCCGTCGAGATGGGTCAAGTTGCGCGTCCAATCACCCATCCAAGCCTCCCGCAGACTCAAGACTTCTTTCCAATACAAATCGTCGCCTTTGCGTCGGAAAAATGTCCCGTCTGATCGCAGACTCTCGTCCTCGTTGATCTGGGGTTCAGACTCCATAATGTACACGTACAGATTGCCCGCAACATGATCAGGGTGCTCATCAGCTTCGCTTTCAAACACCAGGCGGTGGCCTTTGGGCATGCCTCTCTCGACACTGGCGGTTAGAGTCGTGGGTCCTCTGACAACTTTGCTGCCTCCACAGACTTTGCATTTGTGTTTGATTGACTTGCCCTGTCCGCCGCACTGATCGCAGGCCATTTGGACCTGTTGGAATATGCCAGGGGCCAGCATATGTTTCTGGATGATCATGCCTCTGCCGCCACATTTGTTGCATGTCTCGACTTGACCGTCTGCAGAACCGGACCCTTCACACTCCTCACAGATCTGTTGTTTCTCAATGGTGAACTCGGTATCCTTGCCGTTGTAAAAGTCCCGCAGTGGCACGTGTAAGCGGACCTCGAGGTCGGGACCACGTCTCACTCCCCCTCCACCGCCAAAGTGGCCACTACCGCCGAAGAACCTCGAGAACAGATCGAATGGGTCATGGCCGTGTCCGCCTCCGCCACCTCCTCGCTTATGATTCTCCAGTCCTTCGTGCCCATACTGATCATACACTTTCCGCGTCGTTGGGTCGGACAAGACTTCATAGGCTTCGGCTACTTCAAGGAACATCGCTTCATCGCCTGATGCTTTATCTGGGTGGTATTTCTTGGAAAGGGTACGGTATGCTTTCTTCAGGTCTCGCTCTGAGCAGGATTTGTCCAGGCCGAGAACTTTGTAGAAGTCTCGGGCAGCAAGAGTGCAAGCAAAGAGGGCGAATAGGGCAAGGGCATGCGACGCGAGCTGGAGGAGCAACATGCTGGACACCCTTCGCTTTCAAAGCGCGCAGTTCAGAAAGAGAGTGAAGGTGAAAGTCTGAAAGATTTGAGCGGTATCATTCGAAGCCAACCATGATAGCAATCAAAGACAGGCACTGGCGAATGACCCAGTATGAAGAAACCACTGACTTAGCCAAGCAGAAAGGTGAGAAAGGCAATCATGCAATTGATGTTCAAGTTGTAGATCTCTCGTCGCTTTTTCGAGACATGTTGTCCACATGCGCCGTAAGCGTGTTTCGCCGCTTCGCTCACCGTAGGATGAGTAGTCAGCACAACGGCGAACCATTTGATCACTTTCCCGCCTTTATGCACAAGTACCACAGTCACTGCTGCAGGCGCGATGTTTGCTGATTGTCAGCTACTACTGGTAGATATCTTTCCTTGTCTTAATTGTACGTCAAGTTATTCTTTTCATGAATGTAAACACCTTGCCAGTATTGCTGTCGCTCTTCATTCTGAAAACTACATTTTGCTGGAGTGGTCTATCCACAAGGTGCAAGCGATCTTATCACACCCATACTGGTCGGCTCATTTACATGCATGTCCCGGTGCTACAATACCAGCACCGAGTGGTTTATCAGATGAGAGCTCTGTAAAGAGGCTCATTCATAATGGCACACGCTGTCTGACATAAGGTTGGTGAAGGAGAGGAAAGTCCTTTCTTAAATCCACAACGGGATGAGAAACAATGCCCACGTTGGTGGATTTTGGTTGCATATCACGATCTGATCTGCTGGGACGGCAAGGTACCTGAGTACCGGGGCGCAGAGGCAGCCGGCCTTTTCTACATTGTCTGATCTTTTCGATACGTCTTATTTCGCAGACATGCAGCCGGACAACCAGAGGACGCGTTGGCCCTCCACACCCAGCCGGATCTTGTCAACACCGATAGGCTGCTTGCAGCCACCTCCCAACAAGATCCGCGCGACCTGTGGTCAATCTGCCGAAGGCGTGGTAGGCTTCATGTCGCACAGGTGACCGCTGGGAAAGAAGTTTTGCACCCTCTGCAGCAAGTGTGACTCGTTTCCAGGTGAGAAAAACTTGCCGTTCTGTGTTGCATTCGAGAACGAAGCACGGCCGTGAAGGTCTGTCGGTGTCGGGACGAAAAGGTGGTGTGTTCCTGTCAGGCGATTTGAGTATTCTGACCTGGCTGCTGTTGGATGGAAGCCCCTTGCACGATGGTGCCTGCTTAAGCTGAATTCCCTTCCAATCGCTAGGCAGGACAACACCTGTCAAAACTTGAGGGCTGCGACGCTGGATTTCAAGAAATCCTTGCACGACCTCTATAGCAGTGCTGCTCCCAAATCCTTCATATTCAGGCGCAAGGCCGAACTTACTTCTTCTTCTTCGACTCTGTGCAAAGACGCAGCTTCTGACTCATTCTGTCGACATGTACACTTGCAAAGTTTTGACCATGTGGTCTATGGCCGCTGTCTTGGGCTGCCGGCTACTTGTCACCGCTCTTCCCCGTCTGGATTATATCCATGTGGTTGACAAGACGATCCTCATTGACAGCCAGGACTTCGATGACGACGATGCCTTTCTTTGGTTCCCGAACGGCTCTCCCGCCATTCCAGAGGCGCCAGGAACCGACGTCGATACCGATGCTGGCTCGAATCAGCATGACGACACCGGCGACCACGTCTTAGATGACACTGGCATCGGAGCTGTCAGAGGCCCCGCAACTGTGTATCCACATGATACATTCCCAACATCCATTCTCCGAGACCAAAGTAATGATTTATCAAGCAACACAATACAGCCTTGCACAGTTACCAGCCCTGCTCTGCTCAAGCACCAGCCACGAAACGCGCTACCGGAGGTAGACGAAGAGGCCATCCCTTCGAGCCTGAAGACCATGGAGGCATCAGGTCCACCAGTTGACGCAGGGTCACTTACACCGTCCTTGCCGTGCTCGGGCCTCAGTTCGTGCCCAAAGGGCTACAAGACCTACCTATTGATGGGGATGTGTTGGTGTCGGCTTCCACCGGCCGAGGCTTGAGCCATCAGCTGGTGGGGTTTATGATGAACGAGCAACGTTTGTTCTCCAGGTAATACTCCGTCTTGGCCTCCAATGACCTCGCTAATATTGTGACTATCGACTAAAGACTGCGTATTCAATTCCAGCATGAAGATTGAGCAGGAGCTCTTTAGGCCAAGGCCTGAAGGTTTGATAGGCGGGTATAGCAGGGTTATGCAGGCGTCGATTGGTTTAGTTCTGACATACTTGGATTGCATTGGGCTTGAAATCTGGGACATTCGTTGACATGGGTTCTTTTCTTGTAATCTCAGAATTTACCAGGATTTCGTTGCAAGCTTCGTTAACCATGTTTCTTGATGTTTCCGCCAAATCCTTTCCCCCTCTCCAACCCCTGTGATTTTCTATCAGACGTCGTTGGTGAGAATCTGGGATTATGGCATCCGATATTCTGATAGAACCCTAACTCGTCTCACCGACATGTACCAGCATTGACAAATTGTAGTAATACAACGTAAAAGATTCGACTTTGAGAACATTCCTTCAACTGTGAAACGGAGGCGTCATCAGTAGGAGGGGCATTCTCTCAATTCTCGAAAGGTTCGGTGATCCCTTTGCTGTCCCTGGCCACCAATGCCTCAGCATCCTTCTGTGCTAAGGCCCAGTGACCATTGGGGCCATCCATTCCATGCAGTATGTCATGAACACGCATCAGCCCCAACTTGCTGATAACCCGACGCATGAAGCCGACCACCAGCGCGACCTTCTCCCAGTCCACGTCCTCTTGTCCACGGAACAGATTCCTCCAGACTGCCGCTCCCAGCACAGCATCTCCCTTAAGCAGACCCTCATCGTACGCAAGGATATTGCCCCGCCACTGCAGAAACAGATCTTTCAGGTATTTATTCCTCACGCCTCGAGCAGTCATGTTATGCTGAATTATCATCTTCTCCTCGGCCTGCTGTGAAAAGTGTTCAATCAGGTATCGATGATAACTCTGGAACGCGGCCGCGTCCTGTATATCTCGCAGCCGCACAGTCAAAAGGTACATGTGCAGAAACGTCACTCCTGACCAGGTGGAAAATGTTGGTGGAAGATCCAAAGTATTGAACCACCACGACGGCTCGCCCACTGGCTGGCCCAGGTCCGCCCCGTCGGCTGCCTTGGGGGGAGTCTTTCCCGTCAGGATCTGCATACGCTGGTCTTCTGGGATGAAGTAGTCCGCTTGTTTCGCGCACGACTTGAACAGGATGTCTGTCTGTCCGTAGGTGATGTAGGTTTGCGTCGTGGCTTTGGCGGTCTTGCGTAGCCCCTGCGCCAGGCGCGTCACCATGTCAGGACGGTTGAGTGAGCCTTGGATCTGTTTCTGCATCTCGGATACGGATAGGCCATCGGGTATGCTTGGGCCCCGGGGGGTTTGTTGCGCAGACGCTTCGTCGCTGGGTGGTGTAGCTGTGACATTTGAGGTAACTGTCGATGCCGTAGTTGGTGGAGTAACCTGACTGACAGGTTGCTCTCTAGTAGTAGTGGCCGTCTGCGGTGCTGCTCGTGCTCTGCCTGCGGAGGTTGTGGAGAGATATTGCTGTTGCCGTCTGGCGGCGGATGCACCGCTCGTCAATTGACCAGCCTGGTTCCGGCGAATTAGTTTCTTCTTTCTAGCTGAACTTGGAGAGGTAAATGCGACTGCTTACCTCTTGTCGAATACTTCTTCGAAGGGCTCGCAGGCACTGCGAGCAGACGGTAAATGTGCCCATTGTATTCATCCTTGTGTGTGTAGGTCAGGAGAAGGAATGAAGCCGTACACCTGTATCACGACAACAGGCTTTTTGGTTAATCGAGTCTACAATATCGGCGTCATGAACTCGACTAATTATATTCTGTGTCTGGCCAAGAAGATTGATCTCGTAGTACGTGAACATGTCCACTAAATAAATATAATATCGCGTGTCAGACGAAATACTTTAGTCTCGAGGATTGGATTGGATTGTTTCCGCTTATAAAATACCGTGCCGGGCTTGTTTGTTCAGTTTGCTCTCCATCATTTGGATGGGATACATTTGGCCTTTGGTTCTCTTGTCTCCATCAGCGACAGCCCGACCACCATGACCTGCTTCCAGGGCTCTAGAGGGCATCGTGTGCCAGTACAGTTCTACCTCTTCCTTTATTTGTCTCAGGATCTGCCATGTCTTCCAGTTTAAAGTCCCTCGTATCTCGGGGGGTATGGCTCTTGAGATGGCTGCTCTTGAATCAGGCCGTGTTCAACCTTCGGCATCATTTGAGACTCCCTCAAAGCTGCCGGCCACCATCTGTGCATATGTCCTCCCGACTCCTCGAACAGGGACTTTGTCCTGTCGACGTCTTCTCGGGTAAGAGTACTGATACTTCACAAAAGTTGTCACGAGGTGTCGCTGTTTCTACCCGAACTCCCTTCCCACCGGTCTTCGGAAAGTGCAGACAGTGTTGGGAGCGTATCAGAGCTTCTTCTGGAAGACAGCCCTACGTCCAAACCGGGGATGTCACAATTTTGACCTTTAGCTCGAAGCTGGAGATCTTGCCTGCAAAACGGACACAAGTCTGCAGGCTCTCGCAGCGTGGGCAGTTCGAGGGGTTCAAGCCGGTCCCTCAACACATTTCCTGTTCGGTCGCAAATGAGAAAATGTCCATAGTCCCTTGCCCTGCCTCGATCATACTGCAAACGAACGTCATGGCGTTATCCGTGTCGCTTTCCGCGTCACTTCTGTTGCTTCCTCTGTTATCCCATGCAAAGAGCAAGACACAATGAGTTAGCGGTGACGACGTCCATTGCTCCTTGATCCTGGATTACCTGGGTGCCGAGTTATCGGATTCGTCCTTATCACGACTCTTGTTGTCGTTCTGGCTTCCAGTTCATCCTTTGTGCGCGGCCACAACCTCTGAACTAGGAACTTTGTCAAACAGGAATTGAATCGCCTCCAATTATGCATGGACCACGCGATACAACAGATTTGAACCCTTCTGATCAAGATGAATCCAAAGAAGCAATCACTTGTAGCAATTGACAACGCAAATTGCTAGGCTGCTTCAGCATGATTTTTAGCCTTATGCACTTCGACCACAAGCCAGCACGAAAGCGTGCGCCTCCCATGTTATGTCGATGCGGGGTTTTTCAGTATGAGAGTTTATTGTGGATATAATCAACCAGTGGTTTTGTTTGAGTAAGTGACACCACGGCTGACTGATTGAACTGAAGGATGCAGCACAACTGTACCATTAACACGTTCAAGATTTAATGGCATCAGGATGGTCAGTTTCCTATCGCGATAAGACAGTTTCTATCAGAGTTACAACCCCCGTCAAATGCTTTTAAGAGACAGATCAAGGCTCAGGATAGCTTGCTTCCCGAAACATCCATCCATGTCCGCAAGGGGTTGTACATTCAAACGCGCTCGCTGTTACTTAACTCAGCATCTGCTGAAGCAGCTAGTGTTCGTTGAGCCTTTCAAGTCCACGGTGATCAGTCACTGATGTCAAGTTCCACGTTCTGCCAGATCAACCTTGCAGTCTGCACCATGAAGCCTGCGGGTTACGTCCCTTGCTCGGATCTGTCAAATGCGCCCGCGGATGGCCGCATTTGTGGCACCCACGCGGCACAACACAGCCCACACCAGTCTCGTCTATCTGTCCCGTGCAGCGCACATTACCCCGTTGGAGGAGAAACAATTGCAGTCGATGGCTTCGAGGCTCTTAGTCCTAGGCTCATCCCAGGCTATGCATTTATGGCCGACATCCACCACCTGTTCTTTTCTTTTCTTTTGGAGCGAATCCAACAGGACAAAGGCAGCAGTACCTATCTGATACTATTCTACTCGACTTGTGCAACATTGTTGTGTCCAGGTATCCGAAGGCTTCCGTCCGCTGTCAGGGACCGACGTTAGTCCACCGCGGCCTCCTGCCTCTGCCGAAATCCACATACACCGGTCTAATTTTTCCGTGACTCAATTGCTTGCAAGAGTACGTGGCCAAGTTAGAGGCCCAACGCACTTAACAGAATGGTCAAGCACTGAATATTTTGGGACCGAACATCATTCAAAGCGATCCACCCCTGAATGGAATATCCGTCAAGTTTGATTTTGCCGGTTCGAAGTGAGCCTCTGAGCTCGGCTTAATGCAGCCATTGCCACCCACAGGGTACGGCCAGGGCATCTGTCACAGCTCCCAGCAAGTTAGTGATGAAGCAGGTCGGCCAGAATGGACATGACGGCTTCTTGGTGCGGATTTTAGAAATCCATCCGATCCACCCTCGGACAAGGACTGCCACGCGAGATTGCGTACTGCTGATTTCTCCTAATCGATGCTCCAAAAACCACCGGCATCAAGTTTGCTCAGGAATGCTGCAGGAAGAAAAGTGTGAGTTGTGCTGTGTGCGGCGTCGAGTCATCCCTTGTCGTTCAGCGGCGATATATAATACTCAACTTCATCGTCGCCGCATTCTCTTGTTGGGCAGTCACAATTTTCAAACTTTATCTTTGGCAGGCCATCGACGATGTACATCCAGTCAATTTTTGTTTTAGCAAGCTTCGCCAGCCTTGTTCTGAGTTATGCGGTTCAACAGCCAGGTAAGTCGGACAGGGTTTCTACATACTATCACATTACTGATACCAGGCAGTCGCCCATGCTAGGATCGTTCGTCGCTGCGACAATGAGACACATCCCCTATTCTGGCCCTTTGACAATGAGACTTCGACCTACCCACCCTCTGGGTCCGCACTTCCAGATCCCACGAATGCAGGATTGAGCTCGGGTGGCCTGGCAACCGGTTACTCGTTCCCTCATCCTTGTGGAGGCTACGGCGGTTTCCCCTGTTATGCAACTGGAACGGGTGGACCAGGAGCTGAGACAACAGGCACTTTCAATGTCTCCTGGACACCCCCCTTCAGCAATGCCTCTTCCAATACAACCAGCCGATCCGACGTTGGCCCAGATATGATTTCCACTGCGTCATTGCCATCCAATCAGTCAGGCATAGCCACGGCCACAGAGACTGCGATGTCGTCTCAGAGCACATTATCCCTCAATAGTACAGGAAACACATCGACAACCGACACAGCCACAACATCGAGCAATTCTTCTGGCCAAAGCACCACGCAGTACAACTCAACATCGCCAGAGCAAGCTTCAAGCTACCTGTCGATGACAACATTGCCAATCAATGGCAACGCCAGTGTATTTTCCAACCAGTCTTTTACGAGCTTCCCGTCGCAGCCTTCGGCTGGACCATGCTGGAACAGCATAGGCAGTGCTTGTTCCCCTTTCAATGGGACATACGTTCCGACAGGTCCTACCGCAGGCGGCGGGGTTCCACGCTGGGGGAACGATTCGACCTACTCTACACAAGGCATTTCTTCTACCTCCGGCACCGCTTCTCTACAGGAGAGTGTGCTGGTAGCAACACTGACAGTTGGCATTACTCCATCCCCAGAGGTCGTCACATTAACGGCCACGGTAGATGTTGGAGGTGTCCAAGCCTCGTCAAAGCCCTGGGAAAATGCAACGGAATCGTCAAATTATACCGAAACACAAACAGCTTCACCATTTACGAGCGATATTATTACCATGACAATTGTTGTAGCAAGCAATTCAACTGATATACTCGGATCACAGACTTCGCCGCCATCAAGCCTGTCTTCAACCTCGACGAACTCATCTGCAGTTGCACCCGCGTCAACTTCAATCACAACATCAGCAACAGGGTCAGCCAATGCTTCTTTTGCTTTTGGGAATAGCACATCAGCTCTAAGCACCTTGTCGTCAAATACCACAACAACAGCCGCTTCAGGAGCGCCCCTGATATCGCCTACAGCGTCAACCCAGAACTCAACGCTTCCCTTGCAGAACAACACCTCAGCAGTATCCGCTGCAACATCACTACCCTACTGGGGCAATGCCACCTCAAGCCCTCCCTGCGCTGGTGAGACATCCAACAGCAGGCCACCGTGGAGTGACTGGAGCCCTAATGACACACCTTTTGCCGGCCTCGATAACAGCTCTTCCTCCGCCCCACAAAGCGCCAGCTCCCAACCATCGACTGGTGCTAGTGTCACTACGATTCCCTTCGAGAACACAACTGCTTTTTCAACAGGCGGCCAGTCACCCTCTTTGAGCCTGACCGTCAACAATACATCGACCTCCATGTTCAGCAATTCGACGGCCGAAGCTCCCTCAGCCACACTGCCTGCGAATGCTACCAGCGCGACCGCAGCTTTTTCTCCCATTCTATCCAGTGTGTCCGGCTTTACCGAGCCTAACCTGAACGCCTCTACCATTTGCATGGTGAACTCAACAGTAGCTTTTTGCCCTAGCACTGCAGCGCCGTGGCTGTCGACAGCACCCACAGCTGGGACTGCGAGCGCAACCGGGGGCACTACCCTGATGACCTCTTTCGTTTTACCGTCAAGAGGCGACAACTCTGGTTTCGGCAAGCCCCAGGCGCCGGATCGAAGACTGCTAAAAGCACGTCTTACGAAGTTTGGCGACGAGGCGGTAGAGCATCTCGCTGATGACAATATGGGATTCAGTTGGGTAAGTCGTGTTATTCTTTGCTCTACCTCCTTCCTCCTCCAGTTGATTGCTGACAGCCCAACCAACAGCTACGCGCCCACCTACTGCGCATATATTAAAGTGTCATGCTCCGTGTGTATTATTAGGCTGCGTCGGTCGGCTAAAGTCAGCAACCTGTAGGGAGTTAGCAGCCGGGTAATGAGAAGGAAGTGTTTGGAGTAAAATTCTGCTGTTCTTCGAATCGATTAATTTTCGCTGAAGAGAACTCATTTCCCTGCTGAGGCATCTCCTCCTGTCGCAACCCTCGGCGCATTTCCGTCCTTCTGCGGACACCTCTGTCTTTGATTCTTCTTTCTAGCTCTGCATTAACAGGAACAATCATAAAGCAGTAGTCCTCCAACCTCGACAGCGCTGCACATCCCGTTATGCACAGGATGTATGGAGTGGTCCCGGCCATGAATTCCCCAGGTTGTTTCAATGGAAACGGATAGTAATTCGAGATCTTGCTCTGACCAGCCATCTTCCATTTCCGCTTCACAGATCCATGTCTCTAGTTTATCTGGAGCGTGTGATTGAGGTTGTAGCTCATTTGTTTGTCTTTTGGGACTTGCTGTGTTTTTTCGTGTTGTGCGGACATTTCTCGTCCAGAATTTTGACTATGGGTGAATAAGGCCTGCGTCACAGTGTAGACGAGTTCATTCAGACTCGATGGGAGTCAAGGGGGCGCTGCTGATGCCGGATGTTGCTGGAGAAGTGCCTGCGCGCAGAGCGGAAGAGTTGTTTGCGGCAGATGCAGTCAACGAATTCTGCGTCCATTCTGCGATTGTTGCAGCTGGACCGCCAACTATTGTCACTGATTGAACGTCGGGATCCTTTCCGAGAACTGTGCCTTGATAGCGCGATTCCTCGCCTGTTTTGCTGTGTTTCTTCTTCAACGCTGCGCCAAAAAGTCAGTTTCAGTCACTTCACTTGTTTCTCACTAGAATCTCAACTCGGCGAACCCAGAACAACAGAACCCAAACTCACCACTCAAGTAGTCTTCCTGATCGTCTAGTCCTGCAGCAATCTCCTCGAGATTTGTATCGTCGCCGAATCCTGCCACGCGACGAATCTCCTTGTTGACAGGTCCTTGCGCCCAGTTCACGAAGCCTTGAACGCCGCGCAAATCCTCAAAAGGCACCATCACCCCGTCGACCTCGACCGGATCTCTCAGACTTTCCTCCACCGTGCTCATCTGCGGAACCAGCGCGCCAGCCTGGCACAGCGCGAGTCTCACATCCTGAATCGTCGGAACGGGCGTATTGTGAAGATTCAGCGCATTCTGCGCCGTAGAGGAAGCCAGTAAAACCAGATACCGCGCCGCTAGATCGGTCAGGCTATCGATCACAGCTGGACGCGCATACCCGAATCCCGCAGCTCGCAAGATCTGAATCACCGCTGGGCGCAACAGGGCCGCGTGAAGCTCGTTTGAAGAAGTCATCGCTCAAGATTTCTGCGACAAACACGTCTTTTCCTTACGGCGCGACGGAAAGTCTCACAGGTCACTTCGAGAGCGAGATCGGCAGAGCATTGTTAAGAGGCGGAAGTAGAGAAAATCCACACAATTATCGGATACCCATTCCAAGCGCAGCACTGCAGACACAATAATGGCTGGCCCAAAAATGAAGAAGCAGTCGTCAAAGAAACCAAAACCAACGGCAGAGGTACTTGACGAGACCGCAGCGTCGACGTTTGTTACATTCAAGGTTTCGCCTGCAAAACTGCGCGCCTTGAACCTCCCAAGTGCACCTCGCCACGGGAATTCGAATTCCAACAATGCTATTGAGGATTATGAGGCAGAAGAGACGTATGAAGACACACACGAAGTTGGAGACAAGAGTTCAGTGGAATCCGACACTGAAAGTGACACCGATGGTAGCGTTTCCACCACTGGCACCGCCAATCATGCCGCCGCCACCGACGGATCCTTACAGCCTGAGACCTCCCCGGATGCTGACATCTTCTACGCCAATGACAGCGACGCATCTCAGCGCCAGGGTAAAGCGAGGCGCAACACCCAAAAGGCGACTACTACTACTACCGCCGCCCGCCGCGGCAAACGACACGCCCAAACTATCCGTAGAACAGGACCTATTTCTGCAACTTCCACATCAGTTGCCGGCAGACGTCAAGCCAAAAGGGCAGCTGCCTCCAAAGCAGTCACTGTCGCCTCTGCATTCGATATTAACACACCTTCTTCACCCGGCCCAGGCATCGACGAAGATAATGAAACACACCGCGACTCCGACACTGACGGCCTAGATTCTTCGCCCTCGACCGACAGCGACGCAGACTCCGAGATGTCTGACACTCCAGACAAGCGTCCTACACCTTCCCTCAAACTCAAGATTGGCAGGCCGTCGCTCCCTCCCGCCGAGCCTGTACAAACCCCGAACCCGAGCAGCGGGACGCGCACACCTCTACTCAAGCTCAAACTCGGCACTCCCGCACCAGCCTCTACACCACCGGCACCAACGCAAGGAGATACGATTAATGTCGAACCCCTATCGTCCTCTAAAAAGCGAAAGCGACTGAACAATGCCGAGTCCGAAGACGAGCTTGCGCGGCAGGCGCCGAAAACCAAGATCAAATTCAAGACGGGACCCGTCCAAGGCCCCAAGCCACCAAAACCACAGCCAGCTGCTCCCGTAGTCAGGTCGGTCAAGATCAAAGCAAAAGGAAAACCACCCAAACGACCTCTCGGTGTCGGTTACGATTCGGAACTCGAAGACCGTGAGGCCGACCCCGTCATTCACGAAGGGTTTATTCTGCGCATGCAACCTGGACCGGATTGTGACTATGTACGACAAGCAATTGAGGATAAAACGATAGGCAAGCCGCGCGCACAAGGCGGGCCGGACATTCGGATAAGAATGCTGGATACACTGGGCAGAAGAGGGGTTTTGATTGTCCGAGGCAACCAGTACGCCACTACCATGGTTGATCTGCCTTGTATCATTGAAGGGATGAAGTCGTGGGACAAGAAGGGTTGGATCAAGAGCATCGATATCAGCCAGATGCTCTTGGTGCTGGGCCGATGCAATACGGACGAGGAAGCGAAGAACTACCCACTCCCCGAGGACGTTGATCCCAAGAACTACCAGTATGCCCATGGCATCACTGCGCCCATGAAGTGGGTGAGGAAACGTCGATTTGCCAGAACCAAACGCGCCCGGGTGGACGACATCGAAGCTGTTGAGCGGCGGGTCAATGCTCTGCTCGAGGCCGACCGGGCTGCGGTGTCAACTAAATACCAGTTGCTCGATCATGACCCTCGTCTGGACGAAGAGAGGTACAGTTCTGGATTGGACGGAGAGGACGATGACGCCGAAGGCGAATATGATGACTACGACGAAGGAGATGGCTACTTTGACCCGAGAAATGTGCCTCATAATGGTGCAGCTGTTGAGACCCCGACCATGTACACGGAAACACAAACACCCGTAGAACAGGACGTGGGCCAGGACGAGATCGACGAATTCGAGAGAATGTTCGCTGCCGCAGACGACCTTGTCGCATCCGAGGCCGCCGCAACACAGGCTGCTCAGGCCAATACTAATACATTGCAAGTTCCCGAAGCCGCAGATTCTTCATTTGCAGTCACCAGCACCTCGGCTTCGCCTTCTAATAATACTGTTGCGCCCACGCCGGCCGAGGAGGCTTCGTCGGATGAGGACGACGATGATGAGATTGGTGATGCCGCCGCCGACGAAGATGACCAAGACCTTGACGATGCGGAGAAAGAGGGCGATGAAAATCTGCAGCAGATCAAGGACAGAATTCAGGATATGCAACACAAGATTGCGGAACAGACGGCCGTGCTGAAGCAGACTCAGAATGCCATCCTCAAGAAGAAATTGGCGAGGAAGATTCAAGATCTCAAGGACGATGTTGCTATGATGAAGAAGAATGCCGGTCTGGGCGGAGATGACGATGACGACTGAATACTGAAGTTGTCTATATCGGCCACCGGAGTTTGACTCTACACAGTGGGAGGAGGAAGGCATGAAATATTGCCCGGGCTCGGAGGAGAAACAGTTTAACACTAAGTCGAGGAATTGTTTTAGCCCTGGGAAGAGGAGCACTTTAATGTTGGGAGGAAGAAAGCACTGCGTGGGAATAAAGCTGGTGTCTTGTAGAGGCATGGGATGGCCTCTCGGATGGGTGCAGTGGTATGTGTGATGGTCCAGACTGCATGGATCACAGCTAGGAGCTAGAACTCATACCTACCCATTCAATGGCGAAAGCCTGGTCCTCTCGCCATATCAAACCCTGCAATGGTCCCTTGGTTGTGTGGCACACTGCACTGGCAAGGCTCATGAATCTTGATATAGTGCATACCTACCAGGTACCTACAGTACCTAGGGCACCTTGTATGTCTTGAGGCGAATCGTCCTATCTCCAGTTTCACACGTTTTACTCGTACCCAGGTAGTAGAAGTCCAATGACCCATGGCACAGTCCAGTTGCAAGGTTCAAGCTGTCTGTCTACCCTACTGAAGCTGCTTGTTTTGTTTTGCCTCGTTCAAGTTTGGCCTCAAAATCAAGCCCACGGCGTGACATGTTATGTATCTTCCAGGTGCAGTCGGGACTACATATAATACGGACATTATATACCCTTGCCTAGGTATAGGTAGGTACTTATCAGTATCTCAGATGCCGGTGTTTTCTTCTCGGAAGCTCTACGATTGACCTGATACTGCACAGTAGATGTTGACCGTTTGTAAAGTTGGCTTCAGCCATGCTTGGACGTACGGTACCTACAGTACATGTATTTTGCATTTGGACTTCAAGTTGCACTTCGAGTTTGCACTTTTGATATGTTTTGTACCATCATGCCAAGGTATTTTAAGTACCTGTCTCTGTATTTCTACTTTTGTAGCTATCTATCAAGTACTGCTCGTCTGCTTTCTATGCTTTTCTTTTGCCGTTGACTTTTATCCGTCCATCCCACATGATGAAATGCTTTCCATACCCGTCCGCAATGACACGCCCACACCTCTTTTATCCCAAGGGTGAATTGTTCACAACACACCTACCTGCCTGCCTGCCTAGGTAAGCTGCGAAGCATCGAAGAGAAGGATTTCCTCTTCAGGCATCAGCACTCCATCGATACCTCGCACCCGGATGATCACTCCTCAACCTCGGCCCCTTCCCATCCTGCAAATAATTCTCCCTCGTCGTGTTCGCGACATAATCGTCCCAAAAGACGCCGCGGGTCCTAAGTTCCGGAAGCAAGTATTTGATCACATCCTCAAAATCGCCCGGGTTGACCGCATAAGAGATATTAAAGCCATCAATGTCCGTCTCATCAACCCACTTCTGCAAGATATCCGCGACAGTCTTAGGCGATCCTATCGCTCTCGGATGGGCGCCTCCAATCGCAAGTTCCTGCGCAACTCTCTTCTTCGTCCACTTCACACCATCCGTGCCCGGAATCGTCGCCGACCACGAACTCACCATGCTTTGAATGGCGCCTGGTCCAGTGAACTGGAAATCGTCGTCGTCGCCAAATTGCGACAGATCGGTCCCCGTCCACCCTCCAAAGAGGGTCATTGACCCCTCGAGGTCGGCGTAGGTGAGGTATTCTTCGTATTTGGCCTGGGCTTTTGCGTCGGTTTCGTCGACGATGATTAAGATTCCGACTATCAACTTAATGGTGGTTGGGTCCCGGCCTTGTTGGGCCGCTAGTTCACGGATGTCCTGGACGGATGAGCGGACAGACCCTATTTCCATGCCGGGTAGGAACATGCATTCGGCGTGTTTGGTGGCGAAGGATTTGCCTGCGGAGGAACTGCCGGCTTGGAAGAGGTATGGTGTTCGTTGGGGGGATGGGTTGACGCCTAGGGGGCCGGCGGAGCGGAAGTACTTTCTGTAAGACCAGAGTTAGCCGCTGTAAGAAAATGAAGCAAGATTATCTTGCCAGTGCAATGTGCTGGAAGGGGCCCTGCTTACCCTACATGATTGATCTTGCGCACTCGGCCAGGAACAGTGTACTGGCCCGTGGTGGCGTCCTTGACGACAGCGTCGTCTCTCCAGGATGATTCCCATAGCTTGTACGCGACCGTCACGTACTCGTCGGCCATTGCGTACCGTTCGTCGTGAGGCACTTGTTGGATAAGTCCGAGGTTTTCTGCTGCCGACTGCAAGTGGCTGGTCACTACGTTCCAGGCAATGCGGCCTTTGGATAAGTGATCCAAAGTGGCGAATCGTCGGGCCAGAAGATATGGTGCTTCGTAAGTGGTTGATGCGGTTACGCCGATGGTGAGATGCTTCGTCACGGCTGCCATGGCTGAGACGGGCATGCTGAGGGTTGAGAAGAAAAATCAGTTCCACTCACGGCCGACATGGAGGACGAGAAAGTAGGCAAGCCTTACAAAGGATCCGAAATAGGAATCTGAGCTGCTCCAGGAAGTCCCGGCTCAAAGTTTCCTGGGCCCTTGTACACGTCGTAGGGACCTAGCACGTCGGCAATGAAGACGCCGTGGAACTTGCCGGCTTCCAGGATCTTTGCAAAGTCCGTCCAGTATTCAATGTCGTTGTGCTGCGAAGTCCGGTTTCGAGGATGCCTCCATAAACCTGAACTCTGTCAATTATTGTTTCCTCTTGTTGTGTCAAGATGAGCCTTACCAGTCGCCAAATGTCCTGGCGTGTTCATCGTAAAGGCGTTGAAAATCCATTGCTTCGGCTTGGCTGCAGGTTTGGTTTCGGCCATTGTTTCCACAGAGACAAAACTGAGCAGGTGTTATTGATGACTCGACCCTTGACTGTGAAAGGAGGTATCATCAAAAGCAAACGACTGAAATTGTCCACAAGTTGCTCCGGGAGGATTTTGGAAGGCAAGGTCTTTTGGGTGGTCCTCAATGCTGGCACGCCTTCTAGGGCGGTCCCTCGGGTCTTTGGTTTCTTGGTCATATCTTTTGCCGCGGTTTATTGAATTGCGGGACGGGCGCAATGCAGTAGTCGATCTCGCAATGCATCTGTCTCATTCCACCTGTAAGGGTTTCGTCCGCCGTATGTCGTGAGTTGCATGGAGTAGAATGGGTCCTCGATGAAGCCTCGTTTTGCCCCACAGTAGACAACATTATACCGCATCGGGACATATTATGGGTCTTTTTCCGGGCCATAGATACTCTCGAAGCACCTCATTTTCGATTGCAAGCACACCATATCATAAACGCTGCTCATGCTCATACAGCATATGAAACAGCAACTCACGTTGCGCAATCCGCCAAAAAGATAGAAGGGTACGTGAGTTCAGCCCGTTCGCCGCCATTTCCCGTAGAATTTGTTGTTTGATCTCCACCATATATACTTTCAAGGTACAGCACGCCCTATAGGGACTTGTTCTTACCTGAGCTGTTCCTCCCAAACGGCTGCGGATCTGTACAGTCCCTTGCATAATGCAGGATGCAATCATCATGCAGTGGAGGGCTAGGCCACGCTAGATTCTCGCCTCGATGCCTGCTTCGGGCGACTTTGGGCATTTTAGGACGGCCCTCGGCTTTGTAGACTTGAATTGTAGCGGGAAGTCTGGCCGCGACTCCATGTTGTAAGTCCTGCGATTTTTGCGTGTCAGCCATAGGCAGCAATGCAGCCGAAGTCATGTTGTTGATAAGTCATGTTGTTGATGCTAGATTCTCAGCAGCTAAAGGTTAGTATTCAGGATCTTGGATCGATGACTGCTCGTGGCTACCGCCGGCTGCTTCTTCGCCCAATCACCCCAAACTGTAGATAAGGACCCAGATTCTCAACGGCCAGAACAGTAGAACAAGCATTACGTTGCGGGTTCCGGCCATGCGTCGTGTCCTGGCATTGCCGTAGACGAGACTTGATATGGAGCCTGGAGACGCCGTGTCGGTGTTAGTCTTGCTGTCTTTATACCTTAATTCGTCAACCCGGATAACATCATCTTACATGCAAAAGGCGCCATTCAGCCTTGCAGGAAAGCGACGAGATCGGCAAAAATTTGCATCGACGGCGGTCCTAATGGATATAATAAAACCTGTGTCGCTCCAAAGCACCATTTTACATACAGAGACCAAAAGCACTAGCGCCATTCGCAGAACCATGTCGACTGTGGTGCAGGCTCCTTTGACCCAGGGCGCTGGTTATGGCGTCGTTGTTGGCCTCGGCGTGGCTTTCGCGCTGGGTAAGTTCGCGAGAACGGCGGCTCTCTGACTGCTGTGTACTGACGTTCGGTAGGTATGGTCTGGGTCACACGTGTGATGAAAAAGTCTTTCAATGAAGACAACAACTCGACAGAAACGTGAGCAGGCTGTGCTATTTTCCCACCGTCGGTTCCGGTTATTCTAATCCACCTGTACAGTTTCATGGTTGCCAACCGCAGTGTCGGCACCGGGCTTACAGCAGCCGCAGTGATATCTTCGTGGTTATACAGCTCGGCCCTTCTGGGAGCATCGCTGCTCACCTACCGGTATGGACTGGCATTAGGGGTCTGGTGGGGGGCATCGGCCAGCACCATGATCTGTCTGATGGCGTACCTCGCAATTCAGGCCAAGCGAAGAGCACCCAACGCACACACACTGCTGGAAATCATCAAAGTCCGTTATGGCAGGTCGGCTCACATTCTTTGGATCTTCCTTGCCTTGTTGAACAACTGCTTCGTCTTTGCCAGCATGCTCGTGGGCGCCAGCACGGCCGTCAGCTCCTTGACCGGGATGAACGTGGTGGCCAGCACGTACTTGTTACCTCTGGGTGTGGCAGTGTATACTTACTTCGGCGGACTCCGGGCCACCTTCTTGACCGACTATGTGCACACCTTTATCATCATGATCATCCTGGTCTGGTTTACCATCAAGGTCATTGTGGTCAAGGAGATTGGGTCCATCGGGGCGCTGTACGATGCTGTCGTAGTGGCAGGGCGGGAGAACCCCGTCGAGGGCAACCATGATGGATCCTACCTGACCATGAGGAGCGAACAGTGTCTGTACTTTGGAATCCTCCATGTCATCTCCAACTTCGGCGTCGTTATCATGGACACGGGCTTCTGGCAGAAAGGATTTTCGGCCGATGTCGCTGCTGCTGTACCTGGTTATGTCCTGGGTGGCATTGCCTCGTTCTCGGTGCCTTGGTGCTTCGGAACCATTGTCGGTCTGGCCGGGTTAGCATTGGAGGGGACAGCTGCCTGGCCCACGTACCCAAGGAAAATGACCGCTGAAGAGGTCAGTGGTGGACTCGTGCTGCCTTACGTGGCGCAAGCGGTGGCCGGCAAGGCGGGAGCAGGGGCCATTCTCCTAACCATCTTCATGTCCTGCACATCAATTGCTTCGGCTCAGATGATTGCCACGAGTTCCATCATCTCATTCGACATCTACGGCACGTATGTCAATAAGAAGCCGACCGATGCGCAGCTCATCCGATGGTCTCACATAGGCGTGGTGGTCTCCTCGCTGTTCATCTCGACGCTTGCAACGGCTTTCCACGAGGGCGGCGTGGACATGACATGGTGTTTGTACATGTTGGGGAACATCATTTGCCCCGGAGTGTTCCCTACCTGTTTCGCTCTCTTGTGGAAAAGGCAAACCAAGGCCGCGGCCATCATCTCGCCCATCGTGGGAATGGCGTGCGGACTGTCAGTATGGTTCGGGACTGCGTACCACTACTACGGAGAGATCACGGTGGCATCCACTGGCGGAACGTTGCCGTGTCTGTTCGGATGTGTGACCTCGTTCGTCGTTCCCCTGCCTGTGACCGTGGTGATTTCGTTGGCCAAGCCTCACGTATTCGACTGGTCCGTCTTCGGTCGGATCGAGAGGGTGCAGTCCGAACATGGCAGGTCGGTGCACGATCGCGATGAAGAAAGCCACTACTTCACGCCCGAAAGAGTCCGATACATGAAGAGGATGAGCCGCTGGGCAGCGTTCTGGGCGGCCCTCACCATCACGGGGCATGTGCTTCTCTGGCCTCTGCCGATGTTCGGTGCGAAAATGACCTTTTCCAAGACGGTAAGCGATCTTATCACCTTTGTTATGTTTGAAAACGTGGACTGATCGGAAACCAGTTGTTCCAAGCCTGGGTCGTCATCTCGTTGATCTGGCTCTGGTTTACCCTGCTGGTCGCCAACTTCTACCCGCTGATCGATGGCGGACTGAAGCAGATTCTGATTGTGATCCAAGGCAAGAGGGGAGTCAAGGGTTCGACAGAGCTCCCACCAGACTCGGAAAGCTCTAGTCCTCCGCCGGAGCAAGTGACAGTGGTGTCTGAGAAGACTACCTGAGCATACCTACCTAACCTCTACTATGAGTAGGCGGTTTGATCCTGGAGCACTGATGATAAGGTCAAGTTCAAGTCGACACCGTCGAGGAAGGTTCGGCGGACGGCGGTGTGATTAGTAATCGCGAGTCGCCTGCCTTTGTCCGACACCGCCTCCTACAACTACAACTTGACGAGTAGTGGTCACGGGGGCTTCATATCTCGACGGACCTAGACGTAGCAGCAAACAGTGCAAACGCGATTATTAAATTGGAGTGACTTTGAATTTGAGCTACCACCCAGGTGCCTACAAAGGTCAACTGGTGATTGAGTTAATCTAGACTCGTCGGCGGCGATATCTCGGCCACTAGTACACCTTGAACGGCATGATGGCTCAACCTGTCATGCTCGTGCTCACCCTCGCGCTCAAGGCGATAGTCAAATCAGAATCATATAGTCACAGGCGTGCCTCGATGAGTCTGTTTGGGGCACGCCGCATATTGACATTTCCGACTCATCCCAGTGCCTGCGTGCATTTGGCCGGTTTCCCTGACTGCGTTTCTATGTACCCTTGTGCTGGAGAAGAGATCTTTTTGGAGGCCACTGGTTCGGCGTAGAATTTCTGGGCGCCGTTGGTAGTACTGGTTGCGGTCTGGTCTGATCCGATGGTGCATGTCCCCAAGTCACAATTGAACCACTGGACGTGGGAGCTGAAGCGCTTGTTCATTCCAGTCCTGTCCAGTCCAGTCCAGCCATATGCTCATGCTTGCGTAGCAATTCATCGCAATGATAATGACAATTCATCCAATGATAATCATTGTGTTATTGTCCGAGGCTCTCTCTATGAGCCCGGGTGCCAGCCCTTGTAGACAATGATAGTAGAGTGTGGATTCTCCACTCGTAAATGTGCGATTTGATCAGATTCCAATCTAGTCGAGTCAAATCGACTCAACTCAAAAACCAGATTGGTCCGCTGTAACAGTAGCGATGGAATAGTGGCAAAGACCATATCAGATCAACCATCAAAAACACACCGTTTGCCGCGGCGGTATGGGTCCCAGGTTCGTATACCTCTCCCACATTTCATTCTCTTCCTTCCTCTTCGTTAGGTCGTCGACGACGACGAATGTGTCATTATTACCGGGCCATTTGTTGCTGTCGTTGGCGCTGCTGCTGTAGCACCGACAGTCAGCAATATCCTGTTCGAGCTCCCCTTTTCGCGTTTCTTTTTCTTCCTCCTCCTCGTCGTCGTCATTGTCATCATAGTCGGATGAGCAATATGTTTCTCCGTCACTGCTCCAGGTGTCATTGGGGTTTTTCGTCATATCATCCTCGCTGTCATTGTCTTTTTCGTAGCCTGAGGACGAATAATTCCCCTCTTCTTCATCATCCGAAAAAGGATCTAGCGAATCTTGCAGATTCACTTCTTTGACGGACACGGAATTCGGAGTTTGATGTTGTTGTAAGTCGGCTGGGTTTTCGAGCATGGCTAGCGCTGCGTCTTCTTCCTCGGGTGGGAATAAAGGTAGACCTTCTGGATTATTGGAGCCAGAGTTGGCTTCGGTGCTGAATAGTGCATCATTATGCTCGGATATAGAGTCGGAGTCTTCAGAGTCGGAATCAGATTGAGATTCCGTCCCGTCCAAGACAAAGGGATCCTCGGTGGACGGCAGAACGTCCTGCTGCTGCTGTTGCTGTTGTTGTTGCTGCGGCCCAAGTTCTTCCGAGTCAATGGCTGTGACAACGCCGTCGACTTGACCGTCATCGGTCGTGCTGCTGGAGTCAACACAGTGGCTGGCACTGGTCCATACCGCAATGTGACCTATGACTTTTGGCAAGTCGGGTTCAATGAGTTCGTACTCCTGCTGCAGCTTCCATGACGCCAGCCACGTTAACCGGACGGCTGTCTGTTGTAGTGACTCTGGAACTGGATCAAAGGAGAAGTCTAGGCCGCTGCCGCTACCGCCCGGCCATTGCTGTTGCGGTTCTTGTTGCTGGCCTTCCGGAGTTGTTGTGACTGATGCCGGGTGTGCTGGTGTCTCTGGGCGGTCAATGAGATCAATGTCGGGGTTAGTGACTGATAGCATAGAACAGTGTATTGAGATAGAGGATATGGTGTAGGAGTTTTGTTTGATGAAGTCCAATTGGACTTTATAACAATAAAGTATGATATTGAATTGGGAGTAATTCGATCAAGTCGAGTCAGGGTGGTCGGTTAGTTGGTGGGTTAATTGATTGCTGTACTGATGATGATGGTGGTGGCGATAGCGATGAGGATGGGAAGTAAACCCAACTCCTGTCTTTGGTGGTGGTGGTGGTATATTGTAGATGTTGTTCAAGGTGATTTCGTCAAAGGCGATTTTCAAACCGTTAGTAGAGAATTCCATCCCGGAGCACCAGCAGTGTTACAACGACACTTGTATATATGAAAAGGCGAGATCCGGAAATCAAAACGCGCCCCGGGCATGGCGTGCATGGCAAGGCCGGGTGTGGCATGTGCGGATCGAAGATCGATGGGGCGCGTTCCGGGTTTCTTCCTCCAGCCCTGCACTACAGGCAAGACACTGTCAGGCACTGCAGCCAACTTGAACCAGCCCAGTGGCCCAGCTTGGGCTTGGGGCTTAGTTTCGGGCTCGAGTCGTATGATGGGACGACCCCGTGCCCGTGAAGGTTGTAAGAACCTACCTTGGGTACTACGACTAGCTGAAGGAGGTAGCAGTGTTGCAAGTCATGGTTGGTGGTACAGCAGTAGAAGAAGGTGGGTTCGACTGAGATAGATAACAGTGCTTACCACCAGTATCACCCTAGAACACTTGAAGGTGAGGCTCATGCGATGCACTCACTGCCTGAAGTACCCAAGAGAGCAGCTGGAGCCATGTCTAGCGAGGTACAGCACTGCATGGTGTCGTAGCGATGGTGTTAGCAGACAGTCGATGTGGAAGTGAGTGGAACCCTGCAGCAGGATCGGGGGGGTCGGAGATCGTCAGAAAGTGGTCTGATGGGAAAATGCAAAAAGCCTCGTTTTTGCTGCAACCACCACAACTTAACTTTCACAGCCCAGTACACTACCTAGGCATGTTGCTGCCAATGCGATGCGAGGAATCAAAGCATGAATGAACTGAGGTGAATTATTTTAATTCTCTCACCTGAGCATCCTATGTTATTTCGACTGCTCTCATACTCAAGTTGCACATGCTATACTTTCCTCGGAACAACAAACAATATCATATCATCCACTACATACCTCCACACAATCAAGCAAGATACTAGTACTAGTATCGTACGATGCACATGTGGTTCACTTGCCTCTCTCAGGAAGGATCAGATAGAGAGGGTTCAATCCTTGTGGATCCTGGATCCTCATATCCGACGGTCGCCTCAATTTACAGTTGGACAAGCACGATGATGGGATATTGGATGCGGAGTGACGTGCTTCAGTGGTTCACTACTATCACTCTCAACGTCAGTAGCAGTACCAACAACAGATGATACAGTATCAGCATATCATCGTATGATGCTCACCAGTTTGAACGTAAGGTCCTCGGTCTTGATTGCCCATTGATTTTTGTCGACGGCCCCAACGGTATCTACCTGGCAGGGCGTAGTGATGAGGGCACATGCCTATCCAGAGGTACTGTGCTACGCAGCCCGCGTTTCCAAGAAAGAGCTTGCAATCCAGACACTGTTCTCGGAGCAGATGTTCCGGTGGTCCAAGCGAGTTTATTCAGACTGCGCTATTTCCCAGCCCCTGTCCTTACCCTGGCCCTTTAGAAGTACCTAGGTTTGTACCTGCAAGGATCTGACAGAACCCTGTCGTGTCATGTCGTGTTTGACATCAAACGATACTTTTCAAGTTCGGACCAAGGAAGGAAAACGAAGCGAGCAATGACGGACTAGTGGCTTGTAAAGCTGTCTACAATTGTATAGCTTGAAGCTTAAGCTTTGATTACATGTGCCAATGGTGGCAGTGCAGGCAGCTGAAGGGTGGTGGCTGGTGCAGTAATGACCAGACCAAGGACAGAAACTCGAACAGCACAACACTGCAGTGCCCTTCACCTGCTTGTTATTCTTGAAGTGACAGACACTGTAATCAGCCGAGACGTATTAGACATTACATTACATTAATTGACTACCAGCTTATAAGCTTGGTTCTTCTGTTCCTGTTCCTCCTCAGCTGTCGTCGCCCTTGTTGTTGTGAACCCGCACATTTCTGACATGACAGACAGATAGACAGACAGTAATCATGGCGATTAACCAAATGATAATACACTCGTCGTTGTCATTCCAGGACATAAAACACATAAAACTCGTACTTTTCACACTCGTTTGTTCGGACCATCATCCACCGAGAAGAAGAAAGGCATACTTTGTGTGCCTCGCTCCTATTCTGCTTCAATGGGTGTGGATCCGTCTCCAGGTTGCAGGCTTTTACACCTGTTCACTGGCGATGGTGCTGGATCCATGACTAGGTTTCCGGGGTAGGATGTGATGAGGCTCCTTGTTGATCGGAGTCCAGTAAGCAAGCAGGACGCTGACGAGCCAGAAGAAGCCACTCAAAAAGGTAAAGGCGGCCGTTGCCCTCCAGCATGGACGGTATGGTTCGCCATATTCGCTCCGCCATCCCATCCAGTTGTCGTCACAGTCAAAGTTCTCCACGGCACCAAAGGAGGCGAAGAAGGCCAATGCGAAGAACATGTTGATCATGGCGAAACATGCCGGGTAGTAGTCGAAGGTAAAGACAAGGGTGGCACAGTACAGAATGGCCAATGCCGCAATGATCTCGGTCCAGATAAGCCGGGCGGCTGGATATACTGGGGTGTCCTCATAGTGTGAGAGGAACCAGCTCACGATACCGAGCACGATCTGTGTGCAGACAAGACCATCAGTATTCATCATTCATCATTCGTCTTTTGGTCAGGCACGGCAGGCTGCAGCAAGCCCGCTTGGGGATCGCCGTTGCACCATTGCACCATTGCACCACCCCCGGCGTGGGTGCTCCACCACTCTGCAAGGGGGAGAACAAGATACAACCAACTGGAGAGTTCTAGGGCTGAAGACTTACCGCTGCAAAGCAGGCCTCGGACAGATAAAAGACTTTAGCGAGGTTGCGAACAACCTTATCGCTTGGCTTGTGCCAACTGTCAAGCATTTGGGATAATTGATGTGGTGGTCAATGCAGTACCTTTGGTCAGGACACTGCAAAAGGTAAGAGAGTTGGTTTTGAATTTGTTTGGATAGTAGTAGCTGATGTCAATCAGACGATTGGAGTTGCGGCTCGTGGAGTCGATGTTGATGGGTCTTCATGCAGACGGACCGGAACATGATGTCGTTAATATAGACGTTTTCGACTTCAGAAGTCGGATGATTGTATCGAGCGCGAAAAGAATCGAAGCCATTTCCTCGTGCTTCCATATCTCGTGAAAGCATCTCATGCTCTCGTCGCAGTAGAGCGTAGAAATGCGCCGTTTTGTGACGTCGTCGATAGTCTGGTTGAACCAGGACATAACTCGGTCGTCTGCAGTAGTGGTCTGGAGTAGAAGCGAATGGTAGTCCTGTAAAGCTATGAGCAACTTTTACTGTAGAAAATACAGAATGGTACCATTGTACGCCTCGAAATTTAGATTCAATGGTCATGCCTCTTGGTCGGCTATATCGGGCCAAATTTAATGATGTGGAGAGCCCACTGGCCCTCGCCCTGACCTTTTAGCCTTTGTATGTCACGCTATGTTTGCAGCAGATACGAGCCTTATGTGGTATCGTCGGCGAGCTGTCCGGAATCGACAGCCAATCGCTACCGCACTCTGCAGAACATGACACAGGCCAAAGCCCACTCCGGCCAGGGTCTGGAATGTCGTCTATGCGTGAAATTAGCGAGGAATTCGAAATCCGAAGCTGGGACAAGCCGTCACTTGTGCCATTAATTGGCCTCTGCCATTGGCACCGTGCTCACTTGTTGCGCGGCCCGGCTTCCCTGTCGCTCGACCCTCTTCTGAATCATAATGTAGGTCCTCCACACTAGTGACCCTCGTTGGTGATGGCTGGAGGTTTGATTTGTTCAGTCAATCCATATATGATGATCCCGCGACAGTCAGATATCACAACAGTCGCCGATAAGTCGGCGTGGTTCTTTTCCTATGTGTGGCCTCTGATTTTCGGATTTGTTCATATACTGTGGCTGTTCCCACGTCAGCTCATCCTGCCGTCCTTGGTCAGCCTGCACATCCAACCTTGCTGACTACATTCCAACGTCGACTCAAGGATTTGCGAACTACCCAGTAGCCACACCCCAGATTTCGTGGACAAAAGAATCCTAGCTGTTCAGAAAAGAAAAGAGGCATATGTTGTCGCCCACAATGTCACAAAGAGAAGGAAACCGGACAAAGCGGACCAGCGCGACTGGCATGGAGGAAGCGGTCATCGAGCCGAGCACTAAAGGGTGCTCCTCGGGAGTTGGACGAAAAGGACAACGTACAGTCCGCGCCTGCGATTTCTGCCGACTGAAAAAAGCAAAGGTCGGTCTTGTCTTCGTTGCTCATTTGGCATGCATCTTGAAAGCAAGCTTACCACAATTCCAAAACAGTGCGATGGACAAAGGCCTTGCAAGAAGTGTCAGAGTTGCAAAACATCATGCACTTACAGCCACCTTCGGAAGAGCTCGAGGCCACAGTCGATACTAGCGTAAGTGTCCTTGTTGCTGATGACGTTGTCCCACGAAACTGACCGAGAGCATAGATATGCTGCAACATTAGCAAGGCAGCAAGCGACGTTGATTAAATGCGTCGAGACTCTCCACCGTCGCCTCAGAGTCGAGAAGGGCGGTAGTGCGCCTGCGTCCGAACCGACAGTGAACGACATAATCCTTTCTCTAGGATTGGACCCCATAGACAATGTCGAAATCGATACCGAAGATGCCACCATTCATTTTAAATCCCATTCATCCCCATCGGCTTCTGACTCGCCTCCAACCAGCATCGAAACTCCCCCCAAACCAGCATCGAAACTCCCCCCATGCATGACACTTTAGAGCTACGGGACACTCTTGAGCAAACCCAACCATCCGCGCTGTTGCCAGAACCAACTTACCAGGATCCCGTTCAGTTGCCGCACCAAGCAATGAACAACGGTGGAGGAGGCAACTCGTGGAAAGGGACACCGCAGTACTACGAAATGCCGCTTGTCGAAGACGACATGTTCGGCACTTCTTCATTCACCAGAGACCTGACGCCAGGCCCCATGAAGCCCTGGGCTGGAACGCCCATGTTTGACACATCTTCTTTTCCCTGCACATATGACTTGTTCGACAACGGTCTGAACTGGAACACCTGAATGCGGCGCGCATTCTGTAATCATGCCCAAATTTGCCTTGACCACACGTGTCTAGAGGCCGTTCCGCCAGAGTCACATTTGCTTGAGTCCTGAAGGTCGCCAAAAAAAACCCCTACCAGGCTACCTCTCTTGATATTGCTTTAGACTCGCACAACGAGTCCCGCTCATGTCTCGAACAGGGGCCAAGCCCAGATTCTGGAAGGAGACACCACGGAAATACCCGCAAAGAGCCAAACCGAGCATTATCAAAGTCTGCGGATTATAGCACGCCGTTAGGAATGCAGGTGTGAAACCCAAGCAAAGGATGTCGTGGTAAAATGGATCGGCAAACAGCCCGACGTTTTCAACGGCTTTGAAACCGCGGGGGTGAACGGAGATCGTCCGGTCCGCGAGATCCGAAATTCTGTCTCGATCATCATGTCCCGGCCTGCACGGAAGGACAATGCTGAGTCGAGAAGCACGAGCGGTAAAAGCTCCAATGTTCTCCCACCGCAGCCGGAACTTGAATGAGGGATATATGCTGCCAGTGTATGTTTTGGTGGAACTAGTCTTGATGTAGGCTAGCACCCTAATGAATAATGTCTTATGTAATACATATGTGATTGGTCTCTAGCATTTGCCAGCCTTGCGCAGTGACTCCATTATACACTGTATTGCCAACGTATCTATGTACATGCGTCCACTTGTGAGAGGAGTCTATGCTATCCTACGACCGGCACACTCCTGGACTGAGGTGCTGTAAGAAAGGAGCCTCACAGTCTTTGCAGATGTAGCTAGTCTGATCTCGAATCGCCACGTCTAGCATGTCTCGATTTCATTCTCATGTGCTTGCAAGGCCAGATCCATGTTGGTATGCAAACAATCCATACGTGCTGTGTTCCGTTGGTTATGTACTTGCTTCTCTTAAACACCCCCAGACCATCTTCGAACGCAATGCCACCCTCTGTACTACTGACCCATCCTGCGACCACCTATCTTGAAGCCATGCAATGCTTTTATGCCCGTAAGTCTCCACCCCATCTCAACTCATTCGCCGTTGTCCACAGCTTCCACATTGGCTCTGATAATGACAATCTTTTCACCTTTTTCCCTAGCCTCTCTCTCTGGACTGTCACGAACCTCAACCTCGACTTTGAGACCGGCCCCACCATTTTTCGACCTGCTTCGACTGGAACCAGGACTGAGATTGAACCGCTGTTCGACTGTACGTTGTTCGCCCGTGGAAAGCCGGTGAGTCGACCTTCTCGATCTGCCTCTCGCCGGAGTTCGCGGGTCGGGTCGCGCAGGGCTGGGACTCCGCTTATTCAAGGATTCCAGCTTCTCAGCAGGAGCAAACACTTGTTTCTCTGTCATGGCGCGCTGGAGTGGGGTTCTGGGTTCTGACGGGGCGTCATTGGCCTTCGTATCAGGCATTATCCCTTCTACTTCTTCGCTGATGGGAACTTGAAGTGGCGGCAGATTTGTAGGTTTCAATCCTTGAAGATCCACATGGTCCTCTATCAGTTGCGCCTCCATGACGACTGGACGAGCACGGATTTCTCGTCGAATAAGTCGTTCCCTTTCTGCATGTCTTCGGCGTTTTTCAGCATCATCTTTTTCATTGGCAGCCTGGAGCAAGTCCTGTACTCTGCTTTGTACTGCGTTCGACTTTTTCGGTGGGAGGGAATCATTCTTTGCTTGGACAGTCGCTGGGCCAGATTCTGCCTCTTGAACAGGGGCGGAAGGAGATTTATTGAAGAGACTCCACTTGAAGGGCCAACCAATCGACGGCTTTCTCTGATGGAATACTTCGTCCGCAGCCTTTTCATCAGTGGACGGCGGCTCTTTCGGAGTGAGCTCTTCTGCCGCGGGCGGAGAACTCTTGCTCGACTTTTGTTCCGCGCTAACCATGGCCGGAAGGGTCAATGGTATCAAGGGAGTGCCTGGTCTTTCCTCAATGGCTCCTGCGAATTTGATTCTTGCAACCGTGTTCGTCTCCTTCCCAGTAAGAGTGTCATCCTTCGCTCGTGGAAGACGCCGAGAAGCCTGTTCATGCTGGGAAGGCTTCGGGACGAAGCTCTCAAACATGGCTGCTCTCTGCTTCACAGGGCTTAGCTGGTGAGAGGCGGCGGCATCAGAACCCTGACGCAATGGGCTCGGTCTGCTGTTTGGCCCAAGAGTTTCCTCATCATGGTTGTCACCGTAGCGGCCTTCTTGACTCGATCTTTGCGAAGTCGACCTTTCCTCGTAGTTGACTCGGACTGACTCTTCGCTGCTCCGTGGCATAGCAGTTTCTGTGCTTCGTAGGGATTTGTGGCCGCGTGATTGTGACTGCCGACGAGTTGTTTGGCTGATGTGTGGCGGCAGCTCTAGACTGCGCCTGGACGGGGTCTCATCGCTGACTTCTCCAGAAAAGGCTCCGGGCATGAACGACTGGTCCTCAATCGCATCATCCAGCATGAGTCCTAATTCCTCCAGTGTATCTACCCTCTGCATCTTTGAGCTTCTCGCCACAAGACCCTTGTCAGCTACTGATCGCAGCCGTGACCTCGCCGCTGCTATTTCCCCAGTAGGGTCGGCCACGTTCTCCATTGAACGGTATTTCCGATGAAGTGAAGGCAAGTCAGTCTCTTCAGTTGGTCGTCGGGAAAGGATTTGTTCATGAGGGGGACATTCCATGCTGGTGACAGGACGAGTCGGGGCGGCTTTTGGGCCTTCATCTCCATCGCCAGTCTCTGCGGCAAAAGGTGTCCTCTTGTAGAAAATGGATCCTACGGGAGGACGGCCATCCCCTCTGAACCCTTCTTTTCCATCTCTTGCCGCCCTGCCGGCCGGAGATGCAAAGTTTTGATCTTGCCGTTGGCCGTGACCTGAGAGGACACCGAAGTCCGTTGCCTGTGTCAGAACACGGCGCTGAGAGTTCAGTTTCGGGGCGCTGCGTTCGAATCCGATGTCCTGGAACGCCCGAATACGGTCGGCCACGGTGCCTCGTTGCGGTCTGGCCTCAAGTTAGCATTTCGCAATGATTACAAACATTGGAGAATGAGCAGACCCTGATGAGCTACTCATGCTCGGAGATGTTTAGCAAGTGTTATTTCAATGTCGATCATATTGGATTGCTGAAATGCTGCCAAATTAACAAGGGTAGTGCAGATGGTAAAACATGCAGTTTCGCCCTTTGGGGCCTGTTGTGTTGGCGACAGCTCTTTCCTCCAAGAGCCTGGGCGAGCACCCGCTGGTGTAAGGCAGGAGCGGGCGACAAGGGCAATTGGTCTCCTGTCTGCGGGACCAATTCATGGCCGGCGTAGTCCAGGCTGAAGGCATTATTGGCAGCAGGAGGTTGTTCAAATGATATGTTGCGCCTGTAATGTGTTGCAATGCGCAAGGTTGCAAGGAAAACATGAAAGGAAAGCTTAATAAGAAACGAAGAGCTTCAAGCGCTTAAACAACTGAACAGTATGTCTTGTCACAATTCCGTTGAATCTTTTCCGCTGTGTTATTTTATATGTACAGAAACTGTGACATGCGCACTTATTTCAGTGCCGCCTGTAAAGATTCCAAAACCTGTTGTGCGTTAGCATGCGTTGACTGGATTGTGCAGGAATCCCATTACCTCAAGCTCAATCTTGGCCTCAGCAATGTCCTGCTCGCTTCCGTTTCCATTGGCGATCTTCTGAGCTTCGGCGATTTGCGATCTGACAGCCTCTTCGCTGAAGTCCTCCAAAGGGAATCCCTCAACGGCGTTTATGGTCAAGTGAGAGTTGGGCTGGACAACGGCAAATCCTCCGGACACTGTACAAGCGTAAGCACTGCCCACTCCGTCTCCTTTGTATATCTTCACGTACGGAAGAATTGCTTGTTTCCACCGTTCTCTTCGATGATTTCCACCAAACCAGGCTTCAACTGTTCAATGGAGGGAACGTGTTGCGCGAGAATACCCATCTCGCCGGATTCAGCGGGGACATTCACTTGCACGCTGAGTAAACTCGGTCAGCTTAAGGAGCACGAAGGTTTTGGCAATGGTTGAGGTTTGCATTCGTCGGAACGTACACATCTTGCGATTTGTAGATTGCCTATTCTCGGACTACGTCAGCTGAATGCTCCAAATGTAACCCGAATATCCTCCAGCCCGTGCAGGGTGTGTATAATCTTCTGGTGCTAGCGTACCTGGTGCGGAAGAGCAAGGGAAAGCTTTATTTTGTCCGAGACTGCTTCAGCATAGCCTCTGCGTTGGATTGGGTTGAAAGCAGCGGCCGATCTGACGCGGAGCGCAGCACGAGACAGTCGAAGGGCGCTCATGTTGACGAAGAGCGAGGAATCGTGGCAGAATAGGCCTTAAGTATAGTAGTGAGCTCCGATCGAGCTTCTTACTGCGCTCCAAGTTGAGGTCGACACGCCAAGTAGTATACTTCCATTCGCAGTTTAGTGCAGGTTCGCAGCTTGGAAAGGATGCGAATACTTTGGGCAGGTAAACCGACCGCAACCGTTATGACTAAGCCGACATGAGTTCAAAGACCGGGCACCTACTAGAACTGGTACGAGTCATCTCTCTTCACGCAGTTCCATACAAATCCCTTGCATCACATATACAGTTCTTGCATACCAGCCGGTAGCTTGAAAAGTTCGAATCCTTCATCCACCTTTTTGTTCAGCGGATTCTCGTCCATTTTGGCGAGACCCGTGGCGGTTTTCTCCCAACGGTCCAGTAGACCAACCTCCCAATCCTGGAACCTGCGCGCAGACTGAGGAAGGATGTTCGTGCTTTCTTCCAGGGTCTTTCTGAAATCTACAAAGTCTTCTTCTGTCACAACGAGCTCTTCGTATGTGGTGCTGTTCGCGTCCAAGAATTTGACGGGGTTGGCGACAACCTTGTAGAACACCTTCATGGCCCGGTGCGCCGTGGGCCCTCGCTTGCTGCTCGAATAGTAGATGTCGGGATTGAAGATCCACAGCATCAGGCCTTCATCCTCCTCGACATGGGTTCCGGCACGATTGTCAGCATGAACCACTACCCTGCGGGTAACAGAGCTCTCAATCAACGACAACAGCTGACCACAAACAAAGGTTGCGGCGGGAAAGCTTTCCGAATCTCGATTCGAATCTGGAACGACCTGGAGTCTGGACTTGACCAATCGGCGACTATCCTCATTCTCTTGACTAGAGCCAATAGTGGTCCCGCAGCCAAAACACTTGACGACGTAGGCGCCTGCCCTAGATGCGTGCTTAAAAAGCTGGAAGAGGTTCTGAGTTAGCTGACATGTACCTCACAACCATCCCTTTGCGATCTGCAGCTCAAAGACGCAAAGGCGAAATTAGGAGGCGTATCCATCGGAAAGAGAGGAGCAGGTCATCCATCGCTGCAAGCAGGAGGTTGACACATACGCCCCATGGACACAGAGCATATAAATCAATATGCGGCGAACGTATCAGAAACTGGATCAATTGAAATCTCGAATATCAAGATTGAACAGTCTCTTTCTTTACGCCGGAGTAAGGAGGGAGTACTCCAGGGGGGTTCTTAAATTCCTTTTGGAATGGAAACTTACTTTGAGGTTCTGGCAGTCCTTCTCATGCAACAGAAAAGAGACGGTATCCACAAGCCCAGCACCAGGGCTGGCAGTAAATTTGCTGGTGGGAGCAAAGCCTTTGGATTCGGCTGCATGCTGCTCATTGCTGGGATCATCATGTGGCTTGTGACAAAACCAGAAATCCATCAGCTCCGCCCAGTGAGTGCTAGGCAGATCCTTCCAGACAGTGACCTTTCCGGCAGACAATATATCGGCACCACAGCTTTTGCATCGGACAGAAGTGTTCGTCGTTAAATCCCCAGCCGACCAGGGCACTTCGATACTGCCTGCGTCGTCGTCGGCTGGTTTCAACTGATCAACATCGTCTATCTGCAACCGAGCGGAAATCTCGGTCCTTTTGTCCGTGGGAAACGTGACATTGGCAGTGCCCGATATTTGTGTCGGGAGGTAGATGCTGGACGACTCTTCGTCGTGGATCGCTGTGATTACCTTCTTATCTGAAGACAACAGTATTTTCGTGTGCTCATTTTTGGCGGTCTCGAGAGAGGCGTACAGGGTAAGCTGGCGAATGTGAGTAAGCGCTTCGGCATAGAGATAGATCTTCGGTTTGGACATGATTTGTTCCACTTCGAGACGACAAGTTGTGGACAGTCCTCGCACCCACCCTGTGCGCGGTTTCACTGTATCGAACGTGCTCAACCACGACAAAGGGCAGCTCCAATGGTGGCAAGGCTGTGTTTTTGGTGACGTCCTGGATGGTGGCCAAAGGCAACTATCGCCCAGCTACAGGTGTAAGTCGTCAGGACACTTTCAGATTAACGCCTTGCTTTGGGTGTTGATCTGGTGTGATCTGGCAGGCGACCGGGTATTCCACCAGAAGTCCATTATTGCGCCGGAAGAAGGATTTGAGACATTGAGTTGTCTGTTCATCCGTGATCAATGTCTGCCAGTGAAGTGTGGTTCAGAAATCATTTTGTGTGGATGGTTGCATGCGGTGCCGTAACTACGCGCTAAGATGCCCTCAATCCACCGTAGGTCCCTGCAAAAGTACCCCGCCCATCCGGCACCCGTGCTAACCGCAAATGGAATACTTTATCGCGAGGACCAGCGTCTTGGGCCGACGCTAGAAACAACGACAGCCGAGATAAGAGACGTCGGCTTCCTCCATGAATCAGAACTTGAACGCCTCGTCAGCGCCTGCATAGTGTCAAATATGGACGGGTACCTACCATACAGTGTCTCATACCAGAGAAGAGGCTTGCTTCACCCATGCGTCTGACAAGAAATGATCCCCCACTCGAGACGTTCCCATGATCAAGCACGCGACCCAGCATGAGCGCTCGAAAGATAACAAGAAGCCGGTCAGGATGTTCGGCTTGTCGGTTGCAAAGGGTGAAATGTGACGGTGAGGGATCTCCCCGTGTACATTATTTCCCACATCCACTGACAGAGCAAGGACAGAGGGTCGACCTAGATGCCAGAGGTGTCTCAGACAGAACCTTGCATGTCACTACGGAGGCATCCGCTTGATCTGGGAGAATGACAGCGAAGCACGAGGAGTATGCCACGGGCGTCAAGGAGTCTGGAAAAAGGCTGGCAAAGCAAGCACTCGAACGGCTTCCAGTCCCGAGGCTGGATACCCTAGCACCGACGCGTTCCCCGTCATTGAGCGTGCTTATTTCTTAAACACGACTTATAAGGACTTTGAGTTGCACTACACCATCAATACACCGAAAGCCTCGCCATGCACACCGAGGGAGCACCAGGAAGATGATCATGACGAGCAGAATTCTCAGTTTAACGAAGTCGTCGTAGCCACGGATCCATCTCTCCATGCGAAGACGCTGCTCCACGCGTTGTCACCATTTCCAGTCGTGACTCGGTCCAGCGATTCGATTCTCCTTTCATATTACGACCTCGTAATCTGTGCATCACGGACAGTACTCGACGATGAACAACACAATCCATATCGACACGTTCTGCTACCCATGGCGCTTCACTCGCAGGGTCTATACGAGGCAACCCTGGCGATATCAGCTTACACACTCCATCTGAGCCAGCCAGATCTTGCGACGACAGCGCTAGAACACCGGCAGCAGGCGTTGAAAGCACTGATACACCTGATCAACCAGGAGAACCCCGACGGCACGGTCATGGACGAGATCCTTGCACTGGTTCTCATGATTTGCTGGTACGACATCTCAGATGGCTGCCGTCCATCTTGGGTCAAACACCTTGCCGGATTTCGTGGTCTCCTACATCATATACCACGAAGGAACAAGACAAACCAATCTCTTCTCAGCCTTCGACTTGAGAAATTCTTTCTCCAATATTTCGTCTTTCACCTTGTTTTGGCAAAAGCCACGTTCCACGATGGCGACATGGAGATCGAAGAACAACCACCGTCGGAGGGCAGGAGTAGCTTAGTCCATGAGGGTTCTGGCTCTCTGGCAGTGGCTGAATCCTGGCTCTCGCCTTCCACTTCGGCGCTATCCATTCAAATGTCTCTCGACGACCTTGACCAGATCGACCTTTACATGGGATTTAGCAACTCGTTACTTTTGCTCATCAATGAGATCGCAGAAATGACCAAGATCAAACCCGACGCCAGTGACCGTGAGCAACGAAATCTGAAACTACTTGCTCGAGCATGCAGGATCAAGGAAAGTCTTGTCAGGCTGGAAAAGACAAATTCTCATTTGGGCAGTATGCCCGAGCTGGCAGACAAGGAGCCTACTGTGGTCGCCATTGCCGAGATCTATCGACTAGGAGCGCTTCTCTACTTGCACGAGGTCCTCTCGACGCCGGCGTTGGAGTTTCCGTACTGCAGACGCATTTTCAAAGCAGGTGAAAAGGAACACTACGTCTCGCAGATTCTTGACATGACCAGCTCCAACATCACACAGATATGTAGTGTGGCGAGCATGCCCCTTTGGTCCCTGTTCCTCGCGGGATGCTGCGCCATCAGCGAGACGGATCGGGTTAAAGTGCTCCAGATCTTCGAACACGTCGAGAAGCAGTGCCAGTTCGGCAACGTCATCCCGGCTCACGCAGCTTTGGAAGCCGTATGGCGCCAAAAGGATCTATTGAGGGACGAGCCTTCGCCTGCTTCGGGTCGAGCCCAAAACCAAAGAGGGAACAGAGCCCAAACCTATGTGCAATACGAATGGGAGAAAGCGCTCGATATGCTTGGTGGCTGGAGAATCAGTCTAACATAACAGGTGGATTCATTCCCGCATGTACCTTTCCCATCTATCTGAGATTTTCTCTCGGGCCGATCCTAACACCGCCTACACTCTGCAGTTATAGGACATCAAAGCCTTGCCTCTCGCTTCTGAGGTCCATTTCTCCTTCTGCCATGCCAACCCGAGAGATCGCGCAACTCCATTTCAGGATCCATGTGGGCCAGATTCGTTCCCATCTTCTGATTAGGCCGCCACCGCCAGGCCCGTGCAATATCCGGTTCCAAGGTCCCCTCCAACAAATCAGCGATATATTTGCCCAACACAGGCATGAATTTGAAGCCATGGGCCGAGCCACCTCCGGCAATGAAGAGGCCCTTATGGTCCGGATGGGGAGTAATCAAGAAATGGCGATCCGGGGTATCGGCGTCCCAACACAGCCGAGTGAACGAAAAAGGTCTGTCCGCCAATTCAGGCAAGACTCTCCTGATATTTCGGCGCATCGTGGCTTCGATCTCCAAAGGCAGGCCATCGTCTGGATTCTCGACAAAAGTGTGGGGCGTGGAAACACCATTTTTAGACATAGTGTTGGTGATGAATTGGCTGTGCGCCGTCTTGAAAACGCCATCCTGGGCCGGAGGGAAGAAATACCCCAATTCCAAGTTATCCAGTATCGGCATGTTCTGGTAGCGTTTCGCCTCTTCTGGAGACAGTTGGATGTGTGCGACACTGTGTCCCTTGGCGATCAGCTGGTCCTTGAGGTCAATGAGACTGGGAAGCCATGCACCCGCCGCTAGAACCACCAAGTCCGCGGTGTGAACTGTCCCATCGCGAGTTCGAACACCGGCACATTTCCCATTGGATACAATGAGCTCTTGCACCGTACCTCTGTCAGTGCCCGAAACAAATTCGACACCGTTGGCCCGGGCCGCCTCGGCCAATCTTTTCAACGCCTCGCCTGAAGCGATCCAGCCGGCGCTGGGGTTCCATACGTTGATGTTCCACCCGTCTAGGTCGCCCTTGACCTGAGGAATGCGCTGACGCACCTGGTCCTTGGACAGGATCTCGAGCCCTTTGACGCCCAGCCGCTCCGACGTGCTTATCGATCCTTTCACGAAAGGAACCGACAGGTTCAACGCGCTCAGCACCCATCCTGGAACATGGTAGAGGTCCCGGTAGAGGTCGGACGACTTGTATATCTCAATGGCCTCGAGCGCCAGTCGCGCGTAAAGTGGCTCGTTGTAGTCGAAGCGGATGACTTTGCTGATGTCGGTCGATGCCGCATCGATCGAGGGCACCGGATGCTTGTCAAGCACCCGGATGGATTTGTAGCCTCGTTGGGACAGGTGGTATGCTGTCGATGTCCCAAACGCTCCAGCGCCGACTATCAGGATTCGAGAGTTTTTGTCCATTTTGCCTGCCATTCAATCTGATATATATACCCGGCTGTCCAACAGTCCCAAATCAAAGACCAAGTATATAAATCCCTTGGTAAACAGATCCCAAGATATAATACCGGAAATATACCACGGGTTGTCTATGCCATTAAAAATCAAGCACAGATATATACGCGCCTTTCCAATCAATAACACCACCGAAACTTATTAGGTATGGTAGGGCAATGGATCCCTCCAACCGTGGCACAGGCCCACTCTGGCGCACGCAATTCCGCCAGAATACTAATGTTGTAGTAGTGACTGAATTCACAACTGAGGAGGACAACAGAATACAACTTATTATAACGCTACCACACCACCCAAGTCCTATTCGCCATGAGCCAGAATGAAGAGCATTTCAAAGACGGAAGGTCGGTCCTAGACTTCCCATACAACTACTGGGAGCGGGTACAGTGCCTAGGTAGGTGTCAGCCTGACGGAGATGCGAGTTGCCAGTGCAACTTTCAGATCGATGCCAGTGGGTCATCCAGTTCAATCCAATGCAATCTCATTCACCAGCGCCAGTGGGGTTCCGGACCGACCTTCCTCTCCTCAAAGTTGTGTTTCTCTACCTGACCAACAACATAATAACCGAACCGAAGCGAAAGCACCGCTACAGAATACCCGGCCGTCATATTCTAGTTTCCTGGAATCGAGCAGGAATCACGATTGCCGTGGCAAGCTATTGTTCGGCTGTTGGAGATAGCCCGAGTGAAAGTGGCTGCTGGCGTTCCAATTCTCTGGATGGTCTCGAGGGCTCTCAGGTCCCGGATGTCAAAGAGCCACACTGCATTCAAACTGCTTGCCCGTGTGCCCAGGTGACGAGGTTTTCCGTCAGCCTTGCGCCGAGCCAAAGTGGTAATAAGAGGTGGGAAGTGCGTCCTTCAAGTTCGTGAACGGGAGGAGCGACCCCCGACCAAACTTTTCTACATGTGTGTGCTTGGCAAGGATTCCTAAGATCTCTCCCACTGCAGTAGCAGCGGGTGACTTCAATTGCTATCAGTCCACGTAATTATCACATCTCGATGTCTGTCTTCTGAGATCGTTGATTGACAGAACCTGTTACTGGGTTACAACTTCACGGCTCAGTCAGAACATATACTATCTGGTGAAGTGCAAAGGCGAAGCCATGACGTCCCCGGTGTATTCCCTTCGCAACGTGGGTAATGCAAAAGACAACTATACTTTGCCCGTACATAAGGTAAGCTGCCTATAGGTAGGTACGCCCGTTGTCTCAGCTCTCAATCAATAGGTGTAGACAAACGTCTTCTTCTCCTTATCAGTCAAATCCTGGAACGCAGCAATCATGTCCTCCTGCGTATCATGTGCAGCACCAAGTTCATTTGCCTGAACGACGGCAGCAGCACGTCGCTTGTTCTCGAAGAAGCAAAGACAGCCGTACACAATGATGGAGCCAATCGCCACGACAATGCAGCAGAGCAAGCCGATATATCCATGGGAGTAATCGGGAGCATCGGAGCTGCGGAAAACTTGCGGGCCCAAAATATTTCCCAGGCAGTAAGAGACGAAAAATATGGCGTTCATGGTGACCTTTTTGGAGTGACCCGAGGTGTTGGCCATGGGGAGGGAAGTCGCCAGGACATAAGGCGCCCAGTAGGTGTAAAAGACGTAGTAAGCGGCGAGCAGACCGTGCTTGTTGTCGCGGGGCAGCTTCCACATGAGAATGGCACAGATCATGGGCACGAGATTGGCAACGGCGATGGTCAAGCACCGAATATTGGGGATGTGAGCACACAGAAAAGCCAGCATCAGTTGCCACACCGTCGCGAGGACGCCGGTCGGGATGCCCAGGAGAGTGGTGTTGAGTTTCGAGTACCCGAGCCCGGAGACGATGATGGCAGCAAAGGTGACCAGGCCGCCGTTGGGGATGTTCTGGGCCACGGCGAAGGTGGCCAGCGCCCACGTCTTGGGATCCGTCAGACACTCTTTGATCTGGTACCATTTGATCTTGCGGTCTTCGATACCCGTCTTGTTGTCCTTGACGCGGCGGAGGCAGATGTATTTTTCGCGGGCACTCAACCACCGGCATGTCACGGGCGTGTCGGGCAAGCAGAACCAAATGACGACAGCCCAGAGGAACGAATAGCCGCCGAGCACAAGAAACAAAAGGCGCCAGGGAGCGATGCTGGTGTGCGTGTGTCCGATACCATAGCTGATAATGCCGGAGAAGATGGATGAGCCTTGGTTGAACCAGAACGCCACCCTGATGGGTTGTTCTTCGCGAGTCCACCACATCACGGTGAGGATGCTGGACACAGGAAATATGAGCGCTTCTGACATGCCCATGATGAACCGGCAGGTGGCCAAGCCGCCAAAGTTGTGCGTCGCCGCAATGCACATCATGATCACCCCCCAGCTGAACACCGCACCAGCGAGCAGTTTGGCTACTGGCAGCCGTTGGATCAATATTGCGCTGGGATACTCGAGCACCAAGTACCCAAAGTAGAAGATTGATCCTACCCACGAGTACTGGTCGCTGGTCAGATGGGCGTCCTCGCGCATCCCGTAGATGGCTGCGTTGGATATGATGACTTTGTCCACGGCCGCCAGGATGATGGTTGCCGCCACCAGAGGCAGGATGATCAGATCAATCTTCCAGAGCACCTTTCGAGCCTCCTCTTTCGTCACCTCCTTCTCGGTGATGGACGGATCCAGCCCGGCCAAGAATGTGACGGCGACATCTTGATCCCCTTGCTGTGAGAGAGTGTTGGCAATTTCAATGTCGGCCCCGGCCTTGTCTGCGGCTGCTTGAGCTGTATCGCTCTTGGGATTCTTCTCGTAGTCCATCTGGAGAGGCCCAGGATAACCAGTGATCGTCAAGGGATATCAACGCAATCAGAGAGACTGGTGGCACTCAGAGGCTTCGAGAAACAGTGTCACACAGAGCAGATGTCGTTGTTGTTATACCTTTGAGGAGTGCGACCCCTGTACTTAAGCATTTTCTTCCCCAGTCCAACTGGATAGCTGCCAGTGCCAGGTATGTTGCTGATATCAGAAGCCAAGTGCGGAGGAGGCGAACACAAGGCCCTCGTTATCAAAACCATTCCGTTTCCGATCATGTCATTGGGCACTATCGTGTCAGACTCCAGAAGCTGTGAATCATCCATATGAAGCGGGTGCCGGATCAAGGCCTGGGGTAGAGGAAGGTCGTTCCAGGAGGAATAGGGTCTCCACAGCACCAGGGTCGAGGGAAGGTCGGTCCGTTATCTGTGTAAACTTACCGTCCAACCTAGGTTATGCCCCTCGTGCCGGGGGAGACGTCCACCGTCCACTATCCCCAAAATGGGTCGTTGATATCCAATTTGTGGGACACTGGGCGTCCCAATCCTGGAGAAGACCGTCCACGCCAGTTGCCCTCATGGACGCCGTGACACATTGACCCGCGACGCCATGTTGTGGTCTCATGAAATGGCTCTGGTCTCCGACCTCGCGCAGATAAAAAGGACTGCACAGCACCTAGGGCGGCCGCGCGTAATGACAAAATTGCCCGAGGTTGAGTTTGGCTGAATCTGTCGCTGCGGCACAAAGAAAGAGGCGATTTGTTGTTCTCGCGGTTCGTTCGTCCATCAGACGCAAACAAACCGGTGATTGACCATGTCGCCTCACAAAGTCCAAGTCGAGGTCGATGGCCTCAAGATCAAGGTCGCGATCGGTATGCGCAAGATACCATATTCTCAGACTGTGCTGATTGTGCTTTTCAGATCGTGGAGGGACGTTCACCGACTGCCTGGGCATCGTGGAAGGTCGCGATGAGGACATAGTGGTCAAGCTGCTCTCACAGGATCCTGGCAACTATCAAGATGCACCAATCGAAGGCATCCGCAGGATCCTCGAGGAGGCCACTGGCCGCTCGTTTCCACGGAATCAAAAGCTCGACATCGGCGGCTTCTCCGATTTCCATGTCCGTATGGGCACCACGGTGGCTACGAATGCGCTCCTTGAACGGAAAGGCGAGCGGATTGCCCTCTGCATTACCAAAGGATTCAAGGACGCTCTCATCATCGGGAATCAGTCGCGGCCGAAGCTCTTCGCCCTCAACATCGAGCGGCCAGAAGTCCTTTTCCAGGATGTGATTGAGATCGATGAGCGAGTCACTATCGAGGACTATCAGCAGAACCCCCGGCCAGATCATGCAGCACTCGCCCAGGCTCTGGAAACTGATCCTGACCTGGTCAAGGGAGTCAGCGGCGATGTCATCCGCATCCTGGACAGACTGGATGAGCAGAAGACCCGGAAAGACCTGCAGAGTCTTTACGACAGAGGATATAGGTCAATTGCCGTCTGCTTGGCCCATTCCTATACCTTCCAAGAACATGAACTGGCAGTTAGGCGGATTGCGCAGTCCATTGGCTTTACACAGATCTCCCTCTCTAGCCAGCTCTTGCCTATGATCAAATTGACCTCTCGCGGCGCTTCGGCTACCGTGGATGCCTACTTGACCCCGATTGTCAAGAAATACATTGAAGGTTTCCGGGCTGGCTTCGAGGACGGTCTCAATTCAGAAAATACGGGCTGCGAATTCATGCAAAGCGATGGCGGCTTGGTCAGTTTCGATAAGTATGCATTCTTTGTTGGCCTCCAAAAACAAAGTAGCAGTTTCATGACTAACACATATGTTATAGATTTACAGGACTGCGAGCTATCCTCTCGGGTCCTGCGGGAGGTGTGGTGGGCTATGCCCGGACTTCGTTTGATCCGAAAGTCAACATCCCGATCATTGGGTAAGTGAGAATATATTCCTGGCCAGATGTCTAGTTTGCCTGACGCTCTCCAGGTTCGACATGGGTGGGACAAGCACAGATGTTTCACGGTTTGACGGGACGTTCCACCAGACCTTTGAGAACACGACGGCCGGGATAACGGTGATGGCACCTCAGTTAGACATTAACACCGTCGCCGCCGGAGGAGGCTCGATATTATTCTGGCGTCACGGACTGTTTGTGGTCGGGCCCGAATCTGCCGGTGCGCATCCGGGACCAGCGTGTTATCGCAAGGGGGGGCCATTGACAGTGACTGACGCGAACCTATTCCTCGGGCGCCTGCTGCCTCAATACTTTCCGAAGATCTTTGGGCCGAGCGAGAATGAGCCGCTGGACATTGAGGTGACACGACAGAAGTTCAATGCCCTGGACGAACAGATCTCGCAAGAAACAGGCCAGCGCAAGACGGCCGAGGAAGTGGCTCTTGGATTCATTGAGGTGGCCAACGAGTCCATGGCCAAACCAATTCGAGCGCTCACCCAAGCCCGCGGGTTCGACACGTCGGCGCACCATCTTGCCTGTTTCGGAGGAGCGGGAGGACAGCACGCCTGTGCAATTGCGTCGTCACTGTCAATCGGCACGATCATCGTCCACCGCTATTCATCCATCCTTTCAGCATACGGCATGGCGCTCGCGGACGTTGTGCACGAGGCTGCTGAGCCGGCGTCGAGCGCATTGAACGAAAAGACAATGCCGGAAATCCAACAGCGCATCGACCGGCTGAAACAAAAGGTCCATAAAGAGCTGACCAGCGACGGAATTCCCGAGAGCACCATCCATTACGAGGTGTACCTCAACCTGAGATATGCCGGGACGGACAACTACCTGATGGTGCTGGAGCCGGCCGACGGCGATTTCAAGAAGGCCTTTGTGGCGGAGCACAAGCGCGAGTTCACCTTCACATTCGAGAATAAGGACGTCTTGATTGAAACGCTGCGGGTGCGAGGAATCGGCAAGTCGCTCGAACTCCCGCCGGAGAGTCCGTATGAGGCTCTGGAGAAAATGAGCTTCTCCCAAATTTCTGATGAGCAAATCGACGACAAAACCTCGATTTATTTTGGAGGAGTTGGCCGAGTCGAGGCGCCAGTTTACTTCTTGGGCAACGCCAGGCCCGGCAGTTTGATCCCAGGGCCAGCGGTGATATTGGACAAGACGCAGACTATCATCGTGGAACCACAGGCGACAGCGAGGATTCTCCCTCGCCACGTGGTAATTTCCATGCCGACAACCAAGACAGGCTCGACAGAGCACACCAAGGTGGTAGACCCGATCCGGCTATCGATATTCGGACATCGATTCATGTCGGTGGCAGAGCAGATGGGGCGGATGTTCCAGAAGACGTCTGTGTCGACCAACATCAAGGAGCGACTAGACTTCTCATGCGCCATGTTCTCGCCGGACGGCAAACTGGTGGCCAATGCGCCGCATGTGCCCGTCCACCTGGGCTCGATGGAGTACGCGGTGCGCTACCAACACGACAAACACGTCCGGGGCGAAACTACCCTCCAACCGGGCGACCACATCCTCACCAACCACCCCCTCGCAGGCGGCACACACTTGCCAGACATCACAATCATCACGCCCGTATGGGACGAGGCAGGGCAGAAGATTATTTTCTACGTGGCATCACGGGGCCACCATGCCGAGATTGGCGGGACGCGACCTGGTTCAATGCCATCAGACAGCAAAATGCTGTATGAAGAAGGGGCGATGACCATGGGCTTTAAGATCGTGACGGGCGGCCACTTCGAAGAGGACCGCGTGCGACGGTTCCTGTGTGACGAGCCAGCGTCGTTCCCCAACTGCAGCGCGACTCGTACGTACAACGACAACGTGTCGGATCTGAAGGCAGCAATAGCAGCGAACCAAAAAGGCGCGCAGCTGATTCAAGAAATGATCGACGCCTTTGGTCTGCAAACCGTCCACTTCTACATGGACGCGATCAAGGCCAACGCCGAGGTGGCGGTACGGGACTTCCTGAAGAAAACCCACCGCGAGACAGGCGGGAAGCCGTTACGTTTCATCGATTACATGGACGACGGATCCCCAATCGCTCTCGAAATCCGCATCGACGGTTCCACGGGCGACGCCGAGTTCGATTTCACCGGCACGGGCCGCGAGACGTTCAATTGTCTCAACGCACCGAAGGCCATCAGCCACTCGGCCATCATCTATTGTCTCCGCTGCTTAATCAACGTCGACATCCCACTCAACGAGGGCTGCCTGGCCCCTTGCAAAGTGATAATTCCCGACGGAACACTCCTCAACCCATCAGGGTATGCTGCCGTGTGCGCGGGCAATCCAATCACATCGCAGCGCATCACCGACACCATCCTCGGTGCCTTCGGGGCCTGCGCCGCCTCCCAGGGTGACTGCAACATTATCTCGTTCGGCATGGGCGGCGGTGTCGACGCGCAGGGTAACGAAATCCCCGGCTTTGGCGTCGGCGAGACGATCTGCGGCGGCAGCGGCGCAGGACCCTACTGGCACGGCACCTCAGGCGTGCATGTCCACATGACAAACACGCGCATTACCGACGTCGAAGTCTACGAGCTGCGATATCCGATCATATTGCGCCAATTCGGGCTTCGCAAAGGATCCGGTGGCAAAGGTCTCTTCAATGGTGGCGACGGCGTCACTCGTGAAATCGAGTTCCGTATCCCCCTTTCTGCATCTATGCTCAGTGAAAGACGTGTCATTCCGCCGTACGGTATGGCTGGTGGCGGGCCCGGAAAAGTCGGCTTGAATTTATATGTTAAGCGTGAACATGATGGTGTGGAACGGACTATCAATATCGGTGGTAAGATGGAGTTGAGTACGCAGCCGGGCGAGAGATTGATTATCAATTCCCCTGGAGGCGGTGCTTGGGGTGCTCCTGGGCGACATGTTCCTGAAAGCGATGAACGAAAGCTGAACGCTGCTACACTGGCTGCTTCGGCGACTCGCTTCGAACCCAGAGGGAGTGTCTTTGATTGGGATGCCGCTGCTCAGGCCGCGCAGTAGAATAGATAGGTATATATACATAGTATTCTTTGTAACTGTAACTCTTTTCGGGTACTGCAGTGGTAATTGGATTGGTGCACTAGTATCCGGTCCTGTGACATGGGATGGTATGCATAGCTGTCCAGTGTGCACTGCATGAGAAAATACAAGTACTAGGTACTGTTGGATCAAGTAGAAAGGGATGTTTGTCTGCTACTACTACCAAAATACAGTGCATCAATCACCCTTCGTCTCCTTGTCGCTTGCTCAGATTCATGTCTTCATTCCGTGTTGCTTGCTCAGGCTTGGACTGTTCGTCGTCTACCTCAGATACATCATGACTCTCCCTTGCTCGCTTGCCAGCATGGTATAGCACACCTTTCGTTCGTCCGTGGACAATCTGTCCAGTTTGCTCTCGCCCTCCCCAGACCTTCTTGGGCATCTCAGCAGGCATGTCCGCATTTATGACATCTAGTGCCTGGAATCACCCAAACTTCGACGCCCTTCGACTTGCAATTTGGACATCTCACGCCGTTCATCTGTGCTCGTAATCACATCTTAGTTTCCTATACCTCTTCTTGAACCTCACTCAGACATAGTAAACTCGTATGATACTTACAGGAAGAGTTCGAATACCACCTGGGCTCAGGGTCCGGTCTTGTTGCGGGCCGATGGCGTTGGCATTGGAAGAAGTAGGTTCCGTGCGAGGGTGGGGAGGGTCTTCCAGGATGTTGAACTTCGGACGGGCCATGGTGTAAACAAACGTGGAAAATGGGATGGCGATATTGACTGAGGAGAACTCGAAATAGGTTGTGATAGTTTGTAAATATAAAGGTCTGATCGGAGTCGTTCCGGTTAGATGAAGAAAGAGTGCTAGCTAGAGACTCGAGAAAGAAGGATTCCCACGTCCTTTTATACCGCAATGCTCCTTTGCAAACGTCAAGAACCGTGTCACGGCGGAGCGTGAGGGCCCTCGATTCGTTTTTCGAAGCCACTTGCAAACTCTGCAATACCATATCGATAGTGTTGAGGAGACACAAACGCGTCGAGCTCCCAGTCGAGTTCCCAGTCAAGCAACCCGGTCGTCTGCTCATCACGTCCCAGCCTGGAAGGACGTAGCACAACTGTTGAGAAACAATACCTGCTTAGCGGGTGTTGCATCCTCCCGTCGTACAAACAGCTCGAAGACCTGCGATCAACCCGTTTGAGTTGAGTCTTCAGTACAATCGAGCAGAGGAAGATCCGATCCGGACTTCACACCTCCACGAACGTAGAACAGAGCCTGGCCCAAAAACACATCATGCATGGTGACTGGCCAGGATAGAAGTCCCGCTGGACGATTAATAGTGCATATGAATTTTGTTATTGCTTGCATCGGCGAATGATGCCTGCCTGCCGGACGTCAACAACGGTGCTATCCATATCCATCAAACCAAAATTTTGGAAACATGCACAAGCAGAGCTCCCCTTGACGGCATGCCTGTCGAGTCCAACAGATGGATAAATCGGTAACCCGGCTGGAGACGGTCGAGACGGATGCAAGCCCACGCGAGAAGGTCATCCTTGCTGATCGATCGATCGTCCATTACTTTCACTCTAGAGCAAAACAGTCAGTAAGACATCCAACAGTACAGTTAGCCAAGCTCAAGCTCTCGTTTGACAGGTCAAATAACAAGCTACCAGGTAGTCGTGGGTGGGGTACACAACGGATGTGAGCCCGGGAAAACGAGATTTGTGTAACACGATCGTACATGAACATTGCCTAGAAGGGCGCCATGAGCGGTAGATCGCCGACCCATACTTTTCCAGGCCATGGAGCTGGGTTCTGTTCCTGCAGCTTTTCTGAAGATGCGTAACATTGCACAAGCCTGGGCATTGCAGCTTTCTCGCAGGCGATGTCGGTCTTCCCTTGCGATATCGATGAAATAGGAGAGCCTGGCGGGCGATCGAGCTTTGCCATTGGCTGGGTATAAAGGTGCAGAGGATGAAACATCGACGAACAAGAAAAGCATAGGGGGGTTATAGAAAGTTGGAAGTGGCCCAAGGAGAATGTGCGGTGAGGACTTGAATAAGGGCTGATGGGAAAAATTGCAATTCGCGCAGGCACAAGGAGAGTTATGCAATCTGACCGAGACGCTCGGTCTGATTGAGAACTTCATGTTTTGAAATCATCACCATGCAGGTAACCAGAATGGATACGTACCTGAGAAAGCTGAGCTCCTCCTCGACCTCTGAAACTCCCAGCCAGCTTATCTTCTCGTTGCAGAAATCAGGAGAGTCACTTTTGGACGTTGCGGACCTACGCTTGTAGTATTTCTCGTCGGGTTCATCACCGCTACCTGAATCCATCTCAGCTTGTGCTTGGTTTAGACCAGTCGAACCTTTGCCTTGCCCTGGAGGGCCATGGGTGTCGACATGGAGCTGAAATTTGACGTAAGGCTTCATCCTAGAGGCATTGGCAGTATCCTTGCCGGCCGGCAGGGGTAGCCTTTGGGCTGCAAGGAGGCGTATTTCCAGATCGAGATATTGCTTCTTGGGCTGTATTGCCGTGGTTGCACGGTCCATAGCATTTGCTTCGTTGGAATTCGCTTTGTTACAACGGTAGCCTTCCGGTTTCAGTACCCAGCCTTTGGTACCTGCGAACATACCCTCATTAAGCATCATGCCTTTGTCGAGCTTCTGCCAATTCAGGGCCACCATTTGCGCACCCTGACGCCAGTGGAAAGTCGGATCGGTATTTGAGCTGCTTATACGGGTTCCCTTCGGGAATACCCGCATCAAATACTTCTTGTTGTGATCAAACAAAGCAGGACCATCATATGGGTCCGAGTGCATGTACAGCACCTTGTTCTCGGATAAGCTGAAGACGTGCGAAGGGATGGACGCTTCTGGCTGTTTGAAGTGCTTAAAGCTGTAAGCCCGGGTGTAAACACCAAGGTGTGAAAGAGCCGCCAGGATCTTCGACGCCTTCTTTTTCTTGTCCGAGGAGCTAGTCGTCGTGGCTCCTGTGCTGCCTTGGGTTGAATTGGATTCCACTTGGTCGACTGGATGGACGGATTCGCCGGTGTCTGGGTCAGTAGTCCACTTAACCTTGATCAAAATGGTCCGCTTCAGCGGCTCCGGTGACGGGAGGACCGAAATGTCTTTTTTCCTGTCGATATCTACCAACAGTCCAGACCAGACCTCCCTCACGATATCCACCATAATCTCCTGTTGAGAAAGAGAGGCATGAACTTCGAGCGAAACGATCAAGGGCAGGTCGTTGGTCAAGAACGCCGTCTCCTTGATAGATTCACAAACCGAGCGGAAGGTTATAGGCTGTGTGAGTGTGTAGCCGTGGAGAACTCGAGGCTCACTTCTGGGATTGGAGGATGCTGAGGGCTGGGGGGCCAGGTAGTTCGGACTCAAGCTCGACCCTTTAGCGGAGCGATCTGCGGCAGCGCCATCAGCAGTGCCAGGAGCGTGAGCAGCTGGAACTTGATCTAAAACAGGGCCATTGTTCAGCTGGGACCCGGATCGGGAGCGAGAGCGCATTCTCGAGGCACGAGCCTTTACCCGATTCCAGCGGGACGGTTTTGAGTCCGACCTTTTCCTGCCCTTTGTGCTGCCCTGCTCATCCTCATCTGATGAGCTACTCGTGTCTGAATCACAGTCACCATCCCATACGTCAATTTCTAGGCACCTGCAACCACGTCTTAAGACATTCTTGTACCCGTCCACACTGGCTTCGCCGTACAACTGATGGCCTGAGAGATATGTGTTATGGCTTGAGCTAATGAAGTACGAGGAGAGGGGATAGCTGAGGTCATTGTTCTTTGGTGCTGCCATGGCGCTGGACATGCCGGATGCCATATAAGACAGGAACTCTGACTGGTCAAAGAAGTTCTGGCCATCTTGGAAGCGTGCGTCTTTATAAGCCAACACGAGATGTGACAGCACAGATTCTGAGAACGGCAACAGAGATGTATCGTTCGCAATCGTGGAAGATTGACCACCACCACCAGCACGGATGGTGAGCGTCTCCATCGTGGTCCCCATGTCTGGGTGACTCTGCCTCTTCTCAGTTTCCCAGGTGTACCGTAGTTATTCCTCACCAAGTGCCGCTCATGAAAGTCGATAGAAAGATCTTGAGATATGCTCCAACCCGAACTTTGAATAGGAGTTACGCAACGGACAGACGGAGGCTCGAGGTAGAGCGGTAGGACAAGTGCAAGAGACCGATAGAAGAGGGTTCAGGAGGCTGCCGTGCGGTTTTTGGCCGTTTGATGTCCTGTAACGTCAGTCCAAAGAGTACCCGGCAGAATGGCCAAGTTGCATGGGATGTGAAGGCAAGTTATGTTCTATGACCTGGCATCAACCGGCCGGGCCGACAACTCTAACATTACCTGGGAAGCTGGGGTGGTGTCCCTTCCCATTGACCGACACTGCCAGCAACAAAAGCAAGGCTGCGGCTGTTGATGCCTGCCTGATTGCGGTCCAGCACCAACAAGATAGGACAGGAATCACTGGCACACCGCCAGTAACCTCGGACTCGTACCTGACTTCGGTTTGCTTTTTTAGGTGCAAGTCTAACTCCAAGTTGGGCGCGATGACGTACGTCAACACAGCGTGGCCGGAATGTACAACTTGAACTTGACCACAACACCATGCGGTACCTCTCTACAATGTTATATCAGGAACCGTCAGGGTCATGATGGGAAAGCGTGACACTCTATGCAGAGTATGTATATTCAGAGATGCTAGTATCCAACCTCTAGGTAGTATGACAATGCCAAATTACCCGGTCCGGTCGTCTCAACCATCCCCTCGGCCCCAGGGACCCAGCTCGACTCTTTCGTCGGCAAAGATGTCAACCCTGAGGGTATCGACTCCAGAGCCTTGATCTACAACATCCTGTGATTCTTGTCCGGCTTGGGGCAACCGCTCAAGCACCAACCACAATCCCCCACTGCCCGGCCCGCAGGCAGAAGGCTGTAGGTCCACATCTCCAGCCCGCAATCCAGAGGCCACGGTCCCGAACTCGTTGTTGTCGACCTCACTAGTCGCGAGAACCTGTTTGTAGGGTCCCTGGCCCTGCTCCAGAGTCATCTTGAATAGGGATGATTTGGCACTGGTATGGGAATGATCACCCCTGGCATCAGAATCATCCCGCGCCACAAAAGTCAGCCGGCTCATTCTAAAGACGGTCAAAGGCGCAAGTAAACGATTGGCGCTGTTGGTGAAGATTGCAGGTGCGCTCTTGATGCACAGCCGGCCATTCTCGTCTGCGGGGAGAAGAGTGAGCGATGGAGGTGGTTCCCGAGTCGTCGGAGATGAGTACAGGTCCAGCGTGAACTCCGCGAATTGATTGCGATCAAAAGTCGAGCAGATCACGGTAAAATCTCCGCGCGGGAGTGTCGTTTCAACCACAGTGCTGGACCTCCGGTAGTCGTAGGAATGTGCGAGCACATCCCTGGGCCGGAGACGAGTTATCCTCGAACCGTCACTGAAGACGACCAAGAGCTTGACGTGGATATCGTCGGCCTGTGCAGGATTGATAGATGTCTCGCCGATGGGTGCGGGTTCCTGTTTGGAATGTTCCGTTGTATCCATGACATGTAATATCAAGGCAACCCTCTGTTCATTGCCCAAGGAGAATCGAAACTGCGGATTTGACAGGTAGTCTGCGGAATCCGAATTGCCTCCTGCGTTCGACCTCGTCCAAGCGGATCGGATGGTATGCTTATGAGTATACTGAAGCTGGGCTTCAGCGAGGACAAGCGCACCATTCGAGAACGCTGAGATTGTAAAGTTCAGCTTGCCAGGCGGCAGATCCTGCGCCACAAGAACGACAGTGTAGGTGGCGCGAGGAGCAGCCTTGAACCGCAATAAAGTGTTCGGGGAATCCACAAACGGCCCACGAACCTTCGCGCCCTCACTCGAAAGCACTCGGTCCCCATTCCTGGAGTATAGGTATAGGCTGATATACCCGTTTGCGCCGGCGCTGGCTTGAGTGTAATCCCCGGTCCGGAAGTGGCGATTTGCCAACAACCAGATCTCTCCTCCGGCCTGCGCCGTGATACTAAACTGCGGATTGTCGACAAGAATGTTACCCGCGGGTCCTGGTCCGGCCTGTCGTGCTTCATGCCATGAAAAGTGGAGGTCTTGACGATGAGAGAATAACCCCGGGTTCCAGTTGATGTACATGTTCTCAAAGTACTGCAAGACCTTGCTGAAATCCATCCAGAAAGTGCCTGGGATCATACCGTCGCTTGACTGTGCACCGGCGGTGTCCTCGTCGTCTCGATTCGGTCTTCTTCGTGAGGCTCCTCGCCAAACGTCGCCATCGGCCCAGGGATTCTTAATCAGCATTTCCCTCGCTCCGGTTTCCGAGCCAAGTTCCAGGACAGCGTAGTCATGTTCTGCCGCCAACCCAAGATGCTTTTGCTCTCGTCGAGGCAATTTCCCGGTTCCTATTGTAAGTAGCACATCACCGTTCCGGAAGTTGGTCATGATCTCCTCCCATAACTCATCCGGCTCGACACTTTCGTCATGCAAAAAAACCTGCTGCGGAATCCAACCTGTCAACACGGCAAGGTCTGTACCAGAATTGCTTCCCGGGAAGTCATACCCCCCTCGGACCTTCAGGTACGCCTTTTCCACCAGCGCCGGCCACAACAGTTGAGGATGACGGCGGTCAATGACGTAGAGGACTCTCGATGTTTTAGAGGTTGGGAGGCGGTCGTCAATCTCCACTCGCCGCCAGCAGCCGTTAAAGTACAACTTGAGAATATACTTTCCATTGGGCGAAAGTGAGATACGGTCATTTTCGTAGTCGTACGGGTGCACGATAGAGCGTAGGATCTGAGAGCAAGCCAAAGGTCAATGGGAATGGGACCAAGCGCGGTTTTGAGGCAATGGTTTATCCTCCTACCTTTGGGTGTCCGCGTTCAACTCTCGACGTGGCCGCGCACAGGCTTGCAACGACAGAACAGTCGGATGTCATGTCCTGCACAAGGTCCATTGCTTCGGTCAAGTGCATGATAGTCTCACTCGACGGCAAGTCCTCTTGTTGTGTATGGAGTGTACGAGACGCGAGTGCTTCATGTGGTCTCTTCCAGCTGTCGAGCAATTCTAGTTGTGTTGGAGACAGCGACAGAGCAGGGGAGTCTGTAAAAGGCTGCTCGCCCTCCAACAGACGGAACTCATCGGGTGTAGGTGGGCTGGTCCACGGTTTGAAAATGAAGCCATTCAACTTGGCACCCTCAAGGAGGATAATACTCTCTCGAGTCGTCAATTTTCGAGACGAGACTGGTGCTGCCAGAGGAGTCCGAGGGACAGTCCCACGGCCTCCTCGTCCGGACGACGACGCGGATCTGTCTTGGTATGCTTTGATCCGCTCCGCCTGGGTCAGCAGCTGCTTACACTTTGCATCGATCCTCCTTCGATCCGAAGGGCTGTCCACGAGACGGAGAGCTTGAAGGTACAGCTCGGCGCTCTTGATGGTGGCCTCGAGGGCTGCATTAGTGGTAGAGTTGAGAGGTATTGATTGCTCTAGGGAGTGAGCCTGGGTCTCGAGCCTTGAGCGCTTCTGATCCATGACTGTCTGGCCGAAGCCCGAGTGACGCCGTCGAGAAAGGTAAAGAAGAAAAAGTTGTATTCTGCTAAATATCTATACACTGGCAGTACTTGTTACACCCTGACAGTAATCAGTCGTATATCGTGCTGCGTGTACCAGCTGCATACTCTTCCGTATCTACGCTTGGACCCTCTCTGATCCACCGTCTGATGACTAATGCCAACAGTCGGCAACGGCCCGGGGTTCGGGAGCCCAGCCACCCCAATGGGGCAAAGCGGGATGGCGATTACAGGTTACCTCGGCTTCAGCTTCGCGGTTCAACCGCATGTCGGAACCATTCGCTAAAGAAAGCCTCCCCCGTGCGAGGCGAGAAGCCGGGTTGCGCTCGGGGAGGACGAGAAATGTCAATGACCCTTTGAATCATGGTCTCATAATTCGATGCATGCTCTGTCTTTCGTTTCTTGCGCAGCTGTTCTTCCCATTCCATTCCTATCGAAGGAAACTGGGCCGATTTCCAAGCCTTTGACCCTGCGATCCTGATCTTTCTGTCCCCTCGGAGTCTACCGACCATTCCCCAGCAGAAGTATATCTCCAAGATACCTTCTTTCCTCTACGTCACTGGCTGCCGGAACCTGAAGCAACAAAGCAGTACCTAGGTACTATACCAGAGTAGTCGCCCGAAGTCAACGACGAAATTGTCCCCGTCCCGCTGCGACTTGCAGAGGACATGTCGAAGCCCTCGGACCTGGCGCCATGGGAGAGCGCCGTTGCCGGTGCGGCTGGTGCTGTATTTGCCAATGCCCTAGTATACCCGCTTGATATGTACGTTTACTATATACTTCAGCCTTGACCATAAATTAACAATGTTTCTTATAGCGTCAAGACAAGATTACAAGTGCAAATCAAGAAGAGAAACCAGATTGTGCAACATACCGAAGAACACCACCACTACGAATCGACGTTTGACGCGATCAAGAAAATTGTCGAACACGAGGGGATTCACGGTCTCTATTCCGGAATCCACGGTGCCTTGCTCGGCGTAGCGTCGACCAACTTCGCATATTTCTACTGGTACTCGGTGGTGCGCGGCCTGTACACAAAATACGAGACTGCGCCGGGCCAGCATCCGGGCACAGCAGTTGAATTGTCTTTGGGCGCTGTCGCCGGAGCAATTGCGCAGATATTCACAATCCCCGTGGCCGTGATTACAACGCGGCAGCAAACACAACCCAAGGGCCACAAGAAGGGCTTTTGGGAGACGGGGAAAGAAGTCGTTCACAGCGAGGATGGCTGGAGCGGTCTTTGGAGAGGCCTCAAGGCCTCGCTCGTGCTGTGTGTCAACCCAGCAATCACATATGGCGCATATCAGCGTCTGAAGGATATCTTGTATCCGAACGTCGAGAGATTACACCCTTGGCAGTCTTTCCGTGAGTGACTACATATGACTTTCTGTCATGGCACTGACTAACGACTCTGCAGTCCTCGGCGCTCTGTCCAAATCCATAGCCACCATCACCACTCAGCCACTTATTGTCGCGAAGGTCGGTCTCCAGTCCCGACCCCCTCCAGCTCGTGAGGGCAAGCCTTTCAAGAGTTTCGGCGAGGTCATGGCCTACATTGTCGAGCATGAAGGTCCTCTTGCTCTCTTCAAGGGAATCGGCCCTCAGTTGGTCAAGGGCTTGCTGGTACAAGGTCTTCTTATGATGACCAAGGAACGCGTTGAACTCCTGTTCATTTTACTCTTCACTTATATCCGTGTCGTCAAGGAGAGGAGATTGAAGGCTGCCGCGGAGAAGTTGAAGGCCAATGTTGCACCGTTGGCCAATGGGCTCAAGAGCAGGACTATGCCCGTGGCGGAGAATGTGCTCGACAGAGCCAAGGCCGCCATTCCGGCTACTGTCAAATAAGCGGGTGCGGGTGCCATGCCTGGTGGCCACCGTCGTTCGCGGCGCAGGCGGACTGCACTACTATTCCTGTGTGAGCGATAGAGAATAGGTACAGCGGCGGGTGCAAGGGGTGGTTTGCGGCGGGATGTGGAAAGCATATTGTCGACATTGTCTCAATGCGCGTGGAGTTTGTTATGGACTTCCCTCTATCTTTCGGTGGAGAGGTACGCATTGATTTTCGCATGTGGACTCCTGTACCTGGTATCTGCGTGACACTTCCATTTGGATAAGAGGATAGCGGGAGAAGAATTATGCGGGACGAAAATTGATAAACATTTTTGACGTCTTGTTGTTTGTATTCGCCTATGGCCGCTTCGCGGTTACTATCCGTGCTGGCCATTAGACAAGTAGATCAGCGATGGCGTTTCTTAGCCCAACCTGATTATAGTCAGCATCAGAAAATTGAAAAGAACGAGTTTAGATATTGCTGCGTACCTGTCTGGCCACGCCGCCATTCGACCGCCGTTGCTGCAGATTCAGGTGAGACCTTCCTGAAGAGAGCGATAAACCCACCCCCAAACGTCCGCTCGCCAACCAGAGGGCGACAGACCATGACTGGCTCGTCCTGGGATTCATCGACCGTCACCGCCGGAACTGCGTCTGCGGAATCCAGTCCCGGTTCTCTGTCACTGTCCGTGTTGGCGGCCTCGGCGGGCTTCTCACTCCGCGGCACAGGATCCCCTGCAGCAGCGGACCCGGAGGTGTCTGGTGCGTCCCTCTGTCTCCGTGGCATCACCATTCGGACATCCCACCTACGGCCACTGCTGATGCCTTCGCCCAGCTCCAGGACCTTCTCCATAGATAAAGGCAGCGAACCGTCCTGAATCGCTCCGGCACAATCCCCGATCTGGGTCACCGAGGGCACAAAGACAACCAGCTTCGCGCCCTCATGCATGGCAGAATGCACATGCTTGAGCTGATGATGGACCCCAGGCATGTCCAGCAAGACATAGTCTAGAAAGCTGTCTTCAGCCCTAGACAGTGGGTTCCACTTGCTGGAAAGCCTCAGCTTGAACTGCTCCGCAATCCACTCTTTCACGTCTCCAGCATAGAAATCGACGTGAGGCCAATACAATGCCTGGCGGAACCCCCTTACGATCTTTTCCGCATGAAATCTGTTCGCAACCACCTTTTCCACGGTATGAAGAACTGCAGGTCGCCTGTCCTTCCAGTTCTTCCATGCTGCATTGAGAGCATTCTGCCTTTCTAGCTTCGCGGCCAGCTCCGGGCGCTGAGGATCAACAGGTTGAATTTGGGGGAGTTCGAGTTGTGGAGGAGGAGGATTGGCTGCTGCTATGGCACGTGCGATGTGGAGGGTAAGGCTTCCATGGCCTGTACCTGCTTCCAAGATCTCCAGCTTTGGAGTGGCGATGCCTTGGGAGGCAGTAGTCTCGTCAAACGGTACAGGATGGATGTCCAGCTGCGATACGATGGTGGAGGCGTAGTTCGAGTACACCTTGTTCCAGTCAGTCGCCGCGGGTTGGAGCAGAGGGGGGCGGCGGACTCACCGGCGTGACCAGTCTCGGAGTCAACGAAACATATTGATCTAACGACGGGTACTCGATCTTATAGAGCCCTCCCTTCCCCGAACGAGCCGGAGCATAGAAAGGCACCAATGGTTTGCCCAGGATGTCATTGTGTAGAAGGGCGCCGCGCTGGAAATCGGACTTGGAGTTGCGTTGCAAAGGAGCACTTAATCTTGCACCATCGATGAGCGCCCTGTCACCCTCTTAAGGAACAAGTCAGAAGATGTTCCATCACAGGAAGAGTAGGCTCAATTGGGTACCGGCGAAGCGCGTAAAGTCCTTCACCACGCGGTCGGCAACGGCATCCTTGCGGGACCAGAGGTTTGAGAAACCCAAGGCTCGTCTCAAAGACTGAAAGATACCGGACATGCCACAGCCCTCCAACCCTACCAGGCTCTTAGCTCACTCTCGTCAAGGATTGAAATGCAATCATCCTCATGGTGAAACTTGATGCCATAGGACTTTTTTGCCAGCGCAGGCAGATTGCGGAAAGTCGGCCGAAACTTTGAACCCCAGATTTCTCTAGTTCGCCTGCGGCAAAGGCCCTGACGATCCAAGCCACCAAGCCGCCAGAATCAAAGGGTACAGGAGTCGTGCAACCGCTTTCATTCAATTTGTGCCTCCATCCGTCCAAGACCTCTTCTAGAATTCTTTGCCCATGGTCGAACGATTGCAATTTGCTATCTCTTACTAGGCGTGCGCCGAAATAGAAGAGTCTACGCCAGCGGCGTGGACAACTGCCACATGCCAGCATGACCAGAAGAATTGTATGGGATGGCTCTATTTTGATTCCCATCCTGTATCACTGACCCATCTCCCAGGTGCGCACCAGCATTCAGCTTGGTGTTTTAATGTCGGTTGTATTATTTCTCGTCATCTTCCTCGACAACCGATATCGAGTTCTCCCGACCGCGATCCACAATCATCTGCCAGCGCACCACCCAGGCTTCGTGGTTACGGACGTGACTGTCGTGACCTGCTCGTCGCTCAATCCATTCAGTCGATGCACGCTCGACTCGGACCACTGGCATCGAATCGAGAAAGATCTATATCTAGGCAGTGGGTACGTTTCGAAGGCGTACCTGCATGTCCAGAGAAAACGCGAAGACGATCTAGAGCCGCACGAAGAGGTGGTTCACGACATACGAATAGGTCGCCTGCAGCCAACATCTACCGATACTCAATCGACCGACGAGAGATGGGAGTCACGCCCAGCCGGATTATGGATCAAGAAGTCGCCTAAACGGACTGATCCGAGTAAACTGGTGACAGGAGTTGACGTTCTCTTTGGGGCGGATGCCGTTGACCCCCGGACGAACTGGCAGGTGCAGGATCGGGGCCTCTTCATTGATAATAATGGAGACAACCCCGAGCCCCGGCTCACTGTGAGGAAAGGACCGGCCATCAAAGTCGAGAAACCGGTGCCCCGAATCAGGAAGGATGGCAAGTTCAAGATCATGCAGGCAGCCGACCTCCACCTCTCTACCGGGCTAGGAAAATGTCGAGATGCATTGCCGAAAGGACAGCCATGCGAGGCGGATCCGCGCACCCTAGAGTTTGTGGAACGATTGATCGACGACGAGAACCCAGACTTTGTGGTTCTGACCGGCGATCAAGTCAACGGCGACACCGCGCCAGACGCACAAACCGCAATCTTCAAGTACTCGGAAATGTTTGCCAAGCACAAGATCCCGTACGCCGGCATTTTCGGCAATCATGATGATGAAGGAAATCTGGATCGTGCCGAATCCATGGCCATCATGGACGGCCTCCCATATTCACTTTCTACAGCGGGACCCGAAGACGTCGAGGGCGTTGGGAATTATGTCGTTGAGATCCTCGGTCGCGGTTCGACATCTCACTCGGCTCTGACGTTGTACATGCTCGACACGCACTCATATTCGCCCGATGAGCGGCAGTATCGCGGTTATGACTGGCTCAAGAAATCTCAGATCGAGTGGTTCAAATCTACTTCCAGTCGCTGAAACGCAAACACAAGGAATACACGCACATTCACATGGACCTTGCGTTCATCCACATCCCTCTTCCTGAATACCGCAATCCCGACCAGCTCAAATGGGTGGGCAACTGGACTGAACCGCCTACCGCGCCGGCATACAACTCGAACTTCAAAGACGCTCTTGTCGAAGAAGGTGTTGTCGCCGTCTCGTGCGGTCATGACCACGTCAATGACTACTGCCTGCCCGCACTGGATAAAGACAAAAAGAAGCCGGCGTTGTGGATGTGCTATGGCGGTGGAGCGGGCTTTGGCGGCTACGGTGGTTACTACGGATACCATCGCCGCATCCGATTCTTCGACTTTGATATGAACGAAGGGAGGATTCATACGTGGAAACGGCTCGAATGGGGCGATACCGAGAGAAGAATTGACGAACAGATCATCGTGGATGGAGGAAAGGTCGTTGTTGACATGTAGAAAATCGGCCTATTCCCTTTCACCAGAACAGATTTGTTCTCAATGACATAAAATTCTTGTACTGCATGGCGTTTTTGGCGTGGGAAGGGTTTATCAGCTTCTTGCTTTTTGGTGTCATTGACATCCTCATGCTAGCAATGATGGCATACCGTGGGAGCAAAGAAATATGTGGGTTTATCCACTCATTCGGTGTTCGCTCTTCTATACTACCGCCTGCTGCTGCTGGCTGCACTTTCCTGGCCCATCGTACAGCAACTTGAACCCAATGCCCACCTCGGGGCATTTTAAATGGACTCTTGCCAGTGTCACCACCATTTCTCACAGAGCACTTTCCTCACATCCACCCCCGGCGTGTTCTTCAAGAAAGCCACAAACTCGTCCGTCATAGTGGGCAATCCACAAACATAGACAAAAGTATTCGGTCTCGTCTCCTGGGGCCCAATCGCCTCGAGCAGGTCATTGTGATTGATCCGGCGGTAGCATGTAGTAATATTTCGGGTCTGGTCCTCGTCCTCTTTTGCTTCTGCTTCACCACTGGCACTCGTCTCGAAGAAAGTGTAGGTATAGTCCATCACATCTTTGCGGGACGACCAATGGCCCGCGATGTTCCTTAGTCTTTCTTCAAAGAGGACTGGCTCTTGTTGTCCTTGGGGATTCTTTTCCCGCCTCGATGTGTACAGAACTCTCACTGTCTTTGGTAGTAAGCCACTTGATGTGTCGGTTATGCCCGCCTCATGGATCGCGGAAACCATGCTCATAATGGGATTGATGCCCACTCCTCCCGCAACAAAGACGACTCTGTCCAAATTGCTATTCTGGGTGGTAGTGGTTGGCGGTGGATAGATGAAATTTCCGCCGACCTTGAATGACACGGTAGAATTGAGGATCTCTGGCGGTGAACGCCACAGGTACGCTGCGGGAGGGTTCGTCGGCGAACTTTGGATCGCTAGTTCGATGTGAGGATTTTCGGTTTTGTCGAAAGAGGCGGCTCCAGGTGACGAGGTTATTGTGAATCCGCCTACCACGTCGACATTTGGGATGTAGAGGTCAATGTATTGGCCGGGGAGATGGCGGAGGGGCCGCTACTAGAGTTGGGGGTTTTCATTGTGAGCAGAAAGAAAGGAATGAGAAAGTCTGAAAGTCATTGCGATGAAAGGGAAGCTTGGATTGGCTTGGAAGACATGTTGAAGGACAGAGCAGAGGTGGTCAATCCTGCTTCGACGCGCGAGAGCCTCCAGACAGCAGAAGAACTGGAGGATGACGACTGTGGTGCGGTTCAAGGGAAAGCATCAATGATAATTGAACCTGACAAGTGTTGAAATGCAGGTCTATAGAAGCAGGTCCCCGTCATCTATAGAGGCTTGCTCGGCGACAAAAGGAAACCCTGAACTGAAGCACATTGTACGTACCCCATCTCTTGGAAGACTCAGTTTCAGTAAACGTATCTTAGAGTTGACCTGCTCTATCTCACTGATCCGCGCGGTCCAAACGCCCTGCTGTCGAGGATCGTCTGCCGTCCTGATGATATGTGGAATTGATTCCTTGACAGTAGCCATGGTTCTGCGACTTCGGAGCAATTGCGAGGTTGTAGATGTACGTGGGAAATGCTGCCTCAGAAGGACGTGGGAATGACTGGTAGCACGCCGGAGAATGTACAGTGAACAATTGGTCATGACGGGCATCATGCCGCCATGATTGATGCAGCAGACATGCGAGATGCCTGGATCATGTCTCTGCTAGTTAAGGTGCCACTGAAGATGGTGATTTGTGAAGAAGTAGTGATGCTTCTACAGGTTCAAGTTGTAGTTGTACTTGATGTTTAGCTGCGGTAAACCCCACCTGCGTCACGACCTCTTTAGCAGCGAGTCTACCTATGTAGTCCGAGTCACGGTAGGTGGGATGACCATTGTCCTTGATCCGAATGAAAGGTAGCACTGAACTTGAAGCCTCATTGAGTGTTCTCAGAAGAAGGGATTATCTGAAGCAAGCAGGCTGCGTATGCAAAGTCATGATTACTATATGTGTAAACTGCTTTGGCACTTGGGGCTTGCAGTGCAACATTAACCAGAATGCCCCCAAGGCTGGCCAGCTTGATAGTAGTAGCATACAAGATATTGTGTATAAGACAATGCCATCAACTCAACGGCCTCGCCATTGCTATCTGAGCTCTTGCAGCCATGTACATGGTATCAGTTGAGCAGTGAATCGCCTCTTTCTGACCGGTATTCAAGCTCTTTGTCCCAGTTGCACTTCCGTAAGTGAGGACTGTCCGGAATGGTTGTCTTCACGGTAAGGGACTGGCCTCGAGGCAAGTAGGTTAGATGTGGGAAACCCTGGCGAGGATTGCGCGGGGATGCTGCTGACTGCTGACGGCGACTGTTCCAAGACCCGGCGGTGTCAGTGAGATACCTGATCTGGCCAATAGGTCATATTCATCAGCAGTAGAGGGACAGAGAATGATAAGATCGAGTAAGCAACAAGTGTTCACATCTTCCAAACCGTCCAACTGTACCTCAATGTTCTGAGAATAAGCTCAGTTTGGGTGACAAGCTTACCTAGCCAAGCAGGCCCCAGTGACAGGCGATATGCTGTGAGTCTTACTAAGGCCAGGAACCTACCAGCCTCTGAGCCAATGCAGCATGAGTGTTTTGATATCCCAGGCATCAATCTTCCTAGGGAGCCGTTGAGGGACGGTCGGTCATGAAGAGGATGCGGATGGGATGGCACATATAAGGCTGAGACGACAGCTGGTGCAAATTTTTTCACTTCTCATCAATCATCCACGAGCATTGTTGAATCACAAAAGGAATTGCTGGGTATTATGAGGATCCGGTTCCCGCGTAATTAAGAGCTGTTTCTTCGTAGTATCCTTCATTTTGAGACCACAAACCAACATATCAATGCCGGCGCAGGAGGAGCACCTGTGGGGTGGGTGGCAGGAAGAGCCGGCTATGGCATTGGGGCCAATTGCATCAAGCGGTCCGTCCGAAAGCCTCAGGAGGCCGTAAGAGGCGATATGTTCAGGAAAACACCCTTAGATAAAGTTGTTTTGATGATATATGTGATGAAAGCGAAGTGCGTTGATGGGTTGAGGTTGAAAAAGACGTTTGAGCGAATGCGGCCATTTTAGTGGCGGCGAAGACGGCTGAGATCCATCTCTCTTGACCTCACTCCAACCATCCTCACAACTCTGCTCAGTGGCCTGATAATGCTTCGTCGACATCCCCAGATTATATTCCTCTGCGCGAGATTTAGAAAACCCTACCGTGTCGAAGACGTCTGAATGGAAGCAGTGACACCTTTTCTGGCGAGGTCAAAATACCATTGGAGCATATCTATCGCAGAGGGGGTACACTAGAAAGGTATCAGCGACCCGACAAGACCAGTGCTTCCACACCCGCACACAGCATGCTAATATCACTCAGGGTCTTTGTCTCGAGGCTCTTGTCGATTGTTCGGTCTACCTCCTGGCACCGTTCTGCCATTATTCGTATCAATCGTTGCCTATATCAAGTCATTCATTAGCCACACACATGTCTCAATGGCGGCCACGATAATGCTTTCCAATCCCTCAGAAACAATGTCCACAATGATGTCCAATGTCGAGATGACACAAACAGCAATTTTGGATCATGCAAGGTATGAGTGGATCCGTCGACCACGATGCTCGACGTACTCCATAAAGTGGTGTCGGTTCTGATTGTTTTAGCCATAGCCAATCTCTACCTGATGATAATGATGATTCGGACGATTCTTTTGTGAAAATGGAAGAAGACGACGATGAAGATTATTCATCCTCTAGTGGACCGGCTTCGATCCTCCGAAATCTGCAACATGAAAGCGAGAACCGTGATTCTCCTAATAGTTCCTTGACCTCGGTGTCGACTGCTTCATCGGTCACTGAACAGAAGGTCAAGGTTACCGTCAAACAAGAGGTCAAGCCCGAAACTCCAGAGAAGGCAATCCCGTATATGTTCTTGAAGGCACCAGCAACGTGTCGAGCGAAATCGTCCATTCCTTCTCGCCTATCTCCGTCCGAATATGCAAACCAATGTGTGGCAGCCGCCGAAGCCTCGAGGCTCAACCCATATGCTTTGCACGAGGATGAACACAAGTTACTACAGGACAAACTATGTTACTCGCACGTTACGGTGTACCTGAATATACGGAATGGCATCCTTCGGTTGTGGACCCGGAATCCAAGCGTCAGCGTGACCCTCGAAGAGGCAATCGGCTGTGCAAGAGATGAGCGATGGACCCGTTTAGCTTGCTTTGCATACGAGTGGCTTCTTCGTCGGGGCTATATCAACTTTGGGTGTGTTGAGCCTGCGGCAATCCCCAAAGCAACGGGCCGGGGCCGCAAGAAAGAGCCTCAACGAGAGACCATTGTCGTCATTGGTGGTGGTGTGGCCGGTTTGAGCACTGCAAGACAACTAACGAATCTATTTCACCACTACCCAGACCGTGCTGCACCTAGGATCATTGTCCTAGAGGGTCGTGATAGAATAGGTGGGCGTATCTACTCACATCCTCTTACTAGCATGCGAACTTCAAAACTAGCCCCCGGTCAAAGGCCGACGGCGGAAATGGGTGCTCACATCATTGTCGGATTCGAACGCGGGAATCCCCTCGATGCCATTGTTCGGGGACAGCTGGCACTGGACTATCACCTCCTCCGAGACCTCTCTACCCTCTACGATATCGACGGCACCCCGGTCAACGGTGCTAACGATGCGATGATCGAGCGGCTCTACAATGACATCCTAGACCGAACAGGCCACTATCGCCTCAAACATACCGTCAAAAAGACTGCTCAGGGTGATAAGGATTACATCGATGCGGGGCGTGATCCTCCCGACGAAGAGTCTATTACAATCAAACAATATGAAGAAGCTACCGCGTTGGGTACTATAGACCAGTTATTACCAAAGAAAAAGTCAAGAAGAAGAGGAGCAGGACACAGAGCCGCTAAGGGCGACAAGTCATCAGAAGAAGTCGATACAAACATGGATACCAAGATGCAACTGCCTGCGGCCCAAGCGGCGAAAGAATTTGGATTCATGTTGCGGAAGACGACACAAATGCACGAGACACTTGAGCTTGATGATCTTGCCAGGCAGCTTAACCAGTCTCTAGGTGCGGTGATGGACGCTGGTGTTGACCAGTATCAGCAGTTCCTCGACCTGAAGCCCTACGCCTTACGCCTGTTGAACTGGCACTTCGCCAACCTCGAATATGCAAATGCTGCCAACGTGGACAAGCTGAGCCTTCGAGGATGGGATCAGGATATTGGAAACGAGTTCGAGGGCGAACATGCCCAAGTTGTTGGCGGCTACCAACAAGTGCCCCGTGCCTTGTGGCGTCATCCAGAGCCGTTGGATGTAAGAACCCGTAAAGTGGTCAAGAGCATCAAGTACAGTGCTGCCGGTTCGCAGACCAAAGCCACTGTCACATGTGAAGACGGCCAATCGATTGAAGCCGATAGGGTCGTCTTCACCGCACCCTTGGGTGTTCTCAAGAATCAATCCATACAGTTTGACCCTCCTCTACCCCAGTGGAAGCGGGATGCCATTCGCCGGATGGGCTTCGGGTTACTCAACAAAGTCGTTCTTGTCTTCGAGAGACCGTTCTGGGACGTCCACCGGGACATGTTTGGTCTCCTGCGTGGTCCTCGCAACGGGCCCGGTCTTCAACAAAGCGATTACAAAGAGGGCCGTGGCCAGTTCTACTTGTTTTGGAACTGCATCGAGACCACTGGCCTCCCGGTACTGATTGCGCTGATGGCTGGAGAGGCCGCGCATGAGGCCGAAAAGATACCTGACGAAGAGCTAGTCGGGCAATGCCTGGGTCAGCTCCGGAACGTGTTCGGCCCTACAAACGTGCCCATGCCCATTGAGTCTATCGTCACCCGATGGGGTTCGGATCGGTTTGCTCGGGGCACTTATTCTTTCGTCGCCGCCGAGGCCAGACCTGGGGACTATGATCTGATTGCGGCGCCAATCCAGAATCTCTTTTTTGCTGGAGAAGCTACCATTGCTACGCATCCTGCCACCGTGCATGGTGCGTATCTTTCGGGTCTTCGGGCAGCTCACGAGGTTTTCGAGTCAATGGTCGGTCCCATCGCCATCCCGCCGACCCTAGTGCCTCCCGCAACTGCTTCAAAAGGGTGCTCGGCCTCTGCCGAGTTGACGCTGATGGACACCCATATGGCTGTCGGAGGCAAAAGGAAAGGCGACGAGCTACTTCCGGCCGGCACTTTTACCAGGCCTGTCAAAGAAAAGGACAATTCTCTGCAAGAAGCGTGGGATGCTGCGATGTGGGTCCGAATTTACGACGACCTTGGCCCCCCGCCGGTCAAGCCTGCGAAACTCACTGTCAATGCTTTTTTGCTGTATTCTGGTGAGCACTGGGACGAGGTCAAGAATCGACTGGGTGGAGAGCGGAAAAAGACTGGCAGAAAGAGCAAACATTCGGAGCGTGACCAGGTGCGGATTGAGCTGGGGAAAATGTGGGCTGCTCTTTCGGAAGAGGAAAAGAAGCCGTACACGGATCGCATCCAACAAAATAGGGAAGAGAACGAACGGGCGATGAAGGAGTGGGCTGCCAAGGCAGCAGAGTGGGATCGACGTACTTGGGAAGTGAAAGACGTATGGATTAAAGAGGGGAACAGCTTCGAGGAGTTTTGCCGGCGCAAACGTGAAGACGACGCGTTGATGGATGCAGCTGCGGGAGCAAAGCGGGCCAAACTATAGGCCATACCTTGGTTGGACCGGTGTCATGTTGCTGGGAGGTTGTGCCGGCACATGCTTGGGCACGCTGAATTAAATGTACTGAGCCGGGGATTGCATTTGCAGGCAGTATTCTTCTGTTGATATTGATTGGCGAGCACAGCAGTTCTGTTTCACAGGAAAGGAGAAGGAGAAGTTGGCCGCATCGTGCCCTCGTCGAGGCAGTAGCATCTTTGTTTGTGGTCAACATTCCAAGGCTGGGGGAGATCTCCAGCTCGTCATGGTAAAGGTCGTATATCTCGGAGGGACAGGGATTGATACAGCAGTAAGAACTACACCTGAGGCGTATTTACAATCATTATGTCCAAGTTGTAGGTGGTTACCTACATTGTATGGAGGCAGATACTTGCACCAGGTATTCTATCTTATCTTATCTGAGATCGTGATGCCCCCTCGCCGAAATCGGCTTTAGACCCTTCCCCAGATTCCTGTTCCCGAGTGACCCGCCGACATTCGACTCATCAACCTCGTCGACCCAGTCATCACTCGAGGAAAATAATACATTATGGGTGGACATTTGTCGTATACCTGATCTTTGAGTTTCCCGTCTCCAGAGTTATACCCTTGGGCGTGCAGTGTGCCACCACTGAGCACACTGTCCATACTCTCGTCCACCGGAGAGTCTATCAGTAACGAAACACGCGCGAGTGCCACGGCCAGGAAGGATAAGGGCAAGCCCCCGCGACACGAAACCATCCATACCTAGGTACCATGGGCGTTTTCTACGAGACCCTCCCACCCTCTCTGGTCCCATGGCTCCTAGATCAAAAAGTCTACTGGATCGCCTCCGCGCCACTATCAGGCGACGGCCACGTCAATCTCTCGCCCAAGGGCACCTACGACAAAGGAGGGCCGTATTTCGGGGTGATTAAAGAGCCGCTGCCAAATGGAACGAAAGCAGACAGAACCAATGACCAAGCCAGTGCCACTGACAAGGCGGCATCTGAATCACCGTCGGACGAAGACAAAAACGTCGTGATCCGCAAATTCTGGTACATGGATCTCACGGGGTCTGGCATCGAGACGACAAGTCATCTGCATGAGCCGGGAAATGGTCGGATCACCGTCATGTTTATGGCGTTTACAGGGCCGCCGAGGATTTTGAGGATTTTTGGAAAAGGTGAGCATTGAACAGCAGTCAAGGACATATACAGGCATGGGAATGTGGTTTCTATCTTTGTGGCGGCAATGTCACTGGCCTTACGTTCACCTCGGGGTTTAGCTAATGTCTCGTCTCGTCTCAGGAACCGTCCTCGAATACGGCACCGCCGAATTCAACGAAATGATCTCGTCTCAAAACATCACCACCATCCCCGGCACCCGATCGATAATTATGGTTGACATCCACCAGGTCGGCACGTCATGTGGGTTTTCGGTGCCGTATTACGACTTTGTCAGTTTTCGAACGACGTTGCATGACTTTTTTGAGAAGCGTGTGGCGAATGAAAAGGCTGGGAAGAGAACACAGGGGATTGAACAGTATGTTGCTCACAGTGTGCTTTCGCCCGAAGACGATGGTATAATCATAGTTTGCTAAAAATGATTTCCTTCGCAGTTACTGGGCTCACAAAAACGCCTGGAGCATGGACGGCCTGCCCGGTCTGCAACGGGGAGTCCGGACCGGCGAGGCAGAAAACGTCAAACCGATCAAAAAAATGGTCGGGCCGTATGCGCCGGACAAAAAGCCGCGCAACACAGGCACAGTCCATAAACGGGTGTTTGGGCTTGAACACTTGATCCTCGTGGCGCTGTTGACTTTTTTGAGCACGGCGATTGTTTTGTTTTTGTTGCTTGGTCGGAAATTGGGGGTTGCTGGACTTAGGTTGCCGTTGAGCCTGAACAGCTTGAATGGTTTCAATTCGAGTCTTTCTGGATCGGCGCTGTAAGGGCGGTCGAGGAAGAAGTGTTACAAGCAGCTGACTGGGGCCAAACCAATTGAACATACACGACATCAATCATCGCTCACAGGCGTTCGTTTCTGTCCGCAGCAGGGAGCTGTTTCCCATCACAAGGATCATCATCGTCCTTCATCTTTCACGCAGCAGCGCAGAGACTGGGTGCAGTGGGAGAAGAAGAAACGAAAACGAAAAGAGAATTGAGTACCAGCGGAGTAGGACCTGTCGGTACTTTACTCCCCGCCAAACCGGTACAAATCCGTGGTGGAAAGTCGTTCAAAGACTTAGGTGCTCGCTCCATCTGTTACATCTTGCGGCAGGGTGTACATTCCAGATACCCCCAGCGCCGAGGACAACTGACTGTGTATTCTCCGGCTGAGGCTGGCTGAATAAGGGACAAGCCTCACCTCAACTCACCTCACCTTGCTCATGATTGTGGGTTGGCTTCCTCTGACGATTTATATATATGATTGCATGAATGTTTCTTGTTGTTTGTGTCAGTGGCGCAATGGAGCCTTACGGACCGGGGATATAATATCAAGTTTGGCTCCGCTAAGGATGCTCCTCGAGAGTTTGACTGGTGGATATTATAAGATATGGCCCTATATAGCCCTATATATGTACATACACTCACTCCAAGGGTATCTCTTGATTCCAACGCCGAGCACACCAAATGATCCTACCAATCGGACCTTATAATACCATAAGTATTAATAGACTATGCTTTTGTTGTCCCGATACAGTTCTGGAAACAGGTCGGCTAGGAGGTCGTCCATGTCCATGTCGAAATCCACATATGCGTCCATATCCAAGTAGTTGTTCATATCCATGTGCCCATGACAATCGAGGCCGTGTTCTGGAATCACTCCAAAGGGTTCTGAAACAGTAATGGCGCCATCCCAAACCCCGGGAAGATCATTGACACCGTTTGTAGCCGAACCTCCAGGCACGGATATGATCCCATACGATGCGAGATGAGTTGCCTCGTCTCGTGGCGGCCTGGTAGGGGCTGCTGCCACTCCAGCGATGCGTTCGTGGGTTGAACCTCCATTAGTTCCGTCCCACGGCTCTTCAGGACTTGTGGCACAATGACCAAAATAGTGATTCTGCGATGTGGTGTGGGCTTCGCAGCCGTGAGCAGAAGCTCCAAGGATTGCCTCCTCTTGCTGAGCCCGTCTCATACCGAGATAGGCGGTACTATTGTAACTGCTGCTGCTGCTGCTCTTCATGACCATTCTCTCCGCCATCTCACGCGGTGACACGCCCTCGAGCCGCTTGAACACGCGTTGCAGGTGCCATTTACTCAGACCGACTTGTGCTGACAATTGAGCCAAGCTGAGCGTGGTGCCGTTGGAGGCTGCGGTGCGGACGAGCTGGACGGCGTGATGGATCTTTGTGCGGATATCTGCGTCTTTACCTTCTGTGTCACAGACAGTGCCGGCACCAACGGTATTATCGGCGTTGCTCAAGTTGTGGGTGTTGGGGTTCTCGTTCGTCGTCACCGGTGTATTGCTGCTCGTCGTTGATGGTGCGCTAGGTGTCGTTGTCAATGATCCAGCGCTCAAGGTGTCGAGACCTTCTGATGGGACGATGTGAGGCCTGGGAGAACTGCAAGGTTTGCACCGCTTGCAGGCCCGAAAGCCAGCCTTCTCGGCTTCCTTGGCGGTGTCGTAGAAGACAACATTGGCTCGCCGAGCTAGTCGGGCCTTGCAGTCGGGTCGGCAGTAGATTTTTGTCGTGAGGACCGCGTAGACGAATGCGTTGGTGGCCAGGTGGTCCCGCACCATCAGGGCTTTCCAGCGTGACGTTGGTGTTTTGTACTGGCAGGATAGGAAGGATTGTGATAGAGAAGATTCGTGGGGTGGCTTTCTCGATGACATTTGTTGGGTTTCAAGTGTAGATATATGCGGTCGGTAAGTGTCGGTTTGATCCACGAAGGGATGATAGATTGGCAGCATCTGGTTCCCTGAGTCAACGGGTGGGAAGGGACGTTGTGAGTGAATGGAGCGAATTGTCTCAGGCTCCGAATTGAAGTGTTGCTGCAAGGACTGTGGGAAAGGAGCCGAGACGGCCAACATTGTTGAGCGGAAACGAGGGCGAGGTGGTGAGTTGATGATCGTTGGAGGGCTTCTCCATCAGCTTGAATGTTATTGATTTTATCGCACTCAAGGTCGGACGTCGAATAACTGTGAGTATCGCATTTGAAACAATCCCGGAAAGAGCTGAAATCAGTAACTGTAAAATCTACTCGTCCATCGCTGAGAGTCCGGCGGATGGGACCAAAATATGAGTTTGTCGAAGGGGGTTTGATACCAAATGCTGATTGGTCATATCGAGAGCAACAGCTCTTCCCCATGATGATGACTAATGGAGGTTTTGAACAGCGTCAGTGATCGTTTGGCTCGCACAAGTGCCCTGAGTACTGTAGTATAGCAAAATTACCCTGAAATCCGAAAAGGCCGGTTAGATATATTATACAGGTGACAAGTTTTGGCTAGAGTCTGCCCGTGGGAGATCATGACAACTTGGCCTTTGCGGCGACTCGACAATAAGAGCCATCGACATAAGCGAGACAAGGAATAGGATGGTCTGGAGATTGATCACGAAATGCCGCAACATCATGAAACACATGGTCGACCTCGCCAAATAGAACCACGTGGTCTCCTATCTCCACGATCTTGTCGTGCAAATAACGGCATTGCAGACGAAAGGGGACGACCAAATCACCGGCGTCGTTCTCGAAATGCAGAATTGGCGGCATTGGTTTGGTACCAGCCGTCTGTTGTTGCACCTCGGCGTTGACGAGCGCAAATCTCTCCAGCTCTCCGCTGTCATCATGAAATGGGTAGCTCGCGTTTCCCTTGGTGAACTTCGAGGCTATTCGATGGGCCTCGTCGGCCTCTTCGGACAACAAATGAACGTAAAAGTGGCCAGAACTTCGGATGGCGTCGAAGGTGGAAGATATTTTCTTGATGTTGAATGACACAACTGGCCGAGGGAGAAGAGCTACAGTATTGAAGGAAGATACGGTGGCTCCGCGCCATCCTCGTGGGCCTCCCTCCGGGCTGATGCCAACGTCGGTCGCTGTAATGACTGCAACGGGATGCGGCACATGGCGCATCAATCGTCTCACTGCATCTGACAGTTCGAAGCCTTGAAGCTTAGAGTCGGCCCTGGTTGGTTCGGAGCTGTTCGCCTTGTTGGCCGCTCGTGATGCCTCCGATTGTGCGGTCGTGACTCCTGAATAGAATCTTTGCCCACATACGGGCGGTGCAAACCGGTTTGGCCTATGTATAAATTGTTGCGGGTGCAGAGGGCCTGTCCTTGCTGAGCGATGAGATCTTGCATTGAATAGGCCATTGTTGGTCGTGCAATAGCGACGGCAGAGTCTTTGAAATTCTTGCGCTTTAGAAACTATTAGCTCGAACATCGTCGCATCTTGATTTTGTCATGCCTTACGTTCCAGAGGTAACCTCGGTGACCGAGCAAACGACCAGGCAATATTGGCAAGCTTGCCGGCATTGAATAACGTTGGCATATCGAACTGCTGGAGGGACAGCTACGTCCAAGCCATGGTATATAATGCGGAGAAAGCTTCTTGAAGATTTCGGAAGCGGTAAGAAAGAAGGAAAGAACTAAAACAAGATTTGACTTCAGGGACAAATGCAAGGTATTGGAAAGTGAAGCTGTTCAAGTTGTTGAAGTCGAAGTCGGGATTTTGATACTGGACTCGGAGTCGGAAAATCATGCTTCCGATTCGTCAATTACTAGTTGCCTGAAACATCCATCGCTCATTGCCGCTTTAAAGAGTGAGGCTGGACAGTGTGTACAACTTGTTGTCACGGCTTTGTCTCTCACTCTACAATCTTCAAGTTTGCTCAGATCAAACACAGTATCATCATAGACGTGTTCTGTAAGCATCATCCCGTGTCGCAGTCTCATATTCATCCTACCGCGTATTGTAGCCCAGATGTGCCACGTTCGCGTTTCGACTCCTCAAAGAGTGTGCGCGAGATCGAGGGCTGCTGTTGTGGTATGGAGTTTTGTCAGTGGGAGGATGCCATTGATGACCTCGCTATTCAAACCTCTTCGCTCTGCTTCCTCTCGTCAGTAGACACAGACACTCACCTTGATCAAGCGGCCTCATCTGGCCAGTTATTTCTCTTCGTTCTTGTCCGACCTTTTCTTCTCCTTCGCATTCTTCGCGTCCTTGGCGCTCTTCTTGTCCTTGTCAGATTGCTCCGGCGAGTCTTCGGATTCCTCTTCATCAGATGCTGGGAGTGTAGTCCCTGTGACATAGCCCTGCCAGAGAAACATCCCGTAACCGACAGAGGCCGCTCCAAGAAAGGCGTACAACAACACTTTCGCCACTCCTCCAAAGGCCAGCACGCTGCTGGCCAACCGTTGTAGTGCTGGCGTGACCAACTGCTGCCGCTCCTCGACGAGGTCGGGGTTGACACTGAACAGCAAACCGAGCAAGGCCATCAAAATCAGGAACAGCAAAACAACCGTCAAAACTTGAATGCAAGCCAATAGGATTGCAATGTCCTTTGTGGTTCGGAGGACTTCATACCCGGCGGCCACCAGTGGGGTTACCTGTTCGAAGGCTGCATTGATCTCTTTGGAATAGGGAATGCCCATGATGAACAATGTAGGGGATGGAAAATCTGCTTTGCTAGCGAGCAGAGAATCTGTGAGGCTGAATCTCCAACAAGCAGTGACCACGATAACCTTCACAATGTCGGCAATCTGGCAATGGCAGGTGTGCATGTTGTGATAGACTGACCTGTCGTCACTGAGGCCAGCGAACACTCAGCAGGCAGCGTAATCACTTCTGCACCAGTTGTATGCCTGGTACAGGATGCCGGCAGCAGCGGTGTATGGCCCGAGGCGGGGTTGGAACCGAGGCGACCGGGGATGGGGATGGGTCTGGGTTTGGGGTCCCCCTGCACTCTGGGCTTCTCTCATACTTCTGGACCTATCTATCAACGTTGATTCTCACCAAGGTTGCTATCGTATTGCGGTCGACTGCTGGTTGAAACAGATCCTAGAACACATTCACAATGCAGGATATCGAAGAGGCGACCGTAACTTTCCGCAAGTCAAATTTGACCGTCAAATGGCTGGCGAAAGACCGGTTGACGCTGCTCCAGCTTGCAGAGAAGTCCGGTCTCACCCCTGATTACGGTTGCCGGTCAGGAGCGTGCGGTACCTGCGAGGTCAAACTGGTCAAAGGTCTTATCGAAGGCTGTTACGAAGGCGACGATGGCGTCCTGATTTGCTGTTCGCAACCAGCCAGCCTCGAAGTCGAGTTGGAGTTATGACGAGACGTTGTTAGGAGGGTTTTGGCAACAAGTTATGCCACCACATGCCATGAAGGAAGAACTCAGATTCCGCCAGTCTATCCTGGGAGCCGGCACATCAAGTTGCGGTGCGCGTTGGATCCCGGCAAGGGGCATAGATGTTGGTCTATGGGAGGTGTTGCGCGGACATTCCCATGCCTTCGGGACATAAGCAAGTCGATGCCATTCAGATTCTATCACGCACACCTTTGCCGTGCAGAACTTTTAGACCAGTTGAGGTACGTCTCTGCTGCATTCGAATGCTTGAGGCAAGAGCAAAGAGTTCCCGAGACGAGTGCCACTTCAAGTCGTTGACCGATCGATACAGGATTTTCGAGAACATGCTGTTCGTTGATACGCTCTCGGTGGCTGCCATCCTGGCATCCAAGTCCATTGCAGCGAAGTCATGAGATGAGACTGCCTGCCAGTGCCACTCGGGTCTCCCATTCGCTCCTTCTTCGTTTGCTACCTCTGGGAGCTTCCAAGTCGCAGGGGGCTGCAGCAACTCTCCTCTACTGCAACCCCTCCGAGTCAGGCTCACCTCGCCATCAACTGCATCTCTTCGACCACTGCATAACAGCTGCTAGCCTCGACTACATTTGCTCCATCGTTGCTACTACTGCATGATTATAAATTGGCCTTCATCATGCCTTTCGCCAGTCTGAGGCGTAGAAGTACAACCGCTGAGCGGAGTGAGCCTCAAGCAGACGAACCGAACAAACCTCCTGTCAACAGAGGTCGCTCCATTACTCTTCCTTCGATCTCTTCTCGCAAAAGCTTCTCTTCCTTGATTGCCTCGAGCATGCGAGGACGGTCCACAACGTGCGTTGCTAACTCCCACCCATGTGCCTTCCTAGAAGGATCGACTTAACTAATATGGTTGTGCAGTCCTTCTCCACGAAAGTCAGAAGCAGATTCTCTGGAGGGAGAATTGTACCCTACATATGATGCTTCTGACCATGACAACGAGCCTCACAGGGCCTCTCGGCCCCCCTCAGCCGAGAAGCCCAGACGATTCAGGCGAGCCCCAAGTCCACACCCCCTCAAAGGATCCAAGACCTCAACGAGCTCAAGACTGCCCAAGAAGAACCGGAACATGCTGAACAGAGCCCGCTCTCATTCCTCGTTGACCGACTCTTCCCCAACCAAGTCCTTTCTTCATACGCTGGCGGACGCTCTCAAGACCCCAACTGCTCTCTTTTCCAACAACTACAAACACAGGAGCAGTTTCGACACTGATGACACCTCCGAGAACAGTCCAATTCACAGTGGCGAGAGCAGCCCGAGGAAATCCGTTAGGTTTAGGCCAGGAACCTCCATCATCGGACTTCAACCGAAATCCGCTCCGATAGACATCCCAAAGACAACTCCAGCTTTGCCTCCTGTGCGGCTGGCGACCACTCCATTGCAGCAATGCCTCAAAGGCGATCAGTCAGATCTTGTACCTACAGCGCGACCGACGGAAACACCAATCCTGAAGTCGTCGGCAACATTCCGTCAGGCAATTGCGACAACCGACCCAGTTGACATATTGAAGGATTTCCAAGGAAACGAACGCATTAGCGATCCAGCCGATATCATGGGTCTTCCAACTCCGTTTCCAGGGACGATTGTTGCCATAGACAATCCCTTTGAAGACCCGATCGACCTGGATGACCCTGAATTAATACGCAACATGCTTCAAGAGTACGATGGCAGCTTCACAAGTCGGACACCACAATCTCGACAACATCAAGAATCTTTCGGGGACTATAATGTCCCATCACTTGAGACATCCAATCAAGGAGCCAGTGACTCCACTTCGGAGGACATCAAACAGGAATGTAACGGAAGGCTAGTTTGTCCAGATGTTGAACCCAGGCAAACTAAACAAGCTACGTTGGCATCGGTCACGGCTGAGGAATCAGACCTTCACACTCGAGATGGAACTGGTCTCGAAGAGACGCCCGCCTCCTCGGCTGCAGGTATCAGCCAGGGAGCCGTACCATGCCACAGCACGCAAGAACAGGGGAAGGAAAGTAAAATAGGGGTGTTGGCTAGGACAAATATTCATGAGGAAGGGACCGGTTCCCGGAGTTCAATGGTATGAGTTTGAATCGTAGCCGTTAGGTTATATCACTAAAGTATCACAGAGTTCAGAGTCTGTCACTTCTACACATGGAGGTGTCACTTGGACCGCTGAGCTTGCTTTACGAAAGCACAGACGGGATGAAACGACGGAACTGGGAACGACCACATCTGGATTGCAGGATCCGCAAAAGATGTCTTCGGGTATAGCCCAATCTGCAGTAGTGAATCCTCGCACAGATGACCTCCTGGCGAAGAGTGAGAAGGTACTGTCCCTTATCAGTTGATTATTAAGCTCCATTAATAACTGGGTGCAGTTGTATCCTCCAAGGGCCGAAGCTCCATGCTTTCATCCGGCAGAAGAGCTTGCGAAACTCTCAGATACAGGAATTGAGCGATTTACTCCATCACCCTGCTCTGTCGCCCTGCCTATATCCGTCCAACCAGAATCACGCCATGTTCCCCGCGAGTACAGCGATCAATTTGGCTGGTCACCTTTCGATGACTACGAGTTCCAATTTGCAACACTAGCATTCATCGACGACTCAGAAGACGAGTTCCGACATCTCGTTTGTCAGCGCGGTGGATTGTGGATTTTCTGGCACTGGTGTGACCTGCCTCAAGAGACAGCACCTTCACAACGTACCAGAGGCCTGGTGAGCTGGGAAATCGACGACATTTTGTGCATTGTTCGCCAGCAGAATCGTGTACCCAGGTCGGTATACTCTGACATGATAGAGGCGTTCAAATACCGAACTCGACTTGCCTTCGTAGGGAAACAGGCGTCTTTGGGAGAAACCGTTCCCTTGCGTACATCAATATCGACGCACGAATCGGAGGACACAGAAGAGTCCTTTGATAACGGTTCCATGACCCATGAACTGGAGGCTGTGGTTGATGATGAGGGTTATGAAGGTTCGCTCAGTGCAAATCATGATTCGGAACCAGCGTCTAGTTTGAACCAAAGTTGGGTCAAGAGATGGTCTCCTTCGTGGTCATCGAAGCTAGGCATGCAGATGGGATATGGAGAGACCTCAAAGCCAGGCGAGGGGCTAAAGAGTTTTAAATATCGACTATGGAGTCCTTTTGGCCCTACTGTGGACGTTGCACAGGCGAACACAGCTTGCGTTGTGGACGAAAGAGCCCCGTTCAGTTATGGTCTGTGGAAACCTCCGTCCTCCCTCAATTCCTCGGACGGAGATGCGACTATGTGTCGAGGCCAACATTTGAGCAAGATAACCACGGAAGGAAGATTGTCGTCCCCAGCAGGACAGCTCAGAGCGAATTGTTCGAAACAGACTGCCGCAAATCATGTTCATTCAGTCCAACTGGAGTAACCGAGCAAGGAGAAGCGGCTTGTCAGCATGTCGGCTGAAAAACAACAGTGGTGAACGGGATGCCATGCTTCTGGAAAGCCCTGAATTGATCCAGCATATCTGTTACAGCATTGCATCGGTTCAGCACACTATTCTATGCTAACAGGTAGAGATACAGTATGTTTAGAAGCACGGATGAGCCATGGTTGATCCTAGACCGAAGTATAGGTAGAAATAGCAGATGTACATTCTAGTCCACACATTGTATACTTAGCTCTATGACGAAGGTATTGAATTATCTCCAGCGGCCCTTTGAGCTGTCTCCCTGTGTTGTCTATGTTGCTTGACGTTTCCTTCCAGTCCAAACAGCGTGGCGGGATCACCAGGGATGATCATATCGAAAGTATCTCTGATGACGGCATATTCATAATATCCGCATCTGGCAATCGGTTGAGTTTTCCGGACATCGATTTTGCCATTTGTGAGAACTCTGTCGTCGACATGGACGCCGACGACCTTCCCAATGACGACATCGACGGTGCCCATGGGCGGATTCCCCGGTAGGCGCAAGGTAGAATGGTACACACATTCGAACCGGACGGGCGATTCGGCGACCATGGGTACGGGGATATTGAGGACCTTTGACCAGGTTTTGGACAGGCCCGCATGTTCGAACTCGTCGACTCCGTAGGGTAATTGTTGGGCGGTCTTGTTGACTGCCTCTCGCAAGTCCCAGGTTGCGAGTTGCCAGCAGAAGACGCCTGTTGCCTCGACGTTGAGGACGGTGTCTTTGCGGTCAGAGGTGGGTGTTTGATTGGCGCTGAACATGATGTAGGGAGGGTCGAATGTTAGATTGTTGAATTGGCTGTAGGGGGCGAGGTTGGGGATTCTGGTTGGACTTGTACTTGTACCTGTAGTAGGCGGGGAGACGGTGCTGATCCAGCCTATGGGCCGGGGGACGACGCATGCCTAAGGAGGAACGGTCATTCATTCTGGGGGAGACTTGCAATTGCTGCTGTGGTTGCTAGGTAGGGGTTGAATAAGGTGGATTGTGTATGGAATGGAATGGTATGGTATAGTATATGGGTTTTGGAAGCGATCAAAGCGTATATTGCTCGACCGTGGAGTGTTACACGCGGTCTTCAAATGGGGGGAAGATGGTGAAGGATATGGAAAAAGGCCGTGGTGGAACGCGCCAGAAGGGAAGATACAGTATATGTATACAGGTAACAGGTAACAGGTATTGTCACAGTGAATAACATGAAATTGGGCTCGGGCTCGCAGACCTTGAAAGGATCATATGGAAGGTTGTGTTCGGTGCGGCTGGGCTCGTAGAACATGATGCTGGGGGTTAAGGTATATAGTGCCGATTGGGGAAAGAGTTGCTTCCTTCTTTGACTTTTTTGTGGACTCGTGTTAACTATCAGGTAGACAGATGTGTTGGAATGTTAAATGAGTCAGGATAGTGGGATGTGTCTTGAAGTCTGGATACAGAATATGAGATCAATGAGAGCCTGAGGGGCTTGATATCGGCATATGGTAGGTTATGCAGTGGCCGAGGCTCAGGGTGCCCACAAGGCTATGGGGGAAGGCTGCGCTAGTCCAGATACAGCGAAATCAACAATCCCCGATTTGTCCTGTACCATTGAATTTCGACAGTCGCATGATCAGTGATTACCATTTCACAGTCATAACTCACGCCCCCGTCGCGAAACACAGTCAATGTGTCACGATTAGATAGTCAGTCCCGTCACTCGGAAGGAATATCTTGCTCTGCTCAATATGGGCGCGTCGAAAGCCTCTTCCTCCGCTGCGGCGGCGGCGCAGTTCGCGACACTCGCACCGCGTATAAAGAACATCTCAGAGGCCACGATCCGCAAGAAATGGAAGCCATTGCCGGCGGGGTCTCAAGACAAAGTCCGCCAAATTCTGTTCAATCTCAAGACGAAGAGGGCCGGTGCCAGCAGTTCCCGAAGAATTGCGACTGTCGGCAGCATGAGGCAGGCACGGGCAAAGAGACCTGGTTCCAATACCCAAGTGCGAGAGGAGGAGTACGAAAAGGCAGTTGAAGAGGTTGCGGATAGGTATGTTATGTCGCCCATTACCGATCTGCCGTTGGGTTCAAGATATCTCCCAGAGGCCATAATCAAAAGCGTGACTACGATGACTACAAGGTACTTCACGAGTTGGTCCGGTCCGACTAACGCGATCCAAATGATTCTGCAGACTCCTCTCCCGTCTTCCGCGCATGCCATTCCCTCCAACAGGCGCGAGCAGCAAGGCTGACGAGTCCCCGTTCGACCTTTTTGCAGCGCTCCACCGCATTTCGGCCCTACAAGCCCAATTGACAGTGAACAGGCAGTCGGCGCATCTCCTGCGCATGCAGATCAGACGCGAGCAACAAGCCCTGCGGCGCGACAAGGCAGAGCTGGCTGGGCTCCAAGATGCTGTGAAACGTAGCCAGAGGTTACGCCGGAAAAGAGAGACGGGACTCCATCCGCTGGCACGGACGGCGAAGCAGGGACATGATCACGATGAGATCGAGAGGCCGAACTCCGTCACTGGTATAGCTGTCCGTGGTGCTACCAGTACGGGGCCTGACTATGACGTCGGTGTCTCTACATCGGCCTCAGGGTCAGCGTTGACTATAGATGAGGAAGACGAGCCGGAGCTGGGGCCGCTGCTGAAGCAATTGCGCAGTCATCTCCACAGCATGCGGAACAACACCGCAAGTCTGAATCCGGTATTGGCTGCCATGGACGAGGCAAAATGTGCCTTGGACCGGTTCGCTGTCACTTCATTCGACCGAGAGACACTGATGCGTCTCTCTGGGATTGTGAGTTGATGCTCGCAGAGGAAGACGATTGAAGCCATATGAAATTACGAATTTACACGAATTTTTCGGTTCCTGGGGATCCTTCGTTCCATAGCTAGATGCGATATATGACCTTTTCCGTGCATAAGATACCTTACCCGGGCGTATTTACGTGAGTGTCCCGAAGAGCCTTTGATAGGATTGATGCCAAAGCTCAAAAGTGGGTAGAAGTGTAAAGTCTCAAAGAGGAAGAACTTCTTCAGACATACGATTGTACATTGTGCACTCAATGTCTTGGTAGACTGCAGCTGTGGTAACATTCAGGGGCATCACAGTGAAGTCCCCCCTTAACGTGAGGCTGTGCGCGGGACAGACTTGGACCCGCTTCTAAGGAGGGAGCAAGTTCAAGTTGACGGCTGTCGCGTCATGCAAAAAGTTCAGGACACGTTCAAGTTCATCGTGTCCTCGTCGGCCTCCTCTTTGCACCCTCGACCACTTCGACAAGAATGTCCTGCTGTGTTTGAGGCCCAGAAGTGCCTTTCGGTTTTTCACTTCCTGTCTTTGTTCTTCTATCCACTCTCTTCTGATTATTTCTGTTGCATCTATCCTCACGACTTATTCCGTGCCACGCTCGCCCAAGGGCCTTACGTGTACCCGAGCAACCCCCCTTTCGCCGCAATGTCGAGCGCCAACTCTACCCTCCGCCAAAGGGCAGGAAAGGACAAGTCCAAGCCGGCAGTCGATGATAAAAAGATTGATGATGTCCTCGACAGTCTCTCTCAGAATGCGCAAAAGAACGTGTCCAAGGAGTGGGATTACAAGGCAGCGCTGGCCATCATCACAGCTCTAGCTTTTGTGACCCGTTTCTTTCTCATCAGCCATCCAGATGAAGTTGTGTTTGATGAGGTGCACTTTGGAAAGGTTGGTCACGACAGTCTACAATGTGTCCTAAAAAGGCAGATCTAGCTAACAACCGTTGCAGTTCGCGTCGTACTATCTGCAACGAACCTACTTCTTCGATGTCCATCCACCCTTCGGAAAGCTTCTCTTTGCCCTTGTCGGTTGGCTCGTCGGTTACGATGGACATTTCCTCTTTGACAATATCGGCGAGTCGTACATTGCCAACCATGTCCCATATGTCGCCTTCCGAGCACTGCCTGCGCTGCTGGGCGCTTTAACCGTCGTGGTGGTCTTTTTGATCATGTGGGAATCGGGCTATTCGCTCCCTGCATGTGTTTTGGCATCGTCGCTGGTTCTATTCGACAATTCGCACGTTGGACAAACACGGTTGATCCTGCTCGATGCTACATTGGTCTTCTTCATGGCTCTGAGCGTTCTGTGCTACATTCGATTCTACAAGGAACGGCATGACGCGTTCGGCAGAAAGTGGTGGAAGTGGCTCTTGTTGACCGGATTCTGCATGAGCTGTGTCATCTCCACCAAGTATGTGGGCACATTCACCTTTATCACCATCGGAATCGCGGTCTGCCTTGACCTTTGGGGTCTGTTGGACATCAACCGCAAAGAGGGAGCTTTGGACCTGTTCACCTTCGGCAAGCATTTTGTCGCCCGAGCCGTAGGCTTGATCATCATCCCATTCTTCTTCTATTTGTTCTGGTTCCAGGTGCACTTCGCCATCCTCACTCGGTCTGGCCCCGGGGATGACTTCATGTCTCCGGAATTCCAGGAGACACTCAGCGACAATCTGATGCATCAGGCCTCGGTTGACATCTACTATGGCGACACCATCACTTTGCGACACAAGGACACCAAGGTCTACCTGCACAGCCATCCGGACAAGTATCCTCTCCGGTATGAGGACGGTCGTATTTCCAGCCAAGGGCAACAGGTGACGGGATATCCTTTCAACGACACCAACAACCATTGGCAGATTCTTCCAGGTACTCCCAACATCGATACAACCGAGACTGACCGCCCTGTCCTCAATGGTGATCTCGTCAAGCTGCGTCATGTGGTCACTGACACCATCCTCCTGACTCACGATGTGGCATCCCCATACTATCCCACCAACCAGGAGTTTACAACTGTGGCGCCGGAGCTCGCTGCCGGTGAGCGTCACAACGATACCCTGTTCGAGATTCGGATGGAGCAGGGGAAGAAGGGCGCACCGTTCAAGACAATGTCCGGACAATTCAAGCTGATCCATTATCCCAGCAAGGTGGCCATGTGGACGCACACCACCCCTCTTCCGGAATGGGCATTCAAGCAAGCAGAAATCAATGGTAACAAGAATGCCCAACAGACAAGCAACATTTGGTTTGCCGAGGATATTCCCAGTCTCCCCGCCGATTCCCCCAGGCGCATCAAGGAAGTCAGGAAGCCGAAACATCTGCCTTTCTTGGTCAAATACATCGAACTTCAGCGAGCCATGTTTTACCACAACAACGCGTTGACAGCCAGTCATCCTTATGCCACGCAACCTTACCAATGGCCTTTCCTGTTGCGGGGCGTGAGTTTCTGGACCCAGGAAAGCACCAGGCAACAGATCTATTTCCTTGGAAACCCCATCGGTTATTGGATTGCTTCGAGTCTGCTCGCCGTCTTCGCTGGTATTATAGCAGCAGACCAGTTGGGACTGAGACGCGGAGTTGATGCTCTTGATAAACGTAAGTGCATTGACAACGAAGAAGATATCGTGAGTTGGGATATGCTAACACTGATGTCTTGTAGGCACCCGCTCCCGTCTGTACAACAGCACGGGTTTCTTCTTCCTCTGCTGGGCGGCACACTACTTCCCCTTTTATCTCATGGGACGTCAGCTCTTTTTGCATCATTACTTGCCCGCCCACCTGGCCTCTTGCCTGGTCACGGGAGCTCTGGTGGAATTTATTTTCAATGTCGAGCCAGTCCTGGATCAAGAGACGTCGGCCACGATTGCATCCAAGAAGGAAAAGATGGCGGGCAAACTCTCGGACAAGACGAAACGGACATTCCAGACGGCAGCCGATCGATTCAAGGGCCAACGCATGTTCGCCACCTGGGTGGCCACTTTTGTCGTTCTGGCCTTTGTGCTTTTCGGCTTTTTCTTCTTCTTTCCCCTGACCTACGGCTGGCCAGGCTTGACTCCGGCTCAAGTCAATGCCAGGAAATGGCTAGGCTATGATTTGCATTTTGCCAAATGAGTGCGGTCATACAGGGCAGCTTGGGTGGACATGGAGATGGGGGAGATTGAAGGGAGCCACGTGTGATTCATGCAAACATGGCCAACGTACACCAGGAATGCGCCCAGTCCAGCCGTCTGGAGGCTGTGTCTGCAGCTATTCACCTTTACTTTGGCGATGTGACTCAAGAATCAAGTTTGAGGACAAGACAAAAAACAGAACATGGAGCCATTTTCCCGAAGTGGTCAACGAACACTGCACTTTGCAAATGACGAACTTGAACTGGACAACAAAAAAAGCTATTCTGCCCGGCAGAAATCGCCATGCTGATTGGTAATAAAGAAGTCATGGAGGCCCTGTCATCTCGGTTGTGATACAGGCAGTCGGTACGGTAGTCGCGCGGAAGGGCATGGAAGGAACTTGAACTTGGAGATCGATTAGGAGATTACCACCAACACCGGGCAGGCAAGTCAGTTGACCGACTGGTAGTCTATGCCTGCTTTTTTCGAGACCGGTCTGGACCTGGACTTGGGTTTGTTGTGCAGTGCAGTAGTTGGGTCTGCAGGGGAGGAAAAGACTCTGTTCTTCGTTGGGTCCTTCTGCCGTTCCGTTCCAAGTTCAAGTTGTCGAGCACATGTACTACTACTACCACTACTACCACTAGGGCTTCCGCTAGATAGACCGGTATTATCGCCAAAGCGCCACTACTACTGCAACATGCCTGAACAGTCGATACCTAATTTCTTCCTCGGTGCCAGGAACTCAGGCTTGGGCCGTGATGGGCGGACCAGCCAGTAACCAGCAGTCGCAGTACTACTGTAGTACCCTTGATATCCAGAGTAGGTAGTCATTATTGGGCACGGGTGCAGTGGTGCGGTCCTGAGTATCGTCTGTTGTCTGTTATCTGCCATGATAATTGCTGTGCCTACCTGCTGGCTGAGATCTGGGGTCACTGCAATGCTAGATCATGTTATGACTTGTCATGGGATCCCATGCCCCGATTCGAGTCTAGTAGTGGCATAAGGAGAAGTAGTCGCAGTAGTTCTGTAGAAGTGCTAATGCACGGATATACGCAGCCGTCATTCGGTTTCATGATAGTCCTACTACTGATAATAAAAGTAAGTTGATACTGCGGTACTAGTAGTAGATGGTTATCGGTCCGTTGATCATCGGTTGTCGGTCGTCAGTCCTCGCATGTCGGTTGGCGAGTGGTAGTACTCGGCGATAGCATACTACCGGTCGTCGCATGCATTGTTGGAAGTCGGAATTCGGATGTCGGTGTAGTTTGTGACTGGTTGCTACACAGGCTGCGGTTAACCTTTTGCAAGGAAGTTCGAGAGATGTGATAGAGACATGTCGTCGTGAAAGTGTTCGGTTGTCGGAGGATGTTGCTGGACGCATGGGTTCGGGACTCGGGGATCTTCCTGTCGTGTTCCACTGCAGTAGGACCGTACTAGTACTAGTACGTCCGCTCTGACAATGCATGTGAAGACAAGGTCGGGCAAGGCATGGCACAGCAAGGTAAGGCAAGGTGAGGTGGTGCTCTGTAGGTTATCTAGCAGTAGTACATGGACCTAGCATGGCCGGATCCAGTGTAGTGCGATGCGAGGGTCCTGATGTCTGCTTACCCCGAGAACCACGTAGTGACAACAGCTAGCAGGTAGGCAGGCAGGCAGGCAGGCAGGCATGCAGGTATAGTGTGATATGCAGTGGGGAGAGAGTACTTCCTAGGTATGTAAGTAGTGGATGTGTTCTGATACTAGTAGTAGTTCTATGATTCGTCTCATCCCTGATGTAGGTCTGTAGAATAGTGAAACATCTCCGTGTCATCATAAGGTATTATGTCAAGCACCCATCGACGTCGACACCTGGGAAACCATACGAATCAAGACACCAGCTTTTGGAATGCACTCATTTCGAACCCGTATGGCTATGCATCATGATACGCATGTATAAGGTAGTATTGTATGCTTCCCCATCCAGTCCACTTTGACCCTCATTCATAGGAATTGCGTGCGAAACCATGTGGAAGCAAACGCCCAACGCCGCGCTCAGCAATAGAAACATGATATCCCTGTAGTAGACTCAAAGATGCCGTAGCAAGCAAACATCGCTGCTCAGTTCATAAACAAACGCTTCTCGGTCGTTTAACGGTAGTGGACAGCGTCACTGGCAATCTCGGTCAATCTCTTCGGTTGAAGACAGACCACCTCGGCCTTGTTGTTGACTGTGATATGAGCCGGAATGTTGCTGTGCATGGGATACCTTGCTCGTCGCTCCAGCTCGTCCAGAGGAGTCTGAGACCGGATATACTTGGTACGACCGTCCTCATGACCCTTCCAGTCCCAACTCTCGAACCGGCCCTTGGTCAAGGCAGACCAGACCAACCGGCGTTGACGTTGGCAGGTGAGGACGTCTTGAGTGATTTTTTCAAAGTCCCATTTCTTGTTGGCTTCATTCTCAAAGGCCTTGAAGACAGCCTGCGCTTCAGGGTCCTCGCTCGTAGCCAGGTTGACGAGTTCCTGAGGATCCTTGCGCAAGTTGAACAGCTGGGGTGGGTCGATAGGGCAGGTAATGTATTTCCAGTCTCCACGCCGAATCATCATCAATGGTGCCACAGTTCCTTCACCCATGTATTCGGCGAAAACAGTGTCGTGACCACCGCTTCCACCATACAAATGAGGCAACAAGGACAGGCCGTCCATTGGCAGACCCGGAACTAGTTTCGATCCGATCAGCTCCACAAGAGTGGGCATAAGATCCAAGGTGGACACGTTCTGGGAAACCCGGTGAGGAGTGAATTGAGCCGGATGGCTGATGAGCATGGGTACCCGGACCGAGTTCTCAAAATAGGACATTTTGTACCAAAGTCCTCGTTCGCCCAACATATCTCCGTGATCACCAGAGAACATGACAACTGAGAATTGCGTCAGTATACGGACTTTACAACGCGGGGAATGGATAATCCGGGGGGTTGACAAAACTTACTAGTATCCTCGTCCATTCCGCACTTTTGCAGAACTTCAAGCAATTGACCAATGCAGTCATCGACATAGCTCACAGCACCGTAGTATGCCCGTCGTGCGCGTTTGATTTGCTCGTCAGTAAAGTCGTGGCCCTCAAGCTCGCAGACGTGTCGGAGGCGCTTGCTGTGAGGATCTTGTTCTTCTGGTTTGAGGCTGACATCGGGAAGGTCAATGTCCACGCCCTCGTACAGGTCCCAATACTTGTCCTCAATGGCATAAGGGTCGTGAGGGTGAGTGAACGATACTGTCAACGCAAATGGCCTCTTTCCAGGGGCTGCACGGGCATAGTCGTACAGATACTGCTTCGACTTGTACAGCACCTCTTCGTCATAATCGAGCTGATTTGTTCGCACACATGGCCCCGCCTGCAGAATAGAGCTACTGTTGTGGTACCACTCCAGTCTGCGGTCGGGGTCGTCCCAGTTCACCGCCCAGCCATAGTCGCCCGGATAAATATCCGCAGTCAATCTGTTCTCATACCCATGCAACTGATCTCCGATAAAATGCATTTTTCCAGCCAAGGTGGTTTCGTAGCCTGCCTCTCGCAGGTAATGCGCGTAAGTAGGGGTCTCGGAAGGAATGGAGCAGGCATTGTCGTAGGAGCCGATCTTGGAGGGGAGTTGTCCGCTAATCAAGCACATGCGAGAAGGAGCGCACAGTGGAGAGTTGCAGTATGCCGAATCGAAGACCACGGATCGTTCTGCGAGTTTGTCCAGGTTCGGTGTCTTGATCTGGGACTTGGGATTGTGCATTTTCAACAGAGGAGCTGCCAACTGGTCCGCCATGATGAAGAGGATGTTGGGCTTCGCTGGGAACAGCGGAGTCGAGAAGCCATTTGCGCCGTGATAGCCGTTTGGGGGCGATACTGGTGGCGAGTCTGGGAATGGGTTGTAGGATCCCATGGTTGTGGTTTGTGCTATGTTGACGCAAGAAGGACTGTATGCTTGTTTGCTTGTGTGCTGGTCAATTGCGTCTGAGGCAAGAGATCGTGGTCTACTGGCACAAAAAGAGATAAGAGACAGAGAAGTAGAAAGTGGAAACGAGAAGACAGATATAAGATGCGACGAAAATGGTCACGGAGCCCGAAAGTCGTCCTGCCGCACAGGAGATGCCAATTTCTCCAGATGTTGTGTGGTGCGAGGACAATTGGACTAGTCGGCGCAGACGGAGGGAGGAGGAGGAATCAGTCCATCGATCAGTCGGTCTGTGGGTGATTGCGATTAGGCTGGCAGAAAACGAGGCAGCAGACGCAGTGAAAGTTTACTGCTCCGGGAATGGCGTATGTGGGGACGGTCGAAGTCTGGAAGACGCGGCTCCTGCGAATGAACAGTGCGTCGGAGCCCGGGCGGTCAAGCCTCTTGGGCAGCCCTGGGCTCCTTGCTCCAGCTCTTACGTTTCCAGTCATTGCAAAAGTGTGGAGAGGTGACACATCTCAGTAATCACGCTGACAGCGTGTTTGATCGCAAGGAGCCGCGCACGAGGAAGGCAAGGCAAAGGATGACGACGAGGAAGGGGCGCGACACCGGCGATACCACGCGATCAGTCGTTTCATCGGCGGGTAGTGGACAAGATGGCGTCCTTCATTGAAATGGCAACATTTTCTGGAGAGAGCACGCCATTGTTTGCCACAAACGGACGGGCCAAAACAGAAGGCGGTGAGAAAGAGGAGCATTGAAGCCTTGACACTGGAGCCTGCGATGGCCACTTCCGCAGGCTCAGCTGCGCAGAGATCCGGAGCCTTGGCCCTACGGCGGACCTCTTACTATCACTAGGGCCCAGTAAGACTCCTGTAACCCCCCGAGCCAGGCTTATCCGACCCCTGGCGACTGTTCCCCGGAACCCGATCGACGATTGGAAAAGCCCCTTGCAGAAGATGGAAACCTACTAAATTAGCCCCCTTTCGTTGTTCTGCTAACTTTAGCATTGGCCTATCACCACTCAGGTTTGAGGACTTTACCTAGGTAGGCGTTGTAGGGCCTGCACTTTGTGTTCCCTCCGCCTGCAGGGCTGCAAGGCGTGCAAAGGAGAGGCAGAAGGCTTCCCAATCACAGCCTGAGATTCACTACTTCCTTAGCATCAGGTGCATCTATTCCCTCTACAAGTATCATCATTGGCTCGTTTGGTGCACTTTCCTCGCAGTGATACCTAGGTAACATTGGATGGAGGACAAGGCTGGGCTCGTCCCCGCATAATCCGGAAATCTGAAGATACCTTACCAGGTATGTTATGATGTTCGGTTGACAGGGAACGGAGACTCTCCCCAGAAATAAATCATAACACAAAGGGACCCCGGACGACCGTAGCCTGGCTTTGCTGACCCTCACCTCTGTTGATGTGATTACCTCTCCTTTATGCTGCTAAGAAATTGTTCGGCTTACTGTGACACCTTGGCAGATTCACCACATGATGTATCTACCTTGTAGGTAGTATCCAGGCCTGTTTCCCAGCATTGCTCCTCCTTACATGCGGCCAATGCATCAGTCGCCGGATGCCGTGTCCTCTCACCGGCGCGCCTCAAAGTGGTTGCGCAGCTATCCCCGAATGCTATTGCTCCCTCTTTGGCAGGTTTGCATAAAGTTTGAACGGGGTAGGCTGATTACGCTATGAAGTCCCCTTCGAAACGAATGCCAGAAATTGGTCTGCTCTTCTACTGCCAGAAGTGTCTCCGGCCAGAAGGGATGCCAGGCGAAAGGAATGAAAACAAGGAAAACAAGGAAAACAAGGAAAACAAGGAAAACAGATCTTCCTAATGATTCGGAATAACTGGGCTTCGATGCTCTCTCAGAGTCTTGCGCCCGTGGCTAATCGATATCAATCGGAACATAATGCGATGGAGGATAAGTTGTAAGTTGTCGACACATCTACTGCACAGCTCGAGAACGCTTCCCTACCTAGATAGGATGCAGGCACCTTTATACAGGCGGGGCTCATGGGCTCCAACTTTTGAAAGGGTTCCCGACCCACGTGATCTGCTAAAATGCTACTCAGGTAGCTAGCACTCGACTAGTACCTTGGTACTTTGCGCTATCGTTGAAGCTGCAACTGGTGAAGACCTCCCAGCCTCCTCAAATCGCATTTTGAACACCTCACCGGCATCAACTGGCCGCCTCTTATCAGTCCATTCGTTTGTACACCCGGTAAACGTTCATTGTAATCCGACAGTTTTGCTGCAGGCTACGCTGCTTTGCGATCAGTATTTTGCCTGTTGTCTGAGTCGCCGTTTTTTAGGCAATCACGATCCCAGCGCTTCGAGGCTTGTCCTTTTTATTCGCATTGAAACCCCGCCGCGATGGCCGATAACGAAGAGAGCATACAAATCGCCGACTCCGGTGAGGGCGACGTCGAAATGGGTACGGCCGAAGAAGGGCACGAAGTGGAAGACGACACTCAAGAACAGCAAGAAGGAGAGGGCAACGTTACCAATGAGCAAAACGGAGATTCTGCCGTCACAACCAGAAATCCTCGGACCGTCTTTCTCGACTATTTGAAATCGCCGATTGTGCATCTCGTTGTGGGGTCTGGAGATGACGAGACGACTTTGACCGCCCACAAGGCCATCCTTGAGGAGTCGCCGTTTTTCCAGGAGAAGCTGTCGGGTCTCGACGACGAAGACCTCCGTATCGACCTCCACGAAGAATCGCTAGATGCAATGGTTTGTTTTCTGCAATATCAGTACACCGGCGAGTACTTCCCCCGGCGCTTGGCGAACGACAGTCTCGAAAGCGACCCTTCTATGCCCCCGATCGACAACACTGGCGAGCAGTTACTGCGACACGCGCGCGTGTACACCCTGGCTGGCAAACTCGGCATGCCGGCCCTCAAGACGCTCGCCCACGCCAAGATTCATCTTATCAATTCCACCGCGGTTGGGGAAATCGCATATGCAAGATTTGTGTACGGAAACACCCCGCCGGACGATGTCATCATTCGCAAACCAGTGGCGGCATTCTGGGCAACACGATCACACGTTCTGCGACACGAAGCCGAAGCGGAGTTCAAGGCCATGTGCTTGGAGTATCCGCAATTTGGTTTCGACGTTTTGAGTCTGGTGCTGGACCAGCGGGAGAAGCGAGTGAGAGAGCGCGAAGAGCACGGCACACCAGGTGGCACCCGGGGCCGGAAGAGAATGCGACCCAGCGTCAACATCTGATGAGGGAGGCCAAAATCCATGGCTGTTCGCTGAACAGTTCCACTGGGGGCGCATGCTGTACTAATTGCCAGACTTCATCCTGGAGAGCGCAAAGCTCTGTTTTGTGGATTTGTTGTTACAGTCCAAATTCATGTGTACCATATCACGTCGAAGAATACCCAGGGAAAAGGCGCTGTGTAGAATCAACCCACGATGATAGACCACATCATCGCCAATGGTCCAAAAAGTAATAATAAGATAGAATACATGTTCTTGTGTTCATTCGTAGAGCTATGCCGGCAGGTGCTACCAACCTATTGGAGTTGCTCGTGGCGAAGCGTTTGCAAGAAAAGGTCCTGGTCGTTTGGTCCTTCGCTGGTAGATACAGGTGAATCATGTGCAGATGATAATAGGGCGAGCTTCATGTGCAATCGATCAGGAAGCCATTAATACTACTGCAGTGGTACTACTACAACATTGTAGTCCAGGCTGCGCCTCCGAGTGGCGGGCTCAGGCTTTCTGAGCTCCAGGAGCACTCAGTTTGAGCAACCCACTACTGTCGTAGTACAGTACTTCCTACTCCCTTATGTAAGACGCCTAACATGCCTCTTTCTGGGCATTGCGGGGTTTTCCCTTCGGCCATCAAAGTTGACCCCAGCCTGTGAAGCTGCGCTGAGCCTGCCCACACGCGACGCCGAGGTGCAAGCGCCAGTTGAGTCCCAGTGCCAGTGTGACTCGTGGAGCCTCAAGGCCGTAAACCCGCCTCAAGTTTACGAACGGAAGTGAACCTGCTCGACACCCTATCTTCTACATCTCCATTCCATGTCGCGCGGCGCAGTCACGTAGACCTGCCCGATCGATCTTCGTTGACTGCCTCCGCATGCGATGAGTCCTTGCGATCCTGCTGAGTGCGACGCCGCGCGAGATTCCTCTTCACAGGCGTGATTCCGAGCCTGATTTACAATCCGTCGGCCAATGTCAGATCTACAAGATGGGCCTGATCATGCAGGCAATGGTACAAATAGAGACACGGGCAATCGGACTTCGGTGTCAAACGAAGCCTTGTCCCCCACGGCTTCGCGCAAGGGCAGTCAAGCCTCGCCAGCGGATCAGCCCAAGAAGAAGCGCAAGGTGAATCATGGTTCGTAATCTCCTCCCACAGCGACATATGCAGCCCTAGCTAACCATCCATCAGCATGTGTCTATTGTCGTCGCTCGGTGAGTCCGATTCATTTTTGTGATCAGAAGGACCGAGATTCGAGTACTACGTATGGGACTATGATAGGCTAACAGATAGTTCGTGTGGGATACACAGCATATGACTTGCGATTCGGTACGACGCCTCTTCTTGCATGACGAGCCTTTCTTCTCCATTGAGATGTCTTCTGGCTAACGCAACCCTTCTCGTGGGGCCATGTCTCAGGATCGACCTTGTCAACGCTGCATCAAGAGAAACATCGGCCACCTGTGTCATGACGAACCTAGAGAAGGCCATGGATACCACAAGAAGTCCAAAGGCGACGCAGATGTCGCCGTGGCAGGAGACGAACAGTCGCCTGCCAAAGATGAATATCCCACGGCCCAAAATTTGCAAGCACCTGCGCCGATGGACAACCCTGACCACACTCTCCTGCAAGATGACAATATGGGACTGAGACCGCCCACGAATGAGACCCTGGCTGTCGCCAATCCAGGTCCTACGACTCAGACCGCAGGTATTAATGGCAATACTCAAGGCCGTAGGTGTGCATCCATGTCCGTGAGCTACGCATTCTGACGGTGGGCAGACTTTGGATATAATGACCCATGGCTGGGAGTGCAGAGCCGCTTCCAGGACATGCACGCTTTCCATCCCAGCTACATCTTCAATGCGAACGAGGTCACGGACGAGTACAACTTACTCAGCGATTTTCTAAGTACCAGTCTCCTTGAAGAAACGGGAATGTATTCGGCCGAAGAATTTCAAGGCCACCTCAATGACCCGTCCTTTATGAATTCCATGGCCGCTTCGGCCTTTCCCCCACTCGCACTTGACGCGATGGTCCCCCAGAACCGCCCAAATGGTGGACTAAGCACCAACCCGAGCAACGCCGCTCAAGCTGCGATGATCTCCAGGCCATCTAGCGTCAAGCCAATTTCAGACAAGGCGCGTGAGAAGTATTACATGATGGCAGCAGATCCCACAGGCGCCGAGCCTCCGGAGGAACGGATGAACAAGCTGCTGAAGGCCAAATACGATGCCGGGATGCTCAGGCCATTCAACTATGTCAATGGCTACGCTAGACTCAACAAATACATGGAGAAGCATATGAAGCAATCGTCTCGACATAAAATACTGATGCAGCTAGATCAGTTCAGACCCAAGTTTAGGGAACGAATGCAGAGCTTAACAGATATTGAGCTAGTCCTCGTCGAGATGTGGTTCGAAAGGAGTCTGATGGAGTACGACCGGATCTTTGCTAGCATGGCCATTCCGGCATGCTGTTGGAGGAGAACCGGCGAGATCTTCAGGGGGAATAAGGAAATGGCGGAGCTGATACAGGTCCCCATCGAATCGTTGCGTGATGTGAGTATGCATCTTGACAAGGCATTGTCCGCCGCTGACATTGTTTCCAGGGCAAACTTGCCATACATGAAATCATCGTCGAGGATCAACTAGTCAGCTACTGGGAGAAGTTCTGCGCCATCTGCTTTGACCAGCAGCAGAAGGCAATGCTGACCAGCTGTACATTGCGGAGCCCGAAAGAGGGCTCCGACGCCGAAATACCGTGCTGCTTTTCCTTCACTATTCGAAGAGACAACCATAACATGTAAGTTCACTTTGACTCCTGTTTAGCTTCAGCTGACCTGTTGCAGCCCATCGTTAATCGTGGGCAATTTTCTGCCCATGAACCCTGTCAAGCATTGACTATTAGGGATGGTTTGACATCTGTACAAATTCTAGAAATTGTTCAACTCGAAGGTTCTTGTGTATACTTGTCTTATTCGTGCTTCTTAAATTGTTCTGCGGTGTGCCCCTTTGTTCTGGAGTTGCCTACAATTCCACCATGAGCCAGAATCTTCAGTCGCGTCACGTGCCTCGTACGTTCACGTTCCCTATACTTTCCTGACTGCGCCCAACGTCTCTCTATCACGGCCATATCGTTACAATGGTTTCGGAAACATTTGCAGGCAAGGCGCAATCAGTGCTTGGTATGTTGTTACTACCTGACTCGGGTGTGCTGCTAATCCAGCCCAGATTTCGCAAGCCATCTCCAGGAGTTCTTGGCCAAAGACCAAGATTCCTCCTCCCTGGAGTTTCCAGATGTCCTTTTCTACGTGCGCGCCTTGCCTCTGCCACGCAAAGAACTGACCCCGAGCCACCGACTGGAGTTCGACCGAAAGGGCGTTGCTATCTGGAATACGTGCTGCAAACTGGCTGGCAAGAGCGGGTCCCCGCGGTACCTGGCACATCTGGCTGAGGGTATGCCGATGAAACCACTTTTGGCCTTGTCTGATCACTTGAAGTTCGGGCCTTTGCGTATCTTCTTCTTGAGAGTTCAGCAAGCTCTAGACGTAAAGGTTACCATGGCCCCGACCCGATCACACGTGTCGGAAGTAACTTGTTACAGGTGAACCCAGATTATTTACAAGCGCTCTGAAAGCGGCCAAAGCTTGTTTAGGTGATGCGTTCAAGAACTTCCATTGCTCCAGCTGAGTTTGTCCGCAGACACTGGCCTTCTCGAGACTGCAGCTAGGATTGTTGAGCAGCTTGCCGCGAAACAAGATGGCTTATCCCAAGCGTCCCAAGAAAACATCTTGAACGCAAGCAACTTTGAAGGAGACTCGAACGTGAAATACTTGCTGTTGCGGGTGGCATTGGTTCGTCTTGGCAGAAGGCAAGCGAAAAGAGCTGACATTATACAGGCATGGAAACAAGATCGCCTTGACCTTGCTGATCATTTCTATGCACAACTTGAAGCCATGCAGAAGGAGATGAGCTCAACCCGGATGGGGCAACTAGTCGATCTTTGTTACGGGATTGGAAAGGACCAATTCAACCGACGACCACGCGAGCCTGACATCAAATGGCTGAAGCGAGCCTGCCTGATATCCAGTTGCACAAATGCCGAAACTGCAGACGTCGACATGCAGGAACTCAGACTGACGCTGCTACACACCTATGGTAAGCATTATTCAACGCATGCAGGTCTAAATGGAGTCTTATGCTTTCCTAAGCCAGGGCCCTTCTTGCCTCCAGTGGAGGATTTTCCAAAGGTGACAACGAACTTCATGAGACCCTCGGAATACTGTGTCAAGTATACTTTCGCATGGTACATTCCCTTGATCGGTCCTTACAAATCTAGGAATTTGGCCACAAGCTACCGGTCCTGTTGCTACACCTAGAGATACACGCACATGGTCGTGCACCCTGTCCCGGCGAATATAATACCGGTAAGCGGCCTTCTCGGCGTCTCGCCCTTCGAAGCAGTCTGATAGAAGCAGTACTCTCAAAAATGATACAACTTGTCCATATAACCCAAGCAAATCACAAGATGCAAGTGTTCCGCGGCTTTTTGGGATATCGAATGGAGCTTAACGATTATCAGGATCCTGTGGTATATCCACCTTTTGAAGACGAAGAGGTGTGCCGTCAATATCCTTTCTTTTCGAAGTCGGCTAACAATAGTAGCTTGCAAGCCATAAATGCTCTGGAGACATATATCGTTACAAGACTCGTCCCCAACGAAAACAACGAGTGGACCGAGAGTGCTATCCTCAACTTGATTTGGTTGCTTGTGGAGTCTTTCGATGATGCGGTCAGAACGTCGGCCAATATGCATTCTATTTTGGACAAGATTCACCGAGCATGGAATCAGACACTGAGTCCGGAAGCAGCGCGCTCTGCCCATGTTGTAGGTGTCTAGCAGGTCATTGTGCCGGGATTTGCTGATGGCGCAGGTGCTTTGGAAGCAAATCGAACGCTGTTACGAGAATGGAAAGAAAGACAACACCATACAATGGTGTCGAGCTGCGTTGCACGACATCTTCGCCAATGCCGGTCACCAGAACATTGGAAAGCTCGAAAGGGATGAGTAGGATTACCACATCTGCTAACCCACTGCTTACGTTTGGCAGGAAGATGATGAAGTGCTATTTAGAGCTTTCCGACTTGCAGGCTGCCACCCAAGTATTCGAACACATGGCCCCCGACAGAAAACGACATCCGCTGAGTCAGTATGTCCGATATAGTTTGGCACTTCGATGCCAGGATGACGCAGCGGGTCAGGTTTCTGTCTTTCTGTCAGAATGATCTCCGAGTCTGACATCTTTCTCAGTACGATCGGCATTGAACTCGCTGGCCACATTGCATGATGAAAGAAATCGACTTTTGTCTGCAGCCGTCGCCGAGGCAATACAACACGGTACCAAGGGTCAGGCAGCCCAGCACCTCCAACGACTGCTCGACAAGTATAAAGACGGAAGACTACCTCCTGAAGTGGATGCATGCGCGTTACTCAGGTCAATATCCACTTTCCAATGCTGGGCCCTCGTTGACGTTGGCAGGTGTACTGCGCAACTTCTCCTGTCTGCCATCGTTGAGAATTCCTCTGCTCGCGACGAATACATGTCCCGACTCTGTGGTCTCTTCAAAAACGGTACGCTCAAGTGTTGCCATTGTTATGGCGCCCTTCCTAACTGTAAACAGCTCCGTTCCTCATTCAGAAGTCCAATGATGCAGGTGACAAGGAGAACCCTGTTGTCTCGGTACAAGACCATGAATGGTTTCTGAATACGGGACTCAATGTCGCTGTGCAAAATGTCGACTCTTGGCCGGCAAAATACATACTCGATCTGCTCGAGTATTCTAGGCTGGTAAGTAAAAGCCTTACGAGAGTATGCCTTGTGTCATAGTTTTGACATGTATACGTCGGGTTTCCAGATACAAGGCCCTTTAAGCTCAACGGATGATGAGAAATTGACGAAACTGGTCCGCGATGCCGACGCTCTATACGTTCAAGCAGTTCTGTACACTGCCGAAGCACGGTCGTCTTCGCTGTCGTCCTGGACCATTGAAGACCTTCCCAGATCGTCGTATTCCAGCAAGTCCCCACCCTCGTCGATACCGGCAGATATTAAAAGGACGTTGTACAAGAATGTCCTTGACAAACATACCTCCTTCGGCGAGAACTTCAATTCAATGCAGATATCATGCCGGGACGCGGTAAACGCAGAGACAATCGTTCGGAAAATGGGCGAGAAACTAGTCGTCCTGGCTCCCCTGGCATTCGAAGCCGCCTTGTTCATGACATATTCAAGTGGCAACCAGGATGGTGCGATTCGTGATTCTGACGAATCAACTCTGGTCCACATCATCGAGGAGGCAGTACAGCTTAAGCCAGCGTACAGCACATATTCAGTCTTCGCAGACATGATCTTGTCGGCCGTAACGGCTCCTTCAGGTTCAGCTCGCGATGTGTCTCCACGCCCTGGTGGTCAACAGGAACAAAATGCCAATGCGAGCTCCAACACAGCCATAACGACAAGCACGCCACCTCGTCTTCCGGTTTCTACGGCGACCAAACTTCTGGCCACACTCATCGATGGTCTGCGCGATCATTCTAGTTACGATGTCCCTCAAGCATCACGCTGGATCCGGTGCGTGGTTCAGGTCATCCTTGACCAGCGCGGAGCAGACCCGGTCGCACCACCATTCCAACGAAACACGACTACTACTGCTGCTGCTGCTAGTACCAGTGCTTCCGAAGATGTGAACAACTTGGAGACGTTGAGGGTGATCACAGACCAATCTCTGGCGCTTGCACGGTCAAGCCTGGCTCTGGCCAGGTCCAAAGTATCGGTTTCCGGCTCAGGCATAAACTCGAACAAGGGTTCGAAGGCGGCTACGGGGTCGGCCGTGAATACAATTCTCAACAACAACGGTGACAGGCAGAAACAAAATTCCGGGATGATGTACCCCTCCGACGAACTCGAATGGCTGGCCACCATGCTGTTCAATCTCGCCATTGATCTATTTGTTGCCGCTTCTTCATCGTCTCCTTCCACATCACGAAGAGTACCAGCGGACACAGATGCTACTACCAATGTGACAGCAGATGATGGTTATGAGCTCGATGATGACAATCATGCCGACCACGAACTTGACAATTACAATACCCAGAACCAGAACGGCCACAATGGCGACCGCAGGGATGACGACAACAGTGGTGATGTCGACGTTGATGTTGATGGTACTGACAACAGCAACGGCAACGCCAATGATGTGACCGATGAGAACGAGGTCCTGATCCTCCAACCACGATTCTGGGCATCCAAAGCAATGGAACTCGCCGACCTGGTGTTAGCCTTAGAAAAGTGGACAATCCAAAGTCGTCCTGGTACTGGTCCTGATCGGTACACCGATATGGAAGTGGATATGGATATGGATATGGATACTGGCAATGATACATTGGTGCTTCAGTCATCCAGTACAGATGAGGGCGCAGGTCCAGGTACAGGCCCAGGTGGAAATGGAGATGGAGGTACAGGCTCATCTATCACCACCGGGCCCTCTTCCAACCTTCTTGCGACCATGTTACGAGACCGCGCACAAACATTAGGTTGGATGTGAATGTGCTGAAGCATTCAGTTGAGATCCATAAATAGGTACCTGAGTCGGGTGGTTGGAGTGAAGTAGATTACAGACGTTAATGTCCTGAAGGGGTCAGACTCAAGTCCATTTAGATTCTCGCATGGTTCATCACAGTACTAGTACATACCTCGGTAGGTATAAACATGAGGTGCCCAAAGTGGAATGAGGTGTCGGAATGAAACACAGAGCTTTTTAGGATCATGAATCTACTTTCCTGTAATAAATAATCCACTAGCATCAAGCTCAAAAATCTCATCTTTCTGTTGACTTAGTTAATATGTAATTGGATTCGTTCGTAGTATCTCTTTGTCACTGTCATGCCAGAATAACTTCCACTCATTCATCCTCATATCACCGATAAGCCAAGCCCTTCCCCTTTGTTGTATTTCTTTTTATCATCATCCACTGCATTAGATACTAGTAGCCTTATTTGCCATAGCCATCATGATTGACTGTTTTCGATCGATTTGATTTGATTTGTCCGTGACGCTGATGGTGCTCCAAATAGGTCGTGCTGTGCCGTGTCGTACCGCGTCAAACCAAGTCATGAAGGTGAGCTGAGCTGAGATGAACTGATATGTAATAACTTGAGATACAGTAAGTTGAGATTGAGGTGAAGTCCTTCGCCAGCTGCCAAAAAATGATGTGATGGGGTATCTCTGATAAAAATGAAAGGTATGAGTGAGTGGGAAGGGGATATGTGAATGGTATGACGAGTCGAGTCTTTCGGGTCGTCATCCACGCTGCACACACAAGCACCAGACTTGATGTCGTCGTGAGTTTCTTTATGATCCATCATCTCGGGCGCAATTCTCGGCCGTGATACTTCGTCTTTTAAACCCTGGGCCGCAGACGTGACCGGTGCCAGAGCGAGAATGTCCTGTTGTCCAGTGCTGGCGTGAACGCAGAGAGACACCAGGGCGTGTGCCGGGTGTGCCAATGCCAATTTCATGACTCGTCTTCATTATCATTATCATTGTTGCCATTGAACATCACTGTGCAGCAAGGACGCCGTCCCACTAGGACCGACTCGTCGACCAGTCAAAGGCTCAACACCTAATCTCGCGCTCAACATTTCCACGCTTTGTTTCACCCGTTGGACTTTTGCAACCACCACTTCCAGCTTCTTCATGGTACTCTGCTTGCCCATGTCTTCCAATTCAGGCACCAGATCATAGAGTTCGGCATATGCTCGGGCCGTGGCATCGCGACGACGTTGCTCCGAGTTTGTATGATTTGCCTTTTTCTGTTCTAACGTGAGAGGCACTCGAGTAGAAGGTGTGATCTGCCTGCCCCCCGAAGAAGCCCGTGGGGTTTTCGATTTCGCCGAACTTACACTGGCCTTCTTCTTGCGAGACCCTTTCGGAGGAGGAGGATTTGGATTTCGAGGTGGGCGGGCTTTATTGGAGGGCCAGGGTGCAGGTGAGGGCGATTTGGCTTCGGGTTCTGTAGCAGCACCATCATTGACGTCTTCGTCATCCTCTTCTTCTCCCTCTACGTTGAGGCCATGATTACTTTCATCCACAGCCTGTCCTTCCACTTTAAGTGGTGTATGTGGTTTGCCAGTTGTCAGGGGAGTGGCTTGCTGAGAAGATGATGCCGGTTGTTCGTGCTTCACAACAGAACTACGTTTCCTCCGTGCATTTGTTTGTGATTTAGAAGGCTGCGCCATGGCAGCTTGTTGGCTGTGGCCGCTTTGAGACACGTCATTCCGAGGATTCTGGTCTGCATGAAACTCATCAAATGTCCTTTTCTTCGACCAATTCGGACTCGAAGGTTGTGTATTAGGTCGAGTGTTTGGCTGAGTGTTGGGCTGAGTGGTGCTTGCACTAGCTGGCTGGAACCAATCTAAAGGATGCGTCTGCATGGCTGCCGGCATATCAGGATCCAACAGATTGTTTGGTGCGGCATATCCGCTGGGTTGGAAGCGGGAGTCAGTGCCGAAAGCCACGCCCTGTCGAGCTGGTAGCTGCTGCATGTTCATATTCGCCTGGGCTGGGAAAGGCTGTTGCTGTTGCCAACCAGGACCAAAAGCCGGCTCCATTGAGGCAGCAGTCTGGAGTTGGGTAATCAGAGGATGGGCATAACCATCACTATAGGCGGTCGCCGGCATGCCACTAGCCATTGTATCTGCATGTTTGACCATGTTCATATCTGGCGCCATCATTCCAGCAGAGTACGGGAGCCCAGCTCCCGGAAATTGACGCGGGTCGACGACAAATCTTTGGCCCATCCCGGTCTCGGAACCAACGAACATAGGTGGCATGGCAAAGTACTGCTGCGAACCGGCCAGCATATTGAAATCGGAGGGCGTCGGGTGTTTGGCGACAGCGGCATTTTGATCGAAGTCGTGAAAGAAATTGTCCAGGTCTTGGTTCTCATGGGCATTGAGTAATGGCTGGCCCGGAGGAGGCCCAGGGTTCATGAATTCGGGCAAGCCCAGGCCATGAATGTTCTCCTGTTGATCTGTACAAACAATGTAAGCAAATGACTCTGCGCGCGATGTTGCGGTGTGCACCATACAGCCAAACGGGAAGTTCTGCTGTCCGCCATGGGACGACATCCTTTGGGTCGCCAACATCAACCAAGCACCACCTCGGCCGCCTCCAAACCACCCTGGAGCTGCCTTGGGATGGAAGAGTAGCTACCCCAACCAGCGATAGCAACGGGGGCAATGCTGGCGGTTTCGAAGGGAGCTGGGAGATCTTCGCGAGTGAATGGATGTGCGGTCGGGTGTACTCGATGAAAAGCCTCAGTGAAGCAACCCACTAGACGCAAACGATGATTCGAGCGAAAACAGTTCAAGGATGAAGGGCATAACGTGCCATGCGGGAGGAGATGAAGGTGAAGTGAGGTTGATCTGACTGGATGATGCGATATAGATCTGTTGGGACCGGTGTCTGTGGAAGCGGCTGAAGCTGTGAATGCAGGGCACTAGGCTCGATAAGCAGAGTTCCAAAACCCGCAGGCACACAGGAGACTAAGAGAAGAGTTAGAGTGCAAGCTGGCACGTCCTGTTGTGCCCAATTGGTATGGGATAACGGGCAATGGCGGAGGGAAGAAATGTTGCGGTCGAGACGATGAATCTTTCACATGTGAAATTGATCGAACGACTGAGTCGATGCGCAGGCGCAAGCGCAGGCACAAGCAGCCGCACGATAGGCACCGGTCACAGAGCCTGTCAGATTCTGATTATTCTTGCAGATTGCAGATTGCACCCACGTACGCGTCAAAACTCCGTGACCATTCCACCCGCTTATGCTTACGTAACCCACTAGTGTTTACACCACACTTGACGCGTACAACTATGCAACACTTTACACTTGATATAGCAACTATAAGACGAAATAGCGACTTTATATAGCAAAATGGCGCCTTCAACTCGCGCAACTGAACGCCCGAGCACACCGCCTACTGGCCTAGCTAATAAAGAAGCTGATACAATCAGAAAGTCGCGCTTTTTCGAGGCTTTCGATATACGTAAGAATACCGAGTCACTACGCTCGATTGCTTATTCACAAAACATTGCACATTTAACAGCGTCAAAGTGGCTACAGTAACGAGAGCGCTCTGGCCGAGGTGCCTATCGACGTACGCGCTCACAGTCTACTCAACTCGGTAGACCTCGTATAGTCGATAAATCGGCTCTCGAAACGCTTCTATCGCCGTTACGCAACCCCGTACGTACCGAGCGACTCGATCGTCAAATAGCGTACCACGATTTACAGGTTTCTACGCGTACGCTACAACGGTCTCTTGCTCGCGATACAAATCGCGCTCGATTATACAAAGTCGCGACAGTGAAGAAGCAATTGCGGCCCGAGAATAGGCGAGGATGTGTAGCCTACGGCAAACGGCACGTAAAAAAGACTGTAGACGAGTTCTTTCAGTACATAACTTATACAGACGAGATCCACTTTAACTTCTAGGACGTAAAAAAGCAGTACATTCTACGCGAGCAAGGAACGCGTTACGAGGACGTGAATATCGGTACGTAACCAGAGAAGCGAGAGAGTCTCGTACACTATGCGGCGAGCGTTAGTTATAACCACAAAAGCGACTTACTTTTCTACAAGGATAAAGTGCCTACTATTCGATAAGAAGAGGTACTGCCACGTCCCAAAAAGCCTCGGAAGTACAAATACGAGACAAATGAAGACTTTTAGCATCGATATATGGATTGGGAAGCTAAACTCCCCCCACAGCTAGAAATTAAGCCAAAAGGGAATTCGATAACCCAAGAATACTATTCAAAACGCCTTCTACCACACTACTGTGAGGCTATTCAGAGTCTGCGCGCTAAATTTCCTTTAGTTGATCTAGTAAAGTTTCTGCTACTCGAAGACGGAGACCTATCTCACGGAATGAAGAGCGACGGCGTCGCGCGCCAAGTTAAGAGGCGCTATAACGTCGAGAATCTCGTACATCCTGCACAGTCTCCTGATCTCAACCCTATCGAGGGCGTCTAGAATATCCTGAAGCAACGCGTACGCCAGCGCTCCTGGATAACTGTTGAGGAACTCAAAGCAGTCCTACGAGATGAGTGGAGCAAAATAACCTTGGATGATATACGTAAGCGTATCGACGAATGGCCTGAGCGATGCGCGCGCCTAGTAAAAAACAATGGGGCGCCCATCCGAAGCGACTTGTGGTAGTATATTCATATATATCTCTCAAAATCTCTTGTAGTAGTCAATACGCTTCCTGTGAAACGTACGATATTTGCTGACGTAAGCATAAGCGGGTGGGGTGGGTAAGTGGTCACGGAGTTTTGACGGGTACTGTGCACCGAGTCCACGGCTGAGTCAGGCCTGTCATTTTAAATGGAATAATTGTCGACTCCCGCTGGCTGCAGTGGATTCCGCCGGCAGCCTCGCCCCTCGCCCGGCACCTCCTGGACAAGGCTGCGTGCCGCTCCCAGCCCCAGATCATGAGTCGAGCCTCGGCTGGTGACCATGGTCTCTCCCAGGGTAGCATTCTGGACGTAGCATCAACACGGCTACTAGTATTACTTTGTGTGATTCCAGGTGCACTGCACCACTACTAGATAGGTACTATTGAAGTAAGTCATCCACCAAACTTGATGGCTTCCGGGTCAAGGGGGTTTTCCTTTGTTTCGCTCAGGTCGATCTTGGACCGTCACTAACTCTGCCATTCCCCAGACGCCCCCTTCTCCTTCGGGACCGTTCTTCATCCATATGCTAGATCTGTGTCGTCGCATTTTCGCACCGGGCATCTGGACAACGACCGACCCGTCTCCTGCAATCCACTGCATGGGAACTCCCTGAGTCAATTTGTCCGACAAGATCCACATAATGATCCATATATGCCCCAATATCTCGGCCCACGTAAATACCCTGATCCTGTATTGATGCTTCTCCCATGGATCTTTTGTCAGGCGGGTCCCGAATCCCGCCTTGCCTTGGGAGATGAACTGACTGACGCCATGCCAGAATTGTTCAAACTCCTGTTCGGTCCATACGGGGGTTTGAGCATGTTCCGCCGGCGACCGCCGGGGTTGTTTAGACGATCTGGGACCAAGTTTGACAGAGAATTGCCAGTAACCGCGCTCGAGCACTCCGACGTCTCTGGCAACAAATGCTGGCCGAAAATACTTCGCGAGAGGAACCCGGGCCGAGACCTTCTCTAGCGTCTTTGTGATATGCGTCGTGAATTTAGGCCGGCCGCCTCGGGGATGGGGCGCGGTTACATGATCAGGTAGCTGTCTGATGACCGTGCCGTATTCCTGAGCAGGTTCTGGGGTCCTACTTTGAAGTTTGCGAGCGGAAGCAGATTGTTGAGGATGTGAGTGCCCTTGTTGGCACAATTTGAACCGCTCCGTGCCTTGAGGATGCTCAGGAGTGGTCAAGTCCACAATTGCAGGTACCGGTTTGCCGGGGGATCTTTGCGATTGCCACCCTGGTGCAAGGCTGTCTAGTTGAACTGGTTGCGAGGGAGACATCGTTGATGTTATGGACTTTGGGCTCTGTCTGACAGGAGACTCGAGGGGAGGCGACCGCGATCTCTGAATTCCTCTGGTCGGAGGAGCGGGAGAGCGTGCTTCTTGCACTCCGTCTGGACGGATGGCATTGTCGTCGGATCCATTAGACGTAAGCCGCCGTCGTTTTCGTCCGCAATGCCTGCCTTCAATGCGGAGACCTTCCTGCGAATCCTGCCCTATATCTCCTGCAGTCTGGCGCTGGACAATTCCCGCCCCAGAAGGAGAAGGACTGGAGGGTTCATGCGATGAGAGCCTTGCAGAGAGAACTGTGCAGGGAGAATTCCCTCTTCTATATTGGCGTGAGGTCCTGCAGAAATCTCAGTAAGGATTCCAAGTAAAGCAAAACAGAAACAAATGCTCGCTCAAAGTGCCCAACGCCTCAATCTTTAACGACTAGCTAAACCCCCAACAAAGCTGGTATTGATGGGCTTCAACAGTATGGACCTACCTCTGAGTTACAGGCGCGTTAGTTGCGCCATTATTGCCTTGCACAGTTGTGCTAGCATCAGATGGTCGTGCAGGACTGTCGAACTCTGCGCCAAAGACTCTGATCACGGTTGCAGGGCGGAAGTCTAGGATGGATTGTGCGATGGCAGCATACCGCTTATCGTCTTGGACGGTGCTGCAGGCAGTAATATGAACAAGGAGCTCACATTCAGGCGCGTCCATTCCAGCGCTAGGGCGTTCGCTCTACCGGTACAGCGGAATCTGGAGGTAGTACATAATGGCGGGCAGGTCGATAATGTGAGGTCCAAGTTGGTGCACGTTGAAAGAAGAATCGGGAGCGTGCACGGGTCAGCCGCCTCGGCAAGAATAATAATGGACGCGTTGAGCAGTGAAGACGGCTGGATTCACTTTGGCGGTTAACTTGTCAGTTCTTTGTCGTCCGGATCCCGTGTAGGGAAAATGTTGCTGTCATCGTCACTTGAGCCCTGTTTGTACGACCTGTATGTCAGATGAGGTTCAGTCTTTACAGAAATTGAACTCTTCGCGGCTCCACGTGGGACAGACGTCTTCAAGTTCTGCGCGCGTGCACAAATGCCCGGGGCCTTAACCGCATCTGCCAACTGTCACCGACTTGTCCGCTGGGAATGTTGTCCACTCACGATATTCTTATCTCTCCACAGAAACTCCATTCGTCTACAATTCCAAATCCTCGTCCCAGTTCAGCCTGACGGCCAAGTGGCTGCTTCCTATGGCTCCTGTCGCAGCCAATAAATGTGATTGTCTGCGTTAAGAAAGGGACCCGTTGATGCCATCGATTCAGCACTGACGAACAGCAGGTGCAGCTGCTCAATGGAGACGTGGCTTTCAGTAGTTGTAACTACCCTTAATGCCGGGTGCGCTGTGGTGTTTGTGATTCCCGGCACAGCGGGTCTACGCTGTATAATATCTCTATATACCCTGCTTGGACGGGGTGTTGTCTGCTCTCAATCAAAATGCCGTGGTTGATCAGCCGACAAAAAGTCTCTGGAGAAGCGTACTGTTCGCGCCTTCCTGTGCTTTGTATATACCCAAGCTCCGGGCGGCCAGATTTCAGTATTACTGGCTTTCCTTGGATTCATCGAGGAAGCATTGGGATTTACGCCCAGCCTTTGCACTGCAACCTGGAGGCCGCTTGAAACAAGCACAAAACGTGCTTCATGTTTATACAGCCTCCCTCTGGAAGAAGTGCTGCCATCGGACCGAGCCTTGCGCTGACATAGCTCATGTGACTGAATGATGCTCAGCTCATGAGCGGCCGGGCACTTTGCCTCACACCCACTGGCTTTGACAACCCATGTTCTGAGTATTCGTTGTGGAGTAGCGGACAGAGCTCATCGGGGCTTGCCTCACGTGGTCGTGGCGGGTGATGATGGTTGATCCTCCAGCTCCAGCACCGACCGTCAGCAGAGGCCGTGCAGAAAAGGCAGACCGAAGGCCACACTACGATGGGCGTTCCCGGAGGCGCCGTTGAGGCCGCTGGAAGGCTGAGAGTTTGGAAAGACAAAGGAGGTAGAAGTGGTTTTTGACGATGCGATCCATGGAAACAAGCGAATTGCATGTTTGCCAGTGGCCTGCGGCTAATTATCCAGAAGTTTGCAGGTGGTGTTCAAGTTTGCTGGCAGCTGTATACAACCTTTTAGTGGCCAGCACTGAATCGCGGGGGATCTGCGACTGTTTTCCACGGCACACGCGCCGATCGGCCATTGAGCAACTTACAGTCAACGGCCCCTCAAACTTCCCATGTTTGCTGTGGCAGTGATCCTGGGGAGGAAGATGGGATTTGGCCTGGTGTCCGTGGTGTTGTACTTGGGTACTTTTGAACAGATGGTGAGTCGAAAAGTACAGTGTCTGTTGAGTCGGGCGCTGTACCAGCATCCACGACCCTCACTGCAGTGAGCCTGAGTGGCCTGTTATCGGCGACGCGGCAAGAAAAGCCGGCGATCTGCACCCGGAGCGCAAAACTCCAGGGGCGCAATGCAGGCGTCGCAGGCACTTGGCAGGGAAGCTGATAGAGGCCAATGCTGTCTCCAATCGAATTGTCCAAGGCACGAAGGGACCCTGCCAGAGCACGACCAAGTCAATTGTCAGCCTCCACGGTACGCTCCTTCGACCTCTGCCCTCCCCTGTTTATACCTGTGGCCTTTGCCTACTAATGGTCTTGTTGGTGTTGCTCCATCTATATTCATACTCTCCATATCGACTATCGCGATCAAGTCATGGTTCTGCATCCACTTCCCAGCCCGCTGATTTTGTTACTGTTGCTACTGTCTGAATGGTTCCGAACCATCCAATACTTTCAAATTATGGCATGACTCAAGTCTTCGGGGAATGGCGTCTGGACATTCAATTATACATATTTTTACGTGGTGATCTGCTCTCAGCGTGTTCTCCTACTGAACTTGAACGCCAGGAGTTACACAAACTCCCGCGTATCGAGTCTTTGTCTTCCATGTGCGACTCTACTCATCACCTGTCAAGCAGCAGGTCTACCCGCGCCATTCGCTTCTCATGACCAGGTTGAGAAACCCCCGGCTGCCTGCGTGAAGTATGAGGTACTTCAAGACCCAATCGACTGCCTACACTGCCACCCTGCACGAGCAATGAACCGGCGCGTTGCGGACCCTTCTCGACCCTGGATGCCCGGTGCGCTGCAAATCCTCCCGCCAATTGGTTGCCGCCCTGCTTCAGCCAGCTTCAATCCCACATAATCTCCATTCCGCTTACTTTGACTACCTGCTTAACGTTCTTCTGCCATCCCCGTCATTCCGCGCGGTTTGCTCAGGTCTGGCTTGTGGGTGCCAGCAACAAGAAGACGATACACCCCGACTACCTTAACGTTTCTCGCTTTGTCCCTTCTTGATACCTGTTGTCAAGCTTGCGATCTGGAGAGACACTACGATCCGGCCCTTCTTCGGTTCGCTCCAGGGCCCTGCCCAACGCTTCTGCAACGGTCCTGTCGCACAGACTGACCCTACCACGAGCAGCAATCTTGTCCCGCTTTCAAATATTGCCGCACGCACCCCCCCGTTGACAAAGCCTCCACGATCTTATTACTACTACTACTACTGTGACGGCCACGATTCAACACTGTCGGCTGTCTCATGGGTGGACTCAGAACAACAGCCTAACTGCCCCATTTGCAATCGTAACCTCTTACACTTCGCAGATCCGGATTACGCACTCCAGTCTCATCTGACACAACCCCATTCCCGATAATTCCGGATCCTGGTCTTGCCGATTTTGGTCTGCCAATCGACCCATATTTCAAAGGAAGGTTGCGCTATCTTTGTGCCAAAAGTGTACATTCGCATAGCCGACTGGGCTTGATCGGGTCAATTACAGAGGGTGTCGACATTACGGACCTTTGCGCGCGATTTGGGCTCACAATCTTGAGATCAACCCAGTGACATCCTCTCCGGCGCGACACCCTCCGACATGGATCCATCATGGGCAGGACAAGAATATCCCACTGGTGCCACTTATCGTGAGTACTCCTCAGTTATACTCCGTGCCTTGACTGGCCTACATGGAATTTGTTCCATCTTCGTTGGGAGGCCCTATTCTGCTAAAGACGAGGAGTAACCACGGCCTGGGGTTATCGCTACGATCAAGCGCAGATTTGAACAATGCCCACCTGCCTGCCGCAAGCTGCACCTTCAGCCTTGGTGACTGACCGGTATTTCCTCGCCTTCTAGGTAACGGAAATGGTGAGACAAGGGGCTCACCTATGATGAACATGGGTTTCTTGAAAAGCTTTGGTGGCATGCAGAAGAAGATGACTCGAGGTATGCGACCATCTCCCCAATGACCACTCTTCAGCTGGCTCAACGACACCAGATGGACAACCTGCAAAGCGACGAGGCCCCAAACCTGATAGCAAACCGGCCCAAACTAGGAGGCAAGAATTGAATCGACAAGCTCAAAGGTGGATGACCGTCCCATCTTTACTAGGGCGTTGACTGATCCGACTGTGATGATATGCAGAACACATCGAGAAAGAAAGGAAAATTACATCAAGGCGCTCGAGTTGGAACTTTCACGTTTAAGAGAAACGTATCTCCATGAACAAAATGCACGACACGCCACCATCCAGCAGCAGAAGTTGATCATCGAAGACCAACAACGAGAAATCATCGCCCTCCGAGAAATACTAGCCAGCCGCGGGATAGCATTTGAGAACGAGCTCGAGAATCGCAAGGCTGTGATAGCAATGAGGCCCAAACGGGAAGAGCCGTCATTAAGCCCGCCATCCGCGAGCAATCTCAGTCCAACCTCGATGGGAGGTCGACCCATGGGATACCAACCGGTCATGTCAGGTCCGCCATCCACGGCGACGGGCTATTCTCCCCAAACATACATCAACGGCGGCCCTGTCAGCGTCTCAGGACACTCTCCTGGGACCACCCACCATAGTCATTCGCCTCAGGGGCCGGATATACAAGAAATGGTCTTCATCAAGAAGGAGCCAGGAGCAGTGGCGGATATGCCTCGACCTGGGATAGGAATCTTCGAGCGGGATCCCCAATTGGGGATCGACTTCATTTTACGGTAGGGTGTCATGGTCGTAGGAAAGAGTTTGAAAGACTGACCAGCCACAGACTCGAGCATACATGTCGCGATCATGAAGAATACCTTGTCCGGAGGTCATTTGACTCCCCCGACGACGAAGAAGAAGCACTATTCTCCGGGCACGCTTTGATGGCATCATGTCCGCCCCCGAGCCACATCGAGCGAGTTCCGGCCCAAGGTGGGGGCCTGGTGCCTACGTACGACCACAAAGTTCCCGATGTCACCACAGTCCAGATATTGAACAATCTGCTCAACCTCAGTCAGACGCTCCGAGGCAATGAGATCCCAAGCGGACAGGTGACTCCCATCATGGCCCTGCAATCGCTCAAAGGACATCGGAATTATGCCAGTCTTACAAGAGAAGATGTTCTGGGCATGATCGAGGCCATAAAAAGTAAAGTCAGGTGTTACGGGTTTGGCGCTGTGATGGAAGACTTTGAACTGCGAGACGCTCTCTCCAGCGTCTTTGCCACGAAACCAGAGACTTATGATCAACTGGGAACAGATTATTCTGCGGACATTGACGATATGTACCTATGAAAGCGGACACCCTAACATTGTGCCGGCGACACCCGGGGGGTATGATTTTCGTTGAATACTGATTTCGGATGTTTTGGGCGGTTCAAAAGCGGGCTATGAACAGGGCAGCGATGATCAACAGAGCGGTACATTTGACCATTTTATATTCCATGAGAGCGTGATATGAACAACAAGATTGAATTTGAATATGACTGAAAAGTAGATTACAGCCTGGGCAATAATGTATCCACTGTACACCATGGTGAGATGCTGCACATTTTGGTCAGGTGTTCAGGTGTTGCTTGGAGTACCTAGGTAGGACTGCGGACAACATCCATGTTGAAGTTGGGGTTTTGGCGGCGGCGGCACAAAAATCGGCGCCAAGAGTTTGTCGGGCTGTTAAAACTCACGGCGCAACTTCAAGTGCCTTCGCCGGCGCCCGCCTCCCACTTCCAGGTTATTGAAAGATAGATACCGGCGAGAACTCTGGAGCAATCCTCGATATCTCGTCAGTTGCCCATCATGCCTGGAATCAGCCTTGCCGATACCATCAATCAGTTGAGCGTCAACGACGAATGGGGCCCCGAAATCACGCCCACCACCACTCTCGATGGCGTCCCCTACGCTCCATTTTCCAAGGGTGACAAACTCGGCCGCATGGCGGACTGGACCCAAGAGGGTAAAGAAGGAAGAGATCGTGGCGGCAGACAATATGGCCGAAACTTCCGAGGTAGGTGGCCGCTTGGTGTCGGTTCATACTTTTTTTGTGCTCTTAACTGACTTTGATCATGTTCAAGACCAACAAATCTACGGTGCCGGCACATCGTCTCTTTTCGCCGTCCAGGTTGCCGAAGACGAGTCATCCTTCTCTGTTGTCGACAACACCCGCGCAACTATAAAGACACGTGGATTCGGCCGAGGTGGTGTAGCTGTCTTCCGTGGCCGCGGCCAACGTGGAGCCGCGCAGCGTGGAGGCAGAGGGACGTTCCAAAGAGTCGGTCAAGGGAGGACTACAGGCCAACAGGGGGGTCAATATTACGACAACCGAGGCGGACGCGGTGGTCGGGGCCGTCGCTTTGGCTGGCGCGACTACGACAAGCCACAGCGGAATCGCGATTCGTCAGTGAACATCCGGCCGGACTGGTCGATGAAGGAGGAGATCGACTTCAACCGGCTACACAAGCTGAACCTCGAAACCACCGAGGGAGAAGACTTGGACAACTACGGATTCTTGTACTACTATGACCGCAGCTACGACAAGCCGCCGGTCAAGAACACGGAGCGCAAACTGCTGTCGCTTGACCGTGCCGCATACAATGTCACCACCTCCGCGGACCCGGTGATCCAAGAACTGGCCGAGAAGGACGAAGCGACCATCTTCGCCACGTCGGACATTTTGTCGATGCTGATGTGCGCACCCCGATCCGTGTACAGCTGGGACATTGTGATTTTGAAGCAAGGAAACAAAATCTTTCTGGACAAGCGACCCGACAGCAGCATTGACCTGGTGACTGTGAACGAAAACGCCGCCGATGCGCCGTTGGAGGCAGACTCGGCCAACACCCCCTCGCAACAGCAGACGGGCGTCAAAGCCGACAGCATCAACACGCCCAGCAACCTGGCCGTGGAAGCGACCATGATCAACCACAACTTTGCCCTGCAGGTGGTGCTCGAGGATCCCAACAACAAGGTCGAGTTCCCGCACCCGAACCCATTCTACAACCCCGGCGAGGAGACGGAGCCATTGGCCTCCAAGGCCTACAAGTACCGCCGCTTCGACCTGTCGCTCGAGCGCGACGAGGAGCCTCTGCACCTGATTGTGCGGACGGAACTGGACGCCGCGACCAAGAACAACATCTCAGGCGAGAATCAGTTCCTGGTCATCAAGGCCCTCAACGAGTTCGACCACAAGGCCCAGGGTGCAGGCGGCGCTCTGGACTGGCGCACCAAACTGCAGTCTCAACGTGGTGCGGTTGTGGCGACTGAAATGAAGAACAACTCGTGCAAGCTCGCCCGATGGACCACCCAGGCCATCCTGGCCCGTGCCGACCAGATGAAGTTGGGCTTCGTCTCGCGTGCCAACCCTAAGTCGGCAGCCAACCATGTCATTTTGGGAGTCATGGGCTACAAACCCCGCGAGTTTGCTACTCAGATGAACTTGGGCCTCAGCAACGGTTGGGGTATTGTCCGCACCATTGTCGACTTGGTCAGGGGTCTGTCTGAGGGTGACGACAGTGACAAGAAGTTTGTTCTGGTCAAGGATCCCAATAAGCCTCTTATCCGGTTGTATGAGGTTCCTTTGAACACCTTTGAGGATGACGAGGATGACGAGGATGGTGGGCTTGCTGATGGCAAGGATGGTGTTGATGAGGAATGATTTTTTGTTCATGTTGTTAGGCCCCCAGAAAAGCTGACATAGAATGGATCTTCATTTGAGCCGATTTGCTACTACCCGGTTACTTTCGCTATGCTCTGTTCTGGTCCGGCCTGGGTCTGGTCTGGTCTGGCATCTTAGAGTGATTCTGAGGAGTACGATTGACAAGACAGAGGCCTAGGAACTGGAAATTAAAAGCAATCGGCCAGAGTACATATACTCAGCACGGCTACAATACTAGTTTCTGAGTAGGGGTAGGAGTCCTACGCAGTCTCCCCCTGCAAACCCCTGTCCTGTCTGTACCTCCATGTAGGTACCTCAATTATCGCGACATTATATCTAGTTTCATGGTGTTCGTTTTCTTGCTGACTACTTCCTTGAGCCCACAAGCCTTGTACTAGCACCAGGAAGGACAAGCCTACCTAATGGTATGCACCTGGTAAGGCAGGCAGGTACCTAGATATACTGTATGTACTAATTACTCCATAGTGTAAGTGTGCTGAGGCAAAGACACGATACTAAGGAATCCTACATGTAAAGCTCTTAGGTGGATGCTTTGGTGTTCAAGTTCGTAGATGGCCTAAAGCCAGACAACAGGTGCCAGTAGTCTGTATTAGTATATATATATCTACCAGGTATTTCATCATTTCGAGAAAGCTAAGCCGTTCTTCAAAACCCAGATCTGCATTCATTGGTTTATTAAATTCAATTTCCCCAACGCCAGTGCTAAACTACTAGGATATCAGAATCTATTTGTCCAAAACGAACAAAAACGAACCGAGACGGCGTCTGCCTTCAGTACCCATATCAATACCCCCGCGCCCTTGTGGAGGGTAAAAGGCCAAATTTCTGCTCACTCCGGGCTCGTCATAACATATATACATAGTACTCGTGGTACTAGTAGGCCAATTTCCTTTTCAATGCACGCCTTGTCCAATTCTCTTTCCAATATCGCTCTCCCAGCCCTTTGCCCTCTCAAACCCATTGCTCGCAGTCTGAAAGTCCATCAAGGCCTGAACAACGGCGTCCTGGCTGGTCGTAACGAACGGACCATACTGAACAACATTCTGGTTCAGTGGTTGTCCAGCGACCAAGATAAAGCGAGCGGGTTCAGAGGCGCCGTCTTCAACAGACGCGGTAACGACATCACCGCTCTGCTCAAACACGACATTATGGTAAGGCGGGACGGCTTGAGGTTCGTCTTTGTTGCCGTCGCCAAAGTTGACCACTCCCTCCAGGGTATATGCGAAAGCGTTCCAGCCGAGCGGAAGCTCCTGTGTCAGCGAGCCGCCAGGGCGGATAGTCACATCGAGCAACCAGACAGGAGTGTATGCGAGATCCTTGAGTGATTCGACTCCCAGGCTGCGGCCCGAAATGACTTTGACCGTGACTTTGCCGTCGTCGGTCTGCGCCACGGGGATCTCGTCGCCCCGCAGGTCGCGGTACCGCGGCTCGCAGTTCTTCAGGGGCTCAGGTAGGTCCACCCAGAGTTGGAGCCCGCTTGTTTCTGGTTCCCCCTGTACGGGCATTTCGGCGTGCATGATTCCCTTGCCGGCCGTCATGAATTGAAGGTCACCAGGTTTCAAACTTCCTGCATTGCCTGCAAAGTCTTCGTGGTCAACTCCGCCTTTTAGTAGGTATGTGATGGTTTCTTGTCCGCGGTGGGGGTGGTCGGGAAACCCGGCGGTCGGAGGCACGCTGAAGTGATCTAGCATGAGGAATGGTGTGAAGTTGCGCAGTTTCGGCGTCCCGACGGATCGCCGTACTCGGGCGCCCGCGCCTTCGGATTGCTCGCGCGCGAGGAAGGATTGTTTGATCGCTCGTGGTTGCGGCGGCATGATTGTGGATGGTTTTGTGGTCGTCGAGGTGGAACGAAAGGTTGGGAAAGATGTTGCTGCTGTCGTCGGTCTTGCTCGTGTTGTGCTGTTGATGATGTTTTTGAAGATAGGGGCGGCTGTTTGAGTTATGTTCTTTGTAGAAGCCAGGTTGTTTGCCTATACTATTGCGAAGGTGATAATGAAAAGGAGGGTAGCGGTCGCAAGTATGATGTTCAGAGTACTTATACCTTGTTCAAAGACAGTTGTGATCGTCGAAGACGCTAGAAGTGGTTAAGGTAAGTACCAAGGTCAAGATGGTCAGTATTCAGCATTACGAGTCTGGTAGACCAGAGCAGACGGGGGGGTAGGTGGCTTATGAAGCCTTGTTGTCGATTGGTTTCTCTCATGATTCCAGAACCAAAATGGCCGGTCGGAGCGCAGTTGGATCTTGGTGGAGGCTGCTTAGCAGAAAATGAATAATCCAGGGACAAGAAGAAGTGGAACTTGAGCTGCCCACGAGCCCCACGGAACATCTTCCGTCACGAGTGATGAGGTAAGAATCTGTCAGCGTTCGACGCCACCACGGCGAGTCACATGACCATTTTGCTGAGTCGTTTACCAAAGCTCGAGTCAGTGAGAGTGACTCGGGGGTAGCCTCGTTATCACATCACATTCACTGGAGAAAGGTATGGGGGGTTTGATCTCATCCCACATTCCAGGATATCCATGGGCGCACTGTGCGTGATTGTAATGATCTCAGGCATCCATGCCGACGCCTGAGGGCAGGTTGTCGTTTCGGGGCCTGGCGTCAATAAACAAAAGACATCTGGGTGAAACAACAAAAGGGATATGAACAGCAGCCATGCGGGTGGTAGCAGGAACATAACGGTCGATTCTGAGCCCTTTTTCTTGAGGCTTTGCCAATACCTTATATGCAGCTTGATTATAGGAAGGAAAGGTAGAACAAGGTATGTCGCCCGGTTACTGGCCGAGATTCGGTCATTGCACCATATGGAGCAAGCTTGAACATCATCAATGGAGACTGTTCGACAGACATGGCATCAACAATAACAGCGGGATTATGCAGAGACTTTTGACCGGAGATAGTGCAGGCACATCTCGAAGGAGGAAATGCGGAGGCAAACACAAATGCATTGAAGCGGATTGAGAAGAGTCGATGATTTGGGGCTGGGTCACAGAGGTAAAGGCAAATGGATGGAAAGGGGTAGGCGACAGTCGACGATTTGAGGCCCGTGTGAACCTCTGGGCGCCACGCAGGGCGGGCGATATGCAGCATTTACGGCTCTTTGCATTGATAAATGCTAATACAAGCTATGAGGTACTTGACCTTTTGTTGGTGGTTGCTTAGTTTTCAAGCTGAGATGTCGCTGATGAGGTGAGTGTAAGCATGAACCAAAAACACCACGTTTCCAACCACTCCGCCCACACCATGGTTCGAACCTGCGAACGAGCAAAAAACTTTGCCTACAAACTCCTGAAGAGGAGGTTGTAGGGAGTGAAACCCATGAATGGGTTTTTCCGATTGTTGATTGTACGATTCCACCTTTTGATTGAGACTCTTTCTAAACGCTTTTGCGTAACCACCCGGTGTTGTCTCTTGCTTTACCACTGCACCACTGCAGCCATTTCGGGGAGGAGGACTCGGTATTGCTGGATTATGGAAGTAATTCGGCGACCTTAATATATATGGGAATAATTTGAGGCGTGTTGGGGGACATGCCCCGGCAACCGCTGTGTTGACGACGTTGGGACGGAGGCCTCCTGGGTTGTAAGTATACAAGACACCGGACCGGAACCCGAGATGGCCTGGCGCGACTGGGTGAGGATTGACGCCTGGGGATGATTGGCCCTTGGCTAAGATTCTACATCACATTTTGGGGGCAAGCCGTTGACACCCTACGTCGATGTGACCGGGTGTACTACGGTATCCTCCTCTTGAGGGTGTATGCCTCAGCCTCGTGGTCGTCCCTCGGGAGACCGAGCGAGATTTTGTTGCGGCGGACCACCCCTTGGGGAACTCAGTGGGGACGGTATGGTCTTTGATGCTTGGAAAGCAATGGTCCCATAACAACTTGTTCTTACTCTCCGTATCGACATTGATCTATCTGAAAACTATACTTTTCTCATCATCAATAGGTATACCGAAAGCTTGGTACCCCTTCTATGACAAAGTCGCCCCTTTTTGCCCTGTGATTCAAAACCCAAAACCATACTGTACATGCGGTAACAAGGCCTATCATCAGGAGGTGGCTCCCAATGCTCACCCAGATGGCCGTCAAATACCTCGGCGCTTCTGGCTGACGAACGATATAGCTGCCAGCGATGCCGCCGAGGCCGTTGCAGGCCGAGATGGCGGCTGCAACGGTCGCACGCTTCCATTGCCCTACCACATTGTTGGCCTGGTAAGCATTGAGCGCCGCCCAATTTGAGACGTAGGCACCGGTGGCCAAAAAGGTGCCAATGTATCTAACAGTGACTTGGCTAGGAAATCCCAGCATGCAGAAACCAACAATCAGAGTGACACAGTTGAAGATGATGATTGGTGCGCGAATTCGGTAATTGTCCCCGATAAGGGATGATAATAGGACCGGAATGACGGCGTAGTAGTAAGGTGGAGAAGAGAGCAATATCGCTTCATTGGTGCTGAATCCCATTCCGCTCTGCAGTATAATTGGCAGAAAATATGACAAGGCAGTCGAGACGAGGTTCAGAAGGAAGAATAGTACACTGAAAACGTACAGCTTTGGGTCGAGGAAGTGAACAAAGATTGCGGAGAGGCTGAATGGCTCCGGCTTTCCGGCATCTCGACGGTCATCATTGATTCGTGCCAGGGCCAGGGTCTTCTCGTCTTCGGTCAAGAACCAAATAGAGTTCTCGCAGCGGTCGGGGAAATCGACCATCCAGAAATAAGTGACGATCCCAATGATCACTGTAATGGATCCCTGGACAAGATACATATATTGCCAGCCTCTCAAGCCATGTCGGTGATCGAGATGATTGAGTCCGTAGTTGACGATTGAACCCGTGGCAAGTATTATGACCTCGCCGGACTGTAGTAAAGCGAAACGTAGTTGCTGCTCTTTGCGGGTGTACCATGTTGAGATCAGGTAGGTGAGGCCGGGATATATGCCAGCCATTGAGATGCCGAGCAGGACCCTCAATGCGATCATCTCTCTCCAACTGGTGATGGCTGCGGTGCACATGGTGATCAAGCCGAACGCACAGGTGATTGTCGAGAAGAATATCCTGGGGCCGACTAGCCGCAATAAAATAGTCGCGGGAAGTTGGAAGCACACCGAGGCCACGGTGAAGATGAATATGGAGACCGAGTACCTGTCCCCACTGAGATCTAGATCCGACAGCATGCTGGTTACCGATGCAGACGAGATGATGCCGCTGTCGAGCAGGTTCAAGCTGCAGAGAACACCCGCGATCGTACACAAGCGAAGATCAACTTTGCGCCGGAGCCGCGCTTCGGCCTCGTCTTGCTTCTGTATGGTAGCCGGTCGATCGGGACTGTGGCTGACTCGTATAGATAAAGCCGTGTCATGGCTTTCGTCTGATTGTGTGCTCCCCGCCATGCTGGGTGTTGGAGCGGACTTTTTGAGCCCGCTTGGTGTATGCTGGCAAAGCAAACCTCTTGATATATAGACCGCTGGGGCGGTGTCAATTCTTTTTTTCAATCTACCGCGCCCTCATCGTTCCGCCAATGTTGACCCGTCAGCTTCCAGCTGCAAACTTGAATTTCAATGCAGCGCGAGTAAGAGATTAATTTTGTGGCGGAACCGGCAATTGAAGAGTCACCGCGGATAAAATGTACCATACGGTTGGAATGGCGAATCGGAGTGTGCGGGGCATTATTCAGCCTCGATGTCGTTATTTCCAACCTTTTCCACCCGCTTGCCCATCAGAGTGGACTGGCTTCCTTACAACATGATAAGGCTTGCAGAGGTTGGAATGTAGTAAACAAAATATATGTTACGTGTGAATCACACTTGAATCTTCCATATCCTCATGTAGAAATGTTGAAACAAGAATTCCAATGGAACCCCAGGCCTGTGAGGGCCGACTTTCTCTACCACACGATGCCGGTGCTGATTCCGCGGCCAAACTGGAGCCTTGCATTATGTAACCCAGACGAGACGAGGCTGCTCACGTGCCCGAGGACTGGCTGCCAGTCACGTGGCTGGGAGAATCTCGGCCGGGCGAATGGAAACAAATGCATCTCACGACTCACGTTTCTCGGTTTTCAGGGTCAGCGACTCCAAACAATGTCCGGCGATGCGGTGCGCTGATGTTATGTTCTGATACCTCGCGGATCTCGGGATTCCTGCGAAGAGCGCAATCTCACAACCGACGGAACGACTAGTACTGACCTGTTCAAGTTGAGAACAACTCGAAACCCACAGGCAACACTTGATCGACTCTATCCAACCATATTTCAGTCTTCTCTTCACATGCTCCCCCAAATATGAATATGGAATGAACACTTCCCCCGTCTCCATCTTCTGACCCTACCCCCGACCCACCATCTACTTACCGTATAATCAGGAAACACTTCCACCTCATCATCCTCGGATGCATTCGCTTCACACCCAGCGCGACTTCAACTGATCCTCACACAGAACTGACCTTCCCATCCTGCCCTCACTCGCACCACATGCTCGTCGCCCGTGCGCAGTGAACTGTATTGTCAAGCCGACTCATCAGCCGTCCTCCTCCAACTTCGAGTTTCCCGATCTATTTGCTGTCCTCACCTACTAAGATATCCCTCTCAAAATGGTCGAGCTGATCCCTCCTCCCGATCCACATACCTTACTACCACCCTTACTCGCCTGTCTACCTACATCGTATGCTTCGACACGACCTCCACCAGCGCTCTTGGACCTTTTATCTCCGATCCTCCGCCAGAGACTAGACGTCCACACATCCCTCGGAAACCGCGAGAACTGGGCAGGGCTATTATGCTGGAACGCAGAGCAAGGCGAGGTTCTGAAGAGCAAGATCGAAGAGACAGAATTCGAGCCGCACCCGTCGTCCGGCGAGATTGAAGTCGGAGAGCTCTCAGGGCGGATAACATACAGAAGATTCGACGACGAGACGCTTCAAGCACGGATCCCGCTGGCCGATTGGCCATTCACCGCAGTATACCTATGGTGTCCTGAAAGCGGACAGAAACAGAACAACGGAGCCGGAGCCCCTTCCTCGTCTCTGTGGAAACTAGCCGAACTGTTACCCGCTGATAACTCACAACTGCATAACAATATCGAGTCTTCTTCATGGTCAACGTCAATAGGAGAAGCCAACGACTCGGCGCGCGAGAGGCTGGTCACCGAAGCCCTACAAGAAGCCGATGCTGCCAATGCCCGCGCCGCCGCCACCTTTAACCATCATCAGAGAACCCTGCTCAGTCCGCCCATGCCACATGGCACAGACAACAACGACAACGACAATGACGAAGACGATGACTATTGGGCTATGTACGACAAGACTCCAGGCCGGACGCCCGCTCGAAAGGCATCCGTCGAGCCGCCCCGTCACAGCAACGACGACGACTACTACGCCCGCTATGGCGACGTTCAACCCGCCTTGGATAACCATGACCCCGACGAAGAAATGGAGATCGACAATTCGAAAGATCCTGCAGATACCACATCGTCCACCTTGACCGGAAACACATTACACTTACAGCAATTTCTCTCCCATGGTCTAAACGGCCACACAAGCACTGACCCCCTCCCGCCTCCGTCTCCGCCTCTGGACGGCGATCCTCCACCATACCAGGACCAAGGCAGCTCTGATGAACATGAGGGTCTTGACGCCGCTCCGCCTGCCAGTGGTGAAAAAGAAATCCCCGTCAGCCACCCGGTGCCTTCGTCGCCGTCGTCACGAGGATCCGAGACGGTCGCGCGTCTCGAAGAGCATGCGGAACGATACACGGCCTCGGAGATCGGGATCCGGCAGCACATCAGCACCAGTCTGAAATCCATGTATCGGCTGGCCCGGAGTGCGGGCATGGACCGGGACGAGTTTGAGCGCATCGTCCAGCGGGAGTTGGAAACCTTGAGCATTTTTGATAGGGACGGTTAAGCCAAAACAAAGCATCAAGCAAGCAAGCCAAGCCAAGCATGCTTTCTGTACGAATCAGTTTTACATCTGACATTGTCTTTTGTACTACTATACCTACTACCATAGTAGTTAGTACCCTAGGTACGGTATCTGCTACTACTTGGATACTACAGTACGATATTTGGGAAACTAAAGAATCAACTCGATGATTTCCAATAATAATGATTACAGCTTTGCGCCCAGATCTGTGCCCTGGATATACCTATCTGAGGTAGAAAGCACCATGACCGAACAGCCAATAGACTGGTCAGCACCATCAATGCCACCCGCAGTCCTAGTAGGTCGTAGGTATTGCCCGGGATGGGACCGTGCGGCTGGTGCCGGGTGCCCTGACTGAACAAAACAAAAACACAACCATAAACGACCGTGATGATCCTGGTATCACAAAAGCAAGACCTTCCACCTCGCAAAAACAATAAACTCCACCCTTCAGTATCCAGATAATGAACATCGCAGATGGTGGCCAGATGTCAGTGAGATCATCGATCCAATGATAATATGGCTCGTTGTTCCCACTAAATCGGGCACCGACCCATACGGTTAAGTATCTGCGAGCACCCACAGCGTATGGGCCGGCGTGGACATAGACGTCATCTATTCGTCTGTTTTGATGACCTCTTGATACAACTTGCTCTCTTCCGCCAGACCCGGCGTTGGGGGAAACTCCCCTGGTACGTGCAAGTCGCTGACAGTCGTGTAACTCTTGTTTCGATCGGGATGCTTCACCACATATTCTGTCGGTGGTGCCGTCGTGTTTCGGGGCCCAATGTAAACGCCGTTGGCGTCGAACATGCTGTCAGCTGGATACCCCGTGCTCGTAGGGGCAGTAGACAGTGTGCCGGTCTCTGTGCCCGAAGAGGTCGTGTTGGCAGCGGCTGAACTACGCGCCGTAGTGCTGTCGCTCATTGCGCGTGGTGCAGTAGGTGTATCGATGGGAGCAGCGGTCGCGGCAGGGATGGGCGCTGACGACTGGCCATAATCCGGGATAGCCGTTTCAGCGTCTGGCTGACGTGCTGTGGGCTGGGCCGAGCCTTGCTGCTGCTGCTGCTGCTGCTGCTGGTGGTGGTGCATAGCCCCAGCCCCTACCGCCGCGCCTGCTGCTCCAGCCCCTATTGGCGCCATCCATTCACCGTATTGGCTTCCTGTCTCGGGGGGTGACGACACAGGCTGTACAGGAAAGATGTTTGGGTGTTGAACTGCCGGGTACTCCTGCTGTTGAGGAGTAGAAACGTTTCCATGCTGCACAGCAGTATGGTGATGCTGGACGTGAGCATAATCCTGGGTGCCAGGAGTGTACTGGCGATGAGTGGAAGCATATTCTCCGTGGTCGGAGGGGCGTTGGTTAGCTGAATGAACATTGCTCGCCATGCTAGCAGGTCGAGAACGGGGTTGAGGGGCCTGTAACTCGGTGTGTGCCTCTGCAGTGTGTGCAAAGGGCACACCGCTGCCAGGTAGAGCACCTGCTGCTGCTATGACATCGCGCTCTTGGTCAGAACTCTCTCCACTAGAGGGGGACAGCGGTGCTTGTAAGCCACGCTGTACGTTGACATCAGATGGAAATCGCCCACCTGGTGCTGGTCGTTGGGGAGGACGCCATCCGGCTTCAGATCTGGTGTCCTCGAGATCATGCACGCCCTCAACACCTAACCCACCAGCTCCGGCATAGCCACCTTCAGCGACCGAGTTTCCTCGAACAGATTGTTCCCCCGAAAAGGCCACACGGTCGGCCTCATCTTCCTCCATTCCGCCTTCTGAACTAATGATGCTTGCGGGTTTGAGACTGTTGCCCGAGAGTGACCTAGCATGTTGGCGCCGCACGAAATCGTTTCGCTCTTCTCCTTTCCTTTCGGTAAGCTCCTTGATGTCGTTGTACCAGGCCATCATGGTGTCATGGGACTCGGCTCGGAATACCCAAGAGTGTCCACGATGCATAGAGCCAGTTTGCCGGCCTTTGAGCATGAATTTGTGTGACGAAGAACCGGGCTCGGAGTGAGAGCCTAGTTTCTGCTCCGGAAGATACAAAGACATAACCGGAGATTGATAGGCGATTCGGTCGGCCGACTTAAATTCGTGCAAATGTGTCGGAGATAGAACGTACCTGGAGACGCCAGTCAATAACGATTGGTGCATAATATCAAATGGAATAAAGGACGACTTACCAGCCAGGGGTATAGTTCTTGAGATATTTACTCTTCCGCTCAAGCATCCCGCTCCTTACCTCCACAGCTGCAGGATGATCTTTGCCGGGATATACAATGTGGGAAACTTGGCGGATTGGATTCCTAGGATCAACCATCTGGCTGCTGTTGGTAGTGAACTCTTCCCACTCATGATCCTTAGGCATGGCAATAGGTCCCTCCTTGAGCTTGTCGGCTGTATCGTAGGCAGTGTCGGCCTCGCGGCGGAGGATCCCAGCCACCACATTGTACGCTTTCTGAATCTCTCCAACCACAATTGACTCAAGTTCGCGGCCTGATGCCTCAAGGTTCAAGTATGCCTAAAACAGGTTAGTCCCATATGTCTCGAGGAGGACATGGAAACAAACTTACTCGATGCAAATAGTTTTCTTCGTCGATCTGCCTCTCTACTTGCCTATCGACAGCCAGCTTGACGAGAAAAGGATCATTCTTTCCAGTGGTGGCTGCTGCGTCGTGGTCGACCATGCCCAGGGCTTCCTGAAGTTGGCGTACAGCTTTCCGGGTGGCTTCTTGTTCCTTGTCTACTGAATTCTTGAAATCGCCAGACAAGCTCTTGATTTCCTTTATCTTTTGCTGCAGGTCGCTGCGGAGTCCGGTTAACTGGATAATGACTTCGTTCTCCAGATCCCGAGCCTTGTTGGAGTCCAGAAGAGCTTGCTTGTGGAAATCCTGCAGGATGTGGAGTGCATCACCGATTCCCCCCGAAGAGAGGAAGTTGGAGGGCATGGTCGTGTTGTTTATGACATTGGCACTTGAGGAAAGGGACTTGGCCCGAACCTCATACATCTTGTGCAAGTCCCGGAAGTAATTGATCAGATCTTTCAATACTTTGCGCCATGCTATATGATGTTGTCAGCACCGCGCAACCTACTGACGAGAACCATGCTTACCTTGAAAACGTGCTGCGAGGAGCTCTGTGGGGTTCCCCGAGGTGGGCACAGGGCAATAGAAGACACTGTTGTATTCCTCGGTTTCCCCGTATTTTTCTTTCTCGCCCAGCTTCAGACTACGCACTGAGCCGGCATAGCTGCTTCTTTTGCTGGGCGACCTCTTTAGGCTTGCACTCCGATGCATGGAAGCCTTCTTCTTCAAGGTCCCACCGCGTGAGGGAAGCAGCGTTTGAGATCCGGATATATGGGATTCAGTCCTCGTGAGATCTGGAGCTTCTTCATGACCAACAGGCGCCTCCTGGTGATATTCCCCGGCATTGGACAGCAGCGACGGATCCTGCTGGACACCGTGGGGCTGTTCCAGGTGCGATGCGGTATCGGGCGGGTGTGAGCCGACGTAGGAAACCGGGCGGGATGATGGCTGCGCGCTCAAAGGACGCGCAGAATGCAGCGACGGTTCCTGCTGGTGGCCGAGCATGGCGCTGTGGACTGGCGAAACAGGAGTGATGGGTCGTGACATTGTGAGGAGAGCCGAAATGGCGTGGTAGTTGTGAAAAAGAGCTCGTTAAGAGTCGTAGAGGAGGACCTTATCGTGGCTTGACAGCTAAGCACCTATGCTGCAGACATGGTCTCGACATAGAGAGCAGCTGCGAGGACCGTAGACGTAGAGTTGCAATGTTAGCGGTGATGGCACGATGACCGGCGGGATAGCTCTGTGATGATGGAACGAGCAAAGAGACTCGGAAGATGGGCACCTTTCAGCTGAGGTGCATCGATAGTGTACAGCGTTAAATGAGTTGCGACAGGGAACAGCAGATCTGGCGGGCGGGAAAATGGATGACGTCGGTTCCAAGAAGCGGCCGCGAAGCAGATCTGGAGCTCGAGATGGATTGGGTTGGACTTGAGGGACTGGCAGTGGTTGACGTCGAGAGCAGAGTGGACGCACTGTGGGCGCCGTCTCCAGACTCGGAGCGGGCGGCGACCTGGTTGAGCTGTCCAGCTCGACTAGTTCTCTAGTTGTGCCGCCGTCGCCCACTGTCGTGCAGCGCAACCAGCACGGCTGAATCACGGCCAAATCAACGAGCCGGAAGAGAGATGCTGGTGGAGAGACGGGCGGGCCACCAACCCAGAACAATCTACTAGTTGACCTTGACAGTGACCTTTTTGACAACCAAAGTGCTGTGAACTTGTATGCTTCAAGTTGTGCTTGTGCAGTGGTGGAGTGACCCTCCGAGTCTCTCTCCCTTGCAGGTCGTCAAAGGAGCGCAGTCTGACACCCGCCGGGGACACAAATACTGAGCAGTCACCACAATCAAGTGCGACAGACACCAAGGCCTGCCGAATTATTTGTCAGACTGCGAAATTAGCCGTTGGCCCAGGAACGAAGACGCTGCCCTCTTGTCCAGCCCTGAGGCTGTTGAATGCTTCTGATGAGCAGTGTACAATGTTGTATACACCATTAATGAGGTGCTACGAGCAGCTGTTTCAACTCCAGAGCCAGCAGTACTTAGCAGCCGACGCTTCCGTTCAAGCACCAAACTTGAAGGGCCGATGCCTCTAGAACCTTCAAACTTGTGGATGGTGCTGGGCACCTGTAGTTGTACAGCATGAGATCAGCGAAGACCTGAGCCTCCAAACCTTGGAAGGTAAACCTGAGCACCCGCCTCCGCTCTCATGTCCCAATCAATGCCTGCTACTACTACAAATGTAGGTACCTACAACGCCCGAGTTTGGCTCCAGTTTAGCTATCATCGTCAGTATCTTCTGGGTATTCCCAGCCTCCAAGTATTCCTATTCCGTTCGCATCCAATATATATACGTAAGAAAGTAACCACTATCACCATCCTAAGCGCCCGCGTCCCCCACTGATCATCAAACCCAGCCCGTCGGCCCATCGTCCATAGTAGCTCATCGGCGACCAGAGCGGTCATGCGTAGAGCAGATCTAGTCTCGCTGCATAAGGTATACAACATGGGACACAGGAAGTTCTGAACTCGTTTGCTACTACAAATTGCACGACCAATTCTCTTTGGTCTAAGTTGCCGTATTCCTGGTCCGTGTTGAATGAGGTATCGGCTCAACAGGCATTCCCCAGATTGTGAATAAAACACCTGGCATAAACCTCAGTCGTCATGACGTGCAGGAGAACCAGAAAAATCACCTGGAGAAATGGATACCTGGATAGCTGGCTTCCCTATATCTACTAATAGGATACAATGTACTCCTTATTATTGTGGCGCTTCTTGCTACATCATCTACCTAGGTACAGTAGGCATGGCGGTGCGCTTGTGGATGATAGCCCAAGCGGAAGCTGCCGAGCTCTCGGTTTCCCGGTCCATTGGAAAACTTCTACAGCATTCGACAGAAGTTGCTCTGGCTTCCAACCACTGACATCTCCGCTCACCACAATATTGCTTGGTCGCTTCAAGCGGAGGTGTTGTATTAGACGAGATCAGAAGCGGAATTGGAACCCAAGAAGCTTGGTTGCAAAAGTTTGGACTAAGTAAGAACAGTTGCCAGACGCCGCGAGAGTTTTGTTGCATGGGATTTGTAGCATTTGAGCAGTAAGGTACATACATCCATCTGACTCACGGGGAAACGGTTCCGCAGCTTCCGCTCACATGAACTGAGTACTTGGGCTGCTTTCCGGTGGGAAACATCTCATCCGTGTTTCCCAGGGCGAATGGAAGAACAATCAGTCAGGATGCAATATGAGGGTCATTTCTATGCAGGCCCATGAACCCGGATATCCTCCCAAATTGCAGCGCTGTTGTAGTAGCTCTGCGGTGGAGCATCATTCAGCTGGCGGACTCGACGCTCCCATATAATATGGCTGCTGTATGTCGATTCCGTATTTCTCTTTAATTCTTTGTTTCCGTCTCTCTTCGTATCCTGGTCCGTAAATGCCTGGTACCACAATTAGATCCGATCAATAGACATTAGGCAGTCATCATATTACCTCTTCCTTCTCCAAGCTCGTTGATAGTTTCATTGATTGGTCTTCTGTATCGCGTCTTCGCCTCCTCTTTGTACCCGATACGATCGAGTTGGGGTTCGTCTGAAGCTGACTCGAACACAGAGCGGCCTGTGTAGCTGGCTACGGCCATGGATGCACCCAGGGCGAAGCTGCCTCCAAGCGTCGCCGGCATTGATCTCTCTGCAAAGGTTTAGTAAGTCGCCTTTGTCGGGTAGACATTCCACATACTTGCAAGACCGGGGAGAGCGCCAGCAATTGCACCTCCAATTCCGTGGTTCCAGGGGTCGTTCTTTTCCCGCAGATTGGCACATGCGGTGGTGGTGAATGCAAATGTACCACCCACGGCCGCTGTAGGATATCAGCCTATGCGATTCTTTTGCAACTAGTATGTTCCCAACGTACTGAACAATCCTACTGTGGTCCCAAATCGTGTGAAGACACTTAAAATTCCGACGTCGCCCTTCGCCATGGTATTTTGGACGGAGGCCAGGAACAGACCTGCTGCACCCGCCAGAGTCGCTCCGCGCAACGACGTTGCGAGTGCATCTTTGGGCTGATAGACAGGTTCTTCGGAATTGTAGGTTGGTTTCGAGTCAAATATGTCCGCCATGGCTGCGGCTAGTCAAGGCTGCACACCAATGCTGTCCGGATCACCTCATCAGCAGCTGGACAGTGAGACGCTGGATTTGTCGGGGAAATGAAGGCGTCGAGGGAGTTCGTGGGAGGTTAATACGGAGTTGAGACAGACTCGGACGCGGATGAATTGTAGGACTGTAGTTCAGCAACTTGAAGTGCTTGCTTTACACGGCACCGCATTGGTAGCTCCGCCGTACAGTGCAGTGCAGTGAGCGACGGGCGGGATTTCCTTGGCGGCTAAAGCAGCAGCACATTGTGCAATAGTGTAGTACTTAGTACTATAAAGGGATCAATAGACACTGCCACTTTAACGGCAGCCAGTGCTGGATAACAAGCTGCTCGACCTCAAATACTGCTGTCTCAATGCAGCTTCAAAAGTCTTCTTGTGAAGCACCTCTCCTTGCTATCCTAAGAACGAAGTAGTCCTATTCCGGTCTGTGCTACTGCTGAAAAGCTCAACATTGTCCTCTTGTTATCCCCCACCCCGGTCCATGCCGCGGTTGGCACTACTTCTTCGTGGCATGAGAGACCTTTGTGCTCTAACCAGCGTAGGGAAGACGCATGGAAGGACTTGCAACTGTAAGTCTCTGGTTTTGCCATTTCACTGCATGATTCCAACATGGACATCCATTTGGGGCGCCACGTAGCCAACATGGTGATCTGGTGGAGAACAAGGGACATGCCTTGTTAAGGGGTGTGCCTTGTAATGTAACCACCCAAGTTCTGAAGTTCAGCAATCACTCAATGCTCCCAGTAACAGCGACATAGTGCGGAGGGGGCAACTTCCATGCAGTTTTCAACTCACCGAACCGGCTGCGACCCGCAAAGTCACCGAGATAGCTTGTGATAACATCTTGTGCGTCATCAGGGGCCCTCAACTTCGAAGTTGCGTCCCATCCTCAACTGCAACCACTGTGCACTCAGGTTTTGCAAATGAGCTGTCTCTCTAGTCCTGCCGCAAGATCATCTGCCAAGCTAAACCCATGACTCCAGCACTTATCGATGATACAACCCAGCCATATATTGCCTGTTGAAGGACGACTGCCTTGTCGAGGCTCAGACGCTGATTGACCGGCACCTGCTGTCCCTAGCATAACATCGAGCTTACCACTTTGCCCCGTCACAACCTCATACATAACAGACCCAAGTTGTTCAAGGTCTGTCTGAATTGAGTAACCATCCTCATCGGGGCCGTTCAGGTCCCAGTCCAGAGGCATCAACGTCGATTCTCCAAAGTCCACGAACTTTATGGCTAACTGGTCGTCGAGTAGGAAATTTTGCAACCTAATATCGGCGACAATAACGCGTCGATGATGAATATGTGCAAGAGTTCGTGCCATTTGTGTAAACCAAAACAGTTGCACTTCCCGTGCAGGTCTTGCCTCGAGATGCAATAAGTAATTTTTGAGGTCACCATTTTTCATGAAATCCAACTGGATTGAACTGTCGGTCGAAGACGACAAGTTGGAACAGCGGACAATCCCTGAGTGAGAGCCTAGCCTTCTGTAAATATTCTTTTCACGTTCCAACGAGCTAACAAGCATAGCCCCTATGTCGTAATCGCCTTCGCTGGGCGGCAGACTTTCGTCAAGCAAGACCACTCCGTTGACGTCGAAGTCCCTGGACAGTCGAGGTATCTTCACGGCATATTGCCCTCGCTGAATCACCAGGCCAGTTCCACCTACTCCAATGACCTTCTCTGTCACTCTGGCCCCGTCTAGCTTGACGAACTCCGAAAAGATCATCGCGCTTGGTCATGGATAACGGTACGCCGACACAAGGTAGCTTTGTGCTGCCTAGGCGAAAAGGCTCCAGCGAGAGTCTTGACAGCAACTCAATTCAGGGGTCAACCACAGAGGAGGTCAAGAGAAGAGGCTCGTGCCGGTGGCTCGGCTAAGCGAGGCTGGTCGGAACAGGCGGATTCCTGCTGCAGATTGACATGGCTGGGCTTGGTGCGCGGTCCAATGCTTGAATTAGTATCTTGCCTCTATATCTGTAGACATGAAAGGAGAACACAATGCTGTGAGGTTGCTGTGTATTTGAAGTTCCACAAGCGGGAAGGCAAGAAGATGCAGGATCACAGTGCTGCTCATGTGAAGGGAATGTGCTCCTGCCTGGACCAGTCCAGGAATACTGTACAGTAGTACTTGACCACTGTCAGTTCAGGGGGCATGTTCCCAGTCCTACAATAATAAAGAAGGGTTCAGCCTTGAACAATTCCCGGCCCCTAGCATCTAATCTAATCACAACCATTACATAAGCCTGCGGCGGCCTGCATGGTGCTGCTGCTGGGGTCTGCTGGCACTACTACTACGGAGCCTTACGCGCCCGCAAAGGGAACAAATCAAAAGGGCAGGAGAGCATATGCATCTCGGAGACTGGCAGATCACCATCTTTGCTACCTTGAACCTGCAGTCCCCCGGAGAGCTTCAATCGATGTAGAGACTTCCGTGTTTTCTTGTTTTCAGAGATGCTTTGACTGTGCAGGCATATCCTCATCACCGAGCGACCTCACTCAGTTTCGTCAGAAAGTAGGCTGCCTCCGTCATAGCCTGAGACACCACAGATCTTTTGCTTCGTCCGTTCGTCCCAAATCACTTTCAGTAGAGTCGTCGATGCCATCTCCGCCGTTCGCATGATCCTAGACCATAAACCGACCTCCTGAATACCTTGCGGTATCCCTTTCGCGCCGCCTCTACCCTCCGTGGAGACGGCACGTAACCCTACCTCGTCTTGCATGGCCGGCGTGCAAGGCAACATCCGGTCCTTCATTGCGCCGATCAAAGGAGCCGGTGCGTATACACCAGGAATTGGGGATTCTTGGAAGAGAATGTGTGATAGTAATTGTTCCGCAACAGGTCGTACTGCTCCGGCACTTCTTGAAGATCTCACACTATGCGAACCATGGCAGATTCAGCCGGATGCCCCAAACCTATTAGCTGACTCTCCCCTGCGGCTGTCCCAGGCAAGATACCTTGGAGATTTGGTATCTCTTCAGAGTTGCAGACATAACTTCGCTTTGAAACCAAGGCAATCGAGACCTCCTGTGCTGGATGAGAGGCCTGGGCCAGAGACGATATGGACGGTAGCCGCATTCTGTCAAGTATGCCGTCTGCATGTCCATGTGAAGGTCGATTACACCATCCGGTTTGAGGATGCACCTTGTCCGAATGAGCATCATCCGTTACATCATCTCGTCAGGTCGGAGTTTCAAGAGCCTCTGGAGAGGAATGCGTGGAGGCGTCAATATCCAAACTCACAAGATGAAATTTACACTTACAAATGCTCTTCCAAGACCTGCTCGGCGACCGTTACGGTGCGACTGAGTCCGCCCGTCCTCCGGCCTAGTGATGTGCTCACACTGGTTGACCCGGATCTGCTCAGACAGAGGACTGAAGATGCATTCCGAACGAGAGGGGGAAGCACTGAAGGAATGAAGTATCCGGTTCCTGTCGATGTATTATCCGACCTTCGAGCCTACCTGAAGAACTCGTGGAAAGCAAAAGAGGATCCAAAATATCGAGCGATCAATATTGCGAATCGTAGGTTTGCTGTCCGCTTTGGCCCGGATGGCAACGCCTGCAAAGACGTTCTGGAGCGATTAGGGTTTCGTCTTGTGGTAAGCGGATGTCCTGCGTCTATGTCACCTTCATTCTGATCGTACTTGTAGCCAGGCGACTCTTGGAGGGTGCCAGAGCCGGATCTGGACGATAGCCAGCCGCTGCAGAGTGCCATCAACATCTGGCTTGACAATGCCGAACACGAACTGGTGACCCTTATATTTTCACAGCCAGATGAGGACAGGAGCCAGTTGCAGGATACCGCACCTCCAGAATCTGCCGAGCTTGAGCTTTCTCGTCTTCTCGGTTGTCAAGATTGTGAGTGGACCACATTCAACCAGAGAACGTTTCTGACAACCGCAGATGACGCGGACCCACCCAGCAGAAATACCAAGTTCAAACCTGAGATGAGAACAGCGTGAGGCGGACTCTGCTATCGTGTGTAAGGACTGGCTGACTCGATATAGACCTTTTACGGCCCTTGGCTGTCCGATGGACCTTTCCGACCAGTTGGTCGCGAAGGCATATCACTGGCAGGTCGAAACAGACTCTCACAATGGGCCAATATACCTAACCCATCTCCAACACATTGCGCAACACCGAACGAGTGAGCTTTTAGAGACTGAGGTGGTGTTGGAAACATCAAAAGGCCGTTTTGACGCTGAGACACTGGACAAGGCCTATAAAGCCTTCCATTTCACTGGGCCCGACTGGGATGGTAAAGTCACCGATAACGATATCATTGGTGCCTTCACCGCCATGATGGCAGATTCTCCAAGTCACGAGCATGAGTTGCGGGAGTACCTCAGGATCATTGGCACCCACCGGAATAGCAAGACGATCGTCGATATTGCGCAGAATGGTGAGCTAGTCAGTCCAAGTCTTCTTTGTCTCACCTGCTAACAACCATTCTGAAGTTCTTGAGACTTACGAACAAGCCCTTGCCTTTCTCGACGCCGACCCTACGACTGAGGATGAACATATCCAGGCTCTGTTTACTGTAAAGGTGAGCACTGTCTTTTCGACCTCAAAGTACCAACACTGACAATCTTTTCAGACAAACGACAACAAAAGCTTAGAGGACCAAGCCATCAAAGCAATCAGCTTGATTGCACAACACCGCCAAAGTCGCTTGCTCTCCAGTTGGATCGAGTCAGGCTTCACGAATCAGGAAGCCATGGATCCAGCTGAAGGCTACCAAGCTCTGCAAATTTCAAATCGCGAAATCGATGATGAGATGATCATGCTACAGTACAATATGGCCATTGAGGAGAACCCAGGCAGCATCGATTTCTACAATAAAGCACTCGCTGCCATTGCAAATGGACGAGGGAGTTCTGTCCTTTTAGACCATCTACAGCGCAGGGCCCCTCAAGTTCCCGAGGGCACTCTGGAGGAGCCAGTGGGACTCGAAAATATCGGAAACACCTGCTATCTGAACAGTCTGTTGCAGTTCCTGTTCACGATGATTCAGCTACGACACATCGTGCTCAACTTCGATGATTATAAGATGCCACTAGATGAGAAGAGCATGGAGCATAAACGGGTTGGGCAGCGGAAAGTCAGCGTCAAAGAGGTTCAGACGGCCCAGAAATGTGAGTGTTGATACATTGGCAATGATCCTGCTTCTAACTGTTGCAGTTGTGGCAAGCCTCGCCTCACTCTTTCGTGGCATGATCGAGACACCACAGTCGTCAATCAGACCAGATCAAGAGCTTGCGCGTCTAACACTTGAGACTGAAAGCGTCAAGGAAAAGATGCGACGCAGATCAACTCTAAAGTCGTCGGACCGACCGAGTTTAGGTGATCTTGATTCACGATATACTCTTGGGCCTCTGACCTTGGCTGAGTACGAGAAAAATGACTTTGGGAGCGGTGCAATAGTGCAAACCCCTTTCCAGACCGATGACCTCAGTGACCCGATCGGCAACGTCGATCTTTCGAACGAGAACCAGGCAAATGTAGAGGAGACAGGCCAAGACGAGACTGCGGATATAGCCATGGATGACAACTCCAGTGAAGCGACGCTTGTGTCCCGGGCAGACAGTAACAATGTCATGTCTGATGCCGCTATTGTCCCCACGAAGCTCTCGATATCGGATGACAAAGAGAATCAAGCCCCGGAGGCGAAAGCCACCACTTCTAGCCAAGGTGCTTCATCGACATCGGAGCCTCTTGCCCCGGCATCGCCGTCCAGACTGAATGTCCAAGCTGGAGCGAATGCCACTGCCCCTGACTCCGATCAAGGTGTGGCCAAAGCAGAGCCGGTCAAATATCAGCCTCCTCCAGACAAACCGCCTCCAGTCCCTCCAAGAAGACCAATGCAGACCAGCACTTCTACTCTCGAAGAATACGCCCGCCAACAAGATGTTACCGAAGTCATGAACCATTGCATCATTCAACTATCCTGTGCGATGCGTCCCACTGGCTCTGACAAATCCGGCGAGCAAGAAGACGAAGTGCATGATCTCTTTTTCGGCAAGGCAATCATCCACTCACGACCTGAAAAAGAATCGCCACAACCGGTGTCATTCCTCAACATAATCACAAGGGTTTATCATCAACCTCAGGACGTCTATGCCGCTATCGACAATGAATACGATCTCCAGGATGCTCAAGATGGCACTCAGTCCTACACTTCCATTGCGCGTCTGCCTCCGGTGTTGAACATTGCTCTTGACAGAGTTGCGTGGAACCAACAGGCAAAGCGCCAAGAAAAGCTCAATCATCACGTTGAAGTCCCGGAGACAGTATACATGGATCGATATTTGGAGAGCGCCAATGATTCCGAGCTCCTGCAAAGACGCCAACAGACTTGGGAAATCAAAAAAGAGCTTGCAGCCTTGTGTGCACGAAGGGACGTCCTGGAGGAGAAACATGTAAGCAAACCGCCCTCTTCTACGCATTCTCAACAGCTAATGCAGGATTTACAGGGCCAATCCAAAGACCTCCCAGGGCTACTGAAGGACGCCAAGCTTACTCTGGAATATTTGGCAGAATTATTCAAAGATCCCGTATCTGAAGATGTCGACGTTAACCCAGACACCGTTGCCAAGCTGGGTATCCTGGCTGAAAATGCCCGCTCCGAACTAGAAGGCACGTCTGGACCAGCCAGCCTTTCCCCCATTTCCGTGAGACTCGCCCTGCTGACTATGTGACGTAGACCTCCGATCTCGAATAGACCAGCTGTCTCAGCAAGTCAAAGAAGCATTCGTCGATATGCGTAAGCATCCCTACCGGTTACATGCGGCATTCTTTCACCGCGGCGGTGCCGGCGGAGGTCATTATTGGGTATACATCTACGACCACAAAAAAGAGGTTTGGCGGAAATACAACGACGACCGAGTGACAGTGGTGGAGAACCGGAATGAGATCTTCGGCAAACCAACCCAAGACAACTGGGGGCCTCCACCCAACCCGTACCTCCTGGTTTACATCCAGGCCGACCGGATCGACGAGCTGGCCGAAACGGTTAAGCGAGACATCGTCTTTCCGGCACCTGATCAGCCTCCCCCGGTACCAGCACGCAACCTCACCCAGATGAGCGCCCTTCCACCCTCTGCTCAGGAAGGACGAGGAGATGGAGACGTGGAAATGGTGGAAAACGTCGATAGCAGCAACAATAACGATAATTGGGACAACGGTGGTGAGCAGGCCCAGAACCCCATTCCGTCTTCACAACAACAGGCTTCGGAGGAGGGGCTCGATTCTCAGCTATCCAACCAACCAACAGCAAAGAAAGGAGACTGGGATGATTCGCAGCTGATTACGGATAGGCCGATCAACTGGTGACGAAGACGCGTGGTGGAATCTCCAGCCGCTCGCGTGAGACCCATGGACATTGTAAGATGTGCTGTATCATCCATCGATGGGAAACGAAGTCACGACACGAAATCTCTGCTTCACCCGTCCCCAGCGAGCTAGCTACATGAGATCTGATCCATCCCGGCCGTTTCGTCGATTCGCCATGGCTCCGGACAAATCTCACGTACCGCAGTCGACCGATGGAGGAGCAAAATAAAGAGAATCCGGCCTGTTCTCCAGTGGCAGGATTACTCAAGCATGGAAGAAGGGATAGAGACACATGGAACGACAGCTCATCGTCAACTGCGCTGCTTGCAGTCAGCCCTAAGCTACATTTCAGCTTCGAAGTCGGAGCCGTCTTGCGGACGACAAAAACCATCGTGTTCGTCTTTGCATTGAATGATTGATTGCCCTTTTGCGCTGTGAGACAACCACGAGGCTACTATTCATTTGTCAAACTTGAGGCGTTACTACTAGACTTTAATACCTTTTGTCCTGTGCTTACTATTCGATCGTTTTTCTTTCGCCATGTCTGCCTTGACTTCTGCATTGCGCTTCGCTTCGCATCGCCTTAATGAATACTATGTCAAGGATGATTGATTCGCGCTAATGAATTTCATGGGACTGCCGCGACGACAGTGGGGTAGGAGAGCATGCTAAAGGTATTCATTCAACGCAGCGGCAGAGGACTCAAAGAAAGGATAAGTAAGAGAACTTCGTTCGTCAAGTTCCAAACAGCGACGCGGCTCTCTTTCTACCTATGTAGTCAAGTCTCTTGGCCTAGTTGGGCCAGGAACAAATACTACAATGCCCGGCCTCTTGACCATGCAGTTTTCTTTCGCTCTTGTTTTTCTCAGGCGAAACAACCGTCACCACTTGCGAATGGAGAGGAGACCTTTTCTCGCTGACGAAATGGACTCGGCCATCGCCACTGGAGACTAGTAACCAAAGGAAAACAACATTACCCGTAAGTCAACATCATAGTGTCCCAAGGTCGTCTCTCCAGAAGCCTCGATGTAGACGTACACTCCCCAAAAGCCGATATGCTAGCTCAAGCCGTGACTAGCGAACCGGTTTGAGTTCGAGTTGGTCATCGGTCGCAGCAACATAAGGTACATGGGCCTTCTTGACCATTTTCTCCCTCTACACCACTGCATTGTTTCATCTTCTCATTGTCATTGCTAATGGTCGTCACAACGGTGGCTTTGGGCATTTCGGAAAGGTATCTGAAGAGAGCTAGCTTCCTAAGCATTTGCCTTTCCCTTGCCCTTCTTGGACTTTTTCTTCTTGGGTCCAGCCTTTCCATTCTTCCCCGCTTGATTTGGTCCAGGTCCAGGCCCAGGCCCGGAGGCTTGAGGCGGCCGCGGCGGGAGAGAGTCATTGTTTGAGAAGTTGCTCGATCCTCTCCGGACTGGCAACTGGATAGGCACGCCCGGCTTCAGCTGACTAGACCCGCCGCCACGTCTACCGGTAGGGGCCCTTGATGATCCCGCAGAAGATGGATGGGAGCCGTTGTGGTAGCGTGGAGAAGGTGATCGTCGCTGGCGTGGTTGGTACCCATCAAACCCACGTGGCGAGCGGGAACGCCTTCTCGAGTCACCATCTCTACGACTCCAAGGGTCTCCGTTCCGATTATTCGCGACTGGCTGGGACCGCGGGCGGGCCCGACCAAAAGAGTCCGTGGCATACCAGTTGTTTCGCGGACGATTGGCCGCTGGATTGTAGCGGTCATCTTGGCCATCACGGGGACGGTCAGACGCGTTGCCAGGAAGTCTTTGAGGATGGCGAAACGTGAAACCACCCCGCCCCCGGTTCGGCTGGCTACGTGTGTTTACCCGCGGACCACCGAGAAACTCCCCGTCGCTGCTATCATCCTCCTCGTACTCGCTGCCAGACGGCTGAGCTGAAGCAGAGAAGCCCGCAGTGTGGCGGCCCGCACGGCCTCTAATTTGAAGCCCCTCGGGTCGAAGGCCGCGGGTAGCAGCTATCCTTGCACGTTGGATCGCTTCATCTCCAGTGGTAAGATTGGTGATCTGTGCAGGTGCGAACGATTTCAACGACCATTTGACCGTGGCGGCCCGATCTGCGTCTGGACAATCACCGACCAGATGGGAATTGCTGGCACAGACACAACAAGACACCCACAGGTTCAGTGAGCTAGTCTTAGCCACACTCTCGAAAGGGAAGAAACGCTGTGGGCATGTATGTTCATGGTGACCATACGCTCCGCAGAGATCACATGGCACAGTCGTTATCCTCATGTCCGACGGACATGCGTCTGAGGAATGTCCTCGCTCCCGACACCTAGAGCAACGACGGACTCGAGGGCAGAGCCGGCTGGGATGCTGACCAATTTCTGCACAGTATACACACATCTTTTCGGGACATTTCTCCTCGACGTGACCTTCCTGCAAACAGCTGAGACAGACGGCCGGACGACGAAGGTCGACCTGATCGTGGCTAACGTCGAACAGAGCATACTTCAATTGCAGCTCCAATTCGTCTGGAGTCAAATCCGCCAGGCGACGGCGACCTGGTTGCCCATTTTCTGCCGGTGGAGGCGTCGGGTATGTTGTGGGTAGGGAATCGGTAATTTGCTCGAGCTCGGCCTGTAGCTGCTGGTGAGCATCTTGATGTGCAGAGGTGATGGAATGGGAGATATCTCTAACGAGCGAGTGTGACTCGAGCGCTTCGTCCTCAGATGAAAAGACCTCGCCCTCCTCATCATCATCAACGACCATAGCATCAGGTATTCTAGCGTCCTCTTCATCATCATCATCATCGTCTAGGTTGATGACCATTCCTCCGTTGTCAGATGATTCATCCTCGTCGGAGGAGATTTCAATGGTATCGCGACGGGATCTGTCACCGTCCCCGGCATTGTCGTAAGCGCTGTCATGTGCATCCGATCCAGAGACTGGCTCTGTGGACAGAGCAACTCGAGGTTTACGAAAGCCAGTGGCAAGGCGATTATTGCCCAAGCCCTGGGCTTCAGGACTCATGCCGTTCTCGGAGCCGTAGCGCTCAGTAGAGTCAAACTGCTCTGCTACGGGGGATAGATGCTCCTGGATATAGTGCGAGGGAGAATTGCCCATCACGGCGCGGTCGCTCGGAGAAACAGATTCGGAGTGGACTGGAGACTGAGTTGAGGAATGGACTTGACCTTGATGGCGAGAGGAGCTTCGTTTGGCCCCAATGGTAGCGGTTCGAGACTCGCTAGCATCATCATATTCTGCCCATCGAGGCATTTACCGCACGTTGGGATTCAAATCGTTGCGACATGTGGCGCGCAATTGAAGCGTGTAGAGACTCGACTCCAGAGTTTCTCTGCCCCGATTTGGCTGCGCTGGAATAATTTTGGCCAAGCCTTGTCAAGCCTCGTCGCGCTGGCACTGCGAGTCAGGCTGCAGGGTCCGACTTCCGTTGAGATCAGGCTGCAGTCATCTGGCATTGGTCGAGTGGTGCTGCTGACTAAACAGCATCGCCCTGTCCAATGTTCCGCCGTAAACGCACAGCCTGCAGGTGCGACTCCTCGCGTGTCTTCGCCGTTTATGATTTTATGCATTACTTGTCCCTATGCCTCAACTCCCTCTCCCCATCCACCCTGCGATCCCCATCTGCATTAACTAGGTTCCAGTACCAGGTATGGATACTATTCTGCCATACATACCTCACATCTGATCTGAGACTCATCCGTTCTGGACACGGTGTGTCTCACTGCATATTTGCGCGGCTTCGGATTTTGTTGTGCACCCTCCATCTGCTGCGTCCGAACGCTACCCGTCCTTCGTCCAAATCTATCATATTTATTGGTGAATCGTATCCCAACACCCGCGCCCAGGTCCTGTTTCAGACGTCACCGATCTTACGCGAGGCCCTCAGGCTCTGTCTTTCTTCCCTGTCCACGTACACACTTTCCGGTACGCAGTCTTTTAACGCCGTTCCCCGAGTTTGTTGACCGGTACGGTGCTGACCTCTTTGGACACTGCAGTCATTAGCCATTCGGAAATCTTCTCTTCACTGGGGCGATCCCTCATCTGCCAGCCTTTCCATGACCTCCCAAACCACTCTCCACCGGACGATCTCCTTTCAAGCCGATGCCAAACTTGCACCTTCTGCCTCCTCCTACCATCCAACCATGACTTCCGGCAAGAGCGGCCGAAGAAGAAGATCTAGCAGCATCATCTACCAAGAACCGCCTGAGTCATTGGAACAAATCAGTGACCAGTCTGCCCTGCCCAACCTCAATTCACAATGGGTGAACGCCAAAGGTAGGCTAGCCTTGTAACCTCTTGGGGTCATAGGAAGTGGTTAATCTCCCCTCTAGGAGCCTGGACGATACATCCTGTTCTCATCATCGGCCTGAAGATATTGTTTGACATAATTCCCGGCATGACGCAAGAGATATCCTGGACCTTGACCAATATAACCTACATGGCTGGTTCATATCTGATGTTTCACTGGGTCCGCGGCGTCCCGTTCGAATTCAACGCTGGAGCCTACGACAACCTGAATATGTGGGAGCAGATTGACAACGGCGACCAGTATACCCCCGCGAAGAAGTTCCTCTTGACGGTTCCCATTGTGCTTTTCCTGCTCAGCACGCACTATACCCACTACGACTTTACGTACTTTACCATCAACTTCATGGCTCTCATGGCGGTCGTGATACCCAAACTACCGCAGTTCCACCGTGTCAGAATCGGTCTATTTTCAGAGCCCCCGGATGAATGATCGGAATTTGCGGGTTCAAACTTGCCAAAACAGGCGAGATGGTCCATCAGAGGGGCGTGGCGGATTTGTCTAGCCTTGGTTTTTGCTTTCTGGGCGTTGTGTTTCGTGCCTTTTGCAAGGAAAACGAGTTATGCAGCTGTGTATCAATATCAGGGAGGGACCGGAGGAAGTGATGTGGATGGAAGGAGATCCGAGATAATGGGGCAAGTCACTGAAGGGGACCTTTGCTACCAAGTTCATTTGGTCGAGTAAGCCAGCCCGTGGCAGCGTCAGGTCCAGCACTTTGCGTGACAGGGAAATGTGAAAGAATAGTGGAATATGGATTCTCAGCCGCCGGGATTGAGACGACGGGATCTGACATCGGATGCAATACATCAAGTCCTTCTCTCCAAACGACACTCTACCTTTCTTGGATCTTTGCTTCCCCTGAGAGTCTCCCCCGTCGTTAGTGAGTGCTGATAAGACGTAACTGGGACTTGCGGTAGGCTCCTCAGCATCGGTTGACCCGCGTAGGTATCTAGGTAGATGCAATCTTCGATCGGCTCTGTCCGAAGTGATACTAGTGCGCAGCTAGAGCTCAGCAATTCAGTATTGTAGCTAGGCGACTCTCTTCAAGTTCACCCTACGGTCAGTCCAAGCAAAGAAGCCCGCCATTGCCGTTTGCACAGAGGACTACTAGTACGTAGAACCACAAGCAATACGATTCGACCATGCATGTTGTATGCGATGATCCCAGGACAAGGAGTCGCTGTAGGCAAATACGGGTTGGGCATTATATCAATGCAGTAAGTACATTGTAGAAGTCAACATTGTACCTAGGCCTGCTTCCACTGTGTACCTATGTAGGTATGTATATATGCAGGTGTGCAAGAATTTACAGTACTTTTCCCTTCTATACACAAATATTGGTCCTTCTTTTTGCTCGCGGAACTTCCCTCTTGCATAGATACGACAACGACTTTTTCTGGCCGGCAGGCGACAGACATAGCCAAACTTACCTGTCTAGCTACTTACCTCAGCTAGATCCACTGTTTCGGCAAGAAAGCAGTCGAGTGCTGCGGGATCTGGGGCAATCCGAAATCAAGTGATCGAGGACTGGGAAGAGGTCTGTTGCCATGCCACTGGTTGGGAGACTGGCCGGTGACATTTGCATTATTGTTGTTCGCACCCTGATATGCCGAGTTCGTGGTGATGTTGGAACTGGCGGATGATTGCCCGTCTTCCAATTCCTTTTCCGCAGTTGACTTTGAGGATGGCGGTTCTGTGGTTGTGGTTGTGGTCTGAGTCTTCCGTTTAAAGGTGAATCTCACCTTCTTTTTCCGTCGGAAGCACCAGGTCAGAAGTAGGATGATCAATGCCAGACCCGCCATGCTGCCAATGACACTTCCGGCGATGGTGCCCGGTGGCGTCGTCGATTTGGGGCTGGAATTGGCGGGTTTGGGTTTGGATGTGGGACATTTGGTGGCTGTCGAGGTACGAGATGCCACGACGAGACTCAATGTCTTGGTCGTGGCCGGCATGCTTGATAGCGTGGTCGTGGTATAGGGACCGCTACTACTACCACTGCTTGTCATGGCAAGAGACCATGGAGCAAGGCCTGTCGAAGATGATCCTGGCGAACCCGTGGTGGTTGTTGCCGACCCGCTGGAGCTGCTAGAGGGATCCGAACTGCCTGTTGCACTGATGATGGCGACCAGATCGTTGCTTACGGACGCAGGAGCCGCGGCACTGTTGGTGGGATCGACGGTGCTTGTAGCAGCGCCCTGTAGAACTGTCTGTGTCACAGTTACTGTATGGTAATCGCCGCAAGAACCGGCCCCTATGTCGGAATCTGAGTCTGTGCAAACTCCAGAACCGCAAGGGTCATGGGCACAACAACCCGCATAGGAGACCGAGGAGCAACGGTAGTAGTTCTGGCCCGTAGGGCAGCTCTGATCGTCTCGCCGCCAGTGTAGAAGCATGGTGATATATGCACTGAGGGGTGAAGTCTTGATTCTTCTCCTGGTTGGATACAACTCTGCGAGCTGGAGCTGGTGAGAGATGGTGGACTCTTGCCAGCGCTCAAACTTCGGCGGTCTTGGACAAGCAACAAACATTGCAAGTCTGAAGTAGGTCATGTGTAAAATAGTCATTCGCTTCGCTTACCTTTGTTCTTGTGTGGTTCGTGCCATCTTGTTCGTCCAACAGAGACACAAAAGAAATCTATTTTTAGTGGATCAAACAAATCTCAATTCTTTGAACGAAAATAGGCGAGTGAAGCTTTGTTCGGTGTGCCGAGCGTCATTAAGCACATGGAATGCTCTTTGTTGCCGAAGAGTTCTCCTCCAGGAGGCTCCTCAACAATGAAGATGATTTTCGAGCAAGATTCGACTCATTCGAGCAATCCTGGATGGAAGCTGCAAAGCGACCTATGACTCCAGTATGACCACCCCCGCAATAAGCTGTCCGTGCTCATGGTGGGAGTGAGAACCGTGCTGAGAGAGTCGCCCCTTGCATACCTAGGTACTGTCAGGCGGTTGATCAGGGCTCGGCATGGTGAGCGGTGCCCAGGTGTTCGCTGTAAGGAAGACCACGCCAACCCACCGCACTTATGACTCAAGAACGAAGCACCCTGTTAGTTGAAGGCGAAGGACTCCATGATCTGTCATCCGGCAGTAAACAATACAAGGCCTTTGATCGTGGCCCACGGAGGCGTTGACACTGCCAGTTTCAGACATACATCTAACAATTAGTAGGCAGCCCCTCTGACTTTGTAGCTCTGAAGCAAAACCTTACACAGTGTTGTAATGCTCATGGGCAGGTGGTCCACATACAGAGATATAGTGGAGGTAGTAGTGTAGGCGGCACCCGTTACCCACCGTTATGCTATATCAAACCACGAGGTCCCATCGAACACGTGAAGTTGGACAGTGCTGCATTGCGATCATCGCTGTCGTTGAAATTCCAATACGGTGAGAATCGCCGGCTTGGAATCCCCGATGGTACTCCACGCCGGCCCGTTCGGGCAACGGGTTCATTTGCCAGCTACCTACATAACTGTTGCCCTTACGGTGGATATCCAGATAGGCGAGGGGCGAGGAGCGACATTCTGCCAAACTGCAAGGACAAAGTCAGGTACCCGAACCGGTTGAAAACTTTTGTTCGGATGCGCCAGATTCATGCCGGAGTTTCGAGACGAGGTTGGGATGCGTACCTCGCGTGGAAAGGGCGCTCCACGCGGGTCACACACCGGGGCAAGTCATCATCGATGGATTGACAGTTTGCACGAGGCGACGATCAAGCCAATGCGCACCTCAGCGGAAGCGTAGTGGAGGAGTTTAGAGGACCAGTCTGTGGCTGGGAGCAGGTTGACAGATTTGACCACTGTTGGATCTTGAAACGTGCAGGCCCAGCATTTGCGGTTGTCGTCCAAAGGGATCCACAATTTGGCTTCAATGCCCAGGTGGCAAAGGGAAATACGCCCTACTGCAAAAACCGGGATTTTGGACTTGCATGAGAGAGTAGGAGGTAATAGTAAATAATGCGAAGGCAGGAATTGGTGGACCAGTTCGCCTATCTCAGCCATCGGCGCTTAGGGGATCCCAAAAAGAGCATCGTAGACATCGCGGAGTATGTTAAACGTAGGCTGTTCCACTGCCCGCCTCTGGCGCCCTAGATTCGAGGTGGGCCAGCGGCTTCAATGGCTGGAAAAAGCACTATTGGATCTCTTGCCTAGGAAGTCCCAAATACATTCGTCAAGGTCGATTGCTAATCTTACGTCTGCCTTTCATCGGGCTGGTGATATGATGGCCTTGCGAAATGACCTTTGGCAGACAAAGAGTCAGTCGTAACTTTCCAGGCTTTGTATGCGAAAATGGACCGGGCATTTTGAGACCTGCGTAACTTTTGAAAGGGTGCACGATTTTATTGGCTTTTGGCACTCTGCAGATTGAAAGGAACGTGCAGTTTTGGGTCTCGATGGCGTTCTCCAGCAAATGCTCAGGTCGCCAGGACCACAAGCCAGCTGGCAGCTGCGAGTAAACCCCTGTTCAAGTCCGACTTGAAGGCTGCTACGAGCGAGTGCGCTACTCTGACAGTGAGCATGGGTGCTCGTGGTAAGGAGTTCGGATGACCGCTCGTGCGTTGATGTTTTGTCTTCGGATGCCTGACGCAACGGGCCTGCACGGCCCTCCTATTTTCTGGCGGATTTCACGATCCGTGGCTCGCTGGACAGCCGGGTCAGTGGCAAAAGGAGCGAAAGGAAGAGGACCGACATGGATTCGGTGACAGGCCGGGCAGGACAAGACTGCGGACAACGCACTGGAATGGGACAAGAACGTTTGGTCCTACCAGGCCGCATGAGCGACGGCAAGGGGGGCTACCGACATCCGTCGACTTGAGTGTAGAAGAGGATCAAGCTGAGTCCAAGATCAGTCTAACACAAGATGGATGACGAGTTGGATGCAGATTTGGCGGGTGGTCCTTGGCTCAAAATGCCGATGGCTTGGACCTTGACGTACAGAGATGCCAGGTTCAAATTGGAAGAGGAGCAGCGGCATCCACGGCCGGGCGGCCCTGGACAGAGCCTAGGGTAGCCCCTACAGACACTAGTCGCAGCAGAGACTGCCAGTGAGGTGCCTGCCCCCCAGGCACTGTACATTGTAGAGGTACAGTACCTGGGACCATGACTGCGGCAGCCAGATTCGACCATTCGATCGACCCGTGGTTCTCATCGAGCACTAATTCTGCTACTTGGTCGCAGTGGTAGATCCAGCGTGTGAGGTACCCATCATGATATTCATCATGGTGTTGAAGTTGGGGGACAACGCAGGCATGCCTTCTTTGACTCTGGCGGATTCTGTAAAAATGCAGCTGGCTCAACCCGATCCGATCCAGTTCTCCCCCTTGCCACGATCCGGACTTGGACTTTTCAGCTTCAGATTCCCGTCATCCCGTCGCCAAAGTTCTGATCACGACCTGACTTTTCCACCGCCACTGCAGTACTAGTAGCGTTGGCAAGATGTTGCGACAAGGATGAACCCTGGATCAGGAAACCGAGCACTAGCGAGAGAATCCACACACTCCAAGTCCGTGGCCTACTTCTTCTACCAGTCGTAGCGAGTGGGAAGATGCACTACTGGTACGACAACCGTCTTTGCAGCGTGCGCATCTCCACAACTTGCAAGCTCCCGACTCCCTTGCTTCGATAGCCCAACACAGCTCGACGTTTCCTGTCCAAACTTCCAACGGGCTCAGCTTTGGCTTTTTTCTGACAGGGACAACACTGCTGCATACCCAGTGGAGTGTCGACGGCGTCTTTCCCACACTGGCTGGCAGGAGAAGCCTTCATCCGCCTGCAGATGGCGAACTGGGCAGTTCATTCGTTGGCTCCGACAAGGGCAGACGTGAAGGCAAGACATGAGCATCCTCCATGGACGCCATTCTCAGGTATGACAAGTAAATGATAAACCTTTCACGTCCCTCATGCCAGTGTCTCGAGTAGAAAGCCCTCCTTCCCCTCCTGCATCTTGTATTCGTTCATTGACAATTGGTCCAACTCGCGGCTGCTGCCATTCTTGCCGTCCGCGACTACCTTACAGCGCCGCAATCAATCGTGATATTTCCCGTCCACTGGCAACTGGAGCACCTGCTGCTGCAGTAGGTTGATTAGAGCCTGAGGAGATCAGGAGTCAACGGTCGCTCCTCGACAGCCTCGCTATCACACAGTCCATCTTCTTTCAACTTACTACTCTTATCAACCCTTCTGTAGCCGGGTCCTGAGCCTTTGGAAACCATCCTCATCTTCTGCTACGGGTGGCCCCGACACTTATCACTTGTCTGTGCGACTCTCTGCTACCAGAAACTTAAGGCCATACTCGATCCTCAATTCCTCAATCCGACACCATGGTTCTGTCCTTGGGCTACCGGCGCCCGCCTTATGTCTCGTCTTCTCGCACCTCGCTCGATTCCGAGAGGAGTGGTGCTGCGGACTCGATGAGCTCTGGCTCAAGCTGTCCATATGGCATTCCTGAGGCATTGTCTTTCGAGAAGATCATCAGTGGCGGCACATGTCCTGTAGGTCGGCCTGCATACATAATACCTGCCAAAAGAGACCCGTGCTGACTGCTACAAGCCCGTGACCACCCGCGAGTTCATGGACTTCCTCCGCTACATCGAGCACGCTCCCGAGAATCTTCAATTCTACCTCTGGTACCGTGATTATTGCAAACGCTTCGCCGAGCTTCCTGTCTCGGAGCAGCGGCTAGCACCAGAATGGACAGCCGAACAAGCTTTGGCAGAGAGGACGGCTGCTGAAAAGGAAAAGCTGCCCAAGAAGGTCACTAGCAGTACCGCCGCAGTGTTTCGAGGGACAGACTTTGAGCGCACAAATAAAGCGGCCTTGTCGGACGCGGCACCCAACCCTTTCAATACACCTCCCCAGACGCCTTCTGCCAACGACCATGATAGCAATGCTCCTTCGACTGTCGGCTTCAGTGACGATAGTACGACCCTCCGGAGTGGAACCATTAACCACAGCAAGAAAGCGGAGGCTGCCTTTGAGGGGGTCGGCGCTCTGCAGCCTTGTAAGCCTTCTTGACGCCGCCACCAGCCCCAACTTCCCGTTGCTAACTGTGATATAGTCACTATTCAGCCTTTCCGTGAGGAAATCTCCCGCATCATTGCCACCTACATTGTCGAAGGTGGTGCGAGGTCGCTCAATCTCTCCTCCAAGGAAAAGGCTGTTGTCATGAAAGCACTTTCGTTCACCACTCACCCTTCGGCCTTTCGAGATGTCGTTGCTACCGTGGAATGGTCTCTCCGTCACCAGGCTCACCCGAACTTCATCCGATGGACGATTTGCAATGGCAATAAACCTCGTCAGACGTTCGCCCGCGGCCTCGGTGTTAGCGGCATCGTCGCTGGTATCGTCTATGGAATTGTCATCACCTTGAGTTCGGCAAATCGCGGCTGGAGAGCTCTTGCATTCCTGGGTCTTTTCATCGGTATCGCAACCCTCTTTGCCGCGTGGAAGGGCATGTGTGTGGTAGGTCATCAGACTGGTTCTCTGGCGCCGCTGGAAACTAACAAGGATAGGTGCTGCACGGCATGCATCATCGACATCTCCGTCCCTGGGAGCTCTTTGAGGACGAAGACGCAGCGTCTTCCGACTATGACCTCAAGAAGGACTCATTCGACAGCTTTGGCTCTGCAAACAGCTGGGAGGACGAGCCTTGGGTCGCCAAATATGAAAAACGTAATATTATCCGCAAGATTTTCGACCGCGAGGTTTGGATTCAAGAACCTGTTCTTCGCCAGATCCAAGACACCATCTTTGTGCAAGCTCTCATTACTGCGTTCATTATCTCGGCAATCATAACTGCCATCTTCCTGGCGGTAGGTCTGGACTCGAATGTGAACTTTGCAATGTCATTCTAATCCGACTTTATAGGTGCCCGCTGGCAATTACTTCTAAACGACGCTCAGAAACCGCCGTGGTTGACTTCTTCCAATATTTCTTCACAGATCGGAGACCATTTTCGAAAGCACAAGCACACTCTTTTACAGGCAACATTCGCTGGCGAATCGAGGTACATGCTTCAGTCGATATGTTTAGAAGTAAGGTTAGTGCCGATGGATATCATCAGGCAGTCCTTGACACAAATGTCGCAAAATCTGCTCGCTCAAATGAGGATGTACTGGCAATGGTGTCGGATGGACAGGATCGATTGTATTTGAGCTTTTTCGAAATAGCTTGAAGGGGTATATAGTGCTAAATATGCTCTAATCGAAAAGGGATGATCATTATGACCGCATCCAAATCGGCTATAAGAGGGAATAACTCCCATGTGTCAACCCAACTTGCATTGTTCAGTGCCATAAATCTCGCCTCAAGAACATGAACCAAAAACACTTAACACGTGACCGGTAGATTGATGGACGGGTGGTATCACGTGGTGAGGCTTAGTGGGGCCGCTCTCACAACGCGTCAAACGTGAAGAGCGCGTCGCAGTCTTGAAGTCGTGCCTGAGAATACAGAGGTGCTCAGGTGTCGACCCGTCAACTTGAACGGCGCAACACTTTACTGAGCAGCCTCATTGCCATGGCGCCTCGCCCGAGTCGTCGCTCGAGAGCGCTCGACTCAGACGACGAGGATTCGCGAGCCAACACCCCATCATCCACGGCTCGGAATGACAGCAAGCGACAGCGAAGAACTGTCGAATCCGACCATGAAGACCACACCCCCTCTGACGGCGAGTCTACGCCTGCTCCAGCACCAGTACCTTTGCCGCGCCCATCGCAGATGTCAGCGAGAATGACCAGTAGCCTTGACCGTCGGCAGGCTCATCAGCCTGGTGCCATTGTCCGGGTGAAGTTGACCGATTTTGTCACGTACACATCGGCCGAATTCTTTCCTGGACCTAATTTGAACATGGTCATCGGTCCCAATGGAACCGGGAAGAGCACACTCGTCTGTGCAATATGCTTGGGCCTTGGGTGGCCACCATCGGTGAGTTGTGTCTGTGGTTCGGTTTCGGCCCGGTTTTGATCGGTTTCAGTATCTCGGACGAGCCAAAGAGCCCGGTGAATTTGTCAAGCATGGGCATCGCGAAGCAACTATCGAGATTGAGCTGCAACGAAAGCCCAATATGCGCAAGAACCCGGTCATCACAAGAGTTATCAAGAGGGAAGGAAATAAATCCGTTTTCACGCTCAACGGAGCGCAGTCGACGGGAAAGGCAGTCCAGACATTGGCAAACTCGTTCAACATCCAGATTGACAACCTCTGCCAGTTTCTGCCTCAAGACAAAGTCGTGGAGTTTGCCCAAATGAGTCCAATCGAGCTGCTGGCGAGCACTCAGCGCGCCGTGTCAGGCCCGGACATGTCGAGAATGCACGAGGATTTGAAGAAGCTGCGCAGCTCGCAGACTCAGTTCATGAACGAACACAAACAGGACCGAGACCATCTGGCCAACTTGGAAAATCGACAGGAAATGCAGCGAACCGAAGTGGAGCGGATGAGGGAACGAGCACTGGTTCAAAAGAGACTTGAGTGGTTGAATATGTGCCGCCCGGCCGCCCAGTACACGGACGCCAAGACGAAGTATCAGGCAGCGAAAGACAGGGTCAAGGTACTCACGAAAGAGTTGAAGCACCTCAAGGCTGCAGCGGCACCCATGTTGGAGAAATGGACGGCCAAGGAGGACTACGTGGCAAAAGTACAAGCCCTGAAGGTCCAGCGGGAAGAGGAACTCGCCCGCAGTGAACGCGACTGTGACAAGAAGGCCAAAGCACTAGAACGATGCGAGGACCAAATCCGCGATCTGGACAACAAGATTGAAGCGGAGAAGAAGACCATTCCGAAGACTCGCGAGGAGCTCAAACGTCTGCAGCACAAGATCATAGAGCTCAGACGGAAACGCGAGCAAAAGCCCGAAGAGTTCGATAGTCGTGCCCTAGCTGAAGAGATTCAAGAGTTGAAGAATCAGCAGAGAGCGCTGGATTCGAAAAAGCCCGAGCTGGAGGAGAGCAAAGACAAGCTGAGAGAACAAGGCAGGAGGGGCAACCAACGCCTTGCGGATTTGAACAACCAACTCGTCGGCTTGGAGACGCACAGCGGTCAGCAAGAAGGCAAATTACAAGAACTGTCACGGGACACGTTCCAAGCGTGGAAATGGATCCAGGAGAACCAGGAAGCGTTCAAGCAACATGTATTCGGCCCGCCCATTGTGGAATGCTCATTGAAGGACCCGCGCATGGCGGATGCCATTGAATCCCTGCTGCAGGACAACGACTTCAAGTTCATCACTGTCCAGAATCAGGACGACTTTAGATTTTTGCAACGCAAGTTGTTCCGCGAGAAGGGCTTTCACGACGTCAGTCTACGCGTTTGCACCAACGACAATCTAGATCAATTCCGCCCCCCTCTCTCGCCTCTAGAAATGGAAAGGTATGGTTTGACAGGCTGGGCTCTGGACAATCTTGAAGGACCCCCCACGGTGCTTGCCATGCTCTGCATGGAGAGGAGCCTGCATCGGTCTGGGATCAGTTCGAGAGAACTGACCCAGCAACAACACGATGAGCTGGCAAAGACAACTGTACAAAACTATGTTGTTGGTAGGAAAAGCTACCAGTTCATCCGACGGGCGGAATATGGAGCGGCGGGAACCTCTGCGCGGGTCCGCGAGGTACGCCCGGCCAGAAGATGGACCGATCAGCCCGTCGACATGGGCAGAAAGGCAACTTTACAACGAGATATTGCCAAAGAGAAAGGAGAACTCCAACTCATCAAGGAAGCGTTTGACAACATTAAACGCGAGCTTGCGGAGATCGAGGAGAAGAAGCGGGACTTAGAAGCAGAGGCAAACAAGAAACGAGAAGAGAAAGATGCGCGACAGAGGGCCCTCATGGAATGGAGGGCACTTGAACCAAAAATTCAAGATAACGAACAGAAAGTGAAGAAGTTGCAGGAGACGTTGGATGGATTCCGAGAGCGGGTTAGGGACCTCAAGGATCAGAAAGACAACGCCCTTGTGGCCAAAACTGAGGCTCTTCTGGACTACGTCTCGGCGGCAAGAGAGATCAGGGTCAAATATGCCAGCTTGTTAGAAGCCGAGGTCATGCTCATCGAGGCCAAGTCGGATTTGGAGAGTCTCCGGGAGCAGAACGCGGAGATCACCAAAACGATTGAGGAGAAATCAGCAGAAGAAACACAGGCCCGAACTGTGTATGAGGAAGAGTTCCAGCGGGCCAAGAAGGTCTTGGCCGCCGTTAAGAAAATGAAGGCCCTTGCCGACGAGCTGGTCGAAAAGGAAGGCGACCGTGGGCTCCTTGAGGTGTTTACTTTTGTTGCAGGCATACAAAACGAAGAAGACCTCGATGCCGAGATTGACGCCGAAAAGGCCAAGCTGGAACTGACCGAAGGCGGCAGTGCCAGTATCATCAGAGACTTTGAGGAGAGGGCCAAGGTCATCGAGCGGTTGCGTGCCAAACTGGCCGACGCGGACAAGCGGCAGGAAGATTTCAAACACAGCATCCGAGAAATACGCAATAAATGGGAACACCGACTGGACGAGGTTGTTTCCCGAATCAACGATGCTTTCTCGGACTCGTTTGCACGGATTGGCTGTGCTGGGCAAGTGGCTGTCTACAAGGCATCTTCGGACGATCCGGCGGACTGCACCGAGGAAAATGGTGGAGCGGAAAACGGGCTCGACTTTGCCAACTGGGCGATCCATATCAGTGTCAAGTTCCGAGAACAGGAGCCCTTGTCCCTTCTCGACAGCCACCGCCAGTCCGGGGGTGAACGAGCAGTCAGCACCATTTTCTATCTCATGGCGCTCCAAAGTCTAAGTCGCGCTCCGTTCCGAGTCGTGGACGAGATCAATCAGGGCATGGACCCGAGAAACGAGAGAATGGTTCATGGACGAATGGTCGACATCGCGGCGGATGATGGAGGTAGTCAATACTTCCTGATCACACCGAAGCTGCTCAGCGGGCTGAAGTACCGGCGAGGTATGACGGTCTTGTGTATCGTGAGCGGTGAAAACATGCCTGCTGCGAGAGAAAGGGACGAGGACGGTAACTGGGTCGAAGGACCGAAAGTCGATTTCCGCGCTCTTGTGGAGAAGGCCAAACAGTTGGGGGCCGGTGCCAGTGACGGACGGCGCGTCGACTCGGGTGTCAGTATGAGTTTGGGCAGAAGAAGTCTTGGGAATGCGTCGAGTCAAGTCGCCGCCGTGGGAGCTTGAAAGTGTACTACTGTACTATTACTACCTACTACTTGCGACTGATGTAGAGAATCAATCGCTCTGCAATGGTCGAACTTGTGTATCTCTACTACTAGGTGTCAATGACAGAGTCGTGAGTGTGGTCACCAGTGAAAGTTGGTCTTGTATCATTTTCCCCTTGATCCACTGCATCGTGTTCAGCCGAGGCTTATTTCCCTTCCCCCCAATCTCGAACCTGATCGACAGCCGGGGGTTTGGTATGGTTTCTCCACGATTGGAATCTCCGTCTCCATTTCAATCTCCATAATTTTAACGTCTGTTCCTCTCAATCGACACCGCGCAACGCAGCAGTGGTTCGGCACAGGTGCCGACCGAGCCGATTCCGCCCTCATTATAACTGATATACTAGTGCACAGCCTCTTGGTTCTTTGGTATTCTCGAATGTCCCTTTACAACTATTATACTCCAAGGTGATTGAGTGTGTGTGCGTGCAGTCAGTCAGTGAGTGAGTGAGTGAGTGAGTGATTGATACGGAGGGCAATCCCGGCCTCAAAGATGGTTCTATTCAAGTCTCCTCACCCGGACGTGGAAAGTAAGAGGCACCCACCCTCTGTTGTCGAGTCCTTGTTCATCCTGTTTGTTTATCTGTACTTGAACATGAAAAGAGTTATTTGATAAGAACAAGGTGTTACTGTTTGATGTGTTTGTGTCTGTGTTACGGTGTGTCTTGTTCATTTTCTAACAATGATCCTTGAATACATACAGTCCCCACCGACATAACAACTTGGGAATGGATGTTCGAACCGGGTAAATACTCGCCACTATACCGAACAGAAGCGAGAAACCAGCCTGTGGCGGGATACGTCAATGCCGTCACCAAGGAGCGACTCGACTGGAATCAAGTGAAAGTCAAAGCGACGCAATTGAGTACGGTTTGGATCAGGGAATATGGATTACAGCCTGGAGAGACGGTGTCGTTGTTCAGTACGAATACGATTTGGTATCCGGTCGCGATGTGGGCTGTTATTAGAGCTGGTGAGTACCTACAAAGCCCACCTCCTTCTCTCCCACATCAGATCCCCCTCCCTCTCTCTGCCCCCTTGGTCTCGGGCTCGGTACTCGACCCTCGCCCTCGGCCGCTGACTGACATTTGTTGCACCGCATTCCAGGAGCCAGAGTCAACGGCGCATCACCCGCATACAACGTCGAAGAAATGACGCACGCGCTAAAGACGGCCAAATCGAAGCTGCTGGTGACGTTGCCGTCGTCGCTGGACGTGGCGCTTGCGGCGGCGCAGAACGTCGGTATCCCGCGGTCGCATATTTTCTTGCTTGAAGGCAATGCGGCGGGGTTCACTAGTATACAGCAGCTTATGGACCGGTGTGTGACAAAGAGATACGAACCTGATCAGCCGTATCGGATTCCGAGGGGAAAGACGAATAAGGAGGTTTGTGGGTATCTCAACTTTAGTAGTGGGACGACGGGGTTGCCGAAAGCTGTGAGTATGAGCTGGAACCAATCTGATACTGACCTTGGTGTTGTTGAGAAGAGAAGACAGAGTCGAAAATGTGGATGAATTTAGTGTTATGGTAGACTGGCTGACTGACGACTGGGTTGTTTGGTTAGGTCATGCTCTCGCATCAAAACATCATCGCTCAATGTCACCAGCTCCAGCAGCTTCAGGCGCCAGGGCCTTATAAGGTGCTGGCAGTCATGCCGTTGTTTCACAGTACGTTGGTTTGGTACCCCTTTACATACCGCACAAGCAGTGCGCTTCGATGAGTTGGTTGAATTTCGCTTCGAAGCCCACAACCGTCGTCCCCTCTTTTTTCCTACCTATACGCCGTTCGATGAGTTGGGTCAACTGACTGATTTGTTAATGCTACAGTCACCGGTCTCGTCCGATTCTGCACATACCCCGTATTAATGAACGGTGACAGCGTGATGCTGCCCTCCTTCACCATGGAATCGATGCTCCAAGCGATCTGCGAGTTCCAGATCAAAGAATTGATTCTGGTCCCACCGATCCTGATCCGACTGGTGCGCGACAAGATAGTGGACAACTACGACCTACGACACGTGGAGCGCTGGTCGTCCGGATCGGCACCGATCTCGCCGAAGATCATTGCCCTGCTTCGAAAGAAGTTCCCCTGGACAGGGTTCCGGCAGGGCTATGGGGCTACCGAGTCAACGGCGTGTATCACGGCACACCCGCCGACGCATTTCGACTATAAGTACGCCAGCACAGGAGGCAAACTGGTTGCCAACACCGTAGCCAAGGTCATCGACTTGAACACCGGAGAAGAATTGGGCGTCAACCAGACCGGCGAGATCCTCGCGCGCGGCCCGCAGATCGCAATGGGGTATCTGGACAACCCGGCCGCGACGGCCGAAACATTTGATTCCGACGGCTTCCTGCATACGGGTGATGTGGGCCATTTCGACGAGGAAGGCCTGATACATATCGAGGACCGGATCAAGGAAATGATCAAGGTCAAGGGCCAGCAGGTTGCACCGGCGGAGCTCGAGGATTTGTTGTTGGGACACCCGGACGTCGAGGACTGTGCTGTCCTCGGAGTTCAGGATGATTATGCTGGTGAGAGGCCAAAGGCGTATGTGGTCTTACGAAGGGGTGTTGCCCAGACACAAGAGACTGGCAAGCGGCTTTTGGCGTTCGTCAAGGAGAGGAAGGTCAGGTATAAGTGGATCGTTGAGATTGAGTTTACTGACCAGGTGCCCAAGAGTCCGACGGGCAAGTTGCTCAGGAGAGTTTTGAAACTAAAAGATAAGGAGGGGAAAGATAGAGGTGTGAGGGTTAAAGATGACACGGAGAGGGCGAGGTTGTGATGGACATGGATAGATGTGCGCGTACAGTAGAGGGCACAAACTAGAAGCGAGCCGTAGATCTGTTCATCTGCATATACTTGACAGTATCGGTCATTGTTGTGAGTATTTTGCAGTCATTCATCGGGTGCACCATACAACCCGAAATTGAGAACAAATATTCGGAGCTGCCTGGTTATTGCTAACAAGCTACCAGCTGTACTGCTTTCCTTCACTCTTCTGCATCTCAACCTCTTTTTTCCCCTCTGTTGTGGCTTCTCCATTGCAATCTTTCGAAGCTATCTTGTCATCATCTTCAGCAGAACCACGTTGGGCGAAATCGCAGTCTGCCTTGCAGTGAAAAAGCAAAGGTCGGTCTGTTCAAGCTTTGACCAATGTATAAATCCTGCGCCACAGGCATAGCCATCCTAGTAAACCATCCACCACTCACAGGCCTGGGGAGCCCGCATCAACACCAACTGTGCAGTAGAATTGAGGCTGTGGTGGCTGTGTGAGGTACTTTGGAAGGGTTCGAGTCCTATAAGCACGGCACCACAACTTCCGAAGTCCCCGCCATTCCAATCCAGCGAGGACAAAAGGTCGCTGCCTGAGGTGGGGGACTTCGACAAGGCCACCGGCACTGCTATACAAAGTCCAACGGTTTCCCCTCCCAACTGAATATTATCTTGTTTCTGCGCGTAGTCAAAACACCCAGTATTCCCTGAAAGAGTCCTCTTGGACGCAGCGCTGGAGATACAATGTCGAACGACGGATACTACTGGAACAACCAACAGCCGCCGGCCCCTCACGGAGAGTACGGCTACGGTGACAACAACAACCACCACCCACAAGGATACCAACAGTGGCAGTCTCCTGGGAGTCAGGGCCAGCCTACGTACCAGCAAGGCTACGATCAGTATCGCCCCTACGGATACGACTACAACAGCCCTCCACCAGCCCAGGACCATCATCAACAACCACCGTACGGTGCAGCGCCGGAGTCACAGGGCCCGTACACACAGTACCCTCACAACACCGCCAGTGTAGACCAATACTCGTCTCCGGCACCCGGCTACTCGTACCAGCAAGGGGAGTACGCGTCTCCACCGGCTCAGAATTATGGTGGCTACCCAGGCTACGACCAGAGTCAGCGGGGTCAGGGTCAGTCGCCCATACCACCACAAACCCAGGCTCCTTATGATCAATACAACTCGCCCATGGGACAGGCGCCGGGTGCAGCCCAAGCAGGACCGTATCCAGGAGCCCCGACTGACCCCAACAATCACGATCCAAATTCGCAGGATCGCGGACTCTTGGGCGCCGTCGCCGGAGGCGCTCTAGGAGCCTATGGTGGGCATAAGGTGAACCACGGCTTCCTGGGCGCCATTGCCGGTGCCATCACTGGCTCGGTGGCCGAGGATGCGCTGAAGAAGCATAAAAAGAAAGACAAGAAACAACGGCCGGTCGGCATGCGTCGAGGCTCTTCGTCCTCATCTTCGTCGTCCTCTTCCAGCAGCTCGTCGGATGATGAGAAGAAAAAGAAGAAGAGTAAGCAGCCACCACCACCGCCCCAGCACATGCGGGGCAATTTCTCATCTTCTTCGCAGAGCATTACGCTCGATAGGGACTACGACTTGATCGCCATGTGCGCCAACACTCGGGGAGAGCATAAACTCTCGTCGATATCGCTTAACAACTGTCTCACCAATACCCACGGTCGCTTTGCTTGGCATCGCGGCGGCAACTTTGGCGCCAGCGCGCGGAACGTGAGGCTCGTCGAGGACGGCAGAGTGCTCCAGGCCGAACTGGGCACAGGCGATGGTGGCTGGAATACCGATCGGGTACGATTGGATGAACGGATTGGGAACGATGATGGCGAACTGGTGTTTTTGGATCCATAGCATGGACTCTCTCTCACAGCGTCAAGATTTTTGCAAGCTTGAAGAATAACATGGCGCTGCAGCATAACATGCCAGCGCTATAAATCTTTTTCGCGTATTACTATCATGGTAAACTTGAAGGCAATTCAGGACATGGTCACATGACGGTGTTTTCGCCAGCCCGCGCTGCTTACTCCCTTGCCAGTTTGACTTTCAACCATGCTCGTGCGTATCGATAGCGATTGTGACAGGAGCCAGTTCACATACCAATGACACAATTTCAGTTGATGATTCGGTGCTGACACCTTGCATGACCAGGCAAGGATAGGTACCATGGAGCGAGATCAGGGAGTACTGCGACATCACGCCAGGCCAGGCTGGACTGCTACGATCATGCGGTGGTTCTCGCTACTACTACTGCTACAGTGGACACGGGCAGTGTTTCCAATTAAAGCATCATCAGCTAGAGGCTAAACCAGACTGGATTCGGCATGGCTTCCAGGCACCGTCCAGGCATCGGTGGTCCCTAAACTTCCTATGGCATAGCCCGGGAAAAGGTGCTCAAGTGCTAAAAACTGCGTTGATGGTTACAGCCCGGCAACTCCATCACTTCCGCAGCGCAGCCCCCGTTCTCCTGCCCGTGCGCAACCCACGTTGCCGGTACCACTGGAACTCGGTACTGGGACAAGAGAAGGTAAACAGATCACGCGAGACTGGCAAGACAGGAAGAAATCTCTGTCCAAATACAGAGGAGGCGGTGGGAAGGGCAGAATTGCAGGACCATCGACGGCCAAAGTCGCACAATGTATCGCATCACACAAGGACCACCCTTCCAGCTGGCCCAGTGTTTAACAAAAGTGCGGGCTGCCGCTGCAGAGATGGACCCGACAAAGTAAAGTGCCAATTTTGTACGGCTCCAGAAAAATGCAACCCGCATCCACCGGGGCGAAAGGATGATCAAATCAGCCGTGCCCTAATCATCACCGATCATGACCCGTCTCACGAGCAGCCGAGCAAAAGGGCTGAAAGAAGGGCGGGAAGTTTCAGTCGCCGGGGCCTGAGTGGCTGCTGAGTGGCTGCATGCGGCTCCTTCGCGAATGCTTCCTGCGCCCTTGATAATTTCTCACTGATTCAGCCATCCATGATTCAGCTTCTTGTCCATTTTGCCCTCCACCGCCGCAGAGCTGGTCCAACGACTGGCCCGTCCTGGTATCCAATTCGACTGCCTTGGCTCTCACCACCCTTCGTTCTTACCCGCATCCTTCGGAACCAACGTGGTAGTACCTTCGCTGTGGCTTATTCATTATCTCACTCTGCTGGAATGTCTCTCGCTACCTTCCGGCTCACACACCTGCCTGTGGGTGCCGCAGCTTTCCGTTCGCGTCCATTATAATGCCAGTCGAAAGCCTCCCTTGCAGCTGATCGTTTTTGTCAATGCCACCCACTCGCTCCTTTGAAGAACGATACATCTACACCCTTGGTCGGTCCTTACCAGTTTACAGCACGCTCGTCCACCTTAAAAGCGCCCTCCTCCCACCTGCCCTCCTCTCCTTTTCGACCCAACACTGGCCGACGAACAGTAACAAAGTGACGTCGTGAAGAGGGCCTATTGCAGGAGATGGTTCTCAAAGGTACGATATATAAACTCTCGAGACCAGCAGTAGCAAGAGCTCACCCAATGTGTGCAGATGCGTCCACTATATGTGGCATCCCTACGAAATATGTGTCGCTCTGCACGCTCGTCCTCCAGAATTCCACCCTCGTCCTTGTCATGCGATATTCCCGGATCCTACCAGGTCCGAGATATTTGAGTTCCACCGCCGTCGTTCTGTCCGAACTCTTGAAATGTATTATCTGTTTGTCCGTTCACATCCGTGAACAATTCACCCAGTCGCAATATACTCCATTACCCACACTTTCGGACGAGGCTGGCCCGGCGTCAAGTCCCCCGAGGTACGGTCTCCAACAACTATGGAATGATTTGTTCAGTGCCAAAAGTGGCTTCTTGAAACTGCTCATCCCAGCAATCCTCTACACTCTTCAGAACAACCTGCAATTTGTCGCCGCCTCCAACTTGGATGCGGCCACTTTTCAGGTCACCTACCAATGCAAGATCTTGACCACTGCATTATTTGCTGTGTTGATGCTCGGGCAGAGTCTCTCCTGGAGGAGGTGGCTTGCCTTGGTCATCCTCACTGCTGGTGTAGCATGTGTCCAGATACCCTCTTCTACGACACCGTCGCACGCTCGTCAGGGTAATTATCTCCTTGGTATTTCGGCTGTTACGGTGGCTTGTGTGTGCTCCGGTTTTGCAGGCGTCTACTTTGAAAAGGTGTTGAAAGGCGGTCAACATGGGTCTATATGGGTTCGGAACATCCAACTTAGTGTTGGCTGCCTAGGCATTGCCCTAGCCGGCGCATTGGTGTGGGATGGGCGGGCAATCCGGCAGGGTGGTTTCTTCCAGGGATACAACGCCGTGGTGGTTGCAACGGTGTGTATCCAAGCCGCTGGCGGTCTCATCGTGGCCATGGTCATCAAATACGCCGACAACATCCTCAAAGGCTTCGCCACGTCCCTCTCGATTATACTCTCCACCATTGCTTCGGTTTTCTTGTTTAATTTCGTCCCGACTGTCTACTTCTTGCTGGGGTCCGTCCTGGTGTTTGTGGCTACATATATGTACAGCATGCCAGGGGCGTCGAAAAATACCGACGAGACTACATCTTTGGATGATTCGGAAAAGGGGCCGGCACTGCTGGTGGGACACCATGGCCATCCTGACTCGAACGTCGGCGCAAGACCTTTCAGCGATGAGACTGATCTCGAATCAGGTGACGAGGGCAGTCGAGATACCGCTGGCACCCACACCTTCGACGATGTGACCAGCAGTCGACATTTTTCGCCTTCATTACTGTCGTCTGCCACCATGGAGAAGTAGATGCCAGTCTTTTCCCGTGATAGGTCGTGTCTGTTGATGACTTGCATCTCCGGTTTAGTAGACCTTGGTGTGTCTACCATGAATGACTTTTTGTGTCTGGCAAGCCAGTCGATTGGGGTTCGGCCTGTTGGTATTTGTGTCTTTGTCCTAAATCTCATAGCGAAGGAGTTTATGGAGAGGAACGGTTTCTGCTCCCACCACTTTGAAGCTCTCTTGGAGTGTCTGCCAATGCATTGTGCGAGTGTTTTCGGGAAGATCTGGAGCTTGGGTGACTGCAGGTGTGTGGGACATTTATTTTTTGACATTGAAGATATGATACCCAGCTTCGCGTTATATATGAACACAATTTACTAATCATTACTATCTGCATGCGAATCGAAATCAGCGACTTGTAGAGAGTGATATGCACAGTGGTAGTACCGAATCTGCATGTTGTCCTGTGCCTTGCTCGCGATACTGTATAATAAAAGTAGTACAATATGAGGTAGAACCTTTATTTACATACCGTACAAAGTTACAGCAGATAAATCAATCCTCTTTCAAATACCTCGTGCTTTTGGAGGACGTAAGTTTTGACCATTATGATTGAAATGCCTGGTACTAATAGAACAGGTCTACAGTGCAGTGCCTTGGTAGGAAAGAGCCTGAGGTTTGCAGTAGAGGAGGCATGCGGTCTTGGACTCAGATCGCCCAGGAGGTGGGCCACTTATTATGTTCAGGTCGGCAGGTCATGTTGATACACAGATACAGACTGTTTGCAGTGTTTACAAACCTGCTTTCTTTCTGGTATGTAGTGGTAGGATGCAGCATTGCTTTCAGCACTGCCATCGTCAGGTAGCCAGCGCTTTTGGACCACTGCACACAAGCTGATCGAGTTTGAGTTTGGCAGAGAGCAGCAGCTCCCGGATCTACAGCTTGAAAGTCCCCTATGTCTCGCATCCCCAGTCCAGCGTCGCCGCCAGTCAGATGCTGGGGTCCTCTCATTCCATGCCATCGCGTTGCATCCGTCCACCCAACCAGCCATCCATTCATAACATCCACGCCTGAGCCCAGCCACTGAAAGGCAACAATGACGGAAAAAAGAGCATGAAGAAACGCCTAATATGTAACCTTTCCCATCCCATCCCAACCCCAAGCGAAAACAGCATCCAGCTCAACTTCCCGGACCGGTATTTGCGCCATGTGGATGAGGTAGGTAGTCGGGGGCGATGCAGTGGCGCAGAACAGGACGACCACGGCGACGCCGACAAAGTGATCTTTGCCACGCGTTGGCCTTGCGTTTGGGGTATCATCGACGGAATCCGTTCTCCTTTGACGCCTTACACCCCGTTGGTCGCAATCCGATGGATCCGGAACCCGGCCATAACCACCTCTCCAGATAATGACGATTCTGGTGACAGCAAAAAAGCAGAGTGATAGACATACAGAGCACAAAAATAAGAGACACGCAAGACACATCAAGTCATAACGGCGATATGGCTGTGGGTAGCTCGTCAGGAACGAACCGCCAGAGAGCCACGATCAGCTGCAAGAGTCAATGACCTTTTCACTCGGCAGCGGCGGCCTCGGTCTTCTTGGGCGTTGCCTTCTTAGGGGTGGCCTTCTTGGCGGCTGCGGCGGATTTCTTGGGCGCGGCCTTTTTGGTGGCTCCAGTGGTGGTCTTCTGTTTGCTGACTCGGCCGGACTTGGTCTTCTTAAGTTCTGTTGGAACATCCTGGACAGCAGGAGCCTGAAATAAGTCTGTGGTTAGCGGCGAGATCCGTAACAGGGGAAAAAGATAGTCTTGACTTACGGGAGCTTCAGTCTTGGTCTTGGTCTTGGGAGCTCGCTTCGTCGCCGTGTTGGCCTTGGGTTTGGCGGCGGTCGCCTTCTTCGGGGCAGCGGCCTTCTTGGGCTTGGCGGCGGCAGTGGTGCCGGTAGCAGTAGCAGACTTGGTCTTGGTGGTCGTGGCCTTGGCCTTGGTTGCTTTGGGCTTCGCGTCTTTAGCGTCTTTGGTGTCCTTGGGTGCCTTCTGTACAGAACAATAGTTAGTGGGACTGACGGAAAAGCAGAGGTGATGATCATGGTTGGAACACTAACCTTGACCGCGGCAGGCTTCGCAGCAGGCTTGGCTTCCTTCTTTGCCAGCTTGACGGGACCAGAGGGGCCTGTGAAAGAGAGTTAGAATGGGGTTGCGCATGCGCGGACGGGCGTTAAATACCCTTTGGCTGTGTGAAGTCGCCCTTCTCAACACCGGACTTCAAGGCCTTGTTGAAGAGCGAGTCGAATTGGGTCTCGGAAGTGACGGTGATATTGTTGTTTGCCTTGACATACTTCTTGATAGCTTGTCGGCTAGAAAGAGTCAGTACAGGCATCGAGAAAAGAACAGTCCCAGCCGCGCGAAAGCGACGGGGTGTAACGGTAGAACGTACCTGCTTCCGTTGCGCTCTTTCAACTATGTACCGATATAGGTCAGCAAGTCGCGTTCCACATAGAACGAGAGTAGACAATGGTGCGACAACGGTATCGGTTGGAAATCGTGTTTACTTACGTTGAGGATGGCCTCCTTGATCATGTCTAGAAATAGCGTCAGTAATTCCATCCGTACGCGCTTACAATGAACTGCTCCACGCGACTGTGCGATCGCGTCCAGACCGGTGAAAACTCACCTTTGTAAGAGGCATGGGCCGGCGCGGCAGCAGGCTTCTTCTCCTTTGTGTCCTTGGCCGGAGCGGCGGCGGTGGCAGCTTTCTTGGGAGGCATGGCGACGTGGACAAGTGAGGTTGTGTAAGTTGGTGGATGAATGTGAGATGAGTAGAGTAGACTGGCAACAGAAGAGACTGTCAAGAGAGGAGGATCACAAGAAGTAGAAGAAGAAATAGTAGCAGTAGCAGTGGTATGGGCGTGTTGGGCCAGCGCGCGGGGAGGGGAGCCAGCGGATGTTTATACCTCGCATGTGACGTGCCAATTGATCCGCGAGGTGCACTGCCCAACCAGCCAATCATAAATTAGCATTCGCCGGGCGGAAAATAATCAATCAATTGATAAGGTTTTTGGGAGAGTGATGCGAATGTAGCACTGCGAGTTGATATTTCGCTGTTCTGGTCTGATTGCGATAATGCGCTGCCAGTGTATCTGCGACTCCCACTCCGACTGCGACTGCTGCTGCTGCTGCTGCTATTCTTGCCCAACTCTCCCATGATGGTGATCACGCGCTCCATGGCTCTCTCGGTCACGGCAACTGATGTTCTCCTCTTCGTGTTCTCCTGTACCACGTACCACCTCCCCGTCTCTCTGTTTTCTTGTCCCTCTTCTTCTCCCTACCTTTTGCTCCCACTCTTTCGCATTCTTCCCACCCTTTTGGGTCTTTCTTCACCACGCTTCATCTGGTCATTTCCGATCATCCTTCCACCCTTATTTCATCGCTGATATAGTGTGTATATTTATTATGATTAACCTACCTTCGTCTGCCTCCTGTCTTGATTGTTGGGTCAGTCCTTCAATTGTCGTTGGCGGATCTTGGATTATTGCGCTTGCAGAGGGTTGATGCGATGTGCGCATTCTGCACATTGATGCATTGATTGCATAAGGTGCACCGTGATCGGGTTTCTGGTCTCCCAAAGACGGTGCCGTCGAGAGTGGCTGACTGTGTTGGTTGCTCTACTTTCGGTTGCTCTACTCACAGGAAGCTTCACCGGAGTTCTTGGGATGGGTCAATCTCCAGCCATTGGGGTTGCAAGCACCTGACCTCGCCGCCGCCCCAGCTTTCCGCGGGTCATGTGAGGCTCTTGATTATTGTGCCAAGTCCACCTCGACTTCGCGCTAGGTACTACAATGTAATACGGTACCTACCTAGGTAGGTAGTCGCAATGCAATAGCTTGGGTCGGACATCGGATGCACGAAACAATGTACTGTACTGGTGAGTAGCACCTTGATTTTATGCTCAGATCAGGGAGCACGTGTCTTCAAGCACGATACGACCATCCTGCCCGCGAGATACCTTTCTATATTACAGCTCTCAGACCCCCATCAGCCCGCCCGTCCCGAACGCCATGCTATGAGTACATCATGCCTGTTTGCAATTCATGCTTCTCAGATTGTGTTCATCGCGAAATATGCGCCTTCGCCTTGGACTCTTTCTTGGTCTTGACGTCTTCTTTCTTTTTCTTCTTGGCTTCTGCGACCTTCTCATCGTGTTTCCGCTTCAAGGATTTCTTCTCTTCTTCAGTTTTGGGGACCGCCTTGAAGAACCCTTCCAGTCTCGATTGTTGTGCAGTCTTGACGTTCTTCTGCAATTTCTGGGCTGCATTGCGGACTCGGTCCTCGTTGAAGCCTTTCTCATTGACGAGAAATTGCACCAACCCCTCCACATCAGGAGCCTCCCACTTGAAGTCACACTCTGGGTCGTCCGCCGATCGGACATCAGGATGGAGGAATAGCTCACGGGCATCTTTGTATGGCCAGTCCTCAGGTAGGGAATATCGCTTTTTGGGATCGTTCTCAATGAACTCGACCACCTTTTCGAGAGTGCCATGTTCACGAATGAGTTTCAATGCCGTGTTTGGACCGACTTTCGGAATTGGGTCGACATAATCACATCCCAAGAGGATGCACAGATCAATGAACTGGCCCAGTAAGTGAGTCAACCATCTCATGAATCGACCCAAGGGTGTCTTACCTGTGTTCGGTCCATCCCTAAACCCTCCAAGGTCTTGTCGAGATGGATCTCTTGGATGGGTTCCTTTCGCTGTTCGCTGAATGTGAGGTGCCGTAGCAGGATAGGCGCGTTGAAACATAAGGTGTCCATATCTTCTGAGGCGGCTGCGTACACCTTGCCTGCGCGGGCCAGAACGGCACATTGTGCTTCGGCTTCAGTGGGGGCGATAATGTAAGGAATGCCCATTAATTTGAGCAGTCTTCGACATTCCTCATTGTGCTCTCGGGTGACTCTCACAGTCCGTCTGGAGAACTTTTCCACCTCCTCTGCCGTTCCGGTCTCTTTAGCCTCCTCCGCCTGCTCATTGGCCTCGTTCTTTCGGGCAAATCGCTTGGCCAATTCCCCTGATTTCAACTTGGGCGGTGCGCCATCGAAGACGTAGAGCGGTTTGATGCCGTTGTCGACCATACGGAGAGTGCGATAGAACATGCCCATGAGATGCGACGTGGTTTCGCCCGTGTCAGACATCAGCTGTTGGCCTTCTGACCGCACTGCGATCAGAAAGCTGTAGATACTCATCGAGCTGCACAAGTCAGTTGCTGCTCATTCTGTATAGAAAGACGGGAGCGCATACGCATCCTAGACAGAATATGTTAGAGACTTTATCATGGTAGGGCTCCGCCAAAGTGTACTCACTATTGCAACCTTCCTCCCGAAGTGGTTCTTGATTTCGCCGGTTTTGATGGCATCAGGTGCCTCCTCCGCGATGACGTGGTACAACTCTGTTCCAGGTTAGAATACTGGGATACTGGGATCCAAGAGAAAGTCATACGCTTGATACCCATGGCTGCGGTGTAGTAACGAAATCTGCGCACCCAAGTTTTGGTTTTCTGGTCTAGTCTTCAGGTTCAAGTTGCTTCGCGAAAAAGCGCAGGTTGGCGTCGCGTAAAGTGATGCCAGTGGAGCACGCGTTCTCTGGGTCAAAAAAGGCAGGGTGCGGTGATGACGTGGGGTAGCACGAGGAGGACCACGGCGGAGTATTTGATGCCTAGATGTAACAACCAGCCATGTGACAACTGCCCAATCCCCTGTCTGTTCGGCATCACCACTGGCACGCTACACGGGCAGCTGTTTCCGAACTTGAAGACTTGAGATCTCCATTTAGTGGTCGGCAGCGTGGGGACTACAGATTGATGCTAACACCACGAGATACTAACCCCGATCTGACGTGCTCTATAGTCCAGCTTGAAGGAAGCTGGAGCGCGTGTCGAGCAACTTGAGCTTGTCGAGCTCGACAGAGGAGCATTATTAAAGTTCTTGAACAACAGCCTCGGCTCTGCCCTTGTATGACCTCTTCGATGAGGCGGTGATCCCCGGCGGCCGTTTTGCTATCTCAACATCTTTCTTATTTGGCAATATCTTGTCTCTCCAATCTGCTAACCTGCTTCTCCCATAACCTCAAAAAATGTTGGCCCGATCTATATGCCGTCAAACGGCGCGGGCACGCTTTGTTATGGCAGCCCGACCTACGTCTCGCAGACACGCCAGTTCTGCAGTCGCTTTCAAATGGGAAGACCCTCTCAACCTGGCCAATTTCCTGACCGAGGAGGAAAGAGCCATTGAAGAAACGGCACGCTCTTACTGCCAGGAACGACTGCTCCCGCGGGTTCTGGAGGCGTACCGCAAAGAAGAATATGATAAAAACATCCTCAAAGAGATGGGAGAACTAGGTCTACTAGGTGCTACAATTCAAGGTTACGGTTGCGCAGGTGTCAGCAACGTTGCTTCAGGATTGATTACTAGGGAAGTGGAAAGAGTGGACTCAGGATATCGTTCAGGCATGTCCGTTCAAAGCTCGCTCGTGATGGGCCCTATACACGAGTTTGGAACCCAAGAGCAAAAAGACAGATGGCTTGAGAAGCTAGGGAAAGGACAACTCGTGGGTTGTTTTGGTCTGACAGAACCAAACCACGGGTCCGACCCTGGTTCGATGGAGACGACTGCGAAGCCTCACCCATCGAAGGAAGGATACTACTCTCTTTCCGGAGCCAAGACGTGGATCACCAATTCGCCCATCGCCGATGTCTTGGTATTGTGGGCGAAACTTCAGGAGACGGGCAAGATTCGAGGTTTCGTGATTGAGAGAGATCAGTGCCCGCCCGGCACCCTGGAAACACCTCAATTGAAAGACAAGAACGGGCTAAGGGCGTCTATTACTGGTATGATCCAGCTGGATGAATGTCCCGTGCCCAAGGAGAACATGTTCCCAGACATTGAAGGACTGAAGGGACCCTTCTCGTGCCTCAACTCGGCTCGGTTTGGCATTGCGTGGGGTACAATGGGCGCCCTGGAAGACTGCATAAGTCGAGCTCGAGAATACGCATTGGAAAGGAGGCAGTTCAAGAACAACCCCATCGCCAAATATCAGCTTGTGCAGAAGAAGCTCGCCGATGCCCTGACAGATGCCGCATTCGGCTTGGCCGCGGCCTACCAGGTCGGGAGGTTGAAGGATGAAGGCAAGGTCACACCAGAGATGATCTCCATGATCAAGAGACAGAACTGTGACCGAGCCCTTGTCAATGCTCGCCATTTACAGGAGATCTTTGGCGGCAACGCTGTTAGCGACGAGTATCACATCGGAAGGCATGTTGCCAATCTGTTTGTTACGCAGACCTACGAAGGACAAAGCGATATTCATGCTTTAATATTGGGAAGAGCCATTACGGGGATCCAAGCATTTGTGTAAGTTGGACGAAAATAGAGAAATAGCGATACTGTGTATAGGGATTATAACTGTCATGAAAAGTGCTTGAACTTGTCTTATGGCTTTCAAGTCGCCTGTGGTGTGAAAAATCGTTGGCCTCGTATAGGCGTGTGACTGAACCAAGTGCAAGGTCACGTAAGATATGGCTCTAGTGGTCCTCACTTGGGTACTTGGGCACGTGGGTGAGGAAACTTTCTGGAAATTTGAAACCGATCATTGCTTACGGACCCAACATAGAATCGCACCTTCCAGCACGTTTGACTTCTCGTGGGATTGGCTACTAAGAGCAGCATAGTAAAATGAACCGGAACCATTGCGGTCGGATCTATGGTAATAATGCACTTTAGTCGGAGGTATCGTCCAAAAGAGTGGTAATCGTACCGTGGAGGCCCCTCGGGCTTATAAGGATTATTTGGCTGTCCGGAGAACATCCGCACTCGCCGTCGCCCGCTTTGTCAGATGCAGTAGTGAAGTAATGGCCAGTAGTAGTCGTCTGTGGCAAGGTTTTGCTAATCGCTGAAAAATCGGGGAGTAGGCGCAGTGGCCCAATAATGAGGCGCAGTAGTAGTTGCTACCACGTACTAGCACTAGCACTCAGGCTCCGAGTGCCTAAAATGTAAGGCGTCAAGGTGGTGAATGGTAAGGCGAAACACTGGATTGCCAGGCGCTTCTATCGTGCCAAGCTTGGCTGGCAACTGCGCTTTCGGCTGGTTTAACGAGCCGTGACCTTCTTTCACTGACCACCATCACTTGAACCACAACAACGACAACAACACAATACCTGCGTGACAAACGTTTGAAATACAACTCCAAGATCGCTGCGATCTACTTACTCTCACCTTTACCTACTTTTACTCTCTACCACTGAAAGGTTCGTTCTTCCTCAGCCGCCAGCCGCAAGGTGAACCAAGGTTGACTCAGATTGCAGCCCCACGTCAAATCGGTTTTCAACCACCTTTTCGCCTTTCAAGACCTTTTCAAACCATCATCTTCAGATCCGACAACCATGGCGTTGAAGCGAATCAACAAAGAACTCACAGATCTCGGCCGGTAAGTCGCCTCTCGTACTTTCCGGACACCCGCAATATCAAGGGCTGTTGGCAAACACGGCCTGATAAGGTGTTTCTAAGAAGCAGAACACAATACTGATTAGTGGCAATTATAGTGATCCTCCCTCATCATGCTCAGCTGGTCCCATAGGAGATGATCTGGTATGTCGCGTACCCTGGCCGCCGGGTGGCAATCTACACACAGAGTCCACGTTTGCGGTCGTAAGGTCCTCTGAATTTCCGACTAACATTGCATTCACAGTTCCACTGGCAAGCGACAATCATGGGTCCCGTAAGTATTCTAGTCTTTGAGTTTGATCAATGAATAGGTACTAACATTTAAAACAGGGCGACAGTCCTTTCCAGGGCGGTGTTTTCTTCCTCTCAATCCACTTTCCCACAGACTACCCCTTCAAGCCACCGAAGGTCAACTTCACCACCCGAATCTACCACCCCAACATCAACTCCAACGGCAGTATCTGTTTGGACATTCTCCGAGACCAATGGAGCCCCGCATTGACGATATCTAAAGGTACGAAACGCCGAACCACCACATGATGAAATCTCAAGCTAACATCTGAACCAGTGCTGCTGTCCATCTGCTCCATGCTCACAGATCCCAACCCCGATGATCCTCTCGTTCCGGAAATCGCACACGTGTACAAGACCGACCGTGCCCGCTATGAAGCGACGGCCAGAGAATGGACGAGAAAGTTTGCAATCTAGTCGTCGGGGAGAATGGAGAGGCGGTCAGCCGGTGTTCTGCATTATCAAGCAAGGGTAACAGCTTGAAGGCAACAGATGCTCCGATTGATCCACGCAGTGGGCGACTCAATACAAGGATCATGGGGAAGTGCCACAGCGAATGAAAGCGCACCATTGGCATGACATTGCGAATGCAAACGACAGCAACGGGAGAAACGGGCGTAAACCTAAGGCTGTGCTCAAGTCCAACAGCACGATTTGGGAATGGAACTCTTATGATGCATTACGGCTACGGGCATGCTTTAAGGATAACAATGGTGCTATTTTGCTCTCCGACTTCTTTTCGTATCTTGTTCATTTTTCCGCACCTTGTAGTGTGTATTTCATCGCATGATGCCTGCTGTTGCCCCGTCTGCAGACCATGAGGGCTCTGAAACTGCCACCACTTCATCTGGCCCAGGCAGAAGGCGTCATCTGGCCATTCGATTGTGAACGGAAACCAATAGGAGCTGCTACTGGGCACTGAAGCCCGTCCGCGTACGTACCTAAGGTTCAGGCCCGGAGTACACGCACTCATATGCATGTGAATCGCAACAGAGCCGGGCGACCGTAAGGGGCCTATCGGTCTTGTGGCCTGATCAGATGTCGGAGTCGCAGTCGACAGAGTTCACTTGCACTGCAGTTGAGAGAACCCTTGCAAGAGTTGAAACAGGGAGATGCAGCGGCAACAGGGAGTGCCTAGGATGACCAGAACCCTCGAGACTGGAAGAGGCAGAAGAAGGGAATTTGTTCGCTTTTCTGGGCTGTTTCGAACATTGTCAAAAGGCCCCTGGCGTGTTTCACCCCTTCAAGCTGCGCCTGGCCTCGCCTCATATCGCTGTGCGCCAAACTTGAACGGTGAAGACAAAGACATTACTTGCTAACTTGGCCCGTCCATCCCGGCCACCGAAACTCGACTCGAGTCCGTTCACTTGACAAAGCGTCTGGACTTGGTTCCCGACGCATTGATTGTCGCCGTGGTTCCGCCTTCCAGCCATGTGGATTTTCTCTGATGCCATGGACCAGGCCGAGTCCGAGTCGCCAGTCGGAGTCCCGCGCTCCACCAGATCCTGCTGTTCCCTGCGCGCGCAGTCCTCCACTTGGCAAAGACAGTTTACCCCTTTCTTTCACCTTGCATCGAGTTCGCGAGTGGAAGCAGTGGATGCGCTACTGGTTCGGGCCACAAGCGCTGAAGGGGGCCGGAAGCCTCTTTTCTCATGGCTTTCGACGTTTTTACTGTCAGTGGTAGGAGTATTGTAGTTGTGTTCGTAGTTATTTGTTCGCGCCGTCCCCGCCCCGATCTGTTTACCTCTGTTGATCGTCTTCTTCTTCTCAAAAGTACACCCATTTCAATTGACAGTATATAGTATAATACAGTAACACCACTCACTTCTCACACAAAACCCGCTTTTGCCTGGCGCGAAGCACCGATCAAACAAGCACTACCACTACTACTGGAGGTCAGTCAGTGGCCTTACGCAGTCGTCATCTGGTTCAATACTGATACTGTGTCAGGAGCACGTTTCAAAGCGACCAGATTTCTTGAACACTTGTCTCAAGTCAGTTGGCCTTGACACAGAGCCACACAAGCCCAGGCCTGTCTGAGGTCAACTACCTTACAATACATACACCCTTTTGGCCCGCCCGCCATGAACAACAGGTCGGCGCCACCACGATCACTACCCTCACAACAACCACCCCCCTACCTCTACGACATACCGCTGGGCCGGTCCAACACGACGACGCACAATAATGCAGCAATGTATTACCTGGAGAAGCCGTTGGCCAGGTCAAATACGTCCTCGACAGCCAGCTCGAGCATGTCAGAGCGAACGCGGTCGACGCCTCTCTCTCGGATGTTGTTGTCGGGCGAAGTGAGCGGCGATGCGCCACGGGATTTGACACCGAAAGAGAAATTCGAGCGGTGGATGGTCAATGAAGGGTCTCGCCGAATGGTGGTCGGAGTGTTCGTGCTGGTTCACGGACTCATCTTCGCATTTGGCTTCATGAACTACCAACTCAAGGACAACCTGACGGGAGCTCGAGGAATCTTTGGCATCACATACCCGATCGCCCGATCAGCAGCATTGGTGTTGCATTTCGACGTGGCATTGATTTTGTTCCCCGTGTGTCGAACCCTGATCTCGTTGTTGCGCCAAACACCGCTCAACAGCATTGTTCCCTTCGACAAGAACCTGACCTTCCACAAACTCGTGGCCTACTCGATCGTCTTCTTCACGTGGGTGCACACGATCGCGCACTGGAACAACTTTGCCCAGTTGGCCATCAAGCAGAAACTCGGGTTTGTCGGGTTCCTCAAAATCAATTTCGTCACGGGTCCCGGCTGGTCCGGGTACGTGATGCTGTTTGCCCTGATGGCCATGCTGTTCACGTCGATCGAGAAACCCCGCCGGGCCAACTACGAGCGCTTCTGGTCCGTCCATCACCTGTTCATTGTGTTTTTTGTCTTTTGGTCCGTTCACGGCGCCTTTTGCATGATCAAGTCCGACACCGCCCCCTTTTGTTTCGGCACCGGTGTCTTCTGGGAGTATTGGATGTACGGCGGTTTTGCGTACTTGCTTGAACGAGTCCTGCGCGAGATTAGGGGTCGGCACAAGACTTTTGTCACAAAAGTCATCCAGCACCCTAGCAATGTCGTCGAGATCCAAATGCACAAGGAAAAAACAAAAACCCGCGCCGGCCAGTATATCTTTTTGTGCTGTCCCGAGGTTTCGATATGGCAATACCACCCTTTTACTCTGACCTCAGCCCCCGAGGAGGACTATATCTCCGTTCACGTCCGTATGGTCGGCAACTTTACAAAAGCTCTAGGTAAAGCGTTGGGATGTGACGACAGCAAAGGAGGTCGAGGTGGTGATGACAATTCCGGGGCCAAGAAGGAACGCTCCCAAGTCGTTTCCATGGCCCCCGGCGGGCTGATGAAACTCCTGCCCCGTGTCTATGTCGATGGGCCCTTTGGCTCGGCCTCCGAGGACGTGTTTAAATTCGAAACGGCTGTGCTAGTCGGTGCCGGTATTGGCGTCACTCCCTTCGCCAGCATTTTGAAGTCGATCTGGTACCGCATGAGCACGGGAAACACCGGTGGCGGCAACGGCAAGTCGCGGCTGCGCAAAGTCTATTTCTTCTGGGTGTGTCGAGATTTCGGGTCTCTGGAATGGTTCAAGTCTTTGTTGGCGGCTATCGAGGCTCAAGATAAGCAGCATGCCATTGAGATTCATGCGGTAAGTCTTCACTTTCTTCGAAATGTATTACGTCCCTCGGTCGGCCTGTGTACTAATTGCTGTGGTTCAGTACCTCACCGCCAAAATCTCCGCCGCCGACGCCAACAACATCATGCTCAACTCGACCGACACCGACGCCATCACGGGCCTGCGCACCCCGACCAACTTTGGCCGTCCGAACTGGGACATGGTCTTCCGAGCGATCCGCAAGATCCATTCGCCCGGTGAAGCTGGTGTGTTTTTCTGCGGACCAAAAGGACTGGGGTCGCAGTTGCATGTCAAATGTAACATGTACAGTGAGGGCGATAAGGGATTCAGTTTTGTCTGGGGCAAAGAGAACTTTTGATCAAAGTCAAAGGTTTTTCTTTGTGCTGCTGGCTCTGGCTGTTGTTCGTCCAGTCCAATCCAGTCCCCCACCCCAGGTTTTTGTTGGTCCAATTGGGCAAAAGAGATTTTTACAGTAAGATTCCACACCCATCTTGGTGGTCATGCATGGCTCATGTTCCTGCAGTGACAGTGAATGAGTGAGTGGTACACAGTATATGTACAGTATATCTATAGAGTACCCAAGGCAAGGCACAGCAGTTCGGGTTAGCGTTCTTTTCTACGGCCTGCCTACCTATCGTTGACACAGTCAGTCTCTCTTTTGACTGAAATGATGAATATACTTGAGCGTTCAATTCATCGTCGTCCATTGGCCTTTCTTCTTGTATTCGGTAGTATGTATGTAGAAGAACTAGTTCTTTTCTTGACACTGTCGATATATGACATCAGGTTGTGATTTAATTGCATTGCGTTAACAGAGACACTAAAGTAACCCAACTTTCCTCCTCACCCATCTCGTCCTCTCTTCCCATTCCGGTCCGCGGGGATGCAACATGTCGGCCACCTCAGCAACCAAGGCGCGGCCAGAGTGATGAGACCACCAAAACATATCGAGAAGGTCAAGCATGACGGCCCAGTGGGAGAAAATGAGCAGAGCGAACGACTCACCCTGCCGCAACTGCGAGACGAAGTCGGGCCCGGCCATGCCGATCCAACCTATTATGTGGCCTCGATCGGGGCCTGGATTTGTCGCAGTAGGCGTGGGAGTCGACGTGGCAGTGGGCGTAGGAGTCGATGAGCAGCTTAGCAGCGCCGGATCGCCTGGCGACACGAGAATTGCAAGGGGTGGTTCTTGTTTGGAATAACACCATTCGAGATGGCGGATGGCGTCTTCGTAGATCTGATGGCGGGTTTTAGGAGGACGGTCGCCATCATGACCATCACGGCCACCATTGTCGCCACCACTACCACCACCACAACCATTGTGGTTGTCGTTGCTCCAGTGCGGACGATCGTAAGACTGATTGGTGGGAGATGTTTCATTCCTAGCCAAGGCTGGCTTGTTGAGTTCCTCATTCAGCGTAGCCAGGCGCTTCAACGCCTCGATCAGGTCCGGGTCTGTCAGGCGCCAATTTCCGCTCGCGTACTCCGCATAGGGATCGAGGATGAGACGAAACGGCGACTTGCGTAGTGCTTCTCGGCCCAGACCGGAGACTATAGCAACGCCCCTGAGGTATTCGAACAGCGCGAAAATACTTTCCATGGGCGTCAGGTTTTGCCGGTAGGGAACACCGGCACTTTGACCTGGACTGCCGGCTGAAAAGGTGAATGGAGATGATGAGGCGGACGGAGCTGCGCTCAAGGTCGAGCTCGCCGATATGGTGGCTTCAATGCCCGGGACGGCCATTGCAAACAGCATCGTGATGCTGGAAAAGGCAAATACCGCACTGCAGTTTTCCGGCGTGACGTCCTGCACTGAGCCTCTGAAAAGTGTAACGGCTCGGTTTTGATATTCCAGAGCCTTGCGCAAGTAGAAAGCTGCAGGGCGCGTTGAATTCGTCAATGACGTCGAAATCTCATAGATATGGGCTTCGGGACGTGACGAATAGTCGACATCGTGTTGGTGTTGTTGCTGCTGCTGCTGCTCCTTTTGCTGTTCCTGCTCTATTTTCAATGTCGTCATGTGTAAGGCCGCGAAAGCCAAAAGAGCCTGGAGGAGGAAGTCGTACTGGAGAGCCTTCCGAGGCACGTACTTCTGCCACAGGTCGCCGGTCTCCACGCTCTGGATCATACCCACACAGCTGCGGTATGTCACGGTGGTGTAAAGATGCAACATTTCGAGGTCAAGAAGGTGTTGTCCCTTGTCTTGGCTGCCACTGGCAGCAGGATAAATAACATCTGGGGCCCCAACGACATTGGAAGCCGGAGTGTTGGTACCACTTGACGAGGGCCGGATTGGTGCCGAACTTCTCCCCCCAGTTCCGGTCGAAGTAGTGGTAGCCGGTGACCGGATAGTACCCCGGCCTCCACTCAAAGAGGTGTCATGATAGTTGATTGGAGTGTAAGCATGCTGTTCACGGTATGAGCAGTCCAGCTCTCGCTTCGTGCAGTTGCCGCATACGGGGGTCTTTTCATCGCACTAAAGGGTTCGGTAGGAGCATGAACAAGAGTTCCACAAGAGAATAACAGCATTTGGGAAACTAAGTGATTGGAGGGACTTTGTCTTACTTTGACACGTCGTTGCTTGCATTGGAGACAACCTTTGCGTGACTTCTTATGTGTCCGACGCGGTGGCATGAAATTGCACAGTAAATCTGGACCAAGCGGAGCGACGAAGAAGGCTCCTGCGTCCTTTTGTAATCCCAGAACAAGTGACGTCTGTGAAGGACTCGGAAGAAGGATTAAAGCAAAGAGCGAAGCGGTATCGTTACTGTCCGCGACGTCTTGAGTGCACTCTGCAATATTAGTCCGCACTGGCAGGAGTAGTCCCTGGTAAATCAAAACAACCCTTTTGCGGTGGCGGTGTGTGGAGGTGGTTGAATTCGAGCGAATGAATGCATATAAATTGCTGTTGCCTGTGCTTGGTTTAATAGTAATACCCAGATTCAGCCTTCCTGCCGCCGCTTTCCAAATGTTGGCCGTCTGTCTCTCTTTCCACGCCCTGCAATGAATTTACCCTTCTTCTTCTTCTTCCAACGTTTGATTCCTCAACCACTAGTGCCACCAGTAGTACCACCAAACAGCTGCTTAAAGGATGGGGCGCTTCTATTGACATTGTGATTATGTCTTCGAAAAGGGAGACTGTATATACGTGTGCCAATTTACAGTACATGTGGTTTGAATCGGATGTATGCTTGGGGATACCTGAGAAGCATCTTTATCTGTATCCTGTCTAGACTCCAATACGCCGTGCTTCAAAATGCATCTCTCAAGAGTGCGCCCTCTCTATGTATTCGCGCCTCTCATTCTGAGAGCAAGAACGCCCCCACGGATCTCGTCCCGAGTATCAAAGTCCAATGGCACGCTTTCTTGGTCAAGTTCAAAGTGTGTGTCGCTGCCACCATGTCTTTTCCCGCTTCACCTCTTGTGATAGACGTAGACTATCTGCTTCACAACCTTGCCACCTCTATCGCTCAACATCGCATTGACCTCGCTCGGATGAATGACGGCGAAAAGGACCGTAGTAGCGAACATGAGGACTCCGTCGAAGACGTACAGAAACACTTCGTGCGAGATCAGATATCCGTCGTTGCCCTGCGCGTACTCGACCAGCCGGAACACCGATCGGACAAGGATTAGTATACTGCCGGCGAAAAGGGCCAAGAGATGTTTCTGCCACACATGGGCCGTAACATCGCTATTGAGAACTTTGGACGTCGGGATTCTGTTCATGCGCACGTTGAAGGCAATGGCCACGACGATGAAGAATGAGAAAAAAACAATCTGCACGAGCAGACCGCCGATGATGATGTGTTCGCCCGTCGTCATTGAATTAGGGCCGTTGCCGGCCATGATGCCGCCGCCTGCAGAAAAGACAATGTTAGAAGGATGTATGAAGCGATATAGGACAGCGGAAGTTGTTCCTCTTCTCTTTTCCTTGCCCGATAACGGTACAGGGTGTTATCATAGGGAATTGAACGTGTTGACTAACCGGACGACTGCATTAGGAAGGAGAGAACATCTCCAGCCACGAAGATCTTGGTGAGCCAGCGCAAAGGCACAATCGAGTGTCTGGCGCCGTCGGTGATGCGGATGATCCGTCCCAACTCCATGTATATCGAGGCGGCGAATAAGGCGGGTGCGACCAGAATTGGCACTGACTGCATGATGAAAGGGCCCACGGTCCAATTCGGGGTCTCTGTGTGTCCGATCGCTCTCTGTGGAGTGAAGGTCCATGTCAGTTGCGGTTTCTCGTATCGGCAGGACGAGGATTCGAGAGGTAGAGGGCAGAAAGGTCTTGAGGGCGAAAAAGACGGGAGAATTCTTACGCCAATGTATCCTATCCATTCCACTGTTTCATAGAAACCGTCAGCTACACGACAAAGCCTTGCGGAGCGTCACTGGAGCAGTGAGAGGCCCGTAAGATGGGGTGACAAACGTACAATATATCCCAATGACAAACGGAATGAAGTACAACGTCCGCGTCCGTATCAGCTGGTAGGTATGCAGGAGTGAGGAGACGACGAAGAGGAGAATGAAGATGACGGCCGCCGCCATTGACGGGTCATATTGGTACAGTTTGTAGGTCCCATCGCTGCCTGCCATGTTTGCCGGTGTTACGTCCCCACGGGGCCTGGTGATTGTTTTATGCTGCTAGGGCTGATGCGCGGCGCACAAGTATGATATCGGCAGGTATTCAGGAAATATCAGGGCGCCGTGGTAAAAGGACCAGAAGTGGTGGAATCAAGATGCTCTCAAGTCGACAGGCTGAGGACTGGTTGCAGTGGTATAGGCACTGAAAGACGAGGCAGGCAAAATGCAAAATGGAGACGACAATGCAGACAACACACAGCGCATGAAGATTGTAGTCAGGAACATCAAACGGGGAGATATATAGTCAAATAGATATGCCATTTTTTGCGTCGGTACGTGTCTACCCTGCTCATGGGGTTTCATTTTTCGCTGGAGCCTGCTCAATATCAATGGCGCGAAACCATTTGCCCTCGTTTTCTTATCGACTGTGACACTGTGCCACCCACTCGCTCAACGCCAGCGAGCGAAGCTCGGCAGGTATTGAAGGATGGGGCCCATGGCGGTGCACCACCCATGGAATGATTGATTGACTGATTGATTTCCTAGACGTGTACCGTACCCACGAAGGGAACACATCGTACTATGACGGACGGTATGGAGACAAAAGGTCCAGGCTGAGCCTCGTTTTCGTTTTCGTGTACGATTTTATATGCCAGATTCGGTGCTAGGGCAATGCTTAATTTGAGGCAATGCCATTGTCTCGTATTCGTGTTCGGCAGACTTTCCAGGATCCGATTACTTACATGTACCAGTCCAAATGACACCTTGAATCAAGCCGAGTCGAACCCCGAATACGATGCCGACTACGGTCCTGTTCCGAGTCATGTGGGCGTCCATCTTACTTGGTGAGAATAAACATGACGTTCAAAGAAACTCAAGGCTTTTCGAGAAAGAATGTACACGCATTTCGGCTCTAGGATCGAAGCAGATCGGTATACCTGACTTGATCCACCTCTATCTTATCCGCCAATATGAGAACCAGAGTTCCTCGTGTCTCCTGCCCATGTGTCTGTTGCGAAGCTTGAGATTACCAGGGGTTTGAACTGGCGATGACCGGCATTTGAGTGTGCAGGCTCATTTCAAAGACGTCTCCTTTTGGGGATGAACCAAGGTGTCTGTTTGCTTGGTCCAAGGTTGGTAGGCTTGATGTTTTGTGGCGGGCGCCCTCCAATAGTCTAGCCAGCGAGCCAGAATTGCATCACGATCACCCGGGATCCTACTCTGTTGAGGTGACACGTGTAGGAAGCCATGGCAGAGGGCAGAATAGCCCGAATGCTTTTTCACCGGTGAGGGTATGATCGAATCAACATACCACGCCATGCGCTGTGCGCGTCTCCTACAACTCGGACCCTCGACTGACCAGATCACCCCACATCTACTTCTCCGAGTAACCCTGCATTACCGTGACAAGGCAATATCATCGATACGCAAAATCATCTTGACTGTCTCGGCGGCAAGCTCGATCGCACTCGTGCTCACAAGCAGAGGTTGTAAGACCTTCTCCTCCGCAATGTTGGCCTTGACACCTCCGCTTCGAATACTGACACCGGCATTTTTCTCCCCCATATCATGCCGATGCCGAAGGTCAGTTACCACCTTGATGCTGTTGAGACCAGCATTCTCCGCCAGCGTGGTGGGAATCACCTCCATGGCGTCCGCAAAGGCTTTCCAGCATATGGCTTCGGTGCCAGTCAATTCTCGGGCCTGTTTGGCCAGCTGGTACGCAACCTCAATTTCAGGGGCTCCACCGCCTGCAATGAGGGCCTTCTTCTTCACCAAACATCGGATCACGCAAAGAGCGTCGTGGATTGAGCGCTCGGCCTCATCCAGGATGAGTGAATTGGCACCTCGAGCGACGATCGACACCGTCTGGCTTTGTGGCGATGCTGTGCGAATACCAGTAATTTTGACGTATCTTGCGCCCGAGGCATTAACTTCTTCGACGAGATCTGCACTGCCGAGCTTGTCTTCGGTGAAAGTGTCAATATTCGCAATCGGTTTGCAGCCCGTGCTCTTGCACAAGAACTCCACTTCATCTCTCTCAATGTCTTTGATCGCCATAATCTTGAGTCTGGACAAGAAGTGTAGTGACAGGTCGTTAACCGCGTCTCTCAGGATGGACTTCTGAATGAGAAGCACATTACACTTGGCTTTTTGAATCTTCTTCACCATGTTCAGGAGATAGGTTCTCTCCTCTTTGAGGATCTTGTCCATCTGTCTGTAATCGTTGACCACAATCTGATTCTCCATGTCGGGCTTGGGCGGACTCAATTGGAACTGTATCAGCGCAATTCGTGCTTTCTCTATCCTTGTTGGACCACCACTGCTCTTAATAACGGGCTGGTTGAGAACCACACCATCAATCATTTCCGAGTCCTCAATCGTGCCACCAACTTTCTTGACGATCCGAATGTTCCGTAAATCGACATTGTCGGCGGTTTTCGGATCAATAGTCTTGAGGACAGCATCGACCGCCATGGGCCCAAGTAATCCGGAATGTTGCGACACAATCTTCGAAGAGAGGGATGTGGAAGCCGCTTGTAGAAGGGTCGTCCGGTCTGTTAACGAGATGGGCTGCGACATGCCGTGTAGAATCTTGACTGCAGCGGCAGCGGCTCTTTGGAAGGATTCGGAGATGATGGTAGGGTGGATGCCTTTTGCAAGCAATCGGTCTGCCGCTCCCAGCAGACTACCGCAGATGACGACGACAGACGTCGTTCCGTCTCCAGCCTCGACATCTTGCGCCGCGCTGAGATCGACCAGCATCTTCGCGGCCGGATGCATGACGCTCATACTTTTCAGCATAGTGTTGCCGTCGTTTGTGATAAGATTCTCTCCTTTGCCGGTCTGTATCATTTTGTCCATTCCTCGAGGGCCGAGCGAAGTTCGAATGGCATCTGCAACGGCTCGTGCGGCAAGAATATTCGCTGTGCGCACTGCCATGGGCTTCTCTTTATCCTGCGAAACATGTTAATATGGACAAATTCTCATCAACCCGGAACTTGAAGGACGACATACTTTGAAGGCCGCATTTCCCACGTTGCCTTGGATTCCCAAGGTAGCAGCCATGGTTGGTCAGGTCGGGTGAGGAAACGTTGGCGGATCAGGAGACTATGTAGAACTGTTGATTCCACGAGTTTGAACCACAGCTTTCCCCTGGTATTGCCAAACAGAATCACGTTCGGAATAATGAAGCAGGTGTACGGTAAATTTCCAGTTGCGAAAGTTGGAGAGCGTTGGAGGGGCGTTTCCGGTCCGCAGTACAGAAGCATCGTGTCTCTAGTGGCGAGCAGGCAACCTGCAAGTGCAATCTCAGGCACCGCGCGATTACGGAATGCAACAGCATCACTGCGGTGCAGTTGCTGCGACATACAGTACTTCTTGTGACCATCAACACTCGCCATCTCATCAATTCCACCACGGTTTCCTCACGCTCCTTGCTTCAAGCTGTCGAACCCCCTTGCCGTCCTTCGGCCCCGAAACGAATCTACATACCTGCTTTCCCTCTCCCCTCCGCTCGCTCCATAATCTTCGAAAATGCCCAGTGCCACCGGGCAAAACTGGGAGAAATACCAGAAGAACTATGCCGTTGACGAAGAGCCCGAGAAGAAGATCACACCCTTGACAGAAGAGTAAGATGCTTACACACCATATTGACGGACCGTGCTGACAGAGTCAGGGACATACAAGTTCTGAGAACATATGGCGCCGCGCCATACGCTTCGGCACTAAAGAAGCTTGAGAAGCAAATCAAAGAAAAACAACAGAGCGTCAATGAAAAGATAGGCGTCAAGGTAAGCGGATGCCATATTCGGTCCTCCGGCCGTTTACTGAAGTGTTACAGGAATCAGATACGGGGCTTGCCCCTCCGCATCTATGGGATGTGGCAGCCGATCGTCAGCGAATGTCAGAAGAACAGCCCTTGCAAGTCGCGCGGTGTACAAAGATCATACAGGATGAGAAAGATCCCGAGAAAAGCAAATACGTTATCAACGTCAAGCAGATTGCGAAGTTCGTCGTCAACCTTGGGGAACGAGTGAGCCCTACAGATATTGAAGAAGGAATGCGCGTTGGTGTCGATCGACAAAAGTATTCTATTATGCTCCCATTGCCACCAAAGATTGATCCTAGCGTGACGATGATGACGGTTGAAGACAAACCCGATGTGACGTACGGTGATGTAGGTGGCTGTAAAGAGCAGATTGAGAAACTCCGAGAAGTGGTCGAAATGCCACTTCTGTCGCCAGAGCGCTTCGTCAACCTTGGAATCGACCCTCCCAAAGGTGCTTTGCTATACGGACCTCCAGGAACCGGAAAGACGCTATGCGCACGAGCTGTTGCAAACCGAACGGACGCCACTTTTATCAGAGTTATTGGATCCGAGCTAGTACAGAAATACGTGGGCGAGGGTGCTAGAATGGTTCGAGAACTGTTCGAAATGGCCCGGACAAAGAAGGCCTGCATTATCTTCTTCGATGAGATCGATGCCATTGGTGGTGCTCGGTTTGACGACGGCGCTGGCGGCGACAACGAAGTTCAAAGAACCATGTTGGAGCTTATCACTCAACTTGACGGTTTCGATTCGAGAGGAAACATCAAAGTCATGTTTGCGACCAACCGACCTTCCACACTCGATCCTGCCCTCATGCGACCCGGCCGGATTGACCGGAAGATCGAATTCTCTTTGCCCGACCTCGACGGTCGAGCCAACATTCTCCGAATCCACGCAAAGAGTATGTCTGTGGAGCGGGACATTAGGTGGGAGTTGATCTCACGACTGTGCCCGAATGCGACCGGTGCCGAACTACGCAGTGTCGCGACAGAAGCGGGCATGTTCGCCATTCGAAGTCGTCGCAAGGTGGCCACCGAGAAGGACTTCCTCGCCGCGGTGGACAAGGTCATCAAGGGCAACCTCAAGTGGAACAGTACGAGTGCTTACGCACAGTACAACTAGATGGCTTTGGCATAGTCACGGGAGCCAGCATTGTCCCGGAGTTTGTGCAACGCGGGCACCGAGGAAGGGTTCAATTGTACCAACAGGGCGGTCAGTTGTAGGCTTGTCAATAAGACTTAAAGAACTTCCGGTTGAAGTGTTCCTCGTCGCACCGTCGACCAGATACTCCCTCATGTTCATCTGTAACATGGGTACTACTACCTGGTAGTAGTATTCTAAGCCAGCACGTTATCGGTACTACTAGTGGCCGCTTTAAGCAGCAACAGCTTACTAATCTGGGCTCAAACTGGGGGCATTCTTCGAGGTAGTCTTTTGGCTCTTATTGTGTCCGGTCCTGCCAACTCAGGTTTACAATGTAGGTATTGTAGAGAGAGAACTTGGCATCGAACAAACTCTGGGGCGTCTCCGGCAGCGATAATAACGTCGTCCAATATAGCGATGCGAAGTCACAAGGCATGTAAGGGAAATAGTAATACGGTGTAAATAGAAGTGCGGTGATTGGCTCGAGCCGTCGCGGGCAAAACCGCTTGCTCGGCCCCAAGACTGTGGAGGGCAACGAACGCATTTTGAGCTAAGTCATTGACGACTTCCATTTCATTTCACTCATCTTCCGAGCCACCTCTTGCCTCTATCTTCTCGGGCCTTGCTCTGCTGCGTGCGCTCTCCGCTCTGTGTACAGGTCTTAGATGATCTGAAGCTGTGCAAGATGAGCTCTTCTAGCATCCTCCGGAGCATGACTCCTGCGACCAAGGTATAACACCCGAGCCTCCGTGCCCTGATCCGATGCTGACCCGAATTCCAGTTCTCTCGGACATGGAGGCAATCCAGAAGACAGTTCTCCTCCACGCGGCCTGCCGGTACGATTAACATGCTTCATGTATGCTTATATGCGACGCTGACATCGTTGAAGCGCGGATCATTGCCAACCAGCCACTCCGAGCCAAGGAAGCTCCGCTCCATGTCTCTCGGAAGTACCCCGTCATTGTAAGCAAGACTCAAATACAGCCTCTATACGTGCCAGGGCTGATGGAAGCAGGATCACGAATATGATGCGGTCGTGGTTGGAGCCGGTGGCGCCGGTTTGCGAGCAGCTTTCGGTCTCGCGGAAGCAGGTTTCAACACAGCATGCGTTACCAAACTGTTTCCTACGCGAAGTCACACGGTGGCGGCGCAGGGAGGCATCAATGCAGCTCTCGGAAAGTCAGTGGGACTCACCTGCTTTTTAGATCTCAAGAGCTGACCTGGCTGTAGCATGCACGAGGATGACTGGAGGTGGCATATGTACGACACAGTTAAAGGATCGGATTGGCTTGGTGACCAGGATGCCATCCACTATATGACCCGCGAAGCGCCTCGATCGGTTATTGAGCTTGAAAGCTACGGATGCCCCTTTTCGCGAACCGAGGATGGCCGGATATACCAGAGAGCATTCGGAGGACAGTCACAAAAATATGGAAAAGGTGGACAGGCGTACCGATGCTGTGCCGCCGCCGACCGGACGGGTCACGCTCTGTTGCACACCCTGTACGGACAATCTCTCAACCACAACGCCAGCTATTTCATCGAATATTTCGCCCTAGACCTGCTCATGGAGGGTGGCGAATGCAAGGGTGTTATCGCCTATAACCAGGAGGACGGTACTCTGCATCGTTTCAAGGCTAAGAACACTGTCCTGGCCACCGGTGGCTACGGACGAGCTTACTTCAGTTGTACCTCTGCCCACACTTGTACCGGAGACGGCATGGCCATGGTCGCACGTGCCGGTCTCCCCAACCAGGATCTCGAATTCGTCCAATTCCACCCAACCGGTATCTATGGTGCTGGTTGTCTGATTACGGAAGGTTCCCGAGGTGAGGGTGGTTATCTTTTGAACTCGGAGGGTGAACGATTCATGGAACGGTATGCTCCGACCGCAAAAGATTTGGCTTCCCGAGACGTCGTTTCCCGGTCCATGACGATGGAAATCCGTGAGGGTCGTGGCGTTGGTCCTCACAAGGACCATATCTACCTGCAGCTCAGCCATTTGCCAGCCGAAATTCTTCATGAACGCCTGCCTGGTATCTCGGAAACCGCCTCGATCTTTGCCGGCGTTGATGTGACCAAGGAACCTATCCCGGTTTTGCCTACTGTCCACTACAACATGGGTGGTATCCCAACCAAATACACTGGTGAAGTCCTCCGCGTCAACGATGCTGGACAGGACGAGGTTGTCCCAGGTCTTTTCGCTTGCGGTGAAGCCGCTTGCGTGTCTGTCCACGGCGCTAACCGATTGGGTGCCAACTCGCTCCTGGATTTGATTGTGTTTGGCCGAGCTGTCTCACACACGATCCGTGACAACTTTACGCCTGGCCAGACCCAGAAGGAGCTCGCGGCCGATGCCGGTGCTGAGTCTATCAATGTGCTTGACAAGATCAGAACATCGGACGGTCCTAAGAGCACGTTCGATATCCGCAATGCCATGCAAAGAGTGATGCAGACTGACGTCAGCGTCTTCCGAACCCAAGAGTCTCTGGATGAAGGTGTGCGGAGAATCAATGAGGTCGATCAGATGTACGACCAGGTCGGTATCAAGGACCGCAGCATGATCTGGAACTCGGATCTTGTTGAAACTCTGGAGCTGCGGAACTTGTTGACTTGCGCGTACGTATACTTCTGTTGCTGCCGGTGTGTACAGAATGATGGCTAACTTTTTGTCAATAGTGTCCAAACTGCCGCCTCTGCCGCCAACCGCAAAGAATCCCGAGGCGCCCACGCTCGTGAAGATTACCCGGAGCGTGATGACGAGAACTGGATGAAGCATACTCTGTCATGGCAGAAGAACCCTCATGGCAAGGTTGAGCTTGGGTACAGAGCCGTCACCAGCCACACTCTGGACGAGAACGAATGCAAGTCCGTCCCGCCGTTCAAGAGAACGTATTAAAGTGTTGTTTGGTGTGAGGAGGGCGCGAGTGCGGAAGCAATGCTTTTTCATGTATGCTTGTGAATAGGCTTTTTTTGATATCCACGAATTGAGAACAACAATGTAAAAAACAATTCTAAGATATGCAATATACTAGTATCATGGTCGTTGTACAATTTTGATTTCATCCAATCGTGCGGCTCATAACATAGCATTTTGGGTGCGATGAGTCTCGTTACTCTCCTATTACATATTCACAACCTGCCATGTAAGGGATGGTATTAGTACGAAGGAGGAGCAGAGCAACCAGGTAGGTTGGAGTGGAATGGAGAGAGGGAGGTACAGTAGGTAGTGTACATCAATTGGACAAATGGTGGCATGTGTTTTGAAGGCCGGTGTTTATATGGAACTCACCTTCATCTCCCATCCACACCTCGTGAACCTTTCCCGCCGGAACATCAATCCTGGCCCCAACCCCAAACGTCTCCTTGGTAGGGTTTGGGTCTTTCGGGTATGTAATGGTCATGGATCCTCGACGGATCAAATGGGTCGTCAGGCCTGAATGCGCGTGAGGTGGATAATGGGCGTTACTGTTGATTGTGTTACCATGGGGTAGTGAATTAGATATAAAAAAAGGGGTAGAATGGGGTGAATGAAGTGGTTAAGAGTAGTTAGGTACTTACGGTCCATCGGTCCAGGTGAAGACGTGGGAGAAGCCCCAATCTCGGACTGTTTTTTCGTCTTGGGCTCGGGATGTTGTCGGTCTGGGTGACATTGGATGGATGACTCCTTCAAATTGGGTTATGCGGTTGGTAGTGGTAGTAGATTGTGTAGTGATGATGGTAGTTGAGGCTGGGGGAAGTCGATTAGGTCGGATGATGATAGATTCAATATCAGTATCAGCTATTGGTGGTTGTGGGGGTAGTGGTGGTGATATAGAATGGAGAAGTATATAAGGTGAATGCCTTCAAGCTGATAGTTGACTGTTCTGTGGGAAGGGTATTTCTTTCGGGTCGAGTTTCGCAGTCAGTCGTGATTAGAATGCTAATGAGTCCAAAAATGTCGGTCGTGATGAGTCCTCAGTGTTCTGTACAATGTAGATATTGGGAACCCGTTGTTGTAGATGGTGCCACTGTGGTGTGCTAACTGTTATGCTATGAGAAGGCTCTCGAAGCCTGGCGGCGACATTGCTTACGTACGCCAAGCTTCGATCATGAGTCTCAGCCTTGTACAAGGTTGAACCACTGCAGCAGGATTGTAACAGAATATTCGCGGTTTACGATTCGTCCTGTTGCAATGTAGCCGTTGGAATGCCCGATTTTATCCAATAATGCACTTATCACTGCATGTTGGAGGGGTTATGGACAAAGGTTTTGCGCAGGATACCCACCTCATCCAGCGGTGCAGAACGTGAGTAGCCATCCTCTGACGAAACCAAGAGCTCTGAAAATAGCAACAACAACTGCTCAGTCATGGACAATGAACTGCCGACTTCTACCTGTCAGTTCTGAGAGCTGTCAAGTTCATTTGTTTTCTTCGAATGGAAACAATGGGTTCTTCGTCTTTGGCGCATACCTCGGCCAGCGAGCATACTTGACATCAATAAAGAATGCTCCCACGTCTCGCAATCCATGTCATCATTTCTTGACCAACGCTGCACAGCTGTGCATACTCGGTACTTCAGATTCGACGGTTTAGGGGTCTGATGATCAGGTCTGGACTGTATCCTTTGGGTCCAGAGCCGATAATAGCAAACCCTTCATCTAGGTGTAACGACCAGTCCAACTCGTGGTCAAGATCGGCGTTTTGTATCGGGGCCAGCGCGGATTCTCTAATCTGGCGATGATAATTAATGCCATGTTTTGAATCGCGGCTCGGGCGGTCGCGTAGGGTCATCTTTCATCAAAATGGGATCGGCATCCCTTCCGATCTCCGTCTATGGCAACCATGAGGCTACTGTACCCATTATTGTAGCTGCCGCAACCCAGACGCTTTGTTTTCGAGGATTGTTGTTGTTGATCTTTTCAGACACGTCCCTTCAGGCATCCAGCAAGGATACAAGATTGAATGTTGTCCTGGCTGTTATTTTTGGATGTCAGCCGTGCACAAGTGACAGCGGCGCCACGGAAACTCTTGTTGCCATGTTAAATGCCTCTTTGTCTGGGGGTGATTGAGAATGACGCTTGCAGGCTGACCATGATAATGACAACAGACATCAAACATCAAACACTCGTGGTCTGTGACCCGTTCAAATTGGAAGTTCCGAAGGACACCGCGGGGGAAATCATCAGGCGTACCAGGACCATCCAACCAAAGTTGTAGTCAAGGGACAAGGCTGAGGAGGAGTGGATCAGATCACTTTCCCCAGTTCGGTGCACAGTCCTGAAGAGGGCCAGGGTCGGCGGCAACGATCGGAACTTCACAACAACACGCTGTTTGCAACATATCGTCATTTTCTCCCAATTGTTTTGCCCATTCCACGCGCTCTGGGCACCGTCGGCGGGTCGGAGGATCCTGGAGAAGGATTCAACGCAGAACTCACTCTCATACCATGCTGGGCCTGCCGCTATTCTGCTGGGCAGCCTTGGTGGTTGAAGGTCTGGATCACCAGAAGGGCCGGGGCCTGTCGAATGCAATTTCCCCCAAAGTGCAACATTCTACGTAATGTTGACTGGGGCGTCAGTGCAGGCCAAAGGGCTGCCAGCTTCCCACTGGTGCCGGCACAGGCCAATAGTAATGATAAGGTGGCGCTTTTGGGTGGAAATATGCAAAACATTAAGGAAAAAAGTGGTTGCATTGGGAGGGAAAAAGGGGTAATGAAGGGTTAGCAGCGCGTGTAAAAAAGGTTCGGGTTTATCCCTGGATAGGGTTGGTGTTTCACATAATCACCCTGGCCTTTCCCTACTCGGGTATTAACGGTGCACATCGGCTCGAGTTAGCATGGATTAGCCTGTTTACCTAGCCACTAGTCCGGCGCGTTCTCGCGACCTTCGACTTCGTTGGTGTTGTTTGCCATCATCCTCTTGTTCCTGGATTCTCCTTCACTCCTTGCTATCCGCGACTAGCAGCACATACAGTATCTCCACTACTACTGGGCGCCATGGAGCTAATGCCAGGTACGAAGGAATTAGTGCCTGTCAGTGCTGAGCTTCAGGCCATCTCCAGGGACGTCGGTTAGTCCTGTCACTACAATTGTACAGCAAGGCAACCGAGAAACCAATCTTTGTCGTCGGCCATGCTCAAAGTCCTTGCAAAATATACCCAACACAGAGGTACCGGTCGGTACTGTTGGCAAGGTAGGGCTAATATTGTCGAGTGCCAAACGACGGAGCCCCAGACAACGGTAAAAGGGGCTCACAAAGCGCCGATGCTTGCCGGTGCCGCTGGAGCTGGGTCAGCTCGCAAGAGGGAATTCCACCCTGCCCCCTGCGTCAAATGCCAATCTTTTCCATCACTTTGGTTGGGTCTTTGTCTCCGGACCTTTTGGCATGGGTCCTCCTGAATAGACAGGTAGGCTCCACTTTTCACACAAAGTGCTCCATTGTCCGGCCATCCCGTGGGCAGAGATCGTCGGTCTCGATAATCTGACAAGGACAATGGAAGTGGATCCTCACTGTGGGCGTTGTTTGTTTCACAGTTCGCTTAGGGCGCCCGGGGATGGAGGGTTCTCCCTCTCAGATGGATAGGGCAATGAAAGAATTGCGAGAGCTGTATGCGCGCGGGTGTGCCGTATATACCTCCCCTCGGTCTGCTGCTTTGTCGGTCCTCGTGTCCTTTCTTCTTTTCTCGATCAGTTCGTAACGAATTCCACGGTCTGAGACTCGCTCCCTTTCACTCTTTCGACTTCTTCGTCAAACACACTCATTTCTGTCCCTGGAGGATATACACACTCATTCACATATCCAACTTGCTTCTTGTTCCAGGCTCCTTTTTCCCCAGCCAGCTGAACTCGAATCGAATACTCCTCCCGCATTCCTTCGACAGAATTTACTACCAAACCAACCCGTTTTTTCCAAAACACAACACCAAAACAGCAATCATGTTCACCATCAAGAACCTTTCTCTCATGGCCGCCTTTGCCGGGCTCGCTGTTGCCATGCCCACCCCCGCCGAGGACTCTAACCTGGTCGAACGCCAATGGGGCGGACGACACTGGAAGCAGTCCGAGAACGTCGTCTGGGTCACCGTGACCGTCCCTGCCGGCGGCGCCGCGACCCCAACCCCGGCTCTTCAACAACAAGAAGAAGTTGTCACTGTCGCTGCTTCTGCCACCACCCCGGCCGCCGTCGTCGCCACCACCGCCGCAGCATCCTCTCCCGCCGCCTCTTCTTCTTCATCTGATGAATCCGGCTACATGGCCGTGGTCTCCAAATGGCGTGCTGCCGGTGGCTACCCTGCCCTGACCCGCGACAGCACTCTGGAGGCCAACGCTCTCAAAACCAGCACCAACAGCGTGGGCGGTCTGATCCACGAATTGAACCCCGGTTCCTTCGCCCAGGTCTTGGCCCCCGGCAGCCCAAGCAACTTTGAGAACGTCTATGTTGGCGGCTGGCTCTGTGAGATCCCTTCGCTTCCCGGTCTCGACGGCATCTGCTCCACCGAGTCCAAGGGGTGGAGCTACGGCGGTCAGACCGGCCATGCTTCCATCCTCAGCTCCACCTCGTACTCCAAGATTGGCTGTGCCATTTCGACAAACACCAACGTTTGGGCTTGCGATCTTGCTTAAACTGGCTCACCAAGCTAAATTGGATAAGGACTACTGGACCTGATGCAAGTTGGACAGCGCGATTGGGAAACTTCACTTCTTTCTTTTTTTTCCAAGAGGGAATTAGTATAGCTTTGTGTATATGCGATTCTCGACCTTTTTATCAAAGACATTGTTTTGAGCCAAATTCGTTTTGAAGTTGGCGTGTTCTCGCGCGTAGTCTGTTGTTGCTTTCCCTACCCATCACGCCTAGGAGGACAAAAGTATAGTCCCATCACATCCTGTCTACAGCTGTTCCATGCATATCCGAAAAAGGCTCTAGCTTGCCAATGGTACAGTACACGAGCCTGAACGGTTGGACTGAAACCCAACCACTATTAACTACTCAGGGCCCATTTGAACAACGACTATTAGCTGTCATAATCGTTCCGTTCTCCTCCCCTTCCCGAGTACCTTCCGTTCCGGTTGCATCGTCCTCTGGGGCACCTACAGCGTACACCTCTGTACACCCAATAGATCACAGTATCTACTACCAGACAAATTTGAGGACAGGAGCCACGCGAAGAAGAGTACAGCAAGAACTCGAGGGAAGTGCTCCCGAGGGACAACCATATCCGAACACATCCGGGGACACTAGAAGTAAATAGTATTGAGGCTTCAACTATAGTACGATTCGCTGGTACAGTATTGTAGCGACAGTATCTTATTATTGTTGATTTGAACAAGCAGGTCGGCAGTAGTGTATAATTTGAACAGATGTAGACGGTACACTAGACCATATAGGAGGATGAACCTCTCCCTTCCGCCCTTGAGCATATTGAACGCCGGGCGGAGGAAAGACATACACACTACAGGTAGATGGCCTTTCTTTCTGAAACGGAGCCTCCGCTGCAAGACTACCTTAGCCTGAATTTCCCCGTCCCGCAAAAATATCCTTGCTTCCCGGATACTTCACTCGCTTTTTCAGTCCATCTTCAGTTCTATACAATAGCTTGCTTCACCCACGCATACACACACCTTTTGTGCTGTTTGACTCCCGTCCAATCCAACCTTTTTCGCAATTGCATTTTCTTTCTCTTGAATTCTCTTCTTCACTCGTCTCGAAGAGCCATATCCAATCAATTCGCCTGCTTCATAATCAAATTCTTCAACCCCGGCACCACCCCACTATCAACCACTTTCATGCCCAACCCCCTAATCTGACCCAGAACAGTAGACAAGATCCCATCACCGGACTCACCACCACTTAGTACATAGTTATTATCCAGCTGATACACCGAGTTCAGCGCATCAACCCCACCAGCCATCAACAGACCCTTACCAAATCTATCACGGCCATACCTTTCCAAAGTCATGAGATCACCTAGATCCATGCCATGTGTGACAGCATAGGCAATTGTGTCAGCGAGCGATTTCGCGTCCGCTAGACCGAGATTCAATCCCTGCCCGGCGAGCGGGTGGACAGTATGTGCGGCATCGCCGACGAGAGCGACGCGCGGGTTGATTAGCCGGCTCGCGTGGCGGAAGCGTAGGGGAAATGAAGCCAGTGACCCTTCTTGCACGCCGGTAACAATGGGAGGTTGTCTTGACAGAGAGGGTGGTGATGTGTGTTGAAGACGCCAGCGGAGTTCGGAATCGTGAGGCGAAGCGGAGTCGTTGCTCGTAGTTGGCAGGGTGAACATGTACTTTATATCGACTTGGGACAGTCGTAGAGCCGCGTTGATCATCGACACCTGACCCAGGGGATCGAGTTGTTTGAGGTAGGCCGCGTTTTGCGGCGTCGTGGACCATACCATGGATGCACGGTTGTTGGGTAATGGCAATATGGCGATGGGGCCGCCCAGTTGAGGTAAGAATCGTTGGTATGCCGTCGCGCGGTTGGAGGGTGCCTCAAGATCATCGCTGAGGAGTTGATCAAGGGTGAGCTCGGTCTCGTGGTCGTGGCTATGGCTTTCACCATCGATAGGTTGCACCGTCAAGGTGGCGACAACGCCGTGCCGGTTATAGTCCCAGCCCTGAGAGTCGATGGCCGAAAACTTGCGCACGGGCGAGTTGAATCCGTCGGCGCCGACGAGGAGACGCGCCGCAATCGACGACGGTGGAGAGGAGGAGTTGGGACCGGCGTTAGTATTTTCCTTTGATTCCAGATTCAACACAGGCCACGTGGACAAATTGAACCCGTCAGGATCGTCCTTGCCCATAGTCATGCCTGCCACACTGGTGTTTGACAACAAAGACAATTCGGCGCCCAGCTCAAAAATGCGTTCAAGCAAGCCTTTGGTCAAGTTGGCGTTCTCAACCATGGTGGCCACGGTCTGTGGCGGCGCATTGTACCGTCGCGCTTCGGCCCGCCAATCGAATTGCATGGCCGCGTCGTTGGCCGCGTCCCAGACTTGCATTTCGTCGTACGGCTGGATCCGAGTCTGGTCGACGTGTCGCCATGATCCGGTCTGTTCGAGAAACGAGACCGACGATGGCGTTAGACTGCTGGCCCGGTTGGCGAATTTGTCCGATGGAAGGCTCCATTGGCGGACTTTGGCTAGGTCTTGGGTTTCGATTAATGCCGTTTTTAGGTGGGATGTGATTGGCGATGATTCTGGAGACAAGGTGGTCAGGGATGGTATATCTTTGGAAAGAGCTGAAAAAACGAGCTGGACCGTCATGGCTCGTATACCAAAGAGACATGTGTAACGACAGGGTCACCGTAAGCCGTGACTAACGTCGCTGGAGGTGTAGAGGTAGACAATGGACTTACTTAGTGCAGCGAGTAAAGCCAGCCCAGCCGGACCGCCACCGACGGTCACAACATCGTAGATTTCTGGTGTACTAGTGGTGGAGGGAGAAGTAGAAGCTCCCGACGTGGATGAAGAAGAAGATGGAGATGAAGACGTGGACGCAAGACCAAAAGGAGGAGCTGACGAAAATCTCCTTCGTTTTGACGGATTCAACGACGACAAGGCTATCCGACACTGCGCGCAGATACTAGTCGGGGCAGCGACACGCCTCGTCGTGACGGGGAGGAGGTGGAGGTTAGCTGGCATTGCCAGAGTCGGGAGGCCAGAGGCCTAGTTTCTTCGCACGAGGATCACGGTTCTTCGAAAGTGCCTCTGAAAAGACTGTATGCCTATGATTGTGAATCTTGGTCCCGCCTGTAGATGGATGCTGCTGTCGGTTAATGCAATCGAAGCCGGGCTAATTAGTAGAGGCCTTGATGGAGACCTAGGCCCGAGTCGATGTTCGTTCGATATTTGCCAGACTCCGGATTGGGTCTAGTGTGCTGCTTACATAAGGTATACAGAGCACAGCCTTGTGCTTGCTGAGACGAGGCTGGCATTCATGAAAGTTGATACAGGAGACCTATGAATCAACCAAGATAAATTCACACTGCTAGTTAGTATGTCTGTCTTGTGAGCGTCAATGAAAGCAGAAGAGTCGAGTGTCGAAAGCGACCAATTAATCTATTCTTCATCACCTGAAACGGAACAAAAGCATCTTCAAAGCTTCCTGCATCGTACCATCTTGTATTCAATTCCACATCTCAGCATATCCACCCATTAGGTTCTCACCCTCCAGCTTCCAGTCCAATCCAATCCAATCCACAATCAGCCCGGTCTCAGTCTCCCTACATCTCCCTTCAGTTCTAGTTCCAGTCCTTCACGTTACCTCCGACTAGTCCCACTCCTCTTACTCCTACGACTACCCTTACTCCCCACCGAGAACTGACTCACACTATCCTCAGGTCTGACCTCACGATCCGTGACATCAAGGTCCTCGAGATCCTTCTGCTTCGATACCACCGACACGGTATCATTTTGTTTCGCAGCACCACCACCACCGCCACCACCGCCACCACCGCTGTTACGGTGCAAAGGATTCAGTTTCCCAATAATGGTCCGTGGCGCAGAGACAGGGTGGCCAGGCAAAACACGGCCCGTCGAAGACATGAGACTGCCACTGCCACCATATCCTCCTCCTCCTCCTCCCCCTCCACCACGACTTGCCGCACCGTGATCGGATCCAGCCCACGTCGCGGCCCGCGACGGCGGCAGAGGGTACTGGTGTGGTTCACGGTGAGATACTTTGCTAGTAGTAGAATGATGACTTTCGCCGACATGACTACTCGTAGTCTGCTCAGGGACATGAACGATTGTCTTCCTGTCATCCTCGAATTGGTCGCGGCGACTTCTTCTCGAGGTACTTGTTGTGGACGCAGCCATCGGAACCGGCTTGATAGTCGAAGCGTGGCTACCAGACTGTGACTGTGATCGAGAGCGCGCATGCGATGAATGTCTCGTCGACGACCCCGGCTTCGTCCCTCCGACAGATGTGGCGCGCGATCTTGATCTGGAGTGGGAAGATCTCGAACAAGACGGATGAGATCCCGCAGCGGACGCCGCCACTCCTCCTCCTGGGAGTCCTGTCTCGGCCGCAGTCAGGACCGTCGGGGCCCTATAACTCGTGGGCGGAGCCATCTTCATTTTCACGCTCATGTTGCTGGTACTGCTGCTCTTCTTGCTGGATGTGGCGGACAACTGTGACCAAGACGATGCTGCTTTCGAGGCACTGGCATGTGATTGCGGTACCTGTACTGGTACCGGTACAGGTCGGACGGTAGTCGCTTCAGATCCGACAGCAGACCCAGTTGCAGACTTCACGTTCTTCGAGCCCGCTCGCGAAGCGGGCCCAGGAGCCGGCAGGCTGAGATGCGACGTGTTGTCATGCATCGTAATCAGACGTTGTGGTGCATGACCCTGACTCTCCTCTTCGCCAGTATAATAGTACTGGTTATTATAAGGATACACGCCACGCCCATCGCCATTGCTCGAAGCCGCATATTCATAAGCATATTCAGTCCGCAAAGGCAACGGAGTCGCATCAGTAACGTTGCGCCCTATAACAGACGGACGTTGTAGAGCAGATCCCCCTAGCCCTCCACCATCAAGACCAGTCTGACCCTGGTCTTGATGGTGGAGGGCCCCGTTTTCTTTAGATCGATTGCTAAAGGCGTAATGTAACGCGGCACCGGCAGCAACTCCGAGAAGTGTTCCGACAATCGCTTCGCCAGCTCCGTTGCCATTGTTGTTGCTGTTGTTGTTCCCTGCTCCACCACCGCCACCAGCAGCTTGGTCTGTCGTCACCAGTCCAGCAGCAGATTCTTGATTGTTGAGATGCGGTTTGACACTGTTGACCAGATCTCTCGCGACACTGGCCGCGGTGCGTGCTTCGTTGATCAGGGCGTTCAATACATCTCCTCCTCCGCCTCCTGAACCTGAACCTCCAACACCACCACCTCCAACGTTCACTGGTTCAGCTAATGATGACATCTGCATCTGCATCTGTGTCGGTCCTGGTACCTCTGTCGGCAAGCCAAATGCAATTGGGCCGTCATAAAAAGCCGTAGCAGGGGCAGTCACACTGCGTGCCTGAGACGCCACCGAAGGCGGTGCTGCTGCTGCTGCTTTGCTTCTTGCACGAGAAGCAGAAGAGACCACCGTTGAAGCAGGACCTTTGGCTTTGTTGGCCACAGTGAGTACACTTTTCCCATCACTCCCCTTCCCCGCCGACCCGGAAGCTGCTGCTGCTGCTGATGCTCTGCTTTTCGTCACAGAGACAATTGTCGAAGGGGGAGCTTTGGTGCTGCTCCTCCTACTAACAACACTTCCACTTCTGCCGCCATCGTTATTATCCCCAGTAGTCGTACTCGCCGGCCTATAGACCGCCTCGATACTATTCCCATCAAAATCAATCACCGCAGCCGAGAAATATCCACTGGCATCCCGCTGGCTGGGTTCTCCATGGATTTTTGAACCTGCTTTCAGTGCAGCGACGAAAAATTCCTCGACCTGGGCCCGTGATGCGGCGGGAAACGCGACGTGGGCGGCGCCCGCGGGCACGCCGGGGATTTCCTGGGTGATCCAGAAATCGGCCGGTGCGGACGCCGGGACGGCCGGGCCAAAGCCGACGGTCTGGTCTTGTCGGCCTCGGAAGACATAGTTGAGCGGTTGGAGGGCCGAGAGAAAGAATGATGTCGAGGTTGGGAGGTGTGCGACGGTAAGGGTGATTGAGGATGGCATTGACTGACTCGGACAGAGAGATGGTCAAAGACAAAACACAATAAATGCAAACAATACTAATGACAAGTTTGCTGTACAAGCAGCAAGTCTCAGGTAATAGGGCTTGGTAGATAGTAGAAGGGTACTGCAACGGGGTGTAGTAGTATGGAGCAAAATGTGACAGTACAAGTTGGTACAATGAGTCTGGGATTGTTAAATAAAGACAAGCAAGTTCCTGGAAGATCAGGGTGGATATATTGTACAATGTGGGTCCGCCAACTATGGTTCTGGTACTTTGGTGGCCACAGAGACAGTGATCGGACTGCAGTCGCCTGGATCGGCCGGGCGAATACCGGAGCAAGCGTCGGAAGACCACACGGCCTGGTCGTTGTCGAACAAGTCCTGTGCACAAGAGCAAATGAACCAGAAGAGGACCCTTATCAGGGAGCACAGCAGAAATCTAGATCAGATTAGACGAACGGTAGTCCATGTCAAACAAGCAGCCGACCTCCTGAGACTGAACAAAGCAGAGCAGCTGTATGGACGAGCGAGGGTCTGACGAGCCATCGGCCCAAAACATGGAGCCCGAGGCCAAGCACGACCTGTAGCAGGTGATGAATCGGAGTATTGTTCGCACCCAAGTTTGGGTACTAGGGAAGTACCAGGGTGTGGAGGGAGGCTGCTTACCGAAGGTCGAAAGGACATGACGGGTAGTCCAGGAGAAAGGGTGAGAAGCCGAAGTGATTCGAGGGTCATGATTGTAACATCTCTAATACCTTGCAGGCGCCCAATGGCGTCGGACTGAACCTCGGAAGGGCAGGCTGAGGATCCTTCCGCCTCACTTCACTAATGCGAGGACATGTGCCGGGGCGCGAGAAGCATCAGATAGCCAGACAATCACAGAACATGGGATCCATAAAGGCCGGGGGTGAGGCGTGACGTCCTAAAGATGGCAGTGGGTGGCGGAGAAGTAAGGACACGAGCGGAGCGGGATGAGCGGCTGATAAAATGCCACGTTGAGAGGGCGGTGGGACGTCGAGATGGGTCGCAGGAATGCACCGGTAGATATCTTCCGCGAAGACAATATAGTCACTTGTAGGTTAAAGCAAGGCTGATTGGCCTCAGCGCTGCCGCAAAGTCACAAACGGTCGGTGAAGAACAGAATCCGCGATTCCTGTTGGCTAGTGAGCAGACCATCTGGACCCAAGTTGGGCGCCAATGCAGCCAGAATCGCCCCTCTGGTTTCGGCTCAAGGCCACGTCTCGACCCACGCAAAAATGACAATTAGAAACTGGCTGAACGCGTGAAGAAAGACTGAAATATGCTGCACCATGGTTTGAACAGGACTGCATGCGTTTCCACAGGTTGCTAGTGCCCACTGTATGATAATAACAACAAGATCAGCCAGCAATGCCACTGTTCATACCGCCGCAAGCCAGTCGATTCGAAGCGTGTTGTTGTTCATGACTGTGACATGTTCCAATCATTAAAGGGCATCCATTCATCCCATGGCGTACTCGCTGTGTGAATCGCTGCACTGGACGATGATCGTGTTTTCTCTGGTGAACATGTTATGCTCGTCCGGGAGCCCATGGCTGATTTGTTGCTATCGGCACCATGACCCAGCTTTGCGATGACTGATTTTCGTAAACTTTTCCTCTGAATATTGTAGCCCGAGACGACCGAACTCCGACCATGCTCCATCATAACCATTTTGGCCACTTGCCAACGCCGACCAATGCAGTCTAGTAGGGCAGGTTGAGCGTGCACCTAGAAACCCGGACGAAATAATCGCCTTGAGGTATGTTGAACCATATTGTCTTGTTGCGAAAACAAATTCCAGATCCAACTCCCCAACCTATGCGAGCCACCCCAGCGACAAGCGTTCTGCAAGGTAGCATCGATGTTATGATCGAGCCTTTGCACAACCCTCGTTGCTGGAGCCAAACGAAAGAGAGAAGGCAAAGAAAATGTCAGAGACCACCCACCATACCTTGGACAAGACCAGCGTCCCACAAATGCCCAACCGAAATTGCAAACACATGCCCAGAGAACCCCCAAACCCCTCCCCGCGTCATCTCAGATGATATCCCAAGCATCTTCGCAGGCATGGCAGAACTTGCTGCAGGTGACGCTGGCACTGAGACTGTAGTTGCTGATACTAATAGCCTCATCCTTGAAGGCATCGGCAAAGTCGTCTTTGCCCTTGGCCATGGCACCGATAAAGACGCAGATGCTCTCGTTGCTGCCCAAGGTGTCGACGTAATCTCGGACTCGGACGACGTCGGCATCGAAACTCAACGTCACTTTCCTGCAGTTCGCCGGAAGGTGGTCGGTGATGGGGTTTTTGACGACCCGGAGCAATTTTTCCTGCGAATTGACCGAACGGATCGATAGCCGGTGCAAGAGCTGGACCATAAGACCAGCAAAACGCTTGAACGTTCTGGGAATTCGAACGGTTGGGCTCACTTCGATCAGAACGCCTTTGGCGGTGTGGATGTAGATCTGCAGTTTTCCGGCCTTGTTGATGGGCGAGTCGAGGAGGGTCAAAAGACACTGGACGTTGAAGTCAGCTTGTCCACGCACAGAACACGGAACCTGCATTGCATTTGCAACTGCAGGCACGGAGGGATTGGGGCCAAACCTGATGAGTGATGTCGGGTCGGGCGTCGCTGATGTCTCGACCCATCTTGCGCATGACACCAATGTGCTCGTCACTGTTCAGCAATGAATATTTTTCTTCCTTGCCTCCGGCCTTCCCACTGGCCGCCCGGTAGGTTTCCAGACTGGCATTGGACAACACGACAATGAGTCGTTTCGTGTCTTTGTCGTTCGAGGGTATGGGAGTATGTTGTTCGGCGACGAGACGAGGCAGTTCGGGGGCAGGGAGAGACTGGGCTCCTGGGATGTGTGAGCATATGAACAGAGTAGGTAGACCAATGTTGGAGAGAGCGAGTTGTCCGTCATCCATGCTGAAAGAATCATGAGAGGACAGATGACAAAGGACAGGCTCGTGCAACGGTCACGGCCAGGGCGGGTTGGGCGGTGCACATACTGGAACGCTTGCGCTTAACACCAGGCGTGGCCGACATTGTGTGTGTATGGCTGTGTGACTCGAGTGGAAGATGGCGGGGTGAGGGAAGAAATCCTTGTCCAGGCGTGCCTAACAGATTCTTAGATGGCACGATATGGAGTGTAGGTAAAGATGGATTTTTTGTCGATATCTCAGTATGAAGAAACAATAAGAGAGTTGTTGTAGGATAAATGAAGAAGACAATAAATGATTCTAATTATTGCATCGCTCGAAATAGTAATGCAAGTCACGATCAACTGCAGTCCGAGTCCGAGTTGAGATCGCCGCAAAATTTCCTCGGTGCCAAGGTGCTACCAGGTACAGTTGTACTATGCCAAAAGTTTACCTAGGTACGCATCGGGGTTTCCTTCTATTACGCCAACTTAAAATTATATTAAGTACTATTCACGCCCAGCTCACCCCGCCTTTCGGACTATCCTCACCTTCAACCAGTTGAAACTATGAAGCCAGTGAAGTGTTGTAAAAGAGTGATAATCATTCTCAACGATCTAGGAGGCAGGAATGTATCTAATATTCCTCCCTGCCTATTTGCCTGTTTGTCTCTCTTGATTACAAAGAGCCCTCCGTACTGATTGTCCAACTTGCATACAAAGAGTATTCCCGCCTGATTGTCTAACTTGCATATCAGGCGCCCTCCTGGTTGATTGTCTCTGTTGAGTACCAGGAGGCCTCCATGAGCAATGAGCGGGTGGCTGGATCCTCATAATCAACTCAACCTCACCTTCCTCACTTTCAACCTTCCTTTTATTAGTATCTTCCATACCTTCCTTACCGTCAGTTCCTTACCTTCCTCTCCTTCCTCTCCCTCCTCTCCTTGCTCTTCTTCCTCCCTTTCCTCCCCTTCCTCACATTTTACCTGACTTTTTGACCCCGACTTTCTTACCTATCCAGAGTCCTCTGCTTCTTGATTACGTTGACTCATCTCCATAATGCGGCGTTTCGCTTCCCTCTATAGAAGCAGTATCCCCCAAGGCCGTATTCTCAGGACGTGGGCAAGACGACCCCACAACAATGATGTCTTGAACTCCGGATCTGCATCATCCATTGAAGAGAAACTCCTGTCCTTCGACAAGGAGATGTCTGCACTGCGCACCGACATGTCTGCATTGCGCACCGATGTGAACCACCTATCCACAAGCATGGATTTGAAATTCAAGAATTTGAGCCAAGCCGTATCAAGCCAGCTCGCTGTTTTTGGTGCTGAGCTGAACACACTGGTTACCACACAAACTGCGAAAATGGATCGGTTTGAAAACAAGTTCTTGTTCAGAATGTTGATTGCGGTAAGTTCTTTCGAATATACGAAAGATTACTTCCTAACAATCACCAAGGTATTCGGTCTGGCAGTAATCGGCATTAGTGGCCCAGTGACTGCCGTGGTCCTCCACACCCAGACAACCACCGTCCTTCCACAAACAGACGGGAGACTTTCTCCCATCCAGCCAGGCTCCAGTACAGCCGGCCTCTGAGTCAACGAGTCTGAAGTCTAAATGACTAGAGGTCATTATGAATGATACTGTATTACGAGTCGGACCAAGAGGATATTATTAGGCGCAGTTCAAGGCATACTGTACCTAATAGACTGCACTGGGCTCAAATGGGCTACAACGGGACACTTGTTGGGCTGAAAACTCATAGCGATGGCGTACATGGACATACACCGTGATGGTGGCATCATGATAGAGTGGCTTCCCTCAATTCGACGCCGTTGATTTACCTCGTCTTTTGGTGCCAAACGGCGCGCAGACGGAGGAAACTCAGATCGCCGACACGCGATGATTGCCACAGCCAGTCCGCTCCGGATTGGTACATAACAATCAGGAACCATGGAAATGAAAAAAGAGTTGTCCTATGACGTCCAAGGACTGCCGGCACGCGGTGTCTATTCTGGGATATTCACCGCCGCGATCAATAATGATAGATCCTGATCCTGATCAGATCACTTCTTCATAGCCTTCTCCGGATTCTTCTCCAGCAACCGACACCATTTCCTCCACTCGCGAGCCGCCTTTGAGAAAACACTCTTCAGATCCTCCTTGACCTCACTCATTTCCCACTGCTCATCTTCCCAATTTTTGTCCTCCTGATCCAATCCACGACGATCGCTCGGGGTCCACCCAATCGCCTCGAGCACATCGCTCTCCGTCGGACTCGACGTATAGGACGGGAACAACGTGCTATCGGCCCTGTGACATTGTGCATCGAGGTATTTTTTCAACACCTCGATCCGCGCCGAGTGCGTAAAGGTAAGTTTGAGCCGATCTTGATCGTCTGACGTGTCCGTGCTAGATGAAAGCCGTTTGGTCACGCTGCGGGCCGTCTTCGCGCCGCGGAAGGACGCATAAGCCCAAACGGTGTCGATTTCGCCCAACCCGCCAAAAGGCCAAATGAAGGTGGCGAGAATGTCGATCCCGTAAGTGACGGGCATGAGTCCCGTCGCGATGATGGTGTCGCGTTGCGCCTTTGTTTTTGTCCGCAGCATTGTGTTGACAAACTCCTCGCGCATTTGCTGTTCATTCAACGGCAAACTGCCTGGGTAGACCATGACCATCTCCTCCACACCGACAGTTTTGTGCGTCTGCGTCTGGTTCTCGTAACCTGGACCTTGATCTAGGCTTTCGGAGTAGCTCCCGTCGGTGTCAGAATGAAGTTGACTCTGACCCTGAGAGGCTGGTGGCGGTGTCGTCGGCGTTGGCGTCGGCGAAACTCGACCTAAAAAGTCCAAATTGGCCGTCGTCGTCTTATTCATGGCCCAGTTGATGCCCCTGGTCGCCTTGGACTTGACACCATGCCACGAGGCCGTTTTGGCCGTACTGGTCTTTGCGCTGCGGACTTCCTCCTGCCATTTCCGCTGCACCTTGTGCAATTTGCCTTCCTTTTGGTTGTCTGCCGGTTTCTGCAGTGGCGGAGGTGGCGGCGTGTAGATCATGAATCGGACTGGAATGTCTTCTGGTTTGACGTTCGGCAATTGCGGTCGTGGAAATGGTACCAGGTATCCAATCAGTTTGTGGGGGTTGCGGATGTAATGTACGGGATCGGACGGGTTGTCGTTGTCTTCGAATTTTGGTCTGTAACGCTGTGGAGGTGGTTGGAATTGCTGGGGGCCAGACTGGACACCAGGCTGGACACCAGGTTGGAATGCGGACTTGCCAGAATAGCCACTCGGATTGTAGGCAGGAGGTTGATCAGAGAAGAGTAATTCAGGATGTTGATGTTGATGTTGATTATATGATGCATTGGCACTGGCAAAGGATTCATGTTGCTGCTTTTCAGTCTGATATTGGCTTTGGCTCTTTTCGTCACCGTAACCCTCCCACTTTGAAGTAGTAGTGCCGCCGGTAGGTCGTCGAGGAAGAGGCGGTGGTGCATCTTCGTAAGCGCCGGCTGTTGATGTTGAGCCTGATCGAGATCCTGATCTTGGGCCAAGTGTTGTTGATGGTAGTTCGGATGTGATACTACCTGCGACACCAGTCTCCTGCTGCCAGTGGTAGTCGGTTGTCGCCGGCGGAGGCACATAAGATGATGAGCCAGTCTGCCCACTCTTTTCATCTGAGAAAGACATGTCTGCTGTTGATTTGATGTGTGACGAGGTGTGTTGTGTTGTGCCAATACTTTGGGTAACCGGACAATCAATTGAAGCTGACTCGGATGACTCGGAGTAGGCAGTACAATGGAGTTGGAAGAACAAGACAAGAAGGTAGGTAGGTAATAACTTGAAGACGGCTTCACTTCCAGAGAAGAATAACCGCTGAGAAGTCAAGTCAAGGTGGTAGTGGTAGTGGTAGTGGTAGGTCAGGTATGTATTCTGAGATATGCAATCGCAAGAATAGTAGTATGACGATGAGGAGGACAAATGCTGTTTCACCACTTGGGTATGAGTATGAGTATGACAACTTCCAACAACCTCGACCACGAACCACAACCATACCTTATATACCTACATCTACATCTATACCTAAGGTACTAAGGTATCTGTATATCCTATATCACTGCATCTAGCAGTTCACGCAGATCAATCAGGCACTGCACTGCCGGTCCCAGTCCCAGTCCATTATTAATTTAGGCATCAGTTTAGTTTACCTTTCGTTCACTACCCACACTGCCAGTGCTTCATGCCATACATGCACTGCATGGGGAAAACACGATTGCCTAGCAGAAGCGTACGTCAGCTACCTACCTTAAGTTAGTAAGGTTACCTTGCGCTACACGTATCACCCACAGCAGCGATCTGTCTGTGCGTGTTCTTTTGCATCTCTTACTCCACTGATAGAGGTAGAATGGTCGCGGATGTGAGGCGCAAGGGTCTACTAACCGTGCCAAGGACCTCGTCAGGGGGACCCACCCCTCCTTCCGAGTTTGGCGGCCGCGTTTACGCGGCGCCACACTTACTCTACGAGCAAGTGTCTATCGGTAACTATATTAGGTTACTAAGTATATCGCGTTTCGTAGATTTACGCGTCTATCGACGTCGACGTTAATAACGTTATTAATAACGCTTAGATATACTTATTTATTCTTCTTAATACTCCTATAGGGTCTCGAGAGAAAAGTTATATAGTAAATTAGGCGGTACTTATCCCTCCGTCGAGCCCTACGTGTATTCTAGAGAGGTTGCCTCTATAGTCTCCTCTTGAAGTCTTATACTTACTCTATTACGTTATCTCTCTTCCTAGCGCTCTAACCGGCGTTATTTACGTTACTCTCGACGCTATTATACTTACTCTTTACGCTCTTATATTCGTTATTAACGCTTACGCTTACGTGCGGTAATCTTAGCGCGTTTCTCCTTCTATTAACGTAGTTTCTTAAGCCTCTAGGTCTCGCGCTCGATAATACGTTATATCTTCTTATATTCACTCTCTTGCCGTAACTCGATATACGTCTATACGTCTACTACTATAATTACGCCTTTAGCGATATATCTCTATAACTAATCTCGAGACTTTCGAGACTCTCGATAGTTATAGGTACGCTATAGATCGCGAACTACGTTTGTATCTAAAATAACGAGCGCCTCGGCGCCTTTAAGGAATAAATTAAGCGAGTCGCGTACGGTAGGCGTTATCTTACTAGTCTATTTGACTACCTCTTTAAGGGTTTTATAGGTAACGTAGAAGGATCGAGGCTTATAAGGAGTAGTAAGAGTAACTATATCGAGCGTAGGCGGAGGAGGAGGAGTAGGAGTACGAGAACCTATACGCCAACTATTATTACTATTATTACTATTATTACGCGCTTTACGCGCTATACGCTTATTATAGGTCTCGTTATTAGGAGTATTATAGTCGTAGTAGTCGTCTCTCGATAGGTACGTAATTCGTATATTCTATTATCGTAGTTACTACTCTTATGCCTTTTGGATTACTTATAACGGATTAAACGGTATAATATCTATTTTCTTCTAAGAGCTATAGATTATCGATCTCTTAAAAGTCTTATTTCTTATCTCTATAAGATTTAATAGAAAATCTAATTTATCGAACTTCTCGGCGCCGTATCGTATCGCTCTATCGATATACTCGCTATACTAGTATTTATACGGCTAAAAATAGATAACGTCGAGAGGCTAGCAAAAGTGCGAGATATACGTAGAAAGTGAAAAAGATATAATCTTATAATCTTAATAGTAACTAACGAAGCCGAACTTAAGGTGCCCTATAAACCTATCGAGGAGAAGAAGTCGATAAAGGCCTCGCGTTCTACGTACAGTTAATCTATTAAAGTGCTTTAGCTACTCGAACGTAAGCTTAACGCTCGAATACTCTATCTCGGACGCGTATAAGAGGATCTCTAAATAAAGATTTAGTAAGATATACTTCTCGAGAATCGTCGCCGTCTATATAATAACCTAGGGTTAAATTATAGTACTATTACTATAGATATACTTAGTTAACGTTAACGTCTCTCGATTATTAGGGCTAGATACGAAAAGCCGTACGTATTTGTCTTCTCTAGCGACGATTTTATACGATTTACCGTAGTCTATTCTAAATCCTATTTAATCGACGTTATATATATTATAGTCTAGAATACCGTATTCGGCTCGTATATCTACTAATTTACGAAACTAGCCTCTTAGAGTTTTAGGATTATACGCGCGTCTACGCTCGACGGTAAGAGGTCGACCTATCTTTATAGTATACTTAGGATAACGCTAAAGAAATCGATATTACTATCTATCTCCTAGTCTATAAACTTTAGTATCGATCTTAGTGCGCGACTTATTAAGAATATTCTACGTAATTGATCTAACTATTCGCGGCTTCGTAGAAATATCGTATCGATAGAGTCTATTAATTACTTAATAGAGAGCGAGTTTCTACGCGTCCGAGAGCGCTTTATTATAGCCGCCGTTATTCTCGATATCTCGTACTCCTTTTAGTCGACCCGATAACGTCGTTCTCGATATATCGAATTTACGCGCGACTTTAGATATCGAGGCGCTAGGATAGGCTAGAATCTATTCTATAACGTCTTTTACGCGTTACGAGCGGTCGTTCTCTATCTTTACGGCGTATTCGATAAATTTACGGTATAAAAAACGCGTTATATTTATAAAAAATTAAGGATTTCTAGAATATCTATAATATCTATAAAAACGCGACGTATTTGGTGACCTAACGCAGTTGCCGATAGGCACTTGCTCGTAGAGCAAGTGTAGCGCCGCGTAAACGCGGCCGCCAAACTCGGAAGGAGGGGTGGGTCCCCCTGACGAGGTCCTTGGCACGGTTAGTATAATAAAAATGACGTGCCACTGCTGCAGCGCGAACGTGAAGCCGACGTGGTCGATCGGTGGCTGAGCGCTGCGTAGTAGGGCGGGTGGCCTCGCTTTTTTAGACACCCGTCGATCTACCTGGCAGTGCACCATTGGGACGCACCGCCGCGGTGGAACTCGCACCCGGAACTTTTGGAGGTGAGCATGCTTAATTATACGGTGACCAAGCTAATCATAACCTTATTAAACCCCATTCACCTACTACAGTAGTAGTAGAGCCATTGGCATAGTACTGGACCCTGCAGCCCTACGGCCAGGCACAGATACAGCAAGGACCCTCTGAAGTGGTCTTTGGCGGCTTCTGGCTTCAACACTCATCCGACTGCATTAATGAGTCGAACTGGGATGTTTACATAGCATAGCATAAGCAAAAGGTCTTTCCGCCATGATTCCGCTGAATGCATACCTTAGTATTCAATAACAAGGTACCTGAGCAGTACCTCCACCCCCAAACCAATGACAACAACGAACCGTGACCCAACAGGCATGACCCGACGACCGTGGACCCAAACCTAAGGTACCTGAGGTACTAGTAGACAAGATAATCTTAGTACATAAAAACGGTCAACAGTCGACAACCGACAGTCGACAGAAACCGAGAACTGAATAAGGGTACGAATATTTCATCTGCCAGGGCAGTGCCAGTGGGTTGGGAGAATATCCAGATGCATCTGGCCCGGGTGCCCAGGCGACAGTTCCCCTGCCAGAGCCTTTGGCGAAGAAAGGGTGCGCGTGAGTGAGTGAGTGAGCAATGCAGACGCCAACGGCTTTTCCATTATTTCGCGCCCATCCACTGGAGCACTCCTAGTAGCTCATGCTTATGCTCAACACTGGCACTCGACGTTCAGCGCTTTTGCTCATGCTCATGCCGATGCTCAGCCGCATACTCATCCAAAGACTTCATCAGCGTTTCAGACAACGGCGACTGCGGTTGGATGAGATCGCTGGCCAGCCGAGGCGGCTTTTCTCTTTTCGCGACATACTCATGCTGCTGCTTTCCCCCTGTCGATTCCAGTTCAGGCTCTAGATCGTCTGCCGCCTCCTCATCATTGGTGTAGCTGCGACTTTGTGACGGCACCCTCGGGTCCCCATCGACTTGCTGCCACGGGGACAATGAAGGCTGGTCCTCCCTGTGCGGATTCGACACGTAGGCCCTACCGTCTTGCTCGTGCTCGGGCTGCTGTTCCCGTTCCTGCTCTTGATCGTGATCGTGATCTTGCATATCAGTCGCAGTCCCGACCGTGGACGGCGAGACTTTCCGCAATCCCGGGATCATCGGATACTCTGTTGTTGCCGCTGTTGTTACTGGTGCCTTGCCATGCTCCTCCGCAGAGTATCCCGACATCCGCTTCTCGCTCGACTCTCCATTCTCCCCAGCTTCCGACACAACCGGCAACAAAGCCGAACTCTTTGGTTCCTCCACGGTCCTTAATATCCGCTCAGGTTTTTCTTCCTCACTTTTCCGGCGCCCCTTTTCCATCGGCATGGCTTTATCGGCCTGTTTCAGAGCCTTGCGCATCGTCTTCTCCACCGCCGGACTCAGCGGTGGAAATTTCTCCCCGCTACCGTCCTGTTGACTTCCGGCCAAGACGTTATGACCCACATTCTCGACGGACGCTCCCGTCTGTGGCCGCTCCCCCGTACGACAACTCTCCAGTGTCCTTCGACGCTCGGCCTCTTCCTGGGTCATTGTAATTCCGGTAATGAAATTCAAGAACCGTTCTCCGTATGCCTGAGGTGGAACCGGGGAAATCTGGGTCCTTGGTGCCGAGAGACCTTTCCAGAAATGTTCGACCCTTTTGATAAAGCCATACTACACAAATTAGTAATGCCATCTTGGCAATGCAACTCCTCGAATAGCTTCGTTGTACTCACATGTGTCAAGCAGTCGATTACGCCCAGGTAATACACCTTATCGCCACCCGAGCCATCCTCATGTGTCGCCCTGATGCCACCATCATAACTATAAAATATGCGGTCACGCCTCTCATCCCCAGAAGCCAGCTCGGACGGCATCTTGGTGCTAGCCTGGCCCATAGGCACGGGCTTTTCTTTCTTCAGCGTCAATCGCAACTCGCGCGCTTTCCTGGCGCTTTCCAACCGGGAGGGCGTTCTCGTCAACAGAGCCGTGCTGTGTTCGTCCTGGTCTCTTTCTCCGCCCGGCTGAAAGACCTGAAGGGTCGTTTCTCTCAAATTCTCCTCGTTGCCCTTGCCCAAGTCATGAATTCCCACAAGCAACGAATAGTCCATGATCTGAAGTCGCTGCAGAAGCGCGACATCTCTCCTTAGCTGATCGAGAAAGATTTGCCGCGTCCGAGCGTCAAACTCCAGGTGCAAGCCTCGACGCAACCAATTGAGATCCTTCAGCGTGGCCCTCGGGTTCTTCGCCAGGTCTTCCTCCCTGAAGTCTCGGCCGATCGTTGAACCCTTGAGGTCGAACATCTGATGGATATCCCGATGTGGTGGGAACAAGTTGTTCATGACGACAAAGTGGATTTTCCGACCGTACGGGATCTTGACCCGATGCAACCCATAAAACTGGCTGATCAGCGTGTTGGGATTGTCCAGCACATGGCGGTAGTAGTCCCTCAAAATCTTTCTCAGAAGCTTATGCTCGGCGTGATGGATGGTTTTGATGATGTATTTGTAGTCGCGGGAAAAATAAAAAAACGAGCCCGACTTTCCAGGACTGCCCAGTTCCGACAAGATGTATTTGCTAGTCAGACTGACCAGATAGTCGGCTGGATCGAGACCAAAGGTTGCCCTGAGATGCCGGAAAACCCAGGGTGCGTAGTCCTTGAACTTGAAGTCGTACTTTGCGCTCGGGGTCAGTTCATTTCCGGTAATATCGAAACTGAACTTGTGTTTGGCGTCAAAGTCGGCGTCCGTCAACTCCCGATCCATCTTCGCGTTGGTTCTCGACACCGTAAATCGAATGCCTGTCAGCATATTGTACGCCGTGACCCAGTTGGCGTGGCCCTCTTCGACCTTCTTGCCCACAATCACCCGGTCGTCGTCTTCCTCCTCCCTCTTTTTCCGCCGACTCGCTCTCTTTTGTTTGATCAATTCCGTCCAGCGCGCCGCATCTTCGTCCGGAGGTACCTCATTCAAATGTGAGTCTGATTGCATCGACCGCGTTGTCCGGCGAACCAGTCCCAGCGACGCCCGCCGGTGCCGTATGTTCACATCATATTGATCTCTCGTCGGAGAAAACCGCCCTGTGGTCGACAGCGCTTCTTCCGAGGGCCCTGCTGAAAATGAAAAGTCGCGCGAAGTTCGCCCGGTCGCAATGTTTGATTTCGGTACTTGCAATGTATGGCGGTGCGTCAATTTGGGCGCTTCCGAGGGCTGCGCCAGTTCAGGAAATCGATCTTGACCGGCTGCGGCGGGCGGAGAGGAATACCGAGACATTGACGGAGGAGGCCCTCCACGACTGAGATATGGGGTCAGCGCGAGGCCGTCCGACCGCGCTGTATCCGGCACAGTTGAGGCCGTGACCATGTGTGAAGAATCGTGCTCGGGGGGAATGCTCGTTTTCAGTTGGCCTAGATCTGGCGTTTGTTTGTCCGGCGCCGAAACCACAGCGCCGTCGGCCAGGTCTTGATCAGTCGCATTCTCCACGCTAGACAGTTTGGTCAATCCATCGGCCGAGGTCCTGGATCTGGAGACATTGTCGACATCTTTCCCCTGGCCAACACTGCCTATTGAATGTGTACTACCGGCTTTGGAATGCGATCGGTCCCTGGGAGACTTGAGGGCTGTTGCTGTTCCATTGGGGAGCCCATTGGCCAACGAGCTGTGGCTGTTGTTCCTGAAATTCTTGAGCTGATCCAGTCTGTGATCGGGCAAGGACGACGTTTCCACGCCCGGTCCGTTGGTATATGTGAAGACGCCGCCGATGGTTTTGTCATGGGACTTTCGGGGAGGACCGTCAAAGGAGGAGTTGGCACCGTTGGAGAGGACGGAGAGAGGAGGCTCCGCAGCCACGGATGGCATCTCAGGTGCGAGAGACGGGGAGTAAAGGAAGGCTGAACTGTCGCATTGACCGTCGGTCACCGGAGGAAAACAGGTTGGGAGGGCATATCTTGCGCAGGATGATTGCCTGTTGGGATTCGAATCCTGTGTGGACCTGGAACAGGCGCGACAAGGCGGACGGATTTAAAGATTTAGGTGTCGGCCGCGGGAAGGTTATACAGAGGCTAGTTGCTGTGACGAGGCTGTGCTGTCTGGATACAAAAGTTGTTTCTTCTATGTGGATATGTTGGTGGAGGTGGGAACTGTATTATTGTAGGAGAAGTGAGTGGTAAAGGAACGCAGTTGTCTAGAATTGACGGAGCCAGCAGAGAGAGGACGTCGGAGTTGAACTTGGCCGAGACAGCAACACTGCACTGTTGCTGGCACACTGCGGTGATTACAGAGACCCGGCGTGCAGTGGGATTAATGGACGTTAAAGCCGAAGGCGGCTAGAACCTGACTAAAAGTAACTAGTAGGCGCCATCCCAGGACCAACGGGGAAGATCCTATGTACAGCCCTTGGCTACTACAGCGACAACACGGTAAATAGTCAGTCAGGCCTTAACTTGGGAAAGCCGCAAGCCACTATCTACTCTAGCGCTCTTCGCTTGCGATTGGTAACAGTCCGATATTCTGGGCTGAAAATCAACCCTTCGGTACCTACGGACCTCATCAATCTCAGGCTCGCCGCATGCCCCTCTCGTTCAAGTCTGGCTGCGTTTTATATAACTGCACCACAAGCTGAAAGCTGAGATGACGAGACCCTAGACGACATCTTATGCATGCCCAAGAACAACAAGGATTGATCTGGTTTTGCTGCAACGACTTCTTCAAGTTCCGCACCGGACACGGGGACACGTCCTGTTCCGACTTGGTGGGCCCCTTGGAGTGACGTAGCCCTGCAGTGCTGGTGCTTAAAACACCTGCCACGGCATGTCACGAAAAGAACAAGGCTGGGCCCGTCATAGTACGTTATACTTGGTAGATCAAGGGTCTCCAAGACTAGAGCTGAATGATGGACAGAAAATCGATTCGGACCTAAGTCGACCGAGTCAACGGAGCCGCATCGTAGTTTTACACCAGCGCATATCGTCGTCACTTGGTAAAGCACCAAGCCAAAAACAATGCTCGCTTAGCACATGATCAACCCCCGGGACGCCTCGCTTCGGTGTATAACATACATCCTGTCCGAGTCGACAGCGCTCACGACATCAGCATCTTCGCAGCATTAACCAACGCCTCAGTTCCTTCTCCCGCAGTCTCGGTTGAAGCGCGCCCGTTCGATGTGGTCAATTCCGCGTTGGGATAGTACCACGCCGTGACTGCAATGATGATGTAGACAATCTGAGTCCATGAAGGTTAGACACCGCCGATGAGAGGTATTGCATATACGTACCACAAGAAGACCTCCTTCCAGGTAGTTGGAGGAACCATCTCTCAGGAAATTCCCCACGACCAAAATGGCCACGATCAAGAGCACCACCATGAATATTTCAAAGTTGAGATCCATGGGTTTCCCCAAACCCCATCCTACAATGACGACAAGAGGCGCGTTGAAAAGGGCGGTCTGTATCGAGGGTCCCAAGCAATGGTAGAGGGCAAAGTTCTGTAATTTCGTTAGTAAACCACCGCCTCCCTCAGGATCCTGCTTTTCAGATACTCACAATTTGATTGTCATAGGCTTCATCAACGGCAGTAAGATGTTCGGCTGCTTTCTCAACCAAGGGCACCAGGATCAAACCTAAGAAGTTGTCGGGAACTCCGTGCTCGACGACATACTCAATCTCCTCGACGAGAAAGACTGCAATCAGAGAAATCAAGGCCAATGCAAATACAATTGCGGCCAAACATTCAGTCAAGGTTAACTTGGCCTTTGCCAGATCAACATGTCGGTCGCGGTCAGCTTCCTCATCGGCCTCGAGGACTTCAGCGAAGATGTTATCGTGGGAGACGCAGTTGTACAGCAAATACAGGATGAAGGAGACAATCAGGATAATAGAAACGCCGTGGCTGATGCTGAGTGTGTCGTTACGGAGTCGGTCTTCGGTGTAACCCTCTCCTGATGTGACAGTGCTGCCGATTAGGGAGGAGAAGAAGGCGGAAGGAATCATGAGCGCAAATCCGGCAACGAGGATGATGCCTGATCCCACCTCACTGATAACTGGATGGAACTTCTGTTCTTTGTGCTTGAACCCGCCAATCAAGAAACAGAAGCCCAGGCACAACAGCAGATTGGTGAGGATGGACCCGAGTATGGCGGCTTGGATAACCTGGATCTTGTTCCCATGGCCGGTTTCCCCGGTCCCATTGTCCTTAGCAATCAGGACCATGAACAGCACGATTTCCACCACAGATCCCAAGGTTGTTTCAATGAGGATGCCCGCCACTTTGGGTAGTTTTCTCGCAAACTCTTGTCCTGCAAACCCTAGGAGATTGGCCGCCGGTATCATGGCAATGTAATTGATCGCAAAAGTCCAGAGATGATGGTCCCCATGGACGAAATGGAGGGCAATGGCTGCGGGGACAAATGGCCACAGGACGTTCACCCAACTCGAAACTTTGCAGGAAGACCGCCATACGATCCGCAAGAAGTGGAGAGGGTTGATTCCTCGACGACCACTCTCGCCGTCAGGGTGTATGCCCGGCGTGACTGCATGGCCATTGTGGTTGTATTGTGGAAGGGCCCCATCGCTAGCAGTGGCTGACGATCCTCCAGGCTTCTCGGAGATATTTTTCTTCGTGGTAGATGTTTGAGTCGGTGCTTTTGCTTTTCGGTTGAAAAGTCCCATTTTGGAGACACTGTAGCGTGTAGAGGAGAGGTAGGAAGTGGACAGAGAAAACGCAGAGAGGAGAATTTGAAGACTGAGGAGTGGCCTGGCTCAGGCTTCACAGAAGCATGTCAGGAGGAGTCGTGGTCACGAAGGTAGAGTCTGACGACCACTTGAAGACACAGCGGCGGGAATCGAAGGATCCTAAACAAACGAACAGCAGGAGAATCAAAGTGCAAATGAAGAAACAACAAGTCGATGACTGGGGCACAAGTGACTCAAGCCGGAGGAAGAGAAAGCTGCAATGCAAACGGGCCGTTTGAAACGGATGATGGGAAGGAAACTGTAGTCAATTGATAGTAGTAGTAGTACCTGCAACCTGATGATGGGCGACCCTAAGTGTTATAAGCTCCGACAAGCAGCGCAGTCAAGGAGTGACAAGCACTGCCACTGCAGTCCAGTGCAGTGCAGTGCAAGGAGCGGCCACCTCAGCTGAAGCACTGGCAAGCAAATGCCAACGCCAGCCAAGAGAAGATTGACGGCCGTCTGCACCTGAAACTTGGAAAGTCGATGCTTGGCTGTCCAGCCGCTGATGGCATTGTGGCCAGTGACAGCTGCACTGCAGGGACTCGAAAGAAATGAGAAGGGAGCACGAGAGCATTCAATCTGTTATTTGTTTGCCAGCTGTACTAGTAGGGCGGAATTCGAATTGAATTCCGTTGCAGTGTGCATTGCAACCTGATGTGGATATGCAGTGTAGACTCACGACACGAGTCCTGCCGTTTCTACACTGGCACGCGACGAACTTGAATAAAGAAGCACTGCAATTTGAAACAGCCTGAGGGAAAGTTGACGACAGGGGCGGACGAAATGAACCCACACTGCACTGCACAACTGGAAGCTGAGGTGGAACTCTGCGGTGACAGACGCCGCGACAAGGCTCGGCACGAGACGTAGGTTTTGTAAAACGCGCTAAACCAAAAGCTGATGTTCAGGAGTCCAGCTTCAAGGTCTGCCTCAATTGTACCTACTACTAGGTACTTAGGTTCCCTTATGGTTCGGCTAGATTCACGACTACATTGTGATTTGCGAATTGCACCTGTCAACAAACAAGTAGGAATTCAAGTAGTCAAGACATGGAGCGGAGTAAATAGCATTTGCCAGGCGTCTACTACCTTACTTTATCTACAGCAAGTTGTTCATGTTCGAGCATACTAGAACAAACTTCCCCATCGACGCCTCGGAGCCTCCCCGTCCAGCACACTCCTACTACTGTGTACAGTACAATCTGATCTGCTGTGCTCGCGTGAAACAAAATCATCACATCACAGCCACAGTCAAAGCCGGCCAACCTATCTACTACCTAGTATCCTTCTGTTCTCTCGAGCCCCAAGAGACCCAGCCCAACCGCCCCAGTCATTTTCTGTCCAAATCAACCTCATACAAAAGAAGAGCAGAGCAGAGCATTTTCGCATTCCGTTTCCATTTCCTCCAATGCAAGGATCCATTTGCTCGCGGGTATCATCACTCAATCAAATCCAATAATCGTTCATCAATCCGGTATCCGGTGACCGAAATCCATCATCTCTCGGACCACCCATCAGTTCCATTCATTCGCCAATTTGTTTTTGTTCCATTCTCAACTGTCATTTTATTTCCATTCAACTCACTGCTTCTCACTCATGACGGTCCATTTCCAACTCGGCATCCCTCCCGGCTGCGGTGTCTGCACTCCCATGAAAACTTCGCCAGCAGAGTTGTTGTCGTTGCTCGTACTAGTAGTATTCGTGGTCGTGTTGCTCAGAACTGGCATCTGAGACTTTGAATCCTGTGTTGACGCCCCGCCATTGCCGCCCGAACTTGAGCCGTAGAAGTTCGAACTTGCCGAAGTGGTCGCACCACTAAACGTCCCGTCGCCCACGCCGCCATCTGGGGCCGAAGGTGGCGCGTAGACATTGTTACTGGGCGAGGTAGTCGACCACAGATTGACCGCCGGGTCGAGCGACAGGTTGGGCTGCATATATTGGTCCCATGCTTCCTGTAACACCACACTGTTAGTCAACCGAAAGCAAAACCCAACTATCCCACGGCGATTCACTTACCCAATCCAGGTTCATGCCCTGGCCCAAGTCGCCCATTGCTCCGCCAAAGAGACCCATAGGGAAAGGACTGGGCGCGTTCGCGGGCGCTCCCGCTCCTCCAAACGCATTGGCACCATTGAACGAGTCGCCTGGTAGATTCGCCGCAGCAAACGCGGCATTGAATCTATCCCACCCGCCGCTGCCAGGGGAGTCCACCTGCAGGGGATTCATGCCGCCGGGTCCTCCCGTGCTGCCAATGGCGCCCGCTTGAAGCATGCCCAACGTCATTGCCGCCGTCTGTTCATCGTTATTCGAGCCCGGTGCAGGCCGGGTGGCCGTCGCCGCTGCCGCCGCCGCCGCCGGTATCTGCGTATGTTGAGTATTGCTGGGCGAATACGGCAACTTGATATGATAGAGAAGCACGTTCAACATCTCGCTCGCCTTATAAGCTTCGATGCTGAAATCGCGATTCGCCATCCATATGTCCCGACTGTCCTCCAAGGCTCGGATGAGGTCTTCACGCGTGTAGCTGAGACCAGGGATATACGTGCCGTCCGACGAGTTCGAGTTACTGCCTTGACTGACGCTGCCACCACTGACCGAGGTGCTAGGGGTACTCGCATCCGGGTCGCTGCCCTCACGATGGTTGTAAAGATCCATACACAATATTGTGGCGCCCAGCAAATAATCGTGCGCCGTCAACGAATTGATATGGTTCCGCATACTCCGCAACCGCCCGCGTTCTTGACTCTGTTGATGCTGAATGGCTTGGTAATTCAACAGCTGCATGGCCGAGTCCAGACACGTCCGTCTCGAGTGCATGTAACGGTTACCATTTCTGGCCAGGCGCAAGAACCGCCGATGAAGCACGCACTGTGACTTGTGATAGACCGTGGCCAAACTGAATCTCGCCATGATCAAAGATATGGGAGCCAGGGTCTGCTCGGCCATCGGGCGCAGTTTCAGGTGCTCGGGGATGCTTTCATAGACTTCTCGAAGTCCTTGGTCAATCTTGAGAATCTCATCGTAGCCTTTGTGGTTGACGCCATTGACTTCTTCCAGAACCCGGCCGAATCCGAACGAGAGGCGCCCTTTGGCTATCATGTACGATATCGGAGTTGGCTCAGAAGCTGGCCGAGAGGGAGGAAGGGACGCAGAGTCTTCGTCGAATTCATCATCGTAGATGTTTCGTGGCAGGTCGGTGTCCGAGTCTCCGATCCGGATCATGGGCGGAAGTGCCACCTGGAAGGAGAACAAGAGATCGGCAGTCCGTACAAACGTCCACACACGACGTCGCATCTCGCCTTGAAAGGGACTCAAGTTGGGGAACCACTTCGCATCTCGATGATAACCCATACGCATGGCAAGACGGGCGATCATGCCCACCAGAACCCAGACACTGGCTTCAGAGTCGCGATTCGAGATGTGTTCAGCGTGGAGATGCAAAATCAGCGTCTCGATGATGTGGTTATGGGGCTTGGTGTAATCAGCGGTGATGAGACAATGCGCCATCTGGGTGCGGTAGTTGATCACCAAATCTTGACACTTGCCTCGGAATTCAGGTGGTTCGTCGCCCTCCCGTCCGTACGATAACATGGCCAGTCGCATGATGGCGAACAACATGGCGATCCAGACGATCGAGCTCTTGGATGGATCAATCCAATGCTGGTTGTATTGTCGCTGGAAAGTGGGCCCGTGCAGAATGTGTGCGCCAGGGTCGAGGGTGTTGAAATATCGTCCGATCAGGATGTCGCACATGTATCGAGAGGGGATCTGAGCCATGATCTCGCCACGACTGGGAGGAACACTTGCGCCAAACAACAAGGCCGGCCCAGCACCCGCATCCGTTCCCATGGACTTCCTAACCTGCTCGACTTTCTCCATCTGCGCCTCGTATTCCTTCTTGTGGGCAACAAAATAGTTCCGAACTTCGCTGATCTCGTTCAGCAGAGCTGCCCAGTGTGCCTCACCAACGTAGAACGTCTTCTGTCTCTCCGCGTCAACTTTCAATATCCCAAAGCTCTTCGTAACTCCGTCAGTCTCGCTCTCGGGTTCTTGAGCATCGGCATCATTCATCGTAGTGGACTCGTCCGGATCGTCGAGAATCGGCCCGAGCGAGCCACTACCTATATTGCTCGTGCTTGTCGATAGAGCTTGAGCTGCGGCAGCCGGACCTGCAGCTTGTGGGCCATTGGTCATTAACGATAGGACCAGGCCTTCAAGCCGGTCGATGCGATTCTGCATGTCGTCGGGTGACGCATTTGCTGAATTTTGACTCTGGCTGCCTCTCTTTCTAGCCGCCGGCGCGGCGTATGTACAGGAGCCCCCATCGCCTCGCTTGGTACAGTTGTCGCATGGTGCCTGGCGATTGCATTTCAGTTTGCGATGGCGGCATGGCCCGCATGACAATGGAACGCGATTTCGCTTGCGCACTACTCTGAATTGATCCGGTGAGGCGCCGGAATGCGACGTGCCCGCTGACGGAGGTGTTGGTGTCATGTTGAAATCTTTTGTGTCGCCTATGCCCCCAACACACCTAATGGCATGGGTATCTGCGTTTGTGGTTCGGTTCACAGGATAGGCTTCGTGCGACTGCGACAACTGGCAGAGATTAAGTGCGAAACGAAGATGTCTTCACACTAGCCGATCTCAGTGTTCAGCGACACTTCCCAATAGGAAAAGATGCCTGGCCACAGCTGTCGCGATACCTGGTGGCCTTGTAGATAGCGCACTTGTTGATTCGGATTTAACAAAGAGTTAACTGCGCGGATCGCAGGGAGAGGCCAACGGGGTACTGTGGTGCATCGATGAAAGGGTCCCGCTTCACGTTGCACAGGCTGTACAAGCGAACTAAGCTGTGCGCTGTATTGTCGCAGTAGAGTGATAAAGAAGAAGGATGATTTTGAAGCAGTCAGTAGCCAACTGTTTCCATCAGACACTATGGTATGTCACTGCGACAAGCAATACCTTGCCAGTGCTACTAGTATCTCATTGCAGTGCTCGACACATGCAGCGCCAGGCACTCGAGCGCAGCGAGTCGCCAAGCCTGAAATGGGACGCGGACAGTCAGCATTAGGACTATTTTGGGTCTAGCGGATTTTCTACAGGGGCTAGTCAAGTCTTAAGATTATCGCGTGTATTACTCAGCATCAATCACCCCACTGCACTGCACTCCGAGTCCACTGGGCAGCAAAGTGAGGAGCATGGGAAAGAGACCGGGAGAGAGGAAGAGAGAGAGTCAGGGACGATGACTCACAGGTTTAGGACTGGCGCTGGACCCTCTAAAATCTCAATCGCAGGCACCATCCGTGACGTAGACCATTCTCAGGTATTGCCATGGCAGAGGTGCTCCATGAACAGTACAACCCATGTTTTCGACAAACGCACAGGACACACAGGAGCTTGAAGCCCTATTGACCTGCCTACTAGGAATCAAACATAGACTCAAGATCAGTGGATAAACTGATGCCAATTCGTTATGTCTTTACAGGAGGACAGAAGTCCGGTTGTCCAAGTTCCTGGCTTGCAAAGAGCCACATACTGTACGTGATCATGAAAAAACATCCTTGCAGTCCGTAACACTCATCCACGTGTCTCAAAAGTCCCAGAAACTCTTCTGAGGTTGATTCCGGTTATTGACATTGGTGGTGCTGGGTGCTTCTCCCTCCCCTCCAAAACTCCAATGGCTCTCCATACCCTTCCTTAATCGACCCTGCGGTGGCCCCTTCTTAGCTTGGTCGGGCGACTGATCGTAGGTATCCCAATGAGAGTCCATCATCTGAACTGCCTTTTTATGTGTGTCGCCAGCGGGGTGGTTCTCGTTGTTTGCCTTGTGAGTCGCGGGCGAATCCTCAGCCATGCTCCAGTGGCTATCAAAGTCATTCTTACGGTGGGTGTTGTTGGTGATTGTCGACAGAGGCGCTTTGCCCTGAGGATTAGCCTGGCCATCGTCGGTGTACAAGTTGTTGGTATACAGGCCCTGCCGGTCGCTGGCTGAGCTGGTGGGGCGGTCGGAGGTGCGAGCAGGGGCTGGCGTGGCAGTGTCCTTGAACTGGAAATGTGGTTCGGCATCCTTTCGAGGCTTCGGCACAACATGTCGCTCGACAGGGGTGCCATCGTCCTTGAATTCAAAGTGGCTTTCGTTGTCCCGTCGCTGCTTACCCTGCGCCGGCTTCGCAGGTGTCTCGAAGTCCTTGTTGTCATCTTCTAGGCTAAAATGCAACACTTCTTGCCCTCTGACTTTCTGATTGACCTTGGCTGGAGTGGTGAAATCTGCGAAGTCCCATTGTGACTGATTCTTGTCGGTTCGGGGTCGCATGGGTATGGTTGCCTTGGGTTTTGGAGTGTTCTCGCGATGCTGCATCGGGTCGTCCTCGATGCCATCTCCCAGATCGAAATGATTGTACTTGGCGGGGTTCGACTTGTAGCCAACGGCAGCCGGCTCTTGCGGATCATCGGAGAAGAGACGCGGTGGTGCAAACTTCTGACTGCTGCCGGCCTTGGGAGCGATGGCCTTGTCAAGCGGGACCTTTTTGGGCGATCCTGGTTCAAGGTCTTCATGGCCGGCTGCGAAAAGCTCACTCATCTCACGCGGAGGGGGTCTCGCCGACGCGCGTGGTGCGATGGGATTGGGTCCAGCGCGAGGTTGGTTCTCATCCGCTGCCTTTGGGGAGAAAAGGTCGAGGCTTGCGTAAGGATCCTTGATGTGCCTTTTGCTGGGAGAAGAGCTGCGTGGAGAGGTGACACTGTGATTCTCGGAGCGGACAGGGGAGTTGTTCGATTCTTGGACTGTTGCAGCAGGGGCAGAGCTATACCCGGTTTTGATCAATCTGATTTGGTCCTTGCCATCAAAGACAGGCCAGTTGTTGCCCCGGGATCCAATAACATCGGTCTGCCGCAAGAGCGAGCCCTGGTCCCAGGATACCCGCACTTGAGAGATCTTCTGTTCGGCATCGAAATAGACAATATGGGTCTGGAGGAACTGTGTCAGTCGTCGGTCGTTGCGCAAAGGCACAAGCATCTTACCGTTGCAATGGTGGCTGTCTTGTCCACTATGAAATTTTCCAGTCCGGGTAGATATGATCCTCCACCCGAAATGAACTCCAGCTCTGTCTCTACCTCAAGCGCAAGGGCGTTCGATGCTTCCACGGCTGAAATGATCCTCGCGCTTTTGGTCTTGACCACGTTTCTGTTTTGAGACTCAAGGTGCCGTACAATCGGCCCCGGCTGCGAGAAGGAAGTCAAGGTCGTGATGTAGTGCAGCGACGCATTCTCGGAGAGGTTGATGGGGTTCGGCCGCTCGAGGAAGCGTTGGTAGATGTCTTTGAGCGTCATCTTGGACCGACCAGATCGCGATAGGGGTGATTGGCACACGCGAACCGATTGTCCTTGTTATTAGATAAGGCGAGTGATCAATGGATGATGGTACGAGTCTTGCGCCGTGGTAGAAGGCGTAGAAGCGGAAGGGACGACTGGAATAACCACAGGCGCAACTGTCAGGGCAATCGAAGTAAAGGAACTGAAAGGGTGTTTGTTGTTCAAAACAAGGATCCTGCCATGTAAACTCAGGGCGGTGCCAGTGGGAGACGCGATGCAAGTGGGCTGCGCTACGTGTTATTCCGTTGTTTACGTTCCAGGCAGGATTGGGAGGGGCCTCGGGGCACTGCAGTGCCTGGAGTTCGACGGGCTGAGCCTTAAAAATTAAGGACAACACCACTGCAGGGGTCCTGCACGTCACGGTTGTTTGATCAAGCACAAGGAACGCGTTGCCCCGCCATTACTGTTGGTGGTATTATTATGCTTTTTGCCCGCCGACACGTGATCTGGATGGCAGGCGCCGGATACAAATTCGCTGCGAACACTAGTACTATCGCAAACCGCAAAACAGCAGGATGGTCGCATGGCCCCTAGCGGCGTTTCACATGTTTCTCGACCGCGCCGCCGGTGTCCAGGCTCTCAGCCTCGGGGCCACGGCGCTCGAGGTCTAAGCGGATCCTGATAGCCCTGACCAAATCTCATGTGCAGGCCGTCTCCAGGCTGATAAAGAGACTCCAGCGATCCGAGAGACCGTCCATTTGGGACGATTTCTTCCTCATTTTGCGCGTGTACCGGCACCACGTCATCGCTGGCATTCACGTAGATAAATACCGGCAGGGCAGAGTATGAGCAATGCCTTCCGCTCCCACGCGACCCACGTCTCATTTTCGTGATCCTCAACTGCAGCAGTAGAACGTTATTCAAGTTGATGCTGCAAGTGAGTGGCTTTTCCCTCCAACATCAGAAGACCAAGCCGAGTGTAGACGCCGGCAATGGAGACTCTTATGAGTAAGATGCGAACGTCGTCCAACTCGTAAGCCGGCAAAAGCTCATCAACCGGCTTGCTCAGATAGGGCTACTCTAGTCAGTCACAATGGGCAAGACCATTTCCTGCTTGTCTGAAACTCACCCGAACCATTGCGACGACATCTTTCCGATCGCGTACATGTTGCCCACGTCACTACGCAAGCCAATGAGCTGGACTCTCACCGCCGAACCTTTCTCGATCACATCGCCCGCATTGTTAGAATACTGCGGAGGCGTCGCATCCGGGTTGTGGCGCATGTCTGGTGGCAGGTGCTATTTCAGGTCAGCATCAATGCTGCCTGGGATGGCCGCCCATTGCTTACCAACTTGGACACAAAGACTGTCAGAGGTCCCGCTTCACAAAACACGCCCTGAGGTTTGATGGAGGAAACTGCGCAATCAATCTGGAGGCCGATGGTCAACTCGCCGCTCGAATGAAGGACATGTAGCCTATGCTCACCGTCTCGCCTTTGAAGGGCTTCCACAGGATTGCGCGGTAGAGAATAGTGAAATGCGCGTCTCCAGAGCCCGGCCTCACCCGTCCAGCGGAGATATTGTAGATATCCATTATGCACACGATGTAATATTCGCCATTGCAACTGCCCTCCAGGTCCGCATAAAGTTGATCCTTCAGTCGCTCGTGAACACTATTCCCAAAGAACGATGGATGGATACTGATCTCACGTTCGAGATACCGCAAGAAAAACATGTTGAGGATTCGCGGCCGGCGGTGTCGCCTCGTCAATCGCACGACGATGCCAGGACAATGGCTTGTTATGAACCGCTATTCATTCTCTTTGGACGTGCACAGTATGATGTATTTCGTTAACTATGCTGGTGCAGTGGGATAAGACCGAACGAAAGTAGCGAACTCAAGACGGTTCGTCGCAGTCGCGAATGGAGCAGGCAGAGGGCGAGGGCAAGGACGAACTGAGGTCGTAGGTGAGGGTTTCGAAATGCCCAACTTGAACGACACGGCTTCGAGGCGAAGATGCAGTTCATACTCGACTGCAGTGCCAGTGTGCCATATCCTTTTTGCTCAATGAGGCATGTGGTCGCGCCGCTATAACTACGGTGCGCTGTACCTCGCACCTTGTCAAATCCGGCGAAGCATAGGCCGGGATGCGCCATGGTAACCGGCGAGTTTCGAGTCCCGGGGAAGAATGGGCACCGCGCCCGCCGGTGACCAGTAGCATTTGGGATATTGAGAGATGCGGCGCCAATGCCAGTGCCGGTGACATGACATGGAGGCTGAACTGCAGGGTCAGTGTCGTGCGCAGTCTATTAGCACGGTAGAAGGTGACATGCTCGGATCGTTCTATCCACGACTCTTGTGTTCCTCTCAGCTCGTCTGCCCGACTCGTGCATGAGCTCGCAAATGCCCCTGACTTTGCTTCGATGATTGTCTTCTTCGGCTTGTTTTTGTAAACATCGCAGCCTACAGCCCCTCCCGTCATGGCCCTCAACCTGGAGAAGCAACTGCGCTTCGTAAGTCAACCGTTCAGTATCCGGATCCTCACCGGATCATCCTGCTGACTGCATTGGCTGTAGTATGGCGCATACCACCATGACTCGGTACCTACCCAGTAAACACACGTTGAAGGAGGAGGCTTGAATGCTCATAAGTGCTAGGTCAACATCGGCATCCACATGCTCGGCGTCCCGATCATCCTCTGGACTTTCTTCCTTCTGGTATGAGAGCGTCCCCGTTCGAGTGCGAGACCACGCAACTTAACTATACCTGACCAGGGCACGAATTCCCCGCCTCTGCTGAAACTCCCCGAGTCCATGACCGTGCCTAACCTCGATCTCAACGTTGGGACGATATGCTGCTTGTGTTACTGTGGGTTGTACATCCTGCTAGAGCCCATCGCCGGAACCGCACTCTCGGCATTGCTCCTGGTGGGAACTGCGTATGCAAAACACCTGACCACTGTCTACGGAATGGCCGCAAACTACTGTGCCATGGGGGCGTTCGTTGCCTCGTGGATCGCACAGTTTCTAGGTCACGGGCTTTTTGAAGGCCGAGCCCCAGCCCTCCTCGATAACATTTTCCAAGCATTTTTTCTCGCACCGCTTTTTGTCTGGCTCGAGCTGCTCTTTGCACTGGGATACAGACCGGAACTCAGGAGCCGTGTGGAGAAGATGGTGGAGCAGGACATTGCCAAATATCGGGAATCCAAAGCTCGCAAACTCAATGGAAGCGCCAACGGTAGTGCCAATGGCCACGCCAAAAAATAGCGGGATATCAGCAGCTGGAAATGATGCTCGACGCGCTCCAGCAGTTTACAGCGTGTCCGAATTTTCTACCAGGCAAGAGATCATGACCGCCATGGACGTGACTGGACGCTTTCCACTCACCAAATAGCTGGTGGCTTCATATTGTACCTATCACGGACAAAGTCATCACACACTGTCCCTCCCGTGCTGTATTCCGACAGAAGGTCCGGCAAGTCCTGATCATCTGTCCAGGATGTGCCAGGAAGATGAATACTATCGCCGAACATGGGTGTTATTCGCTTACGAGGTGGCGGATATCTCATTGGCATCACTGGATCGCATGTTTCAGCTCTGGCTCACTCCGTCGCGCAAAGAAATGAGGCTAGACCTCTGCAATCGTCAGCATAGCTGATGAGGGTGACTTCAACAAGCTGCATTGTCTGAGTTTCCTTCACAATCGGGACGCCGAAACTCTGCACTCTTTTCTCAGAACTCACTCCGGTTCCGCGGAGAATGGTGCAACTAACACCCCACTGCACTATTCGCTATACAATCAAACCTGCTGTTTCAAGAGTCTAGTCAAAGGCGCCATCGGGACAAATGCACACTGGCATTGGCATTGGCATTGTCATGATTTACTCATAAGATAATTGACGCAATCTTTCTGCATGTGCTGAATACAAGCATGATCGTGCTTCTAGCAAGCCTTTTTTCACTCCAGCTCGTTGGAGTTTTGTACGTAGGTAAACGTCGTGTACTTGATATACAAAGAGCTTTCCAAGTTACAATGTTGCGGGTTGTTCTTCGAACCTTGAGGTATTCTGTAATAGCTCTGAATGGGTATCAACCCATGGGGTGCCGAACGGACTAGAAGCGGAATCCTAGATTTGAATGTGTCTCGGCCTGTGTGTCTTGGGGGTGCTTGAAGAGGGTGATGAGTCGCGAGCAGATTGTTCTCAAAGCGGCACTGTCTCTGTGACTGTGCTGAACGCTCGGAGCAGTTCGACCATTCGTCGGAACATTATTTGTTCCCGAACATGAACCTCACTTGCAGTGGGACAACTTGAAGCCTCGTCTCTTGTTTCTCTAACATGTCCCAGTCTACGGACCATTCATTTGTGAACACGCTATTAGAAGCCGCTCGAGAGCGAAACATTGTCCTTTCGGCGGCTGAAGTGAGGGCGATCCGTACCTCGCAACCGCAGTCTCCACTGGCACAATGGGTGCGACGCAACCTTATAGTGTCTACATCAAAATCAACATTGTTGTCCGCTGAAGAACTCGAACTGTACGTACGGGAGGACTGGTCTAACACAATTTTGAGCCAAAACACTAATTACGCTATCATAATAGATGGCAGCATGTTAAAGAGTCAAAGTGCTCGTCAGCCGAGGCTGCCAGTGTTGTCGACTTCTCGATACCAACCACGGACGAAGAATTTTGGTCCGCAACAAAAGATCTAAATGCACAGACTCAAGATCTCGAGCGGCGATGCCAGGTCCTGGAATCCCAAAGCGCCCTTGCGGCCCGGCTGAGGGACTCTGTAAAGTCCTCTGAGGCCTCGAGGGCAAAGCACGCCCGCTACTTTGACCAGAAAGAAGTCGCTGGTGTGCAACACGTCAAGTTTGCGGTGCGAAAACCCCCCTTGCTAATGGCCTGGCTGGGCTGGCGGCGAACTCCTTGCTGACGTGTCATGTTGTGACAAACCAGAACGACCAACTGTTGGAGACATTGCAAGCAGATATTCAAGCCGAGTTCCAAATCGTCGGTAGAGACGTGAAATCCGCACATGCCATTGTCGCGGAAACATTGAATGCGGATGATCGCGCCCTGGAAGGGTTTAACGAGATTTTTGCGAGGCAATCGAACAGAGAACAAGCAGAATTTGATATTGACTCGCTGGAGAAACGAGTGTCTGAATTGACGGCGGCGTTACGGCATTTTCGAGTTCAAATGATCAAAGACCGACTGGACAGGACGTATCTCGAAACCCTTGCCCGGGAATCCAATCTCCAAGAAGATGAGGAAGCTGCCGGCAGTTCCTCCACTAGTGCTCAAAACGACGACGATGAGGCGATAGCGATAAAGAGCCTTCAGGACGATCTGGGTTCATTGTACCCCGAGATCGATGATGTTGCAACTATGGTCGTCACACAGGCGCACAGTCGGGCGATTGATTCTGCTCTCCGGGATGTGCAACGACTCAAGGCGGAAGAAGGTCGTGTGCGTAATAAATTGGTATGTTTTGTTCTTGTTTTCCTCTCTCCTGCCTTACGTACACAAGCGTATTCCAAAAGCACTGCTCGTTCGTGGCCGGCCATACTGGACAATCACTAACTGACTCTACGAAACAGCTCTACACCGGATTGTCCAACATGACAACCACACTCGACGACCTATCGTCGAAACTTGAGAATATCCAGTCTCGACGTCTGTCGCTCGACGAAATCCGTGCAAAATGTCAAGACATCAGAGCCGATGGTATTAGTTCTGCTACCAGTATTGGCCGTCCATGTCAACCGACCAGGACTGATTCGTCTGGATCGCATCGACCCAATGGGCATGACGCAGCCACATCCGCGTTATTGCATCACTTCGGCCTTTCGGAGGCCATGAATCAAGGTACGGCATCGGCCGACCACCAGATCCAAAACTTTGCGACCAAAATGTCCCGCCAGTCCGCGGACAATGTGGACCATATCCTTCGACTTATTGAGGCGGCGGCCACCAGGGGAAACAAGGTCATACAGAGTCTGGAGAATGTCTTGGGCGCAAAGTCGACTGCAGGGGTCTACAATTTGGACAATCAGTTGCGAATGCTGGAGGAGAGAATCAACGATGCGAAAGCGGATATTGAGGCGACCTTAAATTTGAATCCTGGGGCCACGACCACGCAACTTCAGCGGCGGTAAATGTTTCCCTCTTCTGTGAAGAGAGAGAACAAGACAAAAGTCCCAAGAGTCCGCAATATGTGCTGAGTAGAGCGTTTGGTCGGGTCGGTACGATAATGTGGATAAAAGATGGTGTACCTCTTGGCCACAGAAGCTATTGAGCAACTACTTTATTCAAAGGGCTTGACTAGGTTCTATTCCTTGGACAAGAAACAGTGACGAGGAACAACATCAACACTGAGATGGCCGAACTCTGTCAGACCCAAGAAAAGATAAATGACTATCTCAGACAACCGCCCAGGATGTGAAAGTTGATCGTTCGAAATAGTATGCATAACATTGATCATGGACATTCTATCTTCAGCAAAAATTCAAAAATATTACTCTACTACCATGCTGACCAACCAACCAAGCATTCATTCAAGCGTACTAGGTAAGGTACCTGTACCTATACGACCTCCCTGTGATTCGGCACCCCGACCATCTCCGTCCTTCTCGACGGATCACTGGCGCCGCCCTCACTAAGCTCGGTCATGGTCCGCTTCTCCTCCGACTTACTCTTTGTGAAACTGCGGGCGAGGGTGAAGAAACCCTGCCTCAAACCCAAGGTGGTGCGTTGATGTCTTCTGGCCTTCATGCCCTCTGTCTCCTCGGCCTCGAACCAACCAGTGGCACGCTTGACGTACTTCCAGGCCTCCATTCCGGAAACAAAGACAAAGACACAAACTATCGCAGGGGCCCATTCCCACGAGATACCCTTATGTTTGAACACACTAGTGTTCAAGCCGGGGATGTAGACGGCGGGGAACACCGAGGCGGCGCCAATGACGACGGACCAGAACAAGAACTGGTTCTCCCAAATATCCGCGAAAAAGGGGAACGCGCGCGTGTCATGCGGATTGATGCGGAACATGCTGCGGCGCATGGCCTTGAACTCCCAGGCGGAAATCAAAATCAGCCATGTCAACTCGGCAAACACAGCCGCGCGGGCTCGGAACACGACATCACAGCTGTCGCTGTATTTGCGGTTACAGTCGACACCTAACCCGTCCCGGCCGGGCCCGTACACAATAAACACGAATGTCATGAGACAACAAGTTCCCTGGATGGTACCATAGACCAACATATCGGTAATGAGTTCCCATGTAAAGATGCCCTTTCGATTGTCGTGCGGAGGCCTCTCCATGACATCGGGGGCGGCCTTTTCACGGCCCAAACCAAAAGCCGGAAACGACGAGGTCAGCATGTTGATCCATAGGATCTGCAGCGGCGACAGGGGAAACACCGAGAACCCGGAACTGTCTTGGAACCCGAGCCCACAGATCAACAAGATCACTTCGCCCACGTTGGACGTCAACAGGTGCAAAACGAACCGTTGGATGTTATCGAACATGCGTCGTCCTTCCTCGACCGCGTTGACAATGCTGGCAAAGTTGTCGTCTGTCAAAACAATGTCCGATGCAGACTTGGCCACGTCGCTGCCGTTCAGGCCCATTGCGATGCCCACGTCAGCCAATTTCAGCGAAGGTGAATCGTTCACCCCGTCCCCGGTCATGGCGGCGAATTTGCGTCGGCGGTGAAGTGCTTCGATCATTCGGACCTTGGTCTCTGGCGCACAGCGTGCCACCACCAGTGGCAGGGTCGGTAGGGCGTCGATCTCGGCGTCGCTCATCTTGTCGAACTCGGTGGCAGTCTTGACGATCGCCGCCGCCACATCTGGAGCCAGACTCCCCATGTTCTTGGGGATGATGCCGACTTCCTTGGCGATCGCTGCCGCTGTCGATGGATGGTCGCCCGTCAACATGGACACCGTGATCCCGGCCGTGGTGCATGCTTGCACAGCTCCCTTGGTTTCCAGTCGCGGCGGGTCATATAGTCCTGCCAACCCCAAGAGACATAAATCCTTTTCCACTTCGGTCCGGTCGATGTCCGAGTGTTCGGGGATGTCTTCGGTGGTGAATTTGCGTGCTACAGCAAGAACCCGAAGTCCTTGTTCGGCCAGGAATGTCATTTGTTCAAGCGTGCTTTCTTTCAACTCGGGAGTCATGGGTTGCTCGTGCTCGCCCACGCCCACCGACGTGCAGAGGTCGATGATCCGCTCCACCGCCCCCTTGGTGAAGATGATGTTGTGTTCGATGCCTGGCTTGGTATAGACAACCGACATACGCTTGATGGAGCTGTCGAAAGGGAACTCCATCGTCTGGGACCAGCCGTGCTTCTCTTCGAGCGTCTTCTTCCCGTGGTTGAATCGGTGTGAGAACACTTGCAGCGCGATCTCGGTCGGGTCTCCCGCCGTTTTCCACATCTCTTGTCCATTCTCACTGACTTTGCGCACCGTGGCCAGGTTGCAAAGAGCGGCGGCTTCGAGGAATGCTTGCAGACCTGGCGTCACTTCGGGGTCCTCTTGGATGAACTTCTCGTGTTGATTAGTAGCAGCCTTTTCAGCATCCCTCTGCATCTTCTCTTCGGGCACGTCGAATGCGACTCCGGCGACACTTCGCTTGTGATCGAGAGCTTCTTGCCTGGCGACCTTCTCGGCTTCAACCTCTTTTCGGGAGCGGGGAGCTGTGCCAAACGTGATGGTTCCTTCCGTGGGGTCGGAGGCATTGTTGGAATTTTCCACACTGTAAATCCCAGCGCCTGGAATCCAGGCCTTGCGAGTAACCATTTTGCCTTGGGTCAGCGTGCCGGTCTTGTCTGAACAAATGTTGGTGACGCCTCCAAGCGCTTCCAGTGCGCTGAGCTGGCGAACAACGACCCTGCGCTTCCTCATCTGGGTCATCCCGACCACCATGGTGATGGTCAGAACGGCAATCAAGGACTCCGGGATGATGGCAATGCCAGTCGAGATGGCGTAGATGGCGACCTCGTTCGTGACGTGGAAGCGATTGACACCAAAGACGATGATTGCAAGGAGAAGAGCACAGCCGAAAAGAACGTAAGCTAGTTTGCTCAGTTTGATCTGTAAAGGCGTGCCGTCGGTGAGGCCTAGGAACTTTAGAACTGCGTCGTAGGTCCGAAGGGCGCCGCCCTTGATGGGCTGCAATGGTCCGTATTTCCTCCGTGACATCGACCGGCCTGGCTTGCGGCGCTTGCCCTGCATGGATGCGGCGATTCCTCCAATGGCCGTGGACATGCCGGTAAAGACAACCACGCCACGACCACGACCCTTGGTGACGGTGGAGGAGGAATAGGCAATGTTGAGTCGGTCTCCTAGGCCCAGATCTTCTTTGGCAATGCCATGTTTGGCTTCAAAGTCCACCTCTTTAGCCACGGGTAGGGCCTCGCCGGTCAAAATGGCTTCGTCACACTCCAGGTTCATCACCTCAAACAATCTCAGATCCGCCGGAACCGTGTCACCCGTCTTGATCGAGACAATGTCGCCTGGGACCACTTCGGCCGAGGGAATGGTCATCTCGTTGCCGTCACGGACCACATTGGCCGAAGGTGAGGAAAGCGAGCGAAGGGCATCCATTTTCTTTTCGGCCTGGAATTCCTGATAAAAGCCTATCACGACATTGAGAACAATGACTGCAGTAATGACGGCGCCTTCTACAAAATCTTCCACTCCGTACGACAATGCCATGGCGAGCACCAGAACCTGCAGAACGGTCAGCGAACGTGAGATCAAGACGAGGGCTACTGCCATACCAGAATCATGGCATTGGAAATTTGCTTTCCCAGAATCGCATACCAGGAGACTCCTCCATCACCGTCCAGTTTGTTGGGTCCATATTTCGCCTGATACTGCTGGACTTGAGCACTCGTCAAGCCCAGTTCGAGGTTCGTTTCGAGATGTTCCACAACCTCATCGGTGGACAGTAGGAATGGGTGCTTGGAGTAGCTTTGTTCCACCCGTCCGCCATCTTTACCCATCGCAGGCGGGCGAGGTCAATTCGGCTTCCCGCGGGGTAAATCGAGGAATAATATAAACCACGTTCTTTTCTGTGCCGTAATGGGAAACGACAGTTGCAAGAGGATGATAACCTTGGAAATTACAGTAGACCACTTAAAGATTTGTATGGAATGGTTCAAAGGTGACTTGTTGAAGCTTACCAAGGTTATGGACCCCTGCTGAGGGGCATCATGGCATGTTATATAGGCTGATAAGGCGATTGCCGTCCAGACTCATTGAAGAAAGGCTATCCGTTGGTACCGATCCCCGGCCCCGAACTGTCATGATGGAACCGCCATGGCAAGCCAAGAGACAGCATGTTGCGTTGCCATCACCCACCGTATCTTGGCGGGCGAATGCTACTAGTAAGGTGGTGTGGTGTCCAATACCAGGCGTATCCAGAGCACGACCCGGTCTAGGTTTGGTATTGGCTTCCGCGGCTGAAGAAGTTACTTTGCAAAAGTCTTCTGGGCTTGCCTCCCTCAGCCGGACGGTAACGTCACAAGCCGAAGGCTGAATTGAAGTAGGCAGTGGAAGCGGACCAGTACCACGGAGATGCCTGATGATCCTCGTAGCAGGGATCATGGAACGAAGGGTGAGAGACCGTGACTCTCGGCCAAGCCGTGCCAAGTGGCCGCCAAGGATCGCGTATTGAGAGCGGGACGCCGCCGGAAGCAGAGACGCGTCTTGTCCACTTCCCTGGCCACTCAGCGACCGACTTTTTCCTCGGCGCCCAGAATGCCGCCCGATTGGGATCCCTGTCCGTCTCGTATCTGATCGTCAATCCTCGTGCTCGTGCTCTTCCGCGGCCTACTATACACGGCGCATGGTTTGGCCCGTCCGGACTGTGGCAACAACATCTTATCGAAGCTGAACCTGGGGTCAGGCGGCGTATCCAAGCCCTTCTTGCAGATCGCGGTCCTCAACATACCACTTTTCGGGTTTTCTATTGTCCGACCGCGCCTCAGCTTTTGTGAGGGTTCAATGCAACCAAGCTCGACAAGCCTTTACGAACCATGGCTCCAGGGTCTCAATGCAGGAATGCCTTGCGAGCAATAACGAAGTCGCCGTCGCTGACCACTAGATCTTCAAGTCATCGGGTCACTGCACAAACAACGAGAAGAGATTGGACAGTTCGAAGGATACCACGCCGGCAGCATTCGACAGCCTCAGCCTCGCCCACCTCGCCTTCGGCCTCGTCCGTCTCTGCCTCCGAAGTCTCACACTTCTCCCGCCTCGCATCGTCATGGTGGGATCCTCACGGCCCGTCGAGGCTGCTGCACCTCATGAACCCGCTTCGCCATGACTTTATCCGATTATGTATGGACTCGTCCTTCTCCGCGGCAGAGACTACCTCGACATCCACACCGAGATCATACTCGTACCTCGACATCGGATGCGGCGGCGGCATCTTTGCATCCTCTGCCGCACGGCTGCCGTCCACCTCGACCGTGACGGCCATCGACCCCACGGAACTGGTGATCCAAGTCGCCAAATCGCACCAGCGGTCCGACCCAGCCATAGCCGCCCCTAAACTGCGATACCTGAACTGCGCGATCGAAGACCTCCCTGTCCCCGCCACAGATGAACAGAAAGTCGACGTCCTGACTGTGTTCGAAGTGCTCGAACATATTGACTCGCCGTCTTCGTTCCTCGAACTCGCCATCCCCCATGTCAAGCCCGGCGGCTGGATCATCGGGTCCACCATCTCCCGCTCGCTTACGGCCTTCTTGACCACAAAGCTGATCGCCGAGGCGCCGTTGATTGGCGTGGTGCCGCCCGGGACGCACGATTGGAACAAATACATTAATCCGTCAGAGCTGCGGCAATACTTCGAGACCCGTGCATCGGGCAGCTGGGGCAAGTTCAAGACCCAAGGCGTCGTGTATGTTCCTGCTCTAGGTTGGCGATTTGTCAACAATAGCGAGGAGTTTGGAAACTATTTCTTTGGCGTGCAAAAGCTCGGATGAATAACAGAAAACGTGGTTCACGTGCAGTACCTTTGAGGGAGAAAGACCTCCACACCTGTTCACCAGACATCAGAGCCCACCAACGGAAGTCAAAGATGGAATATACCAATATTGGTGTTTCGAACAAATTGGGGGAACTGGAAACACAACAGAGTCGACAACGCATCGCCGTCCCAGTCTTCTCGAAGAGACTTATGATACGGACCGGTTTACACCTACAGTACTGCTCTCAGCAATAAAGAGAGCAAGAAGCCCCCTAGTAGTGTGGCTCCATCCCGGATTTGAGCTCAGCTTACCGCCTTCTGCGTCCTGTCCAGACCCACTCCCGATCCAATCCTCGAGCAGCTGTTGACGATTGATCAATCAATCAATCGATCAATCTGTCGTTCCTCCCGGCGACTGCCTCCTCGAATGGCACTCAACCCCACCCGCCAGGCGTCTCCGTCCCCATATCAGATGGCCGAACACCACTTCGGAACCAGACGCGGGTCCATCGGAGCTGATATCATTACGCATGACAGTGGCCTGGCTGGCTGGCCGCTTCTCGAGCAAATGAACCCTAGTCAAAAAATGTACCGGTTCAGCGGTCCATACATTGTAAATGCCTTTAATGGCTATAGTCTGGATAAGGTATGTAAGTATTTTACAACAGTCGCGGTAAATCGCATAACGATGGTGTACCGATACTACTGTACTACTACTTGAGGAAACGAGAGTGATGCTTGGAAGATATAGAGTACGAGTAAAGTGATTCAAAGACTTTCAAACCCAGCGGCCACGCGCACTGAACATTACTATCACGGTCATTTCCTTATTCAAACATCATTCATTAATTCTAATCTAATCATACTTTTCCATTCCATTTCATAGAAGCTATTCTTCTTCAGGCTTCTTTTGCTGCAGTAAGGGGTATCATTTCATCTGGCTCATAGCAGAATAGGCGTCGCTCGCTTGATTCAACTCAAGCCAAGTCCTCGCAAGACATCTTTACACAGAACTTTGCAAGTCCTTTACGGCACCCTTCTTGCCCTTCTTCTTGCCCTTGCGCTTCTTGTTCCCACCTGCACCTGTCTTTTCATTTTCGGCTTTGGCAGAGTCGTTGACAGTCTTGTTCTCGTCCACATGAGGAGAATATCCATCGCCAGCCTCGGTCTCGCTGCTTTCCGCAGACAGCGGTACTGGCACCGGAAGCGGATCCGGATGCTGTAGTAGTAGGCCTTCACTGAGCAATTTGGCGCGACATTCGTCGAGGATCTGTTTTGCTTTCTGCTCGTCCCAGTTCTTGCTGCGGGTGCTGGAGCCGAATATGTCGTGGTAGAGGATATCCCGGGGTTCGTCGTCGTTATGTGGTTGTCGTGTTGACACGGGTTTGATCGTGTTCTTGTTCGCCGCACTAGCCGACAATGGCCCAGAACCTGCACTCTGTCGTTGTCCAGTTGCTCCCCCTGCGCGTCCCCTCCGACGCCTGGCGATACTGGGCGGTACCTTTTTCGCAGGTCCTGCTTCAATGACAGCACCCTCAAGATCTTCGGCATCCAGTTCCCCATTCGCCACCATCTCCTGCAACTTTTTCTGGGCGGAAATCTGCATCATGGCATCACGATGCTCTTCCTTTAGACCTTCCATCAACAGCTCCTGAGTGGCCTTCTCCTCTTCAAGGCGACGAATAGTCTCATTCAGCTGAGCCAATTGTGTCTTTTCCAAAAATTCAACCCGTTCCATAAGACTGGCAGTAAGTGCCTTTTCTTCCTGATATTTGACAGTAAGACTGCGTGCCATTTCCTCGAACTTTGCACTTCGCTTCTCAAGACGCGCTTTCTCCTTTTCAAGTTCAGGAACATGGCCTTTGGCGACAATATCATGCTGCTGTTCCAGCTGCTGCAATCTCTCCGTGGCGATGCGGCTTTCTTCCATGGCTCGTTCGGCCTTTTTAGTCGCTTCAGAGGCTTTATCCACGGCTCGTTCGACCACCTCTTCGAAATACACTCTTTGGCTTTCAAGCTGGCTGGTCAATAGGTGCGTATATTCGAGAGCAATGTTGTCCATCTTGGCCATTTCGACATCTTCTTGTCCTTGGAGGGCCGTGCGTTCCCGTCGTCTGCCGGGCAGTTCGACCAGCTTCTCGCCCGGCTTGGCTGCGTCTTGAATGATGCGATGCACGTAGGCGTCTCCTGCATAGTCCCAAACTCGTTTACTTTCGAGATCCATGCTGAACGTATGTCCGCTTTCTTCGAAATGTGCATATGCATGCTTGCCTTCGTATCGTCCACACCCGATTTTGCCACAGATGAGACATTGCCAGAGACTCGTCTCAACATGACATACTTCGCACTCCAGGGGCCCGTCATTGTCTCCGTGCTCGCCTGGGTTTTTGTTTTTTGATTTGGATGAACCAAGCCGAGACGAGAAGTCGTCGTGGGTGTACCTGCAGACCGGACAACCACCGCCAGACCACTTTTCCAAACATGTGCAATGGAACACATGCTGGCAAGGAATGGTCAACAGGCCCGTGGTTTCGTCCATCCGCTCAAGGCATACCGGACACGTAGGCAATTCAACCAGTGAGGATGTTCTTGGAGCCAATGGTTTTGTGGTTGTTGAGGCCGGGGTGAAAGGGTCGTTATTCATACGCGGGTAGCTGATTACCGACGATCCGTCATCATTATGTCCTGGAGATGTTGGAGTTGTTTGCATCAATTCGACTGATTTCAAAAAAACGACATGGCATGTCTCCGGTTCCATGCTGTTGAACACTTTCCCGTTCCATTCGTGTTGCCACTCTTTCGCCTTCTTGCCATGTTTGAACTTCATCAGAACCATGTACCGGTTGGCACGCGCCGTGCGGACCATCCGAAAATGGCTGACCTCGCTTCTGGTATCGGCACCGACCCACGACAGGAAATCCGACGGTGTCATGTACGAGGGCACGGCCAGGATACATAGGGTTGTGCATTCTTCGTCCTTGGGTGGTGGATGAGGTTTGGTTGCGGGAGGATTGCGAGACCCGTCGCTCCATAGATCACTCGTTCGATATGCGGCTACAGAGTCCTTGTAGAGCCCCGACGTCTCTTCGCTGTCTCGATAAAGATGAACGATCCCCCATCCTTGCGCACCGCCGCCGTTTCCGCTTCCTTCCAGAGGTTCATAGCGGCCCTTCACATGATGTCCTGATATTGCGCTTCCAATTCCCTTGCCAATGATGTTATCTTTTGACCCTTCTTGGTTCACACCGCCACCACCGCCGCCAGAGTTGGCCGACATATCGACGCCCTCGATGCAGATGTTGTCAAGCCGATGATCGTGGGGAGCCGAGTGAGGTAGTCTGGCAGAGGAGGTTTCGTAGCGGGCGGGGTTCGTAGTATGGTCTTTCTTCTGCTCGGGCGCAAAGTCTCTCGATCGCCGCCTGGGCCCGGAGTTCGTGAACGGCCTGAGTGCTTTGAAGAATGAAGATAGATTTGGTGGTTGAAGTTGGCTGGACTCGTTCAGCGTTGGTGATGAGCCTGGAAAGAGTTCAATACCAACGTGAAAGAAATAATCAGGCATTTCGCCTAGGCATCAGGTCAAAAACAAAAGGCAAACTTGAATGGTAATGTAAAGAGAAAAAGAAAGCGGACGGGCATGGAGTTGCGGATGAAAGTTGAGCGGCGCATTCACACAAACTTCAAGTCGCCGTCAGTCTGGTCGCGTCTGCGGCGCGGTGACAGCCTGCGTCATATACCGAGGCCTCCAGACCCACCAACAGAGACAGCAATTCGATCGTGTTTTCGTTCTCGTGTTGGAACGAGTAGTGTATTATTACGGATACAAGGAATGTACATAAGGTGGAGAAGAACATATATTCATCAAGTTCTTAGCACTTCTCTAAGCAGTATGCTTGGCACTAAGTGGCCAACTCGAAGGCTATCATGTCGTTCGAATTCAAGTTGCTAGCAATGTCATAATAACCCCAGGCAGAATGCCCATCCCGTTAAACTCATGAAAAGACTGAACAGAACCGCATGCCGAACATCATCTACTGACCACCACGGAGTCTGAGCACCAAGTGCAAAGTGCTCTCCTTCTGAATATTGTAGTCAGAGAGAGTGCGACCATCCTCCAATTGCTTGCCGGCAAAGATCAATCGCTGCTGGTCGGGTGGGATACCCTCCTTATCTTGGATCTTTGACTTTACATTGTCGATAGTGTCCGAGGATTCGACTTCCAGAGTAATGGTCTTTCCAGTCAACGTCTTGACAAAAATCTGCATACCACCTCGGAGTCTCAGCACAAGATGGAGCGTGGATTCTTTCTGAATATTGTAGTCCGAGAGTGTTCTGCCGTCTTCAAGTTGCTTGCCAGCAAAGATCAATCGCTGTTGGTCCGGTGGGATTCCTTCCTTGTCTTGGATCTTTGATTTCACATTGTCGATGGTGTCTGAGGATTCGACTTCGAGTGTAATAGTCTTGCCCGTCAGGGTCTTGACGAAAATCTGCATACCACCACGCAGGCGCAGGACAAGATGGAGGGTGGATTCTTTCTGGATGTTGTAGTCGCTCAGGGTGCGACCGTCCTCAAGTTGCTTGCCAGCAAAAATGAGACGTTGCTGGTCAGGCGGAATTCCTTCCTTATCCTGGATCTTGGACTTGACGTTGTCGATAGTGTCGCTAGACTCCACCTCAAGGGTGATAGTCTTGCCAGTGAGAGTCTTGACGAAGATTTGCATACCGCCACGAAGACGGAGGACCAAGTGAAGAGTCGACTCTTTTTGGATGTTGTAGTCGCTTAGGGTGCGGCCATCCTCAAGTTGCTTGCCGGCGAAGATAAGACGTTGCTGATCAGGGGGAATGCCTTCCTTGTCCTGAATCTTGGACTTGACGTTGTCGATGGTATCGCTCGACTCAACCTCGAGGGTGATGGTCTTTCCGGTGACTGCGAACTGAGGTTAGCATCTTGATCCAAGAGGCGGGAGATAAGCGCGGGGTCAAACTTACGGGTCTTGACGAAGATCTGCATGATTGCGGTTGTGAGGAATGAAACGGTTGAAGTTGTAAGTAGATGAGATGATAGAGAGTCAAAGGAGAGAGAATCTCAAGGTTGTTTGGGAGAGAAGAAGTGGTGATAAGAAGGAAGGAGAGTGTTGACGGACGTTGGGGAAGCGCCTTAAGTAGGAGGCGGCAGGAGCGACAACGCAGGTGGCAAGCGCAGTCTGAGGTGGCAGTGACCGCGCCTTGCCGTATGCGGACTAGCGGCTGATGATGTATTGGTAATGGAGAAGCCGGTCGAAGCCTCCACCAGCTTGTGGCCAGGCAACTTCAATAAATCAATCCCCGGCACTGCGGCCACTTCAGCCACAGCTTTTCACCCGCCGCTTATCATTCACTACTGTCGGGCAAGAGATGTTTGCTTGAAGGGTGCGCAGAGTTTTCTAGGCAATTAGTATTATTCGCCGGATGAGTCAATCGCTGTTTCATGACAGTAGCCGGGATGATGCCTTACTTCGCCGCTCACATGACTAGTTGTATCTCCCCCACGTCGGACTTTCCCTCCGAGCTTTGTGCCGAGGGCGCTTATACAACTGAGTACCTTAATAATTGCTTTGCATGGCGTTGTCACCTATCAGCCATCAGCATGCGATCCGGTTGCCCAGCAGAATTGCGCGAGACGGTCCTTATACGTTTGTCTGATACTCCCATGAGAGAAGTGCCTGATGCTGAAACAGCCCACTTCGCTTGCGGTTCAGGTACCTGGCTGAGGTCCAGATACAGTCTCTTGGTGCCTCCGGCTTTGTCCGCCCCTCCCCCGTAAAATCCACCCAATGACGTCGCGTTCGGTCGCAGATTAAAAACATTGCGTCCGCCCGGCAAATCCACCACTCATTATTCTCCAGCTTGAAGTGCTGTAGTGACAGCCCCGTGTTCGCCTGCTATTGCTTGTCTGGGTAAACCAATTCCGCGCCACAATCCTGGGAAAAGGCCAACTCGCCGAGTTCTGCTGAACGGTGCAGCTATGACATTGTTCGATTCTTGTGCCTAAGTGATCGTGGCCTCCAATGTCTCTCGTATACGGTCAGTCACTTTCAATCAGGTCTCGCCGATGCTCAAGATTCCAAACCGAAACATCCTCGTGGACGCCCTTCAAAGTTCATTCTTTTCTCTCAGAGTAGGCCTATCACGGACCATTCTTTATTGTACTGTACCACCACCCTGTCTGTATGTCTGTCCGAGAGCCTGGCGTCAGAGTACCCAGTCTCACCCTGGGATGCTCATGGAGTATGAATTACTTGCACAGAGGTCTCTGATGAACTGACACCTGAAGTTCTTTTCTGGTTGGGGCATCCGTATCCCGTCCTTGATTTGTCGGCCAATGCGCGCATGTGGTAGGTATGTGGTAGGTCATCTACGATACTGCGTTGAGTAAGTCACTTATTCCCGCGGTTACACATAGCTGAGTTGACACTCGGATCGGTTCTGCGAGCTTTCTGTTGGTTGTCGGTGCCAGCAGTATGCAACGGAACAGAGGGGCCGATGATTCAGCACTACCCGGAACTTTAACACTTGTTCAAGGTTGCCTTGCCATGGGGATTTAAGGGCCCATGTGCGATGGACGGTCCTCCCTCAGCCATGACCAATGTACTTGGTTGAGCAGTCAGCGTTGCTGCTCGCTCAGGGTGTTCTTTCATCTTTGTTGACCAATTAAGTGGTTTGGATCTCATGCTCAGGAGTGGCGCAAGCTCCATATAATCTGTCTTCGATGTGAAAAGACTGCGGCTCGGTGAGCACCGGAGAAGACGACAATTGTTTGCTCTCAACTGTCCTTGTTCGTAACAATGCCCAGCATGGCGATACTGTCATGCCTTGATATGCTCGATCCAATGGCTGTGGCAAGAGCCCCATGCCTACGAAGAGAGACTCATTCAGGCTTGACAACCACAACAGCCTAATACTAGAGTGGACAGATTTTCCAGAGCACTACTACAGAACCAGCATGCACTCGGTCATTTCACCAAACGAAGCCCGCGTCAGCATTCTATCATCGTCTCCTCCTTCTTCTGGTGCATATTATGCTTCGCGGCTGGCGTGCCCGGGTGGGGGACCAGAACTGCTTCATGAACATTATATCTGTCGTTCTATAGCAGAGGCCAAATCACTAGTGATTGAAGCCTGAAAAATGTTGACCCTGCTGGGGGACTGATCCAGGCAACAAAGAGCCAGTATGAACGTCTTGATTTCAGCCTTGCAGGCCTATACTATAGATTGCGCTATATGCATCGTCATGCAATCGCACATCTCGCCTAGTTGTAGTGCAATTGGTCGAGTCGCTTAGTCAGCTACGGGGGCCTGTAGGCGGTCTGGTTGGCTGTAATCTCGGGATTTGGCATTTACAAACCTCCGCAGCCTGGAGTTCATGTCCAACAACTTGAACTCCGATGCACCACTGCAAATGACAACCTTCCCGATCGATCTTCTAAGGGCCCAATAACCTTTGCCTTTGACATACCTCCTAAACCGTGGTTTCGAGCTTGGCCTATTCCCCGGTGCGGCTTATCATTCTGGTGACTGTATGAAGCCAGTGCTGTGGGTTGTTGGTAGAGCGCCAAAAGCCTCGAAACTGATCGGTAATCAAGTGCGTCATCAAACAAAAGTCATGCCCCGGGTCAGATAGTGATACAGAGACCACGGGCATCCATCCGCCTTGCTGGGCCGCGCTATCTATCTCGAAATAGTTTTCAAAATACGAAGGGCGAGAATGTCAGGCGACCCGATCGAGATGGACACCAAAGCGTCCCTCCAACAACTCCGCTCGCCTGAAACCCTGTCTGCCCTTCAGGACGTCCAGCGACGTGACTCGCAGAACATGAGCGAATCTCCGGACAGCGCTGGGGAAGAGGAAGTGTCCGGCCTAGACACTGGCAGGCCGAAGCGCGCAAAGCGATCGCGCGCTTGTGTGGCGTGTCGAAACATGAAGATTCGATGTCTTCCAGTCGAAGGACAGCAGGCCTGTAGCAGTTGCGCCAAAGTCAACCGGCAATGTATCATGCCAGGACCGCCTCGAAAACGGCAAAAAACCGTTCACAAGGTGGCCGAGCTGGAGAAGAAAATCAATGCATTGACCGACGCCCTGCTGGCGAAAGGACAACAATCCTCAGAACCGTCGTCCACGCACGAGTCGCCCGATAAAGACCACCAATCGACGAGCGCCAGCACTGATCCTCCCAGGACCGAAGCGACTACGAATACCAGTTTGGAGTACGACCATCAGGTGATGGAGAAAGTCTTGCCTAAAACGCCCGAATTCGAGAGAGCCTGCAATGCCCTGGAGTCCACAGAGCCGCCTGCCCGTGAAACCTATGTGGACGTGATTGAGCGTGGTATCCTCAGCTTCGAGGCTGCCACAGCAATGTTCAACTACTGGGTGCACAAAATCGCGAGTATCTGTCCGCTCGTCCTCTTTCCCCCAGGAACGGAAGTGCAGGATATTCGAGCACGACGTCCGATGTCATTCCTGGCCTTGCTGACGGTCGTGAGCCCGCTGATCGAGCCTTCTGTTCAGCCGGCACTGTCCGTTGAACTCAACCGACAACTATCGGAAAGAGTGCTTTTCCATGGAGACAAGTCGTTGGACCTTACACAAGCAATGCTTGTCCATGCGCAGTACTATCTCCGACCTCGGGGCGCGAGAGACCTTGCCTTCAATCAGTATATTCATTCCGCGATTGTCATGTCCCTGGATTTAGGTATAGGCAAGAGATCCAAGATTGACCGGACACGGAGCCCTGCTGAGAGGACAGAACTGGCACGAACATGGTTGGGTTGCTACATTTCGGCCATTGCGTAAGTGCTTGACAATTTATGACAAAGCTTTGCTGATCAGATGACACCAAGTGTCTCGACCATACTTCGACTTCCAGCATTCATCAAGTTCAACTCGCGCATTGAAGAATGTCTAGAAATCCTAGCAAACAGTCCCTATTCCCTGCCCAGCGACAAATGGCTTTGCTCACTCGTACGACTCCTCCATCTTGCCGAAGAAGTCTCTGTCGTATTTAACATGGACGATCCTGGAGCCGAGTTAAACTTTACCGAAGCCAGAACTCAACATCAGCTCAAATATTTCCAACGTCAACTCAAGCTCTGGGAGAAGTCTGTCGATGCCGACATGGATCCTTGTAAGTCGAAGCTGTCCAGAAATAGTGTACTCACGCTTACTCATGCATTTTTCAGTAATCATACAACATCAAAAGGCCTGGCTCACGCTCTACATCCACGAAATCGCCATCCACGCCGACCATAACGTCGATGACTTCCGGCCAGGAGCACCGTACAATGACCACCGCAAAGGACCGGAACTCATCAGTTCCAGCCACGTCGAAGCCCTAACGACTCTATTCGAAGCCAGCCACCAAGTTCTCGACACCTGGCTTGCCCTTGATGTTCCTTGCGCGCGTTGCCTGCCTAACATGTACTTGGTCCGCAACGCGTATGCCATGGTGGTCTTGATCAAACTGCACTGGATCGTGCATGCCCCGGGTTCCGAACTTGAATCGGTGTTCCCCACGGATTTCCGAACCGAACACTATCTCGATGCCGTCATCAATCGACTGGCGGAGGTGTCGGCGGGCGGCCACAGTCCCTTTGCCGAGGCGTTTGGGTTCGTGTTCAAAAAACTCAAGACCTGGCATCAACATCGCGGAGGACAGTTGTCGGACGATGAAATGGGGGGCGAAAACGAGTTGCGACGGAGGCAGGCTTCCACCATGCTGCAGAATGATACCACAACAATCATTCACTCGGCCAAGGATGGTACTCTTCATTCAAGGAATGCGCCTTCCACGTTGCCCTATACCACCATGCCTGCCATCATGCCTGGGCAATGGTCAGCGTCGGACAAATTGGGATCCAATCTGAACGCTGCTTACGATGCCGCGAGCTACGGAAACACGAATTGGGATCAGTTTAATTTTACCTCGGAAGAGATGGATTTGTTTGATGTGTACATGAACAACAACGGATGGATGGGATATCTTCTTTAGAAGCCTAAAAAGTCAAATGTGCAATTTATATACCCATTCGACAAGGCTTCGACGTCCATTTGATATACCCATTCGACAATGGTTCGACGTGCAATTTGGGCAGTCAGAGCGAAGCGAAACGACCAGCTGCAGGACCCTTCTTACGTTGATGCCTTGGATTGGACGTTCAAAAACTGCAAACATTGGAAACGGAACAAAATGGCGCTACATGGGAATTCAGCACCATCCGATGACACCTTCTCCGAGGATCCTTCTGTTCCGTCTGTCGCAGATGGAAACAGTCCTTCCGACAATTCCATCACCTCCCACGCCGAGATTCAGTCGGAGATCTCCAGTGGTCGAAGTGGCTACCGGGTTGATGAAGAATGAATGCATGATGGGATTGGAAGATGCCACAGCAGCATCTGATTCTGCTTCTGAGTCCGAAGACGAATAAAATCCCGATAGCGGTTGTCCGAATTTACTAGTGGCCTGAAGTCAGCACCGGCATACTGCATGATATGTTTCACATATCGGGCGGGCGGTGTAAGTAGGGGAAAGTGTGGAGATGAATGCGGCTAGCCCCGAAGCGACGTCTACTTAGTCTCATATCTTGAGCTCTTGTGGGAAAGCCCGGCCAATCCCAGACAGTAAGAGAAGAGGGAAGGAAAGGGAAACTTACTGGATCCTGACGTTCAGCAACGGATCCCTCCCAATTGAATTACCAACGCTGTTGGCGTCCTGCACAGTCAAAGTCGACGTCGTGGCCCCCGGAAACCGGTTCGACAGTCTCAGTCTGGCTTGGAAGGTTGATTGTCTGGTGTACGGATGGATGATGGCGATCAAGTCGCCTGATTCGGGTGCCGGAGGGAGATGGGAGTCGCCGCACATGATCAATGTCTGTCTGGCTGATGGTTTACTCAGAAGTGGGTGGGTGATTCGTGGATTGAGTTGCGGAGACAAGAGGTGTGCAGGTTGAGTTCGTCGGCTGGTGGTACGAAGGAACGCTCTCTGGCTGGCTGGCTGGTTGTTTGGAACGTTGTACTGGTACTGGCTCGAGTGAGGGTTTGTGCTGGAGTAGCAGGCAGTAAAACAGACACCAAGCTTAGGTAGGGCTGTTGTTCTGTTCTGTTGTGTTCTGTTTGCGTTTCTACCGTTCGTGTCGGCTTCCTCTCTGACTCGTGTCTGTCTCTTCTCTCGTCCCAGAGAGTCTTGGAGGATTCGGCGATCGATAGTGGTAGACAAGAGGAGGGAGGTAGGTAGGTGAGGGAAATGGAATGAATGAACAACACTGGCAGTATAACTAGGGTATTTTGGTATAGTGTACCAGCACCAAGCGTGTCTGTGTATGTATAAAGTGTACCTAGGTAATGGAATGAACCTGTGGTCTCTTGGAGTGAGGACAAGGCAGTGGCAGTGGCAGGTTGGATAGGTAACTAGGGATTGGATGTTCAAGTCATGTCATATAAGGTCCTCAAAATCGAAGTCGTGATACTAGTATATATACGCGCTGCACTCCTACCCATTGTAGTACCATTACCTACCAACCCACATACAAAGGTGCTCGACCGCTAATATGTGCTCATTGCCCAATATACAGACAGGATTGTTTTCGCTGCCTTGAATCAGGAGGTGTGCACACTGCAGTACAATTACCATAACCTGCTCAATTCTGTATCGATGCGCGGTCGCAGCGATGCAGTGCAGTGGTGGAACCAACTATGAAATGAATCCTGAGCATGTTTCGCCTATATTATCGTATCAGGTATTGTATTAAAGTACCAGAGATATGGGAGTAGGTACTCGATCATTACGAGTAGTAATATGAGCATGAGCATGTTTTGTTGTTTGTTGTTTGTTGTTGTGTTGAGCAAGTTCAGTTGAGCAAGTTATCCACCTGCCATCTGCAGTGCACCTCAGCTACACTGTATGGCTGGGCACTGACATCCGAGTCCGAGACCGACACTTCAGGATTATAACCACCGCCCTTCAAGTTCAAGTTTCACAACAATTATCATACTAGTACTGTATATACTCCGAGTCGGCATTAATATTACTATGATAGCAGTCTACGCTGTTGCTGCACCCTTCATGTCAACACCCCCCTACTATACTAACCGATCATCACTTCGAGATACCACTATAATGATTGATCCAGTTAAAGATTTCTCGATGCCACACCAGACTGTTCTCGCGGTTCTGGACCCTAATCCTCAAAGTCAGTATGCGCGGGCACACCCAGTATCACAGTGAATAGTACTCACCAATGGTTCTCATCGGGGAAATTCAAGAATTTGCTAGGGACGCCTCTCTCCTGCAGGATATTGAACAGCATGATCCCCTCAGACACAGGCAACCGATAGTCAAGACTGCTGTGGATGACGAAATGCGGTGTAGAGAAATTGCGGGCGTGGTTGATGGGGTTCCAGCGGTCGTAGTTGTCGCGGTTGTCCCAGAGGGTGCCGTTGAACTCGTGTTGCGAAAACCACAACTCCTCCGTGTTGTACATGCCCAAAAGGTTGGCCGGACCATCGTGCGTGACGAGGGCTTTGAACTTTCTTCCCAGATCGTGCCCCTGGATCCAATTGGTCATGTAGCCTCCATACGAGGCTCCAGCTTCGATTCCCCTGTCAGTGTCGATATAGCTGAAATTCTTGTTGACGTTTTCCCATACGGCCACCAGATCTTCGTATGGATATCCTCCCCATTGGTTTTGGATGGCGTTCTGGTAAGCCATGCCCCAGCCAGTGGAGCCTGTCGGATTGGGCGCAACCACCACATACCCTTGGTCAGCCCAGGTCTTGAGGTTCCATCTAGTACTCCACGCGTTGTACTGACCGCCTTGCGGCCCGCCATGGACAATGAAAGCAAGGGGATATTTTTTGCTTTTGTTGAATCCTTCGGGGAAAACCAAGAAGCTCTGGACCGGAGCAAGACTTCCTTGGGTATAAAATTCGGATACATCTTCAGGACCCAGACCAGCCAATTCGGAGTCCACTTTGTTGGCGTGGAAGAGATCGGTGACTAGATCTCCGTTTGGTGAGATGATGTAGTAATCCCGCGAAGAGTAGAGCTTCGTGTCGGACACAAGCAGGTTTCCGTTTAGCAGCACTGAGAAAGCGGATACATCACCGGCGTTTGTGATGTTTGTGGGCTTGAAGTCTGATTTCGCCGATAATGGGACCTCGAAGATGCGCTCATTTCCAACATCTGGGGCTCTTACAAATAGCGATGTGCCGTTCACCGACCATTGCAAATAATCTGGTGTACTGTCCCAGTCCTCTGCCAGAACGGTAATGTTGGGGTTGTCAGGGTTGACGTCTGCAACGTAGATTTTGTACTTGTCGGACTCGTACGAGATACCATCCATCTGGACATACGCAATTTTCGAGCCATCCGGAGAAAAGTGCGGTTGGTAAGACGCACCACGAGCATTTGGTGGAGTTGAAGCGCCCGAAAATGCATTGATAGGCACGGCCTTGGAAGACCCATTGTGGGGGACGAGATATATTTGGGAGGATGTGTAGTTCGCCAGAGGTAGGTCGACATTCTTGGTAAGGAACGCCACTGTAGCCCCGTCAGGCGAGATGTCGTAGTCACTCAGGTCGCCAAATGGTCCAACTGGGCTCTCAGCACGCGTTACATTGGAGATGCCAGAAACAAGGTTCGTCAGGTTGCCAGAAAAGGAATATTGCTTTCCCCCGGTCAAGGTACCCGAGAAGACCGCATACTTGCGCTCGCTGAGCCAAGTATCCCAGTGGCGAACGTAGATACTGTCATACAGTCGTGCCGTACTTAATGGTTGCTCGGACAAGGCCTCGTTGTATGCTGTGCCGTTCGGCCAAGCTAGACTGTTCAGGAGGAAATTCACATCTCCGGATGGTGTGACCACAGCTTTCAGACCAGAGTATGGTGTCGGTAAAGAGGCGATGAGGTATCTGCTGGAGTCAGCTGAGTCCGCATATCATGGGCAGATTGGACCCACGCCTGATCAATGGCAGTGATATCTGCCCCATATATGCTAATACCGCCGTTGTCTTCTTCATTAGTACCGTTGATGTAGAGAATGCTCGTATCATTCGGTCCGACCCAGACGATTTCGGAGATCTCAGAACCATTGTAAAGCAACGAGATTTCACCACTGGTGAGATTCAACGTGTTCCACACTGTGTGAGTCTTGTGCAAGTCCCATGAATAAGTCGTTGCACTGAATACACCAATTTCCTGGGACGATGCGTCAATGTTCTGATGCTTCAACATTTCCGTCAAAAAGCCTTACCCCGGATGGGTTGGGCAACACTTCACTCCTTCTCGGCGCAGCCAACAATTCCCTGGGCGGGTTAGTCACGATCTGATGATATACTTTTCTCTCGGATAAGAGACGTACTCCGGAGTAATTGCGCTTGCAAGAGGCAACACAGCCAAAGCTGTTCCTAAGAACTTTCGGCCCAACATTTTCACGATTTCTTACCTGGTCGAAGCTGAGGAGGAGCATCAAGAAGGTTGAGCAGTGGAACTTCATATATGACGGGCGCGCTGCAATCGACAGGGCAAGTACTACTCATGTCTTCCACCCTCGAGCTCTCCGCAGACCAGTCGTTGCGGGCCACAGCTATCCGATAGACTGAGATAGCTATGTTACATCGTGTACAACGTTGTAGGTCCCCATATCACAAGCAGCATTTGCAGTGGGACGAGAATGGGCAGACGTGACGGTTGCGTCAAGCTGGCCAAAAAGACGTCAACTCGCGTGCTCACTAGAAGTCGGTTATGCAGGATTGAAGCTGCCCAGGAACACCACTCCCAATGCATTGGGACCTGATTGCTCGGCAATGATCAAGATAACTTACCGAGCCCGGCTCTCTGGGCGGTGAGGTCTTGTTATCAGGTGCCATGCTCCGCAACTGAATGGTCGCGGTGATACTCACGACTCTGCCATCAACACTGATCTTTCGAAGCACCTACAACCATTGTAGGTAGGAGGTAACCCCGAGTGGACAGGCGCGACAGTATTACCAGGAGCTACTGAAGCCTTTTCACTCCCCTCTAGCTTTCTCAAGCTTGTCTTGGTAACGCAACATACAATGTTGTAGAGTCTCATCGTTCCGCCCCGTTCTCTTTTCGGGTCATTCCCCGCGGGTGAAGCTGACTCCGGAGCATTCAAGTTGGCATGACGATGGACACCCAGCCACCTGCGCCAAGATTGCCGTCAAGTACTAGCAGCGGCGATCAGGTTGTTAGCGGTGTTTGGCGCGGTCAGATGATGGTCCGACACTGCGACTTGGGCGAAAGCGATGAAAGATCGAAGATCGAAGATTGAATGAAGAATGAAGGACGGAGGTCCAGGACACAGCAGTAGTAGTGGAGGTCGTGACTCTCGACAACCTCGTTCAAGTTTGCTTCATGTTGGTATAGCATGAACTGCGCACACCTGCCCCGCGTATGCCTTTACGCCGGAGTAGTTCCGACACTCCGAAAGCTCAAGGCAATTTAATGATTGGCAACGAACTAAAAAGAGCTTATACGGATTAGTACTACCTAGGTACTCTATTTCCAAAAGTGCTTGTTACACCTTTATTCAAGTCCTTCCGCAATGTGAACCAAGTCACCTTATTGCCCGCACTTGGATGCAGCTGCTGCTCCATTTTAAGGCCGCAGAAACTTGAAGGGTTGCTCTTCTGGCTTTCATCGTCCATCGTGGTACTGTATGGCATACGGTAGGGTTTGTTGACAGCCATTCATCATGTCTCTCCCCTCAGAATCCACTGCCTCAGACATCAATCTGATCTCCAAGTTTCTGTCTTGTCAAACTGTACCCTCGCTTCTGTCAAGTCAACCCGTTGATGTGCTTGTTTTCTGCGCCACTGCTGTCCTTCCTGTTGCCGACAACGTTTTCTCAGCTCTGGAATCCCGCCCAGCATTGGCGAAGACTTTAGTCCTCTGCGGCGGCATTGGTCATTCGACGGAGCTCCTTTACGAGTCTATTCGCAATAGCAAGAGATACGGCTTCCTGGCCGAGAAGGTTCAGGGTTTACCCGAGGCTGACGTGCTCAACGTGATCCTCCAGCAATGCTACCCAAAGCTTGTTGAACAGATCAGATCGAATGCTCTCAAGCTTCTGATCGAAAAAAAATCGACAAACTGCGGAGCAAACGCAGTTGAAACACGCCGTGTACTCGAAAGCCATTCCGTGTCCACGCCGAGCTCGGTCATTATTGTCCAAGATGCCACCATGTCACTGCGCACACTAGCTTCCTTCCAACATGTCTACGCCGATGCCCTGCCCCAGCCCGAATTCTTGACCTGCCCAACCTTCGTGCCTAGGATGTCATTGAGTCCTTTGAACTCTGGCGGAGGAGAGGCCTCGAAGCTACATTTCGATGTTCCAGGCATTGACGAGTCGGATCTGTGGGACGACCAGCGTTTCTTTGACCTCATCTTGGGCGAGATCCCACGGCTAAGGGATGACGGGAACGGTTATGGGCCTAATGGCAAAGGCTACATTGCTCATGTGGACATTCCACCGGACGTGGAAGCTGCATGGTCAAGGTTACGGCTGGTATTGGATTCCAATCGTTGAGACGACTGGTACTGGTACCTGGGTATTGACCATGCAACGCTTTCAGGACTGAAACTGCTGCCGGCGTCTAACAATGTCTGGAAGTACAGACAGCGGAAAGCTCAGGTCTGCATGCCCTGGATGCAGCATCTTCTTGGAAATCCATCACTCCCTGTCGTTGATCCACGACATTTCTTCTTCGTTGGGTATGACTTCCAACCCGGCTTACTCTGTGCTGGTCACCACGTACCATTGCATGCCACCAGGTTCCACCAGCCTATATGTTTTGCAGCTCAATCCCACCAACTTGGATTCCCCCGACCACTCTCACCCTCGTATTTTTGTCGTCGATGATAGGAGCATTCCTTGGTAGCGCCCGGAATAGTGCGGGTGCTATGGCCCGCGCACGGCTTGCCCCCCTTCGACCGATGGCAGAGATCCGTCTCTCTGACCTCGTTGCCCTTGCAGCCGCTGGTAGGGCAGTAGACGTGCTTTTTCGTGGTTTCGCACATGGTGGATTGGTGCCACAAGGAGATGAGCGGATATGTATATGTATTGGTTTCGGAATCTGCTTGCTTCGGGATACTCTGTTGATGTTGGACTATCGATATCTTGTTTTCTTCCAATGGAATGGTCTTAGAACTGGATTTGACTAGATTTGCCCTCGGAAAACTGTCTTTTTATACTGAAAGAAAATATGTCTGGAAAGGGCGGTCACATTGGTACATTGTCATGAAGAGCGCAGAATCATTTGAGAATGTGTCACGACGAAGAGAACAGTACTTTGGCAACAAGCGGCCATATACCACGAATCACCTACAGCAAACTTCTGTTTGGTTTCAGGATGACTGGACACAGATCTCAGATTGTACCTCCTTGAGATCTCGGTAACAAGATATGATCTCGGGTTGTGCGCCGACCGGATCTGGATTTCACCGTTGAAGCACAGCGTGGCCTGTACACTGTGTCTGTTTGATGTGAGTAAGACTAGTGTCACACCGAACCAGAGATTGAGTCGTTTGAAGCGGGAACCGGCTTGGGTGGCTGACATTATGACGCAGGAAGCAAACAATATGAGACCATGAGCCCCCACAAGATTTCGGATACAAGAAACATTGGAGGAAAATAAGGACATGAATCGGTTCCGGGAGTCATAATCATATTCTCATCATCGTCATGAATTACATACATGGGGGTTTGAATGCGACCAATGCAGGGTATCAAGGTGACAAGTGTCACAGAATAACAAGAATGCAATGCCATGCACTGTGCCGCTGCAGAGTGCTCCACCTTTGCATGATTGCAAAAATCAGGATCAGGCTGTAGACTGGCAGGGGGGTTGGATCATGGGGGCTGGATCTCGTCCAACCACGAGAAAAGTGCTATGCAATATGCCGCGACGAGCCTGGTAACATGAGGGTGCGGGTCGTTACAAGTCGAGGGCCATTTTGTTGGTGGTCTCAAGAGACACCCACATCGATCCGTGAGCAGGAGGCCATGGTCGCCCGGACTCTCTGGTGAAAGCCACTGTCGGCAGTAGTGTCGTACATGTCGCTCAGGTTTCGTGGCGGGATGCCCACGCGGCTAACACGCTGCTTGACGGCGTCTTCGGCGGGGCCGAGGGCGTTTGCGAGCCCGTCGACTCCAATGCGCAGATTGTAGCAGATCAGCTTGTCGTGTTTGTGGCCCGGGTAGTCGTGCGACGTGGCGGCAACGGAGAACTTGAGTTTGGACTTTGCAAAAGCCACAGCGGCCGAGGGGGTGAAACAGTACTGTTCCAAGACTTCTGCTTGGATGGTCGACAGGTCAGGTTGTGGTTGTGGTTGATCAAAGTCCATCAGCTCGGAGCAAGGCGACGGACACGAAGAAGACGATGAAGACGAGGAGGACAGATCACTGTCATCGCCGGCAATGGAGCTTCGAGGTGAGCGAGGCCAGCGTGGAGATGGACGGGCGTTCATGTCGGCGTCCAGACCGTCAAAGGCCATGGCGAGGGTGTGAAAGTGCGAGGACGAGCACGAGTCCATGGTCCGGGCGTAGAAGCGGGTTTCCAAAGCCTTGAGCCGCGGTAGCGTTGTCCCTATACAGCTGTCAACCAGGTTGATGTGGTCTTTGAGGATGATGTCGGCGTTGGTGCTGTCGCCAAAGTCGACGGCAATGTGGGTGACTGATGATCGAATCAGTGGGTGGATGTTGGGGTCTGAAATAAATGCCAGCACGTGCTGGGTCGAGCGAAAGACCAGCGCGTTGACACTGTAATACAGCGAAATGGACTCGTGTCGCACCAGTCGACAGGTGTCGACCAACCCGCGCGCGTCGTCCTTGGGTGGCCGGGCCGGTCGAAGTCTTCTCTCTGAAGGATTTCGAAGCCGCATAGGTTCTGTGGATTGGAAGGCGAATGTGTAGATGAGATTCCGGACCTCTGGTGGCAGATCCATGAACGTCGGGGAGGCTGAGGAGGAGGAGCTGACTGAAGGTGAAGGTGAGAGTGTCAACGCCATAGTTGGCGGAATGGGAGAGTTTGGTGTTGTTGTGCTGAGGGTAGTAGTAGCGACTGTTGTGGTGGTCGTCGGGGTACTGGTGGGTGTGGTTGTGGTTGTTGTCGTGGTTGTTGGCGACATGAGTTTAGTTCGAGGTGAAGTGAAGCACGGTCCCGCCGCGAGACTTACTCCCGTCGGAGATCCGCCTCTACCAGCAGCGGCGGCAACACAATTGACTTGTTTGCAGAGGTTGAAACAAAGGTGAACTGAACTCAAGCGACTGTTTGTCTGAGCTGGAAGAGAGAGAAGAGAGGAGAGACGAAGATAGTACTGTAGGTAGATCCAGTACCTCTAGTAGTAGTAGTGCAGTGTTGGTGTTGGCATTGGCACTGTCGCTTGATAATAACTTGTTGTTGAAACCCTCAGAACAAAACGACGACTTGCCGGGTTCGCATGCAGTGCGCACAGGACTTCATGAACTCCAGTTCATTCGCGTCCCTTTTAGCGTGCGTCCAGTCTTATCGAACAATCTTGAAAGGCCCAGATTGTCAGTAATTGACGTTGCTTCGCCTCCCGTCGCCTGCTAATTAAGGGGTCGGTCAAATTTCGCCAAAGCGCGCGCCGAATAGAGGCAATTACTTTTTGCACAAGGCAAAGAGCCCCGTTCGAGAAGAGATAGTTTGGTCGTGCTCCTACTGAGGAGGATCGGAGCAAGCGAGTGAGTGAGTGGCAGAGTGTTGTGGTGTCCAGGACGATGACGACCGTGGAAAAAAGAGCGAGGTTGGTGAATCTTGAACTACTCTCAAAGTGTGAAGCATTCGTGTGAACTTGACTTGAGTTTGGAACTTAATCTTGGTACCTCGTCTGTAAATAACTTGAAAAGGTACTAGTGCGGTAAAGTTGCCTGGTAGTGACGGCAGTGGCAGTGGTGGTGAATAGTTTATGTGGTTACTAACTTGCATACTGTGTGCTGCACTGGCTGTGCATGGGGTTTGTGTCACGGACCAGGGCAGAGTATGGGCGGTGATTTGCTCGCCAGGGGCCCTCTCGGGCCAATGTCTCAGTTTAGAGCGGCTTAGCCCGTGCTTACTAGTGGCCTCTCGACCCTGGGGGGCGCCAGGGCAAGGGGCTAGCAACTACAATATACATTATACTAGTATATTGCGCCAGACTTTCTAGGCTTTAGGCTGTTTTTGTAGGGGCAAGGTTGAAACTTGAACCCTGGATGGGCACCCCAGCCCCAGGTCATGGCCCCAGGGCGGTCGATTTTGGGGTGGTGGACAACCACTTTCCACGCCTACAAGGTATGGCCCGAAAAGGACTGCAGTGTCGGAGAGGATACGGACGTCAAGCAAGGCCACGTACAAGAGAGTCAAACGCTGGCGGTATGGTCTGCCTGCAGCGAGCACTGCAGGAAATCAATATTGTAATAGTGAATCTCCGGTCAAGTATGTATTGAATACCTCTCAACATCCTGGTTACAGTACTTCAGAGTGAAGTAAGGAACGTGGCTACCCACCTAGGTACCTGTATGCACTGCCAATGCAGCCTGTGTAGTGCGTTCTACCAGTATTGGCCCGTCCATAGGCTTGCCAGTGTAGCCTGCTTGGACGTTAGCGAGGAAATAAATATATCCGATGCCTAATGCAGCCTGCGAGGCACTGTTTGTTTCTGGCCAATCGATCTCGCCTCCTTCGTCAAACAACGCATTCGTCGCAGCCACGGCCTTGCGAGGAATCCTGACTCCATCTCTGTCTCCATCCCTGCTGTCCTGCTCCGAAGAGCATGCCATCGCTACGTCACCATGGCGGCACAACTGCACAGCTACACACTTCCACAGCTCCCTCTGCTGAATGACCTGCATTCCGATCGCCGGATACGACCAGTGCTAAGAGACCGACTACCCAGCATGGGTTTAGGGCAGGCAGACAGACGTGGAGAAGCATCATCCCGTTGAACTAAGATCTACACGGACACGGCACAAAGATGTGTAGCTGAAAGCATATTGAGAACCTACAGTGAGAGGAGATACAGTATGGTGATGCTGAATGCCAACATCATGATCTCCGCACCCAGATATGTGATTCTGAAGAAGGTGAAGGTGATGATGAGGCTATGTTGCTACTGTGTGCTGTGTCTTCTATCCTGGCCACTGAGTGCCTCTTACCTCTCTCCACTCCGAGTCCCTGGTTTTCAGCTTTTGCCCCAGCCTGACACCGAAGCCAAGACTGCTTGAGACTATTTTCGGATCTTGGGTCTTTGTTCACGTTGTGTCCATGTCCGCCCACTCGCACCCTGCAGTGCCTGAAGCCAAGGGTTTGATGGTCACCACTTGACTTGGGCCGTGTCCGTTGCAGTTCGTGGCACCCGGGGGATGGACTACCACTGGCACTTCTACATTGATCCTTTAAAGCCAAAGTTCTTTTATCTGGTAAGAAGCAGGTGAGCCTATCCACGAACGGACTATTTGCCCACGCGGAGGCACACCGAGAGAGGCGCTCAAAATGGTGTTGACAAGTTGGGAAGTATGCAAGACAACCCATCATTGCCAGTCCATATGTGCCAGTTCCGTGGCTGCGGACTTCAACAATGTTCGATAGGACCGTTCGGCCAAGCTCCAGGGACCCCTGGAATCGGATATGAGTGGGGAAGATCTCCGCTGCAAAAGTCAGATCAGGCCCGAGGCCGGGGGCTAAGCCGTCTTCTCGGGCCATTACCACTGGCATGGGCATTTGTGTGACTCGGGAAGAACATACTGGGGCGACAGCCTAACGGAACTGAGAGCCCAGCACGGCGGGCCTGATGATTGCTCAGACATGCAAGGCAGGCCAGGCATTCACTCAGCCCGACGGGCCTCCGACCTGCTGTGCCACGTCCTTATGCGCCGCGGAGCCAAGACAGCTGACTGAAAACGTACGGCAATGACTTGGCCAACCACATCGCGACCGCCTCCCTGGAAGCTTATGAACCACCAGGTGAAGAAGACTTTGGTCCAAGTCCGGCCGTGGTTACGCCCCAGTACATCGGGCGTCATTGCTCGCAGACAGCATGGTTCGAGTCAAGCCAGTGACTCATCTTGAACCATGTTTTTCGGACCAATGAGTCGGCAACACGCAGAATTCCATCGACACTTGCAGTGGCTTATGTCCCACTGCCTCCGGCAGCACCCGACGAGATATTCAACCGTTACCGTGGCATATGTCGCTCAAGGAAATCAGCAATGGTCGTCCAGTGATTTTGAATTCCATGTTCCGGCGCAGAGGATAATGCATCTTGTGCAACGGGTCGGAAAGCAACGCGGTCCTACGCCAGACAACCTCCCGCGGAGGACAGTCGCATCCCAAGTCCGACCGCGACCCTCGTGACTGTGCAGAAGACTGGATCGAGCAACTGGTGAAGTGTTTGTTCCGTTCCGTCGTCGACACCTGTCAGGCCCAGCGTCTACCCCCCGCTCAGACGTGGTACGACTTCTTGCACCCGAAGCAGCATATTAACAATCACATCCGAAGCCTCACCTTCACAAAATTTGCTTACAATGGTCCAGCCTTGTTGCGCCGCATTCCTGTGCGGCTTACCCTGAAACGGTGCTAGTCATACTATCATCGAGAGCACATATGAAGGGACCGGGCAGACTAGCATCTGCTTTATATCAGCAAGCCGATTTGGCTGTCCATGGTGCACACGAGATCAACGCCCAAGGCGTACATTTTGCGAGGCCACGTATCTGTGGATCGGACGTGCCTGCTGACCAATCCCGCGATCTTCAACCCCTAGGCCGGCTCAGTTTGACGCGCTCCAAATACGGATCCACGAAGTTCAGTACCTCTTGGACAAGTTGAGGGGCCAGAAACGTCGGTTTGCTCTTGTCTACCATACGTCATGATATGTTTCTGGGAATTGGCTCATTGCTAGGTGTGCAAATGGGTAGGTAGGTGGGGTTGACAAGGCCAAGGCAGCAACGGCAACGGCAACAGCAAGAAGGAACGAAAATCACTTACAAAGTCCAATCTAAGACAAGCTAAGGTAAAATGCAAACCTCTTCTTCAACACGGTTGGCTCTACGAGCCATAAATCGTGCGTGGTTAGGCGTGGAATATGGCGCTCAACACTATTGATTCATTCAAAAGCATAATGCTGTCACATGGAAAAGTCATGGTCATCAGTGAGTTCATCAGTCTATAATGGTCTATTCTTTTTTCTCAGCCATGGGCTGCGCCCTGTCCTGAAGGGCACCACGAGCGAAACCATGCTCGGTTTTGCGAGGATGTTCTATGGAAGAAAAGTCTTCGACATGCCAATGCGGTGCTGTGTACCATATACGTTTTTGCGAACTAGCTCCCGCTGAATCAGCTCACTCCATGCCCAAGATGAGCCGGGCGATTATTTTTCTTGTGGTTGCATCCTTTTATTCCTCCAAGCAGTAAGGACGAGCTTCGGCTATGCGCGTGTTGGCGGGGATGGTGACGCAGATGGGAAAATCGCCATAATCGGGATCGTCACTAGGCATGATACAGAACTTGCCACTTCGGGTTTCATCGCCGTTCAACTCGCGCAAAGTCTTGAGCTGCCCAGTCTTGACATTTACAACCTCCTTCTCCAGGAAGGACAGGATCCCCGTAAACGTGGCGGTGGGCTTAGCCGAGGCGAAAGTGACCTGGAACCCCTGACCGATGAGGAGGAAGCGATCACTACCCAAATGAATGACCATACCGTATCCAGGGGAAGGTTTACCAAAGACGAACGACCGCTCAATGAGCAGGTCCCAATCACCAAACCTCTTCCGGACGGGCGGAGAGGGGTCTTTGGGGCCAGACAATTCATCAAAGAAGAAGCCGACACTGGACCCTGGGCGACGTTGAGCCTGCAAGACATGGTGCTGGACCTGTGCCAGAAGCTCGTAGTGTCTTCGGTACGGATTCGTGACGGGGTCCAGGGTATCGATGCCAAAGGGGGAGGCGGCAAGCGCGCCAAAGGAGCCGTAGGCAAGCCAGATGCGCCTGGCGCCGTAGTCGTCACGGCGTTGCTCGGGGATGAACAGCGGCTGGTTGCGGTGACGGTAAAAGGCGCACGAGGCGGCATAGTCGTTCAAGTAGATGTCCGGCGCGATGAGATCCAGTGACGGCGCAAACGACTGCCAGATGTCTATCACGTTCACCACGCCGCCTCCAGATGGATAGTCTCCCGGCTCGCCGCCGCCGCCGGCCACAGTGGGAAACGGGTTGTCCGCCGTGTCACTCACGTAGTTCTGCCATACGTTCGTGTACAGTGGTAGTGGGTATGCTGCTTTGCCTGCTGACGCCACTTGCTCCACGTACAGGGCGTAATGGTAAGCCATGAATAGTTCGTCCGTCTGTTTGCTCGCGCCGAACGTCTCCTCCCACGATGAACCTGGTTTGGCCTTGAGAGATTTGAAAGTTGCAAGGTTTGCTTTCAGTGTTGGATGCAACGACTCCCAGTCGTTGTTGAGGGTGTCAACTAACTTCTGCGGCACAGACGCCGCAAATCGCTCGTTGGCCGCGTTGCTGCCGTCTCGCGAATCCCCGAGCAGTCCGATTTCGTTCTCGACTTGGACCATCAGGACAGTTGAGTGACGGTCGACTTGGGATAAGTGTTTCATTAGTGCGGTGAATGCCTTTGCGTCGGCTTTTTGGGCTTCGCTGTGGAAGATGGACAGCACGTCCCCGGTCTCGAGCTTTCCGCCGGCAACGCGCAGTTTGGCCCGTGGAAACCGCTGGTGATTTTGCTTGACCCATGTAGGGACGTATGTTGATAGACCTGACCGATTGGTTGTTGTTAGACGAGAGTGGTTGTATATGTGTATATGGAGACATATACATGTTTGAGGAGCGGAGATTGGGAGTTTCCAAACTCACCATTTTTAAACGACCCAAACCACAACAAGACCAAATGCACACCATTAGCATGCGCATCGGCAATGATCTGGTCCAACTCGCCGAAATCAAACTTTCCTTCCTCGGGCTCAATGTGCTCCCAGGTCACACAGCCCAGGGCCGTGTTGATGTTTGCGGCCGTCAGTTTCGGCCACACCGTCCGCATGAACTCGGCGGATGTCAATGACGAGTTTTGCAGTTCTGCAGCCCGCATCAAGAACGGCTCGCCGTTCACGATCAGTTGGGCGGTGTTGCCTACTTTCTCCAGACGGGGCGGTGACGACGACATGGTGAGAGATTCGAGTCGTCGAATGCTTAACCTCGATTATTCTGTTCACAGAAACACAAACACAGCAAGGGAGAAGGAAAATGAGAATCAAAGACCAAAAGCGAAATGACTGAAGAGTTCATCAAAAAGGTCAAGGGACGCCAGACCAAGCCTCTTTACATATCAATCATGCCATGCCAGCCACATGATCTGTATCAGCGCGGTGCGTACAACATCGCAAAGAGTGTCCCTCGGCCTTCATCCGGGTGGAACCCCCGTCGGCTTTGAAGATGAGTTATTGGCTGTTCCGCCGCAGGGTTCAGCAGACGACTCCAGTATACAACATTGTATAGCCAACCGGGCCGATGAATTCAAATTCTCCACTGCAGACCTCAGGGCCCCCCATCGACGGCACGTCGTCTTTGTTCGTCTCGTGATACCTTAACGACATTATAATAGGCGACCTCGGCTTTGGCGGACTGAGATTGGCTGCAATGCCGCAAGGTATCCTACCATACTGTACCCCGACATCGGGTAGAGACAAAGACACACCACTACCACTAGTACTGCGGGGAGAAAAGTTCGCCAAAGAATATCCAGTAATGCCCCAGACTCTTTGGTGGTTTGGCCTCCGGAAAGACGGCGGAGGTACTTTGTGACTATGGTTGTTGCCACGCCGCTCGGCATTGAAAAGTTCTGACTGGCTGATAGTCCGCAAGCCTGCAGACCCACCGACACAATAGCAACTTCAATGACAGGACTCTTCAGAATGGAGACCCTTCCAAGTGTCTCTCCGGTTCTTCGTCTCCTGTCTCCGGGGTGCATGGCAGGCGACAGGGGAACAGAATGCGGTGCACCATAGCACACCACTGCACCGTAACCACTATTCCCCATACTATAGCAATGTGGGTCGAGCGTCGGTAGGTCCGCACGCACGCGGCATGAGGTGCATGGGAGGCAAGGCTATATTTCTTATACATATAAGGACGTCCTCGGAGGTTGAACACGCACACACTGTGGTCTACTCCTTTCGCCTGGAATCCAGTGCAGACAACCAACATCTTCCCTCTCGCTTTTCTTTTCTTTCTTCCCTGATATTGGACCAAAAGTTCATCTCAATCCAAATGGGTCAACCAGAAACAGAAGCCGCGGTGACGGGGATTTCTCGGCCTCAACGAGAAGAGAAAGACATGCACGCCGACAACGAGACTCAAACACATCTCGATGAGCTTGGGTTGGGATACCCAGAAGTGACATGGTACAAACACGCCGGACTACGCAGGCTCTACCTCATGATGCCCATCTTGTTTCTCGGATCCACCATCAACGGGTACGATGGCTCGTTGCTGAATGGGCTTCAAACAATGGTGCCCTGGCAAGACTGTGAGCATACGGTGCCCGACTAGCATTTGGAAAAAGAAGAATAATACTGATTGGAAACAAAAACAGACTTTGGCCACCCTTCCGGTTCCACGCTTGGGCTCTTCACTGCGATTCAGAACATTGGTTCTGTGGGAGCTCTTTTCTTCTGTAAGAAAAATCCAGACTGAAACCCCTCTACCACAACAAGATTTCGGTGCTGATCCTTGTTGTCTCGTGTTATAGCTTCCTATTGCGCCGATCTGTTTGGTAGAAGGATCGGTGTCGAGATTGGACTGGTCATCTTGTTTGTTGGGACGATTATCCAAGGTCAGTCCATCCACCTTCAACAGCAATCCACACGCAGACTGCAGTGGACCGTCGATACCCAGCAGTGATCTCAGCTGCATTTCATTCCACTAACTTCTATGTATAGTTGCTGGAAACGTCACTCGCGGCATGTACATCGGCGGCCGGTTCCTCGTTGGCTTTGGGTACGTTGTTGCTTGCTTCTTCATCACCAGCTTTTTCACTTTTTCTTGTCCAAGCGAAGTTGAATTCTTCTAACATTGTAACCAGGTCCAACATCTCACAAGGATCCGCACCCCTCCTAATCATCGAACTAGCCCACCCCCAACACCGAGGCACCGTGACAACAATGTACAACACCCTCTGGTATCTCGGGTCCATAATCGCAGCATGGACCGTCTTCGGCACAATTCAATACACCACCGACGCGGCATGGAAGATCCCCGTGGCCTTGCAAGCCTTGATGCCCGTGATCCAATTTGTCGGTATCTGGCTTTTGCCCGAATCGCCTCGATGGCTTTGTTCCAAGAACCGAGAGGACGAAGCATTTGATATTCTAGTAAAGGTACTACACTACACATATTGTACCACTTCCCCACCTTCTTGTTCATCCCTAACCAAGTATGTCTAGTATCACGCCAACGGCGACCGCAACGACCGCTTCGTCCAAGCCGAGTTCGCCGAAATCGAACAAACCATCCGGCTCGAAAAGCAAAACAGCAACAACGACTGGGCCGTGTTCCTGCGCACCCGCGGCAATCGGAAACGATTGTTGTTGATCGCATTGACATCTTTCTTCTCCCAGTGTTCCGGTAACGGGTTGGTGTCGTACTACTTGCACGACATTTTACAGTCTGTGGGAATCACGACTTCGCACGACCAATCGGTCATTAACGGCGGGTTGCAAATCTGGTCCTTTTTGGTCGCTGTGGGGTTTTCCGCCTTGTTGGTTGACAAATTTGGCCGGAAGAAATTGTTCATGATTGCGGGTGTGGGCATGTTGGTTACTTTTAGTATTTGGACTGGGTAAGCATAGATTGTCTTTTACCTGAGTCTCGACAGGGCTTTCGCCCTTGCTAACTGTTTCGATGTCAGATGTTCCGCTGTCTACGCTCAAACGGGAAACAAAGGAGCCGGCGGCGCCGTGATCGCCATGATATTCCTGTTTTATGGCGTCGCAGGCTTCGCATGGCCAGGGTTGACGGTGGCTTATTGTGCGGAAATCCTGCCGTACAACATCCGTGCCAAGGGCCTGGCTATTGGGTTTGGGTTGACTGCTTCGGCGTCCGTGTTCAATCAGTATGTGAATCCGATTGGGCTGAAACATCTGGAGTGGAAGTTTTATTTTGTGTATATTGCCATTTTGGTCATTGAGTGTTTGTGTATTTGGTTCTTGTTTGTCGAGACAAAGGGTCCATCCCTGGAAGAGATTGCTCGGTTGTTTGATGGTGATGAGGCCAATATCGGTGGGTTGGAGACTATGGATGAGGAGGAACGTATGGCTGTCAAGTCGGGGAAGGCGGCTGTTCATGAGGAGATGGCGTGAAAGGTCAGGGCAGCTGAGAACAAGGCCCATTCATTGTAATGTACTGTTGATGTCTCCTGTGACAATTTGAGTGTTCTGAAGATACTGGTTGGCATACACCACATCTGTCACATTGTATGTTTTTACATGCCTCTTGAATGTCTTCCGTCCTCCTCTGTCAACCAACAGATATTCTGTTGATGTTGAACTTGTCTGACGTTGGACAGCAAGGCGGTTTTGTCGGTGGTTTTTCGCATCGCATTGTTACCTTTTTGACCTCGCTGCCACATACCACACCGCAGTAAAAGCTGTTCAAGATGTTGCGGGCGTGTGTGCATGCCCATGTCTTGCACTATACCACGATCCATGTCCATGGCTCTGAAGGGCTTTCAATCGAGCAACCTCCACCAACCAGTGAGAGGCAAACATGCCCATTGCTTAGCCCAAAAGTCCAGACAGGGCATCACTCGTAATCCGACTCCTCTTCGTCAACTGCTGTGCCTCCGTCGAAAGAGCCTCCCACTCCGACGCCGTGGGCGAACTCTGCTCCCAAAGATTTGTTTTGTTTGGCAGCGGCAAAGCATGCTCCAGCAAAAACTTGACCATCCACTGATCGATTTTATGGGTATGCGAATCGACGGCCCAGAAGCAAGCGTTTTGAAACGTGAAGAGACGAGCCATCTGAACACAATGTCCTGTCAGTACGAGCCATTCCCAGAAATCCAAAACGCACACTCCAAAACCAACGCGCAGCGCATTTACACTTACCATACCCTCCACACTAGGCCAAATACACTTCAACTTTGTCAAAATCTTAAAATTCGACTCCAACCTCAACCTCGCCGGCATCAACTCCTGCTCATCCCCAAACAACAAGGTATGAAGCAAAACCGACGACGACACAACAGTCATATGCCCCACAATATTATAGACAGCACGACAATCGTCCATTTCATCCGCAAGTTTCAACAAATCACTATACGCCGACGCATGTTCCTTGCATCTGCTCGCAAAGACACTACTTCTGAGCGTTGTTGTCGACGTGCGCTGTTTATCCCTGTCAAGACGCTGTCTGTCCAAATACTGGAAAAACAACAATGTAGCATAATGCTGAAACCCGAGATGCAATGCGACAAACGTGCCGCCCTGGCCTTTGGCGCGATGTTTTTCGATATTTGTGGCAGACAACTTCATATCGAGGGGTAATGATTCCTCCCACTTCTCAAACCGTTGAGCAAGAATCAAAACTTGTTCCTCGACCAGATCGTCGTCCATGGTTCCTTGGGCGAGCCGCCTGTTCAAGTCTTGAATCGGCGCAAAGATGTTGACTAGGTCGATCATGTATGCCCATGTTCCTGGTCTACGGGGTTGAGACAAAACCATGTCGTCGATCCCTAACGAGTGGAACGCCGCTTCGTCCATGGGTAGTTCGGGAGCGTGGGCAGATCCGTTTGCGGTATCAACGTCGTGCATCTGTCGCGGCAGTCCGAGTCCAGCAGACGACCATCGGTCTATCATGCACAATGTCCACCAGATGCGGCGCTTGGTTTCTCGTACCGTCAGGGAATCAGAAGCAAAGTCTTCGGAAAGTCGACATATGTGGGCCATGCGCATTGCTATGCCTGTGACGACAGTCAGATAGTCAGTTAGGGAGAACGGCTCGCTCATGCCGAAAAGTAGGAAGCTAGTCACCAAAAATAAGTGATTCCTGATCCGACTTCGCTTCCGCCCCGTAAATATTCCCCAGAAGAATACACGCTTGAATATTACTCAGACAAATATTCTCGAGATCTTCCCTAAAAAGCCGTTTCGCCGCTTCAGCAAACTCGGGCCCGCGTGCTCTTGTTGAGGCATTGGATGAAAAGCGGGCCGCAAGACCCAAAATCCCAAACAAGACAGTAATCGAAATCCGTCGTTCCCTCACATCGCGCCACAACGTAGGAACATGGAAAAGCGCATGCGGTTTATCATGCAGACATCGCAAGTAACATTCGACCACGTCTTCGATGATTTCTTGGGATGGCAGCACTGGCTGACCATCAAGTCGAAGTCCAACCGAAACCCCATTAGTATCATCACCAGTCGGTACTCCCGCCCCTGGCAGCGGCTTCCCTGGCTTCTCCGCGATGACGGCCGGCGACCGTACAATCGCTCGTCTGGTCCCTGAACAGTCGAGGTGGCGTTTCAGACATTGTCTGCAAGCCTGTTGGTCTCCACCAGACCGAACACATTTTCGCTTGCTATTTCTGCATTGGCGACATGCTTGGGCTGGGCGCATGGTATGCTGGTCTCATGATATTGCTCTCAGAGGGGAGTGGTGATGTGACCTGACTATTGTCCTTGAAGGATGAATTATCAGCTGCGGGTTCGGTTTGGAGAAGTACCTTACGTTGTAGAGTTATTACAGCATCAGTATTAAGTATTTAGTTCGTGGGGGACTTCGCCGCGAACTGTGATTTGACGTCAGTCCAACCAACACCACAACACGACATTTTAATCAGACAACTAGTACGACCCTTTCAAATGGTGCATGAGATGTATATTGTAATTTCATTATACTACATAGAGATAGATTTCATATTTGTTTACATATTAATGCCTAAGTAAGATGGCTTTATATTTGATGCGGCATATTCAAGTCTAGAAGTGACATTGATATCGAAGAGGTCAAGGATCGCCTGAGTATCCTGGTCTTCGGACAAAGAGTCATGGTTTTGACGTTAGGTTCTCCGGCATCCATCATGCACCGTAGCAACAGTCGTCCCATGCTGTTTCGACATGCGCCTGACGATAAGCCGACTGTCAATGGACTCGGTGCAAGGTTACTTGTAACGACACCGCAGGACCAACGATGAGTTCGGACGCCGGAGATCTTCGTGATAGGAGGGCACCAGGCCGGGATCGTATATGTGCAAATGGACAAGACAACGTAGTTGATATAGTGAAGATCTGGTCCTGTTGTGCTCGTCGTATACAACTCGTCGAAGGGTTGATGCATGGTAGGGCCATCCGAGGTGCATCGCGACTTAGGGAATGCCCATATAGCCCTGTTTGACCTCTTCTTATACCGCTTGCCCCTCCACTTCAGTCTTTTCGTAACGGCAAAACGTTCTTCTCCAGAGATTTGACTTCGATATAATATTTCCCCGTCACCAGACCTTCCAGTCTGGTGGTGATTTTGGCAAACACTGGCTCAACCTTGAGATTCCACACATGGCTCGCCGCGGCAACGCAAATCGCCAGGGCCACCGTCGCCAAAGCACACTGTAGGGAGCCCGGAACAGGATAGCGCTCGACATAATATTCGGTCCCTTGCGGGTCATACTGTGGAATTCGCTGCTTCTGGTGACCGGCATGTAAAACCCAGGCAAAGACAGTCCGCATCAGGGGCCCATGGAGCAGGTAGATGGCGAAGCTGACCTTTCCAAGCCATTGCAGCGGCCGACGACTGAGAAGCCAGCGAGCATGAGGGGAGATGATGATTCCCACGACCAGCAAAATACCTCCCACAGACCCATACACCCGGTCGACTGCGTGGGCAATGTCCGCGGGGACATATGCGATGGCCACGTCGTGTAACCAAGTGGACCATGTAGCATTCTGGTACCAAGATCCAGGATAGGACATGAGAAAAAGTGCAAGGAAAATCAAGGGTGGCGAAATGAAGCACGAAGCAGCGGATGCTGCCTTTGGAATATTAGAGAGACTCATCTCCCCCAGGAGGATTCCTGCAAAACAACACAAGCCGGCAAAAGCTGCACATTCGTAAGTAATTTGGTCAAATCCAAAGCAGTTGAGACAAACTCACGATCACCGATGATTCGGCTCCAATTCAACGACCAAAAGGTAAGTATGAACAATGTCACTGTCCGCCACAGGGGTGTCATAGATATGACCAAAGACAAAGCACTGATGACCATGACACTTCCTTGCAGTAGATAGACCAGCGCCCATTGAGGCTGGTCGTAGGGATTCTGGCCCCAGTAGACCCAAGTCCCGCGAAGAGCGGACAAGAGGTCCTTGATGGCTTGTTGCCAGCCATCACTCGGAACGGGAGTGGTTGTGTTGAGCCAGAATGCATCACTGGCCGCCGAGACTCCATTGAGTCCGAGGTTGCATATCAACCAAGCGACGATGGTGGCCGCGCTGGCGGGCAGAACCAGGCGGAAAATCCGACTGAACGAGGATGAGGCCAGCTTGCTGAGGGCTTTGTCAATCTGTCCCGACCTGGCAAGCTGGAGGGGTTTCAATGAATTGACGAAACCCATGAGGATGAAGAACAAGGCCACCCAGGAATGGCCATTGGCGACCACGCGAAAGATGGGCATTTGGAACAAGTATGGACTGGTGCTGTTCGGTGCGCAACATGGAGGCACTATTCCTCTAGCGTAACAAAGAACCAGATGGGACGACACGACCATAACAGCAGCGATGCCTCGCAGGCCCTAATGGTGGAACAACAGGTCAGTGTCGGGACAGGCGTCGGAATAGGCGCTTGTCTCCATCGCGGGGAATGGCGACGGCGCGATCGAGAGACTTACATCTGCCCACGCGGTGTCTTTCATGGCCCGGTCCAGAGCTTCAGGACTCGGCCGGTGGAACCGGAAGCGCGCGAGAGCGTCTCGCGCCCTGTCCATAGCCATGGCTCAGGATTTGAAAATGATGGAGAAACAAAGATAACAGCATTAATCCGACATCAAAGCTGCGTATGCCGTTCAGGGGGATATGGAGACAAGGATTTTCCCTTGGGCCCAATCCGTTGCGGAGTCAGAGACAAGAGTCGACTGGGCAAATCTGCATGTTACAGACCCCTGCAGCTGCAAGATCGTCTGTCACGAATTGCGGGTGAACCGGGACTTTCGTTTGCAAGGATCCCTGTGCTTGAAGGTTGTCGTTCAGTTGGCGGCGGCCCTGCTTCTTTAATAAATCGCGTGCTCACTTACTCAGCACCCGCGAACACTGACAGACCACGGTTCCCAGTCGTGATTTCCCCGGGCGTTGTTCGCTCGCTGGGGACTGGAGACAGGAGACTCTTTGGCTTGCTTCCTATCACTAGCTGGACGGCGGCGCAAGCCACAGGGAAATAGTCGCCGAACCTTCGCTGTCTTGGTTCGAATAGCGGCGAGCTAGAGCCTGGAGACCAACTGGAAAATCTCCCTTCCCAACGATGATTGATCCAAACAACGGGCAGCCCGCACGGACCGCCGATGAAAGTCGATAGAGAGATATCGTACGGCACTGTAAGTGCCGGGTGCAATTGTACATTTGTACATTGGTGTCGTGCCCTGAACCATTGCATGTCGTTTATGAGTTTTTGGGTCGCAGGTGCCGCCACAAAATAGGCCATTCAGCCAGGCAAGAACGTGGGCTTTTGACCGTACAGTATTTGACGCTTCGGCCCATCCACCGATCGGGGACTTGCCAGGTACATCTGGTACATCTGTATGCGGCTCCATCTGCAAGGCAGCTCAGTCACCTGTTCGGATTATGAAATATCCTGGTTGCTTGAGACAGAACTTGCATCTGGCGGTTGGGTTACTTGCTCTGCGGCGTTGTGCGACGTCGGCGAGGAGCTTCTGGTTGCCGGTCTTAGTACTTAGAAGATACAGTACGTACTCTTAAAAATGCGAACAGAACAGGAGTCAATTACGACCTGGGAGGCTACTAGTACGGTACATGATACAAAGTGAATAGAACCACTGGCAAAGCAAACCAAACCACGCTAACAACGCAACAATTGAATTATTCCATCCTCAAACAAGACATCTTCTCCTGAACTCATTTCTACGTAAAGATGGCTTTCTCAAACGCCGCCACATCTCCTCCCGCCACTTTCACCGCCTTCAAGGCTGCCTCGCCCAACTTCTTCCTCTTCTCCCGCGCCTCCATTTCCCTCCGAGCTCTTGTTTTGGAACTGCCACTCGGCGCCACATCGCTCAGCAGCTTAGCCGAGTCTTTGGGCGTGAAGTTCACAAAATCAATCACAGTACCGCCAGTGGGTGTCTTTGGTGTCTTCGGGGTCCGTGGAGGACGCGAAGCTGACCTTGTTCGGGGCGACGGGAGCGGTTCCTGTAAGCCCAGATCTCGGATAGGACCGGGTTTATGGATAGACTTGCGTCGGCTGTGACTATACTCTGTCACGTTCCTGGTCGGTGACCGCCTAGGGTTACGGCGAGGGCTTATATTAGTCGGCGAGATTGGAGGCGACGGCGACCGAGAGGGCGAACGTCTCTGCTTGCGTGGTGTTGTAAATGGCGAGCACTCGGAAAAGACGTAGGACGGCGGCGGTGGAAGAGGCGGCCATGAAGTCATCGGACTCGGCAGCGGCATAGTTGTTGCCGGATATGGCACAGCGACGCCAACGGGAGCAGGTGCCTGCTGCTGGACATAGGGCTCGTAGAAAACTGCCTGGTTCATTTGTGCCAATTCAGGGTACTGTATGCCCAACCCAGTAAATCCGGTTTCCACGGACTGGTGCAGAATCTGATGGGCGGCACGCTGTGGCTTCGGCGCCGCCAAAGCAGGATATGTCTCTTCCGGCGCCAACGTCGGAAGAGGAGGATGAGATGAGAGTAAAGGCGGTGAAAACAAGGCTTGCGAGTATTTGCTGAGATCGGTATTCGAGGTGTGTATCCTTGCATCATGAGAATGCGTCGAACTGTTTGAAGATGGGAAGCTGCCACTGTTGGGGGATTGCAACTCGTTCAAACCATGGCCGAGATCCTGCTGCGGGGATACCAAGGACTCTTGACTGTGCGCCGACTGTGATTCCTGATATCCACCCCCGTAATGGTCCGCAAGCAGAGGGTCGATAGCGGATAGAACCGGTGAATTCACAAAGTCGTCTCGATACCCAGAGCCAGGGTTAGCCAATGCCTGATTATGATTCATGACCCCGGCATTGACCATTCTGGCCGACGATTGCTTTGAATGTGGCGACAATGCGGCCGATGTGGGTGGCAACTGAGACTCGTACGGCATGCGCAGGTGGAAATTCTGGAACTCCTGCTGCCAACCACCTGTGTCCACCGAGCCGGGTTCAGGGGAGATTGGCAGTTGGGAATACATCGGACTTGGTGAGAGGGTAACTTCTCGAGAGGCTGCAGGCTGCATTGACATAGGGTTATACAACCGACCGGTGGGGGAGGTTGCGAATCGCTTTGTCCGAGTGGGTGACGCGACCTCCACAGACCACTGTGGTTCGTTATAATTCTCATGGTTCATTGTTTGGAGCTGTGCTGGTCGCTTTGTTTGGGGTTTCCGTGTCTTTTCCACCACAAGCCCTGACGGCTGTTGCTTCTGCTGCAGACACCAAACACCTTGCCGCCACGGTTGAGGAGGAGAATATTCGCTCTTGTTGGGCGCTTCGAGAGAAGGTAGCCCGTATTGATCTTTGCCCGAAGTGTCGTTTCTGAAGATGCCTTCGAAGTCGGCGTAGTGTTCTTTGTTTTCTTCATCGCTGACATCAAGCCTGTACATGTCCTCGTTGAAGAAGTCATCAAAGGCAGCGCCCTCGTCGGCGGACGATGGGAAGAGCATCTTCAGCGCCTTGTCTTCCGGTCGAAAGAGACAATCAGGAGAACTGGCGAGAGACATGGCTGATTCTGTTCGTTTCAGGCCACTCTGCGCTGCTTGTCCGATGCCTGCACATGCACAAGGGATGGGAAGGCTCCAGCAAATGTATTCCCGACAAGGTAATAAACAACATTTCCAGGATGCCACGGAAACGTGAACTGTAGGTTGGAATGTCGCGCAAAGAATTCGGGGAGTATATGGCCCGAGCGTTGGCGGGAGACCTCGAAATCGAGCCTGTCGCGAAAGTAACAAAGGGGCAGAGGATGCTTCCTGAGTATGCGTTGTAGCATCTGCTTCGAGTGGAAGTCGAGCCAGACAAAACCTCATACTTGAGATCACTAGCGGTCGCCAGCGCAAGTTCATCCACAGGGGCGCGTCAGGTAAGGAGCAAGTAACATGCAGTTGAAATGCCACTGCTCCGCGAAAGAATACTGGTTCGCACAAACACGATAGATTTGCTTGTTGGGTTTTATTGCCTGGAGTTGGATCTTCTGATACCAGCAAACGTCGGAGAGGAGTCAGGACGACAAAGCCGGGCGCTTGACCTGTTCTTGAGAAGATTGCTGCCTCGACTTGCCGATGCAGTGGGCGCGCTGCTATTTCGACGGCAGTCCTTCAACTCACCTTGCACTAGACTGGCTTTGACTTTCCGGCGTGGGCCTGCATACCGATACTTTCCCAAGGGTGCAGGAGTAACAAGCAACTTCCGTCCCAAAGAAAACATCGTCAGATCTGGGTCGTGTCATCAGGCACATACCACCAAAGGATCATCCTGCCCATGTGCCGTATCCCATTTCAATGAACGAATCGTTATCGAAAGCTTCAAGACTGGTCTGAAGGGGAACGTTGTCGACGAAGGTAGGATGGGAAGTGAACTGACTCCTCCCAATACGACTTTTGTAGTTCTGCGGTCCAATCTCACACTCCTTGTCCGTCCTCACGACCCCATAGTTTGACCGTTCTGTCGTGGCCACTGCTGGCAATCCATTTTGCATCATCGGTGATATCGACGCTTAGTACATTTCCCGAATGTCCACTCAGTTGCTTGGCTAATGACCAGTCGTCAGCAGAAAAGACATTGACATTCTTGTCAAATCCACTGGTAACGAAGAATGTGCCGGCCTTTCGTGGCCGGTGCTCTTGTCTCACACCATTTGATTCGACCAAGGATGACATTTCGGCGTCAAGGCCTTTGAACCATTTCAGGTCAGAAACATTGCCATTATGTGCACCGATACCCCCAATGTTTCGCACTGCGCGGATGTCCCAGCATTTGACCCATCCATCTCCGGAACCAGAGAGGACTCGATATCCGTCAGCGCCCCAGTCAAGGCTAAATATCTCGCGGATGTGGCCGTCCAGGATCATCACTGTCCGTCCAGTCCTGAGATCCCAGATTCGTCCCATGCTGTCAAAGCCCCCACTTGCCAGAAGTGAGCCGTCCGGGCTGAAACTGACCGCAAACACCTGTCGAGAATGGCCTTCCTGTAAGAGAAGTTCAGTAGTTGTCTCGACGTCCCATAATCGCCAAGTGGTGTCGAAGGAGGCAGAGGCCAGGTATTTTCCGGAAGGATGAAACTCCACACGACAGACGCGATCAGTATGGCCTTGAAGAGTAGCAAGCGGTGTCTCCTTGTTCAAGGACCACAGGTGGATTTCTGGAGCACCCCCTTGACCACCAGCGCCGCTTGCCAAATTGACAGAATCCGGCGACACATTGGAAGTTGACAATGTTGCTCCCGCGTACCACGCAACACCTCCAACAATCCCGGTATGGCCCCTTAAAGTAACTCTCTCGTCCAGGTTGGGTACGTCAAGTAGTTTAATCCCACCGCCCCAGTTTCCAGCGGCTATGATCTCGCCGTTTGGCGCGAAGCGAGTGATGCTGACCGGTCGTTCTCCTGCGATTTGCGTGCCGAACAGCTCAAAACCTTGCAGCCTTTCTTTAATCTCCTTGCGGTGCTTGATATGGGTTCGTAGTGGTATGGACGAGTCTTCCTTTTGCCTCCTGATCCTCGCTCTCGCTTTTGGTAATGAATACCGGGCCATGTCCCTCCGGGCTTCAAGAAGCTCGGGTATACCCTCTGTGTAGAATTCTTCCTCCTGGTCGGCCTGTTCGTCCGCTTCTCGCATCTGTACATCAGTAGCCGGTGCGCCGTGACCTGCAGCTTCCTCCTTGTCCAATAGAATCTCGCGTAACCGATCTCTCCTGTCGGCAGGTCCTTCTCCGAAGAGTGTAATGGGCTCCCCTAGTTCTCGTAGACGTGCTCTCACTTTGCCATCGTCCGTGGGAACTGCCACTTGCGCCAGCCTTCGTTTTCGGTCGAACTGCGAGAGGATTGCAGAGGCCTTTTCGGGAGCCACGCCCCCAGCAGATGGCATCTCATAGTTCCGATCGATAGCTATACAAGAGTTAGAGGTTGGGGTCAAATCAGACTTCTGAATATACTTACGAATGCTTGCCAGGTCCACGCCCATCTCAACATCCTATTCCTCACCCATTGCTGTCAGTGGTCTGTTTCTTCTCGTAACACATGCTCCATGGGAGGATTCGGGCCTTGAAGCCGATTGTGAATAAGAGGCCCATGAGGAATGGTTGCAGTCTCTCTTACCTGACGCTCCTCCTCCACGTATGCCTGGCGTGCCGGGTGCATCATCTTGCCGGCTAATAGACCTTAACGGCTCACAATCCTTCCTCCTAAATGAACGTCAAGAGGTGAAGTCGTGCAGTTCAGCGCCCTGCGGAAGCATATGCTTCACTCAAGTACTTGAGAAAACTGTGCAGCGTGAGGTACTGGTAGTACTGGTGCATCTGGTGCTTCTTGTTCCGCATCTTGAATCAGATAAATTTCCGCCAAGGCCGGACTCTGCGCGTCGATCGACCCCGTCATTTGTGCAGCGATACAACTACAACTGCGTTCTTCAACATCAACCCAATCTACGACTCTCGACTGCAAGCCCAAGACTCTTGTTCACTTTATTCCACGGTCTAATACATTTTTATGGTCACGATATCATCCGAACCCTCACACACGCCTTAATAGTTCAATCTTTCCCGTCGAATGCCTCAATGTTGACGATCTCGATTTATCCTCGACTTCGTTCAACACGACGTTTGCTTCCTTCGTAGACCCGTGATCGTTTGCAGTTGCTACGCTTAACCCGGCACCGACTGCATCGTCACCATGGCCGGAGTTACTGCTTCGGCTGCGGAGATGATCAAGCAGCTCGAGGCGGCGCGTAAGCTTGCACTGGCAGATCCTCAAGTGTACAATCAAGTCCTCCCCGGAATTCTCCCCATCATCGGTCCAGCCGCCCACGTCGAAGTTCGGAGATGGGGCGCAGATTTCCTCGCCGAGGCCTTTGCAAGCCCGTCCTTACCAAATGCACAGAAAGAGCAATTAACACCCGAGGTGCTGCCAACATTGCGAGCCATGTTGGAGGCACCAGATCAAGATCCTGAAGTGACGAAGAGCGTGGTCCAGGCGGCGGCGAGTCTATACCCGTTGGTTTTTAGAAGAATGTATGTGACCTTTGCATGGGACCAGGCCTAAGATAGCATAAAGCAGTTCTCTAACACCGTTGCTAGAATTTCACATCCCAATGAATCCTCTTTGTGGCAGGACATGACCAGCATGAAATTGAACATCTTGCAGAGAATGGACTCTTTCCCAGTCGCAATCAGAATATGCTGCATCAAATTTGTCCAAAAGGTCGTGCAAGTAGAGACTCCTGGACTGATATCCGATCCTCGAGTAAGTCGCCGTCCCTACGTGTGCCGCTTTCCGATTCATACTAATCCCTGTCAGCGTCCGGAACAAAACGAGACCTCTATCGCTCTGGTCCCGCGAAACCATCCTTTGCTACAGTTGCAGAATCTCGAAGCTGAGGCGTCTGGTCTGCTGGACAGACTGCTGAGCGTGTTTCAAGAGAATTCAATGTCCGTATTGGCTAGCCTCTCCATGATCTGGAAACTGACGAATCTAGTGACCCTATATTGGTTGATGCCACACTCAACTGCCTGGCCATCCTGATTCGAAGCCGACCCCCAATATCCACGAAGATCGTTTCCGCGATCCTCAACTTCAACCCATTCAAACAAGCAAATTCCCCAATGACCCCGAGACAGAAGGTGATTGTTCGGTCGATGGAGAGGACCACCCGGGCCTTGTTGAGATGGGTGCTTCGGACTGTGCCGAATCATCCCCTTGAACAGAAAATCCAGGCATACCTTATGCGACTTCAACAGTCGCGTGCTGCGTTGTTCACCGACCCTACAGCTCAGAAGCGCCCGGCGGAGCCCACCGATGGACTGGATGATGCGAAACGACAACGGCTCTCTGGCCCACGCAAGTTCCCACCAATGCCGCCACCGCCAAATTCTGTGGCCCAGCTCTTCACTCTGACGGAGGACCAAGCACTGCAGCAATTCGACGTGAGCCTTCTTCCAGCCGACATTGTTAGTACGGTGACGGCTCTCTTCTTGCAACATCTCGACCCTCATGCTCTCGAAGAAGCCGTTAATGCCGTCCGAGCGAGATACAGCCACCTACAAAAAGTCACTCAGCCCACTCCGGTTCCCGAAGTGCCTATGGCAGGACCCACAGGAATTGACGATGAGGACGATTACGATCCCGAGTTTTTGACTAGTGGTGAACCGGTGGTCGAGGCCAGTACAGAAAAAGCGCTTGAAGAACTCGCCCAGCCAGCGATCGAGCTCGGACCTTTCGAACTGCCCAAACCACCCCCAGTAACTCCCCAAGACATTGAAGTCCTATCCGACCAAACAGTCGGGCACGTTTTTGAACTGGTTGCCTCTCTCGAAGCTGCCGGTCAAACACATACGAAACAAAAACTAGGCCTCAACCGTCTTGCCGCCAGTACAAACGATCGTGACTCCTGGATCACCATCCTCTTGCGACTGGCTACCCGCGCACCTTCTGGTCTGGACGACGTTGCAACGGCCCTGACGGAAGATTCTGACGGTAACAATCAAATCGTCAAGGCAGAGGACAGGGACACCGAAGAACGCGACGTCGCCAATCGGATCCGCCAGACTCTCTTCATGTACATCCTGGACGACTTTCGACCTCGCTTGAACATTGCCATCTCTTGGCTTACGGAAGAGTGGTACGCAGATAAACTAGCGGCAAAGACACATCCCGAACTTGCCCATCTACCCAACTATTCTCGATGGGTAAATCGACTGATCGATCGGCTACTGCCCTATCTCGACGCCAGGGATAAGAACCTGTTGATCCGATTCCTGTCCGAGATCCCCGCCATCGATCGTGATATTTTGGACCGAGTCAAAACTTTGGCGAGAGACCCGGAGAGAATCAGCATGTGTATTTTGGCAATGCAGTATTTGCTCATGATGCGTCCGCCCACACGCAATATTGTGCTCGACGCCATGGAATCCATCTGGTATGATGGTGACGCGCAGGCAAAGAGTGCAACTGCCAAGGTTCTTGCTAAGTGGAGGCCGGGCTTCTTGGAGCAAACTCAGCAGAGCGGACACGGACAGACACAGACTAAGAAGGAGGAATCAAGTCCTAAAGAGGAGAAGGACACAGAGACCAATGGGACGAAGAGTCCTACCGGCCTAAAGGATCCGCGGAAAAGAGAAGCATAAACTTAACTTGAAGCAGCAGATGTCGAGCAGGATACAGTGGCACGTTAACGGGTTATTGTATCGGCCCACACGGGCACTCTCAATCTTTCTGGTGGCCCACTGCATACGGCCATAGCATAGCATACAGGAGTGTCTGAGCCCTACCTTATGTTTGGAAGGCTTCATTTTATGAGCAGAACAGAAATCACGAATTGGATGGCTGCAAATCAATGTCATCTCCAAAATGGCCTTGAGCATTCTGGTCTCTCAGCCTCTCATTATTATTATATTCAGTCGTCTACTGACAGTATGTGCGATAAATCGGAGGAATCATGTGGATCAGGTAAAGGTACTATGATCTAACACCCCTGCCATTTTTTATAGTCCAGAGTAAGAGGTCTTCTCCTGTCGGGCCGTACGATCTCGACCACGCAATATATCTCCATCATACACTTTCTAGGAAAGATTCGTTGGATATTCAAAAGCCGTGGTCTTCCAGCTTCTTGCCGGTACAATTCGTTTCCCGTCTTCATTGCAAGAACGACCAAAGATCCCGTTCCTACCACAGCGAGCGAAGCACCCTATTTCTCCTTGACAGAATGCTCAATCTGATGTACATCGGTGTCGGTTTCAAGATGTGCTTCCTTCTGTGCGACTGTGGTGGCAGTGCCAGCGGTGCCGATGTATTCGGTGAAAGCGACATCGTCACCGAAAATCTCGGCAATTTCTTCCAAGGTCTTGCCTTTCGTTTCTCTGGTGGAAATATTGCCCGTTAGCTCAGCTCAGCAGATACAGAATGATAGTATCCATCCTGATTAATTAGTAGAGTGACTTACGGATAAATGAGGAAAAAGGTGGCCGCCGCAACGGCATCGCACACCACAAAGACAGCGTAGTAGCGCCAGCTGATGTGGGCAAAGGCCTTGGGAGAGAGCTGGTTGAAGAGAAGACCGGTGCCAGTGCCCATGAAAGCGCAGACTGTTGGAGTTCATCATTAGCACGTTGCTGACTTCCAGAAACATCAAAATCCTATGGGATACTTACCGGCAGTGGCGCGAGATCTGAGCGCTGTTGGGAAGATTTCTGCAATGTAGACCAGCTGGATGGGATGATAACTTGGGGCGTGTCAATTCCAGCGGTACTTTCTTTAGTCAAGGGAGTGGTCTGATCTTACCCAAGCGAGAAGATGAAGGAAAAGATGAAAATCCAGGCAATGGTAAAGCCTTGGCCAACTTTGTTGGTGCTGTTCGCATAGTATTTCGAAAACACCATGAGCAAAACCATGTCGACGGTCAGTGCCATGGAGGTGTACACGAGCGGCTTCTTCCTGCCGGTCTTGTCGATGTAGGCCATGCAGATTGCTGTGGAAATGACTCCGACCATACCTAACATAGAGGTACATGATTAGTGCACGATATTAAAAGAGTAGTAAGGCCACTCACCAAATCCAGCAGATACCCAGAGAACATCACGGCCATGAATTCCAATCTGCGAAAAGATCTGCGTTTGGTAGTAGTTGACCACGTTGACTCCGGTGGTTTGGAGAAAGACTTGAAGCAAGACACCCAGGACCAACCGTTTGCGATTCGACGGCTTGGTGAACAGCTGGGTCCACGATTTGATCGACACTTCCCTCTCGTACTCGATCTGCTGTTTCATCTGGTTGAATTCTCGTTCAGCGAAACTCTCGTCCCCGGACTCGTCATCGTGGAGTTTCTTGATAATAACATGCGCCTCGGCATCACGGCCTCGTTGAATAAGCCATCTCGGGCTCTCGGGTAGCCAGAACAGACCGATGATGAGGACGACAGCAGGAACACACTGAATACCCAGGGGAATTCTCCAGGCAGCGTTGCCTTTGGCAAATGAACCAAAGACACCAACCCAGTTGGCGGAGGCGTAACCAGCAGCAATGAGCAGGGTTTGCATAGCAACCATGACACCACGGATCTTAGGTGGTGCGATTTCAGCGTTGTAGATTGACGCCACCGCGTAGACCAGCCCGACTGCAAAACCGGCGATGATTCTCCCGACGAGAAACATGGCGATATTGACCGCCGCTGTTTGTAGAATAGCACCAATGAGGGCCAGAGTTGAAGCCATCCATATCGTTCTCTTTCGACCCAACTTGTCACCGAGGTATCCTCCGACCAAGTTTCCGATACCTTGGCCTCCTGAGTAGGTCGAGACAATGGCCCCCGTCAAGTTGTCCGAGGGGTGATTGAAATAGGCCGGGAAGGCCTCTTGGCCGAGGGTTGTACTGATGATACCAGAGTCATAGCCGTATATCAAAGACCCGGTCGTTGCAAAGATGGAACAGTAGAGGTTGTATCTCTTCATGTTGATATGAACGTTCCTCTATCTTCTTCTTCTGAGGGTCTCAATGAGTATAGGAATGGCTGGATTGCTCCCACGACGAGGTCCTTGTCAGGTAGTTCGTGGTGCGTCTGAGACCGACCTGGATCAGCGCGTGCATGATGCCCTTATTATATTGATGAAAGTCCGGAGGCGTGGAGAAGCCTTGATGTCCCCACAACTGGACTATGGAGTTTGCACAGTCTCGTGTGTTGCCCCATGGTCAGGAGCTAGATGTGTTGCCAGGTTTGTCGTTGTATGTGACTGACTTGCTTCGCGGAGTTGGGCCGCGGATTCCGCGAGAGATCCACGAGAGAGCCGTGTAGCGTATTGATCTTGCCAGCCGAAAGTGGACCGTGTCAACCGCCCCATGCGACCGTCAATGAACCAACTCCGCCCTCGATTGGATCTCTGTGCAAAAGTCCTCTCCACAACCTCCACGCCGCGTGATCGATATGATCTTTGGTGCCGCAGAACGCAGGCCGTGCCGGGGTACCGGGCGGTTAGTATACAAGTCGGGATTTCGTGCCGTCGATCCTATGTTTTCCACCTGCTCTGCAAGAGGTGACGGACTATCCAAGTTTGAAGGATGGCGGATGACTGGCGAGATGAAGAGAACGAGTCTGCGGTCGAGTTGTTGCCCGATACCGGCCCACGGAAACGACGAAGGAAAGTGACAGACATTGGGGACGACAAGGCTGCGTATCCCCGGCGGCGAGCCATTCTCGCCTGCGATGTCTGTCGTGCTCGCCGGACCAAGTGCGATGGACAACGACCGGCCTGTTCGTTCTGCCAGGCGAACAACGCCGAGTGCAGGTATCGCAAGATTGCCGGGCCACCTCCCACGAGGTGAGTGATTGTTGTACTTCAACCCGACGGAGTGCCTCACTGACTGTGCCTGAAATATGCATTCAGGCTGGAGACGGAGATTGGCGCCATTCAAGATCGACTCGCGAATATCGAACGCCTTCTTTCTGCCGCCCAGGAGAAACACCAACACCAACAGCCAGAGGAACAACACACTGCTTCAAGCTTCGGTGCGACCGTGACAGGGGCCTTAGAGTCTGCTACACCTGCCTCGTCCCATGGAGCTCATTACTCCCGTCCAGGGCGCGCGAGGCAGCAGCCTTCCGAGTCGCTCAATTACCAATCTCCCACCATCCAAGAGCTTGAACAGTCAGCATTCCCTGTCATGGTGATCAAAAACCAGTCTTTCATGAACCTGGTCGGGGTGGAATATGACTTAGCCGCATGTCTCGCTAGACTTGAGAGATCTGTGCCGCTGATAAGTCAACCTCGCGAGAATGGCACTGACCCCTTGCCGCAGTTGCAGAGCGCCTCAAAGTGAGATGGATATCACGAAGTCACCATGTTTGGATATGCGTGAGCTGATGTGCCACAGGGCCCTGAATGCCTTCTTCGAACAGATACATACGTGGTATCCGATCCTGGACCTTGACTACGAAGCAAGGTACCTGTCGATAATGGAGGGTTCGCTTCGTCCGTCATCAGAATCCTGTCTCGCACTGATTGTCGCTGCACTCGGTTGGCTGTCATCGCGTGAGGGCACGGAAAATCATGTCTTGTATGGTGAGCAGGCGCTCTCTATGGTGTCCAGTGTCATATCAGACGGCACCGTAGTGGCAGTTGAGGCTCTGGTCTACATTGCGGTCTATTACTGCTGCCTTTGCATCCCGCTGGAGGCGTTTGAGTACATTGCTGTCGCATCGATGAAAGCCCAAAGCCTACTGACCATGTAAGTACAAAACATACACTTTCGTGAACTGACAGAGCTGACCGGATATAGTAATCGGAACCAGATCTCTGATGCGGAATCAGAAGCCCTAAGACGGGCGTACTGGGCTATATTGCTCATTGAAAAGTATGACCCCAGCTCGGTATGATTCATTCAGCTACTAACACCATGTTCACAGTGAGCTGTGCGTGCAACTCGAACTCTTTGATACCGGGGTTTGGAATCTGGACGAATCTACCACACTGCCCCGCGTCCGCGAAACATGGAGCTCTCCTCAATCGACATTCCATTTCAGCCCAAACACGGATATGGACCGGACGTCTGGCATCCGCCATGAGAAAAATGTAGCAGACGCCGACGCATATTTCCTCGCCGAGATCGCCATGCGGAGGATCTCTCATCGCTGTCCCTCGGCGGTCCGTCTCACGCCCAGCCGGGACCTGGTATATGCGCCTATTGTCGCCTCTGAACTGGCATATCAGCTTGAGGAGTGGTTCCATCATCTGCCCCCATCCCTGAAGTTTCACCGGCACCATGATGTCGGTCTACAAGAAACGAAAGCGACTGTGCTGTTTCTCAGGACGCAATACTACTCCTGCATGACCTCCATCTACTGGCCGGCAATTCACCAAGTGATCCAAACCGGCAAATTGGAGTATGACCTTCATGTCGGATGCCTCAAATTTTTTGATTCTTACTACCAATTCTTGATGAGTGTTACGGTGTGTGCACAGCACTGTGCCGTCAACAGATGGACATTGTTAGCCAGGTTAGTGGGCGATATCCTCCCCACCAAAGGTCGCATGAGATGCTAACTCGAGATGTTCCAGCATGTTTGTCTTTACCATGGCGGCAGCTCGTGCTATCAAAGAGCCGTCGCTCGCCAGCGCCATCCCGCCACAGCTCTCCAGCTCAATGGGTCTCGCAGTCGAGTCACTAGCGGCAAGCGCAAGCCTGAGTCCTTCACTTGCATATCTACATAACCTGTTGAGGGAGCATCTGCTGTGGTTGTTGACTTCCAGTCCCACAGAGTGTGGACATAGCTGAAGCAACAGGGGGAGCCAAGTCGCGTGCCACCGGCATCATGCACGGGCCCTTGGGCTTACAGATCACAGAATCGTAAACTCTCCGCTGAAATTTGGTCTTGTTCAATACAATGGACACTATCCTGGCTTTCCCTTTTCTCCTGAAGCACCCGCTCAGTCTAGTCACCAACCGGAGCCGTTAACGTGGTCACGCAACACGGTAGAAACTTCGTTTGTGGGACGAGCGGGTACCCTCTGGAAATCAGGTCTTCGATATTTCTCACGTGTTGTCCGCTACGATATAGGCTTAAAGGTTACTCCATCAGACGAGCCGGGTAGTGCAGTGCATGTGCGGGGCCCCGTAATTCGAAGAATCTTCTCTTCCTGGCGAGTTGGAAAGTCTCAACGACCAAGGCCGGAACCCGCCACTGTAGAGCCTGTCATTGCAGTTGGACAAGGCTGTGGGTGAACTGGCTTCAACCTATCGCGGAGTCGGGATACCAACTCCGCGGTAGCCATTTCAACCTAGCCCACTACTGTCACCACCATTATGTTTGTCTCCCTCCCCTTGCCATGAAATTGGGTGATGGCAGTGGAGTATCAGGCACGAGATTCAAGACCACATTGAGCCGGACTCCACCGCGACATATCGCAGATGACCATGAGGCTCTGGTTGTTCGGGGAAACCTCACCTCCCTTCCGCTTTCTGGAGCGTAGCGACTGCTTTTCATTATATTCGCCTATTCACAGCACGTTCGAAGTTTTGGGTTGAGGCAAAGAACAAAGAGCAGAAACGATTGAAATCATGGCCGAAGCTACATCCACATACACGGAATACGCTGGACAAGCACATCGGCCATATTCTAATGGTATGATGCTACCAAGTTCCTCCTTTGCTTTTGTTCATCCGGAAATCTCCTCGAAAAGGGAAAGGAGCGGAATCAATACTGACTTAGCGATGAAAAGGATCTCTCAAACTGCCTTTCCAGCGACCAGCCGAGTCGAAAAGAACATACCACTCGGCCGGGGTTGAAGGGCTCATTGCCAACATGACGGCTCGGATGAGCGACAAGGACCTGGCACGCATGTTTGAGAACTGTTTCCCCAACACCCTCGACACGACGGTGAAATGGTTTTCCGAGTCGAACAACCATTATCAATCATTCATCATTGCCGGTGACATGTAAGTATGCTGAAACCCCCGACGAAGCAACTACCTGATCCAGCTATCACATTCAACCCCCAGTCCTTGCTTTTGCTTTTCCCTAATCATTTCAAACCAGGGACGCCGCCTGGCTACGCGACAATCTATGGCAAATCCAAGCCTACACATCATTACTCTCCGTCGACACAGCGATCCAGAAACTATGGAGAGGCGTGATCAACCTGCACAGCACATTCCTCTCCCAAGCACCATACACCAACTCGTTCCAGCCGCCCCGGGAAAGCGGTATTGTGCCAGTTTCCGACCACGTCGTCGACATGAGTCAAGACATAGTACACCCGTCCACCGACCCAGCCATAACATTCGAAGCCAAATATGCGCTCGACAGCCTGGCAGCGTTTCTGCGCATCTCCAACACCTATGTGCAAGAAACAAACGACCGATCCGTCCTCAACGAACAGTGGCTCACCGCCCTGATGGCACTATTGACAGTTCTCCACGAGCAATCGCAATCGACATTCGACGACGACGGTCAACTACGCGAGCCCGCAGCCTATTCGTTCCAGAGACCTTCGGCTCTATGCATGAAGTCGGTATATAATGGACCAGATCAGCCTCCAAACTGTAAGTTGGTACAACTTAAGACTTACCTCTCTCATCTATCCTTTCTGACCCTTACTGACTACCTTTTCAGCCGGCACAGGCAACCCCGTCGCCTCCGGGACAGGCCTCATCAAATCCATGTTCCGGGCCTCTGACGACGCGACAATTTTCCCCTTCCACATCCCCAGCAACGCCATGATCTCGGTCGAATTGAGCCGCACATCCCAGCTCATCCACAACATCGACACCCACCTGTCCAAAGAATGCGCCGAGCTGAGCGCCCGCGTCCGCCAGGGCATTTTCGCCCATGGCACGACAGACCACCCATTGTTCGGCAAAGTCTTCGCCTACGAGGTCGACGGGTATGGATCCCGCGTTCTCATGGACGACGCTTCCCCGCCTTCCTTGTTGTCACTTCCCTACCTTGGGTTTCTGGACCGTAACGACCCTATCTACCAGAACACCCGACGCATGGTTTTGACTAGTCGTGGCAACCCTTACTATCTGGTTGGATCGCAGCTCGAGGGCCCGGGAAGTCCGCACATCGATCTTAAGACCATGTGGCCTATCGGGACCATCATGCAGATCTTGACGAGTGATGACAACGGTGAAATTTGTAACTGTTTGGACACTCTGAAAAGGTCGAGTGGTGGTTTGGGATTGGTTCATGAAGGTGTCAATGTCAATGATTGCTCGAAGTTCCTGAGGACCTGGTATGCGTGGGGAAACAGTGCTTTTGGAGAAATGATTCTCGATTTGGCCACTAGGAAGCCTGAGCTGCTGTTTGGGGATTCAATCGGACAACAACAAAGACAAAATGAGAATGTTGTCGGCTGCATGTCCCAGGAAAAGGACACGGATGATGCTGCCACAAAGGGAAAGCTTTGAGAGACCATACCACCAAGAGGAAAAAGAACATAGATAGTTAAGGTAGATACCCTTAGACCACCACTGCCAAACAAGCAAAAAATAGACTTTCAATTTTGGGGTTCATCACCTGTCTGGCATCTAGAAAGATTTTGGTTTCATCTTAGCCCATCCCGACGCAGTCGCCATATCTGGCATATCTGGCATATTGATCTCAGCTCGTCATCAATGTAGCGCCTTGATGCTGCAAGAAAGGACATCTCTTGAAAACCAAACGGGTTAGAGGACAGCCGGTGGGCTGATTAAACATAGAAGGTGAGATAATTTTCAGATGCGCCGTCCATTCTGTGACTCCCTTTGTTTTTGATCAAAGCCAACATGAAAGATCATGTCCCAGTGCATTGATTAGAAGGGTTCGTTTTCTGTGAGAATACGCGAAATCGCGAGGTTCAGAAGACGCTGATCATGCCGAACCGTCGGTGAATCAGATGGATAAATACCGATGCCCTCCTCTTCAGTTCTGAACCATCTGGAGTGGTTTTAGTAGTGGGTGGTATTTCCGCTCAATCATTTCGCGGAGGACATGTTCCCATTCTTGAGGAGTGATTTTGTCGTTGATTTCCGACGACGACAACTCAAAGTCTGCATGGTGATGGTCGTCATGTCCATGATCGATCTTCTGAGTCAAATACCGATCAACGGACCCAATCACCCTCACTTGTTTCTGTATTCGTGATAAATCTGCAAACGCGTCTGTGTGCAGAACTAGACATAGAGTCGCGGCGTCGGTGGGGATAGATTCGAATGGCAATTTTGGATTGGATGACTTTGTGCGATATATCTTGGAGTTGGAGGTCCTTTGGCGTTGTTGTTGGCGTATCAGATATGCCCGTGGATCATTTTGATCTTCGGAAAGTCTCGGGTAAATACTGGGACTGGTGGAGGGTGCTGGGGTTTCGTTCTCGTGTTCCACGGATGGTGCGTCTTCGGCTCTTGTTGAAGAGGCATCGTCATCGGTATCGTTGTTGGATTGTCGCTGTTGTTGTTGCGGGTGAGAAGGTTGGGATAAATCTCTCAAAGCTGCGACATATCGGTTCTGGTGTGGATTATTGAATCCTAACCTCCGGCTGCTTGCGGTGTGTGACTGCGCCTGCGACCGCGATCTGGTTTCGTCGTCGGTGAAATAGGTAGTCCGATCATCGTTACTCAGGGCTGAACCGTGATCGGTTAGGAACCTCTGTCGCGGTTCAAGTTCCTTGTGAGATGTTGTTGTTTCTGCCTTTGCCAGCCTCTTTTGATGTGCTATGGCGGCTTTCTTGCGATATTCAAAATCCATGATTTCACTGAGTTCGGCGTCGAACGTTGAAAAGTTGTCCTCCTCAACCTCCTGATCAAAACTAGAGCCAAGCGAGCGCCGCTCCGACCCGGCGTCTAGTCTGGTTCTGTTACGTTCTGTGGTGTCGTCCTCATCAGGGGTGTTTCTGCTGGGTGGTGAGTGGGAGCGGCGTCGGCGTTCAGGTTCAGGCGGAGGTGGCATCGAAGGATGGCCATGAGGATGAGAAGACGACACCTTCGAGGGCGGTTTGAATTGTTTCTGGCCCGGACCCCACTTGAGCCCTCCTTGGAGCTTCTTCAGTGGTGACATTGATCTCTCTCGGCCACCGGTCGGTTCGAACGCCGGGTTCGTAGAGATGTTTTCCCTTGGAGGGACGAGGTTCAAAGTCCTGTTTGGCTGAGGTAGATGGACTCGGACTGCGGAATCCGGGGTCAACCACGCTTGTAGAACTGTTGTAGTCTGCCTTGGTCCTCCGTCATTGTCATCGTCTTCGACATTTCTAGGGGCATCAGTTGGTCGGTTACGGATGGGACTGGAATTTTGAGATGCGCGAGTCGAACCAGAGGCGTCAGGAGAAGGGAGATGGGATTCCGATCCGAGCGGGATTCTGTGTGAGCTTGCCACAGGCAGTCGCGGTTGATCAGATGTTTCTCCTGTCTTAGGACCAGTCAATGGCGGTGATGGCAGGTTGACTGTGCTGCTGCGTGCTGGAACTTGCATTTTCTTGGGCCTCACTACTGCGTTCATCGCCGCAAGAGTGAATGGATTCCAACGCGCCGGTTCCTCGGGAATGGTGTCGTCGACTTCCCTTGACTTGCCACGGGTGTTGTCCTGCATTGGAGTCTCGAGACCATCAGAGTCGTCCAGACTCACCGCATCCATATTTTCGTGGGTTCGAAATATCGAGTTTGAACCCTTTTCTGAGGGGTTTAATGTGTTTTTTCCATCGTCGATATCTCCATAAGCCTTGCGAAAGAGACCTTCTACCAGCGATAGTAAAGCCTCTGGTAGGAAGAAGATCACTTCATCTTTTGCCGGCTCGACGTTAACGTCGTAGCTTTCGGGGGGACAGCGAACCCGCATGACTAGAAAAGGCCGGGCTATCCGAGTTGAATCGGAAGAATCCAATGTTCCTTGGAGGTATTTCCTGTATGTCCTCACAATATCCATCATGGATCTTCGATCAGGGTTGACACATCGGCCGTCTATCGATATGTATTGGTTCACATTGCGAACCTTGTCAATATCTGTACACATTAGCATGAGCTGTATCATCTATCTTGGTGCAGGGGAGACGCGCCTGCATCTGCAGAGGCAAGAAGAGCATCAATCTCCCACCCGTCTTGCAGGGCACCACCCTCGAGATCAGCAGATGACATGCTCCATGAGGTGCAGTGAGCAGCAATATCCTTTCCCACAATCTTTGCAGCGACTTCGCCTAGAGAGTCGTTTGAGTTTGGAGCATATGTCCAGTTCATCTTCTCATTCTTCCCTTTCAGGACCTTCAAAGAGAACCGTACATCCGGCCTGGCAAATGCAAACTCGAAGAGGAGGGCTTTGATAGCTTGCAAGGTCTTGCCGGTGCTCTTCAAGGCCGTCTGTTTTCTCACGGGTATATTATGAAGGAAATTCTGGATGCGAACCGTGGTCCCAACCGGATGAGATGCCGACGAAGAACTGAGACAGTCATGATACGTTGAGCCTAGAAAGGAACTTTACCAACACCAACCTGAGCATTCCTGAAGCGCCATACTTGAGCGATGTTCCCACTATCTCCCCATCTACTCGCGTGGTTACGGTCAGACCCTGGCTAAGTTCGGCGATACTGGCGAGGGCTTCTCCTCGAAATCCCAGAAAGGTGCCTCCTAACCGGGAAAGATCTTCTAGGGATCTGATCTTGGATGTACATCCTCGCCGACAGAGGAGTTGTCGATCTTCAACGCCAATACCTGTGCCGTTATCCTTCACTTGGATCACATCGAGTGTGTTAGCCGAAATTTCAATGCTAACGGCAGTGGCACGGGCGTCTAGAGCGTTGTCGACAAGCTCCTTCACAACGGATTTTGCATCATTGAGCACAAGTGAAGAGACAAGGGTGCGGGTTGTTGCCTCTGGCAGTGCCTGGATAGGCATGTTGAGCCATGTGGAGGGAGACGTTTCTTCCAAATGAATAAGGATATACTTCAAGTTACCAGGTAGTATCTAGTAAATGTCCATCCAGCCTGTGGCCGCTTTATGCCCTCAAGTTGTCATCATAATTGTCTACGCGTTGAGCGCGTCGTGCTCGCGTTGTTTAGCCGATCATGATGTACGAAAGCTGGACATTGTTTCTCCGTTCCGGTCTTGGCACCAAAAGCAAGAGTTCAAGTTGACAAGACCTTCAGTGGAATAGGATTTCTAATTCTTACCTTAATTCAGAAATTCTACCGATTACGACCAGTATCTGGATTGCTCGTCAGCCAGAATTACAATGATGTTTGCCATGCTATGATCTGACCATCGTCGAGCTGAGACAGCAGATCCTCGGCCACAGGAGGGATGGATCCTAGTGTGATATCGAAGTTTGCTGTTCCTGTCGTGGTCTCACTGATTGCGTTCTTGTCATATTCTTCACAATATCTAATCGGCAAGATTGAGCCTGGGCCGTTGAGCCCGAAGGAATCGCTCATCTTCAACACACTGGTCGCATGCATATGGCTGAGTTATGTTCGTGCGTGCACAACAGACCCTGGACAGGTGCCTCCAGACTGGGATCGTGAACAGCTTGAAGCTTCCAATGCCAGCTATGGATCCGACGGAAGCAAGGCGGTGTCGAGACATCGGTATTGTCGCAAATGCAACGCAGTGAAGCCCCCAAGGGCGCACCATTGCAAAATCTGCAAAAGGTATGCCTTCATTACTGGATACCAAGTATCCGGGCTGTGCTGATCTTCCAAGGTGTATCCCCAAGATGGATCATCATTGTCCTTGGACTGTTAATTGCGTGTCTCATTTCACGTTTCCACACTTTCTGCGTTTCCTGTTCTACGCTGTCTGTTCAATGGCTTATCTCGAGTACTTTTTGTACCTGCGAGCGGATGTCATTTGGCAAAATCGGATGCTACCGAGTGTAAGAATGCTACCGTGGCCTTGTTCTCGCATTTATTGACCTGGTTATCAGTACCTAGGCCCAACTCTGCCACAACTTGTCCACCTTTTCGTTTTGATCGTAGTCAATTCACTTACATTATTTTTGGTCTCGATTACCTTTTTTCGCACAGTTTGGGGCTTGGGCGGCAATGTGACCACAATTGAAAGCTGGGAAATCGAACGACACGAGCAACTACTTCGTCGAGCTCGAGCTCTCGGCGGGTATCTGGATGGTCCAGATGGTATGAGAATCAGGTTGGTTAGACAAGAATTTCCATATGATATTGGGATATGGAAGAACATTGTCCAAGGCATGGGTACAGCCAATATCCTGGCTTGGTTCTGGCCTTTTTCTGCCACTCCACGGACGGATGGGTTAGAATTCGAGACCAATGGATTTGAGGATCCCGGCACTAGTTGGCCGCCTCCAGATCCTGATCGAATGCCACGCTTCAATCGGTTCTCTGAGGGTTCGACTGCGTTTACGCATGAAGGAGCGGACCTTTCCGCCGAGGACGAAATTGCAGCTTTCAAACGGCGTCAACAAGCCGACTTCGAGCGACGGCGCGAATACTATGGCATCCAACGGCGGAAGCCGTTCCACGAACGTTTCGAGGATGGAAGCGATGTGCCTGTGCATGATTACACGCAGGACAAAGATAGCAGCGGCGAGGAGGGTTGGCAGGACTCAGGAGGGAACCGACTGAACGATTATGGTGTGGATGAGGACGTGGAGTTTTACGACCAAGATGATGTACCTATAGCGGAGCTACTGAGACGGAGAGAGCATGGCACAAGTACCATCGGGGTTGAGCCCTCTCACGGCATAGATTGACCCGACCGCCACATGGCCGCCCGCGATGCGGAGCGGATCGAACATGATAGACGCAAATAGTCATAGACTCCGCTGGTCAATCGATTTTGGGCTGAAAGCAGTTAACTGGCGGCGGCGGAAAGATATGAGCCGTTTAGGCACGAACGCCTGGTCACCCGCCGTGGGGGTACAACTCCAACCCCCAAAAACCCCCACTGATACTGCGCACACCACTGCACCATAACCCCTGGCAACCATGCCGCTTTCAAAGGACTGTCTCGCCGAAGGGTCTACAAGGGTCCATGTACAATGTATCGCAGCGGCCCTCAAATTAACCTCGTTATCATAGAAGAACAAGGTAGGGACAAATCTCCTCGAGGAGCTGTGACGTGCAGCAGGACACCTCGAACAACTGACTCCCAGCGCCCAGTCGCCTATCAAAAAGCAAACTTCGACAGCCAGGCGCGTGTTATCTCGCTCGGTGAGCCCCTCCTTGGCAAAGGCTTTCTTGACACCCGGCGGATATAGCCACCACGACATGGCAAATGGTCTATCCGCCTTGTAGTACTGGATTAGCATGCCAGTCTAAGTCTCACTCTGATAACGAAGATTAGACTCTTGGACTTCCACAGTACAGCCGCCTATATGTAAACAGTGCTACAAGGCTCTTTTCAGTGTGCCAATATTACCAAGGTAAAGTAGTAGATTACCTCGCTTCCACCCACGGCGGGAGAGAGAGCAGAACTTGAATAAAAATATGGCACCCCACGCCTCCACAATCTGCGGGGATTTTCTCGGAGTCTTACCACCGCGTTCACTTCCGTCGGCACATCGCCGGGCGAGGTTGATTGTTCGCCCGCGGTATATAACTGACAGCCACTGCCGGCTCGTTTGACCCTTTATTAAGTGACTCCCAAGGTAAAAATTGCAAACGTTGAGCTATCACCGAGGCCAGCATCACGGGAAAGGACGCTATCATAGCTCTGTCCCTTCTCCACCAACGTCTCTGACTTATTGAACTCAGACTTTTAGTCAAGCAAAAAAAATAAAAGAAAACCAGCTTCAAGATGAGTGGACGTCCGTTAAAGACGTTGAAGCCCGGGATCAACGTGCCCATGGTCACGCTCTTCAAGCCAGAGACCGAAGACCTGGACTTGGAAGCGATTGCCAAACACGCCGTCAGACTCGCAAAGGCAGGCCTGACCTCGATCACCTGTCAAGGCTCGAACGGCGAGGCCGTGCATTTGACCAAACAAGAACGAATCCAAGTCGTGCAGACGACACGCAAAGCTTTGGATGACGCCGGCTTTACCGACTTTCCCATCGTTGTCGGCTGCGGTGCCCAGTCAGTGCGGGAAACAGTCGAGTTCTGCCGGGATGCTTATGAAGCGGGTGGTGATGCGGCCTTGGTTCTGCCGCCTTCATATTACAAGTCTTCATTCACCAATGCGTCGTTTATCGAGTTCTTCCAAGACGTTGCCACCGACTCCCCGATCCCCATTCTGATTTACAATTACCCTGGCGCCGCTGCGGGCGTGGATCTCGACTCCGACACCATCATCAAGCTGGCCAAGCACCCCAAGATTATTGGCTGCAAATTGACTTGCGGTAACACGGGCAAGCTGAACCGAATTGCCAACGCCGTCAATGCTGCGACTGCCAATTCGCAAAATTCCGGTTGGTTGTGTCTGGGTGGCTCGGCCGATTTTACTCTGCAGACCATGATTGCTGGCGGTTCGGGCATCATTACCGGACTTGGTAACATTGTTCCCAAGGCTTGCGTCAAGGTCTTCAATCTTTATGCTGAGGGTAAGGTCGAGGAGGCTCAGAAGCTGCAGGCTATTGTTGCTCGTGGCGATTGGGGTGTCATTTCGGGAGGTGTCACTGGTACCAAGAGTGCCTTGCAGTCGTTCTTCGGATATGGTGGCTACGCGAGGCGACCGCTGCCCAAGCCTAGCAAGGAGGATGTCGCTAGGTATGAGGATATCTTGAGGGAAGCGGTTGAGCTGGAGAAGACTTTGTAGAGGTCGGGGAGCTGGACGGATGGTTAGACATTTAATGATGTTCGACTTTGGCTGCCATGAGTTCTAGAGACCTCCAGAGGCCGATTAAGTATGGAGCGTCAGTTCTCAAGAACAAATTGAAGTCCCTGGTACTTATGATTGTTGTGGTTCAAGCGACATCGAGAGGCCTTGCCTCGTTCAGCTGTCTCTGGCGTTGACGGCTTTGACCGCCGCTTTTTCTTTTCAGCGCCATGACTTCATTCCTTGAACCATTTTCTCTCCCTCAATTAGCTTCCTGGCCATTTTCAGCCCGGCTCAGCTCGTGCATCGTGCCGTATATGCCCTAAAACTATATTTCAGGCGGCTCTGAAGTGGTCGTGCCTCGCAGAAACCCAAGCTTACTGACCATGGCCCGCGGAGCCAATGCACGACTTAATCATACCGCTTCTTTTCCCGCCTAGTTCTACCGAGCTACAGTTGCCCCAAGGTCGGCCTGAAACCCAAGCGATCGGTTTGGCCTTTGGCCATGATGCATGACGTGGAGACCTGCAGTGGTTCACCGTCAGGTTCAAGGCGCTGGAAGAGAGATGCTACGGTCCTTTGGATCCTCTCGGACACGCTGGCGTTTGAAGTTGTCTGTTGGTGCGGCAATAAGCGATCACCGTCTCCAAAGCAGACTTGACAACGCATCAGCCGCGACAACTTGTCTCGGCACCTCTTACTGGCGTTCCACCGTTCGTCGTCTACCCAGCTTGCGGCCTGCCTTTTTGGTTTCCAGTAATGAGTGGTTCCTCTGCCAGGAGCTTGGCTGGCTACTGCAGCTCGCTTTCAGGCCGCTCGCTGGCATTGGCATCAGCATCACAATGCGACCGACATGGACCGCCCCCAAGGCGCAGCTGGATCTGCATCTGCATCACCGCTCATTCGGAACCTAAGGCAGGGCGCTGCTGCCTTTTCAGGTGAGGCAAATGCGGACACTTGCTCCCAGTGACCCGCCGCGCGTAAGAGTGAGTGCTTCAAGATAACGGCGGATGTTCTGTCCCTTTTTAAGTCCATATCATTTCTCCAGATATTACCGTAGAATTCGTTATTCACGATGGCCACCTCTCAAGGCCCATATGACGGACCCACATCCGTCACTGATTGCATTCTAGGACTGAAGAAGAACATCGATAGCAAGAAACTGCCTGGATTCGTCGAACTCATTGACGATTGGTTCGATCCAGACACCCAGGTGGACGAAGAGCAATTTGTGCGCCGCTTTCTGCGAGTCTTCAAAGTGTCCGATCAAGACTTTACATATGAGAGAATCATCGGAGACTATGACGAAGGACTACAAAACATCTTCAATGATTTCGTCGACGGGAAACTCAACGCCCAGGAGGCGGCAGAAAAGTATCGTCCTTACACGATGCAGAATCTCCCGAAGAAATTGGGCACTTTTCGCAAGAACCGCAAACTCTCCAGTATAATTCCAGGCGAGCGCAACGTGCTCGAAGAGCATACTGCTTTACTCGCCGCACTACCGACGAGCATCCCGTCACGGATTCGTGCATTCATTGCGAAATTGGTGCCTGCTTTGAAGTTCCCGACCCGGTTCCTCTATGTGCCGGTGAGTGTTGGTCAGGAAGCCAGGAAGGTTTATATTTACTGAGTCTTTGATATAGTCCTTCAAGGACCTCGAGTTTCAAAATTGGGGCCGCACAGTGACCACCACACCGACCTACACCTGCGTGCCGAGTACAGCCCGAGATGTTGTCGACATTGTGCGATATGCCAAAAAGCATAAAATGGGTGTCCGGGTCGCGGGCTTCCGTAAGTGCACTGCTCCTAACCAACAAAGGCAGATAGATCCTAGTTGACCTCTTTGTTTGCTTTTAGGTCATTCGTGGTCCCCGGTCTTTGGACGGTCAAACGCCAACTCGAAGGATGCAAAAACCAAAAGTAAAGGTGACATTCTGATCTCATCTCTTGGACTTGTGGATGCCAGTGTCCTCCCGAATTTCACCTCGTTACCTGGAGACATCTTCGAGCCTCGCGCAAAAGATCTGAACTCGATTCTCGTCGTTGACCACAACTATGTGAAAGGACCCAAACTATCCGATGGCAAGAAGTACGTCCGTGTGGGGACGTCAACTACCAACGAGCAATTTCGACGCTGGTGTATCGACACGGGCAATGTCACGTTGCCTATGAACATTATCGAGGTTGAGATCACTATGGGTGGAGCCAACGCGACCATATGGTAAGTTTACTGTTCTTTTTGGCAACCGGGCTGTGGGCTAACATTTATCAAGCCACGGAGCAGGAATAAACAACCCCACGCTTTCTGATCTCGTTCGATGTATCGAGTATGTGGATGCCAACGGGAAACTAGGCAGGGTCGACCTGTCTACGCCTGACATTCTGCATGCAGCAGCCGGGTGTTTCGGGTTGATCGGAGTGGTGACGCATCTCGTTCTAGAGTGCGATCCAATGTCGTGTGCGCTGCTGGAGCCGCGCAAAATCCCAGTGATAGAAGCCATCCCTCCGCCACCAGATATGCCTGACGCGGACATTCCTGCCCCTCTTCGACCGCGGCAGCCATTAAGCGCGGAACGAAAAGCCCAGATCCAACGGGACTTTGAGACACGTGCCCTGACGACGGACTATGCAGAATGGTTCTGGTTTCCCTATTCCAGCGAAGTGTGGGTGAACAGCTGGCACAAGACTTCTGACTTGTCAAACGCCGTGACTTATCCAAGCGACGCGAAAACAATACTGCAGGTGTTGGGGACCATTATGATGAACATTGCCCAGAATGCTGATACTCTGCTCGATACCACAGAGTTCCTGCCGGCGACGCAGACGAAATTGTTGACGTGGCTTGCCATGAAGAATTTAGATGATATTGGACCGAACGGCAAGAAGATTAAGGCTAGGTTACCGGATGCTCTTCATTTCCAGAGAGGCGTCCAGAACATAAGAGTTAGGGACCTGGAAGTCGAGTTTCCACTTCAACCGAGAAAGCAGCCTTCAACTTTGACTCCCATGACTCCCATTGTCAATGGCACTGCAGCGATGAACGGTAACGCTACTCTGAAGGGCCAGGGCTATAATGACGCTCAAACTACCACTGAATCTCATACCACGACAACTGACAGACTTACACAAGTTGATTTATCCCTCGTCCAGCGCGCCTGGTGGGACGCCATCATCGCATGCTACAATGCCATCTACGAGGCTCCGCAACGCATGCCGCTCGAAATGCGAATCATGTCGTCGTCAGAGGTCACATTGGCCCCGCAGCGCGGCCACACCTTGGGGACCTGTTCGATCGAAATCCTGACTCTTCACGACGCTGCCGACATCTGGAAACCATACGCTCAGACCGTGTTGGACAAATGGTCCAACTACAGAGACGCAAATGGCGATTTGGTCCCCGTACGTCCACACTGGGCGAAAGAATGGTACGGGCATACTGTTAGGGGACGGCAGTGGGAACAACTGCTAAGGTCAGAGTCATCTCGCAACGGTGGCTTCAGAGACGAAATCGCCGAATGGCGAAGTCTGGTGGAGCGTCTCGCTGTTCGGGATGGCTGGACTGTTGGGGATGCTAGGTTCAGGTTTGGGAATGAGGTTTTGGATCGTTTGTTCTGGCAGGATGAGGATAAGGATGATTTGGAGAATGAGGGTGGTGCTGGCGCTGTTGTAAATGGTAATGGTACCGCCAACGCAGCTGCTGGAAAGGGTCCTGTTCCGAACGGGGTCAGGCGTACTCTGTCCAAAAAGGCAACCTTGAAGACGAGAACTTCGGGGAGACGGTAAGGTTTCGATTGAACAATGATGACCAAGGTTTTCTGGGGAGGGAGTGTGAAGACGAAGGGAAGGAAGATACTCCCGTAAGTACTAGTACCTTGAACCAGGTATGTACTCTACCATTGTAGATGATTGTAGTGAGCGACTTGAATGACTAATGGATTCTCTGCCTGCAGTGTACATGTAGTTGGATCCGGGTTTATGTTTTGGCGAACCTAAGTACTTCCATGCCACGAGCCGCGTACACCTGCAGCCATGGTGTTTTGCACCTTGCCTCTCTTGCCGTACAAGTAGTGGAGGAACAGCGTATCACGCACATGTCAACCACTGATGTCTACAAGTGTACCACTGCACTGTACATTAGTATATTTCGGGGAAAGTCGGAAAGTCATTATCGCGCTTCATGCACGTGCATGTGGACGAAGGGGAGTGTGAGCATCGTGTCGTGCCGTTCGTGCTGTGTTGAGAGCGCATTGGTTGATATCTACGAGTGATAGATTGATATTTGACTGATGATTGACGGAAATGAAACAGGGTAAAATATAGCGGTCTGGTTGGTTGGTTGAAAGTCCAAATATTAATTTTAGGAGCGGTGACCGCCACCGACGACATGGTGCACATCTGTGGTTGTCTTTGACTACGACCTGGAGATAAGCTGAAGGAAGAAAGATACAGGAGTTGAAATGAAATAGCTGTGTACTATATTGTATCTGGGGTTGGCTCCACTGCCGCCAGCAGCAGCAGGTAGATGAAAGTTCTATCCTTCTGTCGTATCTCGACGAGGGTTTGTTGGATTGTGCTAGTAGTCAAGCTGCACCTGAATGGCTCAGACCGATATCATTTGTCTCTGTCCTGAAGCGCCTCGTCAAGAGGACCGCAAGTCAAGATGAACTTGAAACTGGAGGATGTAAAACTTACCTGCAAATATTGTCGATGGCGGCCAGACCGCCCTCTGGATCTGAACGAAACGCATGGCCTTGCACCGCGTCCGAGATCTACACTTGTACCACTCCAGCATCAGAACCCCAAGCAGTAGTGCCACCGACTCCAGATTTAAACAGCATTTAGTTGTTGAGCAGCCCGCCCGAAAAGAAACGAAGTGGCCTTCCGGATTGCCCCGTGCCAATCGATCTGACCTTGTTGGATCAAACATGCAGGAAATAATGCCTTCGCCATTCATTGCCATTGCACGTCAGCAAAATATCAATCGACGATGCAGATCGGGCCAGTTGGTCCAAGTTCTCGACTGACCGCTGGATGAAGAAAGCGGGCTGATTGACTGGGTTGACGGTGGGATTCCCCATTCTCGGGGGCCCATCAGCGCCTATCAGGACCGATGGGTACCTAGAGGCCCCTAAGCCTCCCGCTCTGGGCGTCAACGGCGCCAGCTAAAGTGCTTGAGTCCAGCCTGGACGTACCTCGTATCCCCCTCCCACATTTCTGGCCCCGATCCCATTTGCTGCTTGCTCCCTCGTCATTCATCTATCATTTTGGTCCATCATTACCTGCATTCAATCTCTGGCCTCGCCTCTTTGGCTGTGGCCTCGTTCCTGTCACACAACAAATCCCACACTCACTCGCGTCCTTCATGTCCCGTGCGTCCGTCTGTTGAACCGTCTGAAATCTCTCAAGGGTACTCCTGCTAGTTGTCATCTTGTTGTCACAAAACTTTCTTTTCCAATACCCGTGGCTTGTCTTCTCTTCCATCCTCGAATAATACCAAACCTCCTTTCACCAACTCCTCCACACCGTCCTCCGTCGCGCCCTCCGTTCTCTCCCGAGATCTCTCCCACAACATCCCAACTCCCCGCATTCTGCGTTCTGCGATCTCTCCATTAGGCCTTGACATCCTTGCTCGCGTGCTCTTGGGCCAACCAGAAAAGCTACGGGATCCGTAGGGGGGAAACGAAACTATGGCATGAATGACCACCAAGACTTCAGGCCGTCTTGATGTCGACTTCCCCGCCTCCGCGCCAGCGGTTCGTCCCTGAGCCTCTTGAAACTACGATCCGAAGTTCAACATCCGCGTATACCACGTCCCACAGCCCCTCGTCCAGCGAAGGACAGGCCTCGAATACCACAACCGGTCCGATGCCTGTCCAAACGAAACCCCGACGGTTCCTCCCACAACCGGTAGAGGAGAGTACCAGGAGTTCTAGGAAGAAGGCGGTGGAGCATATCGAAAGTTCTGATATACAAAAAGAGTCTACCGAGAGTAATTCTTTAGCTACATCTACCTCCTCTGCCGATAACAGCCTTTCCAACGGCCCCGTCACGACCATCCCCCGACGCTTCGCACCGGAGCCAGTGGAAACAAGTACACGTACTTCAAGGAGACGCTTTGCCCCGGAACCGGTCGAGACGAGTACGAGGAGCAGCAAGGATAAGGACAATCCCGCCGACGGATCATCTTCTAAGCCTCGTCGAAAGTTTGCTCCTGAACCGGTTGAAACCACCACAATCAGTAGTAAAGACAAGAAGCTGCAAGGAACCGAAGAAAACCAGCCTCCACGCCCTCGGCGGAAATTCCTCCCCGAACCTATCGAGACCACGACCAGGAGGAGGCGGAACACCGAGCAGGAGAACCCGGAGGACCTCTCCAAGTCCGCAGGGTCGACCGCGTCTAGCAGAGCGTCTAGTGGACCACGCAAGTTCTCGCCGGAGCTGATCGAGACAGCCAAAGGTTCATACAGACGTGTCCACCCATCCACAGCCGAAAGCAAAGCTCCTGTACCTCCTCGCCGGCCGTCGTCACCGCGTCCAGCATCACCACGTCCAGACTCGGACGCGACACCGAGAATCGACCCAGCCACTGGGCTTGAAGAATCACGGTTCTCGGCGGCTGCGCTCGCTCGCAGACGGCCGGACACCTCTCGGCAGCATTCGTTTGTTGTTCCTGACCTGCCTATGATCGAGTCAACCACCGAAGATGAAACCTCCTCGGCACCATCGCTAAGTGAATCTCCCTCGTCGTCAGTGTCGACAGAAAACAGACAAGAAACCAGTCGTCCTCCTATAGAATCTAGCTATACCGATTACGTGCTTCGGTTGGCCGCCGAAACAGTAAGCGAGAAAGAGCTACAAGAGCAGGCCATGGCCGCATATATCAATGAGAGACCATACGAACCTGTCGACCATTTTGCCTTCACCCAGGAGGAGGAAGAGGAAGCCGGGTCGCTAGCCGTACCCATGTTCCAAGGCGAGCAGGGCGTCGATGTACAAGTATTCCGACGGTCATCGGCTGCGGAATTGCACCTGGAAATGCGGAGCATGCAAAGACACCACGAGCAGCTCGAATCAGCCAAAAATGAGTTGAAGGCAGACACAGCCGGTCAAAGTCGATTTAGTGCTGCTGCGCTGGCAAGCCGTCATGCCCTTGAAGCCAAGGGGGCCAACCAAGCCAAAAAGGCCAGAGCTGCCGAAGAGGATTCGGAATTGGCTCGCATGATGAAGGCAGCATCTCCGCCCATGCTGGGAGGTAGCCTAGTCTTTCCCTTCACCATTTCGCCCAAAATGACACGTTGTGATCCTGACCAGCCACCGAGACCGCGCACGGAAAACAGCGGCGACGAGTCCATGGACCAAGATAATGTGCAATTGTGGCACTCACATAAACGACCTGAAAACAACGCCGATGGCGGTCTGTGGATGGGAATGTGTAAAGTCGGAATGTGGCAGCCGGTCAATCATCAAATGGATGGACTGAGAACTGGGATCCAAACGCCGGCTCCCCTGAGCCCCGTGATGGAAAGAAACAACCCCTTCGACTCCATGACGCCCGGCCGGGGCAGACAGACGCCGGCCGGAAGGCAGCAGCGGTACTCGGGCATGAATTTCCTCCCTCTTACGCCTCCCCGCAGCACTGACGGTGATGATGGGTTCACCAGCACGATCGACAAGAAGTTGCAGTTGGAAAAACAGATCGATGAAGAGTTCCCCCCGCGCGTCATCACGCAGATCTACAATTACCTGAGTCTCGGATATCCCAGTCTTGCTCACATGTTCGACGAAGAATTGAGCAAGATCAGCCGGATCCCCGTCGAAGAGCTGAGGAGGGACGACAACCTGGCCGATGCAAAGGGTTATGTTGGGGCGCCCGAGGGTGACGGCTGTCATGAAAGTGAAGTGGTCGGCAAGTGCAAGCGGTGGGAAGCCTTGAGGTTATATGTCCGAGAGTGGGCTCGACAGAGTCCCAATTTCTTGCACGAGTCCATGGGACCCGTTGTGATCAGCGCAAATGATGATTGGGGTGCCCGTGCCAGAAAAGGAAGCTGGGGATTTTAAGCGTGGCCCTGATTTTGTTCGTTATTGCAAGCCACGAACAGTCAAAACGCTGTCCTCTACAGTCCACGCGGCTACTCTATTGCTGCCTGGTGCTCTTTGGATTGCCATCGGGTTGGTTGTTGGGCCCTTGTTACGCTGGTCGAACCAGCATGCTTATCGTCCAGATTCATCTTGCGGCCTACTCCCAGCAAGATTCATTGGACTTGTTGGAGCGGAGACGAAGAAGCATCATACCAGTGTCAAGGAGGAGGTTGGAAGAGTGTCATCTTCAACCTTGTCATCCATGATATCTTACAGAATTTACAATGACTTTTGGCCCCGGAAGTGGATCATGGTCCAGGGAGGAATTGATTTTGAGGGGCGTGGCGGAACATGTCAGCCTACTCGAGGCGACACCACGCAGAGTGAACCCGAGTGAAGCGAAGAGACTCGAGACCAGATATACGGACAGTTTGTCCGAGGGTATTCATATATTATTCATATGCATACCAACTTTTCCTGTTGGCCCATGGGCACATTTATCATACATATACATATACAGTGTCTATGGCGTTGACGCAACGTATCCAGTCTAACGATGAGTGATGAATGATTAGAATGAAGTTTGACTCCCACCGCATGACAGCCTTTGAGTTTCTGTGTTGACGTCTAGGTATATATCTGAGATTGAAATTTGAAGGTGCAGAGACGTCAGCTGGTACTGCTATCCTTCTACTTGCCTTCTAGGTACTAGCTAGGTATCGAGCAGCCAGGTCGACAGGCAGAAGGCAATATACCTACATTCAAATCTGATGACTGTGAGAGTTGAAGTTCAAGTTGGGGTCAGTCAGTCAACGTTGCCTTGCCCAGCAACTTGACAGCAGGGATCCAAGAACCGCGCCACAGCCACAGCTCTTGCCTGGGAAACTTGAACAGGGGAACAAAAAAGGCAACTGGAAGAAAGGCAACGGGAAGGAACTTGAACCGGTGTACCTCGAAAGAAACAAAGCATTCCCCTTTCAAGTCAGCAGCATTTTATAGCGTGCACAGCCACAAGCCACCTTTATCAGTATCAGCCTGAGCAGCAGCGTCATTGTCATCTCACCATCAGCTCGACAAGGGACAGTTCGAGCGGGATGAACCTGGGATCAATTTGATCCTGACAGCCTGTTCTTTGGCCCCATCTCCCTTCCATACCACCTCCAGCTGGCAGAGCAGAGCATGGCACAGTGCTGTAGTGCCCAATTCCTTTCATCGACCACCGACCGCCGACCACCCCTTCGGCAGAGTCATCTACGAACTGCTACCAACCTGGTACCCTCGACAAGGATACAGTTGAGAACCACCTAGGCACCCGAGCCAGGGGGCACACCCTAAGGGGATGCCAGAGTGTGTCTGCTCACTCGCTCGCTCCACTGTCTTACATAATGAACGCTTGCAGTTATCACCGTGATTGTGCAACAGCTGGCTTTCCACTCGCTGTTTCCCGTCATTGCACTGGAATGGGTGTGAGTATCAGTGCCAGAGACTGACTGGCTGGCTGGCTGGTTGACCATATGACGGCCAGCCCGCCGACTACCGGGAACCTGGTATCTATTGGAATTGGTCAACCGAGCCGCTTGCCGGAATCGCCAACCGTTGGTATTCTGGTTTCGATTCTGTCTGGTACAATTGTTAAGCACTCGTTCCTGTATTTGGATGACGATGACTGTCAGGAGGTCGAGGTAATGTAAAGCGCCCTGTCTGATTCCCGTTTCCACACCTCCCTTCCAACATCCACCCACGCTTCCGGATCATGCATGCGTGGGCACGTGAGATGATCCCTGATCTAAACCCCCGTTCGAGGCTCAGTCGTCGGAAACCCCCGACGGGCCTGCCGGCAATCTTTTCTAATAGACGAATTGCTGTCCACTTCCCCGGTTCGAGCTTCGCAACCGGCCAGCCTTGCATGGGTCCAGGAGGCCCAAATCACCTGGCTGCCTGATCAGGCAGACCAATAGTACAGAGAATGGGTCGCTTGCTTAGATCTAGACGAATGACGTCCACGGGCGGCTCAGCCCGATTGAACCATTGTGAGCGCGTTTTATTCTGCATCTCTCAGCCGTGCATGGACTCGAAAAGAAGAGATCCCTCCCCTCTCTTCCACAACTGCCCTTGCATCCGGGTACAAAGGTCGGTCCAATCACCATTTGTACCAATCTGTTTCTTGTCTGATACCCGTGACTGAAGTCAACACACCGTTGCTCAGAACACAATACAACACACCGCCGCCGCGCCCGTCTGATTAATGGGGTCGAGGCCGGCTGGGTGACGGGACAAAACCAGCACCAGCAAAGAAATCAGCGGACCGGAACCACACAGCCTTGATGATGAGACCCCCGGCCGACAAAGGATGAATCCTGCGCCGCTCGCCATGGGTTTCATTCTTTTATCTTTCAGTCGGAACTTCTTGTTGACTCATTCTTGCCGACTTGAATATAAGTTCCCGAAGAACATCTAGCCATACCTCTTCCCAGGTCACCCGTGGACTATATAAGGCACGGCCCCGCCTTTGTTGCCGCTTGACACGACTTCGAACTTCATCGTTTCGTTGTGATCCAACCCCTTCACATTATATGGTTAGCAGCTTGCCATCTTGGTCATCCATTCCGATCCAGCAAAGCCTCCCTTCATTGATTGAATGTTCCATCGACGTCGTCAGTCTTCACCGGACCCGGTTATCATCGAAAGAAGGCCCCAGGTGCGTACCTACCGTCTAGTCCGACCAATATCACCGAAATGAACTCAGTTAACAATCGGAGCAAAGCTTTTCAATCTGGTTCGCATTCGAAAGCCAAAGGTTGAAATCATCGAAGAATCTCCTGTCCGGAGTCGTCGTTCGGGCCGTCGTGCTCGGGCACCATCCCCATCTCCATCTCCTCCACCACCACCACTTCCTCCTCCTCCCCCAAGAGGACCGTATTATACCATGTCTCCACACCTGCAGAATGAGGTCTATACCCCACTGCCACCGAAGCTGCCGCCAAAGCCGAAACATCACAATGATGACCCCATTGATCACATTGTTGAAGAGAGGTCGCCCCGGATCCGCAAAGTCCGAGTCATCCATGACGATCCAGACGCACATCCTCATGTGGAGAGACCGCCGTCCCGAGGACGGCGTAATAGCGGGAAACACCATGTCGCGGACCCGCCGATGGCGGCAGGCGGACCTGCTCGACCCCAGTACCAACATCGTCGACCGGAGCCCGAAGTAGGTCAACTAATTGACGATTTGGAAAGAGAGCGGAGAGAACGGCGTGAAGCCGAGAGACTAGCCGCGGCGGCCGAAGAGGAAGCCAGGAGACTCAAAGCCGAGATGGCCCGTGAAAGGCGTCAAAGATCACTCGAACGCCGTGAGCGAGACCTTCTTGAAGTTGAGAGGCGACTCATGCTGGAGGAGCAAGACCGTCTAAGGGGACCAGTGAGACGCCCTCGTGACCGCGGTGACGTTGTTGTCGTCCAGCCTTCCTATCCTGTCCTCCATCCTCCATTGACCATCACGGGCCCCGGTGCCCGTCCCTCAGCAATGGATGCATTGGATCATGCCCGTAAGGACTATCGACTCGCGCATCCTGAGTTGCATGATCATGATCCACGACGTCCCATTGGTGGGGAGACACGTCCCCGCCGACGGAGCGTTGTCATCGTTGATGATGACAGAGACAGAGACAGGAATAGGGGCCGTGGCCGTGGATTTTGGTAATATTTCCCGGTTCTCTAACACAGCCGAGGAGGATGCATGAGAGAAACATAACAGCGGCGAGGAAAAAGAATAAAAACAAAAACAAAAAGAACAAGAACAAGAATAGACGGGGTATTGTGGAGATGACAAAGCTGCAAAGCAAGGCAAGGACATGGCGCCATGGAGTTTGATTTCATGGTTATGTCGGGAGTTCAAGTTGTTTGAACTGCGGGATATTTGGGCTCAAAAACATAGGTATGAGCCGACGAACCTGACTTGACTTAATTATAGGTCTTTTTGGAGCCTGTTGCACGTTGAGGCAAACTCTCGTCTGTCATTACCACACGCCACACAAAGTGAACAAGTATGGCAGGAGAGCCATCCGCTCTGTTCAACAGGGATGTTGATGGTGGGTTATATGAGAACGTTGTCCTGAGAGGAAGGCGGTCGCACGAGAAAGAAGGAATGCAACTTGATCATGTTGTGCCACCTCGATGTAGCTATTGTAGTTATCTAGTAGGTACCAATACACCTCCAGGACCTTACCTTTGGCAGGATTCGCCTTGGCTAGGATCAACAGTCGAGTGGAGCGGTTGAACAAGGACGATCAGTTCGAATCTCGGTACAGAGCCAGTAGTACCGTGTAGTGCGGTACTAGTACTTGGATGAGATGAGATTTATATTGATCCTGGTCATAGTCGAAGAGGGTGAGGGGTGGTAAAAGTACCCAGGTACCGTATAGCGGGGAGGTTTGCCCAAGGTTCAACTTCTGGCCAGACCACGCTTCGAAGTTGAAAGTGGGCGACTCGATTCAATTTGACGGCGCGCGTGACCCTGCTGACCTTTCAAACACTGCTAGGTCTATAGCTACCACGCTACTGTATATACCCAAAACCAGAATGTAGATCCCCAGGACCAGGTAACTTCACGCCTCACTACAGCATTTCACGCCCATTGCAGCCTCGAATTCCAATTGTACAACAGAGGCGAGTGAGGCTGGAAGTGAGGACTCCATGGGAATCGACTCAAGTTGTGCTCCTCAACCTCGGTTGAATAACTCTTCGTTCTGTTTGTGATGTGGACACCCGAATAATATTGAAATTGGCTACCATTGATATCTCTACGCTACGACGCTCGCTACCACTACAACTACATATCTTTCTGACGCACTGTCCTCGCAACGGCCAAAGCAGTGCCGAAAGATAAAAAATTGAATCCAGGCAGCCTGAGGATTGATCGGCCGGTAAATCAGTTCATTGATCAGCGGCTTTTCCACAAATCCCTTTGTTATAACGACACTGCAACAGCAATACGACTACTATCAGCAACGCCTGACAACCCGATTCCTGTTTGGTGGACAACGTCAGTCAGCCTCGACTCCTTCTTATTATTACTCCTACTATCACTGTACAGTGTTCGAGTTCGTCGTCCTCCTCCTGTTGCCGTCATCCACGCGCCCCGACGACCTACTCAGCTCTCCACCGCATTGCGTCAGATCTTTCCAGGGTCCGCCAGTCCTCGCTGATCCTGGTCCGATCCAGAACTTCAACTTTTGCGCCAGTCAGACTTGGTACATAGCTTTAACAGCTAACCGACTGCGCCCTTCCCATTCGAGTGGGCTGTCGAGGGGAGGCAAAGAGGAGGAAAGAAAGAGACGACAGGCTTTGACTCTGAGTACAGCCGACTGTCTCCTCCTGGCAAGGAGTATATTCATTCCTCTGTGCTGCCGCCCGCGCGCACGCTCATACGCGCGCTCGACCATGTGGCAGCCGTCCGGCCAGCCACCACACGCCCAATCGATCCTTGCCCTCTCCACGCCGTGCTTGATCGAGAAAGGTTGATATAAAGACAACGAAAAGATTTTGGGCGGGGTATAATTGAAATATAAAAACAAATACGATACGCCAACAGGAACAGACACAGCCTTAATATCACTACAGGACATCATGGGGACGCCCCAGGGTCAGGAGCAAAGTCAAGAGCACGGTCAAGCAGAGCAAGGAGTCCAAGCCACAACTACATCTACATCTGCATCTAATGGTACGCCGAAACTGCCGGCGCCGCCAGAGCCCGAGAACGACAAGGGCATCTTCCCACCGTCGATTAAAAGTCCATCTCTCGAAGGCCTCGAAGGCCTCACCCCGGAGACGGTGGACATATTCCATCTGGATGCGGTGGCGGCCTTGAAACTGCTCTGCAGGAGCATTGACAATCTGGTTCAGTTGACGGGCAACGTGCCTCCGACGCCTCCAGTACAAAGCCGGGGCACTTCGCCAGCCCCAGCTCCGGGGGCTTCCAAACTGCGCGAATCCACAACGGTGACGACGACAACAACACCACAAAAAGAGAATATCGTGCTGCGCGTGCCGGGCACGACGACATCAGGTTCACTTTCCCATAATACAGGAGGATTCCACCGCCATCAACCCGAACACATTGACGGAGTATCATTTGTGAACACACACATCGGCTCGCCCGAGGCGCATGCCCACGAGCCCACATTACTGGCAGCGGACCAGGTGGTCATTGGCGCGCACGCGCAGCCGTTATACATGCAACACGGCGCACTTGCACGGAAATTCTACTCGAAACGTCCACCGCCCATCTCGATCGAAGACTACCTCATGCGCATGCACAAGTACTGTCCGACCTCGACGGCCGTGTACCTTGCTTCGTCGCTGTACATCACCCGTCTGGCCGTGCAGGACAAGATCCTCCCCGTCACCCCACGCAACGTGCATCGTTTGCTGTTGGCCTGTCTGCGTGTCGCCATGAAGGCCCTCGAGGACCTGTCGTGGCCGCACGCCCGCGTCAGCAAAGTCGGAGGTGTGTCTGAGACCGAGCTTGGGAGACTCGAAATCACGTTTTGTTATTTGACCGACTTTAATTTGAAAGTCGATGCTGCCATGTTGCAGCGTGAAGCGCAGAATCTGTGTCGTCACAATCGGTTTGATTCGGTCGTCCTCGAGAGTCCGCTGAGTCCTATTGACATGCGTCTTCCTGAGGAGACGACGGATAGGAGATCAAGGGGTCCAGAGAAGAGGAAGGCCAGTAGTACGTTGGCCGGCAGGCCGGTGGTTCAAGTCGGCACAGGCATCGAAGTCATGGGAAAATCCTGACCTTGATTTGGTCGACACGAGTTTGACACCAGGTTGGTTTATCATTCAAAGCGTTTGTCTAACGTTGGATGGATCTTGGATTCTTCTATCTCGGAACGGAATCACGCCCAGCAAGCGTGGCGGACAGGTTTCAAAATTGGTGTCATTTGGTTGGGAAAACCTAGCGTCAATTGTTCGGATTCCTAGTACTGTACTTCAAGTCTGGTGTGGGAGATGTGTTTTTTTTTGGATCACATATGTGCGGACAGATCCAATGTCATTTCTGTTTGCAATATTGGAGAACAGTCGGAACGAAGGACAGTCCAAACGGCAAAATCTTGATGCACAGAAGCATCGCTCAACTACGCCCTCCTCATATAATATAATTTCTGCCGCGTCCATGAGCCGACCTTGGTTCTCATTTCCCCTGCCATTATAACGCGCCTTGGAGTCTTCCCAACTCATATTGGGGTATCGCGTCCAGATTCTCTTTTCCTCGGTCTGTCGGTATGTACTACTGTATGTAGATCAGTCGATTGATCGACGCAAGGCGGAGACATAATTGTTCAATCTGATGAACCTCGACAACCGTGGGGAAAATGCCACAGTAGAGCTAGCCATGGTGGTCTTCCACTAGGAGAAAGACAATGTCAACGCCGCGTGGTCTTGCGGCATTACAGCCTCGGCGCCCGCGGGATCCTGTCGACCAATACTACAGTGTACATTGTACTTTGGTCATGAAGGAAGGACCTTTTTCGAATTTCACAAAGAAGATGAACCTCGGCAGCCAGGCAAAGAGTCCTCGCGACATTATTGGCAATTCGTCGCGGCGTGATGGCGCCAAAGTTCCAAGGAAACCAAAGGCCGTGGAGAAGAAATGCCATTGTTGCTAGAAACGCTGCACATCCGACATACTCGAGCCAAATCGGATCCGCAGCTTCGCCTCGTACGGTGTGGGAAGTGGAAACGAGGAAGAGGGAATTGTCAGCGGTTCGGATCGGGGAATTAATGAAATATCGCCCTTTTCCAATTTTATTATTTAGCAAAAGCAGTGATCGTGGTCCAAGCCAGGCGGTAAAGAAATGCCAGCCGTGTCAGCAATAAAGAGTGGCCCTGGTTGTCTCGTGTTTGTCGGCAATCGGCGGCGGGACAGAAAGACAAGCAAATCGAAGACTGATCAAGAACACTGTGCGAAGTTTATGAAAGCATGGCGCAGGCTTAATCATACGTTTGATATGACTTCTCTTCACCTTTTGCATCAGGCTGGCTCTTATCACTCTTCTATATACTACATAACAGTACCACGACATACAGTGTACAACTCACTGTCGAAATCCCATCGATTGCAGCGTTCTCCGCAGACCTATCTCCCACTACCGCACCTATACTACCTAGGTACAGCTAGTAGTAGTATCCATGGACCTCCTGTCGAAATACCCGATACCACCTCAGCCCACACTAGTCACCGCTACCGCCGCCGTTACTACAGCTGACGCACGCACAACTTGAAAATGTGTACAATGTACCTTTTAGCGATCCTACAGTATCCCCATCTTCCTCGGTCGAGAACAAGCGATCCACACGTTGCCTTTCTCGCAATGACAGCCCAGCGCGATTGGCTCACCGCAAGAAAAAAGGAGGCTCTCGTGGACGGGCTTGCATCGCGCCCTCTGCCGCGTTACCGTCGCCTCTGTTGTGGAGATGGGCCCGGGCGCGTGACACGTTTGTGCGAGGCCCCCATATGCCTCTCCTCTCTTTTCTCAAGATTGGAAATTCTTTCGCACTGGCTTCAAACCTGACCCAACCTCCCCCAGACCAAACCACGCCAATTTGACTTGACCCCAGAGTCAGTCCCGTCGTGGGGTTCAAGAACCGCACCGGCTCGAAATCGAAGGATACTGTTAGCCAAGTCGCCAATCGTAAGTCAGAACTCTCCCCGGACTCGCGAGGTTGTGGGAACTGGATTCAAGAATATAAAGATCAGCTGATCTGCCCCGACCGACAGACGGGTCTGGGATTGTCCTGTCCTTCTTACTTCGACCTCAATCAACTTTACATCCTGTCGTCTCTGGGGATTGTCCTGTGGTCTGGTCAATTCGATCAGATATTGCGGCTTTATTTCAAGTAGCGTTCGCAGCCATCGCTTGGCATTGACTTTTCACCTTGAAGTTGACCCACTACCAAGTACAAGGTGAAAACTTGAGGACTTGAACGTCGCCATCATGTCCGAAAAGGCCGAAGTCGAAGACAACATCATCGAGCCGTATCCCTCGCGCGGCACACCAGACAACCCACTCCATTTCCCAGCCAAGGACCACCTAGACACGTCGTCCAAGGCCGTCGACGAAGTCGTTCACAATGCCCAAAGAGCAACCGAGAAGGAACACAAGATGACCTTGTGGCAGGGTATCAAATTATACCCAAAAGCCGTGGGGTGGAGTGTCTTGATCTCAACCTGCATCTGCATGGAGGGGTATGATCTTTGTTTGTTGAGCAATTTCTGTAGGTTTAGCCTCTCTTCACCTCTCTTCTCCTCCCCATTCCCATCTAACAAATGTCTCTCAGACGCATTCCCCCAATTCCGCCGGAAATACGGCGAACAGCTTCCCGACGGCACGTACCAAATCACCGCCCCCTGGCAAGCGGGACTCAGCAACGGCGCCAACGTAGGCGAGATCATCGGCCTCTTCATCAACGGCTACATATCCGAACGCTTCGGCTACCGCTACACCGTCATGACCTGCCTAACCCTCATCATCATTTTGACCGCCGTCTTCTTCACCGCTCAAACAGTCGTCTCGTTGGAAATCGCCGAAATCCTCTGCGGAATCCCCTGGGGCGTGTTCCAGACATTAACAATCACCTACGCCAGCGAAGTATGCCCCGTCGCTCTCCGCGGGTATCTAACCACATACGTCAATTTCTGTTGGGGCCTAGGCCAAGTCGTGGGCATCGGCGTGATCAAATCCATGCTCCACAGACAAGATCAATGGTCGTACCGCATCCCATACGCCCTGCAATGGATGTGGCCTGTCCCGCTACTCATCGGCGTCCTACTCGCGCCCGAATCACCATGGTGGCTCGTCCGTAAGGGACGACTAGCTGAAGCGAAGAAATCGTTGTTACGCTTGACTTCATTGAACCGCGAAACCGATTTCGACGCCGACGAAACCATCGCCATGATGGTGCATACGACTGCCCTCGAGGAAAAAATCACAGCTGGTGCATCCTACCTCGACTGTTTCAAGGGCACGGATCTGAGGCGGACCGAAATAGTATGTATGGTCTGGGCGATTCAGAACTTGTCCGGAAACTCGTTCTCGGGGTATTCGACATATTTCCTCGAACAAGCGGGCCTCGAGGAAAGCAAAGCATACGACTTTGCCCTGGGTCAATATGGAATCAATATGGCCGGTGTCTTTGGGGCGTGGTTCCTCATGACTTGGGGCGTGGGACGCCGGTCGTTATATCTTTACGGTCTGTGTGGTCTGTGCACCATGTTGTTCATCATGGGCTTTTTGGGCCTTGTGCCGGAATCGCATCGCAAAGAGGCCAGTCTCGCGACGGGATCCATGATGTTGATTTGGGCCCTGTTTTATCAACTTACCGTCGGGACGGTGTGTTATTCGCTTGTTGCGGAGTTGTCGACTCGTCGTTTGCAGATCAAGACGGTCGTCCTGGGGAGGAACTTGTATAATGTCGTGGGCATTATTTGTTCGGTGCTGACCCCCTACATGTTGAATCCCGGAGAGTGGAATTGGCGCAACTATGCGGGTTTCTTCTGGGGTGCGATTTGTTTCTGTTGTATTATTTATACTTATTTCCGCCTGCCGGAGCCGGCGGGCCGCAGTTTTGCAGAGTTGGATTTGCTCTTTGAGAGGGGCGTGAGTGCACGCAAGTTTGCGACTACGTCCGTCGATGTCTTTGATGAGGTTACGGTCCATGAAACTGTCGAGGGGACGGGGACGATCAAGCATTATCAGGAGAAGAGGGGGAGTTTGTCGCATGGTCAAGGGACTGGGTTGGCTTAGTTGTGCTGGATTGACTCTGCTTGAATGGATACAGCGGCAGCTGTGTTTATTATGCCACGACTAGACTTGCCGGGTTCTATATGTTCACGAGGAAGATAGGGTATATAACAAACAGTATAGTACTCCACAATTCACACTCGACCCGACGAAAGTTATTGATCAAGAGGTTTTCGTTTTTCATTTTCTTGTACATACCTTGGTACTACTACCTACTGCCAGGATAGGATATAGGTACCAAACCAAAAACCGACGGGACACCAGTTGACCCCGTTGCTCAAGTTGGATATCAACCACACGACTATGCCCCTCATCCAACAATGGCCATCCATCATCTTGGCCATTACTGCCACCACTATCACAACCATCATCCAATCCAGTCTATACCAATAGCTTTTTGGCATGCATTCAATCCGATAGCTCCGCTCCGCTCCGCCCTTGGTTGATTTTCCTCGTCTCTCTGCCGTTCAATCCGACAACTCCGTCTTCGCTTGAATCTCCTCGTCCTCTCTGACCTTCAGCTTCGCCAGCGCCGGTTCAAAATGTTGACTTGAACTCATACTCCTGCTCATGCCCAAGTCACTGCCACCTGTATCCTGTCCGGCTCCGGCGGTCGCTCCCCCAGCAGCATTCATCATATCCGAATGACTCGAACTGACTCGTAGACTTCGTCTCCGTTCACGCTGGTGCACGACACCAGGGAACGCACGCGGTTCTTGGCCTGAGATATGTGCGTCGGGATGATAATAGTGCTGCGAGGAAGAGTGGGTGGCGAAAACGCCGGACATGGTTCGGGAGCGGGTGGGAGATGTCGATGTGCTTATGCCGCTTATACCGATACCACTGCCACCACCGCCAGCATTATTGACATTTGTCGCGCTGCTGCGGTCGCCCCCTCCTGCACCTGCTCCTGCACCTGCACTCGCTGCCCCAGGAGTAGTAGGCATAGACATCGACGCACTCGACCTCAAATGCAAAGGCAACCTAGCAGATTGGGCGGGAGCAATTGACGCTGACGATTCGACACTGCCAGTACCATCACCAATCCCCATCCCAGCCGTTGCAGCAAAGTACTGTCTCGGCGACTCGAGGCCCCTATAAGCCTCTTCAAGCGGCGTATTCTGGTCGCTCGGATCCGGCAGATTCGGCGTACAGCGCGCGAAATGGGTATAATCGTTCGTATATTTTGCGACAAAAGCATGTTCCGCCTTCAGAGTTTCATGGCGAAACGCCTCCCTCACATCGGGGACATTACATTTCGCCACATCATTACCCAACACACCCGGCAAATAACAATATTTGCCCAACCAGCGTTGTTTCAACGTCAATTCAAAGCCGCATTGGTCGACGGAATGTTTGGCCAACTCGCACATTTCGACATTGCTCAACTTGTAAATCTGCGCGGCGACCGAATACTCTTCGATCAGGGGCTCTTTGGTGAACGCGAATTGCAGCGGGTCGTCGGTCGACAGGGACACGTTCAGGCCCTTTTTGAAGTAACTGATGAACGGGTTGCGGTCGTATGTCAAAAACAGCGCGTTGTTGGACAACGGTGACATGGCGACTCCGATCTGCTCCAGGTAGAAAACGTACTGGATCAGCGGGACTTTGCGGAGCATGATGCCGTGCGCGATGCTGTGACAGCATAGAAATGCTGCTGCAAGATGATCCGTGTCGCCTGCCTCGCCACAGTGAGGTCGAAGCAAGAATGTGTTGAAGCCTCTCCTTTTGCGCCATGCGTTTAGGGATGTCATGTTGGCGAACAAGTAGTAAATCCAGTACCCGTATGGTGGGTTTTGTTTGGTGTTCCATTCCTTAGGGGCTGGGAATTTGCGGTACAGTCGGCGTTCCACTTTGCTTTCGTCGTCGACGCTGTCGAAGCCGATGACTCGTTGCAGAAAGACGTGTAGTTTAGGGTTGGTTGATGGGTCCTGTGTGACTTCGAATAGTGGCTGGAAGATGTTCTTGATCAGTGCTTCGAAGTTTTCCATCGTCTTCATCGATTTGTAGAGTGCGTAGAGTCGTGGGATCTGGATGAGCCATCGCACGTTGTGGGAGAAAAGCTTGTTGTCTACCACCCATGCGGCCAGCTTGTCCCATTCGTTGATGTCTCGTCCGTATATACTGATTCGCCATTCGACCTGCAAGACATAATCAGCACTTCGTAAACGTAACCCAAAAAACTGTTTGTTCAAGGGGTCATGTAACTTGCTTACCATTTGATACTTGCTCGACTCCAAGTCGGAAATGACCTCGCGCGTAATCTCCGCCAGATACCGACCTTTGATGAAGTTGTCCGTCTTGAGGAATATCTCGCGAAGCCGTGACTGGCCGATCGGGTTGTATTTCAGATTGAACTTGTCGAATCGATGGAACGAGTCCGTATGGGCATGCATATCCAGAGTATCAATACTCAAGTCGTATGCCGTGAGGTTGATGCTTTCAAAGACTTCCCGCAATGTCAACTGTTTTCCGTCGCGGTCGATGACCACTTCGTCAGGGCATTTCTTCATCTTGCTCTTGATGAACCGCAACAGATGTTTCTGGTTCATGCATGCTGAATGGTGCACGTGCGTGTCGACTTTCCGCACATTGTAAAAGTCTCGATGGGGCACTTTCTTGGTATCCGCCACTTCTTGGTATTCATTCAACAGCGTGTACAGGTTATACCGCCCTTCGAGATACTGTAGGCGACGATATGCAAAGCTCTTGGCTGGTCCATCAGAGGCCAGATCAAGAATTGTGTCAAGGGCGATGTAATAGTCTCGCAGCGTCGGCACCGCTACCAAACCCTGCCCATGTTCATCATATACTTGATATACACTTCCCTCGTCCATTTCATACCGCACATTGTAATCCTTTGGGGGGATGTAGCACTCGTTGAGGTCGAAATCTTCGCCGATTGCTTGACCGGGCTTCCGGGCCTTTTTCGCACTGCTGGGCGATGCGGGACCACGATCCTGGTCTGCCTGATCGGTGTTCGTTCCCGTGCCGCCGGTGCCCTGAGCATGAGCCCGTGTATCAGCCATGTACAGGCTGCTTGATGTGCTGTTGGGAGGAATATAGTCCTGCTGCGGCTCCCGCGCCTTCTGCTCATTCCACACAGGGTTTGGAGGAGGAGGATATATTTCCCAGGTCTCCTCGTCCTTGGGGTTCACGCCAGGGCACTGCAGCGACACTCTGATATACTTCTGTCGAAGATCCAGCAAGGTCTTGATCTTCTCACAAATAGCGCGCACTTCACTAACGATACTCTCATCAGTGGCTGCCATCCCTCCAGGTCCGCTACCAAGACCCATGCCCGCTCCTGCACCATGGACACCTTCATGAGCCAGCAACGGGTCTTTGAACTCGTGGGGCAGACGAGGATGAAGCTGATGGCTCCGAGCCGCAGCATCTGCAGCAAGAGATGGAGACTGTTGTCCTTGTTGAACGGCGTTCCCCATCTGGGTCTGTAGACTGGGCAGGTCAGACTGTTTAGAAAAGCCTGACTGCTGCTGTTGCCCGTTTCCAACTTGGCTCTGCCTCGACGCGATGCTGGAAGTCCGATGCAATGACATGTCTCCCTCAAGCGAAGGGGGCATGGTCAGCGATCTGCCCAGCATCGTGGGGCTTTGCAAGTCCTTTTCCGATTTTGATTCCAGACGATGTCGCTGATAGATGAGTTTGGCATCGACGTACGTGTCACGCTTCTCGGTCGCATAGTGATAGAACGGGTGACGGACCTGGTCATCATCCTGGAGTTCATCCGAGGAGTGGGTGTCACCGGTGGCTGGAGTATTTGCATTGTGGTCGTCGCCGTCGCCGTTTTCAGGACGCTGCCTGGCGAGTGGTTTGCCGGACCCAGTCTGCTCATCACCTGGCTCTGGCTCCTCCCGCAACCCCGACATCCGCGATTTCCAGTCATAGACGTCATCCTCGTCGTCCGAGTCGACCGTCACACCATTCTGCGTCGTAGGTAGTGCAGCGTTGCGGCTGTCCATGACCCCCGCCGACCGGAACAGAGACGGACACGGACTGGCCCGGCTGATCTATGCAGACAGCCGGCCTTGTGGTCAGGAATCCTGCGGAGGGAAGTGAAGTCGGTTCTGGCTGCAAATCTCGTTGATAATAACACTCGACTCGACGTGAAAAGCTAGCGCAACAGCAGGCTGAAAACTCGACCTAGTACCTGTTCGATGACAATACTTTGTTGATGCGGTTCAAGTTGAGATCAGTGAACCTGACGTTGCATTGCAAAGTTGAAGTTCACTGCATGTCGCTGCTGAAATCTCTTGGCACTATCAGGAACGACGTAGGGTGACGACAAGGGGCCAACACGCGAAAGATACGGTAGATAACACTTTATCAATGGTCAAGCCACTGCAGTCTGCCTCCTTATGACTTCAGGCCTGGCACTCAATACTGCAAGGGATAATGTGGTGTAGATTCGCTCCATCGAGCGCAGACTTGACATTCGCGCACGCATCCCGCATCCTCGGCAAAGACCAATCATTTGGCCGGAAGTCGCTGGATAAGAATGTGGATTGCCTATTTGGGACAGTCGGGATACTCCATAGTGCATGGACTGTTGTATACATGTATGAGGTATGCGCGCAACACTCCTATCCGACTTGTGGCCCCAGAAGCACGTCTATCTCACCGCAGACAAGATACCAGCTCGCAACTAGACGGAGAAGTCTTTCGGGCACGCTGCGCTTGAGACTGAATCCCACATATCACCATGGATGTGAGACGTCTACTGCATCTTCCAATAGTCAAAACGAACCGCCCTCTCCTGCTCTTACCAACCTCCAGAGAAGCTATTCAGGTAAGCGATGCTGACAATGTATGAATCTATATCTCATACGGTACATCCCGGCCTGTTCCATGCGCGGATAAGTGGCCTTCCCACCCGATAACCCTATGCTTTCCTCCACTTGTCTGAACAACAATCTTTTTGTTGTCCACCGCTTCCTGCGAGCAGGAGATCCATATTTGCTTCAGCAACGCCTCCACGTACCGTAGAACCCTTTTGAGCACCTCAGCACGCGGCAGCCTATTCCCCAGAGAGAGTAAGTTCCATAGACACCATGCCATACAAGCACTCCTAAACACAACCATTGCCATATATCAAACAAGGATGGAAGACAAACAAAATATGGCACCTGCTCCACCTCCATCAATCGTCAACCCCACGCCGAGACCGTCGCCGAGACCGTTGAACTGCTCTGATAGCCTCTTCAGTGAGGATGTCATCCGGCAGCTCAAAGTCCTTCTCGACGAATTCAGGGACAGGCTGTCCAAAGGCCAATATAGTACGACCTCTTTGACGGCCAGAGACCGCGGCATCCCGCAGATGCCTTTTGGCAAAGAAAGAGACGAACGGCTTCGGCGGAGGCGGTGCTGGCGCCGCTGCGGGCGCAGAAGCCTTCTTTCTTTTGGTGGCACTCTTTGCTTCCTCGATTAGTTGTAGTGCTGCAAGGGCATCAAGTTCGCTAGAGTCAGGAGCCTGCGTGGTCTCACTCTCAACGCTCTGCCGCTCGTCAAAAGACGACTCAGCAGTGTCGTCCTCTTCTTCTTCCTCTTCCATAGCTTCTTCTAGAAGTGCCTGCTCTTTTTCAAGCTTTCTGCGTTTCTCTTCCTCTTTCCATCGTTTGAATTTGTCAATCAGAGCTTGTGTTTCTCGTATGAACAGCAACCGCTTCGGTTCATACCGTCTTTTCTCCGTGTCGGTGACCCCGCTGATCCCTAGGGTCTTCAGCCAGTCCGGACCACGTAGATCGTCCAACAATTTCTCCAACTGATACTTTTCGTGTTGAGCTCTTTCCCTGTCGCTGTTCTTCATCTGCTTCTCATGCCTCTCAGCCTTGGAGTGTATCTTCGAATACACCTCTTCACCTAGAGGGTCAGGGGCCCCGGCTGGTGTTGGGCGGTCAGGAGGTTTAAGTTCAATGATTTGGGTATTATACAAAGGCTTATTCGCGCCGAAGGGATCAGCCCTGGGAGGCTTTGGCACGAAATCCGGAGTATCATCGACGAGGATGATTTTCGTTTGCACTGTCAAGGCTTCTATGCAACGTCAGTCATGAATTTTAACGACAAACAACGTTGAACGCACCAGGGTCTGGAGGCTTCAAACTGAGCATCTCCTCAAAGTCCGGGAAGTACTGTGCGAGCTCTGTTTTGGCGCGAGAGCCGCCATCCTCAGACCGCAGTTTCCGCCTTTCTGCCTGCGGTGTAGACGCCGGCCCATCTCTAATGGCGGCCTTGGCCCTTTCTTCAATGATTCTGATCTGGTCATACTGTGGTTTGTCGCTCGGCGAGTCCAGCGGTTTGGTGGCGGGGGATGTGTTTATGGCGAGTTGCGGCAGCGATGCGTTCGGGGCGGCCCCCGAAGCTGGTGTGCCGACATTAGGTAACACCCCTCGACTGCGCAACGGGATCCGTAGTGCCTGTACTTCGTTCTTGTGGCTCGATAAACGGCGCCTTTTCAGATCATGTTGTTGTCCAGATGACACGGTAGAGGTCCGGACGCGTTTGGATCGGTGTGCATTCCCACTATCACCAGAGGGTGGGAGCAGAGGGGGCGTGTCGATGTTTGGCGGACTGCTGGACCTGGTTGACTTGTGACCTCGTAACGAAGGACGCCTCAACGACGACCTGGAGCCGGCCACCATGATATATGTTGATTTCGAGGGCTCATGATGCTGCAATGGCAGTTGTCTCGTAATTCTTCCCCGGTGGCTAGTTGTAGACCGATCACTCACTGCATTGATCCTGCTGGAGTTTGAAGCAAACTGCGCGTGTCGTCCGCTGTCAACGAAATGTGTCATTTGAAGTAATTTCCCAGGGCCACCAAAAGGACGCGGTACTGCTACACGACCAAGTACAATCCAATCTTTCAGGAGCCCACTACAATGTACTGCGGGTACTATAGTAGATCAGAGCATATAGATCTGTCTACAACGGTGCATCTTGACTAAATATGCCCCATACTTTGTCGTGCTTTCCGGATTTTACAACCGCGGCAGCCATGAGATGCGTACTTCGTGACTGTGGTCATGCCTCATTTATCTCTCACACAGAGCGTCTGAGGTCAGGGTGCGCGTATGATACGGGTACCGGTACAGCACAGAGCAAGCGGCTGACTGCAGATGACGTTGGATCTGTCAAAAACACCACGATATTGTGTACGTCTAGGTACTTATTATTGCCGTTTCGTGCACGGCGTGCGCCTTCAAGGCGAACTGGGCTATGTGAGAGCCCAACGCTCATGCTTCTACTATAGCTCGCTCACTTTTCCTGACCTTCAAAACTGCCAGCACTGGATCCCGTCCCCGTGTCATTGCTGGTGTCATTGCTGGGTGTGTCCTGATAGGTCTCTTCGTCGCTGTAGAGATCATCATCACTTTCCCCAGCAAAGGCATCGTACAATTCTCCACCGCGTCGAGCTCTCGACTTGCCGCCACCGCGGGAAGTCAGGCCTTGTTGTTCGTCCTCGTCGGCGTCGCCTACCATTTCAAACTCGTATGTGTCACGCGGATTGTTTCTAAGTCTCTTCCTTCGCTGGATGAGGAAGTAAACCCCCAATCCGGAGCAGAAGACAACGATCAGCACGATCGAGCCATATATCCATATCTGGGTTCGCTTGGAAACGCCGAAGGTGGGGAAGAAGGAGGGGAGAAAACTATCGGCATAGGTGTGTGTTGGTTCTGCCGCTGCTGTTGTCGTCGCGGCTGGCACCGACGTCGTGGCGGTTGTGGGAACACTGGCCGGAACAGTCGTGGTCGTATCTGTAGAGTCGCCCGGTTTTGGCCTTGTGGGTCGTTCGGGGTGATCTGTAGGTATTGCCGGTAGCGAGGTCGGCGGGGTTTCTGGGTCGACGCTAGTTGTGGTCACTACAGCGGTAGCTGTGACATGGTCGTCGTCATGTTCGTCAGGAAGTGGATGGAGGCCTTGTGTCTGAGGATCAATACACTCGCCCCAAAGGTTGAGCCGCCAGTCAATGAAAGTGCCATTGAACTCATTTTCCTTGGTGTCTTTAACGACCACAGTCCAGTTGCCAACGCCAGATTCGCCCCTAGAGCTTGTTAGCCCAATCGCCATTCCGCAATTCCTAGCTTGAACTTACCAATGAACAACCGACATAAAGGTCCAGTCGTCGTAGCCAGTTGTAGCGCCATCCGGAGGACGAGCGGTAGCAATATGACTGACTATTCCATTGGGGCTGATCAGATCGGCGCTCAAATCACCTCTTCTGGTATGCTCGACGTTCATTGTCACAGTGACATGCTCCAGCCTCTCCAAGTTCGCCTCTGTCAACATCTCTTGGGTGACCTGGAAACTTGCGGCAAGCCCTCGGTTACCCTGTGGAATGGAATGTTGAACGCTGATCCAGGGCGAATGAAACCAGGCTTGGGGCTTGACGGACTGAAATGATTTTGCAGCTTCCACGAAGCGATATGCATCGACTTTGCCATAGCCGTAGACGTGGCTGAACTTCTTCCCAATTGTCGTGTTTTGCCAACTCCCATCGTCTTCATGAATGGGAACAGCAGTGTCCACACATAGGTACTGTAAATCACGCCATGTCAGATCGGGTCTGACACTGAGTGCCAGGGCGACAGTTCCGACAACAAGAGGTCCGGCAGCAGAGGTGCCACCATGGCCACTATAGCACTTGTCAGGACCAACATCAGTTGTATGGATAGCATCATTGTTGCCTGAACTGTAGGTCACAACAAGCTGCGCAGAGCAATGTTCTGAATAATACGGATGATTACCATCCCGGTCAATGCCTCCCACGGTAATGGAGTAGATACTGTTGGTGTATCCGTCGAAGTTGCAGTTGTCTTCACTTGCAGCACCGTTTCCAGCAGCAAAGACGAACACAGACCCTAGACCACTGCGCCCGCTTTGTACTCCGTTTACCATAGCTCGCTGTATGAGAATGCCTGGGGCTTCCATGGTGGCGCCATCGTCCGGGGGACCCCATGAACAAGAATAGATCTGATTCTGTTGAAACTGGTAATTGATTGCAGTGGCTTCGTCCTCGTCACTGATGGGTTTCGACAAGATTCGAATTCCAGCGACCTTGCTGTCGTAAGCCATTCCTACACCACAGACATTGTTCTTGACGGCGGCGATTTCACCAGCACAGCGTGTGCCGTGTTTATCGTCAAACAAGCGCGGCCTGGGCTCAGGAACCTTTTCATTAAAATCGTAAGAGCCTTCAGCAAAGTAGTTGTCCTTGAGGTCGTTGCTGTCCATGTCCAAGCCGTCGTCAATCACGGCAGAAATACTGCCGTTGCCTGTGATGCCATCCAACCAGACCCCAGTGACATTCAGGTCATGGCCTAACTGTACTGGATTGAACAAATGCCACTGCTCTTTGAAGATGGGATCCTTGATCTCTAGTGCCTCTGCAATCGAGTCTAAGCGTTGCACTGCTTCCTTCTGTTGGGGATCAATTTCTTTATCAGCGCTTGCGTCCGTTGACTGAGGGCCGGCTCGGACAGCGACCGGAGGAGGTGGTGGGATTCGCTTGACAAGGCGCATCCGTAACTCTTGCTTTTCGGACCACAGGATACCACTCAAATCCACAGGCAGCTGTCCCTGCATGTCGACGCCATTGCTGTCGACTGAGCGCTTTTTCCTCCGCTTCCTCCGCCTTTGCAATTCTTGTATGGAGTACTCGAGATCTGGGCACGAGTTCTTTGGACAAGAAAAAGTGTAGTGGAAAGGAAGTTCCCCTACTCGTCCTTCATACTGCACTCCCAACCGTTGGGCCACTTCTTCGGGAACAGCTGTCGGATCGAGGTGGGCAGCAAAATAGTCATAACGTTCGTAATCGCGGCGACCGGCACAGGTGTGGCTGGCCAACAATAAAAGCGAAAGACATGATGGCCAACGCATGGTAGGATTTTGTATTAGGATTACCGAAGGACGACCAGCATGCCTTTCGATCTGATGGAGAGGTTCGAGGGCGTTTCGCTTATGGAGGACCGCAGGAACGAAGGAACGCCTCACAATAATGACTGTGTAACGTTGGGTCTGGATGATTTCGAACGGTTTTAAAATGCTGGTAAACGAGAAGTTGTCGGCAGGCGGCAACCCACAGGTCGTGAACGCCCAACCGCAGTCAGGGTCGGGTCCGTATCGAATGAAGGAATGGTACAAAGAATGCAGTCTGAACCTGTAGGAATAAAGAACTGCAGGCCCCTGAACGAATCTAGAAACTCCGAAGACAGTCCAGTTCAAGTTTCTGCGTCGTGCATATCGTCGACAGTACTTGACAGATGGGGCTCCCGTCTTGCTGCAGTCGCGGTTTGTATACCGTGTAAGCTTTGCAGCACGTTGTCCTCTTCTCTTTGGGCACGATGCAGGGATTGCGAATCCAGCAACTATGCCGCTGGTTAGTGCGCAGACTAGGCGGGCCCCAGTCCGGTTCTGGGCATTTAGGGGCAGCTATCTTGGTCCCTTAGGCGCCTCCTTCAGCCTCTAGAGCCGCGGGCCGCTCCCCTCCACCGTCCACGTCACTAGGTACCACTACTAGGAACATGTCCGCTGCACTGCTGGAAAGTTTGTCTCCAAAAACACGCTGCAGTCGGGAATCGACAACCTACCAGCTCATTTACCAGCCACGCAGAATACCATCCCATCCGTCTATTCCTTGAAGTCCGCTCTCTCAACTGAATCTGCTCTGCCTGCTGCGTTTTCTAGATTCTCTATGTGTCCTTGCTTCATTCACTTGTACATAATGTACCCATCACATAGCTCCCCACCTTAATTAACATTCTTCGTTGCCCATGTTGCGTCCTATTCACGTCCGCATCTTGCGATCCGACCAGTCCAGCCGTGTGATGCTCCTTGCGCACCTCGATTAGACTGCGGCAAATGTCCTACTTCTCTTCTCGTCTACTCGTGAGACTTTGATTGCGAAAAAGGCGTTGACTGCAAGTTGTTCGGCGGTCCAGACCCGTGCCCAAATGGCTACCTCTATGAACCCCGTTGAACTCTACCATGATCCATCTTTGGATGGCCTGATCGGCTTGAGCAGAACGAGAAGCTCACATAATGGTACAAGCCGGCGACAGAGCAAACTGTTAGCATCGGAAAGTCCAGAACCATCCGCTCAGCCCCCTCCGCTCGCACCTGAAGCTCCCCGCGGTCCGCCAATCTCCTACCGAAATTCCAGTTATGGTGAAGGCACTGCTCAGAGGTCTTTTGCTCAAAGGGCAAGAGGAAAGCCATACCATCGTGAGGCTTATGCGGATGTAGAGGATGATGAAGATGCTCAAGGAAGGATGAAAGCACAACAGCGGATCTCTGACGACAGCGATCACAAAAATGTCCCGTCAGGACCTCCTCGGAAGCCTGTTCCCACAGATGGTCTGCGTCTAGACACTGCGGGCATTGGTGGCTCTACATCTGGCAAGCCAATGGAGCGGGCCAGTCGCTCGGCGCAAGCCTCGGCGCGAGAGACAATGTTCAATGGGGACAGGTTCGCGCAACAGCATAGACGCGTCTCTGACACTCCTCGACGTACTGAGGAACCCGTCTCAGCTATTAGTAGGGCCAGCGCCTCTCGAGGCGAGGGTTCGAGACGAGAGTGGGCATCTGATCGATCACCGCTGCAGAAGCTAGAGGTCACCTTGACCGATATCAGCAAGGAGGAGAAAAGAGCAAGAGTGCAAGAGGCTGAGATGCTGTTGAGAGAGCGCGATGCCAACTCGAGACGTGATTTACCGACCTCGCCTCGAGAACCCACCTCGACCACCAGACAGCCACTACCCAGACGGGATCGGGCAGTGGGACCTGACGGTGCAGTATCTGAGGATGTCGGTGGCTCGAAGCAAAATGCGAGCAGTACTCAGCGGCAACAACTCAAGTCTAGTGTAACAGAGCACAACCGACAGTCTGATATGCGGACTCCAAGCGGTGCAAGCCATCCTAGTTTTGATTATACGCTCTCAAGGAAACTTCAGCCGGGCGCTGGTGGTCAAAACCGGCAATCCAGCAGCAAATATCGCAGGGACGATGGAGCTGGTCAAAGCACAGCCGAGAAGCCTTCAACGGGTCCCGAAGTGGCTCGATCCAGGGGTCAGCGAATCATGGATGAAAGTCAACACTTGGACAACCATGTACCCCAGATTACCGCACGGGCCCCCGGACCCCAGGCTCCATACGCCTCCGTCCGTCGCGATCCCACTGAACATCAAAGGAATGCCTCCCATAAAGCAGCACTGGAGAAACTGACGGGAGTATCTCCACCAGTTACCGTTGCTAGAAATGACTCTCGAAGGCTTCAAAAAAGCACTTCGTCAGGGGACGGCCGAAAAGCTTCTACTGGCAGTGGGCCCAGCAGGATTCCCGTTCCAGCTGCCGTGACCAGTTCAAGAGTTGCAAAACAAGAAGCATCGGGTCACGACTCGCGTCTACCAGAGTCCGACACCATTCGAACTCAGCAGGCACCGCTTACACCTCCAGTGGGCCTAGGGCTTCAAGCATCACCACAACCTAGTAGCCCACGATCACCGCCAACAAAGGTGGTTGATGTAACACGCCACCGGCAGCGGAAATCAAGTGTGTCGTTCAAAGAGCCTATGAGCCGCCGTCCCGTGGACGAGTGGAAAGAGGCTGGCACGGCAAGACTGACCCTCGGCGACTTCTCCACACAGCCTGATACCTCTGTTGATAGGGGGAAGACATGGTGGGAACAGTCTGGCAGTGCATCTGCCCGTCGACGCAGCAGGTCGACCAGAGTATCTGAGCAGGTTGCTACTGACGGCCCGATAGATGACAAGACTGCCGAATTCAAACCACGATTATATCTGCGGTGCGGACCACTTCTTCGATATACTGGCATGAGGAGGCAAAAGTCTGAAAGGGGCGCCGACCGCGAATTTTGGAGAGGTAGTGTATTGATCGTTACGCAGGACTCATACTCTTCATATGATCCTCCGCCAACACTACGCCTCTTTTCAAAACCTCAAAGCCCACTGCCTCCTCCGCCTCATCATGTCACTACGGACGAGCTGGAGCCTGAATATGTTGATCCCATCGCTGGCCTAACCAAGCTCTCGAGGACGGGGCGAGCATTATACGTTCGTCCTGTTGATCACCTTGAAGAGGGAAAAGACTTATCTCAGGTCGAAACGGATGATGGGCTATTTGAAAGCTCTCCCAGTCCTTCTGATATTGACAGATCGAAATCGACCAGCAGGGGAACTCCTGACCCTGATGGTGAGCGACTAGGCAGGTATCAGGAGGTTCAAGGGGCCAGATTGTACGCTGATCCAGACCGGGACGTGACTTTTTGGAGATTCAATCTCGAAGTTGAACTTGGCGAAAATCAGCAACACATCAATTATCGAATTAATCGTGGAGCTTCGGTCGGCTTCTGGGTCCCGGGCCGGGGAGAGACAATGAACATCATGTTCCACAGTTGCAACGGATTCAGCTTGTCTGTCAACCCGAACAATTTCAGCGGGCCTGATCCGATGTGGCGAGACGTACTGAACACACACCAGACAAGACCGTTCCACGTCATGATTGGTGGAGGCGACCAGATATACAACGATCGTGTTGCTATTGAGTCTCCACTGTTTGGCGAATGGACAAGAATGCGCAACCCGGCTCACAAACACCATGCGCCTTTCACAACAGAGATGAAGGAAGAGCTAGAAAGTTTCTATTTGAACCGATACGCCATGTGGTTCTCCCAGGGACTTTTCTCCATGGCCGCTAGTCAAATCCCTATGATCAATATCTGGGATGACCATGACATTATTGACGGATTCGGGTCCTATCCTCACCATTTCATGGAAACACCCATTTTCTCGGGATTAGGGAACGTGGCATTCAAGTATTACATGCTTTTTCAACATCAAAGCGTTCCCGAAGAGACGACAGCTCATGAGCCCAGTTGGATTTTGGGCCGAGAGCCTGGCCCATATATTAGGCAGCCGAGCAGAAGCGTCTTCATGCATCTGGGTAAGCACGTTGCATTTCTGGGACTGGACTGTCGTACGGAGCGGATGCGGGATGAAGTGCTGAGTGTGGACACCGTCGATACAATTCTTGAACGATGTCGTCGGGAATTGGTCGAAGGCGAGACTAAACATCTCATCATTCTTCTTGGAGTTCCGGTTGCATATCCTCGACTTGTCTGGCTGGAAAACGTCTTGACCAGCCGTGTAATGGATCCTGTCAAAGCTCTTGGTAGGGTCGGAGTTCTCAAAGGCGGGTTCCTCAACAAATTCGATGGAGGAGTTGAGATCCTGGACGATTTGGATGATCATTGGACGGCAACTCACCACAAACGTGAACGCAATGATCTCGTGCTCGACTTTCAGGATCTTGCCGCAGAAAAATCTTGCCGACTCACCATCCTCAGCGGTGATGTGCACCTGGCTGCCGTTGGCCAATTTCACTCCAATCCAAAGCTGAAAATCCCAAAGGACAAAGATCATCGTTACATGCCAAACATAATCTCCTCGGCCATTGTAAATACTCCGCCATCGGACATGCTGGCCGATATACTCAACCGGCGCAACAAGACTCATCATTTGGATAAGTACACGGACGAAAATATGATTCCTATGTTTACGCATGATGTTGACAACCGAAGACGGAACAACAAACACATGCTTCCGAGGCGAAACTGGTGTTCTATTCGAGAGTATGCACCAGGCTCAACGCCTCCGCCAACGCCGTCTCCGTCTGAAAGTCCGGATGTCTCAGATGACGAAGAAGAACACCAACAGGGGAGACCAGAACCTGGCCGACGACGTTTCTCGTTTTCCAAGGAGGATGTCAACCCACGAGCTCTCTTCCGACGGCTGAGTTCCAGGAATGCACCTCCCACGTCCTATCGGGACACGATGTATGAACAAGGTCGTTCCGCATCCCATGATGGTACTACTCATCCGCCGAAGAGTGCTTCCAATTCGCGCCAATCTTCGGGGGAATTTCAGGCCATCCCGGGCCGTCGTGCATCATCTTTTGACCAGGCTCCTGTGCGACCAAATATGTTGCGTCGTCCCACCAATCTGTCTGAAAGAGCCGCAAGAAAGGGAAATGTCCCTGCCGTCGATGCGGAGGGCAACGAGATCGATGTCAACGACCAGATTAACCTCGACGGTGGTCTGGATGTCGTGCTCAACGTGGAAGTCAATCAGAAAGATCCATCGGGGATAACCGCGCCGTATCGGCTGCTTATTCCAGCCCTGTGGTATGATGGCAGTTCTGACCGGGAAAAGCTGGATGAAGCTGCGGACGTCAAAAGGAGGTCAAGTCTGTTGAACAGATTTGTCAGCCAAAGACGTAGGAGCCATAAGCCCGCACGGCAAGGGGAAGGTAACTGGGGACAGGTGCAGAGTGATGACGAAAGCTATAGTGACAATGAAGACAAAACGCGGCTAGGGTCGACACGACGGCGGTTTAGTTTATTTGGTGGTGGCCGGGCACCGAAGAGAGTTGAACCAGAGAGTGATTCCGAATCGGAGTTTGACCATGATGAACTACCAGGCATGGGCGGGACAGGCCAAGCCGATCAGTCGTTGCAGCAAGTACCTGGTGGTGGTCCATCGAACACAGAATCTCACTTTCGACAGGATAATTATCAGAAGCCACAGCAGCAGCAGCAGCAGCAGCAGCAACGACAACAACCACTACAACAACAAACTCGGACAAATTATGTCCCGACCAACTCCAACTCCCACTCTCGACAAGCGGAATCCGGAATGTCTCAGAACCTGACCGGTCCACCAGGCCATGACTTGCTCTACGACACGGAACGTCGTCCCCCACCCAGCCACAGCCTCGAGCCTGGAAGTGGAAGTGCCTCGGGCTCTGGTGGCCGACGCTCGCTGATCATCAGATCTGCCACCGGCCCAACAGCGACGAGGCCTGGCACTGGCAGCGGTGGAGGATATTCTCAGCCCAGAAGCCCCAGTGACAACTGGACAAGTCAGCAATACCATGCAGCAGCTTTTTCTTCTTCTGCTGGGGGTGGTGGTGGTCGTGGTGGTGGAGGTGGTTCGTCGTCGTCTCCCATTACCGGGCCGGCATCTGCACCTCAACCACGCAAACTCAGCAAGCAGGAACGTATTCTTGGTATATCGGCATCCGACCCGCAACCGCATGATCCACCGCCGCATCTAGCGAGGGGAACAGGGGTTGAACAACGAAATACACCGCTGTCGGCCTACGATAATGTTTCGCAGCAACAACAACCGTATCGAGGATATTCTGGCGTCGAAGCTTATCAGGAACCCAAGCCGCGAAGGAGGACGTTTAGTTTCCGAAAAGCACGACAGTGGCTGGATGGACATGGAAGGCGGGAGGAAGGGCATGTTGAGTACGATTGAGTGGAAAAGGTCAGGCTTTGGACTTGTGTCAAAGCCCTACCCGCTTAACCATTATCACCAGGTCTATGTTGGATTGGGGGGCGGGGCAGCAGCAGATAACTCATCTACTTTATGCAGATGATGGTGATTGATTTCGGGGCTACGTTGGGATAAGCAATTTACTTGTTTGGTTACGGTACTAGCATTGGAAAGACATGAAAAATGGGAATTGGTCATTTCTTTCTTCATTTCTTGCAACAGCAGCAGTAGTAGCAGTAGTAGTAAGATAGCCCATCCCTCGAACTGTACTGGACGATTCCAAACTTAGATTGCAACTAATGGACTGGCAGTGGATTAGATTTGGCCAAAAGTCATACTAGTTACTAGTTCAAGGTGTAGCTTCCAAATGCAGGCCCCAGAGAACAGTTCTCGCGACATGCCTGCCTGGGTAGCTAATTAAAGGACCGAGAAAAGGCGAAACAAAGCGAAGCAGGCTTCATGAACCAACCTTTTGGGGGGTCAGGGGGCCACGATAAGCGAAAAAGGGAAACGAGACTACACTGGATAGTAGTACTGTTTGTCGTAGTGGTGCTGCAGTACGGGCGTATGAGGATATAACATGCGATGCAATACTATGTGACAGCAGCAGCATGTAGGACAACCTCAATCATGGACACCTAGTCCCCTATGGTAGACACCCAAGTAGATTCATCGACCTTACCTGCCTTGTCGGTAAGGTCAGGATATCTAGGTAGCCAGTAGGTACCTACCAGTCATCCTCTGCTCTGAACCAGCCAGCTAGCCAGTCAGTCGGTAAGTCAAAGATTCAGTTCGGCCAGTACACAGTAATGCATTTTTTTGCTCGACACAGGCAGCCAGCCGGCCCAGGCCCTTCAAGCAAATCTGCCTCAGCCTGTCCTTGTCCACCTAGCAGAAGCAGCTCATGCTCGCTCGCCCTTTCTCAGTCGAGTTCCATGCACGTCCAAACGAACTCGTCAGTCTGATTCCATTTGCCGGTCTCACAATCAAGGACCTAGGTACCTGATTCAGTCAACAGTCACACCCAACGCACTCCTCGCTCTCACCCAATACTCCGTCCTATCATCCGTAACCGTCGTCCCCACACACCCCGTCACAAACGCCGTTTCCCAACCACTTTTCCCCCCATTCTTCACCTGTTCTTTCTGTTCAGCACTACAATGCGTCCCATAATACCAAGCCGCCGACGCGAAAGAATATTTATCCGCCAACACGAGACTCAATATCTTGTCAACATCAGACCCAGCTGCTGTTAACCCCGTTTTGAGCTCTGGAATACTCGCAGCGTATTCAGACACAAAATTCGGCATGAGCATCACACGCGTTCCTTGGCCGGGACGCCCAGGGGCGGGGAAATGGTTGCGGTTGAATTTGAAGTCGCCGGATTCGAATGCCATCCAAGACAATAGAGCGGCTTGTTCGGCGGCGGTGGTGATGTTGTAAGCTGCGAACGAGTCGACCATGGCTTGCACGATGGACATGGAGGAGACGACGCATTCGCTGGGGAAGGAGGCGTTGAGGCAGGTGTTTGAAGTTGGGGCGATGGTGAGGAGTTGGGAGACGGGGTTGGGAGCGGTGGAACCGGACCGAGGGGTGAGGGATGGACCGTGGTTTTTGGTGAATGGGATGGACAGGGCGGATGTTGTTGCGGCCAGGATGGCGAGGAGGGAGAGGGAGAACATGGTGACTTTGGTTGATTTCCGGATGGGTTTGGTTTGAGAGTGGTTTGAGAGTGGTTGTAGTAGGATGGACTGTTGAGTCGGATGAGACCAGCGCGTTGTCGTTTTCGATTCGATTTGAGAAGGAAGAAGGAGCAAGAGTAGGAGTAGGAGTTGTAGATTCAGGTGGCTTGCTAGGTATGTAGGTACCTTATGTAGCTGAGAGTAGGTATCTTTGGAAATTTCTTCCGTTGGAAAGAGGTAGGTGAATAGGTAAGTGAGTCAGTCGATGTGACAGTCGTGAGTGAGTGACAGTTGATTTTGACCAGAATAGTATTCAAGTAGAGTCAAGTGAAGTCGGAAGTAGAATAAAAGTGAGGGTGATGCTGAGGCGGATGCTGTACAAGTGATTGCAACGGCAGTGATTGATGTCTTGTCCAGATGTACAGTAGTTGTTGTGTGTCAAAAGGTGACAGGCCACCAATGAACCGGTTCATTCACCACCAGACCAAACCACACAAAGAGTAAAATAAAGCAAAAGTGAATCAAAGGATTCAAAGAGACCAAAAGCTGATTGTTGTCTTGTTTGTCAGATGAGATCAGACTGAGCCCGCTCCGTCTGTTCGTTTGTTTCTATTAAAGAAACAAAGAAACAAAAAAGATAGTGATAATAAGCAAGCGATGCGGCGTGCGGCACGGCGTGCTAATAAGCAAGACAAGACAAGAAAAGAACTGTACTATGTGTGGCAGTGTAGTCGCAGTAGCAGTAGGAGTGGTAGTGGTAGAGTCAGCGTAGGAGTAGGAGTAGATTGGGAGGCCTGACTGGCAGACTGACAAACAAAAAACAAGGAGAAGAAGAGCTTTTTGCCTAAAATACTGTACTGTGCATATCATTCACTCATCAATCAATCGTCAGCACCAGAGGGCGAGAGTCAATGATATAAAGAAAAGAAACAAATAATCGATGGCTGGGAGTGAGCGAGTGAGCGATCGACAGCAAAAGTGCTTGCTGTGCTTTGACCACAACTGCCATGTCAGGGGAAAGAGGGTAGCGTAGGGGTTCTGTAGAACAGCGATGAAATCGAGCTGCCATCCAATGAATACAAACCGACGGTGTAAGGCTGGAACATATGGTCGTGTTTGTGTGTAACTGACTACCTGATTGATTAATTGAGTGTAGTTGCAAGAGATGTAGACATGATTGGATGGGATAGCACATAGAAATGTTCTTTCGAAGAGCGGAGGACCGACGAATTTTCGGGGGAACAAGGTCATCGAATCAGCAGCTATACCGGTACGAAAAGCTGGGGAGGATGTGCTCCACCAACAACAAAATCATCAGGGGGCCCAGTGCCATGTTGAAGACCGTTGCAGCAATAGCAGACAATCAATCTACGGTACCTACGATCGATAAATGCTCGGATCTGGACGGGCTCGTCTGAATCAAAACCATCAACTGCGGCTAACATTGCATCTACCACTGCACATCATGATCATAATAGATTGAGGGTAGTACAACGACGACCTCAAACCCTCAAGCCGCGCGCCTCGTCCAAATTTTGTCGTGTCCGACTCCTCCTATGTGCACAGTAGTATGAGCCCTTCCTTCAATGCAAAAGTAAAACTATGGTAAAAGGTACACGGTAACAGATATGAAAGGTCAATCTTTGAAGTACTAAATGAAATAACATGTCGGGTATCATTACATCCATCTCCCTACCTACACCTGAATCTCAAACACTATTTCAATCACAACCGATCGATAGGAACGCCTCCAACTCCAACAAACCAACATCAATTATCAGTCCAGACGTCCCGTCAAGCAAAGGCACCATGTTCGGATCCTCAATCTTCACATTCTAATCCAATCCAAACTTTTAGAACTGCACTGCAGTGCACCACACTCTCAGTGGCACAGTGAAACCCCTGTGCAACGTGAACCTCATTCGTCTTGGCCTTCAGCGTCGGTATCACTGCTAGTATCATCATCATCAACATCATCCTCCACCTCCCGAACCGTTGCCCGACTTCTTCTTCCCCTCAACCTCCTACTTCTTCGACCACGGCCACCTACTGTCGACGGACCAGCCACCGCAGCTTCATCAATCACCAGCAGGTATTCACCATTCCTGCCTCGACGGATAATATTCTCTGTGATAGCCCACTCTCTCAATCCTTGGTCGACGTCTTCCTCGAGCACATTGACCTCTTGCTTTTCCAAATGTCGGCCAACATGATGCATTCGCTCCTCCCAGGAGCGGCCTTGGCCTGCCTCACCCTCGTCATCGGCATCGACAAAAGTCTCGCCACAGAACCCACATGCACTCCGGTTGGGCGGTCCTCGACGATCGACCCAGCAACGAGAGCGAATCTCCTCCAACTCTTTCTCAAAGTTGTCCTTTTCTTTCTTGCTCGCCGCCTCTTCACCCCTTCCCGCAACTACCCACGGCGCATGCATCCGCCGACAGTGTTGCGTAAACAGATCTTTGCGCTTGAAGTCATTGTGGCCCCGAAAGAACTTGCCTGCAATTTCGGGTGAGCACGTCCCCATGTCACAGCGGAAGTATCCGAGTTGAAGATGTTGGAAATAAACGTGGCGTTTCCACTCGTTCTTGTTGGCAAAGGTTTGGTGACAACCGTAGTGGTGGAAGGTACACAAGAACAATTTGGGACCCTTTTGCCCCGGCCGAAAAGAAAGTCTTTTGTGCTTGGACCGGGGAACGTCAATGTCGTTGGTGGCAGTGGCACGTCGAATTTGTCGTCTCTTGTGTATCCTAGCTTGGGGGTCGAACATTGCTGCTGGTCTCGCATTCTGTCGTTGCTGCGCCGGTGAACGCAAGGACCGTCGTCGATCAGTCACGCTGCGAAGCCTTGGTAGTCTTGGTAGTCTTGGTTGTCTGGCAGGGGTAAAGTCAGAATCACCGTCCCCTCGGTGTGTCCGGTATTCCCCCTCATCCACGACCCTGTCTTCAACCTCGAGGATAGATTGTCCCAGGCCAGAATCTGTCGGACTGGGCATCCGTTCTGACAGCTCGAGTTCCTCTGGGAGGAGGATTCGTGGGACCAACGCGTCGGTGTCCCGGTCATCCATGGGTTCGTCTTCGCCCTCTGCATCTGGTGTGACTTGTAGGTCCCTCATGCTTAGAGCCCGATGATGAGAGGCGGCAGGGGTGGATGGAAGCGACGACATGTAGGAAGCCTCTCCACTCCAGTCATGAGTTGCGTCGGAGATAGACAGCTGATCAAACGCTGGGCTAGCCCACTCGCTCGGATTGTGAGCCACAGAGAAATCATGACGTTCCCCACCAATACCTGGACTCAAGGCATAGTCGCTGCCAGCAGATGGGTCGCTGGTAAGGGAAATGCCACTGGAGTCGGCGGGTGATCGATAACGTATGTTTTGCCCTGGTTCAAGGCTGTTGGGCCACAGATTGCCGACTGCATGGGGATTAAGGGCGCTCTCTGTCATCTCTTGTCGAAAGATCGGACGAGCAAATCCTTGGGCCACAGGATCGTAGCTCCTAAAATACCGATGATCCTGAGAGGAGGAGTGGTATAGGAGGCCCCTCTCAAACTCATCGTGAGGTTGGTTGGGCCGCAGCGCTGGGTGGATGGAGGACAAGTCTGTATCATTCTCCCACGACGGCATGATATCTCTCTGCGCCGAGGCGTAGGGGTATCTTGGTTGCGAGTACATGTGGTCTTGCTCTCCTGGAAGGTCCCCATATTGCGGGTCCATGGTTGGCTACATCCACTGTACAAGAAGTAACACAAGCAAATTCTGTAGGAGGGGCAGTAGGGGAAGCTGTTCAGCAGTGTTCGATGGAATATGGATAATGGAAGACAGGACTATGGGGAGGTCGCAGTGTCATATAAGAACAACCAGTCGACAACAAAAAGACCCAGTCCAAATACTGGAGGTAAACTGGTGACCCAATTTTATCAAAGAAAGCGACCAATACCCGAGCGGACGCCAGGTCATCAGAGACGAAAGGGGGTTCAAACATCTCTCGCATGAGCCCACTGATGATTTTGGTAGAGGACTGACGCCAGACCTGCTTGATGGTCGCGTTTCTTCCACGGACCAAAGACAGAATCCCAGCACCATGACTGTCCAGCAGAGCCTCAGTCCATCTCTGAAAGGGGTCGTCTTTGCATTAGCCATTTTGACTAGTACAGTAGTGCGTTGCGTGCAGCAGGGCGACTGGAGGTTGAGGACGATGTGGTGGTCCCGGAGGTGTGGTTGACTGGGTGTTTGACTGGTGTCGCTGTAAGTAGTATCTTCTGTGTGTAGTCCCATGCCCTGACCCCGGTTGCCTATCAGTAACAAACCGGTGTATGGGTACGTATTGGGGGCGGTCAGGCATCCCGGTCAGTGGTCAGCAAAGGTTGCCTTCCGACGCCCTCTACAGGTGCAGCCTGTGAGTGGAAGACCTCGTCCAAGGACCTGGCTTTTGCGAGCTGACACCAAATCGGGACGATGGGCGCTTCCGTGCTGCGGGTTTTTGGGCAGTATTTTCTGTTTGTTCGTAAACTGCCAAACGGACCCCTGCATGGCCCCAGCTTGGCTGCAGGGCGACATGTCACTCCTTGCTCGGAGGACTGAATCGATGCCAACCTTGTACACCCCTTCGAAGTGCCCGGTAAATCCCTGGCCGGGCTGTCTCAAGAGCATTGGGGAAGGCCATCCTCTTGCAGTAATCGCTTTGTAGAAACGCGTCCATGGCGTCGACAGTCACAACCGAACTTAGGAAGGTATGTAGAAATAGGTATTGTCAAGCGAGAAAAAGCCTCGCTAAGCTCGTCTAGATGGTGCGCATCCGTATCCGTGGGTGTGGAAGCAGAAGCACCAGAAAAGTGTCCCCCTCGTATCTTGGGGAACAGAAGTCCATCAAGGGGGGTAGATTGCCTTCCTGGCTTGGATGGAACTAGCAGAAAGGGCCGGTCCCCGTCCGCTACTAGCAGGTAGATCGACAGTCGAGTGACCGTTAACGACGGAAACCATGGCAGAAGGAAAGCTTGTCGTTACTGTATAGGTGCCAGGTCGAACATGCCCATGTTCGAGACCACAAAGACTGGACGCGGCAGACGACAAACTTGAAGCCACTCTGCGCAGAGGGTGTGGTCTGGTATGTCTCGCGGATGCTATGAATACCCGCTGGGCCTGCAAAGACCCGGCGAGGCGCTCAAGGATGGACCGTCGTCATGTGTGAAATCGTTTCTAGGCGATCGTGGCTTGAAGCTCCTGAATATGGCGAGGGTGCTGCCACTGTCACTGTCGTGGCTTGCCGTGTCGGCAAGTCTCGACCGGGGAATGTGTTCGACGATCCGTCTCTGCCAGTGGCTCCGCTTTGCGGCCAGACGCTCCAACCAGTCATCAGAAGCCCCAAGAGGTCCCGGTCAGATTTCAAGTTCGAGGACTAGGCATCGGATCGGTTTGGAGGTTGGCGAGACAGAAGGCGGCCAAGTGAAACTTCGGATGTGCAATTCGTGAGAGTAACGGATAGCGGATTTAGCCAGCATGGGATTACCGGCAAACAGCGGGGTTGTAGGCCAACAACGACCGGGGTGTGAGTGTTGTTGATGAAAGATAGGCCAGATCCCAACCACCCTGAACAGCTAGAGTGGCTACGCAGTCAGCAAACAACACACCCTAGACCCTTAATCCGATCGTTGAGGCCGGGGACATGCCTGCTCATCCGCAGAATCTTGGAGACACACAAAACCTTTTCACCCCTACACATCGTTTCCAAATGTGCTTCTGGCACTTCGAGGGCTGAAAAGGTGGTGTGATCCAGCCCAAGAAGGGATGGAAAAGGCGGCGTTCTGCAGCCGATTGTAATTCCATGGCTGCAGAAACGGCCGGATGGCGTAGTCTCGAACGATGCAGTGGTAGGAGGGTCGAGGATGTCGACCAGCAGGACAGGGTGCGTTGTCTGAGCGGTGCTACACAATCTCTTCGAGGGAGAGAAGAAACGAATGCTGGTATCTGCCACAACCCATGTCCACCAGGCGTCAGTCTAGCAGATTGAGGCAGGTTGGATTGGCTGAAGAGGCGTCCATCTCTTGGTCCCTGCTCTGCTGGTGACCTGGGACCTGGCTGACTTCGCGACCTTACGAACCGGCAGAGGTAGTAGGAATAGTAGGACGAGGTATGGTGATGCTGTAGGTCCTGGACAGGGGCAACCACAATCACAACCACACCCTGTCTACCTGGCCATCTGCCTGCCAATGCACGTCTGTCTGCGCTCTCTTCAGAAAAAGGCGGTCGAATGTGAAGTGCTCATCCGCCTGCCAGCGAGTCATCGTCTGATTGACCCTCGAACCTCGTGTGTTCCTCGTACCACGATGGACGTTGTGCTCATGTCAACCATGGCAGGTCATCTACAACATTAGATTATCCGCGTCCACTGGCACACCTCGACAACTTGGACAGTGTGTAAACGTCCCGCAGATCTGCATCTGACAGCCAGCTATACTTGGGGTGGCTTTTGGCTATTCTTAGGACATCCCTAACCGTCTTCGAGGGCTTCCAAATCATAGCAGAACTAGTCCACCTACTAGTAGTCCATCTTCAAGGATATTGATCCCTGCCACGCCGAAGATTTCCGACGACCATTGGCAACTTTCTACGTCGTCTCCCCTCAGGCTGCCCTTCCCCCTGTGGATTGGGAGCACGCTTGCCAGTGAGGCGGGCCGAGGGGGCTTGATGGCAGGTAGGTCGAGTTCTCATGACGATCGCTGATCACAGCGGCCAAAGACATGGTGATGCCTCTCGACAGCTTCAGCTGCACAGGGCCAGTGGGGTTGAAACCAATTCACTTCAGTGGCCTTCTCTGTTCCAGGATCATGTTGCGTCTGGTTCGTCCCAGGGTGTTGGAACTCTCGACTATTGAAACGACTAATTCTGCACTGTTGACGCTGTCTCGCTCCTTGTTCCCTGTTGGTGCCTGTTTGTCCTCCCGAGTCCGTCATCCTCGCTCACCAAAAACAATCGTCGGCCATTTTGGCGGGACAAATTGAGATTTGGGACAGGGGACATGACTCGCAAAGAGAACACTCTCCCAGCTGCTCCTCGCTTACCAGCTCACACTAAATGGCTGGTGGACGAAACTTCTGTCTATCGATAGGCCCAAATCCCGGGCACTTTGTTTTCGCTCCACGGAACCCTGTCGACCTGACGCCTGATTAGGACTGGATTCCTGTGCTTCCCCATTAATCAAACCGACACTGGCAGTTGGCGGTGAGTTCAGATCGCTCCTCCCACGTGGACTTCCGTGCCAGCCTCCTCGACTAACGATCAGGTCGCGCAGATATTGGCCAAGCCACTCACACCTTCTCGACGCGCAGCATCCCTCCATTTCAGCTGCTGGAAGAAGGACCCAAATGGACGCCTCGAAGGAACCGGTGGCGTGGTGGGCCCCCTTGTCATTTACGTGATGCCCTCACTGGTGCCCTTCTTCCAGTCGAGAGTCTGTCCCTTTCAAACGAAGTGTGTCGACGACCGCCCACTTGCTTGACTTTCGGCTCCTGGCCCTCACCGGATGCTTCAGTGCGGGCCGGTGCTTGATATGCACACCATCTTTTTGCACAAAAGAGTGGATTCTGGTAACCAACAGCACAATCCACTTCCGCCTCCGGCTGTAATGTTTCGTACTGGCCGTTGAGGACATTTCAAATTTCCCGCACTCTGACCCTGATCCCTTCATGGTCGTACCGTTCGTAGTCCTGGTTTGGTCTTGGTGCATATCTTTCGACCACTGTCAGCTCATCGCCAGGTCTCAAGATGCGCAGCTCGCTTGATTCTACGTCCAAGGGTCGAGACCTTGACCTTCGACGCCGGGATCCTCCAATTCGGATGTGCTGCTGTTCCTTTTCCTCTGCCTCAGGATCTGCTAGATACCCTAGCGACGAGGAACGAGCTGGAGGCGGGCTGGGCGCATATACCAGACGCCGCCCGTGTCTACCCTGACTAGGATCTGCAATTTCTTTGTTAGGCGTGAGTTGAGTATAGTATGGGGGAGAGCCGTCATACACACCACCATAGTGGAAATCATTTTCTCTGCTGCGGAGGCGGCCTCGCGGGATAGACCTGGATCGCAGTCGGTCGTACGCTCCTTGATCGTGTGTGTCCTTGTCCTCCTGCTGGGGATGCTGACTTCGATTATGAGCTGGCAGCGACGTGTCTCTAACATTCGGCAATGCAGGCCCTTGTTGAGGGGAATACCCACGCTGGTGGTGTCTCGACGGAGGCTGTTGAATATATTCATAGCGCTCGACATAATACTCAGCTTGTGGCGGATTTCCTGAATATGCATCGGAGTCCTGGCGTCGGACGACCCTCCGGGTCCGCGATTGAGCCCTCGATGAGATGCGAACACTGTAATCGTCAATGACTTACTATATCATGGGGGGAGCTCTGGATCCTTACCCTCTGGGATTCTCATAGTCGTAGTCATCGTCTTCAAAATCCTCTGGGATATCAAGATGCTTTCTTCCCACCGAGCGCCCTTCGTAGTAAATTCTTTCTTCACATGGCGAAAGCCGTAAGCGGCGCCTTTCTCTCCCCGAGCTTGCATGACTATGTTGGCGTTGTCGATATTTGCCACTTGGATGTCGTCTTTCAAGCTCAGACGAGTCTGAATACGTTGCGGATGACTCTTCATATCTCGAACTGTGGCGGTCTGGTGTTTTCCCGCGCCGCATCGAATGCACACGACTGACAGACCTGCGTGCTTTTCTGCCATTTCTTGATCGGTTCCTCTGCTTGGACCTTCGTGAATCTCGATATTTTGATCCACTTGATGGGGAGCTTTCCGATGTACCAGTGTAATCTTCGCTATCAGTAGCCCTATCCCTACACTTTCGGCATATGGTCTTTGCAGGAAGTTGTCCGGGCGGAATAGGATGTCTGTAATGGTACTTTGTTGATCTGTACCTCCCACAAGCTTCACAGCGGTATCTCATATCGGATGGAGCAGTAGTAGGAATGAGAGGCAGCCCTTGAGGCCCTTGCGGTTGACTTCTCCCAGGAAACGTTCCAGGGGGCATTGCACCATGAACGACTGCCGGTGGATGAGCTGCGCCAAACGGTCCGGGGTGCATTGGAGGTTGACTGTGGAATTGAGCTGGAGCTGGAGCTGGTTGTGGAAACATCGGGTGTGGTTGTGGTGGTGCCATTGGATGAGGTGGTATTGGATACATGGTAGGTGGTGGTGGAAGTGGAAAGAAGCGCGGTGGGGGGTTCAAGTTTGCTGGGTTCTCCGGTTTATCTTGGCCCTTGAACTGCAAAGGCTCAGGGTTCTGTAAAGGTTCACGGTTCTGCTGAGGAGGCAGAAGATACATGGTGACGGGCTGAGGTTGAGACTGCGAGGCGGGTTCCATGGGAAGCTGATTGGGGGTTCGTCCAGAAAGAGCATTCGACGGAGAACTGGGCGCAGGCAGAGCACGTGAATCGTCTCTCCAGGAGACTTGGACTTGCTGCACATTTTGATTCTGGCGCGGATCATGATCCCTGAAAGAGAAAGAGAAGAGTGAGCGAGACTCGGACTTTCGAGGAAGCAAAGCATCAAACAGGCGCCGTCGGGCAGAACTTGAAGGCTGCTGCTGCTTCGGCTTTCGTCTCACAAAGTAGCCACGGCCGTCGCGACCTCGTTCAACCCAGACCGAAGGCTGCATGATCGACGACGCCCGTGAAGTAAGCTGGGGTCATTGCGTTGGCCGAAGATTGTAAAATGGTGAAGGGTAAGTGAGTGCTGGGGATCAACTGACCTGCTTGTACTAGTAGACGCAGAATTGTTGTCGCCCTGCCACCCGAAGTAAGCGTCGTATGAAGGATAATAGACGCGCACATTCGCTCGACTGCCAGCGTCGTTCGAGCCACTGCCACTGTTACCTGGAACTTGATACGGCCACATGGTGCACTGCGGAAGGAAGGAGAGTCGGGCCACTGAGAGGTTGCAATGAAATGATAAGAGACTGCGCAGGTACAGGACTATAAGATGGCGACCAGCTCTCAACCGCCTTCGAGGTCACGGAGGTCACCTGGTGCAACGCTCCATTGCGCTCAACACGAGGATGAAAGCGGTACAACTCATGGCTCGTCAAGTCTGTCTCTCTGGAGCAAAAGCAAGACCTCGTACCTACAAGAGACAGTATGCCGTGGATTAAATGCAGCAAGTAAAGTAGACTTTGAAACATCATTCTCTTTTTCTCCCAAACATTCACAATCTCAACTTGAAGACGTTCTTGAAGACGTTTGATCAGTCTTAGTCCAAGCTCCTGGAGTCACAACCCAGAATTCCAGCTCTTTTGCACAGTTTCAATTATGATATCGCCATCTTCAAGACAGGGCCCGGCTCCCACAAGTCCTCCTCCCCAGGTATGAAATAGTCCCGGGCGGAGGGTCTGAGAAATTTCCCTTTAATGGCACACTGGATTTTCGATCCTTTACCCCTTCTGATAACAATCTCACTCACCGATGGCCACGGCTCTGATTGCGTGTAAGTCTCCTTTCATAAGTGCGTCTTCTTGTCCCCGCCAGGATGTCCAAGGACATGCGGTCGGGCAGCCAGATGTCACGGCGTAGCATCAGTTTCTCGTTCGACCAATTGATACCTACTAGTACCTACTCGCAGTGGCGAGAAATTCCCAGGCTCATTACACTGGAGGCTGTCATTTTGGGGTGCTGTTATCGTTGCACCTTCCGGACAGCGGAGCATTATTCAAGGGCAGCTCCATCAGCCTGAGGTTCGTGAAACACATTGAAAGCCAACCAAACGGCAATACATTGTCTGCTATTGACAAAGAATCGCCGAAAGAGCACAGTCGGACAGAATAAAGCTATACTGTCGTCGTCGTCGTCGTCATCATAATCACCGTTGGCACAACTTGAAGCCGAACTTATACAACTAGAGCAGCTTGCGTAGTGCTGTACCTCGCGTAGTTGTGGCTTGACTCCCTTGGCGACTCGGAGGTGTCCTGTCGTTTTTGTGCATCGACCCCGATTGGCGGATTGTCCAACTTCGCCGCAGCCTTGACGAAAGCAGTGCGTTAATGCGATATCTGTGTCCTTTAGCTTTGAACTTTTGCGAGCAACGCGTACAATCTTGGCTTAGAGGCAGCAAAAGAAGGATTGCATGCAAGGAAGTGTCACAGTACTTGATTTCCACTATGATATACATACACATAATCTGCTAAAAGCCAACCCTCAACCAAACTCCCGGTGCCTACTCAATAACCACCGCACCTCCAGACTCAATTCAATCCACCACTACCTACTGTTACTCAACCATGCCGCCCTTCACCGAGACCGACACGACCATCTACCGCAAAGACGTTGCCTCAGGCGGCCGGGTCCTCACCCGAGCGGAGCGAGAAAAGCTGCTGAAGCCATACCTCCCACCACCGAAGTCGACAACCGAATCCAATGCTCCAGACGCTCTCATCTCCCAACAAAAGTATGGTCGACGACGTCGAAGACGAGTACGAGTACGCCCCTTCATCAAGACCAAAATCCACGCCCTCCTCTTCTTCCTGATCCAACTCGTTTTCGGCATCTACATCCGCCTCCGGCAAATCTACCACGCGACACTTGACCGACTCCTCGCAATCAGACACTACCACCACCGGACACCAGAACTGATCCGCCGCGACGTACAGAACCTAACCCGCCTACCCGAGCATTTGAGCGTGATCCTGAAATTTCACCCACAAGAAGACGGCGCACTCGAGACATTGATGGACGAAGTGGCCGAGCTCTGCGCCTGGTCGGCAGCCGCAGGAATCCCACTCCTAAGCGTCTATGAGAAATCAGGCATCCTAAAGACATACGTGTCGTCCCTACAAGAACTGATCGACCAAAAGCTCGCATCGTACTTCGGGCCACCGCCCGCTGCACCATTACTCACGGTTTTTGCGCCGAATCATCCTACGAACCTTTCGCGGTCGCCGTCACCAGCACCGCCCTCGCATAAAACAACCCACAATCCCCAAAACACGGCATACAACGAAAGACAACGATTAAATCTTCTTCTCCTCTCTGCCACCGATGGGAGAGACACCCTGGTCGATCTGACGCGCACCCTGGCCGAGATGGCTCAGGCGGGCAAGATCGATCCCAAGGATATCACGTCCAATTTGATCAATGCCGAAATCAGCGCCACCACCTCAATTTCAAATCTGCGCGCGCCAGATGGGCACACGAGAGAGATCGATCTGGCTGAGCCCGATCTGGTCATCATATTTGGACCTTACGTCAAGTTGGATGGTTATCCGCCTTGGCAGATCCGGCTTAGCGAAATCTTCTGTGTTGGCGACTCGGGCGGTGATGTGTCGGGCAGTAGTAGCACGAGGGTCGAGTACCAGGCTTTCTTGAGGGGTTTGTGGAAGTACGCTGGTGCGGAAATGAGGTTCGGTAGATGATGAGCACAAAATGGTTGTCAAAAAGGAGTCTTAAAAGTACATGTATATTACAAGTCGTCTTGGTATACCAACGATATTGTCTGATTCGGCCTCTCTCTGAGGACGACCGGTGACTGGAAGAAGTCAGTCCAGTCTTCGTGACCTCGTACTTCATTCCCCGGGGCTTAGGGTTGGTGACAAAGATGTTGGCGGTCTAGAGAAGTTTGGGGGTGATAAGCCACTAATGTTTCTGCCACCAACCGTAAGGCTTCGGATAATGACCCTACTGTGTCCGGTCAACGGGTAGTCGGGTCTGCTCACTCCCTCCGGGCGAAGGGACACTGTTCCTCCACGTCTTCATGATATTGAGTATAGAAAATAGGTGTACAGCACCCGCAAACTGCTTCGGGTGACGGAGGCGTGCTCCATGGCCGGGTCTGACTGGTGCCTTGTCAACCTGGGCAACACCTCGTCGTGGCAGGAGGGATATGTGAAAGCCTCGGGGAGTCCTACACATGCTTGCCTGGTCGATGAGGAGCCCTGCCATGTCACCTAATGAGCAATTTGCCGCGTCGAGAACACTTGTGCTTACAGTATCAACAACAGGCTTCTTATGCTGTCGGTGTCTGCGTCCGCTGAGTCACTCGGTCATACCGGGATCGAGTTGCGCGGTCGAAGTTCGTAAGAGCCGTCTGTGGTAGAGCGGACATGTGGGCCCGTCTTGGAATCGGGATCCTCTTTCTGTGCTCGCCGCTTGCCGAAAATATTCTGGTTCAATTCATGCCTGGGCAATTCAAAGCCAGCTAACCCCTGTTCATGTCTCAGTCATCATCGTCATCATCATCATAGCCGGTATAAGTCTCCCACAGCTCATCGTTGGTGTCGGTTGATATCAACGCGTGAAGGACCTGCTCGTACGTCCACATGGTAACAGCCGATGCTGGAGCAGCCTAGAGTCACATCCAATTGTCAGAAAAGACACAATGTTCTTCCGTTGCAAGGCGTCTTGTTTCCATACCTTGATCAGACTAACTGTCAACCCTCGGTACCAACCCCTGTAGCCTTCTCTCTTCCAAATGGCAGCCAAACCGCGGATGACCCCATTATATTCAGGAATGTTGGAGTGGATGTATTTCGTCCTGGTTGGCCCTTGCACCTGTAGCCTCTTCCTGATCAAGTCGAGTGGAAACACAGCGGTCTTTGCGAAAATGCTAGCGAAGATGCCTGCAGTAGCATCGCCCGAGCCAAAAGGCAGGGTCTTGCCACCGATATGCTGGTGCAGAAACTCGTAACTACTGAAGAAAAGACCCATATAGGGTACGATCTGGCCAACAGCCGCACTGAGACCTCTGAAGAATCCGCGAAACCCTTCATTCCGGCTGATATCACGCACGGCAAACAGTAGACCATTGTACACGCGTTGCGGGCCCTGTGCGGCAAACCGGGTCCGCAAGAGATCAAATGGATAGGTGGCCGTCGTTGCTGCGGCACCAGCGCCCGCGCCGCTGATGAATGACTCAACGGACGGCGGAGGCCGTCTGGGTAAGAGGCTTTGTAGTTGAGTGATGGAGCGGTAGGCCGTGAATTGCACGCCGCCGTAGCACACGTACATTAGCTCCGCGGGGATGTTACCCTTCCATAATGCCCGAATGCCTTCCTGGCGAACAATGGCGCGTAAAGTTGAGAAGACGCCCTTGTAGATGGGGCCCTTTATGCCATCACACGACAAGGGGTCCGAAAGCGAGTGCGGCTGGAGCTGTAGTCGGATCTTGACCACATCCAGCGGTGCGATGCAGAACCGGGACACGAGGCCTGCTACGCCCCCGGCGATCACGACTTGCTTTCTCGTGCCCTGCAAGGTGGTAAGTGGAGGCTCTGGGCGTTGTTGCATTTTTGTCGGCAGCAGAGACGGTGCTGTGTTCACTTACCTCATCTTTCAACCGCTCAACCTCCGCAGGCATGCGTGCGAGATAGCCAGCTAGCTTATCCGCTCGCAATACACCGGCCGCAACGAGATGGAGAGGCAGGTTTCGGCTCGTTTTTGCTGAGGGCAGTGAGTGTTGCAGTGTTCAAGTTGAAAAGGAGATGACGTTGTATACCACAGAGTTCTTAGTCTGGAATAGTGCCTTGATCGGGAGCGGACACGATCAAATTCGGAGCCAGTCACGGTGAACTTTATTATTCGAGTGCCCGTGCTACAGTGTGCAGTGGCTTTCTCTCTGCAGGCAATTAACACGAGAAGTTTGGCCCACGTGACCACGCGTTTAATGGCCAAGGCTCACGATGAGCCCGAGATGTATCAACCTTTAGCCATCATATTGCAGAGTAAGTATGAGACTGTAGACTACGGGATACATGCGCGTAAGCAGACAATATCATCTGGCAGCAGTTTAATGTACAAAGTCCCATGACTTGCCCTGGAGTAGATAAATTGTCCGAAAGGGAATAAAGCGCATAAGAACTTTAGCGTGACAAGGCTCCGAGAGGGACCAAGCGCCGCTTGAACCCCGTCATGAGTCCAACTGACTTGAACTGCATTCAAGTTCTCACCAAACCACAATCCTTGTTCGAATTCTTTGTAACTACACCTAGGAAATACGACACCCTCCATTATGCACTGTTAGGCCCTAGTGCCATCATGCTGGCGCTTGGAGCGTCCTTGCCATGTTCCGAAACCCTCGCGAGAACGCTGGCGTAGGCCCGGCCAATGCGTCTTTGCCCTCGACAGGCCGCCCTCCTACTCCGCCGCCGACCGGCAGCAACACCCACTCCGCACAGCGATCTCCCTATTTCCCAATTAATTCAAGTCTCCCGAAGAAGACCACACCCATGGCGAAAACCCAGAGTCCTCATGGTCGTCAAGTGGGATCGAAACCGTCTGGTGCAAAGACGGCTGGGCTGCGCCAGAACACCATCCTCAACTTTTTCAACAAGTTCGAGGACAAGAACGGGGCCGAAAAGAATGCAAAAGCCCTCGCACCCTTGTTTTTCCGGGATGGTCGGCGAAGCCCTGAACTGCCTAATCAGCCCGAGAAGACACCCATTGTCAGCCACGACGCAGAAGAGACACGATTCTCTGAGCAAGAAGGCCCTGTCAAGAGGAGGCGAACTGTGGACGATAATGCCGATCTCATTGTTCGCACTCCTTCTCCCGAACCAAGAACCCCTCCCACCGAGCCGACAGAACGTAAAGATTCCACCGATCAAGTCACCCTCGAGACGAAGCCACAGAAGAGGCGTGGTGGATTCCTAGAAGACTCGAGTGACGAAGAGGACGACACCTGGAGCGCCGTTTTGAACAAATCAGTAGATCGAACCGATGATGCGGGTGAAGTACTGAACAACGATGCGAGTGCTTCGGCCGACATTGACCTCGAAACAGGATCCGGAACAGCAAGATGTCACCTGAAGCCTACTGATCTCGCCAAAGGAGGAAATATCGGGCATGACAGACATGAACGTACGGAACAAAACCGCCACGCTGTACCTGGCTTGAATCATGAAGGGACGAGCCTAGGTGCCGCCGAGGAGTTCGGCGACAATGATGATTTTGAGGACGATGAGTTTTTCGAGGGCGGCGAGGAATACATGGAAAGGCGCTGGATGGAAGAACAACGAGAGCTGGAAATGGGCCTGGACGAAGATTCAAAGTCCGAGAGTGGTGGTGAAAGTATTACAACACCTCGCAGCTACTACGAAGATCCAGCCCTAATAGAAGCCGAAGAAGGTGTTGGCCTTTCCCTTTGTCCAATCTGCAACGGCAGCCTGAAGGGCCTTTCTGAGAGCCAGGCATCTTCTCACGTCAACGCCTGTCTTGACGGCAATGCTGAACCATTACCAAAGGAACCCGCACTTAGCAAGCCCATATCGAAGCCCATCGCCAACGGCATCGCCAGCCCCAGTCAGAGTAACTTTTTGGAGATATACAATGGTCCGACTCCAAAACGATTCCAACGAGCAGCCATAGCACGGCCGGCCCAATCAAACCCGTTCATGACTGGCGACGGTGGTGCGACAGGAGCTTCAGCCTTCGCTCGCTTGATGTCCGGTCATGCCGAGGACGCTGCATGGGCCGAAGCTGCGGCCAACGAGGTCCAGTCTCGTGGCAAACCGGCGTATCAACGGACATGCCCCTTTTACAAGATCATGCCCGGCATGTTCATCTGCGTGGACGCCTTTCGCTACGGCAAGGTCGAAGGGCAGAACGCCTACTTTCTCAGCCACTTCCACAGCGACCACTACATCGGCCTTACTTCTTCGTGGTGTCATGGTCCGATCTACGCCAGCAAAGTGACATGCAATCTGATGGTGCAGCAACTAAAAGTCGATCCCAAGTGGGTGGTGCCTCTGGAATTTGAAAAGAAGGTCGAAGTCCCCAACACAAAAGGCGTGTATGTGACCATGATACCAGCCAACCACTGTCCAGGGTCGTCGCTTTACCTATTCGAAAAAGTGGTGGGTAAGAACAAAGATGGGTCTCCGCGACTCACTCGAATCTTGCACTGCGGTGACTTTCGCGCCTGTCCAGCCCATGTCACCCATCCACTCCTGCGCCCTGACGTCGTGGACAGCATCACCGGCCAAACGAAGCAGCAGATCATCGATACCTGCTACCTCGATACCACGTACTTGACACCAAAATACTCGTTTCCCAGCCAACATGATGTGATTGATGCTTGTGCTCAAATGTGCGTCAGTCTGTCCAAGGAGATCGTAGATACCAGCGACGGCTGGGAAAAGACCAAAGCCGAGCGCGCCGGGAGCACGATGAAAAAGTTCCTAGAGCAAGGCGAGAAGGAGAATAAAAATTCACCCATCAAGGAAGAAGGAGAAGACCGAGAAGAGGTCAACAACAACAACAACAACAACAAACCACAAAAGAAGCGAGGTCGGCTTCTAGTCGTGATCGGGACATACTCGATCGGAAAAGAAAGGATATGTCTTGGAATCGCCCGGGCTCTCGATTCTAAAATCTATGCTCCGCCGTCCAAAATGCGCATCTGCGCCTGTCTGGAAGATGAGGAACTTAATGCCCGACTCACGCGCGATCCGCTCGAGGCTCAAGTCCACATGCAGACGCTGATGGAGATCCGGGCCGAAACTCTGCACGAGTACATGTCGTCTTTCAAAGGTCATTTTGCGCGCGTCGTCGGGTTTCGGCCGACGGGCTGGTCATACCGTCCGCCCACCTCACGGTTTACTGAAAACCCGGCTGTCAGCACAGTCCTTCATTCGGACGGCTGGAAAACTCGATACTCGATGCGTGATCTGGCGCCTCAGCGGGGGAGTACGCGCGAGTCCAATTGCTTTGGAGTGCCGTATTCCGAGCATTCCTCGTTCAGAGAGCTTACGATGTTTTGCTGTGCGTTGCGCATCAATAGAATCGTCCCGACGGTCAATGTCGGCAGTGCGCGGAGTCGTGAGAAGATGAAGGCTTGGATTGAGAAGTGGGACGCGGAGAAACGAAAGAATGGCCTTTTCAAGGTCGAGGTTGGAGCCGAGGGCTGGGGTAGTGGAGACGGCCAGTTACGGTACGGAGTGTAGAAGGATTGGAAGCTACCTAGATAGAACGAAGTGAAGTCGAAACGCTGTGTTGGAGTCCAGCAGGAAGACACGAAGCGTTTTCACATATCATCATACCTAAGGTGTAGAGCATAATCAACTCAAGTCGAACAGTTCAACTTGTGCGTCAAAGGCACATCTCTCATGCATTATCTATGGCTGTAACCATCCACTCCAATGATAGAAGCCGCGTGGACGGTCGCGGACTATGCCAAAACTGTCCTCAACTCAAAGGGGGTTTTGTCGGTCGTGAACGTGAACCCGCTGTTGCTGCTCTCCTAAGCCTTGATTTGGTCTACCGGGTTTTGTCGTCCGTCTGAACCATCGGACGGTAATGGTGATGCCGCTTCAATTCAAGCTTTTCTTTTCCGTCATTTCCCATACACGTGTACTGGAGGCTGGCTGGCTATCAATTGCAACTGTAGTAGTAGTCGCGTGCATTTTTGTAATCTCCATGGAATGGGGATGGCTTTTGTCACCCCACAGCTAGTCGACTCTGCCCCGTGAATTTATACTTATCGAACTTGGCACAGCGGCCCTCTTCCGGCGCCAGGTATTCTGGCATGGCAGGTATCAGACTGTATGCATGGTTGGAGGGACGTTCACGCAAGTATGTGATCCTGCCAGGGGGGCCGGTTCTTGATCGGGATCATACTGCGCGGAAACCAGCGAGAGAAGGAGGCAACGTATTCTTCCTTTATTTTTGGTTTGTTCGTTCATCTCAAGCCGCCTTCCCTTTCTGCGCCATAGCTTCCCTCCGACAAGCGTCCTCGAGCAGCCCACGGTCGACCTTGTCGGGAGGCAGATGGACGTATCTCACGACCGAGCCGCGGATGAAGACGTTCTTGACGGAGCTGAGGTGGGGGTACTTCAGTTCATCGAGGACCACAATGTCGTCCAGCTTGATGTTGAGGTACTGGTCGACAGACTTCAAAGTGCCGCGGATGGAAATGTCGTTTTTCAATTCGACTGTGACGGTTTGTTGGGTTAGGGTTTTGAAGAAACTGTACGTTAGGGACAGAGGTTAGCGGCGGCAGAAGGTGTGTTTGGTACGGGAGGGTAGGGCTGGGTTTACCTACCTGAAGAAGAGCATGGTTGCGTTATGTCTCTGGCTCTGTCCTTGGAAGACGAGACGGACTGCGGGAGAATTGAAGGAGAATCGGAGGGCCCAGTAGTAATGCTGGAAAACACTGCAGCACCGGGCAGTAAGTAGTTAGGGATCTGTACGAAATAGAGCCTCGTCGACCAGACCTTGTTGCCGTCCCACCATGCACTGCAGTGAATCGCGAGGACTGCGACGCCAAGAGATGCTGCTGAGGTAAGCGAACCTACGGTGAAGCACAAAAAGACATAAACAGACTAGTACGAATTTGGGTCACTAGAAGAGGTCGCACAATGCATCCGCAAGCGCAGTTTCGACGTCATCTTTGCATTGTCGACCTTTGATTTTCATTTTGTGCCTGACTCGGAGAAACCATTGGCAGCTCATCTCAAAAGAAGAAGAAACATCAGGCACAGAGGCATCTGCAGCGCCGTGTCGGCCATGGTAGTGCAAGTGAAAACAGATGAATCCGTCGCGATTAGTGACATGAAAGCCGCGTATGCTGGCTCAAAATCCGACAAGCAAGTGGCTTGACACAGTAACGAGCGGTTTCCACATGCGATTGTGGCGCCCAAGCGAGATCGAGCGATGGCCACTTGATTCGTGCGCACAACCCAACTATGATCAACTATGATGTCGTCTCTGCCATTCATCCAGCAACGGTCAACAAAAAGACCCTGACCATTGCCTTGGTCAACGAGCGCTATCTCGACGTCGGCCATTATGGTTCGCTCATCTCCACGATCAACCAGTTCCACCCACTCCGCCTCCAGCATCCAGCCAGTAGGAGAGCCAGCGCAAGATTGCCAGTCCTCACTTGGTTGCGACATGTGCCTGCTTCTGTTGGTTTCTGGGCGACCTGTAGGTCGCATCGCATTCCTTTGTTCACTTTTCGAATTCCATGTTTCTGTTGTATCATTCTTTCTGGCTTTCCAATCACTCGAGATACGTCGATATTTACTGCTTGCAGGAACGCTGCCGCTTAACTTTCGGTTCTGCAGAATTGGGACACACTCGTTCTCATCTGAGCTCAATGCCAACAGCTACCAACCTGAGACCTTCAAGATCTCGTGCACAATCTCGTTCCGCTTAAATGTTGGAAACTCAGATACGCACCCGTGCAAATGCAGGCGTCGAGTATGCCCAGCAGTCCGAGAAGCTGTCTCTCGAGCCTATCGACGGGCAAGACTATGGCGTCGCCGTCCAAGCAAAGTTCGTGACGCCACTAGATCCAGTTATCGAAACCGCCGATGGCAACCGGTTGCCTTCAGTTCCTGTTCCCGAGGCACACAAAATAAATGCGTTGAAAAACAAGGCTGAAGGTAAACCGTACCGTATTGGGCCGGAGCTGCGACCACGCGGGCTTAGCCGGTTCAATATACATGAGGATGCGGACAGAAAGGCAGAAGCGGAGGCGGAGGTGGAGGCCGAAAGGGCGGAAAGAATAGAACAAGAACAAATACAAGCAGACCACGAGAGCACATACAGTCGACTAGACGAGTCGATTCCCCGATCGCATACACACCCGCTCTTCCCTCCGCTGCCGCTATACGGGCCACCCACGTTGCTGCGGGAGATACAATGTGCCGCGTTTCAGATCACGTCATTCTTTCTATCAAATGCTTTCCTGGCGGTCATTGTCCTCGGGGCCCTTTTTACGTCAATACCTACATTGCTGAACCGGTTTTGGTTATGGTTGACATTTCGGGATCCTGATGCCAACCGACCGTTCTACGCTGAAGAATTACACCGCGCCGAAATTAGGGAAGCGCAAGAAATTGCGTGGGAGAGAAGACAGAATTTAGCAACCGAGTACCTGGTCGACGACAAAACAAGCTTGCTGGCTCAGTCAACAGATGGCTACGAACCACTAGAGGGTGGGCCTGACAAGCTAGTGTGCGATGTTCGCTACTATGCACGAAGGGTGGGCTTAGATATGGAGGAGTTTAAAGTGCAGACCGAAGATGGATTCATTCTGTCACTATGGCACGTCTACGATCCCAAAGAATACACTCCGGCCAGAAAGTCGGAGCGGAAGCCAACCTCGCCGGACGTTTTCAGCGATGACGAGGACGGCCTTCCAAGACATGTGCAATCGCAATATCATGATGGCAATCGAAGGTATCCCGTGCTGTTGGTCCATGGCCTTCTGCAAAGCGCTGGGGCATACTGTGCCAATGATGATGACAGCCTCGCTTTCTTCCTGTGCAAATCAGGATACGACGTGTGGTTGGGCAACAACCGGTGCGGGTTCAAGCCGGAGCATAGTTTGCTGCATTACAATGATCCGCGGATGTGGGCGTGGAATATCCGACAAATGGGTGTTATGGATCTACCCGCATTCATGTCCCGGGTGCTTGAAGAGACTGGATCGAAGAAGCTCGGTCTTGTCTGTCACAGTCAAGGGACCACCCAGACGTTCGTGGCCCTGGCAAAGGAGCAGCGACCGGATCTCGGAGACAAGATTAGTGTGTTTTGTGCTCTCGCACCAGCGGTCTATGCAGGACCACTGATTGGAAAAATGTACTTCAAGTTTATGAGGGTGATTTCTCCGGCCATGTTCAGGGTCTTTTTTGGGATCCACAGCTTCATCCCGTTCATGATGACCATGCACCGGGTGTTGCCCGGCAAAATCTACGGCGCCATGGGCTACCTGGTGTTTTCGTTTCTGTTCAACTGGACCGACACTCGTTGGGACCGGGGAATTCGGGATCGATTGTTTCAATTTTCGCCTGTGTACGTCAGTGCGGAGAGTATGCGATGGTGGCTGGGCCGAGAGTGTTTCGCCAAACATCGCTGCGTCCTGGCTACGCGGGAAGAAGGGCAGATGGAGGAGATGGAGGAGGAGGACTCCGAAGAGGTAGAAAGACATGAGGAGTCTATGGCCAACAGGTCCGACCGTGGCCGAACCGCCTGGTACGATGAACACGTTCCTCCAATCGCCTTGTGGGTGGCTGGTAGCGACGACCTTGTTGACGGTAAGAGACTTTTGAGGAGATTCGAGCGCGGCCGCGAGCCGTTTGTCAATGTCGTCCACAGCAAGGTGATTGAGGAATACGAGCATCTCGACGTCATCTGGGCGCTTGATGCCGTCGAACAAGTCGGCAAGGAAGTCCGAGATGTCTTGTGGAAAACTATGCCGGAAGAATCGAGACGAGTGTGTAGGAAGATCAAGGGCGTGACGGACAGCGAGCCAGACGTTGAGGCACGGCCGATGGAAGATGGAGTCGCTGCTCAGCCGGATGGAAATGCTTTCATGAACGGCTCAGCGGCTGCAAAAGGCGATTGATTGATACACGAGTACATACACGACTGATAGATACCCTGCACATACTAGTAATGATTGAACGGTACAATATAATGTGAACTTGAATGACATCGAAGCCTGTTCAATATGACGCACCCATGGCATGGGGCCCTCGTCAGGCTGCAGCGGCTGGCACCCTCCCTGTTCCCATCGACCGACTTCACTCGCTGCATTTAACATCCGTATATTTTATTCCCGCTTGAATCTCTTTCACAATCAACCGACCAAACCCATCCAGCCCGGATGGCGCAACTCGTAGGCACTCGGAAAAACCATCCACCTAAGGACGGTTTCACTTCCCTCAAACACACCACAAAATAATGCGGCTGCCTTTGAGGAAAAAGTTTTTTGTATCTCGAGCTGAAATATATTTGTCTATTTTTCTTGTTGGATTACATACCAGGGCGTGTGGAATCTCACCGAGGATTCAAGGATGTACAGATAGAAGTGTTAATTAATGAAGCCAAGATGGATTTACTTCCGCCGCGTAGCACTACAACTAGACCGCAGTGTTGTTATCTTACTCTTTCGGGCAGGGCCATCCGAGATGACTGCTGGGATTGGACCCCCGACAGCTATTGGTAGTGTCACGGCGCGGAAGAGAGGACATGTCCTTGGATACCCATTCATAGGATAACGGGTAACGGCACGCAGATCAATTACTATGGAACTTTGGCACCGTATATGACGAGCTATTGAATGCAGAGCTGGAACGACATAACCACTCCATGGATCTAATCTGAAATCGTTTGGTAGTATTGTGTAATAAGAGCAATTGCCAATGCTTGTTAAACACCGATGGCTGATAAGCGATACTTCAGTGCATCCGGTTGTTCAGATATGGTCATCTCTCTGACCAGTTGTATCACTTGCATTCGAGGTTATCATGTGTCTCGTAGATTAGCCGGGATTTTGATCTTGACTCAAGCACTGATGAGGCTCATGGTAGCGGTACAAGTGTCTTGTCTTGGGAGATGCCGCAGCCGGGGCGAGGAGAAGCGATAGGGAGGAGACGGTTGGGCGATAAATGACCTGAGTGGTCAAACCCACAGGCAATCGGGGCCACTTGGGCGAAGGTTAAAACGTCTTACGGGAGCCTAAGATGCCTAAAGAGCGCCCTCCCCAGGTTACATCTTCAGGCCAGGCTGGTTTAGCACCTGCTATCAACTCTAGCGTCCTGCTCCCCGCGAGACCCTTTCATGATCATCTCCACTCCAGTCTCCTCACTGCCATTGACAAGTCATCTCGCTCTCCACCTTCATCTTCCTTATCTCTGACTTCAAGTTCGCCAGCAACCACTCACCACCTCTCAACACCCTGTCTCTTCGATCCTGGCCTCTGAAACCGGGGTACTGCCCCCGATAACCAGCATCAACTTGCCCAATCCAGACATAGTGTCGCAAATCAATCAGCGAGCCATGCTTCGTCACATCCCAGGCCCTTGCACCTCTCGCCTGCACTACGTGCGAACGAGGACATCCCCATGCACAGGCGATTCCGGCTTTCGTAGCTGGCGACGCCATGCGTTATGCTTATCCCTCTTTGCTTGCATCTTTATTATAGTATGAATAACAACCTGCCTTTCTACCAGCCCATTTTCATACTCTTCTCTCGTCATATAGCTCTCGTTCCATCTGGTGGCGCAGCGTGTTCGAGTCGTCTCAAAACCGATAAGGATACTGTGTATCTCGCGACGTTGCCGTTTCTCTCTCCTCGATACCTGAGTGCAACCCTCGACCTCCGAGTGGCATACTGTACATGATCAAGCCATCACGATGCTCCCCGAACGCAATTCGAGTACCGTCACTGGCGTCCACCACAAGTCGGTCGCAGAAGAACCGGTCACTTCCGTCCTCGCACCGGGAGAGGTTCCAATCTTGGACCGAGAGTTGAATGATGACGAGGAGGTTTTAGCAGCTTTGGGTTACAAGTAGGTCCTATGCTGTGGTGGGTGCATCAAGGAAAAGTATTGCTAACTTCTAGGAAGACCCGAATTCAAGCGCGAATTCTCGCTGTGGACGTCTTTCTGCGTCTCTTTCGCTGTCCTCGGCTTACTACCGTCTTTCGCCTCCACCGTCTACTATGGCATGGGATATGCAGGGACCCCTGGCATGGTCTGGGGATGGTTGATCGCAATGGCATTCATCCAATGTGTGGCAATGGGGATGGGTGAGTCAACTATATTCGATGTATCTGCCCGGGCATTCGATTAACGCACTCTCAATAGCTGAATTATGTTCATCTATGCCTACCAGTGGCGGTCTTTACTATGCCGCAGCTGTCCTCGCACCTCCCGGATACGGACCACTTGCTGCATGGATTACTGGTTGGTCCAACTGGCTAGTCCAAGTTACCGGCGCTCCTTCGGTGGATTACGCTTTGGCCTCGATGATTCTGGCTGCCGGTTCCATCAACGATCCTTCTTACGTCCCTCAAAACTATCAGGTTTTTCTATTAACCACCCTCATCATGATTGTCCATGCCGTCATCTCGTCGATGCCGACTAAATGGATCGCCACATTCAACTCATATGGCAGCACCTTCAACATCATTGCATTGGTGGTTACCATCATCGCCATCCCAGCTGCCACGAACCGCCCAGAAAAGGGTCTGCCCCGTTTCACCAAGAGCAGTACCGTTTGGGGCAATTGGTACGAGGGCACCGACTTCCCGAACGGTGTCGCTCTCCTCATGTCGTTCATCGCTGTCATCTGGACCATGTCCGGCTATGATGCACCTTTCCACTTGGCGGAGGAATGCAGCAACGCCAACATTGCCAGCCCGCGAGCGATCGTTCTAACATCAGGAGTTGGCGGGTTGATGGGTTGGTTTCTGCAGCTGGTCGTGGCTTACACTGTCATCGACATTGACTCGGTCCTTAGCTCGGAGATTGGCCAGCCTTGGGCGTCGTATCTGATGGAAGTTCTTCCCAAGAATACGGCACTGGCCATTTTGTCTTTGACCATCATTTGCGGCTTTTCAATGGGTCAGGGTTGCATGGTTGCTGCATCGCGGGTCACCTACGCCTACGCCCGCGACGACTGCTTCCCGTTTTCGAATATTTGGAAGAAGGTCCATCCATGGACTAAGACTCCTGTCAACGCGGTATGGTTCAATTGTGTGGTCGGCATCCTCCTGACCTTGCTGTTGTTTGGGGGCGAGGCATCCATTGGTGCCATCTTCAGCGTTGGGGCTTTGGCGGCGTTTGTGGCCTTTACTATCCCCATCACGATCCGCACATTTTTCGTCGGCAGCCGGTTCCGCCGCGGACCATGGCATCTGGGCAAATTTTCGTATCCCATTGGTGTGGCCTCTACCTGTTTTACCACGTTGATGATCCCCATACTTTGTCTACCCAGTGTGACTGGCTCGGATTTGGACCCGTCGTTGATGAATTGGACCTGTCTCGTCTGGGGCGGACCGATGCTGATCATTTTGGTCTGGTGGGTGGTCGATGCACACAAATGGTTCAAGGGACCAAAGGTCAATATTGAGCATGCAATGCTGGGGAGGGAGGGCAATGTTTTGGATGCTAAGGATGCAGGTTCGGATACTGGGTCTCAAACTACTCCGTATTCTGTTAAAGGGGGTAAAGCGGCCGAGGTGTAGATACTTTCTGATTGTGGCCCCAAACTGAAACTGTGTGCATATCTGATCGAGATGGTTAAATAAGCGTTTATCATACCTACCCATGCAGTGGTGGAATGATATTTGATGCATTTAAATGACTGCACTTTGGTTGCTTAGCCGATAATTAAATCGCCTACTGAAATTGCTAGTAGCTCACGCTCATACTCCTTCGAGAGAACATTTAACTTAGCATCTACAGCTACCCTAATCATGCTACTCACCTTGGGTAGGAAATGCATAACACACTGCAATAAAATGTAGGGAATGAAATGCAACCACTTTATCTCGACCCCGTGACAACGCGCATCCGACGCGACGCGCTGCGACGCCAAGTTCTAGTTGTAGTTCTTCCCCGCCGCGGCCGAGACGTCGGAATGTGACAACGTCAAAGACTCCATCCAGTTTTTAGTCGCCATCCACATAGGACAACAATTGGATTTGGTAGCCCTGCCCTGCTCAAGTGCCAGTGCCTGAAGCCATGGGTCTATTGTTGGCGTGCCATGGCCCTGCAAACAAAGTCCTTGAAGTTCTCCATGCCTAACCGACCCATGGGAACGAAAGTCCCGCATCCTCCCTCGACCAATTTCGCCGAGCGTGAAGCGGACTTGGACGAGGGCGAATTTCCCACTCCACCCGCGAAACGAGTGAAAACGAGACCCGCGGCGAAGGCGAATACGAACTTGGATCCGGCTGGCCGAGATAAAGATAGTCCACGAAAGCGAAGAACGATAACAACAACTAGGAAGCAGGGGCAGGGACATCCGAAAACAAATGAGATACCAGATTCTGAAGAAGAATCCTCTCAAGACATAGAGGATGGAGATGAAGGCCGGCCAGGTCTAGGAACACAATTGGAAACCACATTGCCGCCCGTGCCTGGTACGGATGAAAAAGAAGCGATTGATGAATATGAGGCGTTCAAGGCTGGACGAACTGATCCTACAACAGTGGAGGAGAATCAAAAAGAGCATCAGGAGACTACTCGGTCTCGACTAGAATCCCGCTCTTGGATCCGCGGTCGCAGCTCCATCTACGTTGACGCATTCAATCTGGCCCTCGATACAGTCCTTGAAGAGGAACGACATTTGTTCAGCCAGGCCGAATTGGGGCTTTTCGAGATCTGGAGGAAAGAGCTGTCCTATGAAGCACAGTACCTTTATGTCAGGCTGTTTTTGAGGAAAACAAGCAAATGGTTTCGAGTGAGGGATCTGCAGTATTATGGCGATGTGGCGGATATGGAGGGGGCGGTGAGGGAGTTGCAGTTGGAAAGAAGTTTGTCAACAACGACGACGACGACGTCGACCGCCACCACGGCCACCACCGTTGACGATGCCGCCGAGGTGGGTGTTGTTGCTGTCTATCCCGGAGACCTAGAACCGCCAGAGGAATTGGGATGTCTAGGCGACAGATTCGCATTCGCCGAGTGTTCTTCAGAACATATCACGACGCTGGACGAGGCGAGCAGTTTATTGTTACTCGATGAGCTCAAAAGCCTGGCCAAAGAAGTCAAAGTGGGAGTGACGGGCAAGACTAAGCGGGAACTGTTGCACAATTTCCGTCGGACGAGTGGGAAGCAGACTGGATTGGGGTTCCTTAAACGGATAGAAACTGAGGAATCGCACGCCAGTGACGATGTCAGGTCTGTCCATAACGACCCCGAAGATGAAAGTAGTGGGACATCAACACCCACTATCAACAACCGAGATGGCCATTTCACCAAGAAGATCCTCGACAGAACAGGCCTATGCATCCGGCTCTCTCTTGCCCCGTTGAAACTATTCGAGCGGGTCCATTTGGTATTCTACCGCAGCACAGAGTGGACGGAAAAATCTCTAACAACATTAATCCTGGCCAAGATCTCGCGGCGCCATTTCCCCGAGTATCTAGTGAGTCGATCGAGTACGATTTTCGAGTCGAGAGCATTGTTGCTGGAGTTTGAAGCCAGTCTACGCACGCAGTTCCGGGTGGACAATATTTTGGAATTCAACGGTACGCCGCGGCATGCTGCCCTTCAAGAAGTGAAACAGATTTTCGAGGCCGTTTATCCCCGATGGAAAGCTTTGCTGGGTGAAGAACAACGTAAGGAAGACCGTGGTGTCTATCAGAGTGGCGAAGGGGCGTATCTGCGTCGGTTTAATCCAGGTTGGGTATATACCCGCATCGTGCACAAGGCATTACATGTTTTGGGTAGTTTTAAGGAACATGTGCGCGAACATCAATTGCTTTGTGAATTGCTGGATCAGCGCCTTTTTCATGCTTCGAAGAGGGGTGCGTGGTATCAGCGCAAAGCTCTGCTCGAGGAACATTACATGTATGAGTCGGACTTAACACCCCAGGAGGGCAGCGGCAAAAGTGGAATGGTAGAGGCGAAGAAGAAGCACTGGAAAAGAATTGCCTTACGGACCTGTGAGCAAGGTCTACAGGATAAAGAGTGTCATGTCATTTACCATTGCGACCTGCAGAAGCGGATCAAGAAACTCGAGAAGCAGCTTCATTTGCCGCTGAGAGAACAGCATGATTTTGGCCATGTTCGCTTGAAAAAGGCGGTCGAGCGCGACGTTGTGGGTATCAAGATTGAAAGGGAAGATCTACCATTGCCGCTCAGCAGGAAAACCAGCGTCAAGACGTCCGTCACCATTCCCGAGGGTGTCGTCCAAAAACCACCGAGTCTGATACACCAACCCAGCAGCACGACGTCCGGCGGCGCTGGCGGTGGAGGAGGAGGAGGAGGAGGAGGAGGAGGAGGAGGACTTGGATCCAAAACGATCTGGCTCGACACGCTCGATACCAACCTCCCCGTATCCGTCGAAGCAATGTGTCTCTCGCACTACAGGCATATCCTCGGATACAAAGGCTACCACAGCGAAGGCGGGATCCTCCGAACCCTATTCGGATTGTTATTCTACGATATTCTCTTCTTCAACCCCTATATCCCCAACGTATTCCAGACAGCATACCAAACCTGTCCATTGGATTTACATACCGACACCTTTTTTCCTGCACGCATGCCCGAGATTCTGGGCCGTATCAATCAGATTTCAAACGGTGAAGCTAAGGACATTGCACGTAACGTCTGGGATGAACATTATGAGAGACGCACGTGTATTGTGGGTGTCCAGTGGGACGGGTTCGACAGGGATGATTTGCTCGAATTGATCGAGTGTTGGGATGGGAGTGCCCTGGGGACGGTTATGCTGGTTATGGCGCAGGATTATGCGGGCAGAGGGGGTGGGGTGCCGGATTTGGTTTTGTGGAAGAAATTTGCATCTGGATCTGGGTCTGGAAACGGTGATGGTGTTGGAAGTGGTGGTGGTGATGGCGATGGTGAGGACGATGGTGGTTGTGGAGGACGAAAAGGTGAAATCCTCTTCGTCGAAGTCAAATCGGCAAATGACCGTCTCAGCGATACCCAGAGACTCTGGATATCCGCTTTGTGGGGGGCAGGCGTTCCAGTCGAGTTGTGTCATGCTGTTGCGGGAGAGGTCAGAAGCGAGTGAGCGTAGCGAACAAGCAGGCTACGCTTACTCACTTACGAGAGTACGAGTCCCGTGGGAGAGTAGCGAACGAGCGAGATACGCTCACTCACAAGAGGTACAACTTATAGTCCAAGTCCACACTCGGATAAACCCATACTGCTTGAGGACAAGTTCATTCGCTGGAAAATGGACGGGATACCAGTGCTAATGTCACTGCCAGTCTTTCCATGCCCTGCAACTGAACGCAATGAAATGCCAATTCTATTGCTCTCTTGCCATGCCATGCTCATGCTATGCTACGCTACGCTAATCTAAGGTATGCTTTTGCACACTGCCAGTGGCATCAATCATCCTGCCGCCGTGCCCGTGGTGCCATCATCTAGCTCGATTTCCTCTCTGCAGACAAAAAGAAACAAATTACCCGCCATGTTGTTGTCATCCTGAGAAAAGATGTCGTACAGAACAAGTCCAGCATCACCATCACTATCGCCATTGCCATCGCCACGGTGTAATCTGCTTCCATCCTTGTTTGTTTGTTTGCTTGCTTGCTTGACGTAGCGCACCGTATTGTGATGTGACTTTTTGTCGTGACTTGCTGCTGGATGCTGTTGATGTTGGTACACTCTCACACACATGCCCGGTTTGAAACGCTCCCACACACCGCAGTATCTCTCTCTCTCGAGAGATTCGGCTGCCCATCTCCAGCTCCAGTTCCACCATCAGCTCCCCTCTCCATCGCAGCAGCAGAGAGTATTATTAACAACAGTACCAAATCCGCTTCGGGAATCAGCACGGTTGACCATGATAGAAGTACCATCTCAATTTGGACGGATCAATCCTCATCGGCCCCAAAAAAGAAACCAATCGAGTATTGAAAAGAGAACCGAAACAAGAACACCTCCTCAGTCGAGTCAGGCGCTCATTTCGAAAAGAACCTCGACCCCTCAAGAGACGCAGGGACCTTAACCCTACCGAAACTGTTGTCCAGATCCAACAGAATCTTCAAAGCATTCCGACTGCGCAAATACGGCAGGGGTGCTTTGGCCTCTCTCAAACCGACGCCGGGCTCCGTCTTGCCTGCTGCAGTGGCACCGGCATGATGAGCGTCATGTTCGTCATCCCCAAACGGCAACAACTTGCTGAGCACCTCGTATGCAGCCAGAGTGAAACCGAATTGAGGCGAAGAACGCAAGATACGAGCGGGACCGCCCTTGAAGAATGCTCTAAATCCTTCTTGTTTCCAGATCTTGCGCGCACAGTCAGTCAGACCATTGTAGGTGACGTCGCCCTTGCGCGCCTCGACTTGCAACCGGGTCTTGATCACGTCACAGGGGGTGGTGAGGTATGCGGCCGGCATGCCTGCGATGGCACCGGCGGTCAAAAGCTGGATGACGCCCAATTTCTTCTGTGGGGATTCGCCAAACATGTCGCGCTTCAGGTGGTTGTAGGTGGGGAAATAGATGGCTGAGAAGGGGACGTCTCGCAATAGACACGCCGAGGCGCCTTTGTACAAGCCCAGAATACCCAGGTTGCGCACGATCCACATTGCTGACCGTCTGGGCGCTGCGTCGGACTTTTTGAGCAGTTCGCCTTGGACTTGAAGTCGGATCTTGACAATTTCAAGAGGGTTGGTGAATACCTATACAACAAGTTAGTTGGTTACAGGGAAATGTACTGGTGTCAGAGCGTACCACTTGACATGCACCGGCCGAGCCGCCTGCAAGTAATTCCGCCCAGATGGGAATGGCATGGGTCTGTTTGTCGGTAAATCGGGAACGGACAAGGTCGTTGACGGTCAACTTGATGGCCTTCTCTGGAGCCACGCCAACCAGTTGCGGGAGCACACCAGAGTATAACCCCCGGAAACCTTCGTTGCGGATGACCTTGCGTGCACAGTCGATCGAGTTCTCGTACAATCGTTCACCCGGAAGTACGCTTCGCTGGTTCTGCATGCGCGTCTTGACCAGATCGATCGGATAGACCATGAAAGCACCAAATGCACCTGCGATACTACCGAGGCCGAAATGGTGGGCAGACTCCAAGAGGCTGTGGAGGAACTGTTGCGATTTGGAAACGACACGGTCGGCAGTGTCGCTGATGGCGCCCAGTTTGGCGACCGACGTCTGCCAGCTGGCATCCAAAACTTTGGCGAAGTCGTCCAGAGATAATCTTCCAGAAGGTACGTCAAGACCGGCAAAGTGGAACAAGATGTCGGCCTCCATGGGCGTGTAGAGAGAAAACCGGGTCAATCGAGCGGCTTCGTTGAGAAAGTCGGTGCGGTCGATGCGCCCATCCGAGGATTTCTTGGTGGCATTGCGAATGATGAGATCCAACAGGTCCATTTCGCGAATCACATTTTGGAATGCACGAACATTGGCGTACGAGATCTTGCTTCCAGTCGAGATGTTGCACAAGGTAGGGAGGTTTTCCAGGACATGGTCGGACAACTTGTGGCCTGCGGTGTCTCGGATGATGCGTTCAAACTCTTCTGGTTCAATGTATCCGTCCTTGTCTTTGTCGAAGAGATGAAAGGCCTGTCGTATCCGTTCGCCCTGCAGGCCACGCATCATCTGTGCAAATTGCGGGTATGTCATTTCATGTCTCTTGTTCTTGCCGCCAATGTACAACGTCGCCCATTCCGAGTTGAAGTCGAAGGGGATGCTGTCTCGACCTCGGTTCTGCTCGTAGATCTTTTGGAATGCTTCCGACTTGATCAAGCCGGTGCCGTCGACATCGAACAGGCGGAACGCTATTTCGTACTCGGCGTCCGGTTTCGCAAGCAGGTTGTCAAAGGCGGCCCATTCAGACATGGAAATCCGGCCACGCTTGTGTCGATCGGCGACATTGAAGAGGATGCCATACTGCTCTCTCTTGATTTTGTGCTGTATTGCGACAAAGGAGTCAGCAACTGTGAACTGCGCGACCAAAAAGTTTGGTTCAGGTTATAACACGTGACAACTTACATAGTCTTCCTCAGGGGGAGCAATGGCATCAATAAAGTCCTCCTCGTTCATGTAGAGCTCGCCATCATCGCCTCGCCGTGAGTGTTTCAGAAAGCTGAGCCGCGCCTCAGTTGATAAGCTTTCAGGTTGTGTTGCACCTATCAAGGACTCTTTGACAGCTTCTGTGACGGTCGCCATGGTTGGCAGGTGGTCTTGGTCTGGTCAATTGGTATGAGAAAGGAAGGAGAAAGGTGAGGTAGGATTTCCTCCGAGATCGGTAGGAGGTTCGCGCAGCGCAGCCAAAATAATCTGTCGCGTGGCGTGCGGAGGAGTTGAACACAGGGGCAGAAGGAAAAGTGAGGTACAAGTGAGCCACTCCGTCGCTGAGACCGGTGAGCAGCTGTCGCGATGTGATGAATTGCACGCGAGTAAAGACACAAGCTGGAAGAAGGGGGTTTGAAAACAAGGAGCTGGAGTTCGCTCACACAAGAGCAATCAATTCTGGGGAACCGGAATGGAGGAGTTCGAGTTCCTGGAGAAATTCGAGATTGACAGACACACACACACACACACTGGGCAGTTCAGTTTGCTGGTAACCGGCTACTGAACGACGATTCCGACTGGCTGCTGCGGTTCCGGTAAGGATGGACTAGCGGGAGCCGTATTACTTTGGCAATTCAGGTTGTCGCAATGCCAGCCGAAAACAAGTACAATGCAGTGGATAACGTGGGCGGGTAATCCTATTGCCTTGAAGCTAACGTGTTTACTACTATGTACAATGTTATGCCGCTGACTCAGTATGGTACATTTGTTGAAATTATTTATATCGCCGTATCCCCCCGTTCAACCGCCGCCGGCTCTGTATAGTACTTTAGCAGGTCCCCTAACGTGTCCCTGTCCAAGGTAAACGTGTTTAGAGATCTCGAAAAAATTTAGCCCGACCCGTGTCGAGGACTTAGCCGCCTGCTAGCCACGATAGGCAACCCGCTGCAGGCACAGTGATATACACCATGCCTATACCGGTTACCGCACTCTGTGGCTCGGTCTCACTTTCCGCGAGCCCGAAGGGGCCCAGGGAACTCCAACCCGTCAAAACTCCAGCATTCGCCGGTGGGCATCGGCGCCTTCAGCCGATGGCGACGAAGCTCGGGTGAAGGGAGACGAGAACACGGAAGACATTCACAAAAAAGTATCCTTGGGGCATTAACCGCCGCTGCCGCAACAGTGACCAGGTGGTAAAAGTACGTTATTAGTACATGGATAGCTTCTTCTGTCGGTCTCGACAATCTGGAGCATTGTAGACCCCGTCTGTCAGGGTCTGGCTTCAAGTACGCGTTGATAAATAATATATATACCTATAGAAGGTATACTACTACTAGGGCTGGCCAAGATAATACAGCAAATAGCCACTACTGATACATATTTGGGGATTTCCCATTTTCCAAAGACATGCATTCCCTCTTTTCTCCCTTTCCCCAACTAACCGGTGTACTGATATCCACCATCCGTCTTGTAGGCCGTCGGTGAATCAGAAAGAATGTGTCCCAGTCCAGGGAGACTGTGCTGTTGTTGCAAGGTTGCAAGCCCTATCTCGCTGGCACGCCGACAATGCCCAACAGCCTGACCCAGACCAATCCCACTATCATCTGCATTTTCATACTCATCATTTGAAGATGAGACGTGTTCTGACTCCGGAGGCGCCGTCTGCCCAGAGCTGGCACGAGACCTGTTCCTGATATGACGAGGTCGAGCAATCCCCAACCTCCGAAAGCCCTGCTGCAATATCTGCAATAGCCTACGATTTAGCAGTTTCTCAAGGCCCACAGAGATAGGGCAGGGCAAACGAGGATCAAGACTCACCATCTTTTCCACCTCGTCCCATCTTTCCCCCACCTGTTCACCAACGCCGCGCCAGAACCGTTCGCGGTGTTTGTTGTAGCAGGTCACGACGCGCTGAATCCGGGCTTCATCCCAATGGCCTCGTGCTTTCTGTTGTAGCCGTTCATGTCTTTTTCGACACGCGTTGCCCGTTTTGTTGGGGAAATACTGCGTGTGGATCTCGTCCCACGACATGTCTCGACTCTTGGCCTCGAGAAGCGCGTTATCCTCCTCCGGTGTCCACGGGAGACTCTGTCCCGGTCGGGGAACCGGCTCGGGCTGCAGCACTTGATGCATGGGCATAGAGTGATGAGGCGGCCGCACAGCCTGCCCAGACATGTAGGATTGCATCATGGGTTGCTGGTGGTGGTACTGTAGGTGATGGTCGGGCCAGGCCATGCTGGCGCCAGGCTGGTTCTGTGGCCATGCTGCCATATTGGTCACCATATTGGTCGAGTCGCGGAAATTATATGGCGCAGGTCTTTTGGTCGGACGCGGTGCCGTGTGCTGTTTGGGCATTCCTCGCCAAACAAGATGCCTCCGACCCAAGGGTAAGTGTTGCGGTCAACAACCAGGCTGACCGGACACAAAACAGAAAAAGGAAAGGATTATGATTATGCAAAGTTCAGTTCATGCGCAACGAGTGTACTGTAGTAGACAAAAGCAGCCCAACAAGGGAAAACGACCGAGACGAGGACCTTGTAGAGCTGAGGGACTGGACAAAACTGAGGATGTTGAACGCCTGGATGCCTCCGGCCCTGACCACCGTCTTATGAAGGTGTGTATCCAGCCCAACGAGACCGACAACTGAGCCTCAAACATGCGGGCGTCAATTTCAGATCTGAACAGCCGCGGGTTTCAAATGCTTCAGAGACGGTGTTGGCATTTTTATTAAGGTCAGTCTTCATACTTACCCTCTGCAGGCGCAGCGTTCGCAAACAACGGCTTCTTGCAATGCTTGAGATGTGCGTCTCAGGAGGATAACAGGCCGGCATCATTGGGTCAGTGCTCGTTGGACTCCATCTGAAACTCGAGCCTTGCGACCATGATCGATATTGTGGGTCCATGCCGTAGCGCTCCAGCAGGTAGATTTCATGCCCGACCCTACCTCAGGTTTGATACGTGCCATTAGGGCCACGGACTGAGCGGCTGTTCATCAAGCGAATTTCCAGTAGCCGCCGGATGACAAGGGTGGTTGTGTAGTGTAGAGCTGGCATGGTGCTAATACGGGGGTTCAAGTTTGGGGCAGTTCGCAAACCTCCAAGATAGATCTATCTGATCATTGGCGCAACTCGGGACGCCGCAGAGGTCAAAGATCGCCTGGCCATCCGCCATCTGTATTGGTTGCGGTGTGGCAGAAATAAAGGCGGATGATCGTGTTGCCCCGATCGAGTAGCCGCTCATATCCAGGTAGTTTGATACACGCCAATGCTAATAATAAAGATGCAGGAACTTCACAGTGCCAAATCCTGGTAAACCTCCTCGTGTGTAGACAAACCGCTGCCTGCGCCACAACTGTTACACCGTCATCATGATGATGGTGGCACAGAACCCTCTCAATGCAGGGCAAATTCGTAGATGTTGCCAGTGCAATATGCTGTTTCCAAAGTGTCGGGGAGGACTTGGATATAGGGAAGATGCCAAACGTACTTGCCCTGGTTCAAGGAATGCCACCCGAATCCTACGATTCTCCCGTGAATTGTTTAGCAAAATGCGAGACCCCTACACGATGATCGGACCAAGATGAGCACTCAAGCAGCCGCGTTCTTTCCGTCACAGGTCTGGCTGCACATCCGAGTGAGAATTGCTGCATACATCGCTCAGCAAGATGCTGCGGAAGCCTTTACAGAACGATGCTTGTTAGATCATCCGCCATCGCTCTAAGCATAAGTTGGATGGGCCGTAAGCAAAAGAGAATGTTTGTCGAGGTTGGATTACATCTGATTTGACTATTTCTAGAGAGTGTCCGGGAGATGCTTGACCAGCAATCTCACCACTGTTCAGCTCCAAAGATACGACCAGCTCTGCTCTGCCGTCAATACCGAAGGGCAACAAAGAGAGGACTTGAGACCCAACTGCCGTATCAAGGAGAACCGAAACATCATTCGCCTGTGCACCTTTTTGAGTCGTCATTAACATTCATTACATCACATCTCATCATATCATAATATTGTCGCTTGCCACAATCATCTTCGCTGCCACCGTCGCTCTTCCCTCGACATCTTGGTATGCGATCCGTAGTACTCTTTGTCATCAATAGGGGTCACACAGTATACCACGGGGCTGTCGGCGAAAGACAACTGTCGTCCTGCCGATGATGATGACTGGGGTGACTTCTTTAAGATGCTTCGTGAAGAGCTCGAGTTCTTGTATGCATATGTTGGCTGTTGCATAGTAGAGTAGCCCCTTTGGTTGAGCCGAGTGTTTCGCGCGGTTGGACTAAGAGGCGAAGGAGGAATAGGTGACCTCAAAGGGCTCAATGGAGACTTCAGCGACAGCGATGGTCGGGATCCAGAAGAAGCGGCAGCGGTGGTGGAGATGTTCAAGGACAACTTGGGCTTTGCAGAGCGTGAGGCAAGCATGTTGATGATGTCGAAATTAAAAAAAGCGCTGTGGTTCGATATTGTCTTTGAAAGTTGCTTGGAAGCCTGTGGCTAGGAGTGATTGATGTTTTGTAAAAGCCGAATGTTATCTTGATAACAAATGACGACAATGGTGCAAGTCGAGAAGAGCCGGCACCGGGATTGCAAGAAATGGCACAAGACAGATGCAATAATAGAATACTGTAGCAATTGGACCAGCCAATTGCAAGAGACCGTAGATGTGGCAGTGCGTATGAAAGCAGAAAGGTAGGAGAGCGTCCAGACAATCAATGTTTGGCGTGGAGAAAGAAGAGAGAAGGAGAAGTCGTTTCAAAGGGCAGAGTGGGCGGCTATGTATATTTTCAGAACATCGAGGAGGTCTGCTGTCTGGATGAACCATGGGGACATCCATTTCCCCATCCTGGTTGTGGCAGTTGGGGTGGTCCGTGCGCTCCTGCAACCACATCCAATACCGACGCTTGTAGAACCGCTCACCGTGTGATACTTGTGCATTATTGTTTCCAATGCCCAATTGATTGTGCAGTATGCTGCACATCCGGCGTACATTGCATGCTGATGCACCTGGATACTCTTGTAAACTATTGCTAACTGCCCAGGAGTAGGAGCATGACAACTCATGCCCGCAGAGACACCAGCATGCACTGGATGTTGATAAAGTAAACTATTGATATGTGCATCAATATCAAGGCCCTTTTCGTAACATCACATTGTGATATTGTGTGACAGGCTTCCAGACCTGAGTCTTCAGGCAGGGTATCGGTCATCCTAAGGGGCATACTGAGAGCACATGCGGATTGGATTTACCGTGTCACATTGCCCAGAACAGAAATGATTCTGTAGCAAAGCTGGCAGGCTGTATTGAGTACAGAACCGATAGCTGTCAATGAGGACTTCACCAGGGTCAAGGTGCTTTCTAAGCGCAAGTACCACTCCGGAAAGCGGCCGAATACCTGTTTGATTATGATCACAAGTGCACTTACCTGGCTCTGTGTTACGGGGACGATGGTTGACTAGTATGCGCATGAATGGAACTTTGTTTGACTTACCAAGACAGTGTACATGGTGCCAGTCAATGGGTTTCGAGGCAGTTTTGATCTCATGTCCATCAGACCGTAGTCTTGTTTATAGGCCAAGATCGTCGGGTGAGCCATTGCAGGAATGCGACCAAGTCTTGGCTTTGGTTGAGCTATCCTTCCAGTTATGAAAGAACATGTCGAATCAAGTAGGCATACACTGGCATTGTGGGTGGAATCCCTTGTGGCTGAATACAACCATCAGAAGTGAAGAGACCCCCACCGAGTTTTTCGTCACTGATATAAGGCGCGCTGAATTCCCCTGAATGTGGAATGTGAAGGCTTTGTGTCGTGCTCGCTGTTGTTGATAGGCGGCATCATCAAGATTCCACAGAAAGGCGATCATCGAATATCTTTGCAGTCGCAGATAGATTCATGTTCAACTTGTTAAAGATCTTGGACTCGGTTGTGAAGATTGGAGGTGAAGTAGCAGCGCACACCAGGCGATGACGCGCGAGCTGCCAAATTGACAGGCGGTCCGAGCATGGCGCTGTGCGCTTAAGATATTTGACGTGCCCCTAAAGTGATTTGGCAGGGCTGACTGAAGTGAGAGCGATTAAGCGAATTGTAGGCGGACTACTGGTGTATGAATCATGGCGTACACGGCGAGGGCAGGAGTTTGTCAATTTGGATTGCAATGTGCGTAAGGCAAGCATGTGTGAGTCGATGCCAACGCCGAGGTTGCCCAATAAGCCGAACTATCGAGCTGAAGCAAGGCGATAAATGAAAGGATGCTGACTGCTGCTAAAGCTTGTGATGAAACAGTCGCAAGCAGAGAAAACCCAAGCCGATGTTGTTGTGATACATTGAAAAAGCAAGGCGCATTTTAGTAGCATTTGCGGCCAGATAGCGACTTGCTCAGTCCTTGAAACCGTGATCCTGCTGCACCGAGATTGGAACCGCGACCTTCTGTCTGGAAAAAACAAGTGACACTTTTGAAGCCGCAGGAGGATAGACCTTTTGCACAAAATACATGGAGGCATCGATATCAGGATCGAAAGCCAGTATTTCGCGAGATTGTGGGAGAGCGGTGCCGAAGCAGAAGTATGGTGCAATCACGAGGCTTTACCTGCCAGCATAGCGATCATCGCGGCTGTAGTCTCGACCACCTGCATAGTCACGAGGAGGTTCCTCACGTGCTGCTGGAGGGTAGCCGCCGCCGCCACGTTCCTCGTTGCGGTCGTAGTATCCACGTCGATCTCCACGACCGCCGCCGTAGCCGCCTTCGTCCCGTCTGCTCTCGTAACGATCGATGCCGCGACCGCCGTATCCGCCGTCGTCCTTGTCACGTCTGCCACCACCGTAGTAGCCGCGACGATCGCCGTAGTCATCTCCACGAGATGCGCCACGGTCGTAGTCATCGTAGCGAGAGCCACCACGGTAATCGTCACGTCGTCCTCCGTGGCCTCCTCTACGGTCATCGTAGCGGTCACGGTAGCCACCACGTGGTGGGCCACGGAAATCGCCTGCGAAATGTTAACTGACACTGCACCATGGATCAGACGGTTGGAACTTACCCCGCTTGGGAGGTCCGAAGTATTTGCCCGGAGTCGGGGTGCGAGGACGAGCACGACGCGCTTTTTCGATGCTCAAAGTGCGGCCTTCGATAACCTCACCTTGTAGACCTTCTCTGGCGGCCTCGGCCTGTTCAGGGGTGACCATCTTCACGAATCCGAATCCACGGGACTCCTTGGTATGAGGATCAAGCATGATCGAGCAGCTCTCAACTTCACCGTACTTCTCGAAGAGACGAGTAACATCGGCTTCAGTGAGGCGAGGATGGATTCCGGTGACGAAAAGATTGGTGCCAGTATTGACTGCGCCTTCATCTTCGGCATCTTTCATGCGTGTATCAGAAGGGGGTGGGGGGCTATGATGCTGTTAGTGATGCGGCCGAAGCAGAAGAAGGACTCTCTCTTACGGTCGGTCGCCGCGTCCGGCAGGGGAGCGACTGCGATTGCGGTCATCGCGGTCACCACGAGGCGAGGCTGATCTGTCGCGACGTTCATAGCCACGATCGTCTATGATGAGTCGAATCAGCCAGCTATCTCTTTCTACTGGTTTGGACACCATTTACCTTCATATCGGGCAGCCGAATCCTCAAAGTCAGCCATTGTAGAAGGCAATGGCGGGTCGATGAAGGAGGCGTAAACGTTGAACTGTGGGCAATCCGCAACTTGGGGATTGAAAGTGTTGTGCGAAGACAACTGTACAGAGCCGCTGAGGATCAGACCAGCAGACTGGCAAAGAAATGAATGTGATAAATACCTGAAGAGATGAAAGGTGCTTGTGGTTTGTTTGTGAGACCGTGAGGCGTGGATTAGGCGAAAATTAAGGACACGCTCTTGAAAACAGCCTAGCGCCAATCTCGAAGGGCGGATCATATCCCCCGTGCTTTGCTTTGCCAAGCCTGCTCCGGCGGAGCACAAAGCAGAGGGAGTCACAGAAATATCACGTGATTATCAAGCACAGCCTGAGGGACCGCAAAGGGCAGAGAGGCAGGGAAGATTCAGCGTTTAGCCACGAGGGCGAGGAGAGTCTATAGCCCAATCCGATTACCACAACATTTTTCACCTTCAGCAAGCAGTCTCATTGCCAATCTCCACATTTGACTATCGGTCCCTAAAACATGAGTCCGGGCTGAAATACTGCCCGCTCCCTGCCTAAATAGTACTTGAAGTACGGAATCTTCTCATCTTCGAAGCCGAAATGACCTTGTACCCCATTCAGAGGCCCTGCCACGTTTACTTCCCCTCCGAGATGCCTTTTTTGCGGCAGCGGCGTCCGTAGACAGCGTGTCTGACTCCAGCGCAGGAGCAACGGCATCCTCGACATCAACCTCGTCACCTGCGCCCAGTCCTTGGAGTTCTTCCTCGTCCATCTCACTAAGTTCCTCGCTCATCTCTCGCAAGACTTCTGGGCCAGTCCATCGCTCTTCGAAAATGGTGGTGCCGTCAGGGTCAAAAGGCGCAGCATACCAGGGGATCCCTCCCTGCGGAGGAGATACATGTGAGTGATCCTGGAGACTTATAGGGGGTGTCGGGGGTTCGAAGCTCCCCGTTTGACCTGTCGTAGCGTCGCCATCCATGTGATTGTCAGGCTTGAAGCCATTGGTGGATGCAGGCGGTGTTTCGGCAAAGACTTCGGCGGCTTTGACTCGAATACCGTCTTGCTTCGAGAAATCTGCCTTCTCCATGATGTCTTTGACGGCTATTTCGGTTTCGATACCATCCTCTTGCACCTGCTCAACTGTGTCTGGAACGTCAACCATCTCGACGTCGTCGCCATCCTCTGGACTGGCCATGCCTGTTTCGTGTTTCTGTTCTACAGGGTCAAAAACCGGCAGTTCCGTAGAGTCCATGAGAGAGTCATGCCGTGACAAAAGAGCCTGGTCAAGCTCACGGATCTGTTGCGCGTATGGTCGGCCATTCAACTCAGCTTCTTTACGGGTAGCATCTTCGATAAGTGGCTCGATAGCCTTGACGATGCGTCGCGCGAGTGTCCGACGGTCGCGATCCTCCGAGCTCATGTCCTCCGCCCTACCGCTAACGAGCGCGATCAACTCTGGTAGAGATGACGCGTCATTGCCAAAGTGTGAGGTTATCACTTTAACAACGTCATGCGCAAAGCTCGCCACGGAAGTATGCTCTTTCCTCATGACTTTGGCACGGAGCTCAACAAGCTCATTTCGAAACAAACCTCGATCAAGCCTGTCAAGCGTTAGTAAGGGATCCTGAGTTAAATAAGAAGAAACTAACTTGAGTGCTTTGTCCACGATCGGCTCCAATAGGTGTGGGATGGGCAGGTAAACGGTGTCAACGATGTCCTTCAACAGGAGGGCCTCCTGTAGCTTTAAAGCCTCACGCTGCTTGACCAATTCACAGAGTTGCACAATTCGGCTCATGTCCTCGGCCAAAATTTCGGCGAACTCGATCCGGCGATCTAGACGTGCACGTCCAGCTGCACCCTGGGCCTTGTAGTCGCGACGAGTGACCTCAAAGGAGCTGAAAGTGTCCATTTGCAATTGCAGCCGCTTCAACAGAGCGGCCCCTCTGCGTGCCTCACGCTTAAGGGTCCAATATTTGCAAATTTCGGAGACAAACTCTTTCTTCTTTTGTACCGTGAATCGAACCAAAGAGTCTTCGATTGATTTGAGTATCACCTCGGGGATGACAGGGGCACCTGATGGTAGTCTCCAGATTGTTTTCTGTTTCTGTCCCTTCTTGTTCGTGAGTGTCACCTTGAGTTGACCCTTTTCAGAGTTAGGTGCATCGTGCGTGTCGTTGATGGCCAGAGCTGAAGCGCGGCTGTCGGCCCAGATTTGTCCCCGAAAGTGCTCCTTGAAGTATTTTGTCGCTTCCTCGTATGCCCTGTCAGTGTTATGCTCGTGCTTCCAATCTGCAGGCGTATGTTTGTGGCAGTATGCCCGAAGCTGGGATTTATCCATGAGGGAGTTCTGGCCACCTCCGGTTTTCATGCGCAAGTAAAGACCAGCCTGGCGCGCACAGGTCAAGTGAAAAGCCTCATAGCAACGACCATCACTGCACTGAATGCATGCACCCATTTCTTGCTTGCAGATATAACATACAAGCTTCCAACGCCCGGGAGGAACCTTTTCGACGTCGGTGATGGGCTCCATCAGCGAAGGGTTGCCGATGCTGACCTCTGGGATCCAGGTTGCGCAAAAGAGGTGCGCCCATTTGGAATTATTGGTCTGCTTGAACGCGCCTCCTTCATTTGGACAGAAAATGCAGCTTGGCCTAGAATTTCCAACCAACTGGCACTTCCGACATAACCATTGACCTTCCGGGATATATGGCACGCCGTAACATTCTTGATGTACCGCTAGATCACATCCATCGCAGAAGACAATCGCATTCGCATTCTCGCAGTCGCCGTCGTCGCATATTGCACATTTGCTGTCTGGCTCTTCCCCTGCAGGTTCACCATTCACCGCAGCTGCAGAGCTAGACCGCGGCCGCTGTGTCTGCGGAGCCTTTGGATTCGGCTTTGGGATCCTCTTCTCTAGGGCATGCCATTCCTTTTCAATCTTGGTCATTGTTATTTCGAAGATGGCAGGCTTTATTGTCTGTGCCCCATCTTTACTGCGGCCTTTGTTGAAAGCCTCCAGCCACTTGACATCTTGCTCATCCATGTCATACTCCACGCGTCCGACACCAGTACTGCCGATGGCCGAATTCTCCCCGGTCGTGACAAGGTCCGGGCTCAGATCCAGGTCTTCCTCGGCCGAGCCTTCTGTTTGCCTGATGTAAGTTCGAGCAGGCCGCAGAAAGATTTCACTCTCTTGATATCCCACATTTGCCATGGACTTGTCCACGAAGTCCACTTGGGCAATCCCCTTTTGCTCGTAAGACACAAAGGGATCCAGTACTCGGTAAGATGGTTTTGGCAAGGTCAACCGCTCCCTTGGGTTTGGTCCTGGAACTGGAACTAATCTGGGTGCCTCGGGTGTGAGAAGAGCGCTGACCATAGAATTCTGTGTACGGTGAGGTCTTCCAGGTCTTCGCTTCGGAGGAGTCGCGCTTCCTGAGGTAGTGTGAACGCCCTCCCCGACCATGCCACCATCTTGAGAAATGCCATCTATCGTGGGCTTTTTCAGAAGCCCATCAACCTCCTCAGACGGGATAACTGCAAAGTCGGCCCCAAGGTCAAGATCCGGGTGAAACTCTTCCCAGCCTCGCTCCTCTCGAGGCTTATACCCGTCGCCATGCGCCACAGCCGCAGAAGCGGCGGCAGCAGTGCTGTAGCGAGGACGAGTGGAGCCTCGATTCCTACTTCTGGCCGAATACCGAGGCGTCGCGGTCATTGTCCTTCGTCGCTCTCGACTTGAGCGGGGGCGCGTTTGAGGGAGTACATATTCGTCATTTGCACGCGGTGTCCGCGTAGCTGATCGGGTACTTCCGTTATCGATGTGTCTTCCTCCTCCTCCAGGACCGCCAGGAATCCACTTGGACGGCGCTTGGGCTTTGCGCGAGGTTCGTATCCGCTTCGAAGGGGGCTCGAGGTCCTGGAAGTCGGCGAGATCGTCGTCGTCCAGTTGGTCAAAAACACCGGCTGACTTTGTCGTGTCTCGGCGCGAACGTGTCCTCGCCTGCGCAGTCCTCAGAGGGCCCATTATACTGGGTACAAGCCAGCAAGTTGACACGACTGGGCTGTTGGGGGCTTGAGGCTAGGTGGCGCAGTGCGGTGTGCGGTCAGGTGCAGGCGTCGGAGATGCCATTCAGTCACGTCGATGGGCAACCAGAGTAATTTGTAGCTAGGAGGAGAACCATAAAAGAGAAACGAGTAATCGTTGTACCGTGAAATTGTGGTGGTTTCGCCTCGAATCACCACTGGCACTGGGTCACTTCTACGGTTGTCGTCCCCCTTCAAGTTGGGGTTAAGCGCGACTCTGACTGCGAGGCGACAGTGGGTCCGGAGAGCTTGGCACCGATCTGCGAGGACTTAACATCGTAGTACTACGGTTTATGACTACCTACCAGGTACTATAGTCCATTGTATGCCGCGTTGTATATACGGTCCCTTCACAATCTGAAACTGCCAACGCTCGCATCAAAGAGTCACAACTCACTACATGAAGTGTCTGTGGTGACAACGCACTGGCAGTCACTTGGTACCTTGTTGCCGTCGCCCTCAATGAACCAAGAGTAAGTTATAGTCCAGACTTCAGACTTCCCACCTAGACCACAGCCCCGGCCAACCCAGCTCTTGATTTACCTCTCCTTACACACCCATACTTACAAGATGCCTGGAAACCGTAGGACTCGCAACGGCCGTCGAGGAAACGACCCCAAGAATGCCAGCCAACAGCGCCAATCTGCAGGATCCCGAGATGGCACGCCGCACGCCAATTCGTCGCAACAGTCTAGAAAGGGCGCAGGCGCAAAGTCAGGATCGAATGCCAGTGTGAGCCGGTCGACGGACAACAACGGCCAGAATGGCTCAGCGGCAGCGGGCCAACCTACTGGCAACATAGTACCCTCGAGCGAAGAGCAATATACTCCCACCGCAGGCTTCAACTATGACGCAGTGGACGCGGCTCTCAAGCAAGGATATGATCTCCGAGCGCCACTGTACAAGCCAGAGCCTAATGTGGCGCAAACCACGAAACCAGAGACACCTTGGGGTTTGAAGCGTAAGTTTGTTTGCCCGAGGTCAGAACCCATGGGCTAACGAATGAACTGAAGCTGGCGCTATGGCCAATGGGAAGGATTTCTGGCTCGATCTGCGCAAACAGGTGGCTGCGCTGCAACAGAGCGGAGGCACAAGCCAGGGAGGTTGATGGAGTAATCATTACTGTCGTGATGCAGCGGGGCATGAAAGAAAGCATTATCAAACTATATTGGGTTTATGAAAGCATAGCGGCATTTCTACAGCGATGGCGTCGGCGTTTGCTTGGTTTGGTGGTCAAGATACCCTGCTACAGTCTGAGTCCTCCTTTGGCGCTTATCCAGCATGCGCAGCGTTCAATCCCGCCCCAGTCTATCAGGCCTGTCGCGACTGAGGAACGTGCCCAGGCCGTTATGGCTTGGAAAATTCACCCATGAGTTCTAGCTGCTGGGTCCTGATCGTTCCCACCTGAGGCTCAGCATATTCTTTTACATGGTCTTGTGCATGACGAGAGTATGGCCATCTCCAAATCAGGGAGCATGCAAAGACCGGCCTGCGCAATATTCTGATAGCACAACAGCGCTTACATTACTATGCAAAAAGACCCAAAACAGAATGCACATAAACAAACCAGAACAAGTCCAACAAGAAATTCCGGCAGACTTGAGATGACCAAAGTAGGTGTTGAAGATGATTGTCACGCTGGATTCACATTTCCATTCAGAGCTCCCTTCCAGGGACCCTTGAACCTATTTTAGGCATCGCATTTGATGATGCGAGTATGCAGAAAATATGCGTAGGCTTGTGCCACGTTTTTCATGTCATCCGGACTCTCCGCATTCAATCCTCCCCAGTCGCCATGGGCTAACCCAACCACACAGCGAAGCGGGTGTGACTCTTCTTTTTTGCCTTTCTCAAACATCCATGTCCATAGGAACACTCGCTTATGCGACCATGGTGCTGGCGGTGGCGGACTCGTACTTCCAGTTGGGTTGCAAAACACCAACGGTCTTGTAGTATCTGCTGAGACGGTGGATTCTGGATTCGATAAGAATGAGACGGAACTTGGAGTCCTTGTCCTTTCGGTTGCGCTCGAGATGCTTGCGGACGGCGACGGCCTAAAAGTATCAATCAACACCATGAACTCGCGTCTTGTCCACCAGTGTTGTAGTTGCTTACCTTCTTGATCAAGAAGTAGAGGTCCTCAGGGATTTCCGGGGCGAGACCTATATGTCACTCTGTCAGTCTTGATGGACCAAAGCAGAGGCTGTGCTGGTGCATTTCCTGATGCCAGATATTCTCTGGCAAGCGGTACGTAGGTGTGCCCAGTATGGAATTGGAGCAGTATGCCCATCTTGGTTTTTTTGTTTTTTTCCTTCTTATGCAGAGATGATTCCGATCTCGTTTCACGGCGGAAGAGCGAGGCGAGGAGGTTGAGATTGAGATTTGCGCATACCGTTTGACTTGAGGATTCTCAGGATTTTGTTACCTGCGCGCGGCGAATTAGCACAAACTTGAACACGACCCAGCAGTTTCGGTTCTCCTTACCAGTGACGACCTTGACCTGGGCGACACCATGGCTGTCTCGAAGGACAACACCGATCTGAGAAGGAGTGGCACCCTTTCTGGCGAGTTTGCAGATGTTGTCGACGACCGTCTCCGGGGTGCTCTTGAACCACGTGGGCACGCGGCGCGAGTATGGGATGGCCGAAGCACTGATACCCTTTCCCTTGCTGTGAAGACGACCCATGGTGGCTGTTGTGTTGTCGAGTTTGGCGGATTGTCGGAGGAGGAGAGGTCGAGTTTGTCGTCGTTGGGATCGCACAGATTGTAGGTGTTGAGGCTGCGAGTGCACCCAAGACAATTTTGTGTGAAAGTGCCAAGACTTGTAACTCTTGGCGCAATGGGGGCCTTTCAAGGAACTTTTTACCGCAAATCCAAACACTTCGTCCCTTCCTATCACTACCACTCTCACTCTGTTTTCCGCATTTTCACGGCTGTACCAATTGTCGATATTTGAAGATGATGGATTGCAAATATCTGTCGATTTAGCATGGGAGATATCTCCCCGTTTTGCTGAGGCGCAGTGCGCTGCGAAAACTCTCAGCTGCTGATTACATAAAGGGTTTCGCTTTTGCAGCATCGTTCTCAACAGCGTGTATACTGACTGGTATGTATTCCTCACATCTCCTGCTTCTCCCTCCACAACTCTTTATGATGACAAACATCTAAACATTACTTATTTCTGGTACCTCTTATGCCAGAAGAGCCTGCTTTATCGCGGGTTCCTTCGATGATCTAAATGGACTTCTGATCTGCCCTTATCCATCTCCCAATATTGCGTGTCTTGATGTCGAGATTGGGGCTGATTCACCTTCTACAGTTTCGAGCAGCACAAATTTCGCTGGCCGTCCTGGAACAAGCAGAATACGAGACTGTGTTATCGTCGAAATTCTGATGCCATAGACCCTTGTGAACCCGAGTGGCAGATGTTTTTCTTTCATTGTAGCCCAATACATGTTCTGTTCCAAACATTGTACAAGTAATACAGGGTTTCCTCGCTCTCAAGGGGTATAAATTATTCGCACGCTGTCCATCCAAGCGATGCATACCAGTCCAACGCCAACGCTGCGGAAAGAAGATCAATCAAACGTCAAAGGGACTTTTTGTTATGATATGCCACCCATTTCTGTATCACCATCTCTTCCTGCAACAGACCCCTCCTCTGGCTTCTTCTCTTCCTCATGCACGCCATTCGTGACCTGTGAATCTTGTGCGGAAGTGGCCTGCGGTACTGAGGCTTCAGACGCGGCGGCTGGCTCTTCCGTGGTGGCTGCAGCCTCCGGCCCAATGTGTTCTTGACGAACCTCCGGCTGTTCTTGCGGCTGTGTCGCGGGATCTTCTGGCTGTGTAGGCGCAGAAGTTTCTTCTGTTTGTGGCTTGGGATCGTCGAACTTATATAAAAACCTTTCACGAATGTTCGTCCGGTCCGGGTTGCCTTCGTACAAAATCGACTGGTGGATGAGGCATTCGCCTAGCCATTGAAGAGGAAACTCGGCTCTATAGAAGCACAACAAGATGAGGTCAGCACCGGGAAGGGCGAGCGCAAGACGATTTTACAATGCAAACGCAATACAATATATATTTGAGACATGGGGACCGGGTCCTAACATACTCTACACCCAAGCTCTCGGTGATGGCTTTCTTGAGAAATGGCGCGACTCGCGCGTTCAAGTAGTCCCTCAGTGGGACTTGTTGTCTGTTCCCGCCATCATTCACGATCGTGGTTGGTGTATTGGAGGCTGACTGGGACATGTTGACCAGTTGTTCTCGCTGTATTTGACTGGAAGGGGGTTCTCAAAATCCAAAAGTCAATGATAAACATACAATGTTAGGCTCGAGATGCCAGTACGGTTTCCGCCCTGTCCCAAACGAGAAGGTGGGCCGGATAAGGTCACGTGGTAGAATTGGCTCTTCCATGGCCTTTCCATGGCCTAGTTGTTTGCAGAGTAGTGGTCGTGAGGGATATGATTTGTTTGGGCAGCTGTTTAATGATGATTATGATCTCCAATGAGAGGGCGGACCTATGATACAAGGGCTCACAAGATGTATCAAGGTGGAGCGTTAATTGTCAAACAATTTCCGCAACACTTTAGCGGTCATGAAACCAAGACCGAAACTGTGAAGAGCATTAGAAGACAAATCCGTATCCAGCAGCCTCACAGGACTTCCTCTTGAGGGCAGGCATATTCGAACCGAGTCTTCGAAAACAACAGTAAAAGGCCGCAGATCCATGCTGTACCTGCGTCTGAGCGGCGAAATTGTGGCGCCGCGAGGACTTGAAGACCAATAGTCACCTCCCATCATGCTTTGGAGACTCATGCTTCCATTTATGTTCTTCCGATTGAAGCAATATATAGGAGTGATGGGACCGGACTTCAGTCGGGCTTCGAAGCGAATGGACCAATGCTCATTTTGTAACCGTCCGTGGCTGGAGATTCGGCACCATTCCCAGGCAACGAGGAGAACTTGCTATTCAGATGCCATGCAACAGGAGAATGTTGAGGCTTCGCATATCTCCCATCAACATAACAAGCCGATATCACCTTCTGTAACAAACCGACCAGAGGAACTGTGGGCCAACCGAGTGAGCCTCTTGAAGTTCACCACGTGTCGACATAACACTGGCGATAGTACAACATCGACAGCTGGAGACATCGGCAATGTAAGGTATTGGGACATTGGACGACACCTGACCATTTTTCAATGCACCGCTGGCGGGATGGGCACAGTTAGCGCAGCTTCCATTGAAATGTGAGGATGGCTAAAGTGAAGCGACTGTTGTTTAGCTTCTTAAGTCAAGAAACAGAAGGTCTTGTACGGCGCAACGTGGCTCTGCAACAGTGCCCGACGGCGTCATGGATGCGTTGGCGCAGTTGGCGTAGCCGAAGCACGCGGCAAAGAGCGGTCTGAGCGACGAGTGTCATCTATATATAATAGACGACGTCGCAAGTATTCTCCACAGGTGGATGTCTTTTTCTCATGGAAGGGGAATGACAGGAGACGAAACACACTGCCGGGTCCTGGCCCTGGCGCCAATGTCAATTGCTCACGGCTGAAATGAAGGCTTCGCTTACGAGTTCTGTGCAGCGGTTATGCTGCTCAAGTCTAACAACGCAGCTCGTTCCTCGACGCAGTGGATGCTGTCTGTATAGGTCGAGCAGGTCACGGTTTGCGCCAGTGCTTGTAGACGAGGCTGCGATACCGTGACAGGTTCCATATATTTTGCGCGCATCTGTTGGATGCCATTGTGATGGAAGTGCCAGTGTGCAGAGAGACAAAGAAGCGGCTGATATGAGGATCCCAGCCGCCCGCAGGCGCTCTGAAGCTTAGGCGGGTTACAGGCGCTGATTCGGCAACCGAACACCTCGTCCAGGCATGTCATTCGACACACCATCAGCCTGCGACGGGATGGCGCCGTCCCTCGAGGCCTTTCGGGGATCCCTGTCAGTTGCTTGGGCCCTGGCTTGACTGTATGTTTATCCACTTTCTCTATCGAAGCGAAGCCCGTGCGACTGTGGCACTGACATCGCGGAGAGGAGCAAAACAACTACGAGCGGATACTAACCCTACTGCTGGAGCTCCTCTGCGCTCGGAAATAAAGACAACAAACAACAACACCTCAATCTCGCGCCGGCTGCAGGGGCGCGGAGACGAACAAAAGAAGCTCTGGAGCAACTGCGCGTCCCTAATCTTGCACGCATGAACCAGCAGCACCAAGACCGAGCCGGCTAAACCTGTTCGACACTTGGATTAGAGGAGGGAGACCAGCTTCCCACCGTTCCACACCATTTCCACCATTCAACCACCGCTCGATGCTCCATTCCAACCACTATCATACCGTGCCTCCTCTACGCCTGCATCCACCAGCCCGCCCTAGCTCTGCATAGCTCTCGATTGCTGCAGCTGCAAAAGTGATCAGAGGCATCTCGCAGACCCAGGCCGCGCCGTTTGACTACTGCTGAACGGCCGTGCTGGCCGAGCTGCCCACGGAACCTCCCCTCTGACAGACAGACACGGAACCCTCGCTCATCATTTCGATGGCCGCCGCCGGCCACTCACAGCGCGCCCTCGCATGTCTTGCAGCTGCGGCCGACATTGGCCTACCCGCGCCCTCCTGATCATCTGCCTCTATTGCTGGCCAGTCGATTGCTCACTGTTAATGGCTCCTGAGTCTCTTCTATTGCCTCGAGCAGCAAGGCCAGGAATTTTTCTTGCTACAATCGCGGCCAAACTACGCCAGAAACGATTCCCCGAGAGGTCAAGAGGGCTCAGCCGACTTGCCCACCACTGTCTTTTCCGTCCTATATACTGCTGAGCGCTGGGGAGTTCTTCGTTGTTAATCAGACTTCCGAGTCCTGGACAAACAGCCCTGCAGGAGCCCTATGCCGCCCGCCGTTGCACCTGGTCACAATCACATGCGGTCCTTCCTTCACGAAAGTTAGCAGCCGCGCGCCTTGTCCCTTCCAGATGTCAAATCTGCTCGACACGACATGGACAGTTTCGGAGAAAATCGTCCTCTTGACCAATGTCATTCAAGACGCCGGGCACGATGTTCCTTCCTTACTGCTTCAGAGCATATCCGAGCGCAATATCCAGCCCAGATGGGCTGATATTCCTTTGCCAGCAGGTATGCTTAGACCTAGCCAGTTGGGGTTGTGCGCAGTTGCGCGCAGGACCCTTTTCGATGCACATATCTGTTCGGCTGGGGACGATCCATCACCGGCGTCCAGATCACGATGAGGCTAACTGTGTAACACACGTAGGCCGGTCGTTGAATGCTTGTCGGAGAGTATATGATGAAATGGTACGCGGTCCTCCGCAACATCCACGCTCGTTCCCCGCGGTCGGTCCTCCCGGTTATCCTCCTCAGCATTTAGGCCCAGGTCCCGGTCAACTGAGGAGCGCTTCCGAGCATGAGTTGCAGCCGTTGAGCACCCACCGCTCGATCCAGCCTCGTCCTCCGCTAGCAACGGGGTCGCCGTTGCCGTCAGTCACAAATGGCGAATTTGCTATATTGCGTCCGTTTCCATCCGATCCAGGTGTGGAGAGGCGACGGAAGCGTGGCCGGCCGACGAAAGAAGAGGTTGAGGAACGCGGGAGACGGCTTGCAATGACTGGCCAGACTTACGAACCAAAGAAACGCGCGCCAAAGAAGCTCAGGCTGTCAGGTACGCCTGGTTCCACTGCAGAAGTACGGCCGGGCAGCTCTCCTGGACTACACGCTCCCCGGGAGCATCCTCCTGAACGCAACGAGGAAGCCTCAAGCGTGACGCGAGGACCGAGACAGCAAACAGAGGAGGACGATTTATCTCAGCAAGCAGCCCCCCAATCTCCATTGGACGATTTCGGTAACGAAAAGAGCGCGGGTGCAGCAGAAAGTCCTTCGGATCGATTACTGTTACGGTCCAGGTCAGGAGAACGCGCCCAAGGAGCGGTCGCTGCTCCTCAAACCAAGCGTGAGGCGCAGAGTCCCGGTGTAGGACGAGAAGCAGAGACGGGGCACAAGGTATGATGGTCTCCAAACGGGGTGACCGTCCAGCTAGCCTTTTGTTTGAGGCAAGATGGTTGGCAACCGACAGCTGGCCCGTCCTCTGACCATTTTATGCAACAAAACTATCGAAACAGCTGCTATACGCAATTCAGTTCCACGAGCCATGACCATAGAGAAGGGTGCGATGCATGCGTACACGATACCCATGGACCCACTGAGCAAACAACGGGTGGTTTTACTGCTACATCTACTCCGATTGCATTTTACTACAATTTTGCTTTGGGCTCGGTCCTCAAACATGCGACGTGTCCAGTGCGTCCCAAAATGAACCATACGAGGCACGGCCAGACGGAGGGTTATATTCTTTTGTTTCTCAATGTGTTCGATTCTATTTCAGCTTGATATCGAAAAACCGCCAACGGCATCTCGCAGGCCGGCAAGCTCGCACAAGCTACATGAGCGCTCACTGTCATATTACAACACGAGCATTGCTACTAAAACGAATTTATACCCTCTGTGTATTTCTATAATTCAGGGATGGATGGTGGATCCTGCCGGTCAGGACGAGGCCAATCTTGGACCTTCTTTTACAAAAGAAACGGGAGTCGGCTTGGATGGAATATTTATATCTTGACAAAACGACAGGGGTGCTTGGGGGAAAGTAGAAAAAGCACATATAATCATGAGTATAAATATGAAATACTTCACTGCCGGTATGCAAAGGAGCTGGAACCAAGGGTTCATAATAGTACGATGAGAATGTCCCAAGTCCAGGTTCCATACTACGCCTAGTACTACATACACTGTACTAGTAGTCAATCGTCCAGGCAAAAGTGTTGGTGTTGAGTTACACGGTAGTCCAAGGTACTGTAATTCACGTTGGTGTGCACATATGCTGTACTATGTACTCTGCCATCTGTATGGAACACAAGTGGTAAAGATGGCGATCTTTGTGTGCGTGCTTCAATTTGTCCGCGTGTTGTGTACATGTACGGTTGTATCTTTAGATATTCATTCATATTTCCGCGGAAAGGAAATGTAGAATAAAATGTTTCTTTTATAACAACCCCTCTAAATTAGGCCTTTCCATGCACTGCTGTCAGGTAGTGTTCGTTGTCATATATTTATTTATTTATTTTTTTTCTCAATCCGATCTGAAGCATTTATACCTTTGTTGACAACTTAATGCTCTGATACAGTACAAAGTAGCTGCAGATGGAGCTGGAGCTGGGCAGTTAGAAAGAAGAGAAGAGAGAGAAAAAGAGGGTAGTCAGAATGATCACCTCATCCATACCACATATGTACTCACATATATATATATTCCAAGTACATAGGGTACATGAGTGAAATTTTAGGGTTTAACGGTGACCTATGTACGAGAGATGTGTTTGATGGATGAAGCGACGCTGCCTGCTGCACTGCGAGCATTAGGTACAGGACTCGAGACGAAAAAGGAACCAAGGAATGAAACATAAAAGATGAAGCAAAGTATGTATGGTAAGTGCTGTATGTATAAGACTTTTTGCTTTTCCTTCAACAGAAAAAAGTCCCAACCTCAATGATGCCGCTTCTACTTCCAAGGGAGAATCGATTTGACTCGAATTCATTTTCAATCAATCAGTCGTCATCGTAGAGTCCCTCATCGTCGCCTTCGACACCATCTAGAAAGCCATTACCGTCACCATCGACAACCCCAGTACCATTGTCGAGAAGAGGAGATCGTCCAGTCCTTTCGACGGCCTTGCCTTTGCTTTTGCCGGTGATTGCATTGCCGTCCAAATTGGCGGCGCCGCTGAAAACTCCTCCGGCTCCGAGTGACCCGTTTACATGAGACTGAAAACCACCCCGGCCCGTGCTTACACCGTAGTCGTCGTCCGCATCCGAAGAAGCGCCGGAGTCAGGGTTGCCGATCCGCGGGAACGGGACTTGAGCAGGAGGTCCATTGACGTTCCCCAAATCCAAACGCGTAGTGGTGGCGTTGACGTTGGCGCTGGCGTTGTCGGCTCTCTGTTTGCCTTTACCTTTTGTACTGTTGATGTTGCTGTTATTGTCGTTGACGGAACTTGCATGCAATGGCCGAGCTTGTTGCGACGAGACAGCTTGCGGAGGCGGCTGCTGCTGTGCATTTGCACCGGAATCAAGACCGGGTTGTTGTAGTCGATTTTGGTCCGAGCGAAAAGGATTCGGTGTGGTGGTCGCCGTCGCCGTCGAGCTTGGTCGCAGAGGTAATCTCGCTTGATTCTGCTGCGGCTGCTGCTGCGGTGGCTGCGCATCCTTCGTACCATTTTGACCACCACCGGCACCGTCCTTGGCGGAAGAAACCGTAATATCCTGCTCCTCAAACATATTGCGGATTCTCTCAAAGTGTTCCAGCTCCTTCTTACTGACACTGCCGACCAACTCGTTCTGAGCGGCGATAAAATCCTCTTCGCCCACCACGACTTGAACATCCTCTTCCGTAGCCAAGTGATCAAAAAAGTACCCGGTACTGATCTCCTCGCCACGCAATTTACTAATCTGTCGTACTTTCTCATCAACCGCCTGCGTCTTGCGAGTAATCGCTTTCAACATGGCGTCGCTGCAAAGCGCATACAGATCCGCGCCGGTATACGTGAAAGGCAGCCGGCTGGCAACCTTTCGTAAACTGACATCTGGAGCGAGCGTGAAGTTCCGGGTCAAAGCCTTGAGGATTGTCTCCTGTTGGTCATGAGTATCCGCCACTCCAAGATACAACATCTTGTCGAATCGCCCAGGCCGGAGCAGAGCCGGATCCAGAAGATCTGGCCTGTTGGTTGCACCAATGACAAACACCCCGCCTGCATTTGACGGCGAGCTGGAGCTGCCGTCCGCATTATTGTCACTGCTTGAACCTCCTCCGCTCGACATTCCGTCCAGTTCGGCAAGGAGCTGAGAGACAATGCGATCCATCACGCCTCCGCTGTCGCCTTGGTTGCCTCGTTTGGGCGCCACTGAGTCCAACTCATCAAAGAACACGACACACGGCCGGGCGTCTCGAGCACGTTGAAAAACCCGTCGTACATTTGCCTCAGACTCGCCGATATACATGTTAAGCAACTCGGGTCCCTTGACACTGAAAAAGTTGAGGCTGAATTCCGTCGCGATGGCCTTTGCAAGAAGTGTTTTGCCCGTTCCGGGAGGCCCATAAAACAAGATCCCGGAGCGCTTTCGGATCCCGTTCGCAAAGAGTTCGGGATGTGTAAGAGGCAGGGATATCGTCTCCATAATGGCGTCTTTCTGCGACGAAAGACCCCCAACGTCTTGCCAGGTAACGGTGGGGATTTTGGGCGCACCGATCGCGTCGGAGAATGTCGATCGCGCCGCGGATATCGCTCGACTGAAGTCACTGGAAAGAAGGTGAGTAGCTGCTTGACCACCGGAGATGTAGATGTCGGAAAGTCGACATTTCTGCGCTTCAGCCAGGGCTAAAAGACGTTCCGAGCGCGCCAGCGTGGCCCTGTTGACGACGTCCAGTAGATCTCCTGCCACCAAAGCGGCAGTCTGCAATGCGAGCGATTTCAAATTTATGCTTGTCGAAAGAGGAGTCGAGCTGGTGGTACAGGCATTCCGGAGAATGAGCTCACGAGCGTTTTCGTCGGGTGCCGTCACCTCGAATTCATGTGAGAATAGACTTCGGATGCCGGCTGGGATGTCATCGATCTTAGTGGTCGTTGCGATCAGTACGCGAGACCACGAGATGATTTCTTGCAACACTGGCACCATCCTATCCGCCGTCAACGCGTCAATGTGCTGGATCAACAGTGCCGTCTGTTGAGGCCCTCCCGACAGTGCCCGCTCAGCGCGGGTGCGAAGTAAAGCCTCTGTCTTCACATCACCGCCACCAGTTGTCGAAGCATTTTCCGAGAGCAGATCGTGGGCCGATATTGTGAAAGTATGAACACCGACGCCGGCGCAGGCGGAACTGGCAATATAAGACTTTCCGATTTGCCGTTGTGTAGAGTGTAGCAGTATCACAAGCGGAGGAAGTCCCAAGCCGATGGCTCGAGTGCTCACCGAGGCTGAGATCAATCCCGACAGCCGTTTTTCCAGTGGCAGTCTTTCCAAAGGAGGCAGATCTGCCGCGGTGGCAATGTGATCGACCTTGTGAACCTGCCTCTGAGTGACCCTTTTGATTCCAAACCAATATTTGCTCCACAGTTCGGTCAGAAATGATACTGAAGCGATACTGCTGCCACTTTGAGACACTCTGGCCTGGGATGTGTCAAGAGTGACGACACCACCCCATCTGTCCCGGTCTGAGTCACCTTCCAGGGTTGATGGTTCCACATCGATTTGCTGGACAGAGAACCACGCTATCGCGAATCGAGCAGGCCCGGTACCTTCGGGGATGTTGAGCTTTGTAATGGTCTCATCCTCTCCAGCGTTGTCCTCCGCACCGGTGGACGAGGCAATAGCCTTGCCCAATTCTTGATCCACCGGCACCGCGACGAGGTCCCCTTTCTTCAGCATGCGTTTCTTGCTTTCCAGATAATACTTCAAGGATGAGAACAGGGTGGATTGTAGGGTAGGATTGGTGGTGATCGGATCAGACAGCTTGGAAAACACGACCTCCTTGGCCAGTGGAGGAGCCTTGGACGTAGTGGGATGCGATGATTGAATGCTTCTAGGTTCGAGATGGCGAGGAGCGGTCGGCAATGCACCAACCTTGACGTATTGGGCGTTTGACAGATTAGCAAGTAATGTGGGGGATAGATAGAGCACTGGAGATAGTGGCATAAGCAGATCCCTTTGCGAAAAGCTCGACCTCCTATCTCCAGTTTTGTCCACGGCGTATCTCGGCTGCAGGGTGGATAGACCTGAAAGACCAAACACCCTTACGGTCCGCCAGTCGGATTCTTCTTCATCGTTTAAGCCGCCGAGGGACTTGAACGCCGAGGTAGGGAATCCTTGTGAGCTCACAATTCGAGACACCTCGATTCGAACCCAGTCACCAGAGAAACATCCAATTTTCGCCAGAGTACTGGTGTCAATAAACACAAACGACTCTTCGTCGTCCTCCGGGCTAGGTTTCGGATGCAGCAACTCGATCGGTACCCTTTGGAGGAGGGCTTCCGTGCGAAAGACCTTTCCCGGTCGTGCACCAGCTCGTGCGGTTGTGGAAGTAAAGCTAGAGTAGACGGAACCAGGTGTTTGCGTACCCGTCCTCTTTCCGCCGCCGGCCCTTGGGGTGGCGGCAGTCATTGCTGACAGTGTCCCAGCTTGCTGAGGCGGCAGACCGGGAGCACTGAGTGAAATCATATCATCCATCGAGTCGGAGTCTTCATCGCTATCTTCGTGGCCGGAGACCTCGGATTCGGTTTCCTCGTCTGATACATCGTCCCCGTCCGAACCGGTCTCTGTTTGCCTATCTTCAGCGGCTGAGTAGAACTGGTCATTGGAAGTATCCTCGGCAGTGTCCTCAAGAGACTCTTCGATGATAGGATGGACTGGTGCCAACTTTTTTAGAGCTTTCTCCTGCGAAGAGCCAGTCTGTATCAAAACAATCTTCGTCTTCGGAGATAGTAAACCTTGAGCGACCGGTTCACATTCCACAATGATGGCCGGAGGGGGTGGGACATGGGTGATCGGATGGGCTGGAAGTGGCAGAGGGAAGACATCGCCCGAATGGATAATGGGCAGTTGGCCCAGCGCTTCCCGAACCAGAGAAGTCATTCGGGATATTTGAGCGGGTACATTGTGTAGGACGCCGTTCGCCATTCCCGTTTTCCTGTCGCGCGCATACTGGAACCCGCCTCCAAATTTGTTCTGTATATTGTCCACCCTGTCGAGAAGTCCCTTTTCCACCGACACGTAGACCGTTTCCAAGGCAAGAGGTTTTGTGGGAATGGCCCGTATTTCGATAGATTTGGGCACATGGCCTGGGTGACGGTCTCGATCAACTGCAGCGTATGTCTTGAGAATCGACTGGCAGGCGGAAGAATTCGGTGAGAGTCTGACCACATTGCCCTCGAACGACAAGTCGGAGGAGACCCCGGTTTTGAGAGGTTGCACCGGTAGAATTGTCCATGTCGACTCTTGCACATCTGTATGTAGAGGCGACCATGGCGTCAGGGCCACAAAAGGTAGCGATGCGTGCAAACTTGCGCCTGAGTTGCCGATTAGTAGCCGTGCATTGGGAGTGACAAAGGTGTGTTCCAAAACAAGACTTACCACCCTCTTTGCCCGCGACTTTCACCCAGAGGCTCTCAGAGACGAATGCAGCGGTTCCTTTGATGCTGTCATCGAACCCGAGCCGAGCAGACAAAGGCCGCAGAGTAGGTTCACGCCTGCGGCGCTTCTTTGGGTGCTCGAGCTCATGTTGGGAGCTGTCCATGGTTATTCAGTTCGCTGCGACAAGCGACTGCATGAGGACGGGCACTCGAGTGTCTGGGCTGAGAGCAGGCACTTGTTACGACAACACCGCCGAGGAGTGTACAAATAAACAAACAAATGTTACCAAACGTTCAGACCTAGTGAATTGAGGACGTGGTCTGGCTACGCTGAACTTGAAGTTCTTTTCTCTCTTCACGTCGTTGGTGGAGGAATCCGGCTCAGGCTCAGCCGAGGCACAAATCGGGGCCCCAACTTTAGTAAGACACGAAAATCCACACCCACGAACTCGCTCTCATAGAGGGCCAAGGTCTGAGCTGTTGAACCGGGTATAATAATGCTATGTTGCGAGATGTTGTCCTAAGTTACAGGTAGTAATAGAGGTTGGGCACATCCTGCCTGTGTTGGATTAACTCCAATGTCTCAACCCTGGCTCCAAACCCCGGACGGCAGTTGGCAGAAGATGGGTATATCTAAACTGGTTACTACTGCGCGTACAGTAGCATCCTCATATTTTGCGGAGGTGGCGTCCACAGCGGTTACCACCTCGTAGGGATGCTAACCACCAGCAGACCTCGCTAAGATCACTTCCTCCAAACTGCTCGCAATCCTAAAATAACCCTGCTTCACGGAACAATATGCAAGGAGGTAGGAGTCTATGCTAGCTGTTTACTACTTATCATCGACTATCTATCCGTAAAGGGGGCTCTGTGGCTAGAAACAAATGAAGGAAGAGATAGCTAGATAGGAACCAGCTCGACCGTGCTTCACTGCCCTCTCAATGAACACCAAGTCGCAGGTCTCGCCCAAAGATAGAATCTACCACCTCTCCACTGCGAGTTGACAGGATTGACAGCAATGAGTCTGAGAGTCCATGGGTGCTTTCATTGCAGCCCTGCAGCCAGATGCCCACGCCTTCCTCAACGGCTTCAGGACTCAGCTTCAGCCCGTAGTTGCGGCCGGGTTGCCATACTCCATTTTTATTGGCGTTGATGCTCTGACAATCTCTGAGCATGTCGATGTGGGCGTCTCGTCGGTATCCTGTGGCCAGAACAACCGCATCAAAGGCCATCGTTTCCTGAGATTTGTTGCTCAAAGGCTCTAATCTGGTCAGAGTCAGGTTCATGCGGTGACTCACTGGATCTTCAGCCACCGCGGTGATCTCTCTGCTTGGCAAGATTTGATGCTGCCAGCGAGTCTTGTCTGGCTGCTTGAGCCCTTGAAGATACAAGTCCTCATATATCTTCTCGATGAGCTCCAGTCTGACCACACTGTAATTGGTTGCCTTGTTTCTTTTCAAGCTATGGTGACGGAAGTCCTCTGGTTGGGCGAAGAAGGTATCCACAGCTTCCGGGTCGAACACCTCGTTGACGAATGGCGAATCGTCACTCGGCCGCAAGGCTGTATCCCGGAATATCAATCTTGTTGTGGCATTGGGATACCGGCTATGGAGGTCGTTGAACACCTCAGCACCGCTTTGGCCGGCTCCCACAATGGCGATGCTATATGCTTTGTCTTTGTCCGGCAGAACTTGGTCAATTCTGAGTTGATATTCTGACGAATGTAAGACTCGTTCATGGTAGGGGGGAAATATCGCTGGTCGAGCCGGTCTGCCACCCGCTGCAATGACGACATTTCGAGACAAGAAGGTCTTTGTCTCTCCAGTCGATAGGTCGCGCGAGACCACCTCAAAGGAGTCATACTTCGGCGAGCCACCCAGTTTCCGGGGGTGTATCGACTCCACCTGCTGGCCGTATGTTACGACATTGTCAAAATGGCGTGCCGCCCAACGGAGATAGTCATCGAACTCGAGCCGAGACGGCAAGAACGTGCTCAGATTGGTAAACTGGATGAGCCTGTCGTGCTCTTTCAGATAATTCAGGAATGTGAAATAGCTGCAAGGGTCTCGAAGCGTTGCAAGGTCTTTGATGAAGGATATCTGCATCCTTGCACCAGGGAGCAACATCCCAGCGTGCCATTTAAATGTCTTCTGTCGCTCGAGGAAACGGACTTTCGGACTAGCAGCCCCCAAACCAGCCTCTTGTTGCGCCTGCAATGCATCGCTGAGGGCGATGGCAATGGAGAGGGAAGCTGGTCCAAATCCTACACCGATCAAGTCGTGAACATCCCCTTCGGCGGCAGAATACAGGTTGGTGGGCGAGCGGAACAGTCGAGAAGCATTCCCGTTATTACTCAGCTCTTGAGCATTCCAGCCATTGGTGTTCCGGACGTGGCTCCTTGACTCCGGGCTCGGTTTTACAGCAGCTGGAGCCATTGAGACCGTCGACGATGAGCTCTGCGTTCGCTGGACAGGATATTTTGTCTAACTTGCTGGGAAGATTGTCAATCAGATGAAAAGATGCCCTGCAGCAGACTATAAACACTATCCGGAGGACCTCGCAAGTGAGCCATTGCGCCCAGAGCGTAGAAGGCGTTGGCTGCCCATCATTGGAGGGGCGGCTAGAGCGGGCTCGCCCGTCGAGGTGTCATCGTTGTTGATGTTTCCCTAGTCGCTCGGATCACGAGCCAATATCGGAAAGCCTCATGACTGCCAGCGTTGTCGTCTCTCCATCTCAAATGCTGGACAGGGATGAAGCGAGCATGTAGCATGAATGCCCAGCGCAACCCACTTCGCTTTGGGGGGACCGCAGGCGGAAAAACAGAAATAAAACTGGACAGGGCCAATTTCGGGCTGCCGATGACGGAGCGCCAAGCGGCTGAGGGTCGGCGATTATCTGATAATCGCTGATCTGATTGCGCCGATGATCTGATAATCGCCAATCACGCCACGGCTTCGAGCGGGCGTTTCACCGAAGAACACCACGATTTCCGGCCGACGGCCATTACCCCCATACCGTTCCATCCCGTTTGTGTTGCAAAGGCCGAGCTTGTGAGCTTGAGCTCCTCTCATCTGCTTTAGCTTTTGCTCCGCCGTGGATCTATGTTCGTGGCACGCATCAACAGCTTCAATCGCGGCCTTCGGTGGACACGAAAATTTCTCTCAAGGCCGTGTCGTTGGCGTCGCTCGATCGTGATTCGTGCTCTTTCCAGCAATCGAGCAGTCCGACTTCCTGCCTGTCTTGACGTGAGGTTTTACAGAGTGGTACTTCCGAGAATGCAAGCCATACGGTGGTGACCATGTTAGTCACCTGCTTGTGGTTGAACACTTCGCGTAAGCAAATTCAGCTGTCGCCTCAACGCCATGCCAACTATTATCCTGAAATCGTTCTGGCAGCCGAGGGCACATCTGTTGAGACAAGACGACCGCCGTTTTTTCTGGCCTCCCTGAAGCTCTACTGAGGATTGCTTTTAGGTGAAAAAGAACGGCTGTCGGTGCCCATTGGCCGTTATTACTACAGCCACACTAACCATATCTATGACGTGGAATATCCGTGGGATAGAGTCTCTTTGCTTTGGAATGAGACGATACCGATACAACGACCCCTGGGAGGAAGCTAAGAACAACTTCTCTCAATTCCTCCGCTGGCAGCAACCGACCTCTCCCATCGCGGACGATGGCACCTTCAACCAATGGCATCCAGGGTCCACGTGACCTCTCAATAGTCAACCTGGATCGGCGAACCCTCCCCGGGCCTCAGCTCCTTCATGAATTGGTTGCTCCTCCGGTCGCGGACCGCTTGATACTGGATTTCCTACTGTCACATGGAGAACTCGTGAAGCTCGATTACAGCTGTTTCCACCGCTTGACTGATGCTTTGGCAAGGGACATCAGGGCTCAGTTATATCGTGAGAAGAAAGACAAACATGTCATCCCGGTCATCATCCCGCAATGCCCGGAGCTCTACATTGCTTGGGTGGCTACCTTGAAGGCTGGGGCGGCTTTCTGCCCTGTTAGTCACGATGTTCCCCCAGAAAGGTTAAAATTCATAGTAAAGGATGTTGATGCATCCTTCGTTCTAACCACCTCTAGCACACTGGGAAGAGTACAACAGCTGCTTCCAGATGAAATATGTATGTCTCTTTCATTCAAAGAGCTCAGCGACAGAACGCCTTCTGGGGAAAGCCATGGGTCAGCCCTACCCGCGGTCCGTCCCAGTGGGCCGGCGTATGTTATGTACACCTCCGGCTCAACAGGCATGCCAAAGGGTGTTATGGTGTCACATCTATCAGTTACTCAGTCGCTGCTAGCACATGACGAACATATACCCCATTTCAAGCGATTTCTACAGTTTGCTTCACCTACATTTGATGTCTCAATATTTGAGGTCTTTTTTCCGTTCTTTCGAGGTGCAACTTTGGTAGGTTGTGATCGTGAGCGCATGCTCTCTGATCTTCCTGCAACCATCCGACTGCTTGACGCCGATGCTGCCGAGCTAACTCCTACCGTGGCGGGGACACTTCTCAGGCGCAGAGACGCGGCACCATGCTTGAAAACTCTGTTGACCATCGGAGAAATGCTGACACCGCATGTCGTCTCAGAGTTTGGGGGCAGCGTGGACAAACCGAGCATGCTTTACGCAATGTACGGACCCACTGAGGCCGCCATTCATTGCACGTTGGCGCCGAAGCTGGCTTCAAATGCCTCAGTGCGTAGCATTGGACAGCCTCTTCAGTCAGTGACCGCCTTCATATTAAAGGAATCCGACCAGCTCGAGGTGGCAGCTCTTGGGGAATCAGGCGAACTCGCCATTGCGGGCCAACTTGCCGATGGATATCTAAACAGGCCCGATCAGAACAGGGTGGCTTTTGTCGAATTACCCGGTTACGGTCCCATTTACAGAACCGGTGACCGGGCTATATGTCGACCCGACGGACAGCTAGAAATCCTCGGACGTCTGGCTTCTGGCCAGGTCAAACTTAGAGGGCAAAGAGTTGAGCTTGGGGAAATAGAAGAAGTTGCATCAAGAACTCCGGGTGTTCAGCTTGCCATCGCAAGCATCATCGACGACAATCTAGTTCTGTTCTGCTCCACAAGCCATACGATTCAAGCTTCTGAGATCCTCGCAACCTGCAAGTCTTGGTTGCCATCTTATATGCGACCTAATGAGATCGTTGTACTCCAGGAAGACATTCCGCGGCTACCTTCCGGAAAGGTTGATCGCAAGACGCTCGAGCGCGACTTTTGGCGCCCACGCAAAACCAAAGAGGACAACAATTTTATCAATGACACGGAACGAAACATTGCGCAGGTTCTTGCGGATGAATTGGCTCGCAAGGTGGACAGGTCAACATCGCTCTGGTCACTGGGCTTAGACTCCCTCAGAGCATTCAAAATTGCAGCAAATCTCCGCCAAAAGCACAGATCCATAAACGCTGCCATGCTCCTGGAAGCCGAGAATGTAGCAGATTTGGCCGACCTTATTACGAGGTCGCCGCCTGTGCAAGGGCTGTTTGCTGCAGAATCAAGCTACGAGGACTCCGAAAGTTGGATTGCAATTGAGAATTCTCTACGCAACAGTACCGAGTTGGCTGACCTGTGGCCAGCATGGGAGAAGGTCGTGCCCTGCAGTACTATGCAGGTAGCGATGCTCGTGGAGACTTCTGGAAATGAAAATTTGAACTTCAATGAAATATGTCTCGGATTAGCGCCTGATGTGAGCTTCGATGCATTTGTCCGAGCTTTCGGCATTGTGGCAGAACGGAACGAAATTCTGCGGTCTGGCTTCATGGCCACCGGTGAACAAGCAATGCCATTTGTGCACATTATCTGGCGTACAATACCTCAAGGGGATCTCAGTATGCTCAGACCTTTGCAGATTGAGCTTGTTAGCACTCCTGAGAAGGAGGAAGTGCTGATACGGGTCCACCATGCCTTGTACGACGGTTGGTCGTGGGAGTTGGTGATGGATGATCTGAACGCCATCCTCTCTGGAGCGGATATACCCCTTCGGACTCAGTTTTCAGCGTTCCGCTCATTCCAGCATTCTCTATTCTCTGCTGATAGTACAGAACACGACGAATACTGGCGTCGACACTTCGAAGGCTTTGTGCCTTCATCCTTTCCTAATCTATGCTCGACCCGACCCGATACTCCCTCGAAAGACTATCTACTAATTCCTTTGTCCACATCCTATGACCAGGTGTCTGTTACTGCATCGACGCTCCGTTGTAGTCGAGAAGCGATCCTGGAAGCAGCATGGTCATTCGTGTTATCGTCCTATCTCGACAGTCAGGATGTCGCCATTGGCGTTGTCTTTGCTGGCCGTCACCTCCCTCTGCTGGGAGTGGAATCTGTCATTGGGCCTTGTCTGTCTACTTTCCCCTTGCGCACAGACCTTAACAGCTTGAGAACGGTACGAGATCTTGTCAGCTTTGTACAAAGACAGCGTACAGGATGCTTGAACTACGGTAACACAACACTGCGCAATATCAACCATGCTGCAGGAGTACGAAGCGAAAAAAGACTATTCGACACGCTGTGCGTATGGCAGCAGACAAGCGAAGGCCACGAGCACGCCCGTTCCAAAGTGGCTACCATTCGGACTCGTGATGCATTGGACTACGCCCTCGTACTCGAATTTGAGCCCCACAATGAGAGCATCCGCCTCAAGCTCACCTTCGATACTTCCCTCGTACCCGTTGCGCATGCGAAGCTCCTTGCAAACCAGCTGGATTATATTGCCAATGAGATGGTTCACAAACATGATCTTGGCTTGCAGGAGTTGTGGGAGAAGGCAGGCCAGGGACTTCTCTCGCTCTCTAATGTCCAACCCGAAAGGTTCAGCGAGAAATTTGGCCTTACGACGACAATTGAACACTTAGCAGAAGCTGATCCCCACAGACTGGCTGTTGAGTTCGTCCACTCCTTCAACCCGGATACAGGTCACGTTAACAAGGAGAGCTTGACGTATAGTCATCTATACGAAAAGGCCTCAAGGGTAGCATCGGCGCTCCGCTCCAAGTTCCATGTCGGTCCGGATGACCTTGTGGCATTCATTGCGCCAAGATCAATCGAACTGTACATCGGCATTCTTGGTGCCATCATGTCTGGCGCTGGATATCTCTGCATTGACCCGCGAACGCCAATGGAACGAATTGGCCATATAATCGGCGAATCCGCTTGCCGTCTTGTTCTAACCGGGGAGTGCCTAGAGATTGAAATACCCAATGATGTCCCTACATTGTCAATAGAAAGAGTGGTGCAGCAACCATCGGCCCCTTTCATGCCGCGACGGCTTGAGTACACAGGCGACCAGCTCGCATATGCGGTCTTCACATCTGGCAGCACTGGCGTCCCTAAAGGCGTCCTCATTACGCGCAAAAATCTCCTAAGCAACCTTGAGGATCTATCTCGGCTGTATCCATGTATACCGGGTGAGGATCGGCTTCTGCAAGCATGTTCTCCTGCCTTTGATGTCTCTGTATTTGAGATCTTTTGGACATGGCACATGGGTATGACCCTATGCACTGCATCTAACGACGTTTTGTTCAAGGATCTTGAGCGCTTCATCCATGTTTTGACCATCACTCATCTGAGCATGACGCCCTCTGTGGCTGCACTTGTCAATCCCGATGCTGTTCCAAGGGTAAAATTGCTAGTTACCGCAGGGGAACCCATGAACTCCCGTGTTTTTGCGGATTGGGCAGACCGTGGCCTGTTTCAAGGGTATGGCCCAAGTGAGACCACAAACATTTGTACTGTTCGGCCGAATGTGACAAGGTCGAGCGCCTCCAATAATGCTGGCTTTCCACTGCCAAACACGTCCGTCTTCGTATGCAGACGACAAGAGCGCTCACAAACGCACGTGGCCGGTACTGCCACGCCCGGAGATCCTTGGATGTTCAGCCCAGTTCCCAAGGGAGGCACAGGCGAGATATGGATAGGCGGCGAACAGGTTGGTCGCGGTTATATCGACCCAACGCTCACTGCCAAAGCGTTTTTCGATCATCCACGGTACGGTCGACTATATCGTTCAGGAGACATTGGAAGGCTTCTTAGCGATGAATCTATTACGATCCTAGGCAGAGATGACGACCAAGTCAAACTTCGAGGCCAGCGCATTGAGCTAGGCGAGATAAACTCATGCTTGATCAAATATGAAGACGTGGAAGACGCGGTTTCGTTGATAGTCAATGATGGCCATAGTGCAAGGCTTGTGGCCTTCTGGACCCCGCATGATCAAGCAAGATCTCTCCCCCTGGCTAAGGTCACTAAGGCTTTGTTCGAGAAGCTGCAAGTTATGCTGCCAAGCTACATGATTCCCGACTCTCTGATCCGCCTCGACAGTATCCCACTTACAAGACAAGGCAAAATTGATCGAGCGGCCATGGTCGAGGCTTACCAGAAGCTGACACCAGAGCAACTGCAGGAGTTCTCCAAAGACCATGGCTCATCAGAGGAGGAGAATGATCTTTCTGAAGAGGAGAGACACGTCGCTCATGCCATCTCAAGCGCCTTGGAAGTCCCACCGGAAGCCATTCGTCGCAATACGTCGTTCTTTGCGCTCGGAATGGACTCCATCAGCGCAATACGTGTGGCCCGCTCATTGAGAAATCATTTTCCGGCGGTGGAGATCTCCATGCTTCTACGACATCCATCTATCGGTCAACTCGTGCTGGCTTTGAAGAATGCAGCTCAAGTTGAAGAGAACAAGAACCTCGAGGCGAGCTTCGATGAGTCCTTAAATTCCGACTGGAAGGCTACAGTGACTGCTACTTATTTACAAGCAGGACTCATCGTGGACAGGGTTCTGCCTTGTACTCCTTTACAAGAGGCGATGGCCAGCAGTTCCCTGGATTCTCATTCTAGCGCGTACCAGAACAGCCTGAGATTCCGGATCTTCAGCGACATAAGCAGGATGCGCGAGGCGTGGGTTCATGCCGTTTCCAGGCATCAGCTTCTTCGGACGGGGTTCGCTCAAACAGGATCCGCCGACACTCCTTTTGTACAGGTGGTGTTGAAGGACTTCCCACTTCCTTGGAAGACTGAAGGCGATCATGTCGAACCTGCACCAGACTTGCCGTTCTTGATGTATCCGCCGTGGAGAATGACATTGAGCCAGAAGGACGGTGGACATCAAGAACTGGACCTTCAAATCCACCATTGCTTGTACGATGCCGAGGCCATGTCTATCCTGTTAACCGAAATCCAAGCCTTGCTCCTTGGGCAAGAGCTACAGCCGGCTGTTCCGTTTGACAACTATCTGAGTTTCGTGCTTTCCGCTCAGTCGGATGAAGTCGATCAATACTGGCGCCAGAAACTAAGAGGTTACTCTCCTAGCAGGCTCGGAGAACTTATTAAAAATGAAGACAGAACGCCAACCAATGTTACATCGGTGTCGGTACACAAGGCTACCCTCAATGTGGTAGAGTTACAGAATTCTGCGCGAGAAAGCTGCTCAACACCACTGGCACTTCTCCAAGTTTGTTGGACTCGGTTGCTCTTTTGCCTGTTTGACAAACATGACATCTGCTTTGGAAATGTCATGAGTGGGCGGAATCTGCCTATTGAGGGCGTTGACCGGGTTGTTGCCCCGTGCTTTAACACCGTCCCGGTGAGGGTGCAGGTCCAGAAAGAGACGTCGAATGTTGAATTGTGCCAGTACATCCAGCAGAAGAACGTTGAAATGCTGCCGTATCAACCTAGTTCACTTCGCCGAATACAAAGACAAAACAGCACGGACAGCAAACCCTTGTTCGATACATTATTACTGTTCCAAGGTGAAGAACTGGAGCTCGACCAGCAGATCTGGACCCTCGTGGAAGAGTCTGGTGACATGCCGTTCCCGTTCATCCTAGAGATCTTGATGCACGGGTCTACTGATGTGATAACATTGAAACTGCACTCGCAATCGGCAAACGAGAACGTCCTGGCACAGCTGTTAGATTGCTTCGATGCCGTTCTCTTACATACGACAAGATACCTGAATGCAAGAGCACTGGATTATTCGGCCTTCGCTCCTGCGCTGCCGCAACTGAAACCCTTGAATTCGTCAGCACACATAAGTGATTTAGAGGATGGGATGCAAAACGAACAGCACGCACATATGCGCAATGAGCTGTCACACACCGAAGCATTGGTTCGAGATGTGCTGATGCAATTAAAACCCGACATCAAGGACAACATAACCAAAGACACCAGTATTTTCCGTCTGGGGTTTGACAGTATCAGTGCTGTACAAATCGCCGCACGTCTTCGACAACAGGGATACACTATTTCTAGTGCGGACATCTTGGAAGCTGTCACTATCCATGAGATCGCAACAATTTGCAAGTTACAGACCGAGGCGTCCCAAATACCAGTGGGTTTCGACCTTGCGGCATTCGACCGGAGATACCGGCAGACAATCTGCCAGGACAATCAGATCAACGAGGCACTGGTGCAGGCTATTCGCCCCTGTACACCTACTCAATCCGGCATTCTCTCACAGTTTCTTCGCTCCCGAGGCCGTCTGTATTTCAATCGCATAGTTTTCCGATTAGAAGACGCCATTGATCCTCGGAGACTAAGGGATGCTTGGGCAGCGGCGCAAAATCTCCATGATATGCTGAGGACCGGATTTGTGGAGACAGATGATCCTAGAATTCCGTTTGCCATGGTAACGTACCACGCAGGCACAGTTCCTGTACCTTGGACTGAAGGCACAATTAATGGCAATGGAGGCCATTCTGCGAACTCAGTCCCTACGAGCCGAATCAGGGAACACCCTTGGCAGCTGCGATTTTTGGATGGTGCCCTTCCTGCACTGGAGCTGTCCATGCTGCACTCCCTTTATGATGCGAAGTCACTTGACATCATATTGAGAGACGTGGCCTATATTTATGCGGCCGGCAGACCACCAAATCCTATCGAGCTCGACCCAGTGATCTCAGATATAGTTGCCAGGAGCCGCGACGAAGGCTCGAGGGAATTCTGGGTTGGGATGCTTCCGGATCTTTGTCCTACTCGATTCCCTGACCTTCGAATCTACACCAACAACGAGGAGCACTTTCACGTTGCCTGTCAGGCATCGCAGGTGCCTCGAGAGGTCGCTGAGCATGCCTGCCATAGAGCCGGTGCAAGCATGCAGGCTGTGTGTGCAAGCGCGTGGGCTTTGCTCCTTTCCGCGTATACTGCGCAGGATCACGTTACATTTGGCATCATCCTATCCGGGAGGAATTTCCAGCAGGAAGAGCAAAATATGGTTGTCTTCCCCTGTATCAACACATTGCCGTTTGCAATTCAAGTCTCGCCGGACTTACCAGGCCTTCTACAGCGGACCTCGAAACGATGTGCAGGCATTTTGAGACATCAGCACACCTCGGCAACCTCGATTAAGCGCTGGACAGGCATTCAGGAAGAGCTCTTCGATACTGTCATCGTCCTTCAAAAGTTCGACAGGGAAACAGGCCCAAATAGGCCGTGGAGCCTCGATAATGATGATGCTACTGCAGAATATGCCGTTTCGCTGGAGATAATTCCGAAGGCCGACGATCTTAATTTCCAGCTTACCTTCAAGGATAGTGTCGTCCCTCCGGAGCAGGCAAGCCAGATTCTATGTGAGTTCGATGCTCTCTTTAGAAGCATCCTCGACTTAAGGGGCTATGAGCCTGATTTGGACTCCCTGAAGTCCGTTGTCCCTGCAAAAGAGGAGCGGATCAAAACCAATGTACGCTTTCTGCACGAGCTGGTGGAGATTGCAGCAACACATAAGCCTCAGAGCATTGCATTGGAGTTTGTGACAAGTTTGGATGGAGACCAGCCAGACAAAGCAAGCTGGACGTATTCTGAGCTCGACTCCAACGGCAATCGGATCGGTCATTTGCTTCAGAGCAAAGGTGCACGGGCTGGAGAGCTGGTAGCTGTGTGCTTTGATAAGTGTCCCGAGGCTTCATTTGCTATCCTGGGTGCATTGAAAGCTGGATGTGGCTACGTTGCTATCGATCCTGGTGCTCCACGAGCAAGAAAAGATTTCATCTTGGAAGACTCGAGTTGTGCCATCGTCCTGACAACTGGAGACAAGAAGTCCGAGTTCCCCGGTGACAAAATCACTGTACTTGCACTTGATGAAGGTATGTGGTTGAAATTCCCGGCCGAACCTCCTGTACCTTCAAGGAAGCTGGATCCACAAGACACTTGTTACTGTCTCTACACATCAGGCACGACTGGTACGCCCAAGGGCTGCCTGATAAGCCACGACAGTGCAGTACAGGCCATGCTGTCCTTTCAACGTATCTTCGAGGGTAGGTGGGATGAGACGTCTCGTTGGCTACAATTTGCTTCCTTCCACTTTGATGTCAGTGTGTTGGAACAGTTCTGGAGCTGGAGTGTGGGGATTACAGTGACCTCTGCTCCTCGAGACCTACTGTTTGAAGATCTTCCAGGATTTATTAGTGCGCTCAAAATCACGCATCTGGACCTAACTCCTAGCCTGGCGCGCTTATTGACCCCTGAAGAAGTCCCGAGCCTCTGTCAAGGAGTCTTCATTGTTGGCGGAGAACAGGTGAGACAGGACATCCTGGAAACTTGGGGAGATACGCACTGTTTGTACAATTTCTACGGACCGAGTGAAGTGACGATCGGGTGTACTGTTCACCCACAAGTCCCTAAGAACGCAAAGCCAACAAATATTGGCCAACAGTGGGACAACGTCACGTCTTTCGTGTTGAGGCCCACCTCTCAAGAGCCAGTTTTGCGCGGTGCTGTCGGTGAACTGTGTCTGTCAGGACCTCTTGTTGGTAAAGGTTATCTCAACCGACCTGAACTCACCGCTGAACGTTTCGTCACATTGGCGGAGTACAAAACAGGAGTATACCGAACGGGAGACCTTGTTCGTTTGTTGCATGACAACAGCTTTGAATTTATGGGCCGGATAGACGATCAAGTCAAGTTGCGTGGGCAAAGGTTGGAAGTTGCGGAGATCAATCATGTCATTCTCAGTACAGGATCAACCCTCAAAGATGCTGTCACAATGGTTATAAAGCATCCCACGCAGCAGAAAGACCAACTTGTGACCTTTTTCTCAACCGAGAAAAGGAGAGCAAAGAATGAAAGACCATTGATTGTGTCGACAAAAGATACCAAAGAGCTGGCTCGGCACCTACAACAACGCTGCGCTGACATGCTGCCTGCATATATGGTGCCCACATACTTTATCGCCGTTTCCTCGATCCCGCTCTCAGTCAACAATAAAGTAGACCACAAGGCTCTGAGAGGGTTGTTCGAAGACTTCGCTAAGGATGTCTGGTCATCAGTGTCAGGTGATCATCCCGGACAAGAAGGTGAAGCCTCAAGGGATGCCAAAGAGGTGACCGATATACTCGCCTCCTTTCTCAAAGTTCCTACCACTTCCATCACTCCCAGTTCAGGGCTATTTGAGTTGGGTCTGGACTCGATTTCTGTGATCGGACTTTCGCGAACCTTGAGGAAGCATGGCTTCAAAACCTCAGATGTTGCAACAATTCTCAAACAACCTACTGTACGCGACCTGGCGGCAGCAGTTCATCGAAAGAGCACTTTTGACCATGGAGAAGCAGTGGCCAGTGCAAGAGACCGAATCAAATCGTTTGGAGCAGCTCATCGCCGAACAATCATCCAAGCTCTCTCTGTTGACGACAAAGACATTGAGAATGTTGCTCCATGCACTCCATTACAAGAAGGCATGATGTCCAAAGCCCTGTGCAGTGAACCTGGCGACACAGTGTACTTTTCATCCTTTCATTTTGAACTCAATGACAAGGTCGACCTGAAGAGATTAGAAGAAGCATGGAAACTTGCACAACAATCGATTTCAATCTTGAGGACCCATTTCGTGCCCACTTCAAGGGGAGTTGCACAAGTAGTGCTTCGTCAAACTCACAGTGGTGTGGCACTAGTTACGGCTCCGAGTTCCCACAAGTTGCCTTGCTTTCCACCAAAGAGCTCCTTCAGAGCATGGGTTGGGTCAGTCAAAGGCTTCTCGGCAGCCTTACCTTGGATAGTCGAACTGCTAGAAAGCGCCGGGAAAGCGTACATGATTCTCAATATCTTCCACGGACTTTATGATGGAATCAGCGTTTCCCTCCTGCTGGATGTGGTTTCCAGAATTTACAATCATGGCCATAAGAATCTCCATGTCGGAATGCAATTCTATCAGATCCTGCCTTATGGGCCTCTGTGCTCAATGCCCAATGAGAAAGAATTCTGGGTCTCGAAACTCGGCAATGCGCAGTCTTTCAGCTTGCTTTTACCTCCTTCAGAAACTGGAAATGAAGCAGCCCCGATCTACCTGACTCAATCCATTTCGAACACGTCTCTGGAAGATTTCTGCAAACAACTCGACATTACAACTTCGGCGTTCTTCCAAGCTTGGTGGCTGTACGTTTTGCAACAGAGGTATAATGTTAATCCATTGATTGGGGTTGTCGTTTCTGGGCGAGCACTGACAGAGGTCAACGCGGAGGATGTCATCGGGCCTATGTTCAACACAATACCTTTCGCCATCGACCATCTAAAGAAAGACTCGACTGTGTCAGATCTCATTCGGGCATGTCACCAATATAATGTTGATGTCGTTCCATACCAACACTCCCCGTTACGGCGTGTGGCCAAATATCTCGGATGCAGTGGGAGCAACGACATGTTCAACTCTTTGTTTGTGTTTCAGAAGCCGCGAATATATGGGGGACAAGGCTTTCTGTGGCATGAACTCCCATCTCAGAGCACGCCGGATTATCCTCTCAATATGGAGGTGGAACAGCGCGGAAATACATTCAGCATTACTCTTGTTGCGAAATCAGGTTCCGTCAGCGAAGCAGGTGCCAGAGCGCTGTTGAGAACGTATGTCGAATGTCTGCAGGATGTGAAAGCAACCAAGTCTGTTCTCCCTGAAGATTTCTGCGATTCGCGAGACGAGCCTGCAGTCAGCAGGCAAAACGCAATGATGGGACAAGAATCAGACACCGAGTTGAACGGGCATGCTGAAGAAGTACAGTGGACTGAAGCAGAATTGGCCATTCGAGACGAGATCGCCGGACTTGCTTCCGTTGAAAAAGAGACAATTGGCTTATACAAACCGACACTCTTCGAGCTCGGGCTTGACAGCATTGAGGCAATGAAGCTTGCCGCTCGTCTCAAGAACGTCGGTCTCAAAGTTGCCGTCAGCACGATTATGAGGTCACCAACCGTTGCAGGCATTGCTAATGAGATCAATGCTGCTCCTGGATGTCTCCACGAAGAAAGCCCACAGCATAAAACAGGGTTCTCAATAGCCGAATCCCAAGGCAAATACAGACAGATCCTGCAAGATCACGGCCTTGTAGTAGACAGCGTCCAACGAATTTTGCCTGTCACGCCAATGCAAGAAGGTTTGCTCCTCGAGTCGTCAAAGTACCTGAACGTCATGGTCTTCCAGCTGAAGCCTGGAGTTGACCTCAGCCGTTTGGCTGTGGCATGGGAGCGTGTGTCCGAGCTTGAGCCAATCTTGAGGACTCACTTTGCAGATACTGAAGAGCCCGAACTCCCGACAGCCTTTCTTCAATATGTGACGACAAAACATGATGCAGTGGAGGTTATTCTTGGAAGCGGATTGGCCCAGTTAGTCAAGAGCATGGAATCAGAAGCCGCAAGAGAAGACCTCAAAGACCAGAAACCTCGAATCTGTATCCTATCGGATGATGAAGGGAAAAGTTTCTTGGTCCTGGCCATGTCGCATGCATTGTATGATGCATGGTCAATGCACTTGCTCCATCAGCAGGTCACAAACCTATACCACTCTTCCCGTGATGACGAGAAACGTCCCACCGATGTTCAATATGAGAGCTATGTGCAACAGGTGATCAATCAAGCACAAAGCCCGGTGTCCCAAAGGTTTTGGAGTAACCAGTTGTCGGATGCCAAACCCACTCTCCTAGCGGCCAGCCTGCCTGCTCTAGACAACTCTCCCCCCAGCTTCCTGCTGCAGAAAGCTTCATCAAACGTCACTCTGAAGGAGGCATTGGACTTCTGCAAACAGCAAGGTGTGACCCTTCAGTCGTTGGGACTTGCATGCTGGAGCATTCTTTTAGCACACCACCTCCGCCAGATTGACGTTTGTTTTGGTGTTGTTCTCTCCGGTCGCACAACTGAAGGATCGGAAGGTCTCATTTTTCCAACATTCAATACGGTGCTTTTCCGACCGAGGATCCACGAGTATAGTACCAAGCATGAAATGCTAAAAGGAATTCACATGGCGGCCGTACAAGTGTCGGAATACCAACAGTTTCCATTAAGGGATGCTCTTCGCTATGCCAGTGGACAAAGACCTGGTTCAGAGTTCTTCGATAGCCTGTTCACCTACCAGAAACTGCCCGAGTCCAAGAACAGCATACAGTCCCTATATGAGGAGACAGTATCTGTTGAAACTACGATAAACCCGCCGTACCCATTCAATATCGAATTTGAGGCGCAAGGTGATGTGCTTGTCTGGACTCTGGCCCTGCAGGCAGGGATTGGGGAGAAAATGTTTGGTGAAGGATTGTTGCAACAGCTCGAGTCAGTGTTGTTGTCCCTGGTGAACGCGCCAGAGGATCCCCTTTTCGAGAATGACCAGAGCGGTGTGTCGATGTGCGGCTTGCCTAGTGTTCAATTAAGTTCCCAGGACGACGAAGCCAACGGAGAATACGGCAAGGCTAAAGGCCAGGCAGAGACAAACCGAGACCATGAAGTGTGGACACCGAAAGAAGCCACCGTCAGAGAAGTCCTGAGTCAAGTTTCAAGCACCGGTCTCGAGAAGATAAAAAAGACCACAGGCATCTTCCACCTGGGTCTAGACAGTGTGAGCGCGATCAAGGTTGCAGGATTGTTGAAAAGAAAGGGTCTCCGGCTTCCAGTCAGTGAGATAATCACGGCACAAACAGTGGAGAAGATGGCAGAGGCGGCAGACAAGCTGCAAGTTGGGAATGTCGCATCTTCTTTGAAGACTCTTGTGCCACGTGAGAACCAGCTCGTATACCAAGCCGTCATAGGCAGAAGTGGAATACCTGCAGACGACATTGAAGATGTCTTGCCCTGCACCGGCGGACAGATATACATGCTCGACATGTGCTCAGCGAGCTCAGGCCGTTGGTCATATCCACAGTTCTGGTTGCGAGTGACCAACATGAATGGCAGCATCCTCCGAAGAGCATTTGATAAGCTCGTCAAAAAAGTCCCGGTTCTCAGGACGACATTTGTCAACCTCGAGAATAAGCATGGCCGTGAAGAAACGCTGCAAGTCGTTTTGAACAGCGAAGCAGTCGGCCGCTATCGCTTTCCCTGGTTGTGGCAGATCCGAGAGGATGGAAAAGGAGCGCTGTTGCTGGTCCTCCGGCTTCATCACGCCCTTTATGATGCGGTGAGCTTGCAACTTATTGTGTCTGCGCTACAAAAGCTCTGCAACGATTTCGATGGCGGTCAACAACAGCAGCTACAGTTGAACACGTCAATGCATGAGTTCGTTTCAAGAACCTCTGCTGCCTGGCACCAGGCGGCAAAGGAGTTCTGGACATCCTATCTGAAATCGAACGGCCGCGGTCCTATTCTCTACTCCTTCGTCAAACCAGGCGCGTTTGACAGCACCCGCATCGAGAGATTCAACGCCAGGGTTCTTGCAATGGGGCAAATAAAGGAAAAGCTCCGGACACAAGGTATCAGTCTGCAAGCATACTTCTTCGCCGCATATGCTACGGTTTACTCGGCTATGCTGCAACTCCAGGGGCACTCATCCGACAGAATGGTCTCCACTGGTGATGTGGTGATGGGGATCTACCTCGCCAATCGATCACTGGACATCGACGGGCTGACTGAGTTGATTGCACCTACCTTTAACGTTGTGCCGCTTCGGGTTTGTGTCCGTGATGACAAATCGCTGATCGATACTGCGCTGCAGATCCAACATGATCTCGCTGAGATCAGCAGAGCCGAACATTGCGGAGTCAGCATGAGGGATATCTATGCGTGGACAAACGTGAAAATCGATACTTATGTCAATTTCCTGTCTCTGCCAGCAGACAGCAATAGCGATGACGGTGACAGCGCTGCATTCGATGCACGAGAAGGAACTGAGTCCCTGTCTGCTGGACGGAAAGCTGTGCAAGTGCGACATGCGGACGTTGACCAGAACCAGCTGGAAGATACGGAGCCGGTGTCGCCTTTCCTAAAGGACTCGGCGCAACATAACCATACGACAGGATGGTGTTTAGTAAGTTCTCCCTTCCCCAACCACATGTTCTGTGGACTTTGATGAAGTACGTATGTGGCTTATGCTGACTGTTGTCGTCGGCAGCCTGCCATTGATATCGAGGCAAAAGTTACAGATGATGATGAGCATCTCGGGATCGGCATCTTTGCTCCATCAGATATGTTAAGTGAGGAGCAAGTGGATTATATCATGGGTCAGATACGGAGTTTGTTCATGTCATGATATATGTAGTTGCAGGGATTAGATCGTTGCTTTTTTTTCCCTCCCAACCAGGAACCAGGCTTACTTGACTGAGTTAGTACATAGATATTGAATAGATTGAATTGATAGTCTGGTTGTAGATGCGAGGTACGAGATGTTATAAAGCGTGATTACGTTTTACTTGAGGGGAGGTCCGCATAAGCCGTGAAATTCGCCTTGCTCACATGGTTGAAACTTACTGGAACGAAGCAGTAGCCTTCCAGTTGTTCGCGCCTGCCACCTGTACGGCTGTTGACGATATCTTCCTGCGACATTACATCCTCTTTACAACTCTACATCTCTTACGACGCGGGCACCAGCACCATACCGGTACCTGCAACAGCGTCGGACTCGAACTCTCCAGCAGCACGTCTCGGGAACACCGACCTGCAGTAGATATATGGAGACAGGACAAGTCCAACAATAATGGTTACGGTATGATTAGTAAGTTGATAAGAAATCGGTGTTCTGGTAGCATACTGACAGTTCGTTCGTGAATCGTCAGAGGTACGAGGAGGGTGGGCCGTGAATGAGTGTGGGGCCGGTGGGTCGTCCTGAAAGCGTAAGAGGTGGAACGTTTGAGGTTCTCCCAACGTCGACTTGACCTTTTTGCCAAGCATCGACACGACAAGGCTTACGTACCCCTGACCAGCGGCCAAATTGAACGTTACGCCAACAGACGCGTATGGCAGAGGCAGACAATCAGTCAAGAGTCAGTCGGTCAGCCTCGTCCACCTATGCACGCGCGGTCCGAGCAGACGGCTCGTGAAAATTTCTGCTATGGTCATTAACCGACATGACCGCCATTCATTCTTCCACGAACGAGTCCAATGATACCTGATTTCGCGCCGTCTCGGTGCCTGCCTGTATCATGGTTGGCAATGGCAGCAATGACCGAAATGAAGAGTGAAGGCTGAAATTGATCCTTCCCCCAACAGTACCAGTGAGGCTGGCCTTGCTTGGTTTTCTGGGAGGTTCCTTTCTGCCCCAGATTCGCGTTTCACCTGTCATGCAGGGATACCTACAGATCGGATCACAGAAAAATGCTTAAGCCCGTACCACTTAAAAAACAGGTTAACGATTTACGAGCACAGTACCACGTCCGGTATTAGGCTCAGACCCACGCAGGAAGCCACAGCAGCTACGTACTGTGTAGCTACACGAAGCAACGCAGCCTTGTGCCCTGTGTGCCACTGCCACATACAGCCGTGCGCCACGCGAGCACACGCGCCCGGGGTCCATCTGTGGACCGACCCCTGGGCCCTGTGATCGTGGCTCTTCTTGACATAGTGTCTTCTGTACAGCGCATGGCCATAAGCTGACGACGTCCAGGCGCGACCCCTGCCTCCACTTCCACTTCCACCTCCACATACAGGTCCGGCTATCGGTCGGTCAGTCGGCCGACGGGTACTGTCACAAGTGAGGACTCGAAACGCTGTTACTAGGTGAGGAATTGGTTACAGATATCTCGGTGCAAAGAGCAGACAAACTCTTTAACTATTCAGACGATGCCTTTTCTACTAGACATAGCAGCAATCGGACTCACTTGGTTGCCTCAGCCTGCTACGATGTACCAATAACCATCCTTTACTTCAAAGTCCTTCTTTTGACGACGTAAACGTACTGCATCCATCGGTGTCGGTTTCGTGTCATTCCGCCCTGTTTTTTCTTCTCTATTTCACTATCACACACTCTGCCTCTCTCTTTTCTCGAGGGTAGGAAGTGAGTTAAGTTGCCATGACGACTCTTTTCGACATTTTGGTTATTTTGTTCGTTACAGCGATCGCCAAAGCATATGCCGACAAAGGCCCCTTTATTCAAAATACCGCCTTCGACTCCGGCGAGTACGGCCAATTCGTTCCCGAAACATACCTGTCATCATCAGCCTCTGCTCCACGCACAAACGTATTCTACGAACAAACACCCGGGTATTGCAGCCGGGACGATGGACTGCTAGTCATGCTCACGCCGCGGGGGTTCGCTGTGCCCGCGCCGGCCCCCATGATCCTCGACAGACACGGCCAACTTGTCTGGACAGATCCAAAATATGCACAGCCGTATAATTTGCAGGTGCAGAGGTATCGCGACGAGGAGTTTTTAACTTTTTGGGCTGGGGACGATGGAGTTAAAGGCCATGGAGCGGGTGTATATTATATGGTAAGATAACATCTGAGATCTCCTCTTGACAGGTCTACCTGTACCCCGTACCTGTGTAACTTCTGGACTAATCTTTTGGTGAATTATAGTTAGATTCAACATACACGGAACGATACAAAATCAGCGCCGGCAACAACCTCGACGGCGACCTGCACGAGTTCCGAATCACCAAAAACCAAACGGCCCTGATCACAGTGTACCAAATCATATCGGCCGATTTGACGTCGGTCGGAAAATCCGCCCAAGGTTGGATCTGGGACGGACTATTTCAAGAGATTGATCTGGAAACCAACAGGGTCCTCTTCCAATGGCGGGCATCGGACCATATCGCATTCACCGAGTCGAACTGGGGCCCTGGGACGCTGGGGGACACGCGCGACGACGCCTGGGACTGGTTCCACATCAACAGCGTGGACAAGGACAGTCGGGGCAATTATCTCGTGTCGTCGCGCTGGCTTCACGCAGTTTTGTATGTCGACGGTACTACCGGGGAAGTATTGTGGACGTTGGGCGGTAAAAGCAATAACTTTGTTGACCTTTCTGGTGGCCACGCTACAAATTTTGCGTCCCAGCACCATGCGCGCTGGCACGATGACGAATCGTCAATCACGCTATTTGACAATTCGAGTCCTGGTCCAGGCCAACCCAGTGCGGGTGTCTGGCTTGATTTGCAATTTCAGGATGGCGATAACAAACTCAAACCGGCAAATGTGACTCTGCGCCATCGATATCTCTCTCGCACGGAAGTGGTTTCGGATTCCCAGGGGTCAATGCAGACTTTGCCCAGCGGCAACGTTTTGGTCGGGTATGGCATGAACGCGCAGTATGCCGAGTTCAGCCACGACGGGAAGCTGGTGTGTGAAGTCCATTTCGCGCCCTCGGAAGGGTTTGGGACTGCTTCGGTCCAGTCTTACCGTGTGATGAAATTCGCTTGGGTGGGGTATCCGAACACGAGGCCGGATATTGATCAGACTGATGGGATGCTGTATGTCAGTTGGAATGGCGCTACTGAAGTCCGGTACTGGTTGGTGGAAGAGACGGATACTGAAACTGATGACCAAAATGATGATGGTGAGGAGGAGGAGGATGCTCGGTCGTTCCGCGAAGTCCGACGTGTCGAGAAAAATGGATTCGAAACTATCGTGTCGACAGCGGGCGTCAAAAAAGCATTTGTTCGAGCAGTCGCCCTTGATAAGCAAGGGAATGTGCTGGGCAAAAGTCGAATTGTTCCGCGAGGCGAGTTGAGATTGGATCAGGAGGAGTCTGACTCTGATTCTCAGTCGATTACAGAAGATCAAAAAGATGAGGGGAAACAACAACAATCGGAGGAAATGAGCAGTGGCGTTACGCAACGTCTGGCTGTCGGGGCGATGGCGCTGGTTGCTGTGTCGGCGTCCATTTGGGTTGGATTGTGTGCTTTCGTCGGGGTCAGGTACCTTGCGAGGCAATATAGATTCAATTTGCTACCGGTACGCTGGACGTACCAGGAGGTGCAGATGGCTGAAACTGAAAATAATGATGATATGATGGTTTAATGAAGAAATACTTGTATATTCATATTAATGAACGAATGATGTAAACCGTTGGTGTTGAAAACTTGAGAAAGGGGGGTCTGGATGGATATAGATAGATACCTAGGGATCGCAGCCTGACATGTGATCTTGAGATTGGTTTTTGCGGGGCCTGGGAAGAAGGCGTGGGTGGGCGGTGAGGCTGGTTGTCCATAATCATATTCGATTGCAGAGTAGTCACCTGGAAGTAGATGGTGACCCTAGGCTGACAGAATGTATGAACTGTCCAAACGTGTACCTAGGTAGGTACTTGCCGTGCTGCACTGTGCTGAATCATGTAAATGACCTCACCATCTTCATCCGTACTTATCTTCCCTACCTAGGTAGCAACGACACGGTCAGCGGTTCATTGCTACAGTGTAAGGTAACTTGAAATCAAACAAGATAAGCAGGAATCTCTCTCGTCTCACTGGCCCGGTTGGGGGGACATGCTTTTACTTGACTGTAGTTTGTATGCAGACTACGTGCATAAGATTGAACTTTGTGCATGTTTTTCATGCGCCCTAGTACAGTAGTAGTAGTGGTAAGTTGGAACTAAGGTGAACTTTGGTTTATTCAGCCTTCCGCTCACTGCACTGGCATGTGAAGAAAAGGGAAATCCAAGGGAATTTCATCTAATCTGATGTGGCGGGCAGGAGGAGATGGGATCTAATCAGATGCTATTGTTGAGGGTTCTCATTCCGGTTTCGGAGGCGGATGGAGGATAGGACGACAGTGGTACCTGTTCGGTAGGGTAGGTACCATTGATAGAGCAGGAATATGGGTTGCTGAATATACCATACCTCCTCCTGCCTGAAGTAAGCAGAGGGAAATTGAGACACCTTCGGCCAACGGTCAATGGCCAAAGTTCAACTATGTCTGACTTCAAGATAGACGACTTGGAGAAGAAAGATAACGACAGCCTCGTGGACAGGACAGAAACGAAGCATTACTAGGGGATGCTACTGCATTGCCATTGCCAACAAGACCGCTTTCGGTTTCGGCACGACGGGACTGTAACGGCCTTTTTGGCAAATATCAATCAGTTCATCGGCAACATCAAGCTGTCCAGGGTCAGCGCCCTGCCATTGCCATCCAGCCTCTCCGAAACTGTTCATCCTACACCCACACCCCACGCACTTTGCTCCTGCCACAACGCAAGGGCCCTGAAATGCCGAAGGAGCAGATACGATACCATCTGCTCCGCAAGGGACACATGTTGTCCCTGCTCACTCTCGCTGCTAGACAGTGATTCCACCTAACACACCTAGACAATGAGCCAACACGCCGGCTTCTCAACAACTAAACTCCTCTCGACAGACTCGCCTGTTGTCAAGGCTACAAGTGTATCGGTCTTCACAAGCTGTACACGAACTCGGGGTTCTCTCTATCGGTGAGATCGAGCCATCTGCAAAGAGTATCAAGTCAGTCAGATCGGTTCTATTCCCAAACAATGCCGTGTGATGACAGGTTGTGGTAATGGTGGTGAACGAGCCTCGACAAGGACCGAGAAACTTTGGGAAAATGACACAAGCGATACCGACATGAAGAATGACAGGCGCATCAAAGCACGGAAGTCCCGAAAGACCAAGAAAATGACAACACAACGAAACAGCAGTTGATGACCTACTCTTGGTTTTCCAACTTGATATACCCCGGCTCAGCCCTGATCATAGCCTTCTTTCTGTTCTGCCGCTTGCAGTACCACCAGATGAAAAGCAAGTCGACGAGACAAACGCCCCAGCAGACAATAATGGTGATTTCGGCCGGAGTATATCTCGGCGCATCCTTAGGTTGAAAGCACTGCGGACCGATGATGTTTCCAGCACAGTATGCCACAAGGTACATGGCAGCAACGGTGGTTTTCTTGGTATAGCCAGCCACATTTGTAGCGACAAGACTGAGCAGCGCAACGAACGGTGTAGGCGACGCCTGAGTCAGATAGTAACCCGCGAGACGGCCCGAGTTGTTGTCCAGAGGCAAGGCGACAATCAAAATCATGCCGAGCAGCGCGACCGTCAGGCCGGACATGGACACCAGGATCCGCTGGCCCAGCTTGTCACCGAGCCAGCCGCAAAACATGAGAGCAACAACTTCGACTGCCCCGCCTGGTGTGCCGTAAAGTAAAGATTCTTCAGGTGTATAGCCAAACGAGACGATCTGTTAAATTCACAATAGGAGTCAGCATCAATCGTTCAATACCCAGGGGACTCCGAGGGAAAGTGATATTTACCAGCTGTGAAAAGAAATTGCTGATGCCTCCATTAGGTATATCCGCAATCAAGGCATAAAACACAAAAGCCCACGACAAAGGGTCCGTGAGGGCCTCTTTCAACTGGTACATTTTGAAATGCTTGTTCCCAATCCCCTGTTGATTGATCCGAACACGTTCGACGGCAAGAACACGGTCGCGGGGCTTCAGCCATCGCGCGTTGAGCTGGTTGTCGGGCATGACGAAAAAGAAGATGATCCCCAGCGCAGCAGTTAGACAGCCGTTGACCAGGAAAACAATCTTCCAGGATGCAATGGCCGTGCCGTGTTTTCGAGCGCCGACCGCGATGCCGTAGGCCACCAGACCGCCGAAGATTTGACCGAAGCCGTTGAAGGAAAACCAGATGCCTGTCCGGGTGCCTTGCTCGCGCTTGGTGTACCATTGTGAGGTGAAGAGGGCAAATCCGGGGGTGACGGCTGCCTCGAAGACACCGAGGAAGACTGATAGGTAGATGTTTGTCAGTGGTCTGCCATAAAATTGGTATGCCTTGTACCAACAAGGGAGAACAATCCCGCGGATCATGAACTGTGTGGCTTTTGGTCTCAGAACCGGGATCCTCGTCTGCATGGCGCACCCATGCCCGTGTATCCACTACAGCTTCGAGAGAATCACACGGAAAAGCAACACCAAAGTAAAGCAAGCACAGCAACTTACATCTAATAGCCACAGCTCCACCAAACCCAGACACCGTCGCAAACAGGGCCAACACAACTCCCCAAGCGACAACGCAAAAGGCAGAATATTTCGCCAGCGGCAGTCTTTGCAAAAGTCGATTTGTCGGATACTCCCATGCCAGATAGCCAAAGTAGAACATACTCCCGAGCCACTGGTAGTCGTCACCTTTGAGCCCCAAATCCTTCTTGATACCCATGATGCTGGCGTACGACAGGGTCGTCTTGTCCAGGTAGTTGAGTCCATAAATGACGCACAGCAACGGCATGAGATGCCAATCGATGATCCGCAGGAGACGTTTGTTGGTCGCCTCGTTGATCTCCAAAACTTCGCCGCTGGCAAACGCTTTCATGGCCTCGTCGGCATCATTGCTGTGGGCGATGATCTTCTGCGCCGCCTTGGTGGATGAGATCGAGGCACGTTGTCCCTCCAGATTGACTGGTGAAACTGCCCGGCCTCCTGGGAGGGTTTGGATGGGCACGGATTTCTCATCGGTCTCCATGTCTGCCATTTTGCAAGAAGGATAAGGCGTCGAGTTAAGCAGAGGACCTCTAATCAGATCCGAGCTCTGTAGACTGTGTATCAAGTGACCGCTTCTTGGTTCCAAGTCGGCACCGGTCGGTACGGCACGATCGCCGTCGCGGGGTCAGTGCTGCTGCTGTTGCTGCTCCGATCTCCCGCCGCTCGACAATGTTGTCGGATGCGTGGTGAGGAAGAAGTAAATCACTAGACCAAACAGACTTGAAAGCAACAGTGCAGAGCAACAGAGTATATCCCTTTACAGCCTGTGAAGAAAGATAGAGAAAAAGAACACGCCAGACCTTCAAGCAATGACATGATCTGAAGTCATGTTATCTCTGATCCGAGGGACGGTTGCGGCACCCCTGTAGCTACCCTAGAGCTCGCTACCTAGGTAGACAGCTACAGCGTACGGTTCACAGACCCTGCCAGTTGCCACCTCCCACTTACCTTCCACTTCGGCTGATAGTGACGGGCGGGTGAAGAAACGGTGTTCAGCGTCGACGGCATTTCTATCGCGTAGCCAGACCCAAGCGACCAATGGCAATGCCTGTCCTTGACCGGGGTCCAGCATTAAACACCCAGATATGTTATCGTTTCGCGGGGTGGACGGTGGCGATCAGCCAGGCAGGGCACATACCCGCCACGTCGTTCCAACCACCCACTGGCACTGGCAGTTGGGGACGGAGGCAAGATAGGCGACGCGAGTCTGAATCAAAAAGCAATCAATCATGCCTCTGTGGGGTTGATCTGAGAAACATGGAGTTGTGCGACTTGGACGGACGATGGAAGCCATCCGTCGTACTCTACTGTACCAAATAATGTTGTAGCAGGGGACGGGAGATACGACGTTGGAAGCTGGGGCCAAGGGGGGTTTCGGGGTCGGTCGGCGTACGGCCAGGAGAGCGCACAATTGGACAGATGCGACGAACCCCAGTCGTGGGTTATACCGCTTTTGGAAGGTTACAACACTTGTATCGACATCAAAGAAAATCCCCGGCCTGGAGTGATTGGATTTCCTGCCATTCGCTTTTGCATCCCGTCGAGGTTCGGCTACTCTGGCGTACAAGTTGGTAATTGGTCCTATCTTGACAAGTTGCGCCGCTCTACAACGTAAATTACAGCTGTGCTTTCTGTGCCCTTGAGGATTGAGAGGTAGAGGTACTCGAAGGGGCAACCCTTCTATTGTGGCTATTGACCCATTCAGCGCCATGGCGGGAGACGGAAGACGAGGGAGAGAAATAAGGTGCGGAACAGCGGGTGTACAACTTATTCCCATTTAGACAGAGACTCTCGGCGCGTTGCATCAATGATGCGCCAGATGCTGTATCCATCATCTTACAGAACCCTGGTTGGCATCCACGATATAAAATACCTCGGCGCACATCCTCATATTGCAATGACTTCGCGGTGTATCCTCTCTTGGTGGACATCCCAATTTCTGACAACGTGTGATCTCAGCCAATGTAACTTTTGCTCCTCCCTTCAACTCATGGTCCCATATCACCGAACACCTTCGCTGATCTTGCCATCAGATGAATTCAGAAAAAGGCAAAACAGAAAGTAGGTGCGGCCCCAGATTCAGAGTGGTCGCTACCCGAAGTGCTGTGTGCCTTGCTCTTCCTCGACTTCAAACATCATAGTAGTAATCTTCATCTAGTCCTTCTCTGCTTGGAATCTCCGGCCCGTCCATTCCATCCATACCTTCCACTATACCCTCTTCATCATTAAATCGCACATTGAGTAAACGGACCTTGAGCCCATAATTGGTGACGGTGTTGATTAGTTTGTTCGTCTCTGCCGTGATCGGCTGTTGATCCAGAAGCATCAAAAGTCCATCCAGCCATTCCGATGCAATAGTGTGGCTCTGAGGCTGAAACGTCAGCAAAACCATCTCTTTCGCCCCACTTCGAGCAGACGAGGTCTTGGATGAATTGCGAGAATGACCCTCCCGGCCACCGCGCGACTTCGGTAGATATCCATGGATTGTAATCTTGGTCGTGGTGAATTTGTCGTGTGGCAGCTCCTTCAGCGTCGAATCCGACGTGATGGACGACCGGTCATTGGCAGTCACATTGGAAACCACAGAAGAGACCACCGACAAGTCAATCCTGTCCTGAAGACTAGATATCGCAGGAGGTTGCTCTTCCTTCACCTGAAAGTCTGCCCAATGGAGATATTTTCGATTCTCCGAAAGCCTGATGAATCGATAGCTATCTGGTCCGCTTTGAAGGAGCGAATCCTCCGTGACTGGACCCCCGGTTTGCTGATCGGAATACGTGCCGTTGTTGGGGAACCAAGCCCCGGCCAGCAAACACCTGATTCTCTGTTCCTTGGCAAACTGCAGAGCTTCGCTCCGCAGTTCCTCCTCCAAGCCACGTAGGTGCTGGCCCCAAACGTCCTCGTAAGTCAACTCCAATAGCTCCATCTGAAGCTCACGGAGTTTGCTGTATTCGAACGTGGCCATCTCCTTCTCGATCTCTTCAATGCCTTTAGTACGGTCTGCACCTCCCACAACGCTCTCGACCAGGATACGGACCAAATCCACAATTTTTGGAAACTCGTCGACCTCGGCACCGGTTGCCTTCCACAGCCTGAGGAGTGCATGCAGTCCTGCAACATGGAGTCGGCTCCAGTGTAACAATAACGGTTTGAACACCTTGTCGAAGTTGGTCCGGCTTTCGAGGGCCAAGTAGCTTTTGGAATCCTCCAAATCCATCTTATCCACTTCATAATGCTCAAAAAGAATGGCGGTCATTGTGAGACTTGCTCGGGCCAATGGGCACCGTTTTTGCTCAGGAGCAACGGACTGTTCGAGCAAAATCCTCTGGAACTCGTCTTGATGTTTCCGCACATAATCAGAGAGGTCCATCAATCCCAAGAATCCCATATCCGTGAAATCAGCCTCAGGGTTTTCCGAGCTGAAACCAAGCCGCCTCCACTTGTACGGGTCATGTTTGTGCTTGGATTCTCCATTTTGGCCGCCTTGCTGGTGTTGTTTCTCGGGATTGCTTGAGAGGTGCACAGCCTTGATGGTCCGTCTATGTTCAGGCTTCAACAAATCTACTGGGACATCTCGCCAGCGTCGAAGGAGGATCTTGGTCAGGGCCTGGAATTCCAACAAAGGGTGGGCCAGGTCTTGAAGGGCTGAGCTTTGCATAAGCACATACACCGCCTTGATCACACCTAGGTCTTGTATGCGCTTGATGAATTTCGGCCATTCCGTCTCGTTATCGTTGGTGATTGCATCCCGCATCAGGGAGTTGATCAATTGCAGTGCGTTTGCGCACAGAGCATGATCGGCAGACGACAGCCTCGTCACAAGCATCTCCAAGAACTGCGGGTAAACAGCAATTGCAGGCTTTAGAGCCTGAAAGCCACCAGCACTGTTGGCTGGATCAACCTGCGTTGACTTGTCGACATGGTAGGGACGGGAAACAATGGAAACCAAGATGGCCATGGCACCTCGCAGGATGTTAACCAGTGGCTGGCATACGACAAGTTCCACGACCTATATGTGAAAGATGTCGTGTCAGTATTTTCTTCTCGTTCACGGACAATATACCGAGATCTTGCCTTTTCCACCACTCGATCATCCACTGCTTCCCAGCCCTGGTCCACCTCCAATAACCTGGCGAAGCTGGCAAGACTGTAGGCAAGAGTATTCCCGTGGCTCTCGAGGATGAGGGTGCGTAGCAGAGGGAGGCCGCCAGCGAGCACGAACCGCTCGGCGAATGAAGGGTCGTTGATCAGCGACTGCAGCTTAAATGCTGCCATCTTGCGGCTGGCATCTTCATTGCTGGAGAGGCTCGCAAGAAGGTCCGCGAGATTGGGGCTTTGAGCTGGGTTACCCGTGTCCATCCTGGAGCTGTCGCTGCAGACACGGTCATGACGGATAACTGGTGGACTGCTAGCTAGCGGCGAAAGGCATAAGAGATGTGCTGGCTTGGTCTCTTCTGTGTCGCCATGCTGAGCAACACCTGTTTGCAGTCGTAAGAACTTCTTGCGACGAAGACGTCGGGCCGCAGGCGGAGCAGGAGGGCATGTTTGAGTCTCTGAGGCAGTAGTGCTGCTACTGGCAGTGCTTGACTTGTTGCGTTGCGTTAGAGCCGCTAGAATCTGGAACCGGCCTGCTAAGCGTGCCCGTGAGTGTTCCAGGGGTGCCGGTGACGATGTTCTGGGCTCGGGCACAAGCGCAAGTGCAGCCGCGCCGGCAACGTCCAGGGGCTTGTCCACACCGATACGGGCTATGCCAGACACTGGCGACCCAGCTTGAGGCACACGATCGACGCCTGTCAGACTCTCGCTGCTATAATTATTACTGTCGTCTTGTGCCGGCGCGAAATGAACCCTCCGAGTCGGGCGAAAGCGTGTGAGTGACGTCAACCATTGTTTTCGCTTCAACACCGACAAAAAGCCACCACCAGAGTTGACATCCTCGAAGACACTGAGGGCAGAACTGTTGCTGTAGGAAACCCAGTCAGAAGAGTCTTCTGCAGAAGACCGCGCGTTGCCAGACATGTTGATGTTCAGTTTGCACAAGTAGAAGCAATTAGAGAAAAGGGTGAAAGTCGAAAAGGTGCGATGCGAATGCCAGAGAGCCTCGGAGACGGAACCAAGTTACAAGTCAGTGAGAGGTTGTGCAAACACCAAGGTGCTGGACGCGGAAGTTCTAATGATGCTGTACGGGAGGGCTTCATGTGCTCAATTGCTCCAGCTCGCAGTGTGACCTCGAAGGCCATTGGCCTTGGAGAGTATTTCATCCAGCCTTCTTCTTTGTGTCGTCCTTCATATCTAAATTATCCTCTGGTATTGCGGGATATTTCTCCAGTAACCAGTCATACAGGTCATCGCTTACATCGCCTTGTACCGTGATCTCTTCTCCTCCCGCTGCGGTCTTGGTTACACTACTGCCCGTAGCGAACTTCTTGCCCAGTTCTTTGGCTACCTTTTTCAAATCCAGCCCGTGTTCCTCCAAGCCCGAGACCACCGTGACATATTTCCGCTTGTTTCGTTCCACTCTCTTGATGAGCACTATGGCCTCGGCCTTTCTCTCGGCTTCACGTTGCTCCGCCGCTGCGGCTTTGGCCGCCTTTTTTGCTGAGTCTTTTTCTGCTCGTTTCTGGGCGTCCACCGAAAGCGCAGATAGATTGGCACTCAGGGCTTCTATTGATGCGACCCTTATTAGATTGGGGAAAACAGAATCACCAAGCTGTTCACGTACCTTCGGAATATAACTTCTGGTGTAGATCAGGATGATTCTTCTGAAGCCATTCCTCACATTTCTTCACCGTACCCCCAAACTCGCAATACTGTTTGTCCACATGTCAATAGCTGGTCGGGCAGCGCAATATGGGTTAAAGGCGTTGCCCACCTCAGGGGGGAGGCTGCAAACTATACACACTCAGTGTTAGCAGTCAATCCACGGGCATAGTCGATGGAATCGCAAACCTCCACAGTAGATGACTTGTCTCGCTGCTGGCGCCGCGGTCTCTGTTACAGTTTCTGACATCTTGTCCGATTTAACCACCACTGAGAATATCAAGATAATCTCAAGTAGGACCCGTGTAATGTGAGAAATTGCTCAAAGTGCAGCGTGGCATGTGGTTATTCTCCTACTACCAGACTCAAAACCATTGCCGCCACAACTTGAATTGCCGGTGTCGCGACCTTTTATTGGCGGACGCACTACAACATTGTACACCGCCGCAGGCCGCGGAGCAATGTGCCATGGCTTATGTCAGCCGGTAGAACTTCAAATTTGGTTGCCTACTATAATAACCACCTCAGTATTGGTATAGTTATCTACAAGTAGGTACCTCACCCACCAGATGACCTTCAAGTCTTGAAATTTTCGGCATGGCTTTTACTCGCTTGTACCAGCTCTCCTACAGTCCGTGACACAATCAGCACAAGATAAAAAACAGAATGAATGGCGAAGAGCCAGGTTTCTTGCAGTGGAAGTATACCGCATAATCTTTCCTGCTGTCTTGGATGAACAAAGACCTACCTTAGGTAGACCGGTATGGATTGAACATCACCCAAGGGGTCGTTGTGTGGGTAGGTAGGTACGTGTACATGGACGACCTTCTTATGTGATACTCTGCCGTACTGAATCTTGAGAGCCGGCTGCTCCTTGCAACCAACTCGCCTACTACATGTCTTATCTCAGACATGGTGTTGGTTAGTATGTCAGACAGATGTTGCTCGCGTTAGCCTCGTCCATTCCTCCTGCAGGCGGCCATGTTGCATATATACATATGTGGAGAAATAATAGTGATTGCCTTCCATATGATCCCGCCCCAGAGCAGCTGTTGCCAATGCAGTGAGGATGGGTCAAGAAGCACAGGTAGGTCAGAGCCACATTGCAAATCCCGGATTTGCTGAAACAAGAGCGGGTGCAAGTAAGTCTTGCATGCAGATATACAGTGATATGAATTTGCGATCGACAATCACACAGCAATCACTAGCATTCTGTCGATGCGAGGTGTATAGAGTGCATAAGGGAGTACTTCAATCCCGCGGCAACCTGGCAACCGAGCACCTTTCATGGCGAGGACGACTATACGTGACCGGTTGAGTTTTTGCATGTGAAAATCCTTAGGGATGCAGGATTGACCTTTGTTGACAACCCCGGAGATGCAATGCCACGTTGTGGAGTTGACAGCGCTCGCTTGGCTCGGTGTCGCAAAAGTTGCTATTTGACCGGCAATTGCGCAATGCTTCAGACGCCCGAATGGCGGCACAATCCTGGCAATAACGGAGAGGATGGCCACTTCTTGCTATGCACATCGTGTCAACACCTGCTGAAGCAGGATAAAAAGAACGGAATATCCACGATGGGCCACAGTCTTCTTGCCTATCTATGCCTCATTTGAGCTGAGCTCCCCAGTCATCGAGTGTTATATTGCGGAGCTGATACGGTAGCAAGACAGAAGTCCCCTCGCATGTGCTACAAAGCCAAGGACTCGTTGGTAGATCCGCAGGAGATAACCTTGTACAGCTAGGAAAAAGTCACGGAATAATAGCGCAAAAGCTCGTGTCAGAGTTCGAGAGCGTCAGCTTACTTTAAGCAAACTCATCCATGGCAGGCCTATGTTCGGTGAGCAACAGTTGCGCAACTGATAACAGCGAGGCACCTTCAAGAAACAATAGATACACCCCATGTTTTGTTGCACTGAAATGGTATTCCAAGTCGTTATCTCTGCAAAGCGTGAACCGTGGATGCAATGTAATGATTATCAACGGGGGAATTTGTCATGGATTGTGGTTTGGTGTAGGAAATTGCGAGCAAGCCCTTTATGGCTAGAATGACCATGGGAGCCCGGGAGACGATGGGCATTGCCGGACCATCCAACGACCATGTCGATCGGACCAGCGTGCAGATTGCTCATAGGAGGGTGTCAAGCCTGCAGCTACTTCCCGCTTTTTGATGGTCAATAGGATGCAGCCCGTGCGCGTTGAAGGAACTCGCTCTAGGCACAGGTGTCTCATGTATGGGAGAGCCAACTGGAACGTCCTGCAGTCTCAACTTCGGCGGAGGATTTGGATGGCGACAACGGCGAGGCCCATGAGACCATAGAGTGAGCACGTTGTCGGAGAAGTGAGGACCCCGAAGATCTATGAGAAGATAAGAAGGTGCTTCTTTCAAGGGGGCCCCCTGCGCCACATTCGAGTCTACAGTGCCCTATGCGTTGTAACGTACCATTGTACAGCGGAGAGGCGGATGCACTGTGACGGAAGAGGCTCGTGTTGTCAGGAAATCCTGTTGTTGCTGGCGACGCTGGGAGGAGTCGGGAAGAATAACATCGAAGATGCATCCCAGCTCATTATCATTCCAAGAATGGGCTACTGCACAGGCCGCATCTGCAAGACAGGCGTGTTTCACCGAGTGCGACCAGAACGGAAGGAGACAATCCATAGGCCTCAGGTAGGAAGTTCCCGGGTGCAGTGGCGGGAAGATGTCTGTGGCTCACCCCATTAATCCCAGCGGCTGTAACAACGTTCGAAAGGCGAAGTGGGCCAGTCGGGTTTATGTGTCTTGTCAACCAAGGGTCAAAGAGGAGGGAATCAATGAGCGCAAGAATGGTGAAGGATGGAAGCTCCTGGTTGAGCAACACGGGGAGATCTTTGCTCCGCAAATCTGGGTGTCCAAGACATGCTGAAGATTAGTTAAGAGATTGGTAAGTTTGGTAGCTGAGAATGCACCCCAAATGAAATCAGAGGGATTCGGAAAGTATCAGTATCGGGTGTACAATGGTAGTCTGCTTGTCGTGATCTGTGGCTGGTTCTTTGGAGGGGTCGGAAAGTTGGACCGCAGTGGATGGCAGAACGATAACACCAGCAATAAACCAGGAATCCTACAACTGGAATGTAGGAGGTCCCACGCACGTTGCTGCGTTGATCAAGGCAGCCAGCCCTTCCGATAGGAAGCAGGCATCAGGGGCCCTAGGCGGGTTGACAGCCACCCAAGCAACAGCACGCGTGGGATAGTGATAGGAATACGAAGTGCCTGATAAAGGACGGTCTGTGAGTCAGGGTTGTGATGGGTCAAGGTTGAGTTGCATGATGTCTGCAGGGAAAACACGTACGCGGTGGGCGGATGCAGTGGTGGCTGGCATGGTTCTTGGGTAGGCATAGATTTGAGATAAAGGTCTGTATATCGCCGTATCCACGATTAGATAGAGCTGATAGAAGCTGAACAAAGAGGCCGAGGTTTCGAAGTGAGCAGTACGATGGTAGTAGTGGCGGTAAGTAACTTGTATGGCAGCAGGCTCGTCGATCACCAGCTGCCTCGTAGTGCCTTCCAAGGCAGCTGTAGCAATCTGAAGACATACGGGCAGTATGAGAATACCCTAGAAAACTTTAAGGACTGCAAGGATACTACCTAGTACGTACCTACCTACCTAGGTACAGAGAGAGAGTCAATCCATGCGGCACAGGATTCTCTGTGTGGTCGGCGACTTTCGACTGGATACCGGTCAAAAAAGCTATTCTACACCGTACAATAATGTTGTAGGCATCGGTGAATTGAAGTTGAATTCCTCCCCGCAATCCTTGGCTGCTGTCAACACGATTCCTATCACTATCAAAAACGCCAACAGGGAAGATATTTCTTACTGCGACCAGCAATACTATAGGTTGATGTATAAGCGGTGCCCCTCAGGCTCCGTAGCCTGCCAGTGTTGCACAACTTGAACAGCCGTTCAACGGTTGACTAAGAAAATACCAAATCCTTGTCAGACAGTGGACCAGAAACCCCTGATTGTCACTGAGATCTGCTGTTGTACAGTTGCAGGGACGCCAATGCCATGGAGAGAAATGCGGTGTGTGCGTCAGACCACGCCTCTTTCTTCTCCAGATCAGCAGCCTGTACGACCTTGACCTGCAACTACAGCCACCTACTGTACAGCGACAGCTTTCCATAAATGCCAATGCCACCGGTAGCAGTGGCTGACGCCAATGACAGCAATTGTCGCCTCGGACAGATGTTCGCTCATACTCGAAAATGCATGCCTACCACCTATAGTAATCGATCTGTTGACCAGCTGGCTCGAGGCTCCATTTCCAGTCCACGGCCGCCTTTGGTCTTCTCTTTCTCGCCTACTAGTAGACCTCCTCGCCTAACCTGGCCCTGGTCGACGCCATCCTTTATTTAAAAATGATGTGTGAGCGCCATCCACTCTCCTTCGCCTCTCTGCAGCGTTCAGGGTTTTCCTTTGTCCTCCCCACGCCGCCAACCCGAACTTGAAGTCAGTTGAAACCCGTGGCCGCCCGCCCTCTGCCGCTCGAGCGCTCCGACAGCAACAAGCCATCCCCGATGCGGCCATCTACCTCATTGCAGCAATGCAGCTAAGGCCGACTAGAATCGCCCTTCGCAGCCGGTAGAACCCTCCCGTGCGCGGAAGACGGTAGACCGCAGCTGAGGCGAGAGCACGATCACCAAGAAACCGCTCGCCCCAGTCATGCCTGCATGAATGGCCTCTACTACTACTATACTACTACTACCTTACTGACTAGCAGTTAGTCTGTGCTTCTGGATTTGCCCTGCCAGTGCCAGCGCCAGTCACAACTAAATGGTCTTTTTGCTGCGTAGCGCTGCAGCAGCCAGTTCGGGAGGCGGCTCTCTTTTCCTTCCCCTCGCCCTTGGCCTGTGTTTTACATACTAGTGGCGGCTGGCCACACACGCCAACAACGTCCAACTTCCAGCTGCGGTCCTGCTTTCCTGCCCTCCTCCAAGTGCTTTCTGCTGCGTAGCGAATGGTAAGAGCGTGGTAGGGCAGCTACTAGTAGTACTGGTATAGGTAGGTAGGTAGAGAAAGCCGAAGGTGGGAGGACACAGTCGATGGGTTTCCCGTGCCTGGGACCAGGATGTGGCGGTACTGCGACGACGATTCCAAGGTTCCCAGGCTTGCCTCTTCTAGATTTTCGCGTCCCCTGGCACTTCTGGCACCTGGCGCCCTCGCTCCTCCGCCTCTTTGCTCCTCACTGGCAGGCTCCTCCACTGCATGGGCTCCACCCCCATTCGCACGCGCCTCGTCGTTCGCCCGCTGCGACTGGAGCCCTCGATGCAAACTGCACGTCGCGACTGGCACTCCACTCCTCCCACAAATCCTTCCATCACCTCTGCATGGATTGTGCGCCTCTTAAGTTCCCGATCACTCTCCTCTTTTATCCATGTCGCTGATCACTGCAAAGTTTTGATTTCAACAGGTGCTGCTTATATCGATCGTCCGCTCCACACCGTCATACTGCGAACTTCAACCCGACGGACAGACACCCCGACCTGCGTTCCCAATCGTACCTTTACAGCGGTCCTTCTTTTGGACTTGACAGGCACACCACTCGAGCCAAGACGAGCAAGACCTCAAGCGATAACAAACCTACCTTGAGAACACTTTGCCTCGTATCCCGGCCCTAACTGCAGTGGCTGAGCCTTCTTATGAGCATCGGCGAAGGCACTTCCAACCCAACCCGGACAAGACATTGACGGTGTGAGAACAGGAAGGGAACATACCATATGAGGTCGTGCTCATGACGACTCTCTTGCAAACAGCTCTTCCAGGGGCGTCTCCCTTCTCTTCAAGCCCGATTGACTCGTCCTCATATCCTGGCCTCTCTTCGTTCAACGACTCGTTGTCCTTTGGTCAACCTCACGACCGCCACCCCTACTCTTCTCGCGAATATGCCGGGGCGTACCCCGACTCTTCGCCGTCCACCGCCCCTTCCTCGCCCCGATTGACCCATTCGAGCTCTTCTAGGAGGGACTCCTACGCCTCGACACCCGCCAGTACCCTGTCCTTGGATCACAGAGACAGCGTTGATGACGACGGTGATATGGCATTCCCGGCCTTCGAGAGCTCGGGAATTTCGAGCAAACCGGCACCCTCCACACGGATACCGGGAGGGCAAGGAGAGACTACTACGTCAACACCTGCAGTCGAGGATCCTTTGATCCCGAGAAAGACCATCCAGGATGATCAAGCCATAGAACCGGAACCGACCAGACACGTCGATTATCTGTCGCACGAATGGAAGGAAGAAGATATATGGCTATCATGGAGCTATGTCACGCACAAACGGAACGGCCTGACCAATGGTACGCGTTTGGAGAATGCCTCATGGAGATCGTGGACGAAAACGAAAAACCGCTTGAAAACTGTGTCGCCGGAGACGCTGAACTGGCTGAAGGATTGTGATGTGACCTGGCTGTACGGACCTTTACAGACACACAGGAGCACGACAGAGTCGGTGGGAAACACATCGCCCCTGCCCAGTCGGTTATCCCACTCATCTTCCTTCATTTCCAAGAAGCCAATTCTCAAAAAGAAGTCGGCTTCAGCCGTCATTCTTGAGAGATCCAGATCACAACACTCGCTTCTCCAAAGAGCAGGAGACATAATCCGGGTACAACAATCCGGCCCTGCGGTCCTTGGTCGCCCAATACTCAGAAGAGGTAACTCGGAATTTGCTTTGCCTCGGTACAGCGACAGCTCGGTGGCCAATACTCCTGCGGACCACGACCTGACGGGTCCCCGCGCGTCGTTCACGTTCGGTGAAGTACCGACCCCATCAGAATGCAAACATGTTCTGTTTGATGAAGAGGTCCGACAGGTACAAGCAATCGAATCGGAGGAGGACGACAAGTCCGATGAGGAAGATGAATCTACTTTTGAGGACGATGAGGATGACGATTGTGGCCTGATGATGGCTCCTTCTCACCGAAACGGCAGCAGCAGAACCACCCCTCGAGGCAGTTTCAGTAACGAGTCCAAAACAATTGTGCCACTACCTTCTACCACACTAAAGTACAGAACCGACACCCCGGAACCGCCAGAGATGCCTAAAGGCTCGTTTGGCCTATGGGGGAACGGGGGAGGGAAACTTTCTCCTTCACCATCACAGGAGACTTTGAGGCCGCCAAGGCCGCACCAGAACTTTCTTATCGACGATGACCCAGAGTTGGTGGACGAACCATGGCAACCGCAATCCAGCCTGGGAGGAGAGCGGTCTCCTTACGATGACGAAGATAACGGGAACGGCCTACATCCTCATCTGAGGAGGACCGAATCTGGCATGTTCATGCCATATGATGACGAGGAAGAGGCCATCATGAACAACACGTTGTTCGGACAAGCCATGTACGCCGTCAATACTTTCAAAGATATTGCCCACGTGATATGGAACGTGGGCTGGAACCGAGAATAGCCGATAATCAGTCTATTGGCGGGAAATTGAGATATATCTGGAACATCCAGGGCAGCATAGCGCGGTGTTGATGGCACATTTGCCGGTTACATTCATGCCCCAGCAGCGAGTTTGGAACATTCATGAGCTCATGGCTTTATTTGAGCACGAATTTTACGAGACATGTGTCTTTAACTATCAGGAGGTGGGCTACGGTGCTAGATCCGGGGCACGTCCTCTCCTGGAGCGACGGCCGTTCGAGATGGACATTGAAAATTGCCGGTACAGGTGCTGATTGGCTTCGAGCGAGGAGGACCATGTCTTTACATGCGTACATAGACCACGATATAGTGAGCAGAGCGGATTTAGACGAGGCAACCCTCCTTCAGAGGAGTTTGAGAGATCGCCATCATCGGCAGTCTCTCGGTCAAGATACTGATCTCGCAAACAATAGTCACGATTGTAGGCCATCCGGGGAATTATCGTGAAGCAAGCAGGACAAAAGGAGTCAAAAGCAAGCGAATGCAAGTCATCAGCCCGCCAGGGCCAGCCATGAAGCCACTCCGATATTAACCGACACACTGCCAGTGTTACTGGCAGCCGATGTGCCTCAAGGTAACGACAAAAATGCCCAGACCATGACCTCGAATGCCCTTTCTTCGAGTTGGACCCGGTTTTCCTCCACGGGGGGCAGCTGTCATCGTTATGCGGAGGAAAGGCCGGGCGAAACTCGGTGGGCAGATCTGATCATGATTCATCAGCGTACTATACTAGTAGCCAGCCTGAGGCAAGAGAAACCGACGCTTATCTAAGGTAGCCGGTCAGTCAGCACAGTGCAGTACTAGTAGTAGTGACCACGAACAACTTGAAGGTCAATCGATGTCAGTGGGAAGAAAAGAGAAGCCAGTGCTGACGTCCTACTTCTAGCAGGAAGTACTGTGATACTACTACGAGCCTCAGGCTGTGGTTTATGGGATTGTGCACTGCCTTTCTCTGCTTCTGCAATAGTACTTCTACAACGTTGTAGTAGTACCTGGTACAGTAGGTCCTCTTGCTTTATGCAGGTATGGAGATACACTACCAACTCACTCGTTGAGGTTTTGCATCTACTGTACCTTATCAGATATTCATCCTACAATGTTGTTTGCATGCTGCATGGAATTTTGCGGTTGATTGCGTGGCCTGTGGGACGCTGACTAGGACTTTCCTTATCGAAGGTAGTAGAGACATATCCAAATACATGCAGGCCACGCATTCCAGTCACTCCAAGTTCCATGCTCTTTTGCCAGATAGTTCTTACTAGAACTCATTCATGTCCGTATAATAATTTCTATTCTGCTTACCCTCCGGTTTATTTTCCATCTCGAATACTACTCGGACCTATACTCACAGAAAACCTTGAGAACGCAAGAGCTTACTTGGATAATGAATGCATTGCATATACAGTACATTGATGCTAACCATCGCAGCTAACTATAACAAGTTGCCCTGCCCGAACCGGCCCCTGCCTTGCTACGTGACGCTGATGCTGGAAATCCAATGCAGAGCCACATGTTGAACACTATGCCAACCGTCCATGCAAACCTCCAAAACCAGTGCTCCCGGCTCTCTTTTGTTCGGATTGAAATAGTGTACAAGAAAGGGAAGGAGAAGCAAGGCAAAAGATGATATACACAAGGCTCCCCAACTGAGCGAACCATCAGCAAAGGTGAAGTTTGAAATGTACCGAAACTGCATCGGACGAAGCCGGCCTGGACCGACAGCGCAGCTGGCATAACCATATTGATGCTGAAAAATGTTGACCCTTGGTTGACCACAAGAATGTTATTACTGGCCGTTCTAAATGACCGCCACCAGGCCAACAGCCATTGCGAGAAGACCGCCCTGGACTTTCAAGCTGCCAGCTCCGCTGTTGTTGCTGTTGGGAACAGAGGTGGTCTCGGTCGCACCGGCAGAGCTACCAGTGGCCGTGCCTGTCTGCGTCGCGGTCTTGCTTGCACCGGTGGTGTGGGCACCACTGCTGCTGCTGTCGCTGCTACCGCTGCTGGTGGCTGCAGATGAAGATTTGCCAGAGGCAGTGCCAGACGACGACGAGGAATCGCTGGTCGTGGTCGAGTTGGAATAGCCGGTGTGCGATGAGGTGCGGGCAGTGCCGGTAGAGGAAGCAGTCGAGGCAGTGCCGGTTTGAGTGCCAGTGGCGCCCTTGATGCCAAAGTTGGGGGAGAAGTTAATGTTGCTCGAGTCGGTGTCGTCAATGATCTCGATGGTGTAGAGGTGCGAGTTGACTTCATCGGCAGCAGGGATTTGCACGGTTGCGGTCTTGTCAGAGGCCGGGACGTTGCCTGAAGAAAGATAATTGTCAGTATACTGCTATTCTGTTGTCTCAAGCTGGTCGAGTTGCAAATCGTCCGGCCGAAGTGAAAGTGGCGGTACTGTGGTACTTACTGGCCAGCACGATACCCGAGTCAGGGGTGATCGGATCTTGTTGCAGCTTGATGGTGACGGTGCCGCTGGATGGGTTCGACCATTGCAGAGTCAACGGCTCTCCGGCGGTCACATCCAATGTCGACTGGCCTTCAGGGATCAGGATGGCATTGTTGCTGCTCTGGGCTGACACAGCAGCTGCGCAGAGTGCGGCGACCACGGTGCTCAAGAAGCGCATGTTGATTGTTTCTAGAAACTTGTGCGACAACAGATGCGAGTAATAATGCGACTGCGACAATGACAACTAGGATCAACCAGTTGGTTTGGTACGGGTGTCCTATGTATGGATGACAGTAGTGAAGAGAAAGGTGATTGATGTGCAGAGAGACAGGGTTCAGTTTTGTGTTGATCAAAAAAGAACAGTTCGTGGTGGCGGACACAAGCGGAAAAGTAAACTCAGGAGTCTCACACCATGCACTGCCACCACTACTGGCTTCTGCTCAGCTACCGCGATATAGCGCTATACTACTGGACTAGCAATGATCTTGTTTTTATTAGTGACGGCGTTCTTCTTCTCCGCCTCAGCTGGAGCCGCCGTGGATTGTTGGTACCGTCCATGCTGGGCGACGGCGGCAAGTTAGAGGCGTTCTTTGAGGAACTCGAGTGCACATTTCTCTATACCATGATGGATCACTCTGGGTACTTTTGGTAACGATGATGTTATTTAATCGCCGGTGACGGTGGTGACGGCCGCACTCCAGCACAACTACTCGGCCATGCCAGTGCTAGCAACTGGCATCTCCTTATTTTTGTCGGCCGTTGTTCGCGACAACCATGCCCCTACGGGTGCGCAAGGCCCTTTTAGTTTTCGCACGGTTCAAGCTGGCACCAGCTGAACTTGACTCAGATGGCGTCAGGGTCAACAAGTCAAGAGTCAAGAGTCGCAGAGAGTCAAGCCACCACCCACTTGCACAAGGCAATTCGCGTGGTGGAACTTTGAACAGCCAGTTTAATCTTGTTCTGGTGCAAGCGTGTTGAGGTCCCTGGTTCGTTGCCCCTTGCAATGTTTTTATGCGTCTTTTTGATTCGTTGTGGTTTGTTTGTCTGCGTCGCGTATCCGAGACTCGTCTCAGGCACAGGGTCGTGGTTGGTTGGTCGCTCGAGCTCGTCTTCGCGCGTGGATTTCGCGCAGCCTGCCGGTGTGCTGTGCATACATTACTAGCAACGGAACAACAATCTACCTAACCGTGCACTCCGTCAGCACTCGTCGGTTGTTCCCCCCACCGAGTGCACCACAGCGATACGATCGTCCACAGCGATACGATCGTTTTTCTATAAATTCTATATACTCTTCATTTAACGCGTATATATACAACTAACGATACCTACTAACGCTCAATTAATAGAGGAGAAGGTCCTTAACGCCTACGACGCGTATAATCGCGGCGATTATCCTAATATAAAGGCCGCCGCCGACGTATTCGCCGCCCCCGTTTAACGCGTACGTAGACGACTTCGAGATATACTAGGCGTTAGTATAAGAGGAGGATATAATAAGAGGCTCTCTAACGAGTAGAAGAAGGCTCTCTATACGCTTATAAAGCGCTATAACGATCTCGGGCTATCCCTAAGGCCTTCGATAATTATTTAAATAGTAAATCGTATACTATAACTTACGTAGAACGTATACGACGATAACGATAGTTAATCTCGTATATCTTACGAATAGACGCGGCGCTTTCTTAATAGATACTCTAAGTTTATACTTAAGAAGCGAAAGTCTATTAACGTTTATCGATAATCTATCGAGATAGAATATTATATTTTAATTATCGAGTACTTTCGTCGCTTCTAGGCTATTAAAGAGTAATATACTATTATCGACGATAATATATAGAATATAGACAAGACCGGCTTCTCTATTAGTATTAGTAGAGCGTACTATATTATTACTTAGCGTTAGAATAAGAATAAGCGTCTATATCTTCCTAATCCCGAAAATCGCGAGTATTATACGCTAATTAAGTCTATTAACGCTATCGACGACTTTATCGATCTATTCGTTATTCTTAAAGGCGATATAATTAGCGAGCGCTCTATAACCTTAAGCTTACCTAACGAATATATATTAGTCTCCTTCGAATCGGGTTACTTAAACGATACTATACTACTTAAGTAGATATATTATTTTAATAGAAGAATAAAAAACGTATAAAAGGGCGCTATAGGATATTAATAAGCGACGACTTTAACTCTTATATCGAGTATAGCTTTATTAAATACTACTAGGACGAGAGAATTATACTCTTTTACTTATCGCCGTACTCGACGTACCTCCTATAACCTCTCGATATCGTAGTATTCTAACCGTTAAAGTACTATTACGCGAAGTTAATAGCCTATAGCGCTATACAGTACGGAGATTTTACGTTTTAGCGTTATAAGTTCTTAGAGGATCTTTATATAATTCGTACGAAGATACTTTACTCGTTAACGATTCGCTCGTTATTTAAGAAGATAGGGTTAATATCGTTTAATCCGAAGTAAGTACTTAATAGCCTTACTATCGAGAATAGCTCTAACGAGAGTAACAACGACGACGACGACCTATACGTTAATAGTACGCCGCGGAAGAGTATACGTTAGCTTAATACGTACGCCGATATAATATTAGAGAACGTATAAGACGTAGATTTATAAACAGCTACGCTATTTAGTAAGTTTCGCCGCGCCGTAATAGAGCGTACGTATATTAGCTAGGAGACGCTTTACTAACTCGGCGAGACTAAGGCTACTAAACGTACGCGTACGTTACGAGAGAATCGACGTCGTTAACGTATCGAAACCTCCTTAATTAGCGTTATATACGTCGAGACGGCACGTCGACGCCTTTAGGCTCGTAACGACGCTAAGATATTAGACTATTATAAGAGGCGCCGACCAGCAAAGAGACTATAAAAGCGACTCGTCGACGCGGCTCTCGATACAGTATAAGAGGTAGAGCGACGTCGACGTACGCCAGAGATAGCTTAACGACGTTAAGATACGCTCGATAGACTCGATATATAGGTTACTACCTCTATAAGGCTATTATATTAAGAGTTACGCGCCGAGGTAACGATAACGAGGTCTTTACAGGATACTATATACTCGCGTATATAAGTTGCTATAGTACTATACTATCGCTATATAACGTCGATATACGTTCTTAACCGATATTATATCGACGGTAGTTATTATATATTTAGTACTTTTATATTCTAAGTCGACTACGTACGGTAACTTCGAGAGTACGTTAACCACGACCTCTCGGATAGTAGGTTTTTATATTCGATACGATTACAGTACTAATTTACTAGACTTAGCTATCGCTTATATTATAAAACTATCGTTATAGCGGCTGTAAACAGAATATATCCTAACCGCGTGCAGAAAAACGATCGTATCGCTGTGGACGATCGTATCGCTGTGGTGCACTCGGTGGGGGGAACAACCGACGAGTGCTGACGGAGTGCACGGTTAGTACGCGCCAATATTCCATTCGTCTGGGGAGCCCGGATGTGA